TCTTATGATCTTTCAGAGCTAGATCTTCGAATTCTCTTTCTGCTTCTTTAATTATTCTTATTATCTAGAGGGCTTCCTGATAGAAGTTTCTGTTCTTCTAGATCTTGCGGTAGTGTAATATGTGGAATTATAGTTCTGCTACTCTGAGATTTTCGTATTAGTAATGTACTAGATATCTTTCTGTTTTTATTTTCTAGTAAGGATTATTATTAGGTATACCGGAAATTATAATAAGAAAGCAATTATTATCTTCCTTATCTTATCTATATTCCTCGCACTAATAGTACTTATATAATAGCTATAATAATTTATTATATCCTAGGTAAGTTAGAAATGTTTCTATAATATCCTTAGTATTGAATTTTGGCTCCTTATAGTAGGGGTTTATGGCATCTATTATATAGTAGGCTCAAACACATAAGCTCTCGAGCTTATCGATGTTGCCGTGTTCCCTAGCTCCTTGTAGATATCTGTCTTCTATCGAGGTATATATCCGGTTCTTATTTTCATCAAACAGTGGTTTATAGGGTTACCTCTACTTATTTTTAATTTGTTTATCTTCCTTGCGGAGGTATTGTGCGGTGTTTCGTGCCGCTCCTCCCCTATATCCTATATTTCAGGAGTGTTATTAGTAGTATATGCAGACCTTATCTCCTGCTTTGCGTTCCTTTTTTATTATTTCTTCTTTTTCTTAGATAGTTATTTAAATTAGGATAGCATCGATTGTTTTAGATACTTTAGGTTATTTTCCTGTATTAGAGGTAGTCTTTGTTCCCTATAGGTCTTTTAGGTATTTCTTGATTTCCTGCTTTAAGGGTCTTCTTTCTCTTATTATCCCGAGGGTCTCGGTTTATTCCATCTTCTCACGTTTCTTTTCTTCCTTTCTCTTAAGATAGTAAGCGTGGTCTTTTTCCTTTTCCTGTTATTGGTTTTCTAGGTTCTCTCGCCATTTCCTTCGGTATTTAATTGCCTTTATCTTATATGGCATTAGGATTTGGGGTATATTCCCTGCTTTAGCGTCTTCTTCTGTTAGGAATTCTTCTCGCGGTTCTCAGATTAAACTATCTAGGTGTAGGTACTATCCGTGTTTCGGCATAGTGCCCTTATATAGAGCTATCGTGTTATACAGGCTTTATATTATTCCTAGTGCTTAGGTTTATATGGCAGTCTGGGGTTCCTGTTTATTAGTTACTGCCAGTATCTGCTTACCTTAATTAGGGTCTTTAGGTTTTCTTAGTTAAGGATATTTGTTGGTAATATGTCTAAACTGATTACAGTTATAGCATTTAACCTTAGATATATTGCAGGGTCTTCTGTTATTATCGCGTTATATTGCTTTAAGTATTATAGGTCCTGGTTTAGTCCTGTATTATATATTGACATGTCTTTTTCTTCCTTAATTAGCATTCTGTTATTTATTAGTGTTTTACTGAGGATTATATATCCCTCTATATCTTTCTGCTTATCTTTCCCTATATTATTTATACTGCTAGTTATCGATTTCTATAGTAATATTTACAAGCTTGTTTAAGTTCTTAGGTTTAGGCCTGATATTGACTATAGTATCCTTAACTTCTGGCTTTAGTCTTAAGTATACTTATGCTATATGGGCTTCTTCCCCCTAATTAAGCTTGGCTGCTTAATAGCAGTATTCTGCTAGGTAGTCTGCAGTAGATCCTCTCTATCTAAGCTATTATATCTTTATCTCTGCAGTATGTTTTTTGTTTATTACTCTAAAAGCGTTCCTAAGTTCTAATTTAAAGTTTTTATATTTCTTATAGATATATTTTATTATTTCTTATTATTCTTTATATAATTTACTAATATAATCTTGGATAATAGGTTTTATTAGTTATAGTACTTTATCTTTAAGGAATCCTATACTATATTAAACTCTTAGTTTATTAGTAGTAAACTAGATAGGATAGTATATCTAGTAGCTCTAGAGGCTAATAAGGAATCCTTAAAGTTTATTGGCATTACTATTAAATAGTTTAGGCTAGCAGGGTTAAAGGATTTCTCTAAGGTCTTTTCTAGTTATTATAAGGGCTATAGTATATTTAATATACTCCTTATAGAGTTTCTAACTGTTTTCTACTTCCTTTTTAAGTGCCTCTGCGATCTCGGCGAGGTCGGCTACCTTCTTCTCTAGGTTTTTGATTTTATTCTTAGCTATATTAGAACTATTCTTCGCATTCTCTAGGAGGTTATTATATTACTAGCTAAGATATCTAAATCTGCATTTAAGTTTCGCGACTTCCCCTTCATAGGTACTTAGGTAAGCGGGGGTAATATCTTCTTTATTTTTATTATTAGTCTCTATAAGAATATCCTCTAGGTTAGGGGGCATCTCTTACTGCAGGTAGTGCTAGGCATATCTCAGGTTAGAAGGCTAGATTAGAGTAGTAGGTGCCATTGCGTTAGTATTGCTTAGTATTATATAGTATAGTCTAAATAAGAGCTATTAATATATAATAGTTGGATTTTCTAAATAGGTAAACTAGTCTATACTAGGTTTATGTTTATAGATTGTATAAGGCATAATGCTAAGTGTTATAAAGTGTTATATCTCTTAATAATTAAGTAATATATATTAGGCTTATTAATATAAAGATACTTTATTAATAGCTAGTAAGCTAAGTCTATAAAAGTACTAATAAATATAGTTTATATACTAAAGTGTAGTTACTGCCTAGTAGGGCAGTTATTAAGTAATTCTTAGGGTTACTGGTGATTTCTGAGGATTACTGGTATTTCTAGTTGAGGCTTAGTAACCGGGTTTTGGCGGTTACTTATAGAATCCCTTAGTGCGTGGTGACTGTTTGTGATTAGAAAGAAAATATAGGCTATACGTAATGTAACCGCTTAGAATTATAATAACTAGGCCTTAAAAATAAGGCCTAATATAGGGGAGAGATTATATTATAACCTTAATAGTTTTATTATATATACTTTATATTTCCCCTTAATTATTATAGCCTTTATAAAATAAATTAATATTAAGACTTTATAATTATTAATAATTTATTATAATTAATACTAATTTATTATAATTAATACTAATTTATTATAATTAATACTAATTTATTATAATTATTATTAATCTTATAATAACTTTATTAATTATTATTAATATTTACTAATATATAAACTATAACTAGCCTAGTTTATATATTTATATATAATAAAAAAGATATAAAGTACTTATTTTACCTTTATAATTATATTAATAAGTTATTTTTTATATTAAGTTAAATTTAAGTTTATAAAAAAAAAATACTATTTTTATTATTATTAATAACTAGTTATATTTTAAGGCTTTTTTAACTTTTTTAATTTAAATAGCTTTTAATTAAATTAAGCTAAAGATATTATATCTTTTAAGTAATTTAAATTTATATAATTAATTAACTTAATTAAGTTATAATTAAAGATAGCTATTTTAATTAGGCTAGATTTTCCTTTTAATAAGAAGTTCTTTCTAATAACTATAGCTATTATATATAATATATAGCAATCTCTTCCTATAGCTTGCTTTAGGGCCGGTCTAATTGCATTAATGAGATTATAGTTAGTTATGTAATAGCCCTGATCGGGCTGCAGGCTATTGCGAAGTAACAGCAGGCATCGTGATAGTGGCTATGATTGATGTGTTACGATTTGTGCCCGTAACAGCGCTGTAAGGCTTCTATAAGGCAGTTGTAGCACACCTATAATTGCTTGCATAGCGATTATAGCCCGAACTTTTGCCCTGTGGCTTAACGGCTTGTGCAACCGTTACATGATGTTAGCAAGTGTGACCAACAGGTATGAAAAGTCAGGTCAGGTAATGTACTTTGCGATGGATGAATTAGGCGTGGTATTCCTTTAGGTAGGTTAAAGGAAGAAAGTTAATCTAGCTGTTAAGAGGTAATTGGTATTTATATTACTTAATTAAGGCAGTAATTGTATTATTAATGCAGATAAACCTTATTTAATATTAACTTCTATTATAATAGCTTATTATAAAGGTCTTTTTATTTATATTATTAATAAAAAAGCTAAAAAGCTAAGTAGCCTTTTATAAAGTTAAAAGTAAAGGAAAAATAAATTATATTTATTAATATTTTTATAAAACTTAACTTATTAGCTATTAATAAGACTTTTTTATATTAATAAGCTTAAATTATATTACTTAATTATTAAAAGATATAATATTTTATATTACTTAATATTATGCCTTATATTATTTATTAATATAAACTCAAAAAAGACTAATTTATTACTTAGAAACTATAATTATTATATTAATATAAACTTAAAAGAAATTAATTTATCTTTTAGAAATTATAATTATTATATTTAAATTACTTAATTAAGGCAGTAATTATATTATTAAGATATATAAACCTCATTTAATTTTAACTTTTATTATAATAGCTTATTATAAAGGTCTTTTTATTAAAGTTATTAACAAAAAGCTAAAAAGCTATATAGCCTTTTATAAGATTAAAAAGAATAAAAAGAAAAAGAAAAAAGAAAATAAAAGTAATAAATATTTAAATTATATTAAATATTAAAAATACTTAAATATACTATTTAAGGCTAACTTATAAACTTAAAAAAATATTAATAAAAATAAATAATATTTACTTTTTAAGGACTTTTAATTACTAAGAATTATTTTAATATTATTATAATATTATTAGCTAAAAATAATTACTTAAAAATAAGTAATATAATTATAATAATAACCTTATTAAATAATATAACTTTAATACCCTTATATAACCTTAAGTATTATTTTTATAAGTACTTAGCTTTCTTATTTTAAAAACATTTATAATATATATCTTTATTATTATTTATTATTTTTAATATATAATTAAAAAAATATAATAACTTTTTTACTACTTATATAAAGTACTTAATAAAGCCTTAAATAATTATAGTAATACCTTTATTTTAATATTACTCTATTTAGTCTTAGTCTTGCTTCCAGGGAGTAACTATTACTCATACTACATAAAACCCCATGAGCTTGCATAGCTATCAATCCCCTCAGTAAACATTTCTCTGGGTTCCTCCAAGAACATCGGGATGTACTCCTGTACCCACTCGGACTCCCAGTGATTGGTGTACTCGGCCTTGTAAAACTCCCAGTAATCTGGATACCAGCCTGACTGGTGCCAGTCTATCACAGCCACAACACGACAAGGTGATCCTTCCGAGACCATGATATTACTCCGGTGGAGGTCAGCATGAGTAAACACAACGTCGGGTTTGTCTTGTAGCAATTGACGATATGGATCGGGTACGTCCTCGACTTTATGTTCTTCAGAGTGGGGACCATTTGCAGCCAGCCGTTCAAATAAGAAAGAAAACCAGTCATGGAATTCTTTCACAGATGAAAACGGTCCAGCTCTTGGCCGGATGCCGTCAGCAAATACAACATCTTGTAGTGGTCCGCGGTTGATTTGTCCTGTTAACTGATCAGCATCATCAAGGTTATGGCAGTTATACTCTTACGTACCGAGAAACTCGTCGTCTGGATCACGCTTTACTTGACGTAGCTCAACGGCTATGTCTCGCAATTGTTCGCAAACCCCAACTTTGTCCTCTCTACCCAAAGAATCCCATCTTTTCTCCAAGGTCACACCCTCGGCCAACTGCATGTACAAGAAGACTTCTGCTTCATCTTCTATCCAACCATATATCTCAGGCACAGGGACTCTTGGAAGATGTCGATGCAACCACCAAAGGCACTGGCCTTCCGCAATAGTGACTCGAGGTTCTTTGCCGAATTTGACGACTAGGTCAAGTGACTCAAAGATAACAGTATTCTTTCTATCAAGGACATGATCACCCGCTTCACTCTTGGCTCGAACTTGATCAGCAGATGGGAAAGTTGCTTCAGGCCCATTTCGCGTGAAGAACGTAGAGTCTTGGAAAATCAGTCTAGAGCCCTTAGGGAGAGAATCAACGATGATCATAGGTGGTGGGTCTTGCATCTTGAAAGGGCTGCATTCAATGATTAAGGGGGTTGCATGTTGGTTAGGCACCAAGGCTAGGATTATGTTGTTGGTTCAACCTTTCCGCGGATGAAAGCCGGGCCGCTGCATATCCCTTGCAAAGCGAAATGTAGCTATCCTGCAACGAATATGTTGCGATAGAACATAATTGAGGGTATCAAGATTGATGGCCACAGCCAGTCCCAGCCTTTGTGAGATACTGCCCTGCAAGACTCTGCAACATAGTTGAAGAATGATGACCGGAGTATAACACAAAGAAGAACGGTCAAGGACTTATACCTAGTTACGATCATTGTGAGGAACTCCGAGGTGTCAGTTGGTCATGGATGGAAGTCGAAAGCTTCCGAGCTACAGTCCTGCACAAAAAGCTCGAACAGTCTCAATCACTGCGATTTCCCGCAGATTCGGACATATTCTTCTCTTTATGATCACCTAAATTTGTTCAATGCACCGTTTAGAGAGATCACTTGTATGAAATGCATCAATATGGTGGCTTGAATTCGGGATACGGTTACTATCCATGCGTTCAGGACCAAAGAATAAGATGAATCCTGCCCGAATAAATCCTGAAGGAACTGAATCCAGAGGAGAAAAGATACAATTGGCCAATGGGCTCAACTTGATATCTCCGTGGAGGTATCTCCGACCGTTCCGATGTGTGATGCCGGTTGGCGGATTTTAAGACAAGCTTTCTCTTAAGTCCGTTGACAGCAACATGAATAGACTGGACAACGTTTCTGCTACATATGTCACTGTATCTCTCTAGGTTTTTCTATCCGCTATCCAGTTTGCCACCGAAAGTTATTCATCCTATGAAAAATGTCCAAATATAAGCAGCTGGTCCTTATTACCGGTGAGTTGATTAACATGCATATACGCAGACTCTTTATTGAGATACCCAACTAGGCGCCAATCAAGGCGTCGGCTACGAAACCGCCAAGAACCTAGTTCTGTCTTCCGTCAAATACCATGTCATCATTGGCAGTCGAGATGAAGCCAAGGGGAAGATAGCAGCCCGTTCCCTCCAGTCACTGGACGACATCAAAGGAACGGTCTCAAGCATCCAAATTGATGTTTCGGATGACAACTCCGTCGATGCCGCTGCCCAAACTCTAGCTTCTGAATGGGGCAGATTAGATATCCTCGTCAATAACGCAGGTATCATCTCAATGGCCAGCCCTCCAACACGCGAAGCTTTTCGCAAAGTTCTCGAGACAAACCTCGTCGGTGCACTCAGCGTCACCGAGGCTTTTCTCCCCCTTCTGCGCAAGTCAGAGCATAACCCTCCTCGTCTCATCTTTGTCACATCAAGCACCGGATCCATCACTCATGCATCCAATCCTGAATCTCCACTTCATAGCGCCGGTGCGGCAGAGTACCGGACTAGCAAAGCTGGACTGAACATGCTTATGGTTATGTATAATATTCGACTCAAACCAGAGGGATTATTGGTGTTTGGGGCGGATCCGGGGTTGTGTGCGACGAACTTTACCGGTGATGCCGAGTCTCTTAAACATCGAGGAGCAGCCGAGCCGGCGGAGGGAGGGGAACGAATTGCGCGTGTTGTTAAGGGTAAGATGGATGAAGATGTTGGAAAGGTCATTGGAGTTCAAGGTGTAAACCCGTGGTAATAGCATCGTTTTTTTCACGGGGGACAAGCAACCAGGGGTATGTAGGAAGTTGGTAGAAAGCTGTTTCTTAGTTCTCATACGGTACTGTCCTTTGAAGGCGGTGAAGTCAGTGCTTGGGCCATCGGCTGATCTATTATTTCCACATCACAAGCAGTAACCAGATTATCCCAGTAACTAGAGACTCCCATGGCACAGACATAGCCAAAATTAACTAACGTTAGCTGTCAGACTGGTCCCACTAATGCTGACTCAATCCGCCATGGAGAACCCCGAACCTGGTTCTCTCCACAGGTATAAAGCACGAACCTTGCGCTTCTTATTGTTAAATTGCTCAACAGTCCTGTGTAAGCCTAGGATATATATTTCTAACATCATGGCGTTGACCTGGTTCATCACTGGCTGCTCCAGTGGTTTTGGCGAATCCCTCGTCCGTCAACTTCGATCCGCAGGCGATAACGTCATAGCCACTGGCCGCAATGCCGATACAAAGCTATCTCATCTCAAAGACACAGGCGCAACCATTTTGGATCTAGATGTTTCGTCTTCTCCTATAGTTATCAAGACCAAAATCGAGGAGGCTTGGAGTATCTACGACGGAATTGATGTTGTCGTCAACAACGCGGGGTATATCCTCAGTGGGGCAGTCGAAGAGCTGACGTGAGTAGCATACGTTGTGTTTTATAATGAATGTAACTGATGAGGAAATAGTCAGGAGGATATGGAAAAGTCATTCCAGGTCAACTTCCATGGACCTATGAACATCACCCGCGCGGTCCTGCCGTGCTTGAGGAAGAAGGGATCGGGAACTTTGCTTTTCGTCGGTTCTCAAGCTGGCTGGCACGCCGATCCCAGTGCATCTGGATACTGCGCCAGTAAATTCGCTCTGGAGGGTAAGTCAAGTCAAACTTTCCGTCCTTTACGCCTTCACTCGCTGACTTCCTCAGGCGCCGTTGAGTGTCTGTCCAAAGAACTCGCCATCTTCGCTCCAGGTCTGAGAGTTCTCATCGTAGAGCCAGGCTACTGCCGCACTCCTGTTTTCAACAAGATTCAACACGTTGAGGCTCGTGTTCCTGAGTATGCTCAGTTCAACGAAGCAGTGAGGCAGGCTGAGGCGACCTTGACGGATAATTCGCCGGGAGATCCTGAGAAGGCTGTTGCGAGGATGATCAACTTGGTTAAGGGAACGGGCTTTGCAGAGGGGAAGAAGGTGCCTTTGAGAGTACCTTTGGGTTCGGATAGTTGGTGGAGAGTGAAGGCAAAGTGCGAAGAGACCTTGGAGATTTGTCGGGAATGGGAGAATATGGCGAAGAGCGTAGATATATCTACGGGCTAGCTCGACATGAGCTAAATAATAGATTTAAAATCGCAGGGCAGCAGATAACCAGCAGCTTGGCTTTATGAACTTTTGAGTAAATAGATCCAGATAGTCCGGGATAGCAAAAGACAACTAACAAACAGTAGATATATAATTCATTCGATTTGGCAAAAATACAAGATTAGGGTCTGGCCGGGGATTGAACCCGGGACCTCTCGCAAGCTAAGCTATAGGGTTTTCCCTAAGCGAGAATCATACCACTAGACCACCAGACCGATCAAGTTCGATAAAAACAAGTTTCAAAATTTGGTCTATAATTGTAATTTGCTTAGCTTCAGTCAATTGTATCAACGATGGTTGCGATTCAATGAGCGACGAAGCTCGAATCTGCTCTTTAAATGGAGCTCCAATCATGCTCAGGTATGCATTTTTGCTTTATCATCCACAGTCCATTTTCTCCCGCCTGAATGAGCTTGTCGCGCCTTCCCGTTACTGAAACTTCCCAATGCCCATGATTGCTCAGCGCGATGCCTCATTCCTGCGCATACCAATGTCGCAAATGTCTTGACTCAATTACACCGAATTTAGTTAAGTCGCTAGACCGTTCGCGGAACCTAATGTCTCCTTGAAAGTGCCAGTAAGTATCTCAATTAGACTGGAAGGTTCATCAACAGCCAGGTCGGTGTAATTTCATTGGGTCCAGCGTTCAAACACCAAACTCTGTTCAGTGAAACATCACCATTTCAGGCGTTGCCCTACGGGGCATCATCCCCGGCGTTGATCAATTCTTGTGCAATTGATTGGCCGCCTTCAGTGGATGCCCTGTAAATCTCGCTACGGGGAGCCTAGCCTAATCGAGGTTAACCCACTGAATGATTGGGCTTCTGCCTGGCTAGTCCCCTATCGCTATTCCCATTTTGTTCCCTCTCCTTTCCCAATTTCCCATCGTGGTTTTCCCTTCTTCAACATCTCTTCGTTCATTCATTCGCTCATTTTCAGCCACAAAATACTTTACTTCTTACACTCGCTATTACTATTCAAGATGTCTTCTGCTCTCGTCACCTCTCTCCCAATCTTCGCCGGTGCAGGCGCCCCAACCCTCGTCGCCGATGTCATCGGCGCAGACGCGGATCATACAACATACGTTCTGAACTGCCCCTACGTTGACCCCGAAAGCGAAGAGTTCCAGACCATGGACGACTGCGGTGTCTACAATAACACCTACATCGTCGGACCATGGATGAGCAAGACTCTCCCCCCTGGTGCCGCCAGCACAGGCGACTTTGATCTCTTCATCACCATGCCGGGCGACAAAGAAGATGACTGGAGATTCTCCGTGCACTGCGAAATGTCGCGTACCGTCGCGCAGAAGTGCACTACCATCAACGTCGGCGGCAACGACGATGGCCACCCTACCGCGACTCTCACAAACTCGGAAGAGCTTGACGCTTATGGGTTCAGAACTTTCGAGTACGGTCCTGTTTCTATCACGGCTGGCCAGGAACTACTCAACGCTAAACACGCGAGCGCCACTACAACGGCTAGCGACGCCACCAAGACTAAGGCCTCGGAAAGCGATGCCAGTGGATCTGAGACATCTGGTGAAGCCACACCCGTTAACACATCTGGTGCCACGTCTTCTTTCGCGCGTATGTTTGGTGTGCTGTCTCTTGCTGGTGTTGCTGCTGCCCTCGCCATGTGAGATTGCGGCTCGGAAGAACTCTACGTCTTTGCACAATTCTTGTATAATTATCAGTAACGAGGGGTTGGGGTTGGGGACAGTAGGTCTCGTAATGCAAAGGATTAGGTTTGATGTTTATACTTTAGACAGTCGATACAATTGAATTAAGCTCCTGTCTGAGACATGACTGGAGGAAAATGGTGGACCCCGCCTGTTTAAGTTTAAATCTGCCCAAAACTTTCTCCCCGCCAACTACATCCAAATGAACCACAGCACGAACCAGAGTTCAGACCAAGTCTCTTCACGTCACAAGCCAATTTGAAAGTTACATCAGAGTGTGCAAGCAAAAAGACATCACGAACATAAACTTCATAGAAAGACTTAGATGTAGCGACACTCTATTGACAAGTTACCGTGTGAGTCATGCTGAGCAGCTGGCGGGCGGCGAAGTCTGGGTCGAGGCTAAATCATGGCAAGGGGCCAGGAAACCTGAGAAGAGAATAGAATCGAGAATACTGGATGTAAAAGGAACTTTGTAGTACATGGTCCTGCCTTTGTATTGGTGTTAATGAATGCAATGTTGATGTGATTGAACAGGGCAGCACTCTCCTTTAGCCCTCTTTTGGGGACTCACAGGTGCTCAAAGATATCTTGCACGGCCTCTTATCGCCACAAGAACTAACTTACGGTTTAGCACTTCCTGACACTGGATAGCCTGTGATGACAGGGCAAAGCAGGGTGAGGAAGTCAAACATCGTGAGTGAGCATACGAGAGAACCTACATCATCGGGGCAATCTGCAGGATGGCTATGTAAATACAGTGTAGTGATTTCCTTGGCTCTCCACAGGAACTAATGTGTGCATAGCTAGAGAATTGGTGATCTGGAAGAAACCCTCACTGGCATAAATACAGGATAGATCTAAATTCTGAAGAATTACTGCCTAGACATTCTTTATCGTCCGGGGACCAACCCATCACTTATTTCCAAGAAGATAAGCCTCCAGGATTCTGGACCAGGGGACTTATACTTGGCAATCAAGCGAGACCTGGCCAACCTGAGCCTTCGACAGTCCCTCGTCACTCTAGCTCGAGGGATATTTCTAAAATTCCGATATTATGCGCCGTGTAAACACAGAGCAGCTTGTAACGAACGCAGGGCTCGACTACACCAAAGCTTCGCAACAAGTGAAGAGCCACAATCCAAAGTTACCACAAACTCATGCTCGAAGGGACCAGAGTTAGCTAAACATATGATATCCAATGTTATGGAGGCGGGGCGACTGCCTGAGGCCACTGACACAGATGACATTTTTGATATAAGCTTTTCACGGACTCTAGAGCTGGTCCAAACTTACACCAACCAGTAATAATGCAGAATTATAGTTACGTTCCCTCCAATCTGACAATATCGTCCTGGACTAGTGTTTCCCACCCACGGTGAGCGACAAAGGCCACAGATGCATTGAACGTGGCTATTAGTTGTTCCAATTGAAGATGAAGATATTATTTATGGAATTGAAATGATTCCCTACAAAGAGAAGATTATCTAGCTAGCAAACCTATCAAAGAAGGGGAGAGAAGGGGACAATCAGGGGAAGCGGATGTAGGGAAGAGTTCAAGCACAACTCACTTCCAAGTGTTGTGAGGTTACTATGTATTATCTTTGCCTCTTCAACTTTTCTCATCAATATGGTTTGCACTTTTGCCTCTATTTTGAGAGAATAGTACATTGTACATCCCCTCATGACGAATAAAAGCAGGTCATTCGAGTGGACACTCTGTGATCCCGAGGAACAACCTTGGACCAGAGTCAAAGTTCGGACGAAAGGCCGTGTGAATACACAATTTGATGTAATTCTGACCAGAACAATCGTACCCCAACCTTGGGATGTCCTCCATAACCTCACAGTGAAGCTCTGGTATTGGTCGGAGTGAAGTGACAACTTGACAAGCTTTCATATTATACTCTTCAGAATCTCATTGCTTGAGCTTCCTGCTACTCTTCGCCGCTATAAAGTCCCAGATTTATTTCCTTATCTTCTTTCCTTCATTCTTTACACTTAAACACATTCAATATACAAGTCCAACTCTCGACAACTCACACTTACCAACGGTACTAAATACAAACAGGCCATACTCCTTTCTCTCATTTACATTCTTGTAACTAACATAGTCATAGACACGATGAGAACTAACGAGCAAGGCGAAAAGGTTGCTTGTTTCAAGTGCCGTGAAGGGCACCGAACAACTAAATGTGTTGACGGCCCTGGCCACCAAGGTAAGCAAACACTCTATCTTAAACTCATACTTTTATAACGAATCATGGGTAACTAACTTTACAGATGATGTGCAGGTCATTAGCCCGCCTGGTCGTCCAGTAGGCGCCAGGACCAACCCAGTCGTGGCCGCTGCGCGACGGGAAAAGAAGAGGAAACGCTTAGAGCAAATCAAGGCGGAGGAAGAGGCGGAGGCCTTTCAACGAGGGGCTCAAGCTTTCTTTTATCAGCGACCCACTTCTGCTCCCGAGCAGCGTAACTTCGTTGCTGGTTACCAGCAGTTTCCTGTACCTGGCCCCCAGAACTTTGGGGGCCTTGCTAACCTTCATGCTGCTGCCCCTTCTTTTCCTCGGCGTTCTACGTTCCCTCCTGATCCCCTTCCTGCTCATCAACCTGATGCCATTCAGCATTTCTTGAGGCAGACATATTATGGTGGCATGGCTCACAATCCTGTCCCTCCTGTCCCCGCTGTCTCTGTCCCTGTTTCCCCTCTCCCTGCTCTTGACCATGCTGTCTCTTTTGATCCCTACATCATGGACAATTCCATGGACACAGGGTTTCAAGTTCCCATGCCTGTCCCAGGTTTCCCTCTTGCTGCCCCTGCCCCTGCTCCCTCCCTTGCCTCCGGTGTCTTTGGTAATTCCTTCGACACAAGTTTTCAACATCCCATGCCTGCTCCCGGTTACCCTTTGCTCCGTCCTCTCCTTCCTGTCTCTTCTGTCCCGGCTTCTCAAACTATCTTGGCCAACCAGGTCAATGCTATGGCACAGAACCCTTTGGCCGTCGACCCTGCTACAGTATCTCCTCAAGCTGGCATGGTGGTTCCGGCTAATCCAATGGACGACTGGATGAACGAAACCATCCGGGAAGATCGCATGGGGGCTGGTCAAGCTGTCCCTCCTGTGTCCTTTCCCCCACCCCCAAGGCTCTTCCCCATCAACGAGAGCCGTTGGGACGAAATCATCCCTGAGCAAATTGCTCAGCCTATCCCGGCGGCTAACCATGGCGTCCAATCTTCCGGTTCCTCGTTTTCTTCTGGGTCGTGGGTTTTTGTTGATCACTCGTCTTCTTCTGGTCAGTCGTCTTTGGAGGTCTCCCCAACCATGGGTCCTGCCGCACTTGGTGCTCAGGCTAACGAGGGCGCATGGTCAATGGCTTTTCATCCCTTACCCTGGGACCTTCACAGCTTTCCGACTGAAGACCCCAATGAGGATATATATGGCTCTGACTAATGAAGTATGGTGTCTTTGTTGAAAAGCTGGTTGATTATTTCCTTCCTCCTATGACTTTACTTGATGCCTGGGAGAGACAGTAACTTATGTAACGTGGCTGGCGGGCATGTTAGGACCGTTGTCAACACCAGAGGAACAGCCGGGTACAGGAGTACGATGCGAAGGTGAAGTCGGCCTGCTCATCTCGAGGCCAGATCTGGCGCAAAGGTCTGGGTAGTTAGGGAAGGGACCAAGTATCGACATATTGGAGATCAAACGGGAAGGTCTAGGACTGCACGAAAAAGTCCACGGCGTAATTTACTGGTACTACTTTCGGTCAGTATGAAGCTTGGCTGAGAGATATGGGGGGGCCCTTGTCTGGTACTGTTGGTATTGGTTTGGAAAGCACGCAAGTCAGAGTCGCAAGTGGCTATCGTGAATGGGGTTTACGCAGGAGGCCAGAGGGGAAGCAGAAAACAAGTGGATGAAAAACACACGGCGACATCACACTTCACGCTGAGACTGTTACTCTACGACTAACCTTATTATATATGGGAAACTGTCGATTTTATGTGGGGATACAGAGGAAGAGGATGCATTATATTTGTTTTTTGTTTGCATGGCGTTGTGGACGGTACGATACCCCAGGGGAAATTCAAGATCTCATCGAGTCGTTACTCTGACATGGGAAAGTGGAGTTTGGGAAGCATGATAGAGAACAGAACTTGAATTTCGGTAGAGTTATCACTTGCTTGACTGTTACTGGTTACTACTCTTTCACTGTTGTATAACAAAGTTGCTCTCGTGCTCTTTTAACGACACCGATTCCGAGTTAAACTTAAATGCCCAGCCTCTTATTCGCCCACGTCTGTGTGAACGTCTCTGCCTGAACTCTCAACGAACAGGCATCCATTAATTTGCCCCGACCCAAGTGACACACGCGACAGCCGCTATTGCAGCTAAAGCGCCCAAGACCAACATTTGCAATCCTTCGATAATCCACGAACGCACTGATGCATCTCCAGCTTGCAGAATGTAGCTTTTTCCTGCTCCAAATGCAAATAACACCAAAAGACAGAGACATGAACTCCATTGGAGACCGAGACCAACTGTGCTGGTGAAGATATAGGGAAGTAGGGGAATGATGCCGCCGATTGTGTAGCCTAACGATATGGAGAGGCCAGATATGATGGGTGATTGAGGAGTTGGTTGTGAGGGTGATAGGTCGTCTTTTAGCGAGTTCAAGCGTGATACCACGCGTTGGAGATCCGACGGTACTTGTTGAATTGTGTTGAGGATCGTCGTGATTGTTGAACTTGGGAGATCCAAAGGTTCGAGATGTTGACGCACCAGCTCCTCTGCTTGCATCTGCATCTTCTCGGATTGCTCAACCATAAAGTCGCTTTCGCTATTCCTCTCACAACTGTCCCTTGATTCCTCCAAATCTTTTACGCTAAATTGGCATGGCCCGCATTCGTCTCGTGCCGCGAGATATCCTCCTATTCCCATGCTGATGCTGCCCGCGCATAGCTCTGCTAATCCGCCTGTGATGACGGTGTCCGTCTTTCCAAGGGAACTGAGCCCTGCTGTGAGGGCAAATGGCACTGTTAGGCCATCTGAGAAACCGAGCGTAAAGTCGGAGAGGAAGCGCTTGAATGCTGGACTTTGTGATGACTTCATTTTGGCCGTCGCAAGTGATAACTTCGAATCTCGAATATTGAGAGAAGCAAGTTCAACAACCACCGCCAAAACCAGAACATTTCTCCCCGTCTTCATCCTCCCACGTGCCTTCCCAATTCATCCCATGATGCATTTCATCGGTGACAAGACAGGATAGCCCACGGCATGATATTGCCGACCGCAGCACAAAACAGTCCCGCAAGCGAAGTGATCGACATCGCACATGGTAAAACGCCGCGATCTTACAGGTCAGGCACGCGCTAACGACCGCTGACAAAAGTGCGCTATTTGATTCGTCTGCCCCTGGGAAATGGTGTCCTAGTGCAAAAGATCCCTGGAAAAAAGGCTAATGGATGGATCGTTCGGCCCGTTGACTTGGCGATCTAACATGTGCTTGGCAAATAATACCACGAATTTACTGAAACATTATTGCAATATTATTGTTGAAGAGTTTAGAGGTTTGAAATTTAGTGCAATTGGTTATTTGTTCTGTCTAGACTGATATCGTAGAGTTGATGCTATTTACATTGTCTCCATCACACTCAGTATCTATACAACAATCTAGGTAGACTTGGCAGGCTCATAACCCTTAGGAGGGTTCAAACCATCGTTAACCTCAATAGTGTCCTTGTAGTAAGTAGGATTCTGGCTCTTCTTCCACTCCTTACGAATAGGCTCGAAAACCTTTCGTCCAGAGAAACTATGCTCAAGATCCAAGTTGGGCGCAACGTACTCCTTGTTTCCACCGTTAGTGTTGAAAGGACCAGCATAAGAAGCGTTCCAAAAGTAGTTATCAAGCTTGTGAGACTTCCACTTTCGGATCTTATCGCCTGTCTTCTGAGCAACGAGCTTGAAGACGTTGGCGCCGACATCCCAGCGACCAAGGGTATCGAGACCCCAGTTTGCTGAAACGGTGGCGATCTCGGAGTAGTGGTTGTAGAAGCTGTTGTCGTTTGTTCCAACGAGATGCTTGGGAACTGCGTCGCCGAGAAGAATGCCGAGAATGTGGTTTTGACGAGCATAGGTCTCGTTCTCATCCCATGTAACGAGAACAAGAGTGTTTTGCATGAAGTGCTTATCCTTGAGAAGAGGCTCAAGGAAAGTACGAGCCCACTGGCCAGCAACAGTGACAGAAGTATCATGTCCATCAGAAGTCATGTTAGGAGTGATAAACATCCACTGAGGAAGCTTATTCTCCTTAAGATCTTTATGAAAGACAGACTTCTCAGTATCAACGAGCGAAAGGTTCTTAATCTGAGAAAGGCGCTGCTCAGAGGTCGCAATACTGTCATGGAGAACAGCAGGGTTATGCTTGCGAACGTAGTCATTCTTTCCGTTCTGGTGGTTCACCCAGGAGAAGCCCTCGAAGCCAGAGTAGGGCATGTCTTCTTGGTACAGACCCCAGGAGATACCGCGATGCTCGAGGAGATCAATCACAGTTGAGACGTTGCGCGGGTTGCGGTTGAAGTCGTCGTTCTGCATGCCGAAGTAATCTCCTGCGATGGCGGCCATGTAGTTTGGCTCAGAGGGATGGGTCACTCCAAAGTAGTTCTCGAGAGTGATACCCTTCTTGCGGAGCCAGGTAAAGTTGGCTACTCTAGTCAGTTCTTGTCCTTTGATCAATTGTGTAAGGGGAAACTTACGGTCACCGAAAGCCTTCTCGTAGTTCTCATTCTCAAAGTAAATGATAGCAATACGATCAAATGCCTTGCCCTTCACCTTGGAAGTAGGGCTGCTGGTCTTTGCTGTAGCGGCCGCAGCAGCGACTTCAGCGGTGCCAGTAGCAGTGTAGCTGGTCTCCCAGCCAGTCTCATGCTTGTGCTGCTTATGCTCCTTGGGAGGCCCATAAGAGTGGCCGAGGGCCAGACCAGCGACGGCCAAGAGGGTAGCAGTTTGGAAGAGCATAACGATTGAATACAAACACAAACTTGAACTTGAACTTGAACTTGAGCTAAAGATCGTCGCTCAATTGGCAGCAGACTTATTGGGTTTCATATAGGAATGTAGATCAAACTGCACGAACATGCATCGGATATCGTGCCGTGTGTTTCTCCACCGTCGGTCAACGCAACGTTGTTGGTGTAAATCATATTGAACTTTTGTAATAACCCTCAGTACAATGTAACGCCAATGGACTGCATAGGCAGGGCACGTGTGAGTGTTTCTGGGGGATCAGAAGGGTTCTGCTCGCGTGCCGACTCTTCCGGTTCCTCGGGTTTAACGTCACGCTAACATGATCCCTGTTTAGGTGGGGTGGAGATGATGCATGAGGGTTCATCTTGGGAGCTGCAAGTTTGTTTTGTCTTTTGAACGAACGACATGACAACGTGGGTTTTTAAGGGTGAAAATGGCAGACGAGATAAAGTCGCCTTGGATGAAAGAGGAGGATCTTGAGGGGGAAGGGACATGGTTCCTTGGTGATGAAGCAGCTTTGAAGTCAGAGCAGACGGCGCAGAAAGCTTCATGGAAGACCAAAACACCAAAAGGCAAGGGTTTGACGATATTCATCGCTATCGCTGGCCTCATTTCAGTCTTTCTACTGGCTGCAGTCACTCTCAACCTTCAAGTCCCATCGTCAACCCACAAAGAAAGCCGTCCCAAGCCTCCTCAACCGAGCAAACCAGCTCCAACGCCAGTGACAATCAAACACCAAGAAGCCATCCCATCAACACCTCAACTCCGCGACACAAAAGAATACATCCTCTCACAATCATGGAACTTGGACTCCCCTCCAACAACAAGAGAATATTTCTGGACCATCAATGACGCTGTCCTCAATCCCGACGGAGTCCACAGACCCATGATTCTCATCAACAAGCAATATCCCGGACCTCTCGTTGAATGCAACGAAGGCGATACCATTGTTGTCCACGTCGAAAACAAAGCTGTCAATGCGACCACGATTCATTTCCACGGCATGTTTCAGAATGGCACGAATAATATGGATGGAACTGTTGGCATTACTCAATGCGCCATCGCGCCAAACTCAAACTTTAGTTATAAATTTGATGTCAAGGGCCAGCATGGAACGTATTGGTATCATGCGCATCATAGCGCCCAGGCGTCAGATGGATTGCTTGGACCTATGGTGGTTCATTCGAAGAAGGAAGAGGACCTGCAGAAGATGGATTACGCGACTGATAGAGTTGTTATGGTTCAAGATCATTACCATAACTTGACTGCGGAGCTTTTAATGGAGTATCTTGCGCCAGATCAAGAAAACAACGAACCTGTACCAGATAATGGGCTTATCAATGGGCGGAATGTTCGCGATTGTGCAGACTTTAAGGGCTGGGTTTGCAATACCACGGATCTTGCAATACCAACGATTGATCTGGAAGCAGGTCAACGCCACAGACTTCGCATCATCAACGTTGGTGCCTTTGCAGAATTTCAGATCCAATTCGACGAGCATCCATTCTACGTCACCGAAGTCGATGGCATCGACGTTCATCCTGAGCCAATCCATCGAGTGAACGTCCTTCCAGCACAGCGATACAGCGTTGTGCTTGAGACAAATGTCACTACAGCTTCTACATTCTGGATGAGGGCTAGAATGGTGACACACTGTTTCAAGAATAAAAACGAACGTCTTCAGTCTGAAACGAGAGCCATCATTCGATACACCAGCAAGGAAGAGAAGACATCTTCTCAAGAACCAACGAGCAAGGAATGGCCTGATGCAATCGAAGTCATCTGTCGCGACTTGAACACCACCGCTCTTCGACCCGTTGAAGTCATATCTCCGCCTCCAGCAGACGAGGTAATTGTTCTTCGTGCAAACTTTGAGATAGGAGATTGGCGTCTAGCAAGAGGATTCTTTAATGAGTCAACTTGGCATGCTAACGCTACGCATCCGTCTCTGCATCGGTTCCTCGACAGTGGAGTACAAATTACATCTGTCAAGAACCCCATCGCAATCAATGAGAAGGCCTTTGAACGTCAGAAGGAGTTTGTCCTAGAGACAAATGGTATTCGAACGATAGACATCTCCATCAACAACTTCGACGACGGCGCTCATCCCTTTCATCTTCACGGCCATAAATTCTTCGTTCTCCTCCAAGGTCGTGATGGCTATCCGCCCAGCGCAGCTGATCTCCCAGAATACCTAAAATCGCATGGTCTTCTAGAAAACCCGTTGAGGAGAGATACACTTACAGTCGAGGGATATGCTTGGGCTGTTATTCGTGTTGTACTAGATAATCCGGGTTTATGGGCATTTCACTGCCATAATACGTGGCATGCTGAATCGGGTATGCTGATGCAGATGTTGGTTAGGCCAGAGGTTATGAAGGATTGGAAGGTTGGTGATGAGGAGAGGGGGTTGTGTAGTAGGGAGGGTGTTATGAAGGGGATGAGGCCGGATGATAGTATTTGGTTTGGACAGTTCCGTCAATAGTGCGAGATCTCTGTATGATATGGCGTTTCTAGTATTTATATATGTTTAATTACATAAAGTTTCTTCTAGCCAGTGAACACCATGTCTGATAAAGTTTCCAAGCTACTTATAACACTTTGCGTGATGATAATGGTGAAAAAGACTTCATATCAAACGAGATATCCAACGATAGCCCTGCTCTGAGGCGTAAGTCCTGTTTTTATGTGATGATGGTTCAAGCGAACTGTCACTGTCACTGGACATCACAATGTCTCCGTCAACGACCCTAGTTCTTGCATCTTTTGTTCTTTTATCATGTTTCTGTCTCTATTCCTTTCAGTAGTACTATTAAGCAAGTATTCTTTCTCTCGTATTTCTGGTGGAAGGGTTGAAATCTCAAGATCATCAGCACCAAGATGTCAGCCGGAACGTCCAAGTAAACGGCTCCGCAGTCACAGATCATTCCATGATGAAAGGTTAATCCTTGAATGCAGATATCCCTGGTGTATTAGAATTGAATTTACCCTGGTCTCAGTATGCCTGATGTTGAGATGAGGACAGTTGTCAAGTTGAACGGGACTCTCCTTGCAAGAGCCTCGCTGCAGCTATTCAAGATGCAACTTCCGAGAACTTAGAGCAATTTTCTTTTGAAGCGGTAACATTTCTTGCCTTAGCCTTATTCGAAATCTCCCAATACAATTATTCCTTCAATGACGGATCCGTGGGCCTTGTCTCCGAAAACCCAAGCATCGCTCCAATTCTCAAAACAGCCTCGGAGGATCAACTTCCGATCCCCACACAATGCCATGATTCGACCCCATAAACACGGTTCATGTCTCCTGGTAAATACCACATAGGTGCACTTTTAAAATTGATCATGTGCTCGGCTTCTCTATAGCGCGGAGTGAGGTCTTCCGTGGTCAGTTACGGGTTGATTGAGAGTGATGATCCCGGATGGAGAAAGCTTCCGTATACTCAAGGTGATTGTTCAATGGATTATTCAGGGCTTGGCGGAACAAAGCTCCGGAGAATGCCTACGGATCGCGGGCCGGTAGTTGCCTTTTCTCGGATGGATTGACAGTTTGTTCATCTTAGTGACCCTAGTTGTGGTTCGACGGATGTCAAGCAACGCGTTCCGACATCGTCGAATGATATGCTCCCGATCTGGCAAGATTCCAATTCCATACCCATAGTAAATCAAATATAAAAGATTCAACAATCCCTCAACTCATCAAACTCCTCAGTTGACAAGTGCATTCAGATCAACCAACATCATGAAGTCCCTCTTTGCTCTCAGCCTCTTCACCGGCCTTTCAGTCGCCCAAAGCGGCGCCTGGGCCCAATGCGGTGGAAACGGCTGGTCTGGCTCAAAGACCTGCGTCTCTGGCTACAAATGCACCGTCGTCAATGAGTGGTACAGTCAGTGTATCCCCGGCACTGCTGAGGAGCCTACCACTACCCTCAAGACCACTACTGGTGGTGGTAGCACGCCTACTGGTACACCTGGGAATGGAAAGTTTCTCTGGGTTGGTACTAATGAGGCTGGTGGTGAGTTTGGTGAGGGTAGTTTGCCTGGAACTTGGGGAAAGCACTTCATCTTCCCTGACCCGGCCGCCGTTGATGTAAGTTGAACACTTTGAGAGTGAGAACAAAGCTGACTTGCTTTAGACCCTCATCTCTCAGGGCTACAACGCCTTCCGCGTTCAGCTCCGCATGGAGCGTGCAAACCCTAGCTCCATGACCGGTCCTTTTGACACCGCTTACATGAAGAACCTCACCACTATCGTGGACCACATCACCGGCAAGGGCGCCAACGTCATTCTTGACCCTCACAACTACGGCCGTTACTTTGACAAGATCATCACTTCGACCTCTGACTTCCAGACCTGGTGGAAGAACTTTGCTACTCAGTTCAAGAGCAACAGCAAGATTATCTTTGATACTAACAATGAGTACAACACTATGGATCAGACTCTTGTTTTGAACTTGAACCAGGCTGCTATCAACGGTATTCGCGCTGCTGGAGCTACTCAGACTATCTTCGTCGAGGGTAACCAATGGTCCGGTGCTTGGTCTTGGCCTGATGTCAACGACAACATGAAGGTCTGTACTCCTCCCTCTTTCTCCAGTGACTCCCATAACTAACATCACCAGGCTCTTACCGACCCTCTTGACAAGATCGTCTACGAAATGCACCAGTACCTCGACTCCGACAGCTCTGGCACTTCACCTAACTGCGTCTCCACCACCATTGGCGTCGAGCGCGTCAAGGCTGCTACCGAGTGGTTGAGGAAGAACAAGAAGATCGGCATGATCGGTGAATTCGCCGGTGGCCCCAACGAGACCTGCAAGACTGCTGTCAAGAACATGCTGGACTATCTTAAGGAGAACTCTGATGTTTGGAAGGGAGTTACCTGGTGGGCTGCTGGTCCTTGGTGGGCTGACTACATGTACAGCTTTGAGCCCCCTAGTGGTACTGCTTACCAGTACTACAACTCTCTTCTCAAGACTTATATCTAGAGAGAGAAATTGGGTAAGGGTTGAAGAGGGAGGCAACAGTGTTTAGGTGCTCTTCAGTTGGACTGGGCAGATAACAAGAGTTTTGGGAATAGTCAAAAGGTACCAATTTGGATTCCCATTTATGGATGTTCCTGGTAACCTTCACGCAATCGATGATATGTCAAATCTTTATCCCTCCGGTGCCTGATGTAAAACAACCTTCCTGTGCAATCAAACCCTTTCCTCCGCCTTTAGTATGGATCAGATTTGAACATTTATCTGCTGCCTGATATTAGTCCGCCAGTTTTAAGATTTCTCTTATGTTTCTATTCTTCCCAACAACCCGGCTTGTGCTATACGTAAAAGTATGCACAAACAGCTTGGTCATGAATCTCGCCCCCAGTGAAATACTATTTGCCTAAACTATTTGCCTCAAGGACGATACCATCGCGAACCCTGTGATTCTATAAGGCCCAATATTCAAAAGCTTCAGTAGTATGATACCGTGTGACCAGCAACTTGAAATCTAAGTCGAACAAACCTAAGCAGCGGAAGGATCCGTTCGGCTTCGTGGGGCTAATATGGGTTTGTGTAGGGTAGCGAACTTAGATGGCAATTGAGTTTTCCGCTATCAGCAATCAAGGTCACACCTTTAATGGTTTCGTGGTCTAACGGTTATGACTGCGGATTCTGATTCCGCCAGCGAGGGTTCGACTCCCTCCGAGACCTTTCTTTTGCATCTTGCCGTAAATAATGCAAACGATTTCTTTTAAGCCTAATATCATTTTTGTTATTACTGCAAAGGTTCTTGGTGATGATGTTCTGTCCGCTGGGTGTAAGAATTGGACGCAAGTAGGTATCCAACTGCCAAACTCCAGGCCAATTAGGTGTACAGTAGGTGATTATTTATTGTATTCGCTATAGAGCGTTGGTATCGGAATATCATGCGCCTCGCTTGGTATAAGTTGTTGCTATATATACAGATGAATATGATGTCTCGCTCTAATCCCTCAACCTCGTCAGCTTGAATAGCTGACCGGGGAGCGATGTCATTTATGCCAGCTCATGCCTCTGATCCTGACCAGTCGACAACTCAACAGGTCTCTGCTCATGCATCATCTCAGCCGCCGGCGACTTCTCAGCTGAGTAGACAGAGCTATACGCCGGGTTGGGCGACACAGCCATTGGGGAATTGTCAGGCTTTCCAGGAGAGTCCGGTGAGCCAGTACCAGCGACTTGATACTTGCGCTTGTTGCGGCGCCAGAAGAAGAATGCAGCGAGAGCGAGCGCAACGACGCCGAGAGTGACACCGACGGATATACCGGCGACTGCGCCGGTTGAGAGGCCACTGCTGCCACCACCGCCGTCATTGCTCTCGCTGCTGGTGCTGCTGGGATCGCTACTTGAGTTTGAAGTAGCGGTGGCGGCTGATGAGTCGGAGCCTGTTGTGCCAGCTGTAGCGGTGCTTTCACCCGTTGACTCGGGCGGCTATGACTTCAATCAGCAAGATGGTCGCGTATAAGTACAGTTGGGTGACTTACCGCAGTGTATACCGTAGAGTACATCTCGTTATTCACCTGCCCAACACTACTCATCAACCAATGTTGCCGCGGTTGATCCCCCTCAAGATCAGAGCTCATAATAACCGGCCCATTAGCAATACAATCCAAGTTCCATTTCGTGCCGTTCCTAACATTCGTCAACCGGTATGTGTCACCAGAACCCCACAGCGACACATCCCATTGCTGCATTTCGCTGTCGTCGATGGGCATCAAGCACGGCCTTGTGCGGAGTTTCTCGTTGATGATCTCCGGTCGGTAGCATACTGATAACTGTTTCTTGACGGTTGTGTCTGAGCATCGGAGTTGGTATCGGCCGGGTTTGTTTCCTATCTTTTGCTACACGGTGTCAGTACATGTTCTCATGTCGTGAGGGGAATGACATACGAACTGCCAGTATGACTGTTTATTAGCAGGCCAAACTCTCAAATCACCCCCGGGCGCAGTAGGTTGAAGCATAGACTTGAAATCCCCATCATTATCATCAACAGCCAACTCAGAGAGCTGATACCAGACATTAGAGTCAATATCAGTCGCAGGCTCGAGGGTTGGCATCGTAGCGAGTGGGGTCAAACGCAAACAAAATAACAGAAGAGCTAAAGTTTAAAGTTGGGAGGAGAAAGAAAGGGAGGATGAGAGAAGGAACTCGGTCGGTGGGTAGGGCTGAGTTGGTAGTCTTGCCAATGAGGACTCCATCTTGGCGGCTTACTGTGGGTTTAATCTCGTTAGGGATGGGAATAGAGCGGCGATTGGTTGGGATCTGAATCGATTGGTGACATTTTCGTTGATCAATGGAGTTTTGATCCGCTAAGTGGCCTGTGATGTTAGGATGCCAGCCTTCTCCGTCGGACTCGGATATCGCTATATTTGCGGCCAAGCCAGTCAAATCACGCTCAATCATATCCTTGAAGTACTAGTATATTATCCATCATCTATCGCAGCAAAATTGCAATTCTTACTACTGTTTTCCTCGAATAGCCCCCCAAGTTGGATCAGCGATCATCCTCTCATCCACAGTGACTGCATCAAATACCGAGCAGACCAATCAACGCGCCTGTCTTGCATGCAAGTAAGACGCGATCACTTCCTTTATTTCCCGACGCGTCTAATAATGGAACATGACAACAATCCACTTACCAATTATTCGCATAAAACTTACGATTCTTACCACTCGTGGACAGTGCTGTAAGCTTAAATGCAAACGGAGTCGCTTGATCCTCGACTGGTTTTGTCATGCCTTAGGCTTCAAGCTTTCAACGCCTTGACCTCGACTTGGCAAGTTTCAGCCACGCGCCGCAAGACACGGGAATAACACCGCCAATGTCTCGAATCTTGCTTCATCATTGTCCCTCGTTTGTCGCTGTAATTCCGCGCTGTATCCAAGCTATCGGGTTGGCGAGCCTCGGCTCGTGGTGGAGCCGGATATTTGTGCCAAATGTGTCTGAATCCGCCGAAGTCCGATCTCGCCATCATGAAGAGCAATGAGCTCGTGATGTTTCGACTATAGAAGCAGTGATGTTATGTGATATGTGACTGAATGAAATAGAATCTGTTTTCCCAGATCTGCGGACATGGCAAGCCGTTTCGGGCGCTTGATCCGGCGTCTACCTTGCTGTCGAACGTGAGTGTCCAAGGCCTCACATTGATGCCACGATAAACTTACTAGATACGTCTCAAGCAACAACACGTCATGAGAAAAGAGGAATCATACTATTTGTTTATTCTTTGTTATGCTTCGAAAAGTTTAGGACTGTCTTTTGAGGCATGGCCGACATGAACGTTGGAGCTTAAAGCGAAAAATACCCTATAGTTCAGATACAGAAGTATCATTACGCTTCACAATGCTAAAGTTAGTATTATAAAATGGGCTTCGTCTCGATATATAGCGAGTTGGGTATAGGAGGGTTTTTTATATTAGTAAAAGATCCAGTTAATTGGTTGATGCTCGTTAATACTCTGTCTTGGTGTTGCGGAACAACGCATGGACACTCTCCCAGCTTCAATCACGACCCACTATCGTCAATCTACAATGAGCTTAATCCCAGATCTTCTTATCATTGAGCCGAGGTTCCCTTTTGACATACGAGAAAATCGTCGAGTTGACTCGTCAAGATACGGTCTCCGAATCCCAAAGAGGTGACGTGCTACTCGACCCTGTTGGCGTATCGCGACCCCAGTAACTTCACCGCCTCGTGCTTCACCTCGACCTCACCATTTTGCAAAACCTCACATAGTTGTTTCACACTCATTCCGCTGTACTGTCCGCGCGCATAATGATCAACAATGTAGCGACACTCGCCTCAAACATCAGCGACTTTCGCTTCACCACCACAGAGCGCGACATCCTCCTCAAATTCCTCATCTTCTCATCACGCACAACCGCCTGGCTTCTCGGCCGAAACAACGCCACAATAACCTCAATTCAGCGCTGGCAGAATTTAATGAAACAACTAGCGTTAACGGCAAAGATTCTCCGAACCGGCAGATTCATCCAGCAATTCAATTCCGCAGCTGGAGCATTGACGCGAAAGCACCAAGACTATTTTCTAGCATACGTCACCATCATTCGACAGCTGTTGATAGCGGTATACCTGACCTTGGATAATGCGACTATCCTCAATAGTATCGGATTTATCCCCTGGAAAGGTGCAAGACGACTGGAGGTGAGAGCGTTTCGGATATGGTTTGCCGCAGGCGTTTGCGGGATCATCACCCAGATATACTGCTTCTACCAATTGAACCTCCCCAATCAAACCCCAGAAAAGCAATTGGTCTTGTGAGTGTTTATTTTCCATGTGAATTTCCCGTGCCGCATCTGACATAAGACCAGTAGAAAACAAGTCAGCAAGCTCCAATTATTTGCTGGTATCTGCGACGTTACCGTCTCTTCAGCAGCTGCAGGCCTGATCAAATTGGACGAAGGTGTCGTGTGTGCATGCGGCGTGCTAAGCAGTTTAGTTGCCATCCACAACCACGTGGTTTTGGGTAGATTAAATTACATTAGATAAGAGGACAACGTAAATAGAGTTCTTGGCTTCTTTTTTTTCCTCGGCGGCGTCATTCCAGAAGAGGGATCTAGGCGACATTTCTTGTCTTGGCCTGGCTCGTGATGGCGTGAAAGTTAATTGCCGACCTCGGAGGCTATTCGATAGTGTGAGGTTAGTATTGAAGAGGTCTCGGATTGGAACGATGAAATATGGAGAGTGATCTTAGGTGAGGGTGATAAGGCTGATTGTGAAATGTTACTGGGTAATAAACCTATCACGTACAGAGAATGACTGGTTCAGAGACCCTTCCTTCTTACCCGCCCGTTATCACGCTTGTCACGGAACATTCAAATCGTGGTCCCTCACTCGTCAGGGTCTAGACTTGCAACCCCTGACCCCCCCCCCCCGCCCCCTCTGCCACGCGGTAGCATGAATCACCTTCCTTCTCTGGCCTCTCCCTGAAGCTTGAAGCTTGCAACGATTAAAAAAAAAAAAGCCTCTCAAATGCTGGGCTCAAAGGTAACCAATCCCGGTATGTCAAAGTCTTGGCCTGGCACGCCACTTTCTACTCGAATGTCTAAAGCAGATTAGTCGAGAGGCGTCAGGGGCTGGCCACACACAAGCTCAAGTTTCATCGGGTCACTGCCCAGAAAGAGGATCCCGTCTCCTCATTCGAGCCGAAGTGGCCGAAGTTCCCCTTTCGCCTCTCTCCTCATTCCTTCGCCCGTGCTTTTTTCTTGTGCATCTGCATCTGCATCTTGTTTTTTATCTAGTGGCCTCCCCGTCAAATCGTGCCGATCATTTGCTTTTTTCTTCCCTCTTTTTTCCCTGCGATGACATGCGGCTCACGGACCAGACCATAATTCCCACGTTGTTCTTTTACATAATTACCTGCATCTGAGTTTTTACTCCACCGCATCAATTAAGGCTTGGCGCCGATTTCCCACGATCTTTTCATTTTCATAACATAATAACCTCAAAATGTCACATGACAAACCGAAAACCACCGACATCAAAGTCGAAGTGGCACTCACTCGTGATGTCGAAATCATCGAGATGAGAAACATGAGCAATGCCTCACACAAAGATGCAAACACAACAACATGGGCCATCTCAGCGCCGAAGCAGGAAGACGACAAAGAGCAGAATGATTGGCTTGATGGATTCAGAAGAGCTGATAGGAGGAAGATGAAGGGTTGGGATAAGCAGTATCATGCTGAGCAGAAGCCTCATGTTCCGGGGGATCGATACTTCGATATTCGTGCGGCCAATGCAAAGACTGCTACGTCGGCGCTGGCGAGGGAATTGAAGGGGAGGCATTTGCAGATGATTGCTTTCGGCGGTGCTATTGGTAGGTGAAGTCAGTGTTTGATTGTGAGAGGCTTGCTAATATGGCATAGGTACCGGTTTGTTCATCACTTCTGGCAGTGCTCTTCACCAAGGCGGTCCTGGAAGTGTTCTTCTCTCATACATCGTCATCGGCGCACTTCAATATTGCACCATGCAATCGCTCGCCGAGCTTTGTGTCATCTTCCCCATCGCCGGTTCATTCTCTGCCTTCTCAACTCGCTTTCTGGATCCTTCCTGGGGGTTTTCTATGGGATGGAAGTAAGTCTCGCTCATTCAAGCTGTGAACGAGATGAGAGCATCGCTAACAAGCCCTAGCTACTGTCTTCAATGGCTCTTCACTCTTCCTCTTGAGATCATCGCTGGCGCATTCACAATCACTTACTGGAACGAAGACATATCCAAATCCGTCTTTGTCGCAATTTTCCTAGCAGCTATTTTCGTCATCAATCTTTTCGGCGTTAAAGCCTACGGTGAAGCCGAATTTGTCTTTTCTATCATCAAAGTCACTGCGATCGTAGCTTTCATGTAAGCCCCCCCTTCGACACTCACTTAAAAGTCTCAAAATTTCAGTGATTAACATACCTAGCCTCCTTGGAATTGTCATCAACATAGGAGGCGAACCTACCTCGGGCTACATCGGAGGCCGCTATTGGATCGACCCCGGCTTATTTAACAACGGCTTCAAAGGCTTCTGTTCTGTACTCGTGACATCGTGTTTCTCCTTTACTGGCACAGAACTCATCGGCCTGGCAGCAGCAGAAACAGCCAATCCTCGCAAATCCCTCCCCAGCGCCATCAAGCAGGTCTTCTGGCGCATCACCCTCTTTTACATTGTAGCCCTGATGCTCGTCAGCCTTCTTGTTCCTCACGACGATCCGAGAATCTTGGACGCTAGCTCTTCCAACTCTGCGGCCTCACCTTTTGTCGTCGCTATCGAAACTGCCGGAACTACTGTCCTGCCCAGTGTTATGAACGCTGTCATTCTTATTGCTGTCATCAGCGTTGGCAACTCGTCGGTCTTTGGTTCTTCTCGAACCCTTGCCGCTCTTGCTGATCAATCCATGGCACCGGCTATTTTCTCCTACGTTGATAAGCAGGGTCGACCTTTGGCTGCCATCATCTTTTCTTGCTGTATTGGACTTTTGGCTTTTATAGCTGATCTGAAGGCTCATGATGTCGTCTTCAACTGGTTGTTATCCATCAGCTCTCTTGCGACTCTCTTTACCTGGGGCAGCATCTGTCTTACTCACATCCGCTTCCGCAACGCATGGGCACATGCGGCACATACCCTCGAGCAACTGCCATTCCGCTCACGACCCGGCACATACGGCTCTTGGTTCGCTCTGGCTGGATACGTCCTTGTCTTGTTGAGCCAAGTTTGGATAGCCATCGATCCTGTTGAGCACAAGAAGCACGAGACCACAAACGACATTGTGCAGAACATTTTTCTTAATCTCATGGCTGTTCCCATTGTCGTGATCATGTACCTCGGACACAAGCTTTGGTACAGAACGAACTTTGTGGCTTTGGATGATATTGATATCCAGACTGGACGACGTTATTATCGAGTTCATTTGATGAGTGATCAGGAGAGGGAGGCACGTGTTACGTGGCCTTTGTGGAAGAGGGCTTACCGATATTTCTGTTAATGAAGCGTTGTGTGTTTTTTATTCTTCTGGCTTGGAAATGAGTCACCAGATCAGCCTCTTTGAGAAGGCATAATTGAGCAATTTTATGACCACTGTCAAGACGCTGATTCTGTCCAACTATACCTTTTGTGTCTTTATGTCGTAGTTGTAACCATTGCAGTCCGTGGCTCAACGAATCACGACGCCTTCAAGCGAGGTGATTCCCAAGTCCAGATGACAGGAAGCAAGCCATACCCACGAGGCATCTACCTGGTTTTATCATTCACCACTGCGGCTCAAATAACCTTGCCCAACGGGTCCAAACGCATCACTCCGTAACGTCAACTGCCGAATATGAAATCAATCTCGGGCCGATCAAAAGTTCGTTAGCTTGACCGCAGCGTATGAAAACTCATGTATGCAATCCTGCGGCGTTTGCAGGAATGAAACAGTTCTGTTTCATTGAATGATACCTGCTTGAAGTGGGGAGGACACCTAAATATGCAAGACCGGTGGGGACGTGTTGTAGTGGTTACTCGATGTCATTTGAGTTTATGGGGTTTGGTTGTATTTATCAGTTCATGACAATGGGGGAAAAGTATCAGGGTTACATACATTGCGGAGCCGAGATGTCGAAACTGTTCGAGTGTAAGCGAGTCGTCCGAACTTGTAGAGTAATAATTGCGAGCTTGAGTCCACTTAGTGATCAATGCGAAAGAGGATGCATTGCACTGCCAAGAATAGAATATTTGACATCTTGTTCTGAAAATCTGCAAGGCTTTCAAAAGATTTCACTTCCTGGTGTTTTCTCTTTGGCCCCCCATGTCAAGCCATACCCCAGTCGTTGAAGAAATCCTTTGGGACGGCTGCACGGGTCGTTTTACCGGACTATTAATCCATTTACCCAGATATTAAGTTTTTAAGCATCAGTAGCCACAACTGAACTCTCCTATCTTATCGACTAGGACTTCGATCCTCTCGCCAGACTCACTTCCTGGGCTTCTCCTGTAGTGTGAAAGTAAATCTTTTCCCAAAGGAAGCTTGGCTGAAACGCCGAACAGGCATTGTAATCCTTTCATCCATGCAGGAACGGGAACATGAATTCTTAGTGGACGCCGCCGGATTCACTCCGCGGATCACAACGGAGGATTCACCGGTGAACGGCTACAAATCCTAGAGCGAGATACAGTTTGCCCGCTCGGCTGGATTTGCTTCGCTTGCGGAACCCCTGGCTTTGTCTCGGGAAGTATCTGCAAGCCTTGTCTGCTGTGCCTCAGTGGCTGTAACTACCTACTGCAAGCCCTTTCTGTATTCACGGAGCTTTCACTTTTTAGAATGAGGCCGTCACAGTAAATTCCGCGTCGATCCGTGGTTGGCTTGGCGTGATGAAAAGAAGTATGAAGCGGTAGTGACAATGTCACAAAATGTGAAATGGAAACATTCTGCAGGATAGAGTTACGCAGACGTGCATGTGAAGAGAATTATGATGCTGTGACTTGTCTCAAGTGTTGATCCTTGTAATGAGTTGCATACAAATATCTACAGCGTTTCCTTCGTCACTGGATTCTTGTTTGTTTTCTTAATTGATGCTTTTAAGTTTTGAAGTATTGATTCACTGTGATTTTCACGTATGTCAGGTCCTCCGAAACCTCCCAGCGATGGGAGTCCTTTCTTCCCTATCTCCGAGAGAGCTGCGAAGCTTGCGGTTGCGCATTTGGGGATAACATCGCCACTACTTGCTATTGCGTTGGTTATGTTTGTAGCGAGGATATGGTTGCGAGTAAGGCCGGTTTGGAGGGTGAGTTGGGAGGACTACAGCATGGCGATTGGAGTTGTAAGTTGGATGTTTGTATACCTTTGGGGAGATCCATCACTGACGGTTATTTGGAACAGTGTGCTGCAGTCGTCGACTTCGGATTCCTTATACCGCAGATGTATACATCACCACGGCTCATCACCGAATCTCAAGTGACTTGGTCACGAAAATACGCATTTCTTGCGATTCCCATCTGGGGCATTGCCATGATGTTCATCAAAGTGAGCATCGCAATGATGATGCATCGAATCCAGCCTACAGTACTATGGTGGCGCGTCTTTTGCTTCTTCATAATGGGTATCTTGATAGCCTACGGTGTTGCCAACACCTTCTTCATCCTACTCCAGTGTAGACCTCTCGAAGCATCATGGGATACATCAGTCTTGGAAACAGTACAAGGAGCAAGCTGTCTTCCCCAAACTGGCATTCACATCATGTCAAACATCGGATCTGGTATCAACATTGCGACAGATATCATGCTATCTTTGGCACCGACACTATTCCTCTGGAAGCTCAAAAGGCCGCTGAAGGAGAAGATCCTTGTTGGCGCGCTCATGGGTCTGGGTATGTTTGCAAGTGTCGCTTCCATCGTAAAAGCAACCCTAGTCAAAGAATTCGGCATGGCGAAGGATGCATGGGCACTCACAAACTCTATCGCTACCTGGACAGCCCTCGAGCAAATCCTCATCATGATTGCATCATCCGCACCCTTTCTCAAACCCCTCGTTCAAAGTGCTCTACATAGAATGGGCTGGACATTGTCAGGAACTTCAGCCGGACGCTCAGGCTACGGAAACCGGTACCACGATGTTGGACAGAGCGCAAGACAGTCACACTTGGTGAACAAGTCAGCGATAAACTCGCGAAGAGACATGTACGGGGGAGATGAGGATCCTTTCGCTGCAGGGGACAGCAACGATGCAATTCCTTTGGACGGAAAGGTCTATGAAGTAGGTAAGCCAAGAGGCGAACGAGATATCACGACAATGCGGACGACGCAGGGATCTTTGACGGCAGGATCATGGACGGAGAGGGGAAGTGAGGACAGGGAACTTACGCCGAGTCATGCAGTGTAATTTGACTAATAAAACCCTTTTAATTTACCCAGAACCAACATGCATATGTACCTACGGGCACTTTTGGTCTTGTTATTGGTGTAGATGATCTTTTACCGTTACAGTTTAGTGGAGTTGGTAAACAATCGGATCACCAGGGAATCACTCAAGCGAGGCTAGGGTTTTAACCTGCAGATTAGATTCTCCGGCGCGGGTCGTGGAAATCCGCCGGTCTTGGGACCAAGTTTATCTCTTCGGTAAGGGTGATCCCTGACAATCCGAATCCCCGGATCCATCGCTCAACAAGGAACGCCACGGAGTGTTTAACCGAGTTGGCCGCTATTTTCGTGCGCTTCAACCAACGTGTATGTAGCAGCATCTGCAATGTCACGCTGCAGGTAATCTTCGGCAACGAGGTCCAGTTTCGTGAACCCTGTAGTCTGAGGCGAAAAACGCTAAACATACAAAGGAGCGTTCCCATTCCTTTCGTCTTGTCGATCACTCGCCTCAAACACTTCTGAGTGATCAGCTGCATCTTCTGATATTCTCCCTGCATTTCGCCTTGCGGTTGTCTTTAGGTTTACACCATGGTTGCTATCACTTCTTTGTGGACTGCTGTCCTCCTTGCAGGCGTGGCTGTTTCTGAAGCAAAGAGCTGCAAGAAGCCTTTCATCAGAAGAGAATGGTACATAACCCAATCTGTCTGGGAGGACACTTGCTGATTGGTGATAGGCGCTCTCTTAGTATCAAAGAGAGACACCAGTACATCAAAGCTCAGAAGTGCTTGATGAAGAAAGCTCCCCAGTCTTCTACTGCTGATATCCCCGGTGCTCGAAGTCGATGGGATGACTTCTTGGGCACGCACATCATCAACGCCGATGACGTGCATTTCACAGTATGTCGCCACGTCATTTGATTTCATCTTCTAACTCAAACAGGGCGTATTCTACCCCTACCACCGTCTGCTCATGTATTCCTACGAACAGGAGCTTCAGACCTGTGGCTGGAAAGGTGGCGTTCCCTACTGGGACTGGACTCTTGACGCCGCAGGTCCAGATAATGACACCTCCGTGTTTATAAACTCACCTATTTTTGACAACAAGCACGGTTTCGGTGGGAATGGAGCTTGGATCCCTGGAAACTTCTCAAACCCTGAGCCTGGGCTGCCTGTGAATCCTCCTTGGGATGTTCCCGATCGCTCTGGTGGTGATTGTATCAAGAGCGGTCCGTTTGCAGGACTCAAGTCTAACTTGGGTCCTGGAAATGGTACGGCTTATAACCCTAACTGTGTTCGAAGAGACTTTGCGCCGCTGAGTTTTAGGGACATGAGTGGACCTGCTGCTATTGAGGATGGGATGCAGCAGGGTGACTTTGGACACTTTGAGCGTCTTACGCAGAGCACTACTCACTCTGGTGGACATTGGGGCGTTGGTGGGTTGTATGGTACCATGACTGATAAATGGCAGAGCCGTGAGTTTCTCTCACTCCCATCTACCTAATATGCTTCATATACTGACTCTGATAGCTGCTGATCCTCTCTTCTGGGTCCATCACGCCAACGTTGACCGCTTCTGGTGGTCATGGCAAATCCGCGACCTCAAGAAGCGCGAGAAAGACATCTCTGGTCCTCTTGTCAACTTTGACTACGAAAACAAGGCTGCTGGTAACGTCACTCTTAATCATGGCATCTTCATTGGTGAGACTGTGAAGCTCAAGGCCAAGGTCAGGGATGTTATGCATATCAAGAAGGGTCTCCTCTGCTACGAGTATGAGGATACTTATTAGATTCTTGCATGAGATGTAAGACTTGCGACGACTTGGACATTCTTGACACTAGCTGTCCATCAATTTAACTTTTATTGGCGCTTTGTCTCGGCGATTTGTTCAATCGTACGCAACAGATGCTTACATTGATACCCTCGTGCCAATTCATCAGGACAAACCTCCGTAATATTTCGGAACTTACAATGAATGTCCTGATCAACATTATGCAGTCCCCTCTTTTGGTGAATCCTTTCGGGCACCTTGGTTAGGTAATTATGCACCCCCGCTGACATGCTGCTTTGGAATCACCAGTAAGATGCGCCCTTTTGAGCTTGTTTGATCACGTAATTAATTGATTCCAAAAGCTGACACAAGCCGAGATTCTGCCGCCAGAAGGGCGCTGTGATCTATGATTCAGTATAAATGTTTTGGAGTCGTCGTGTCATTCTTTGCTTCGTTAACAACAGCAACGATACAGCAACAATCAATTGAGATCCAACATATCCGAACTATACTCGACATTCTCAGCCGCCATGCCTTCAGACTCAGTCGTTTACCACTACCTTGCCATTGGCAAACTTGGCCGCGGAGAAGTTCTCAAGTGGGTATATCTGTCAATTTCTTTGACGTTCGCAAAGCTGCAGAACCTTGGGCTGACAAATTGACAGGCTATTCTTGAAGGATGCCGGCATTGACTTCAAGGAGCTTCGTTATACTTACCCCGACACATGGCCAGAGACCAGCGAGAAGTTGAAGCAGCAGGGCATCACCCGCACTGGAAGCCTTCCTTCTCTTGAGTACAAGGGTCTCATTCTCACTCAGGTTGGTGAACTCACCATTGAGCTGCGAAATAAGACTAACATCTTTGACAGCATATCCCAATTCTTCGTTTCCTCGCTCGAGACCTCGGCAAGTATGACGGTCAGACGAACGAGGACAAGTATTTGGTAGATGCAGTAGCCGATATCTACATCGATTGGAGAGTATGAAGGCTAATCTTACGATTCGTCAATCAAGTTCTAACGGAATTTCAGTCCCAATGGGTTGCCAACCTCAGTGGAGCAACCGACGAGTACAAGAACAAATTCCTCCCCAAGTACTACGATCTTATTGCGCAGTACTACTCGGACCGCGAAGGTCCTTACCTTCTCGGTAATGAAGTCAGCTACACCGACTTTGCCATCTACCAGTCTATCGACAACGACACGCGAACCAAGACCATCCCTGTACGTTACCTCTCCCTAGATAAATTTGTAATAGTTGACTAGCACTAACGGTTTACTAGTCTAAAATTCCCGATGTTCTTCTCAAGTTCAAGGAAGTCTTTGAGGCTAGACCTAACATTGCTGAGTACATCAAGTCGGAGTGAGATTAGCCATGGTTCCGGTGACCGAAGACATCTTCTGGGGGCACTTAGACCAAGTTTGTCAATAGAAGTATAACTCAATTTGTATCTATGTCCTCGTTAATCACTTGTGACAATGAAAGTAGCATGGCCCCATTCCCTTTCAGCCCTAGAATCAGCCTTTTGGAGCTACCGCCTTATCTGCTACACTAATGCTGGCTGCGCCACTCAACGACCCATCTCATCTGCCTGCTGACATTCAGCCCTACGGTATTTCATGCAATAAATCCCCGCATCATAAACCAGCCGAAAGAAAAGGCACTTTCTTGCATTGATCATCAGGCGCAACACGAGATGAGTGATAACGCCCCCAAGCTTTGCTCGGTATGCGCCGCCATCGATTTCGACAAACTCTTCTTTCCAGACCCTGCTCCTTTCAATCCCAGTAACAGACCGCCTCTAGATCCTTGCCTGGGTACGCTGCAAGAAATCTTGGATCGCTCAGAAGAATGCGAAGTCTGCAAACTTATCGTCGATGCTCATCGCCAGCGGTATATTCGAGCTCCCTATGGATGCTCAACGAATCATCCAGATTTCAGAAGTGAAGTTCCTGGCACGGAACCTCAAATCCACGAGGAAGTCAAGAAAAATGGGCTACGACTTACAGTTAACAATGAGCCTATCAAATGCTTTCTTGAATCCCGAATCTTTTCCTCGGACAATACTTTGCTGGATTCAACGGATGGTCTTGATCCGGAGACTGGGGGCGTGAATCGTGTTTTGCTCAGGCTGGAACCATGTCCCTGGTTGGCTATACTTGCCAACTCGATCACTTTGCAAGCTCTTTGGCCTCCCAAAGAGATCCAAACGATAAGCAATGGCATTTGTCTCGATGGTACAGGGCGAATGATCGGTTCTCTGCTAGATCTTTCGATCCCTCGGCGCTGGATCAAGCAATGTGAAGACGAGCATGGTGGGCAGTGTCAGAAACCAAAGTGGCTAAGCGATAGCGACAACGAGTGGCCTGAGAGATGTCGAGTAATTGATGTCAAGGAACATAGGATCGTTGATTTACTCCCGACAATGCGCTACGTTGCCCTCAGCTATGTTTGGGGATCAAGCGAGAAGGCGAGACAGTCACGTTTCGAGAGACGATTAACTCGAGAGAACCTGTCGCGACTTCAGCAACCCAACAGTCTTGGGGAGATCCATATACCTCAAACAATCAAAGATGCAATGGATATCACGGAGCAAGTCGGAGAGAGGTATCTCTGGGTTGATGCTCTTTGCATCGTACAAGATGATCCTACAGATCTTGGTCATCAGACCGCACGAATGGATCTGATCTACTCCAAGGCGCTCTTCACGATATTAGCTGCCTGCGGTGAAGATTCGACTTCTGGACTTGCAGGACTCCCAGGGAATCCACGAGATGTCTTTCAACGACAAGTCAAAGTCTCATCAAGCGGGCTACATATCATGCCCCTCGTTACTCTATCCGAAGAAGATACTCTCCAATTTTCGTCATGGAACACCAGAGGCTGGACGTTTCAAGAGCGCCTTCTCTCTAGGCGTTCACTGATTTTTACCAACAAGCAAGTGTACTGGTGTTGTGACGGAACGACATGGGAGGAAGAGTCACTTCTCGACATCCCCGGATCAACAGCTTTCGCCAGGTCCTATTCGCTCGGATGCTACGATGAATGGGATGATAATGAAGCTAAGTTTTCTTTGGAAAGCTTCGATACGTACATAACGCAATTCTCTGAGCGAAAGTTCACCTACCCTTCTGATGTCCTCCCTGCTTTTCTCGGAATCATTCGTCGGTTTGAGCATTTGAACAACGAGAAGATACACTGGGGTCTGAACGCGAGCACCTTTGATCAAGCCCTGACATGGAAATACGGACAAAATCGACGAGATGAGACGTATACTTATTCTTTTGGCGGATCGACTCGCAGCGTGCCGTATCCTAGCTGGTCCTGGCTCGGTTGGACAGGGTTCATCGGAGGTAGTTCGAGTCTTCGCATCAGGGAGGATTACGATAAGAGGGACGTCGGGGAGATGAAGTCGCTCTTGGCGTTCTACTCGCTGATGAGTGATGGGAGTGTTTCTCTGATCAAGGGCACCTCGCTGAGGAGAGTGAACGATTACGGAAAGGAAGACGTCGTGTCTAAATCTACTGAGAAGCCTAGCCAAGATTGGATCGATGATACGAAAGTTATCGGACCGATCAAGATGACTGATATCTCATTGACCTCGCAGCTGGAGTCACTTCAGCTCGACGCTTCTCGTCAAGATTTTACGCCTTACGACACAGGACGGATAGTGTTCTGGACAAGCCACGCCAATATTTCCATCCAAATCACCAATCGAGATGGTATACACATGGAAACCTCAGACGGACTAGTCAAGCTTGAATTAAAACTTTCATCACCATTCATGAAGAAATCCTATTATCGTTTCGAGGAGAGCTTGAACGAAGATAGCGAGGCAGGGGGGAGCAAGATGATAAATTTCTTGAGAAGAAAACCCGTTGCGACAAGTCATACGATTAGTCTCATTGTCATATCGAGGTATTATGGGTTTTATGAAGGTGATGATGAGGTGGTGAAGTTGAACGTCATGGCTGTTGAGGAGAAGGTGCCCGGGTCAGGTGTCTGGAGTAGGATAGGTCTTGGTGTTATGAAGGAAGAGGAGTGGGTTAAATTGGATATTGATTGGAGGATGATTATTCTCGAATAGTTCATCAAGATGTAGCTAGAGAGTGAGGTGTTTGCATTGTCCGGACCCACGGTGGCCCGGGTCCGAAGACCCGATGAGCATCGCCACAAATGTCCCAAAAGGGAAATCGTCAGCTCGACTCATCACTATAAAGACCCTTTACAGGTCAAAGGCGCTAAGGTACATATAAACCCACCATTCGCCATACTGTCACATATTCTTCCTTTTTATCTCGAGCATTTACAGCCCTTTCGAACTTGTACCCAATTCTATATCTTCGCTCTCGAGACCAGATACTTGATCATGGCAGACACAAGTGTTATTGACAGCGACCAACAGCAATCGCTGAGAGTTGCTCAAACTCCTTCATTCTGTAGACTCTGCAACATCGAGTTACGAGGCTTACAAACATGGAAAGCCCATGTCAAAAGTGACGCACAGTATGTATCTCCTCCTGAAGGCCTTTGCGGAAGCTGACTGTCGATGGTAGCGTTCAAAGGCTTCAAGAGAAAGTCCATGGCGTTACAATGTCACCAGCACCGACTCATTCGTCTTCGCCTCCAACGCAAATAAGAGACTATTTTGAAGATGAATCTGAAAGTGACGCCGAGGATCAAGACTTTGAAGCAGAAGACCAGGAATTCATTGCTACAGCGTTCGTACCTGGTCACTGCCTCTTCTGCGCGAAAGACTCTTCAACTTTGGATGATAGCACGAAACACATGGCTGCAGCACACGGCTTCAACATCCCCTTCAAAGATTTTCTAGCCGTTGATCTCGAAACACTAGTCTCATACCTTCACTTCGTCATCAATACATACAGAGAATGTATCTGCTGCGGCACCCGCCGGGGTACAATTGAGGGCATACACCATCACATGCTAGCCAAGGGCCATTGTCGCTTCGATATTTCACCAGAAACAGAAGAATTCTACGAGATACCTCAATATGAAGATGCCTTGGGGGAGAGGAAGCAAGGCATCAGTGATCCAGTGAGGTTGCCTTCTGGGAGAGTCATCTCGCATCGCAAACACGAAGAACCTCGCGTTCCTCGTCGAGATGTACCAGATCAGAAACACCTTGACTCCTCAACGCCTTCAGAGCCAGGTATGGAGATTGCGCATCGACGAACAGTCAATGGAAGTCGAGAGGTTGTTCAGGCCAACGAAGCTATCCTTGCTGCACAGTTGTCAAGGCTCAAAGTTAGCAGCGACAGAGCAGCGCAAAGGGAGGAGAAGAGATGGGGAGGAAGACTTGAGCGAGCGAATAATTTCTTTGCGCTGAAGAGATTTAGGTTGGATGCTGCGGATAGTCGAATGGGTCGGCAGTTCTAGGTATTATCTCAGTAAATAGCTCTTGGGATATCAACTGAATAATGCATCCCACTGTCTACTGGGTTGGTTTGTATACCAACGCTTAGCAATGGTTTAATCCACGATTTCCAGGCCGCAGCCTCGTTGCCTAGAGGCGCCATCTTTTGTGGCGTCACGAGGCAGTCCCCAAGGCTTCCCATCCTGTCTCACCCTCTCCGACTAAACACGGAGGTTCAGCTGGGATATTCAACTACAACTCTTCAAGTATTCCCTCCAAAGATATATAGAGTAACAAACGTGAAACAAAGTCGTCACTTTTTTCATCAAGCATCAGTTCCTCACTCCACGTGCTCTCATCAACATGTCGTCCTCGCGGTCATCCAGCCCAGATACCGCTTCTAGCGCAGATCTCCAACTCCCAGTCGACATCAGCGCAAATCCTAACTCACATGCCTATGCACCAGATATGGATAGTCTCGAAACTGCGAGTTTCGCAAGATTGCGGGACTTTAGTGGTTGGAGAGACAGCAAATTCTTGTCGTACCGATGTTTTACTTACGAGGGACATGGTAAGTAACTGTATACATACCATATCCAATGACTGTTGTTGACAAAGAGCAGAAGTTCAAATGAAAGACTTCATCCTTAGAGAGTTTGAAGAGATCAAGGAGGCCATGTCTACATTGGATGATGAAAACATACACATTCTGTCTGTTAAACTCACGACATACGTTTTCTATGCTAACCATCGCCTAGCAATGCAACTCCTCGGAGTGTGTTTCTTCTTTATGCCAGCGAACTACGCGAACTATCCCAAAGTCTCGACTTTGCACCGTGGATCTCATATGGTCTGGAGTACAACGTCCTCAGAGGACTAGGCGGACGACTCTACGGTTCCCACTACGGTAAAACACATCCCCGAAGTATATAGTAAGAGTTGATTACTTACTCTAACAGATATCTGGTTCACCCTTCCACTGGTAGACGCCGGCGTAGATAACTTCACCCATCCAGGTCAAGAACTTCATTCCCTACCAATTGACTCTTCCGAAGGTGTTACCCATTTGTACGAAGATGCAGGCATGTTCTATCTCAGCTTCGACACAAAGACGAGACAAACACGTATCCTATACTCCAGCTCAATCCCTGCTGGTCAAAAGTTGACATCTGCTTGCAAGAAAGCAGAAGAACTGGGTGTACGGGATGACCCGTTTACGTTTGTTACGTGTGCTTTGAGCTCAATTCTTCAGGATCAGGGCATGAATGCACACTCGTTCTCTGCTCTCATTAGCAAAATGGTAAGTCTCCTCATCTATCATATGAACTGGTTCTAACATGAGGGTTTGTAGGAAGATTATAGCAATTCACTCAAGTTTGAGATTGGGGAGAATGAAGAGACGAAAGTGAAAGAGACGGCGATTCAACTGAGAAAGTCGTTGCCGTACCTCGAGAAGATCTTGGAGTCGGTGGATTGTATGATTCAGATCATCCAGGATGCCATCAGCGAGCACAAGGACTGTAGAGAACTGCTGTCTATTCCTGATCAGCATTTTCTTCGCGTCGAAAAGAACTTGCAGACTCTTCGCTCCCAGGCGATCTCCTTCAAGAGCTATCAGGATACACGCATCAGAAGGATCAACGTCTGCTTATCAACAGTGAGGACATAACCCCTTCTCTTGCTCTTCATCTGCGCATCTTGCTAACTCGATTGTGGTAGCTCTCATCTCTTTTGAGCCTCAGAACCGACAGTGCCATCAAGGCCAGTACCGAAGCAATGACACGATTGACGGAAGCGAACCGAGAGGACAGCGGTAGGATGAACGACATCGCAATAGCTACGAAGCTCGACAGCGAGGCTATGATCACCATTGCCAAACTCACCATGTTCTATCTCCCATCAACATTTGTAGCGGTAAGCAACCATGCCCCGAGGCTCGGCGTCGGAAACAATGCTAACAGGAGATAAGACACTTTTCAGTATGGGGATCTTCAACTTCGACTTCGACAACGGCAAGAATGGACGCCTTGTCATGTCCAGCCAGTGGTGGATGTACATCATCTTCGCCATCCCTCTGACACTGGGAACGTTCTACTGGTTCAGAGCAGTTACGAGATCGCACAAACAAGCAAGCCAGAAAGCAGAACGAGAGGCCAAGCAGCCTGAATGAGGCTCACTTTCTGTTCCTCTAGGTGTAGCATTTGCTTTGGTTGTTTTTACGTACGCCAAACCTTGCTTGCGCCAGTGAATGCAAGCCATTCATTCAAGCCGGTGGGTAACTGAGTGGCTCCTCTTCACTTTTGCGCCTAGCCTGGTGCTATCGTGAGCTGAAGTTCCATCATCGCGACCCCACCAGTGAAGAAAAAAAAAAAAAGCAGAAAAATTTTTGAGCGCAAAAGAACGAGCAATTGAGTGAAGATACTGTATGATAGATAGCAAATGTGAAGATGTTCCCAAATGGCGTTGATTAAATTGTGTGATGGTGACGACATTGATTGCCTTAGGCACCTCATTCCTCAAAACGGCACAGCTTGTGTAGCTGTTGCCCAATGTAGAGAGCTCTGAGCTGCCTATGACGACACTAACCACCACCAAATCTTTCTGTGACCCCTCTATTTACCTTCTTCCATCCAACAACCACTTCATTCAATCAATCAATTCATCAAAAACACAGACAAACCATCAATCATCAGCTTCACGCTCAACGCAATCATGTCTCGCATCCCAACCTCCACCTCGGTCCTCGAATCCGCCGTCATCGACGCCCCCTTCAGCGACGTCTGGCACCTAATCAAGCTGCAAGATTTCTCCAAGTTCTACTCTGCCCTCACTTCCAGCGAGTGGGTGAAGGGCACATCCCCCGACACCGACATCGTCAAGTGGACCTTCAAAGATGGCACCGTCCTCGAGGTCAAGCAGGAGGAACACTCGAGCATCGACCACTACATCACCTACAGCGTCATCTCGTCGCAGCCCGCGCTGAGCTACACCTCTGTCGTCAGCACTGTGCGCGCCTACCCCGTCACTTCTGGAAAGCATGAGGGCGCTACTTTTGTCACTTGGAGCGGAAACTTTTCGAGCGATGCTGATGCGGGTGTCATTGAGGATGCCAAGTTCAAGCGTCGTGAGGCTTTGGCTGATCTCGCCAAGGCTGTTGCTAAGAAGTAAAGGACGGGAATACGGAAGAAACAAGGATAAAGGGAAAATGGCAGGGTATCATGTCAATGTATACGGATGGGCAAAGCAGGGTTATCACATGTTTATGTAGCCTATGACCATTCCGTCAATCGCATCAATGTCAAGCTGTGTTTCGTATGAAGTTCGCAAACCGAGACTCAAACTTGACCCTAAACTTAGGCCTAAAGGATTAGAAAACTTGTCCAAGTTTATAACAATATTATCCTAAGTCTTTGTCAAGATCTTCATAACTTATATAATGTTTGCACATGCCTTGAACCTTATGAATGGTCTTGGATTGTGTTGGGCGTGGGTTGACTGACCCGCCAAGCTGCGTCGCATCAATACAAGCAGGATACAGTGGTATGCCTCCAGCGCTGAGCAAGACATCTGCATCGCACAGCCAGAATTCATCGCAAAACATGTGTTCCGATTGACGATTCACAACATTCCACCAGGACTGGACCCTGAACATCGCACACAAAAAGATTTGCGCTGGATTTTCAGGGTCTTGGGGACAGACCCATTCTTGGCGGAGAGCTACAGGGTAGAACTGATCGTGTACCTGAGAGTTCCAGCATCATCAGATCATCTTCAATTCTAGAACAATTGCAAGCAGCGAATCCGCGTTAGTTTACGGAATAGACGGCATTCACTTGCATGCATCGATGTAGACCATTCAAGTAAATGGCTCATTTTTTATTTAGCGACTTCGAGAACTTGTGTACGTGGGATCTCAAACACGAGATAAGAATCTCACACCTCGCAGTGCAACCGGCTTCACCGGATGCAATGTCGTCCAGACAGACAACGCAGGGTCCTTTGGCCAAGTGAGTCTTTCACATGGCGTGATTGGATCAAAGAAAGTACATAGGAATGAATACCAATACAATACCCCTTGAGTGAAAATTTGAAGCTTGAAAGTTAATTGAACTTTAATTCCAACGTCCGAGACCCCGATTCTCGACACTTGGATTCACCGATGCCGATCAACAGTGTGTAAACCTACGCGTATTTCGCGTATTTTCTGCTCGTATCTTATCTACGCGTATTTATTCGTCCGCGCGTTTGTCTCTCGTCAGCCAGAATTAAATGGTGCCACAGTCGGTCAGATTTTAATCCCCCCAACGGCGTTTCATCGAATCTCCGTCTTCCGTCGTGGGATTCGGCACGGTAATCTCGTCGGGTCCGATCCTTCCACTAAGTCCCACATTCAATTCCGTCAAGCGCATAAAGGGGATGGTCAAAACTCCACCATAATTTCACATTCTCCGCACCGCCAAACGAGGCGAGCATGGGTGAAGCCTTGTTTGAAGCATGTGAGCACGTGAGCATATCGTATTGTGGGATATCGTGAAGTGGGGGTTCAAGAGGAAGCGTGCGTGTATTGGCATTATTCTAGATTAACATTAATTTGTTCATTTCGATGGGTGGGCTATGGTATATCGTTATGTGATGATCGAATAAGCATGCTAAGTGTCATTTTACTTTCCTCCCCGATTACCAGTTGTAGGGAATGGCTTCTCCAGTTTGACACACCAGAGGAACAGATCCTCCAAGGGCAAAAGACATAGCAAGATACGGTTGGACAACCAAGCAACCAGAACAACACCCGTAGCAGCCAGAGCATCAAGCCAGTAGTGATTCGCCGTAGCAACAATGATAGTCAACACAAACGCCGGGTACAGGATGCTCAACGCCACAAAGAACACCTGCCACGCCTTGCTCATTCGCTTCTCACGGGGGGCAAGGCGTCGGCGGAAGAGACCAGAGTGGTACAGGAGAACAGTGCCGATGCAGAAAGAGTAGCCAAAGTGAAGAGAGGGAAACGCGGCGAGTTGGTTGAAGAACTTGTTGGTGGCGTAGATTGACTCGGCGTCTTCGCGGCGGACGGTGTCGAAGAAGCCGTATTCTTCGGGGAGGAGACGGGGTGGCATGCATGGGTATGTTGTGAAGACGACGAAGCTGAAGAGGTTTGTGAGCGTCATCATACGACGAGCCTCAGCGAATTGGGCGTGCGTCGGTGCGGCGTAGTAATACCAGGCAAGGAAGCTGAAGGCTTGTTAGCCATGTTTTTCACGAGAGGGGCAGTAGCAACAAAAACAACGAACCTGACTGTGACGGGAATGTGAATCAGGGAGTAGGCGCGGTTCAAGATGGTCAGCATCGTCTGGTGATCATTCCTGAAGAAACTCTGAACATCAATCTCCCGCAGAGGAAACATCCAGCTAAATGGGCCCTCGTGCTCAAACCACAAGACGGCCTTTCCATGGTTCTCAGCAGTCTGCCAGACGCCATCCGTGGCGGCGACAAGCTCACTCGCCGACTTGACACCGACGTAGAAACCTAGATTCACCGCCCAGTAGAACATCTCCACCAGGAACGGAAACTTTTGTATGAAGCGCGAGTGCCAGTATTTCGCGTATCGGCTCGAGTTGGGCGTGTGCACAACAGTACCGCAGCACGTTCGTTTCTTTGGCGGGTGTGTTTCCGTCGGTGACGCTGCTGCGTCGGAGAGGTTGAGACGCTCAGTCTCGTCGTGCACGTCTTCCTCATCCCATGGCTCCAGCTTCGATTGGCCGAGGAGACCTTGGTCGGCGCTCTTGGACGAAGGGATGATGGAGAAGTTTCGGAGGCGGTTGAAGTAGCACGAAGCGATCATGACACCGACGATGAACTGCACGTGCACACACAAAGATTAACCTCCACGGTTGACAGAGTTTATCGAGGGAGAGAGATACGTACGATTGGCTCGACGACGGCATGGTAGGCAAACTGCGGCTCACCCAAATCTTGTTCATTCTGTTGAGTTTGCGCTTGAGCCATGATGTCTGCTGTCGCGGCATGTGCCGACTGTAAAGAAAAGAACGAAAAAAATAGAGTATTAGGAGGATAAAAAAGAAGCTTAAAGATTGTTACAACAAATAGGTTGGGTCGGGTGAGTCGTTAAAAAGTTTACGTTAGATAAATAAAGAACTCCGGAAGACGCGGAGAATAATGGACAAGGGGAGAGATTTGCTCCCTGGTCAAAACAAGGGAAGCAAGGATGTTTGGGTTGCGGATCAGGATTTGATCACAGCTACCGACCGCTAAATGCACTGGGCTGCAGAATAAAAAAAGAGCGTTAGGCGGTTAATGAGTTAGGGGGATAAGCTTGGCGGGTTGGAGCGCTGTGTTATTACGTGTCTTGGAACTTGGGACTGTGAATCTAGGAGGCAGCCCCTGAAGCGCCAGTACTAATTGGTCATCTGCACCATCAGCTTGTGACGTAGATGATCCATTCTGCGGAGGCTAAAATTTAGACTGGAAGGGGGGAGGTGACAGAAACTCTACAGCAGTAAGCCACTGTAAACCTGCACTAAAATGCACCAGCTGAAATTGTCAGAGGGAGCAGAAGTGGGGTGACGGTCAGCCAATCCCGACGTCCGCGGACCCCCTACTCCCCCTCGGATTTTTCGTTCTCGCTTTTGTTTTTCTTAGGGGGGGCCGCTCCACTGATAATGAAAGGGTCACCCCCCCTTCTGGTGCACTGCAACTGTACTGCCACTGTCCCTGCGGCGCAACGGAATCCATCATCTTTTTTTACACGCAGGCAGGCGTCAGATTTAATCTCAGCCCAAAACAATCTTCCACTCCTTCAAAAGCGCACAAAACGCCAAGCCGCTCGCCGGTCCTTTCTCTCCCTACCTTTTTACTTCTTTTTAATTATATCCCTTGTGCAAAATGTCGTCCTCACCAATCCTCGGTCCCGAACGAAAAAACTCCTACGATGAAGAACGTCTTGAATGGGCGACGCCCTCTGTTCCAAAGAAGTACCTCCGCCTGCCAAGACTTCGCCGCTCGACCGTGATTCTCCTCCTCATCGATTTCCTCATCGTCGCTGTCCTCGTCAATGCCTTTTATCCGCTTATTACACTGCTGCGTCGGAATGAGGAGCTGTTTGGTGCGAGATTAACGTTGCCCCTGAATGATACCTCGTTTGGGGAGGATGTGCCCGCGCAGAGGACGATACCGAGGATTTTTCACCAGACGAGCGCGAATGAGACTATCCCTGAGGCTTGGAAGGATTTGGTGAAGAGTTGTAGGGATACTTACTCCGAGTTTGAGTACAAGGTTTGTTTTCCTGGTTTGGTGGTTAATTGAAGAGATGGATGCTAATTGTCGCAGCACTGGACGGACGATAAGGCTCGCGATTTTATTTCGGAAGAGTATCCTTGGTTCCTCGACACCTGGGACACATTCCCCTTCAACATTCAACGCGCCGATGCCATTCGATATTTCGTGCTTCACCACTATGGCGGTATCTATCTCGACATGGACACGCTCTGCAACGCGACAATCCCCCTCCACCAAATCGAGTCCAAAGGCGGCAAGCACCACGCCATCTTCAAGAGCACAACACCCACCGGCGTCTCCAACGACATGATGATAACCTCCGCACACCACCCAGCCTTCACAAAAGCCCTCTCCCGAATCCAACTCTACAACGACATAACCCGTCCCTGGGCGCACATCCTCCCGCACGTCGCAGTAATGGTATCCGCAGGCCCGCTCTTCCTCACCATGGCGCTGAAGAACTATCTCCTCGAACAGCCCTCGCTGCCTGAGAATACGGTGCAGGTGATCAATGCGACCGAGCTTGAACCTTATTTGACTGATTACGAGGGCGCGTCGTGGCATCACGGCGATACGAAGACGTTGATGTGGATTGGCGATAGGCCGTGGGTTTGGTACATGCTCGGTGCGATTGGGCTGAGTGGAGGGTTGTATTTGATCAATTTGCTCATGATGAAGTGCTGGGGACGGTTTTTTGAGAAGGCTTCTAGTGATGAGGCGAAGGATGCTATTAAACTAACGTAGAAGGGTTTATGCGTTAATTATATATGACTATAATACTTGTAATGTCAGCGATGTTTATTCACAATTCTCTTGTCTATTCTTCGACATCGTGCAACTCCATTTCTCGTCGGCTTCAACAATGCTCAATCACGACCTCGAAGCCTTAGTTCTGACCGTCCCATTCATGACACGCCAGCCTCGTGGCTTATGTCGACACGTCAGTGCGTTCGCCAGTCCCCCAGATCCGAATCTGACGGTCCCCAAAGCCAATGCAACACTGCAGGAGACTTCATCACCCGACATACGCGCGTCCAAGTTAATCTTGGTCCAGACCGTTCCGTGCCGGGTAGGGATTTGTGAGATGACGTCGGCGTAATTCTTTGGGTAGAATAACCCCGCAAAGTAGGCTGGGCCGTGAAGCTAGGCTGTATTGGAGGTTGTGACAGGTTTCTTGCACGTCATTGGTGTTTTGAGGGAGCTTTGTATGCAGAGCTCTCGATTGGTGCGGTTTTGAGAATTGAGGGCTGTTCTGGTTGATGTCGAGTCAATCTTCAATTGCCCTCTTGATGGGGTTTGTATTGTAGCACAATTTTGGTGTTGTAAGACGCGACGCCAGCCTCTCAATTCAAGATGGACGGTTCATGCAAAGCACGATACGAGATCCAACAAATAAACAATGACTTTTCTTACACGCCACGCTCTCTAACTTACAGTTCGACAGCCAATCGCTGCAATGACTTTCCCAACCTTCTAAATTACATATCCTACACATCATCTTACTGAGACCCAGTCTCCGACGCCTCACCCTCCAACTCCTTCTTCTCCTTCTCCTTCTTCTCAATAGTCGTTTGTTTCTCCCACATAGCGTGGTATCGACCACCTTGAGCTAGTAGTTCGTTATGTGTTCCGCGCTCGACAATCTTGCCCTTGTGAAGTACGATGATCTGGTCTGATGTCGTGATGGTGGAGAGGCGGTGACTGGACGGTTAATTGATGTTCGAAGAGGGTTTGGGGAGACTTACGCGATGGTGATTGTTGTGCGACCTTCGGTGACGCGCTCGAGGGCATCTTGGATCTGACGCTCTGTGTGTGAGTCGAGAGAGGCGGTGGCTTCGTCGAGGAGGAGGATACGAGCGTCTTTGAGAATGGCGCGTGCGATGGCAATCTACAAATGTCAGTCAACCACGTCCGCAATGCTCACCAGTGATGGTAACTTACTCTTTGACGTTCACCTCCCGACAACTTCAATCCTCGCTCTCCAACCTTCGTCTCATACCCGTCCGGAAAGTTAAGAATACGCTCATGAATATTCGCTGCCTTGCATGCTTCATAAACATCTGCCTCTGTCGCATCCGGTCTCGCGTAAAGAAGATTGTACATGATCGTCGCATTGAACAGAACCGTGTCCTGGGGAACGACTCCGATGTTGCTGCGCAGGCTCTCGAGCTTGAGATCTCGAAGGTCGTGACCGTCAATGGTGATGGAGCCATCCGTGACGTCGTAAAAGCGGAAGAGGAGTTTGAGAGAGGTCGACTTTCCACTACCTGATTCTCCAACAATCGCAGTCTTTGTGCCTGGAGCGACTGTGAAGTTGATGCCGTCGAGAACAGGATCGCCTTTCTTAATGTGATATGCGAACTTGACATCGTTGAAGGAGACTTCACCCTTGGGTGAGGGCAACTGGATAGCATCGGGTTTCTCAACCACGCCAGGTGTTTCTTTGAACTATTTCCGTTAGTATCGCTGTATTGCAGAAGAGGAGGGGAGACTCACGATATCAAGCAGCCGTTCAGCTTCAATAAGGTTATTCTGAAGCATAGTATAATATGTCCCAAAAAAGTTCAAAGGACCCTGAAGCTGAACAAAGTAATTGATCAAACTCACAAACTCACCAACAGTCTGCTCCCCAATCGAAATCTTATACGCCGACACCGAAACAAGCAACGCCGTTCCCAACGTGAAAATCGAACTCTGCGTGAGATTCAGCCCGTTCAAGGACCACTGCACCAATCTCTCCGCCCGCTGAAAAACAGTAACATGCTCTCTGAACCGTGCCGTCTCACGCGCAACAGCACAATTGTGCTGAACAGTTTCATAAGCGACTATAGCATCCGTCTTGACAGCTTCCATCTCGCGGGTCTTGATGGTCATGTCCCTTCGTTGTTTTCCCCGATACTTGGCGACGTAGATCGTTAAAAAGATGTAAGACCACATTATAAAGAACACAATAATGGTGTAAAAAGCATCGTATTTCACGAAAAAGATCACACCAGCGACGAAAATGTCAAACACCATGGGAAAAACCTGGAAGCAGAAACTTTCAAGAAAGGTGTTGATTGAAGCACCACGGCTCAAGGCGCTGGTGACTTCGCCGACTTTTTTGTTGAGGTGGAATTCGAGGGATAAACCGAGGACGTGTTCGAAAGCAGCGGAGGAGAGACGGCGGAAGAGCGATTGGGATACGGGGAGCCAGAGGAGGGATCGGGCGGCGCCGAGAACGCCTTGGTTGCCTTGGAGGGCGCGGTATACGACGTAGAGGATGATTTCTCGATAGGGAAGTTTGCCTTCGCCGAGGCTGTCGACGAGATTGCCGAGTTGGAGGGGAGCTAGGACGTTGACGGTGCGTTGGCAGATGAGGAGGATGATGCAGATTAGTACGATGGCTTGGTAGACGGGTGAACCCTTTGGCCTGCGATTGTCAGTGAATGAGTATTGCATCAGTGAAGGGACTTACCAGAGGTAGGGGAACAAGACTCGGAATCCAGCAAAGTAATCCAACCATCCAGTTCCAGAAACCTGCGTCCTTCTCGGCTCAGCAGCCGTAGGTTGAACACTTCCATACCCCTCCGCCGCCCCATTCCCATTCTCAAGAAGTCCCTGTCTCTCCTCCGGCAAAGACTTCGGCTCAAGAGACTTAGTCTTATACTCCCTCAAACTCAACGCTCCGATCATCAAAGCCAACACAAAAACCCTGGCAGCTCCAAGGATGTTGAGAGTGTCGACAAAGCCAGGTGATACTCGAAGTTTCGGCTCAACGGCTGAAAGAGCTGCTGCGATGACAATCTCTGCAAGAGCACCGACGCACCATGCTGAAAGGTGAGCGGCGTTCGGATTCCACGGTCCTTCAGGGTCTGGGAGAAGACCGGCGACGTAGTATAATAAAACACCAACAAAGGACGCCTGGAATTGGTTAGTTATACTTCTTGTGAGAGGAAGGGGAACGTACGAGATATGCACTAAACGAAAAGACAACACTGCCCTTCACATCATCCTGATCCGCAAAAACCTCCCTCGTAGCATACCCAACACTCGCAATCAACAATCCCGAGAGTATGACCTGAAGAACCCAAATACACCTCGCGTAAAATTTTCGAATCTTGTCAACATGTTGTTTCAAGTCATTGTCCAACGCGACTTTACGCGTCGTCGTGCCATGGCGACTTGTGTAGAACTGAGCGGACTGAACGCCAAGGAGCGTGACGAAGAGGACGATGGGATAGGCGTAGAAGCCAATCTTCAATCCAAGCTCTGCCTTTGCCATGGCTGAGGAAATTTTGTGATGGGCGTGAGCTTTCGAGGGTGAGTTGAGGATGATGTCAAGGGATCGGGGTTTTGATGTTCCGGGGTAAGAAGGGATTAGTCAGCGGATTTATCAGCGATGGTGAGATTGTTTCTTTGATTCACTGCATCGTTCTTTGGTCTGTGTCTTGTGCTTTTGGGTGAAGTTCTACTGATTAGATAGTTGTTTGTGGTTTTGAAATGCAAGTCATTGTGAATTCATCACTGCCAAGGTGCACTGGACGACAGCCATCTCCAAGCCTCCCTCGCGATATCCGTTGGAACGTTGTGAAAGCCTCCCGCCATGCATACCGTTTCTGGACTGATAAATCGGCCAATGATAGCTCAATACTGAGTCTGGATACCGTGTGATGTGCAGCTGCACCCGCCGCCTCCAGACTCTTGACCTGTCTGGGCACGCTGTGAGTAAGCCTCAAGGAGCAAGAAAACTTCTCATATTGAGGTATGGTGCCAAAAGTAACTAGTCCAAGGTCCACTAACTCTATACTAAATTTTCCTAAATGCTTTTGTCATTTAGAATAGAGAGGTCTTAAGTTTTCTTGCCTCCCTAGGTAAGGCAACTGATTGAGGCGGGGTGATGGAAACCAGGCTATGCTGTTGGTTCCAGATTGTGACAATTGTGCAGCTTGACGTGTCAATCGTTGACTGATTCATGAGCTGACTATCAGCCGAAAGTAGAAATCCGAGCACACACACTCGTAGGAGTGCATCGATAATGTCACCTATGAAGCAGGCTGTGATGTAGTCTCAAATGAGAAGGGGAATTGTACGGCAAGGCATAGAAAGACGTATTAAATGGCTGGACATAAAATAATTTGCTGTAGTCCAACCATTTCTCTACTCTTTAACCTTGTCCAGACTTATCTTTTCTCCTTTTGCGTCGTTCACTGCCCAGCATGGAACCGCTTGGTGCATTCGCCAGCGTTGCCACCATCGTTGGATTGATAAGACCAACAGCCAAGTTCGTCAGATCCCTCAGAGGAATCACCTCCGACGACGGCCATGTCGCCACAGAAATTCGCAGAATGGCCATTCGAATCCAGGCATCGGCTACTAGTATCGACGTTGCATTACAAGAGCTCAAAGGCCACTCATCAACGCTTGAGAAAATGCAGCACGCACCTTCAAAAGTCCTACAGTATATTATCGACAACAAGTCCATGGAAATGATTGTGTCTGGCACAGAATCAATTAGCAAGCAAATGAGGGACACAGCTCGCGACCTCAGCGATAAGAAGAAGCGATTCAAGATCATCAACAAGATCGACTGGATTCTGCGGAAACACATGGAGGTTGAATCATTATTTCCTGAGATGCAGCTCGTAACGGCTTGTCTCTCTCTTGTGTGTCCCATCATCAGACTAGAGATCAATCAGTATATTCTCAACAAATCCTCCGGCGAGGTTGCGCAGTGTCTGGAGCAAGAGATGTAAGTATAGGCCTCGCCTCTTTTGAGCAACAAAACGTCTAACGCAGATAAGGGAATCCTTGCGTAGTCAGTTAAAAATGGTCGAGAAACAGTATCACAGTATAATGCAGGAGCAACAGCGAAGTATGAATGGCCAGTCAGACTTTGAAGCTGTAACGAAACCACTTCTTCGCTTGGCGCAGAGTGTACGACGAACTGGTTCGGCACCCCGACCTAAAAGAGCACCGACTAGTCGAAGATCAACTATCTCAGAAGAGACATTTCCGAGTCCGCCGGGTAGTGAGACATCAACTGTTTTTGTTCTTGTTCTTGACGATGATGAGGAAATTGAGGTGCCACGGAGGACAAGTAGGAACTCATCCGGGCGGTCGGCCATGAGCAGGAATTCTAACTCAGCTGCACCAACTCGGACTCCACGAACCTTCTCGGGCTTACACTCTCCCAGGTCTCACAACCCTTCAGTCCCTCGCAGAGCCCCATCAGAGTCATCGCAACGAACCTCCAACAGCGCACAGTCTTCCAGGCCTCACTCAGCTGTTCCATCACCATCGTCACAGACACCGGACACGCCTCCTACTCCCCAAAGCCCCGATAGTCTGGAGGTGCCTAAACCACTGAGGATAGATACCTCAGCACGCGAGAGTGAGTCGCGTGGGGGAATCGTCCGGGCCACTCAAGGGTATATAATCAACCCAGCAAACAAGGGGACAGCCATTCCAACGAAGGCTGCGAAGATTGATCCATCCGTTTTCTTCAATTACATGTCAGTAACGACGGCGAAACAACTCGGTCTGGATATTCAGGAGCTGGACCCTGATGAGCCTAGTCACACTCATAGCTGTAGCAGCGGAGTAAAAATGCGTGGGAAGGTGATCGGTAAAATTACAGGTGTAGGATGGCGTAAAACAGGTTGGTCAAAGGCTATCCCCGTTGAGTTTCTGGTTAAAGATTACTACGCCGACGGGATGCGAGAGCATGTGGTGTTTGGGAGGAAATTTGCCAACGCCCTTGACGCGGCTGGGGGAGGCAGATGATGAGTGGAGGAGAAGGATACCAGCTGTTACCTATCTCCCTTATTCGACCTACTGACCAAACTAGAGAGAAACAGTTATGTCCTGAAGAAATCCGTAGGTGAAGTTGCTCAGACAGACAGGGACAACACCCAAAAGCAAAGGGCATCGACTTATGACAAGCAGTGTCCGCCACCTGCTGTTACTTGGCATGGCAAACAGCCAGTGCCATCACTCATTCGTTTGATCAAGCAGTGGAGCGTTATTGTTATTGTGTAACCTGGTCAGCACTCCGCGTTTGCAGTCACCGTCACTGCCTACACGCAAACACATAACCGCTCCACCACCACAAGTCTTCTTTATCATCTTTCAACAACATCTTTTCATTCCTCACCGTCGGGCATCTCAGCCACCATGGCTCCTCAGAGCGCCGAGCTCAACGACCATGCGGGCGCTCAGAGCAAAGCTCTCGCAGAGTAAGTATCACTGTATTCACGCAAGATCCAGCTACTAACTGCTCCTCAGCCTCCTCAAGACCGGTGAGTACTCCGATCTAGTCATTGCGCGCGGCGAGGACGAATATCGCGTTCACAAAGCAACCGTTTGCCCACGATCCCACTTCTTCAAGGCAGCGACACAGTCTGAACGAAGTCTTTCTTCACTGAATAGGAGCTGTTTGCTATACTGGCCATGCCCAGTGCAAACTATCAAGATGTATTGCCATAAAACCGATCAAGATTGTGCAATCCATACAGTTTGGCCAGTTCATGATTCATAGTCCAAATTCACCCACACTTTTGTCGAAACTCGGATGCTGCCTAAGATTTCTTCTTCTACAAACATAACAACCAAGTCAAACAGCGACAAAGAATCGTGATTTTGGTTAGGCAGTGACATTGACTGTTTCTTTTCGCCTTCACTGCCTGACGACGAACAAACACGTCCGCTATAAAAGCTGTGCCTCTTCCTTCTCACTCTCCATCTTCCAACATCCTTCTTATCATCTGATGAGTGTGTGGACCTCTCCGTGATTAGTCAATACCTCTGACAGCACCTGCGAGCCAAAGCTCCTGAGATTCCAGTTGCGTAGCAAGAAGAACAAGTGCTCTCTACCCACCATGCCCCCTCAGGGCGTTGCGGTCTATGACCACTCCGACGATCAGAGAAAAGCACTCGGAAAGTGAGTATTTTCAATCACACCTTTCACGCTCCTATGCTGATATACAGCTTAGCCTCCTCAAAACCGGTGACTATTCCGACCTCGTTATCATCTGTGGCGAGAAGCGCCACAAAGTCCACAAAGCAATCGTGTGCCCACGATCCCTCTTCTTCAAAACAGCCTGCAACATTGGCTTCACGGTAATATTGCATTGCATCATTGCCACGTTTGTTTTACTTACTTGGTACAGGAAACTCAGACAGGTGAGATCAACTTGCCTGATGATGACCCCTTTGCTGTGCGCATGATGATCCAGTACCTCTATCATCAAACGTACACAATCCCACAGGTACCAAGCCTAGCTCCGGAAGATCAATGGTTTTCTATGGTTACTCCCATGCCTTCAACAGCGCCATGTCGAAGTACTCGTCATTCTTTCAGTGGCGACTCTTCTGGCATCAATCTTTTTCGCGCATGGCCACCACAGACTGCCCCTGCCCCTCCTCCACAACGACCAGCGTCTGGCGATTCTATCATTCCTTATGTAAATCTCCGTGTTCACTACAAAGTCTATGCGCTAGGCGAAAAATACGGCATCGACGGCCTCAAGGCTCTCGCTGTTAGTAGATTTGAATCCGAGGGTGAAGATGACTTCAAAGTTCGTGGTGGCAACGGCATTGGGGACTTCATACAGGTGATGAAGGAAGCATACATCTCAACTGCGGAAGGAGATCGTCCCCTGCGCGATGCTGTGGTCAGAATGCTGAAACCGAAGACAAGCCTTTTTGAGAGGGAGGATGTGAAAGAGTTCCTCAAGGAAGAGGACTTGGCTTACGATTTGGTTATGAGCTACGTGCGGGATAATTCGGTGAGGGGAAGGACGAGTCTTGAAGATGCAGCCTACGGGAGGGGTGTATATTAGCTGAACCAGACCAGCACTTAGTCTAGTCAAGAGCCCCAGATTCTCAGGCCCATGGTCTCGGGTGTAATTTTGAACCTTGCCAGACTCCTCATCCCTTGTGACATATACAAAAGAACATCCAAAGCTAGGTTTGTAGCCCGCATGGCTTTTTGCACCGCCACATGATCCAACAACAAGATATCCTGCTCAATTATCTTAACAACCACATCCCTTAACCCCCTATCATCACTGATCGTCGAAGTATACACCTCCTCAGCCGCTTCCGCAAAGTCGTCGATCCCAACAGTGCCGCTCTCGATTTCACTCTCAAACTTGCCCTTGGCTGTCTTCTTCAGACCCTGTAGTCCGTATTTCTCCCCTAGCGCATACACCTTTGCATGTAGGCAGAGCTGTGATGCAAGAGGAGGTTCGTCGACCTTCCAGCCTCCCCATTCACGCTCCTTGAGCTGTTTTATTCTTTTTCGTTCGATGAATTCTGCTCCAAAGAGTCTCATGCGATACCGTGTCTCAGCGTCATATTCTGTATCCGAAAGCTCTGCCTCTACGTCGTCCTGATAGTCCGGCATCTGCGTTGTTGTGGGGGTATAGTCGATGTTGTAAAGATAACCAATCATTTTTTGTACTGCAGCGGGATCATCGTCCGGGAGGTTGATCTCTCCATCTGATTCCTGTGATACACTGTAAGTCCCCCAATTCACGGTCCAAAAATAGTGCTGTTAGTTATATTACCTTGTAGATCCCACTGCAAGCGGCCTTGAAGAATTTGGACCGAGCGCAAAGGATGTTTCTGTGCACTCGATACCGATTGTTGCCGCAGATGATGGTCAAGTCGGAAAACTCTCCGGTCTCAAGCATTCTGTTTCGCAAATCAGCAAAAGGAAACAGTATTAAAGAATTATGAAACCTTACCCGGGAAGGGCCTTCATGTACTCGTTACTGCTCTCGCTTGTGTTGAAAAGTGGTGGTGGGCCGCCCTCTTGTCTATAGTCCATGGGGTCTCCCATGGTGGGTGTCAAGGTGCAAGTTCAACAGATCCACGCATATAACAGATCTTGACATATATACTTGGATAAAAGGTTTGTTGGTTAACTCATGTATGATAGAATTTGGAAAAGAGACTGCTGCTCGTGATGTTATACGCTGGAGTTGAAGTCTAACAGGCCGAAGGTTTCGCGTACCTGAAGATGGCTCAAGTTGGTTGGTGATGAAAACCTCACAAATTAAGCTATCAAAATAAGTAATCTATATGACTAAGTTATACTAAACTTACCTCAATCTCTTCATCGCTTAGGGTCAAGGGTTCAAGTTTTCTTGCCTCCGCTAGACAATCCCGCATGCCGCCTTGACGCCCAAGTTTAGCCACGATAATACCAAGAGCCCCCTCAACGCTGTGATGATGGGGTTGCCCATCTACTAGTCCAGGACTGACCGTCCTCAGGTCAAGAAATTTCGCTGTGTTCATAGATTTATAATTATAGAGTGTAGTGCTATCGATCATAACGATTACAACAGATCTTTGCCGCCATCTCTTGTGTTCTCAAAGTAAATTGTCGTGTACCTCAGCCCTTCACCACTCTAGAGGATATTTTGCATAATATCCTGTAAACTCTGCACCACTTTAGAATACGCCAAATCTCTCGCCCCAGCTCTGAACAGTCTCGGGTTCGTAGTCTTATCGCATCCATGAGCCCCCTCGATCCCGACAACCTCAACATCACGACCAGCACGCTCCAATTTCTCCGCAAACACTTCGATCTCAGGTGTAAATATATCCCCAGAGCAAGCAACAAGCATAAGATGCTCCGGAAAAGACTTTGCTTTGGCGTACATGGGCGATGCCTTGGGTGACTTGCGATCTTCAACCCTCGGAACATACGCTTCAGTGAGAAGATGCTGAAAAGATACTGGGATGGGACGAATGGGTTCCGGAACCGTCTTCTTCTCCGGTGGGATAGTGAAGTCAACACCAGGATAAAAAGCATACACCGCTCTAATGTTCATCTTGAACTCACGCCTCAGTTCAGATGATGCGACAAGCGCCAGGTTTCCTCCAGAACTAAACCCGGACAACGCAACTCTGTCAAGATCGAACATTCCTCCCTGACTCTCAACCCATCTTAGAGTATCTTCAGCGTCTTCAACGGCCCCAGGAAGAGGATATTCAGGTGCTTTGCGGTAATCAGCATCCAGAACAAGGACATTGTTCTCGGTGGCCATTTTCTCGCAGAATTCATGGTCCATGCCGAGATTTGGGAGGGTGTAAGCGCCGCCGTGCCAATTGATCACAAGACCGTATTTTCGAGTATTGGTGTAGTTGTTTGGGTAGTAGATCCATGCGTTGATGAAGCGGTTAAGATCGCGGGATGGAATGCGGATGAATTTGCGGATGCATGTTGGGGAGGGTGTGAAGTGAGGACGCGTGAAGATGTAGTTTATGAGACGGATTATTGTGACGATTGCTTTGAGGCGGAGATATTGCCAGAATGTGTGGTCGGCCATTGCTGCGGTTTGACAGTTCGGTTGGGACGGGATGAGAGAGGCGTTGGGGAGGGAGACTTTCGTGAGGCTCTGCGTGGAGTTCTTGAAGTTGGCTATCATCATCTTTTTATGGTAAGCCCAAATTCTCGATAAATTCATTGGTGTAACTAAATTGACGTTGGTGATTGGCTGATCGACAACTCCACTGATGCTGACCGGCCGTGAGTCATCTGGTGAGCGATCCTTGGTACGCCCAATACGCCAATACGACGATTGTACTACCGCAAACTACATATCTCACGTCTTTGAACTGAATAATTATGACATTTTAGTCTATTTTATATTAACACAAGTGATTGTACACTCTCTTCCATAACGGCCATTTTCTCCTCGCCTGCTCCTCCTCCTCATTCCAAACATGCAAGTATCGTCTGCCCGTATTAATATCTATATCCTTATCCCTCACAACCTTCGTCCCCATCCATGTTTTATGCGTAAAGTAGAACAAGAAGATAATAGGAATCGTCAAGACCTGCAAAAAGAAATTCTTGAACCGTTCCGGCGTTGTGAGAGGATCTTCACCCTCAGGTTGAATCGGGGATATGGCAACCCAGATCTGCAGTATCAGAACAGTTCCATAAGCTGCGAGTGCAACCCATGATCCCCAAACCCCAACCTGCGACCGGAACGCAAGTTGTGAAACATTATATCCTGAAAGTTTCCACGCTTTTCGAAAGCGAATGTGGCAGATACAAATAGAACTCCAAGTGAAGAGGGTACTTAGCCCACTGATCGCAAGGAGCCAGTTGAAGATTTCGTTGTGAATTTTCGAGTTAGCGGTGAATGCTAGTAGACCTAGCAAACCGCAGCAAACAATCGCAACGAGAGGACGTCCAGTTCGATCAATGTACGCAAACATCTTCGGCGCAAGTGACTGTTCCGCCAACGCCGCCAGCGTTCGTGACGATGCATACACAGCTGTATTCCCAACACTGATCAACGATATAAGAATAACAGCATTCATAATGTCGGGCAAAACATCCGAGCCGCTCATCTCAATCGCTATAACGAACGGGCTAGCGGCAGCATCAGAACCATACTTCGCCCCCAGTAATCTCGGTTCATCATACGGCACCAGCAAACCGATGAGTAGAATCGAGAGGATGTAAAAGAGAGAAATTCTCCAAAAGACTTGTTTCACTGCTGCGGGGAGGGACTTTTTCGGATTACTCGTTTCGGCTGCTGCGAGACCGACCATTTCTGTTCCGGCGAAGGAGAACGTTGCTGTTACTAAAACACTTGCGAAGCCTTTGAAGCCATTGTGAAAAGCGCCGGGGTTGTGCCAGCGTGTGAAACCGATGTAGTCGCCTTCTGGAGATCCTGCGATGTTGATGATTATACCGAGAAGACTGAGATTGTTAGAAATTGTGAGAGAGAATGACTTGGGGGTTTGTTACATGAAGCCCACGATGGCTGTGATCTTGACGGCTGAGAAGATGAACTCAGCTTCGCCATAACCTTTTACTCCGAGTAAATTGATTCCGAGGATGACAATGAAGAAGAGGACGATGAAGATACTCTTGCTCGCGTTGGGATTCCAATAATTGGTCGTAAACGCGCCTGCAATGATCTCCAGCGGCAGCACAATAAGATACTGCAGCGTATAACTGTCCAAAGTCAGCCCTATCTCATTTCTGTTCTCACTCACTCTCACTCACTTCCAACCCATAGCAAATCCCCAACTCGGATCCAAAAACCTCGTCGAATAATTCGCAAACGACCCTCCCACCGGAAACGCAACACTCAGTTCTCCCAGCGCCTGCATCGTAAAAAACTGCATAGCACCCATAACAATAAACGCCAACAGTAGCGAAACAGGTCCACCGCGATACAGCGCAACACCCGACGCGACAAAAAGACCTGTTCCGATAGATCCCCCAAACGCAATCATTTGCAAGTGTCGGTTTTTAAGTTCCCGTGCTAGAGCTGTGTTGGCGGAGTTGTAGTTTGCTTTGCTCATGTTGAAGAGCCGGCCGTTAAAGGCATAGCTGTTGTAGCTGCTGAGGCTATCATTTTCCGAATGTCGCGCTGGGGCGCGTGAGAAGCTTGTGACGAGACGACTCCATGCTGAGGGAGAGTCGCAGTCTTTCGACTCAGTGAGAATAGGGATTCGTGACTTCGGTGATGGCGGTAGAGCTTGCATCTCGAACTCGCGTTGGTATGCCATGTTCGAGATGAAGCCGAAGCTGAAGCTGAAAAGATACAAACTTCCTGATCAAGATCAAGACGGGAATTGAAGATTTTCCCCAGGGGGCGGCATGCACGTGCCTTGTCGCCACAGGGCGTGCTATTCCCGTGTTGGACTAGACCTGCGAGCAAAACAGGGGATATCGCGGGCCTACGATGCTGCTAGCGAATCGCTGATGTTCCGCTGCGCACGATGAGACGGTGTCTCCGTTTGACGGGCCGCGAATGGTTCACAGGTTGTATAGATCAGGGGAACTGAGCGGTTTTGTGACGGGGAAACTCGTATCATCCATGGAGATAATGCGTGGGTGCATGAGTCGTGGACTGAAGCCACGTAAAGTTTATTGAGTTGCATTCCTTGGTAGTATATCTGACTAATGGATTTAGTGGGAGCGGAAAGAAGGCCGTGGCAGGGGATTGACCTGGGAACCCTAGAAGATAATAATGATGCTAAAAGTTGGGATGATTTGCTGATGCGACGCTGCGGACTTGTGAGCGACTTCCGGTCCGTGAAAATGACGTCTTGTCATTCTAAGTTTGCTATTCTTGAGTTTGCATAAGCATTGTAGAGAATGTAAATGGTACAGGACGTCTAGAAGTCTGGAGAGCCAGAACCCCGGAACCAAGACTCGGCTGTCACCCGAATAGTTTCAGCCACTGCATAAGCGGAAATTCATGAGAACACTCTATGCACCAGTAGTCTCGCGTAGAACTTCCACGGCCTAACGTTCGAAGAAACCTTATCGAATTGAGAGTGGCTAATCAAACGCTATTAAGCGAAGGTGCCTGGGCCAAGACTCAATCGGCATTCTCGATTCTCATCGCGATTCCGCGTGTTCCCTTGCTCGCCGAATCCCGTCTTATTCCCTTCTAGCCCCTGAATCTACCTAGGATGCGGACAAGTCTTCAATATCTGACCCACTTCGTAGAGAGTGATTGAGTTCTCTCGCATATGAGTGGAGTGTCAATTTGCGCTCTGCAATTAGCTTGAGTGTTGGCCTTTGGGATGACGTGGAGATGACCAAATCGCCCGGAGCTTCAGCTCCTTCGGCGAAATGGAACTATCGACAGCCTCACCCAGCGGCTTTTGTCGCCGGTACCTGACACTATTTCCTCTCCCAGCAGGCAAGACATGCTCAATCAACTCTGACTACTAGAGATACGTTCACGGTAGGATGGATTCTTCTATTTCTATAGGATTGTATTTCTCTATGCCGTGCGATAATTTCGTGACTACTTCAATCTATCCAAGAACGCGATCAATTGCTTCGTCGACACAACTCCCAACACCTTGGCCGTATCTTCCTCAGTGACGACCAAATAGCTAATGCCCAGCTTTCCAAACAACTCCACAGCGTACTCAAGAGGAGCTTTCGACGAGAGAGTCAATGGGTTCCTGTCAATAGACTCTGCCATAATACTTTCAAGAATATTTATCTCAGAAGACTCTTCAACACCATCGGTTTTCTCAATCATATGCAGTGTCTTCTCCAGTTGATATTGCGAGATATAACCGTGGCAGACTCCACCGTCGTTAACGAACACAAGCCCAGAGTCGCTCAAGCCTCTGTGCTGAAGATGAGAGAGCTTGTGGCGGAGTAATGATGTGAGGACACGATAGCCAGGCGCGATAGACACAATAGCGCTGTCCATGGCATCTTTTGAAGGGAGAAGAGCGTCGACCATCGCACTGCCCTCATTATCTCTGAACTCTCTAACCTTGCCGATGGCACCTTCAGCCTCCAAGAATGGATGTCCTTGAAGATGCTGAGCAAGATCATAAACACCATCGGCACTGATAACATCAGCCACCCACTTAGCAGTTAGAATGGCGATCATGAAGGGCGGGATGAAGTTGACCTCTCCTGTGAGCTCAAACATGATGACAGCTAGACTGACAGTCATTCGACTAACTCCAGCTAGGAAGGCTGCTGATCCGACCATGGCAAAGATTCCAGGTGAGATGTTGGGAATGAGTTGACCGATCATGCGACCGAACAGGGCACCGGCGTCCATTGCGGGAATGATAATTCCAGATGGGACCTTGCAGCCGAATGTGATGGTCGTTAAGAATAGCTTCACGAAGGTTCCAGAGACCAGCCATGCGTAGTACGTGCCCTTGCCGGTAGCTTGGGCTTCTTGTTGGCAAATCCAGTCCTCGTCAACATGGTTGCAATCAACAAGTAGTCGTTGCATGACAATATCTCCAGTTTCTCTGATCAGCATATTCGGAAATTGAAGAATTGCAGTGATCAACGTCACAAGAGCCAACTCAAAAACAGGGTTGTTCTTGATAAGCGAAATCTTTCGGAACGACTTGGACCAGAGGAAATTTGCTCGACAGAATACTCCACCAAACACGCCACCGCAGACGCCGAGAATGAGAAAGACGAAATAGTGAAGAGCATCATAGTTGACGCCGTAGTTCGTCTCAAACAGAACCAGCTTGCCAGTACCCGTAGGGTTGAGCTCCTTGAGAACGGCCGCAGCTACAACTGAACAAAGGCAGCTCCTCCAAAGTACCCGTCGGGGGAAGTATGTGCTGATCTCCTCATAGCTGAAAAGTACGCCTCCGATCGGAGCACCGAAAGCGACAGATAAGCCCGCCGAACACGCCACGCTTAGCATCTCCCTGAGCTTCCGTTGATTATTCGCATACTTGGGGATGCAAATGCTAACGAGATATCCAACGCATGCTGAAATGTGTACAAAAGGACCTTCCTTCCCCAAACACATGCCTGTTGCGACTGCAAAGATTGATCCGATGGCCTTAACGATGAGGACTTTGAGATCGAAGAGATGAGGGATAGAAAAGCCGGACAATACGGTCTTTATCTCGGGGATGCCACTTCCAGCTGCCATATACATAACCTTTCCGCCGGGGTTTGGAGCTTGATCTCCCAATGAACCAAATGACTGTTCTTTCTCTGGAGCGACGGCAGTGAGATTCGATTTCGTTGTCATGGTAACACTACCAGCGATGATACCAAAGGCCAAAGCAAGGCCGACATAGATAGCGTATGCGTACACATAGCTGCCAGTCCATGACTTCCAGCTCTGACAGGTTGTCTCTGATGCACAGCATGCTCGACGGCTCAGAAAGATGTTGTTGGTGCAATAGCCGTCTTTCCAGTCTGCTACCACCTCAACGCTGACGTCTACAACTGCCGCGATAGAGGCAGTCAGAAGACCGATTAGGAATGCTGCGACCCATCCTTGTGAAGAGTCCCATAGCTTGGTGATACGGTAGCGAATGCCGCGGCGTGAGTACAGACTTGAGTTATCGCATCGGTGACTATCTTTGACAAGGCCTTGTAACCAGTCTATGGTATGGTAGTCACTATACGGCAGACTGTCTTGCTGTGATGCAGTGTCTGTTGACGTCGCGGCCTTGGTGGAGCGTTGGCGAGATGGTATCAAGGGGGTAGTCTCTGTCATTTCATCTGCTTTGACAGGCATTAAGTCGGAAGCCATTTTGAGCAGGGTGATGGGAAAGATGCGACTCAGGCCGCCTACAAAGAGGAAGGACTGATATAGACATATTTTTAAAAGTCAAGCACAAAGTTAACGGAGAAGTCAAGACACCATCTATGCAGATCTACTGGAAAAGAAAGACACAGATCTTGGGCCTGTGACGTCAATGCATTGCATCTCCGGGTATAGCACAGCCCTCCAGGGTCTTGTGATAAGGTTGCAGCGCCAACTGACCTATCGCTTCTGAACCAGAAATGAAGACTGGTGTTTCATTGGTGAAAATGAGGGCGGCAAGACGTCTAGATCGACTGCCAGATCATTCTCTCGGTCGGCATCGACGAGGGCTCATTATTGCGGGAGAGATGATAATACCTGCACTGGCTGAACTTTTGATCAAAGGGCCATTACTGATTCGATGGACGGATGCAGCATCTGTATCTGGGAGTAGTCTAGAACATTGAGCAGAGATAAGCAGTCACACCAACACCGCCACTATCTCCAATTCTCACATGCAGAGGAGATAAGAGCAGCAAAACAATCGGAAATGGTATATTTTCCTGTCTTTTGCATTTCCTTGTTGAAGACTGACAGTATTGTCTGAAAGTTTTCAATCTGGGCTCCGCGGAGATAAATACGGGCATTAATCAGGTGCGGCGCTGAGCATAAGATCTTTGCTGATCGACGTCCTCGTGAGCGGGGAGATTGTCGCGGTCACCCCGCATAACATGGCACATGGCCTGCTCACAGACGCAACGGTAGATGGTCATTAGCGCCAGTGTCAGATTTTACTCAGATGAAAGCCCCAATATTTATTCTTAGTCATGTCCCTGCCTTGGGATACCAGTCACTGGCCGTCTTCTTCAACAACAGAGACTCCAGCAGTATTGACTCTGCAAGTCAAAGCGCCCCTTGGCCTTTTTACGGCTTTCAAAATAAGACTGTTAAATTGTCTCCTCTTCTCGAACTATCACTCGCTTATTTTCTCAGTACTCATCGACGTCATTCCGTGGGGCTGCCACCTAGCTCTTTGAACAATCGATATCTTACATATCAATAGTTCCTACTAACCAGGAAGCAAAGATATGGCGACAAAGAACCTCACCCCAAAAGATATGTCTGTCCCTTAGAGGCATCTTGACGAATGGTACTCCAGAATGTTCCTATAAATTGTTTAAGCGTTGTGCTTCCGGCCTGGGTTCACTGTTGGACAGTGGATCGATCGTGATCTTTCTGCTGTTCTTCAAGCGTGCGGAATGTCGTGCAAATGATCATGAAGCTCACTGGAAGCATAACTGGTAGACATATGAGCAAAGGCAATGGCCAAGTAAGCGGAAGCCAGAGAATGCCATGCAAATAATGTCCGTCGCGGACGAGCCATACCACGCTCCAGTCCCCCTTTGGACTCTTCTGGTATAATAATCCTTCCTCATTCTTTCACAACTTGAGCTTGCCATCCTCATCCTTCATTGACTGTGGAACATGGTTGCGGAGCGAATGGAGAATGTGACTCCCAGTGCCATCATAGCTGAAATTTCCTCGAAGGACAATTGCTTGTGGTGTTTGCGAGCCAGGAGGCAGCGGAAGGAAAACTTTCAGCAGGAGGTCTGTAATTTTGGCGTCTTGTGGTTCTCACTGATCTCGTGATAGCTTCATTTCATCCCTCCAGGCATCATGTCTCCCGCCCCACTTTGAGCACCATGTCGTACAACATACGAACTCGTAAAAATCTACTGTCAAACTTCCTTTGTCTGTCTAGTACTTTAGCTGTTTAAAAGCTGGCACTGTTCTAATAACCAGACAAGTTTTCCGTCAGAGTTGACCTTGCATGTCCCATCCAGAAAATGAGTTGGCATCTACTGAAGTCAATATCTAGACTGAGCCAATCCTTCCCATCTCTCTGTCAAACAGGCATTCACCATTACTATTAACTTACTTTACATTTAAATCGTCTAACATTAATAATAGATTCACACTCCCCAATTCAAGTCCTAGATATCTATGGATACGCGTTTGTATCTTGTAGACATCTGGATGTTAGAACTCTCGTGCTAGCTTGGCTGATACAGGCTATATATAGGCAAAGATAACAAGAAACTTGATGCTTTGTTTGTTAAACTCAATAGTGAGAAAGAAAAAAAAAGAGATATTAACGCCAGATGGCAGCCTGAGATGAGGTCAGTTCCATATCTAATGCAAAGCATACATAGCTGTGTAGGCCATGCCGGGAGGTAGCATACCATGTAGACTATGCAAGTAGTTGGAAGATGGTGAAGTTTTTGAGTTGTCGATGCAATGTGTCGATCGTAGGAGGATAGCTATAGAGAGAAATGTTCTTGTTGTAGATGCCAACTATCAGAGGCAAATCGTATCACTTGTGTTAGCTACCTTGGGTTAATTCTCACGGTTGGAAACGTCAGGTTGTTCGCATATTTTTGATCTCGAGATGCTGCTCTGATCCTTTTATACTGGCGACTCAGAGCTTGTTGCATCTTTTGAATCGAGTTTCGTTTTTCCATTCCAAGTCACATGTGCACTGGAGTCAACTCAGCTTGCCTCCCGGGAGTCACTGATTTGCCGACACCGCAACAACATTCATTCAATAAATGAAAGAAACTTCTAGCAGTATCTGGCTGGTTCTTATTTATCTCAATGGAGCTAGTGAGAAGTAATTTGGCGAAGTTTCTAGAAATCTGACATCTTGCCAATCAACCTCGCGCATTTGAGCCTCTAAGGATCATCATCCCAAGGCAGACGACAATCCCCAGGTCAATCAAAAACGCATAAGAACAGTCAACAAGACCATTAAAACTTATATTCCAAATCACCTCTCCTCTTTCAATCACCCTGAACACCATCAATTCAATTATTTGACAATGTCTTCCCTTCCCTTTAGTGCTGCCCCCTGGGCAGTCCCCACGTCAGCAAATCTTACATCCTCCACTATTTCCATTCCGGACGGCGAGATTGAGAAACTCAAGACACTTCTCAAACTATCGCCTATTCCAAAGGCGAATATTTGGAATTCGCGTGAAGATGGTGCTTTTGGGCTCCCGAGGGATACTTTGACGGAGTTGGTTGATTATTGGGCGAATGACTACGATTGGAAGAAATGGGAGGCTACTCTCAATTCGATCCCGCAGTTTGACATCACTGTCACTGATGACGACTCGAAAGATTACAAGATCAACCTTTTGGCCCTGTTCTCCAAGAACCCTGCTGCGATTCCAATCTTGTTCCTTCACAGCTGGCCAGGCTCTGTTGTTGAATACCTCCCCATTCTCCAAAAGCTCAAATCTCAGTACGATCCTGAGTCTCTTCCCTATCACATCATTGTCCCTCACCATATCGGCTTCGGATTCTCTGATGCACCGCCTCTCAACAAGCCATTCACTCATATTGACAATGCCCGCCTCATGTCCAAGATGATGCATTCTCTGGGCTTTGACAAGACCGGCTATGTCACCCAGGGTGGAGACCTCGGCGGCTGGACCGCGCCCGTCATCGCAAACATCGATCCAGCTTGTAAGCTCGTCCATATGAGCATGCTGAACATCTCAACCCCTCCAGGCGAGGACGTTGAGGAAGGCATCAAGGCCGGCAAGTACACTCCCGACGAGATGGCAGCCTTCGGCAGAATGGCAGATTTTCAAAAGAAAGAAACAGCCTTTATCCAACTCGACGGCACCAAACCAGCTACAGCAGGCTACATCTTCGGCAGCAATCCCATCGCCCTCCTCTCATGGATTGGCGACAAGATGCACCGATGGTCAGACGAAACACCCCACAAAGACCTCATCCTAACCAACGTAGCCTTGTACTGGTTTACAGGCTGTTACCCAACATCTATCTATCTTCACCTCACTGTCCTTGAAGATCACGAGCTCATGATGAATGCCTGGAAGAGTCTTAAAGTACCGCTTGGTCACTCCGCGTTCAAGAAGGAGCTTGTTACTGCGCCAGAGAGATGGATTCGGCAGACGGAGCAGGTGAAGTGGTATAGAATGCATGAAAAGGGTGGACACTTTGCTGCGCTTGAGGAGCCGGATGCTCTTTGGAAAGATGTACAGGATTTCATTGGGGCGTTTTGGAAGGGTTGAAGCGATTCCAATCACGACGCAGCGCTTGAGGAAGAAACAGGCGGCGACAAGCGCCGAGACAAGTTTAGGATAATTTAATTAAGTTTAGCAGACTCTTTAGGTAGGTATTTTCATCTCTTACGATTAGAGTCATACGTTATCTGCCGTCTTGTGGCAGTGGATATCAAATATACGAGGATATACCGTCTCTAGTCCCATTAGCACGAACAACCCATCAGGTTAGGTCAGGACGATCTCAATACCGCCCACATCACGACTCGGCCCTAAATAAATCCCCCAATTACTCCCCCCATTGGTTCTCTTACCTCTTCCTCTCCTCTGGTTTGTCCGCATCAAATTCGGCACGCAAGTGCCGGTTTATGGTTACATCAAGGCCCGAGCCACGCGATGCCCCCTGGGGTTTTACCCCAGATGACGATGGCGCCGATCTGCATACCCCGCAGATTTGGAGAAGCGGGCGAATAAGGCTTGGCGCTGTTCAACACACCATTCTTTGACGGATTTGTCCAACGGAGGAATTTGTGAATAGCTACGCTTGGGGAGAGTGTGCGAAATAGGAAGGTGGTTAGCGGCTTCGTCTGATATTAATGCGATGGGGTTTGGGGTTAGGCCATCGGAGGGTTGTCGGACTGGAGACCTCAGTATCGATATATCTATATAAGAAGCTCCTGTTCAGTGCCATAGTTTCTGTTTCTTCTAAGTCAGCAGTTCTTCTTCAATCCTCTGTCAAGATCCTTGGCTACTGGCTTTACACTTCTTCTCATAGTCCCCGGACTGAACATCACAATGCTTCTTCAAAGCGTCTTCGCTCTTGGTCTCGCCACCACCGCTCGTCTTGTCTCAGCAGGACCATGCGACATCTACAAATCCGGCGGAACACCCTGCATCGCCGCCCATAGCACCACCCGTGCCCTCTTCGACAGCTACAACAGCGCCCTCTACCAGATCAAGCGTGCCTCAGACGGCGCCCTCACCGACATCAAGCCTCTCTCCGCAGGCGGTGTCGCAGCTTCCTCTGCCCAAGACTCTTTCTGCAGTGGCACAACCTGTCTCATCACCATCATCTATGATCAGTCCGGTCGAAGCAACCACTTGACCCAGGCTCCTCCTGGTGGCTTCAAGGGCCCTGAGGCGAATGGCTATGATAACCTTGCCGCTGCTGATGGTGCACCTGTTACTTTGAACGGCAAGAAAGCCTACGGTGTATTTATTTCCCCGGGCACTGGCTACCGTAACAACCATGTTAGTGGTTCCGCTACGGGTGATGAACCCGAGGGTCTGTATGCTGTTCTTGACGGAACGCACTACAACGGCGCCTGCTGCTTCGATTACGGTAATGCAGAGACTAGCAGTACTGATACTGGAAATGGACACATGGAAGCTATTTACTTCGGTGACAGCACCGTCTGGGGATCAGGTTCCGGCAGTGGACCTTGGATCATGGCAGATCTCGAGAACGGTCTTTTCTCTGGAAAGAATCCCAAGCAGAATACTGCTGACCCAACTATCAACCATCGCTTCACCAGTGCCGTCGTTAAAGGCAAGCCCGGAACGTGGAGCATTCGTGGCGGAGATGCTACCTCGGGTGGACTATCAACTTTCTACAACGGCGCGTATCCTGACGGCGGGTATAGCCCAATGAAGAAAGAAGGCGCTTTGATCCTCGGAATAGGAGGTGATAATAGCAATGGTGCTCAAGGAACTTTCTACGAAGGAATTGTTACTTCAGGATACCCATCCGATGCGACTGAGAACGCCGTGCAGGCCAACATCGTCGCGGCCAAGTACGCCACTACGTCTTTGACAAGTGGATCCGCTCTTACCGTCGGATCATCTATTTCCCTCAAACTTACTACCTCCGGCTACACAGACCGCTATCTCGCACACAGCTCCTCCACCGTCAACACCCAAGTCGTCTCCAGCTCCAGCACCACCGCCCTCAAGAAACAAGCAAGCTGGACAGTCCGCACCGGTCTTGCCAACAGCGGCTGTGTCTCTTTCGAGTCTAACGATACTCCTGGAAGCTACATCCGACACTCTGGCTTCACCTTGTATGTGAACAAGGGTGACGGAAGCAAGTCGTTCAATGAGGATGCTACGTTCTGTCCCCAGAAGGGTTTGAGTGGACAGGGAAGTTCGATTCGATCGTGGAATTATCCTACGAGGTATATTCGTCATTATAACAATGTTGGGTATGCTGCCTCGAACGGTGGTGTTCATGACTTTGATGCTGCCAATAGTTTCGTCGATGATGTTACCTTTGTTGTTGCCCAAGGCTTTGCCTAGATCAATTGGAATCAATTCTTGGAGGGTTTCAGATAGTCACTTTGGAATAATTAGTTGCAAACTGGTATGACAGAGTGAGAAATACAAGTATTCAGATCGCTTATCACAGTCTTGGTCTACTTTTTCCTACCAACGCGCTTGCTTCCTAACCATCCGCCTACTCTGAAGGCGCCATTGAAAACTCCATTGGCTTCGACATAGCCGACTTCATGAATGGACTTCGAGCCCTGATCTCCTTTCCCCAGATAAAGACACCAATTGGCGCAGCCGCCAGGACCAACGAGATGAAACCCAGCAGCGAACTGGCCCAATGAAAGCCCAGGTTGGTATACATACTGCTTGAAGCAAGTGGCAGAAAAGCAACCCCCAAGTTTTCTCCCAACACGGTCGCTCCGATAGCGCTTCCGGCATAATTGCTGTACGCGTCGATCAGATAGTTGGCGATGCTCACAACGACGGCTTCGGTGCCAAGGCCAACGAGCATAAGTCCAAACGCGGGTCCAATCCAGTGGACTGAGGAATAGCTTGTCCATGCGTAGACAAACATGCCACCGGTGACGCCGATGAATCCTCCGATAACGGCGGCGTACAGTCGAGCTTCGGGAATAGGCGTACCGGGAGCTTCCTTGTTGCGCGAGGCAGAAGCATAGTACCAGTTATTCGTCAAGACACAAAGACCAAAGCCAAGAATCTCTCCGATAACAATAGCAGCTTGAACATAACCTGCCTCAATAGCGTTCCATCCGTAAAGAGCAGTGAAGACTTGCTCAACAGACTGCGTGAAGACGTAAATCACCCCCAGACTAAATGCCGTCCAGACAGTTGATATGAAGACAACCGACTCAGTGCAGAGCATGTATAATGGCCTCTGAATGCTTGTCCAAATATCGTGAAGAATCGACTTGGACTCAAGCTCCTTCTGACTGTATGCATTCTTCCCCTGCTTTCTCAACTTTTTCGCCCTCGCCGTCAATATCGCTGACCCTCGTGTCTCAGGCATTGCTAGGATGAAAATCGGGAAGAAGACACCGGTCCAGATAAGTTCGATGTATCCGATCCATCGCCACGGCAAGAACTGAAATATGGCGGCCCCAATGACTGGTCCAAGACTGCTGGCGTTCAAGTAGATCATGATGTACAGTCCTGTTGGAATCGTACGAGCTCGATCGGTGGCGAAGACGTTTCCGATGATGCCGGCTACTGCATTCGCGAGAATAGTGCAGCATCCACCGCTGAAGAAGCGGGTGATGATCAGAGTTGCGTAGTTAGGCGCCACTCCAACTGGAATCAAAAAGCAGAGGAAGACAGTATAGACCAGAAGAAACACAATCCTCATCCCGAAGTCTTCCATAATCGGAAGTAACACCAGTGAGAACAACGCACCGCCCAGTCCCCACGATGCAACTGGCCAATATGAGTGCGGAAAGTTCTCGTCGCTGACATTAAAGTCTTGGCCAATCGCTTCGTGCGCTGTAGTGATGATTGTCCCGTTCATCATTGAGATGAACGTCGCGAAGAGACCAAGACCGACGGCAAACCATTTCTTCTTGCGGGACCAGTTGTATGGGTTTTCCGGATCATTTGGACCGTTCCATTGGACGATTATCGGTTGATCTATCTCAATCAGCACTTCACATCTCACCGTCCCTCTCAAGTGCCACGTACCTGACGACTCATTGCTTCGAGCAACCTCAGACCTCTCCGTTTCAGAAAACATTCCGCCAAGTCTGACTTCTTGGCGAGATCTCTTGGCTATAGAAATTCAAACTTTTTAGGAATGCCAAGTCAAAGATGAAGCAGCCAAGAGATGGAGATCCTGGTGAATGCTTCTTATGACTTCATCTTTAGTCCATGTTATGTTCTCCACCGAAAATTCTTTCTAATTCCGGACCCATAGAATCGATCTTGTTACCTCATATTAATTACCTTGAGCCAATGATGGGGATTCGGCAATGATGAGTTCGCGGATGCGCTAGCCTGGAAAGCGGCAAAGTTTGGAAGCTGGAGACGTCGCTGTGAATTACCATTATCGGTAAAACTCCACGATGCTTGGAAATCTTTGGTATCAGCTCCGATCTGTCATGAGATGAGATTTCCTGTCGTAACTTGTAAGATTGGTTTCCCGGGGAGGAGACGAGGTTACATCGCTTGATGTTATCTGGCATGAATTGGCCGTGCCTTTGCGATACTACCCTGAAGCATTGAGCTTTATGGCATGAAACCATCCTCCTCCTCAAAACCTCCCGGTATGGCGAGTCGAATTGTGTGAGATCGGCTTGATGCTGGTACAGTCATGGCACGGTACTTTGGTGATTATCATGCCGACTATTTTCCGGTGAGCTGAAATAACTCAGCTATCACCAAAACTTGACCCCGCTTCTTGAGGTCAACCTGTAGCGAAACATCCATTATCAATTTTGCCAAGCAACTCGAGCCCAAACGACAGCCAAATAAGGTTTCAAAGCTTTGTAAATACTTCGAACTTGCGCTCCGGGTAATTATGTGGCTTATCGACACAACGACGATCGTGCTAAAGAGAGCCGACGAAAAAGACATATTATCAACTCCCTATGCAATTCTGTCGCATACGTGGGGTGAAGATGAAGTCACATTCGAAGACATGATGGAAGGCCAAGAAAAAGGAAAGAAGGGTTACATAAAGATCGTGAATACCTGCCGATTGGCAAAAGAGCGAGGAATAGCATACGCATGGGTCGACACTTGCTGCGTTGACAAGAGGAGCAGCGCAGAGTTGGCTGAAGCAATTAACTCCATGTTCAACTGGTATAAGCTCTCAGAAGTTTGCTTTGCTCACCTCGAAGATCTGGATATTCACCGTGACCCACAGGATGACGAGCTTGATGGCTTGTCGTCTTGTCGATGGTTTACCCGAGGCTGGACACTGCAGGAACTGATCGCTTCGCGAAACCTCGAATTTTACGACAGCAAGTGGAATTACCGGGGCACCAAAGCAAAGCTTCGAAGCAAAATATCATATATCACCGGCATTGACGTTGCAGTTCTGGAAAACAATGCCATCCTGGAGACAATACCAGTTGCAAAGCGCATGTCGTGGGCAGCAAACCGCGAGACCACGAGGATAGAGGATCTCGCATACTGTCTCCTCGGAATCTTCGGCGTTCACATGCCAATGCTCTACGGAGAAGGAACCAAGGCTTTCGGCAGACTTCAAGAGGAGATCATCAAAGAAACAACTGACCTCTCTATCTTTGCATGGAAAGTTGATTCACCCGGGGGATTTCGAGGTATTCTCGCTCGATATCCCTCCGAATTCGCACACTGTCGAAGTCTTCGTCGAGCACCGACAATGAGATACGGGCATGAATACAGCATGACGAATAAAGGTCTAAGACTGGAGACATACCTCGGCGCAAGCGCGAATAAGGAATATTTACTTGACCTTGCGTGCATGGTACCAAACGACAGTGGAGAGGAGTCAAGGATTGGAGTTTATCTTACAAAGACGGCTGATGGCTATGTCCGCAGTCGGCCTTCTGAACTCTTCGAAACACAGGACTCACTACTCTGGGCAGGTCCACGCTACAAGATCTTCATTCGAAAACACGTCACATTCTTTGGTTCTGTAAACTTGAGAAAGCTTCTTGATATGAATCTCGCATCACAGTTCAACATCCGTCCTGGAATCCAACTAGCTTCCTTCGCAGCGAAACCAGCAGATCTATGGGACACTCTACGTCAAGAATTCGTCACAGGCAAGAGCGAAAAGTTCACTGGATTTCTCGACTTTCAGCTTACTGATACTGCCAAGAGTTTTATTTCTCCTCGGATTTATGTTGTCTGCGGCTTAGCAGCGGATTCATCATCTGGAAATCTGAAACCCTGGATGGGTATCTACAACTCTTCGGACAAGATAAGATATGGAAAGATAATAGACTTCGTCGATGGGTACTACAATTCATACGGAGAGGAGTACTACCTTCATCAACTACGGGACTGCGTGCTTGCTAGGGGAAATGATCTCCCGCAGGAAATCAGCCTTCCTTCCAGTGATGCCGCGCATCGTCTTTATATCTCTTTGGGGGTTCTTCAAGGATCTCCCGGTAGTTTGTATACTATCACGGTCAATGTGTCAAACATTGGATGAGCTGGAGGCTTGCTTCACTTTATTATCAAGATTCCTCAGTCGACCTTCGGTATATTTGTGCTTATTCTAGCAATAAACCTTGAATAGCGACCGAAATGCTTGAACAATTACTGATAACAGATTTAATCAAATAGCCCCCAGCATGTTATTGAATGGGGTTCACCTAATATTGAGTGCTGCACGAATGACAGAAGGATCTGGCATAGCCTTCAAATCAGCCCAGTGAGACGCACAAGTCAAGGATGCGGTACCGAGATTCTCTTACGATTGGTCTCTTGACAAAGATCCTTGCTAAAGGCTGAATGACACAGCCAAAATAACTCAGCCATGTGGTCCCGTATCTGCAAGGTTATCCCAATCCTTTCGCCATTTGGGGGCCATAATTTCACGAAAACGGAAACGCCCTTACAACCCCTACGGTGATGACAGTTTCTGTTGGGTGTTTCTAAGCAGAAAATCTTGAAATGAGAAACAATGTTGTTTATTGGCCGTAGCTTTGATGAGGTCGGGTACAAGTAAGCATGCAGTGTCTCTGAAAGGAATAGGTGTGAAGCAGTAAGCCAAAACTAACAGGGATGACGAATGGGCTGAGCAGTTCTGATTTCTCTCCTTGGTCAATTCTTTTATCTCTCGCATTTCTTGACCTGAAGATCTCGTCTCCATTCTTTTACCCTCCACATAATCTTCGACAACATCTTGAAAGCGAAACGATGCCGAGCGCACGAACGAATTTGGGCCCTCTCACGACCGAATGGAAGTATCCGGATCGATGTACTATACCCGTCACCGACTGCACAACATGCACGAACGGTTGGCAAGGCCAGACGTGCGGGAATAACAGGGACAACACGGTAGGCCAATCTTTCCTCGGCGCGTCGAACTTGCTCTGACATAACGCTATAGCAAGGCGTGCTCGACGATACAGACTGCTGGCCGCCGCGGCAATCATCAATCGCCGCTGGAAATGCTGTGAATGGCTGGGGCTTCTACTCTCCCGCGTTCGACTGTCCCAAAGGTTACGAAGCGGCGTGTACCGCGACAGGTCCTGAGACTGGAAACTTCAATTTTCAGTTCTCGATACAAGATGATGAGAGGGTGATAGGATGCTGTCCATCGTAAGAACACTCGAGACTCTTCGTTAAAATGAGAACTGATGAGAGAAGTGGATATACATGCGCGCAACCTGGAGGGCCACAGACATGCACAACCATCGCGTCTAGAGGGTCGTTACAAGTTGCATCATGCTCAAAACAAAAGACTCTTCTTAACTGGCTCACCCTACCAGCGACAGTGACAGATGAAACAAGCACAGTGTCTTTAGATGGAATTACCATCTTTGCACCAATGTTCCAGCTCAACTATCGAGAAAAGGATCTGTCTTTGTCATCGGGATCAACAAGATCAACGACAACAGTGTCAGTACCGGCAGAGACTGGTACCAGTGCATCATCATCAGACGGGTCTTCCAGCGGCGGACTATCAACAGGTGCTCAGGCTGGTATTGGAGTCGGAGTTGGTGTTGTTGGACTTGCGATTATTGGAGCGGCGTTTTATCTTTGGAGAAGAAGGAAGAGGGCTACACCAACGGCTGAGCTGGAGACGAAGGAGGAAACGAAGAATGCGGGATCAGTCTTGACTTATGGATCGCCGCCGCCACAGTACCCTCCGGTGGAGCTTGATGCTACGAATTCTAGGCATGAGATGTGAATGATGGGTATTGGACACTGGAGATAGAGGCTGACTACGATGGGAGTACTTGATGACTTTGGGAAGATGGAGCGAAAGGAGCGGATCATACACCATAACATTCTCATAGACGGGCTATCATTTTAATATTAAAGAGGATTGCACAATAGCCTCTCCCTTCAGCGATAACAATAATACGTATCATTAGCTATAGATACCATGTTCTCAGCTAAACCCTAGCCTCGCTATGTGCAAGTCGCAACTCTGGAGCCAAGAGATGTACATTGGTTTCCGTTGTTTGTGCATGGTGCACCCTGAATACGAAGCAAATATTAGCATAGCACGAAGAACAGGAAAGGAATACCTACCACAGCACAAGAATCCCAATTGCCCGTCGCACTATCAGTGCAGCGGCCGTAGTCGCCGGTACCTGCAGGAGTGGTGCAGGTCTATTGGAAACGTCAGATATGGATCAGGTCCCGGAACAATGTCGCTTACCCAAGAAGCAAGAACTGCTGGAAGGAAAGCGAGGAAGTACAGCTTCATTTTTGGAGGTGGTATATGTAATGTACTAAAGTGATACAAGACGGTGTTTGTGGAGTGAGGGACGGAAGAGTTTCGAGCGGACCAAGACATTTATTTATATATTTATCTTGAGACTTTGAGCTTGGTCCTTGCGCCATGAAGTTGCATCTTGAATGGGGTAACTAACCTCAACTTGAACTTAGATTGTGTAATTTGGCACCTGGCATTCGACCCATCGGCCGGCAAGAATACTCACTCTGAGTTAGTATTAATTGATTCTCTCTTCTACATAGCTTTCGGTTTTCTGCCGTTGATAATGTATATCATAAACCTGTTGCAGTGTGCAACTTACTGTAGGTAGTAGAAACTGAAATATGTTTGCAAGATACCCACAGAAGCGCCGCTGGAGTCCTAACTCATGATGAACCTTGGGCATTATCAACCACATAAAGGTAGTTGGCGCGAGCTTGGCATAGAGCCGAGCTTCCCATGTTACGCATAAGAGACACGGTGAATGGAGAAAAGGTAGTAGAAGAATACCCACCCTGATCCTTCATAAACTACTCTTTCAGTGGATTATAAACTTTCCATGCACCCTTGAAGATCACGTGCCGTTGGATAAGTTCGTCGAAGTAAGCTGTCCAAGTGGGCAATGTGTCTTAAGGAGCAAGGTAGTTAGAAAGCTGGCCTACCAATACGCACGCCTACGTAATGCCTGGAAATGCCAGGCTTGCATCATTGGCATCAGAATAAGGTTTGTCCCTGACATGGGGTACGACATCACACCGTCTCGTTATTGTGGGGAGTAGTAGTATTCTGCCGGTAACCATAGCCGATCACTATTTAGACCGCCATTTGGATGCCTCTTTGCTGCTATTCTGGAAGAATTTGTTACGCTGAAGTTATGATATCTAAGTGGCATGGCTATAATAACCTAATCTGGCTAGAGCAGACCATCATTTGTAGGGGAGAAACTCGTATTTGCCCCGTCCCCAGCCGTTGCAGGGACAAGTAGAACTTTGCCATGTATGCAGATGTGTTGTCTATCAAATGATATAAACTTTAGAAAATCGCTGAGCTACGGTTTCACCTATGTGATTTCTAGGGACGCGTCACAGATGCATGCGTATACCTAAACCTTCAACGCTTAAGTATATGGCGTTTCTCTTTTAGTTGATAGTCACGCTTGATAGAGGAATATACATCCCCAATCATCATGCGATATCAAGATTTTAGGAAGCATATACATCAGTGCATTAACTGTCGAGATCGAACCTCACTTACCAGAACTACTGCAAAGCATACGTATGCCTACGAGATTGTAGAGCCAATTGACCATGATAAGTCGTCATCTGCAAACTCGCTTCAATAAAGAGAGCCTTCGCCGTGCCTCTGACACTCGACGATGCGGCAAGTATGTTACGCCCGGGAAGACTGTTGGCAGAAACTCTGCCCTCTGACCAGGCCCCAAGGGCAAGATAACTTATGACCTCTATCCTAAGTTACAAAGGCTTTACGCAAACTTATTATAGACTTATTTGGCTTCAAGGCTAATTATTCTCATGACTTAGGATAGAAGTCTCAAGCATTGTTGCCTCCCATCGGCAGCTCCAAGCTTTTGTCAACATTGAACTCAAGACTGTGCATAGGTTTGCTACCCCATAACACTAGTTTGTCACGTCGATATGTGCCTAAAGATTCGCTGCCCTCATGTCAGGTGTCAATTCCTGTCCACCAACGTCAATCCATATGTAAGAGCTTCCGACTCTGTCTTACTTTCTTCCACCGAGGACCCCTGTATGCGATGGCCCAAACACTAAGCATAACTACGACCGTTAGAACGCCTCCAACAGCCCAGAATATCCACTGCCCCTGCTCCATGTCTCTGATATCGCTTGTGTTCATTCCCATGTAGCTCGTCGCGAATGAAAGTGGGAGGAAGACGACGGTGACAAGGGTAAAGACGTAGATAGCGATGCTTTGGTCTTCGGCTTTGATCTTGATGAACAAAGCAGCCTTAGGTTTGACGGTTAGCCTCAGTTTTGATGTACTTGGCGTTGAAAAATACCTGTGACTTCAACCGCTCTGTAGCGTCTTGTAGTCTTTCGATATCGTAAGCTAGCTGCCTATGCCTGAGCTGAGATTTTCGTTGTAGTGAGTTGAAGATCTGAGTTTTTCGGTCATGTCCCGAGTCTTCCTTTCCAGTACCCAACGGTGCATGAATATCTGCCGATTCTGGAGTTTCGCCGTTGACCGCTTTGAGAGATATGGAGTTGGCCATTGCTCGTGCAAGGCTCTGTGCTACCTGTGAGACGACATGCATTTGGCTATGTAGGATCTCCTTCAGGATCCGCAATTCGTCTGATATTGCGGAGATTTGGTATACTTGCGGCTGAGAGGCCGAGTCCCGAACAAGCCATTCCTAAAAAGCATAAGCATAATTATCCAGAGTTACTGGATATTAGTGAATATGTGGATGAGACCTACAAGCCGGGATATCCTTCCAGCAAACATATCTGTGATGTCTTGCGAAGTTATCGAGAACCGGGTGGGTGTTGATATTGTACACATGCGAAGGAGACAAGCTAGGGATAGGTTGTCTTCAAAGCTCTGTATGCTCCGTAACATGTCCTTGTTCTCGTTATCTCTGGAAGCCTGAAGTTCTGACTGTGCTGTACCATGGTGCCTATTAAGGTTTGCGATGGCTATCATCAGTTCATCTTCAAGATCTTGAAGAGTTTCGCCTCTTTTTCCTTTTAACTCGGGCCTGTACAAGACTTCAGTCTTGGCTGATTTTGCTTTAGAATCGTTGCGTATGTAATTTAGTAACCTTCTCCACATGCTTGGTCGGTCCAGTTGATATATATGTCGGTCCGAATTGAGATGGAAATTCATAGTAAAGCGAATTGCGATAGACCATAAACTTCTGAGAGCATGCGCAACCTCTTCAGAGGCCTCTGCTTGGCCCCACGTAGTTCTTTCAACCTCGACCCAATGCCTCATGTGCTCATCAAGGGCACATAAATTTCGAAGTGGCTCTCCGTTGTATTGCGCAGGCGAAAAAGCAAGGATTGTCCTCAATACGCCAAAGAGCCAGTCGTGTTGTCCTTTCTTCTAATGCGTATCTCTGTTGAGCAATCTTGAACAGATGAAGCCGTTTCTCGTAACTTACCGTACCTGGTCGATGAAGCACCATGATGAACGAAGCGAGCCTTATGATCTCCATGGAGTCGATTCCCAATAGGTGCTTCTCAATTTTGCGAAGTAGTCGGTCCAGCATCCAGCCTCCAGGCACGGAAGCGGAAACAATTTGACCAATCATTCCAAGAAAGAATGTAATCACCAGGACTCTTTTGCCCTTTTTGGAGGTGAGTAGACTTGCGAGTCGCTCATGAGGCGGGTTTAAGTCTCCCTGGAAGTATTGGGACATGGCGATTCGTGCAGCTGCTGTCAATTGGTTGCTGTACCTTGCCCCTTGGCTCAGTATCGGCCAGATACTGTTTGCCCGAAGCCATGATACGGTGACGAGATTTTCTTCAAGAGCTGTTAGCCTATGGCTGACTATATCTACCTCGACATACTGCTATCCAGTGCTAAACACCACAACTCTCGGACACAAGGAGAACGGAGGCCATTAAGAATCGAAGCGAGGTCAAAATCGGATTTTTGACTAGTGTCATTGTGTATCCCAAACCTATAGTGATACTGCAGTAGAGACTTCACATGGTGGGAGTTCTCAGGGAATGATCGAGAGCGCGGTTTGTCCAAATGGATGGTCGGGATCGAGACGAAAGCTGGAAGATCGGATTTGGCCTGTTCAAAATCGGGTATCCCTAGCATATTCTCCACCTGATCATCATCATAGAGTGGGACAAAAGCCGGTCGAAAGGTCGGGCCTTGTGAGCTCTTGATCTCGTGCCGTCTCTGGATTCTTCGTAGTCTAGAGAGAATCTTGTCCCGGTCAACAGGGCTGTGATCAAGAAGAAGATCATGGACTATAGTCTAAAGACAGTTAGTAATATGATCGAATTTAATCCGCATCTCACTTGCCATAAATTCCCCAAACGTAGAGTGGCTGGTACCCAAATGGCTATAGTTCGATTGACTCGGTTAGCATTGCTCTCAATGAGACCGGAGATGATTTTCATACATCCACCTGCAGGCGTAAGCTGCTGAGTCCTTGGGTTGCAGTCGTGTTTTCCAGGTAGTACTTGCATAACAATGGTTAACCAGTGTCACAGTCTCGTCGGTCTCATCTTGCTCCTTGACGTCGAAATCCATGATTTCAGTCCTGATTTCAAGACCTCTGCACGGCTCGTACGGAGCTGGGCGGGGGTCTCCACGAACCATCGCGTACTACAGGGTTAGTGTTGTAACCGCAAGTCGATAAACGGAAAGCCTTGGCTCTTTCACTTTTGGTGAACGATTGATTGGATTGGATTGAGGGTCTTAGGAGCAAGCAAATACGAAGAAGTGAATTTGCAATCTGCGGAGCCGGGGACATAATTAGATAACGTTTCTGACGTGTATATGCAGGTTTCAGCTAGGCCTCGGCACTGTAAGCTCATTGGGTCAGATGAGAATGAGGCCATCTACGATTGTATGGGTGAAAGCGGGGTTACAAAATATGCATTCATGATCTGATGCTTCGAGATGGAAAGACTTAGGCTGATTGATCTGTACTGGATATTTATTTCAGCCAAGAAACCACTCGTACATTCTCGAGTTTTGAAGAAGAAGATGCTGCTTCATGGTTTCAAGGCAGAATCCAACGAAGAGAGAACTGGAACATTGCAAGAAACGACCAGGCAGATATTAAAGGCCATATTCTATTATCCATGTGCCTATGAAGAAGAGAACTTCTCTAGTCATACAGCTTGGGGCCTGACGCTCCAAGGGTGACATAGAACAGCTTGGTCTGTCCAGTGATAATCATCCTTCCCTTGCCAGCAAACTGAAAGTTAGCAGCAACAGTTCCGGTGTAGATCTTGCCGATGAGCTTGCCAGATGGGTTCCAGACATGGACACCATCACCACAACCGGCATAAACACGGCCCTTGGAGTCAGTGTGGACACCTGAAGAGGTCAGTATATAACAGACAAGGGGCACAGTATATAAGACATACCATCGGGGATGAATGAGGCAACATAAGCAAAGGTCTTGCGGTTCTGCAGAGTACCGTCCTGGTTCACATCGAAGGAGTAAACAGAAGCGGGAGAAGAGAGGTTGCGACCGTAGAAACCGAGAGCAATGCCAGTGTCGGTGACGTAAACCTTCTTGCCGTCGGGGCCAAAGCCAATACCTGATCTATATAAGTTGCTTGTACTTTATCATTTCATGAAAGACGTACCGTTGGGAAGGGTAAAGTCATCAGCGACAACAGTAACAGCGCCAGTGTCAAAGTTGTAACGATAGACTTGGTTTCGCAGACCAGGAACAGGACGGAAGTCTTGGAGATACCCATAGAGGGTATCGGTGAAGTACAGGTCACCGTTCCTGGGGTTGATGCCGACATCGTTGAGCGAGTTGAACTGGCGACCGAAGTAGTTGTTGAGAAGGGCTGATTAGGGTTAGCTTCGAACATTGTCTTTTGAGTGTGCCTGCGACTTACTGGTGGTGTTGTAAGGAGGGAGGGGGTTCATAAGGTACAGAGCAGAAGGAACATCGTCACCCTGGCCCTCACCAGCGAAGATGATGTTGCCCTTGTAGTAAGTGCCACCTGAGATCAAACAATTAGCCCTGTTTCAGTACATATCGCCGGCTCGACATACCATTGGGGTTGATGACCTGAGGATTTGAGTCAACGACAGTAACCTTGACCTCCTCCTGCTTTCCCTTGCGAACAGCATCAGCCTCCTTGAGAGAAATCTTCTGGATGATAGATGACTTGTTCAAGCCAGTGCCAGCGGCAGGAGCGCCAGCATTCTGTACAAAGAAGACCTCTTCAGTAGGAGGATACCATACAACAGCCTCATGGAAGATGGGGTCGGTATCCGATGTTGCGATGAGGGTCAAAGAGGGATCCTTTCCAATGACGTCGTAGAACTCTTCATCGTAAACATGGAAAGGCTTCTCAACAAGAGACTCCTCAGTTACACCGGGCCAAGTAAACACCTGATAATAATTGTTAGTAACAATCGGTAACAAGGCTGCAGTGACATACCAAAGAATCATTGGCTACTGCAGGAGGCGGCACATCCTTCAAGACATTGAACGACTTCTGATCAATAATCTGAGCCGTAGAAGGAAGCTTAGCAGCCACCGCGCCCAAAACAGGCACAAGAACCCCCGCAGCAAGTACAGAAATGGTAGAAGGCATGACGAATGATGCTTGGTGTGACAGGACCCAAGACAGCTGGTTGAGACACTTTTAATATGCGCAGCAAATCGATCACCAGGACTTCATCATCTCCGCTCGAAATGACAGCGACGAGGCATTAACGATTGAGTGAGCAGGGTTGTCTCGGCGTTGTACTCCAAGACGGTGCAAGATCTGCAGCGTTAAGCTTAAGCTAGCGTGGGTGGCCGGTTTACGCGGGTCAATCAGCCTTCGGCACTGGGGATCGAGGTTGTAGAATGTGGGGAAATTAGCATGTTTAGAGTTTGGGAGAGTTGCGTAGCCAAGAGGAAAAGCAGATGTTGTTCCGTTGAGCAGGGGAGTAATAACTTACGATTAAGGGAGTTCTAGACTGACTCGGGGGTCTGGACGTGTTTTCCGGGCAGGGCTGATCGGGAGAAGAAGGTGAATACACTGGTAGAATCGGTATAAACCCTGGTTACAGGGTCATGGAATCAAGATGCAACTGAACTAACAACCAACAATCAACGCACCTCCTATAACCTGCATCCACGCCACAACTACATAATGTGGTTCCAGTTCCTTGGCAGCGGCACATTTTTCAACAAGGGCTTGTTTTTATTAATCACCGACCGAAACTGCCGCTGAATAACGGACACGAGTGCGAGGGAAAGCACTGCGATTGGAGGTCTTTTAGACACCAGCTGAAAATGTGGCTTACGCTTAGAAAGGTCCCTGCTGTGAAGATTACCACTTGCTCAATCGAGTAGGTGTGAAAACCTGGTGTGACACACTTCTGCGGCATATGGCGAAGGAACTTTCCGAGATGGTGGTGACTGATCTGACGATCTTTTCACTTTGCAGAACCAACGATGCAGATATGTCAGATCTCAGGATTCATCTCTACCATTGCGTTGGTAACGATACCCTTGGTATTTCTCTCTACGGTATCGATTTGACGATCGCAGCGCAACTGTCGCACCAGAACCCCTTTGACAGCTGAGGCAGGGATGTAAACCAACGTGTAGAAAAATAGAGTTTAAGTTTGATTAGCCAAAACTGCCAACCTTGAACTTTATCATAGCAAAAGGTCCAGCACGAAATGAGCTTAGTATGGAATTGTCAGTTGCGTGATATGGAAGGAGGAAACTGGATGGTGAGACCGCCACCAGAGGGAGGGAAGAAGGACGTTGAGAAAGATGGTGTTGAGCGTTTTACTTAAGACCTTTACGACCAACAGATCGTTGGTGGTTTTTGAATTCTGATTCCCGTCCCTACTGAAACTGTGCGACGCTGGCTTCGTTCAATTCACTCGTTTTACACCATTTCCTTGTCTGTCGATCGATCCTATCCCCGTCCCATCACCGCACCGAAATGACATGGCCGAAATCAATACCAAAAGCGGCGCCGTCGCAATCGTGATCTGCGTCTTCATCAGCATCGCATTCTACAACGTCCTCGAGTTAAATGCCTACATCTTCGGCAGCTTCAAGAAGCGCAGCGGGCTTTACTTCTGGAGTTTAGTTATCGCGACTTGGGGCATTGCCTTCAATGGAACGGGTTACCTCATCATGCACCTGTCGCTGTCGGCGCAGCGGTATCTTTATTCGACGCTTATACTTATTGGATGGTGTACTATGATTACGGGACAGTCTGTTGTTTTGTACTCGAGGTTGCATATTGTTATGCATAATCAGAAGAGGTTGAGGATGGTTTTGTATATGATCATCTTCAATGCGATCTGGTTGCATCTTCCTGTTATTATCCTTGTTTATGGCGTCGGATCGCCGAACCCGAAGCCTTTCCAGAAACCCTACGAGGTCTTTGAGAAGATCCAACTCAGTGTCTTTTTCGTTCAAGAGCTCATCATCTCGGGCTTGTACGTATGGGAGACGAGCAAACGCCTCAGACTAGAAAAGAGCGTCGGCAACACCAAGACGCGCATGGTACTGAACCATCTCCTCATCGTCAACGTCCTCGTCATTCTCCTCGATGTGTCCATCCTCGCCCTCGAATTCGCGAATCTCTTCGACATCCAGACCGCCTGGAAGCCACTCGTATACAGCGTCAAGCTCAAACTCGAGTTCAGCATCCTCAACCGTCTCGTCGAACTTACACGCGGAAGAAACGAAAGCTCTTATGGTCGCAGTCACAATGCTACTCATCACGATGATGTTGGTTTGGAGACTTTGAATCGCGACCGGCGGAAACATACTGGGCCCCAGGGAACAATTACTGGAGAGTATGAGGTTCGTGTTGGGAAGGGAGAAGGGAGTCATCGTGCCTTTGGCAATGAGTCGAGTCTGGTAAAGACCACCGAGATATCAGTCCATAGCGAAAGGTATCCGGGTCATGGTGATCATGATAGAGGTAGTTTAGAAGGTGAAGGATCAGGTGGTTTGCAGCATGTACCGAGAGGAAGTGCATCGTCGGCGTCTTCTGAAGTACAGTTTGCCAAATATGGCAACTAAGGTGTAATAATACTACAACGTTTGTCATCTGATTGACCATTTTTGAAGCCTGAATCCAAGGTGATGTCGCACTTGTTCCTCAGGCTGGACATGATTTCTTGACGAACTGCCATATTGCAATCAAGTAGACTATTGCTATTGAACCAAAGCCAGTTTTACATAATTGTTAAGCATGGCATAGTGGCTGATATCAGCCATTTCACTATTCAAGCAAGGGCAGTCGTATCATGAAAGTCCGGAGTTATCGGGTAAGCTAAGTGGCTCACATCATCCAACCAATCGTATCAACAGATCCTAAATTAGAGTTCAGAAAACACCTTACTACTCGGTCATCGTGCAATAGTATCTGGTTATTCTTTGTTCTGGCTGACGATCACCCTTGCATCACATACCCTGAACATGTCGAAGTTCATTGCCGAGACGTGGAGCCCGATTACCAAGCCAGGACTACCATCGACACCATAAAGATCGAAGAACAGTTGAGGTCTTGAAACTATAAAATCCCATATGAAGCATATGTCCAGGCTTTGTAAATATGATACTTATCCGCTCTTTACTTGTTCATCAAATAACGATTACAACACCTCCAACATGTCTCGCTACGCCGAAGCCCACGCCAACCCCCAAGGTCCTGGTGATGCAAGACCAACAGCGCTTCAAATCGTTAAAGATGAAAACCTCCTAAACAAACTCACCGACAAAGTCGTCCTTATCACAGGCGGCAATCAAGGCATCGGACTAGAAACCGCTCGAGCTCTCCACGCAACTGGAGCGACGGTCTATATCACCGCCCGGTCTCCAGAAAAGATCCAGCAGGGCATCAATGACATCATTTCATGGCCGGAAGCAAAGTCGGAGGCACCTGTCCACGGAATTGAACTCAGGCTTGACTCGTTGAAGTCTGTACGAGCCGCTGCCAAAGGCTTCCTGGCCAAGGTTGATAAGCTGAACATTCTTATCCTCAATGCAGGAGTCATGGCTACTCCCGAGGGGAGAACTGAGGATGGTTTCGAGACGCAGTTTGGAACCAATCATCTTGGACATTTCCTCTTCTTTCGGCTTCTCAAACCGGCCCTTCTGGCAGCCACCACGCCATCCTTCCAATCTCGTGTCATCTCCGTTGCGTCAAAAGCTCACCGCTTTGGAGCTATTCGCTGGGATGACTTTAACTTCGAAAAGGAGGCTTACAATCCCTGGCTAGCATATGGTCAATCCAAAACAGCGAATATCTACTTCGCAGCCGAGCTTGACAGGCGATATGCAGATCAAGGTCTTCATGGCTTGTCAGTGCATCCTGGGTATATACTTACCAACTTGGGGAAGCATATTGACCTGGACACGCTTGACTTGGATGGGCCGTTGAAGAATGCTTTGAGGAACAAAGCCCAGGGCGCTGCTACGACTGTTTATGCGGCAGTGAGTAAAGATTGGGAAGGTCGTGGTGGGAAGTATCTGGCTGATTTTGTGGAGGAAAGACAGGTGAGGCCGGGTGTAGAGCCGACGTCGCCTGAACTTGGACATGCTGCGTGGATCTATGACGAGGAAGCAGAACGAAAGCTCTGGGAGTTGTCCGAGGGACTTGTTGGCTGGCAAAATGGCCCGGAGTAAAAGGCAGATCACTTTGGAAGACATGCCTTCGCTAGATTGGGTAGTCGGAACTCCCAGAGCCCTGTTTACCTTGGCTGCATAATCTTGGGACTTCTGAGTTGCAGTGGCCATAGTTAAGCCATAGCCCTTTTATGCGAGTGTTACAATATAGGCATCGTTATCCGTGAGTGCTAGACCTCAGTGAGTATTTGGAACATGTTGACTGATCCAGTTCCTGATGGCTCCGACTAGCTGGCAATACAAAATGACTCTCCCTCTCACGTGTTGAAGGTGATCACTGGGCCTCGGCACAACACTCCAGAAAGTTGTTCACGTGGAGCTTGTGCTGCCTCAATGGAGCATAAGGCCATCCCTCTTTAGCATCGCAAATCAGGTTTTGGAGATGCATTTGGTCACAGGTACCAATATGGATGTGGAGAATGGTTGCCTTCCCCTCCTGCATGTAGCAATATTTGTCTATATTAAGTGATACCTACTTGATCTGGCTAGCTCAGCTCCGAGAATTATCAGCAAAAGGGAAGGCAATTGGTTATTAAAATGAGAATGATGCTCCTGTTGTCCCTGTATGAGCAGTCTCTCGTGTTAGGCAGACCTTTCTTGCTGTCTGTCGCAAACCGCCTCTTGGCAAAACCTTTCACGCATTTGCCCAGCCACGCAAATCTAGATCACCGCCAAAATGATTCCTGTATCCGTGGCGGTATGGATTTTGGCCGTATCATGCACTGGGATTCCAAGTGTAGTGGCCCAAGATGCAGAGGGCTGGTATAAGTCTCATCCGAACATGGCTCGTATCAAGCATGTCAACCAGGAGACTCATCAGATCGTTGACGAGTATGGCCGCACTAGGTTCTTCCATGGAACAAACGTCGTCATGAAAGAGGCACCATGGTATCGACCTTTTGAGTGGACTCCAGGAGTCTCGTCATTTGGCGAACAGGATGTTCAAAACTTGCACGACTTGGGGCTGAATATTGTTCGGCTGGGGCACAGCTGGGCTGGTGCTGAACCAGTTCGCGGCGAGTACAATCAGACCTTCTTGGACATCATGAAGAAGCAGGCAAAGTTGGCAGAAGAAAATGGCATCTATGTGCTAGTGGACGTGCACCAAGACGTACTGGCTAAACAACTGTGCGGTCATGGTGTACCTGATGTGAGTAAGCAAAGAGCCCTTTATATCTTGCGCCAACTAACATGAAGTCAGTGGTTTGTCAAGAAGGACTGGGTAACAGGATTCAGGAGGTTCCCGTTTCCGCAGAAACTAAAGCCATTTACCACTGACACCGACGGCTTTCCTTCGCCTCAATCCCAATGTAATACCATAGATTGGTCACTAAGCTACTTATCTGTAGCTGTTGGAAATGCCTTTGGAAGACTTTACAATAACTTCGACGGTCTTGGAGACGCATTCGCCGCGTACTGGAAGAAACTGGCCTCGGAGTATGTTGACACTACTAATATCGTGGGGTACAATCTACTCAACGAACCTTGGGCTGGCGACACCTATGCAGACCCGACGCTCCTGGTACCAGGAGTCGCCGACCACAAAGCCCTGGAGGGTCTTTGGAACCGAGCATCGAAACAAATACGCACCGCTGACAACGATACGCTCATCTGGTTCGAGGGTACTACCTTCGATGTTCTCTCAGGCTTCAACAACGTACCTCTTGGGGACGGATCAAAGACCGTGCACTCATTCCACTACTACAATCCTCCGCAGCTGGGACCTATCAAAGATACACTGTATAACCGTCAAAAAGACAACGTTCGACTCAAGACTGCCGGTGTCCTTACAGAGTTGACGTTCTGGATGGGCGATGATAAGCAGATGAGTGGGCTAGCGGAGGCCATGACAGCGACTGACGCAAACATGGTGTCTTGGATCGGATGGGCATACGAGAATCTGTATAATGGGACATCTGGTAAACCATATCCGGAGCTACAGAAGCACTACAGTCGCGCGTATCCAGCTGCGATCGCGGGGACGCCGACATCGTTTGGCTTTGATGCCAGTTCTGGTATTTTGAAGCTAAACTTCACGAGCGATCCTAATATCAATGCGCCTACCGAGATCATCTTGCCCATTTCCACGTTTCCAAGTGGGTACGAGGTTCACATTATCCCTAGTGGCAGCTTGACGCAGTACAAGCCGAATGACCGCACCTTGGCCTTGTTCACATCGAATGCTCTCAAGAAGTCTACAGATATATCCGTTAAAGTTACCAGAAAGTCGCCTTACTTGACAGCACGATGAATAGAAATGAGTGAAGGGACGATTCAAGATTACATCCACGAACACCAGTATCAGACCTATGTTGATCCCGTAGCACCTCACTTCACCGATCAATACTATAATATATGACAACCAACACCAACCATTGCAATGTTACATGATACATGAGTCCCGCAGAGGTTAGGAGGCTAACTGAAACGAGCCCGGTAGTATGACCAACCCTTCTTGGCCCCGTGTCGTGTCAGTAGATCCATGATAGCCTTGTTGCGATTCTTTATGGCCAACATCAAGCACGTTGAGCCATCCTTAGCCTCTGCCTCAACATAGGCTCCTATCTGTAGTAGCAGTGTTACCGCTGCTTCGTGGTTCCCTCTCACAGCATGTATCAATGCTGTCTCACCCTGAATATCCGTAGCCTCGAACGCTGCGCCTTCCTCAAGCAAGAGTTCTACCACGGCTTCATGCCCTTCCTTTGCAGCCTCTATCAAAGCTGATAGCCCACCAATTGCTTTCCAGTCTATACCAGCATTTCCTTCGAGAAGAAGTCTCACTATTTGCTCGTGTCCATGCCGTGCAGCCGAAATGAGTGAGGTGCACCCGTCATTATCACTAGCCTCAATGTCGGCGCCGTAGGCAAGTAGTGAATCGACGATATCCTTATGGCCATACTTTGCAGCGACCATGAGTGGTGTTTCGCCAGCATAGTTGGCCTTGTCAACTGGAGCATTATGAAAAAGCAAAGATCGCACTATTCTTGTGTGCCCCTTCCGTGCAGCCAAGGCAATCGATGTACGACCTTCATGGTCGTTGCTCTTGACATCTGCACCACAATCAAGTAGTACACTTACTACAGATGAATGGCCCTCTTCTGCAGCTGACATTAAACAAGTATAGGCCGCCCGGTCACTCGCTTCGATCTTAGCTCCATTATCAAGCAACAACTTCACAATGGCCACATGTCCTTCTCTTGCAGCCAGAATGAGTGGTGTACACCCACAAGCATCCTTCTCTTCAACACAAGCGCCATTTTGCTTGAGAAGATTAGCTAATTGATCCACGAGACCCTGTTTTGCAGCCGTAATGAGCGACACATCCACGGCTTGATCAACTGTGCTGGTAACGACACCAGCCTCAAGCAGGAGTTGTTCCGAGGCAAAATGGTTCAGCGTTTTAGCTACGCGGAGCGGTGAAAGGCCCGAGCCTTCGCTTGCACTGAAATCTGCACCCTTTTGAATCAAGAGCTTGACCACTTCTGTGAAGCCAGATTCCGCTGCCCAAACGATCGGTGTATGGCCTCGTTCGTTGCTCGCATTGATATTGGCCCCATGCTCAAGCAAAAGCATAACCAAATCTTCTGATCCATTACGCGCAGCTGCCATAAGTGGTGTGTTTCCGGATTCATTGGCCGCTTCTACATTGGCCCCCCTGTCAAGTAGAAGCTTTGCGATGGCAGCATGGTTCATGCTTACGGCACAACCTAAGGGAGTAAAGCCCTCAAGCCCATCAATGACTTCGATGTTGGCACCATGTTTAAGCAGGATTTCCGCCACGTCCGTGTGTCCATTCAACACTGCTGACTGAAGTGGCGTATGGCCGCCGAATCTATCAGTTGCTTCGATGATGGCACCCCCTTCCAACAACACACGAGTAATTTCTAAATGGCCAATTGTTGCTGATAAGTACAACGGCGTACGGCCAGCTCTATCTGGTACATTTACCTGGGTCCCAGTGCCGACAAGGATGCTAACCATGCCGTAGTCTGCTGAATCGATTGCGTGAAAGAGCTCCTGAACCTCCGTGCTTTCAGATCTTGATTCGGTTCGTGTAAGGGTAATAGCGGTTTGATCATCCGCTGAGGTGAGTTCGCTACTATTTCGTACCTGGTCCAGAGACTGTGGTGACATGGTTGCATCATGAAACTCGCCAGCCCATCTTTGCGAGGTTGTCAGTGAGGCCAACGTTGAGATTTCTGTTGTTAATCCTCTACAATCTTCAAAAGAACTTCGTCTAGAAGATATAGTGGACGGCCTATAATGCTTAGTGTTGGGTTCAAGACTTATCGATATCAAGCGGTATACCTGCTGTCTGTGCCAGATGTTGGGGCTTCTGGTAGCCAATGATGAACCCACGGATGTAACTTTGCGCTTCCGGCATCAAAGCGTTTCTCCGCCTGTGGTTCCAGCAGCTCTTTGATAAAGGCTCGACCACTCTCTGATATTTGGCAACGAGCTGGGATATTATCTTGGATCATTCCGTCTAGGTTTCCAGTGAAGTTCATGATTGCAGGCTGGCTTCTGAATGGTACATTTTTAGTCATCATGAAAAAAGTGGTAATGCCTACGGCCCATACGTCTGCCGTTCGATAGTCGTTGATTGAAAGGCTCTGAGGTTCAGATCGAAGGAGCTCAGGAGCCATGTATAATGGAGTACCAGGAACCAGCGTTGTAAGATTAGTCTCCGTATTCAGCTTCTTGCTGATGCCAAAGTCGGCGATTTTTACCCACCAAGAGCTGGAAGGGAGGCCTTGAGGGTGCCTATAAATAAGAATATTCTTGCAACAAAAGTTAGATGTTGCGGCTGTTTCAAAAGATGCTGGCTTGCCTGTGGTTTCACGTCGCGGTGGGCAAATCCTTCTTCATGCATGAGCGCGATACCGGAGAGAATTTGGCTGGTGATAAGACTGCATTCTTCTTCTGCCAAGGCTTCGTGGTTGCAAATATAGGCATATAGGTCCCCTTCGGGAAAGTACTCCATAGCCATGTACAGCCTATTCGATGTCGCATACCAGCCGAGGGACTTAACGAAATACTTAGAGTACTAACATATATCAGAAGGCTATGACGATAGGTTTCGCGGCCGAAAAGGGGCGATTAGTAGGTATTAACTTACCCTATCATGGGAAAACTTAACTATGGACTCAAGCTCGCGCTTATAGTGTTTTTTTGAATGTCCATTCTGAAGTCGAATTCGTTTAACCGCCCGCTCAGTAAAGTTTCGGCCACCTTCAATACATGTTTGCAAAACAACCTCTCCCTGGCCACCACGGCCTAGAGTACGAACCTTTTCCCACCGTTCTTGACGACAAGGAGATGAGGGAGGCGCATCTGGGTCATCATGGAAGTGGACAGTAAAGACGCCCTCATGGCGCGTCACGAGTCTGTAATCTCGAACGAGGTCTGAAAGAGTTCCTTCCATGGGGTCGCCTTTGGTTTGGGTGCACAGACGACATGCAGTATACCATCATCCGGTCATTGGAGGCGGAAACGCAACTGAAGAACCAGCGCTTGGTGGTGCGTTATTGAAAGGGAGGGGAAAGTCAGCTTGCAGACGCTTTCAGCCACAGAGGTAGGCTTTCCAACTTAACTGCGTTCCGGAGCGCATATAACTTTCTCCGCTATCAACACAGTCTACTACAATGGCGTAGGACATAATGTCTTGTCTGCATAGTGTGCATAAATCGGAATACAATGCGACTATGATTGTCACGACTTGTCAAGGTAACTAGTTCAGTCTTTCTTACATACAACAGAATATCAACAATAGATGATGCTCAGTGAATCCACGATTTTCTTCACATATCGAGACCCTACATCAACGCTTTCCTGGTCTTCAAAGTCTCGAGGGTCGCCAAATTCAGTATTGCCTTCGTCCAAGCAAGTCAAGCATGTTTGAACCACCTTACTGTATATATCACCCATGCAAGATTTCAGTCGAGTCTCGCAAAGATCTATCAATCGTTCTTGAATGGCTTGCGAGTCAGTTTCCTCCATATTATATTCGAAAGGTCGCAAGAGATTGGATATCTTGGCAATACCCTCGTCGTACTCAACAAGTGACTGCCATAAGCCAATCTCCAAAAGGCAAACTCCAAGGCTATAAATGTCATGCTGCATAACATACTTCACCTTCTTGCCTCCCATACGGGCTGGGTGGTGATACAAGAGATCCTTTTTTTCAGTACTGGAAGTATTTGTTGGTGCATCGACATATCGGAAAAGTTGAAATCCAACCAGACACACCAGCATCTCATCATTCGGTGCTTCTGGGCATCCCAAGGTAATTATAGTTTCCGGCGTGATATTCTTATGAACAAATTCGTAAAGATGAACATAGTAGACTGCTGTGGCGAGCTGCCGAGCCATCTTGAGTCTTGTAGTGAGCGAATCTGGAATGCTGCCAGAAAGAAGAAGTTCCCTGAAGCTCTGAACCTTGGAATACCCTTCTGGGACGCCAAAAACGAACTTCAAAGAGGGCTCCTTGGTGAGATGCACAACTCCTTTGCACTTCAAGGTCCCAAAAGTAAAAGGGTTCGAATCTCGGAGACGTGATGCAAGCTCTCGAGCATCTCTCAACTCAACGGTGTCTCGAGAAATTGTATCAACGATGAAGTATTTCTTCTCCTTCTTCTTGATCGCAAGTTCGGTCTTGCAATATGGGATCACTTGAGTTTCGAGGTTTTCAAGTACTTTTTCTGCAAGTTTAACAGACTCGTTGCTGCTAAAAGCTTCCCGGAACTTCAAGCCCTCACGAGCCAGCTCTCCTCGAGTATTGCCTCGAGTCACGTTTCTCAGCACGTCATCAACATTGGTTGGACCAGTCTTTAGAATCTGGAACCAAGATGGCTCGAACCGCTTTTGCCAGGACTCAAGATCGGCAACGGTGCTTTCGAGCGTTTCTCGAAGATTGAGGAAATGCAGAGCTTTCGTTCTTTTGGAATTCCCATGTTTATCTGGTCTCGAGATAGCAATCGTGGAAGCTTCGAGTTTAGATAGCAGAATGCGTAGTACGTGGTTTTGAAGTTCACGCTGGTCATCCGTCATCCCGCTTTCTAATTCCTTGATGATCTCGAGCTGACTTGCAAGCCGCGACCAGCAAATCTGAATTCTCACCGACAGCTCGTCGGCCATTCTATCAACCTGACCATAGTCCTTGTATGCCTGGATGAGAAATTTACCCAACCTTAGAGCCGTTAACAAACGTAAGCTTTCGCTGAGACTATACTTACTTGATACAAACATCGACGGTACCTGCGAAGCCGGCAATACCTAAAGCCAATTCTGCCATGACTGATGAAAGATTCACAGTTTTCCTTGCATTTGACGTTACTGGCACAAACTCTTGCAAGAAAAGTGAATCTGCTATCGCACCAGGCATTTTCTTTGCGTCAGCGGCTCTTCCGCAAATTGCCCAGTGCTTTCAGCTGATCACCGGGCCTGACGCCTGCATGCCACTAATTGCTTCGTTTGGTGGTCTTGATAGGCTGGTGCGTCGCTCAACAACGCCATGGCGGGGCTATGCAAATTCACCACAGTCAGACTCGCCAACAAAGCTCATCCATTGACGCAACACTGTCGTATCAAGCATTAGGTCTTGGCTTCTAATAGCTCATAGGTCACTCAATGTGCGTTAGTAATTTGATGGACACCCATCTGTGGCTCATAACCTCCAAATGTGCAGCAATGTGCACTTGGCCTACTCTCGAGTCCAGTGGTCTAGTACTCTTACAATGGTTCATTATGTGACATAATGATTGCACTGAATTAACTGTCAAGTACAAAAGTAGCTATGTATTATCTAACTTTGGCGTGCAACAGCAAATGGATTAGCAGTAAAGGTACCATTTAGATCCGCTACCATCCTAGCCTTACCCAGTCTCTAGTACTTGGCCTCATCTTCATAGTAGGTCTTCCAGACTTCAGGCTTGGCCATATCCCACTCACCCCAGGAGCCCCAAAGAACACGCCTGTTTGTCTTACTAAAGCAGCTCTTTGCGCCAATCATGATGCCGTCATTCTCAGTCTGCCAGTTGTTTGCGAGTTTCTGGGACAATTCATAATTTGGCTGGCCTTTGTTGAGATACCAACTGTCCACAGTCTGAAGAACAGTCGAATCTCTCCAACTGTAGGCAGCTCCGTTGTCCCGGTTTTTGTAGAACATCGAATTTTCTCCTCCGAAGCACTGGATCTGGGCTGAGAGCTTGCAATTGTCGTAAAGGTCATTCGGCACAGGTTTCTTGTTCGCATCGTCCAGCTTCTCGTATGGATCGCAGATCTTTCCAAGTTGCTTGGCTAGAGCGTTGACCCAACCATCCTTGCCGAGTGTCTTCGAGTTGGTGGCATACGTTCGCTTGACGTATGGACACGGGAACTCTCGTCGCTGGGGGAATACCCAGTGGCCCGTCATGTTGGCCATGTCCGCAGGAAACTCATCGAAGTGAACACAGCCATGCTTGAAATCATCTAAATTCCGAAATTGCTGGAACCACGCATCCGTGCTTTCGTCATACTTCTGTTGATCTCCAACGGGGCACCACTGCGCGTAAAGGACGATAACTGGAGGCAGTTTACCCGCCAATAGGGCACGGATGTTATCAGGGAAAAACCTAAAGACTGTGTCTTGAAGACCTTTCCAGACCTCATCGTTCTTGAATGAGGGAAAGAGTTTGGTGATATCAAAGTCCGTGCTAAGAACGTTGACGCAAAGGTCGCGTCCTCGGGGCGCGTTGCCCGCATCCGACATCGCTGCAACATAGCCCAAAAGAGACTTGAGAGTGTTCTCGTTGTAAAGCCAAAAGGCCTTGACTCCACGTGGTCCCTGGAATTTCACTGGGCCTTTGGGAGTCTTGATCGTGTTTTCAATGCCCATGTAGCTCTTGGCCTTGAATACCATAATGGTATAGTGCGTAATAACACCAAAGTTTCCAGGGCTACCACCGCGAATAGCATAAAACAGCTCAGCATTCTGATCCTTATTGGCGAGCAAGACCTTCCCGCTGTGGTCGATCATGCGAATCTCGGTGATGTAATCACCAAGAAGACCAAAGCTGCGGCCGAGTTGGCCATAACCGCCGGTCTGGCCGTGGCCACCTAGACAAACATAGGCGCATTGACCCGTAGGAGCAAAGAGGCCATGACTGGCAAGGTATGCTAGGAAATCCCGTAGCTAATTACTGACACCAGCGAAGGCGAGGACTCTGTCATCAGGGACGGGAATAGTTGGCTTGTCGATGATTTTCAAGTCCTTGTACGTGTTGCTCACATCAAGCTGCACGTTCTTGCCTCCACAAGAAGAAGCGCCGCTGTACTGGTGACCACCACTCTTGATAGCAATGCCGACTTTGTTTTGAACGGCATAGCTGATGGCGCTGATGACATCGTTGTCATCCTTCGGCTTGAGAATGAGAGCGGGATCCAAATCGTGACCCGCTACATCTATGTAGGATGAAGTCGCGTACTGCTGATTGAAGAAGTTGTAGTCCTCTTTTTCATAGTCGCTACCTTCACGGGAGTATTGCATCCCAATGAAGTTGTTGACTTGAGTCGTGGCCATGGTTTCGGAAAGAATATGAGACGAATGTTCAATAATGGGTATGAGATGAGAAGAAGATTCAGTGATGAAGATGAGGGCAAAGGTCAAAGGGCGACGAGTTCGTTGTTATATAGTTTTCCAAGTACCTGGGAAAGAACTCTGTATCTTGTCCTACTAAAGATCAGGTCATTCCCAGCGATCAGTTGCAATAGCAATGCCAGTTTCGGTTCGTCGGTCTGTATTTGTCCGAAGTGAGACATGGCGTTGTGCAGATAAGATCTCGACTGGTCTACTTACGGGATCATTGAAACGTTGAACGGTCCTCGACCGTCTCTTACTTTTCAGCCAGCCACCATATCTCTCAACTAGACTCTCGGCCAGTCAAAGGCGGTATACCCCAGACAGAGAGGGGGTTGGAAATGCTGGCTGAACAGGAAAAGGAAGGCATGTTGTCTTTGCCACTCTGGCTGTTCACCGTCAACATGCCACGTTCATGTACCAATCATTCCTTGGCTTGTCAGCCAGATAAACTGCTGAACAACGCGACGGTGGGGAATCTCGACAGGCGTCATAATCAGGCTCGCTGAGTATTGGCCCAACTTACCAATCCCTCACAACAGTCCTGTAAATTACCGCTAAAAGGTGTAGTACCGTTATTTGGGGCTGGGAAATTTTATAATCAACCATATGCTGCATGTAAAGGATACAAAGAACCCATCGAGGTGCTTTTCGATTACGGTGCATCAGTTGGTACACTGTTCGGCGCTCATATAGAGTACCCTGCAATTCGCGTGATCTAGTTCCGTTTGCAGACTTTGTGAGGTCCGAAAGATTCTAAGAACCGACACTGCTTTTTGTTCTGGGTGATTTAAAGGCCGGTTTGGATTATGAGTATTCTGCAAAGGTCAGAAATATGAGCAACTTTTAGAAGAATACATGGAGCGCTTGGCAGGTCTAGGCCATAGAAATTAATTTATACTTCAATATGTCATTCATGACCTGTCACTAATATGATATTTTCTTTCTCAACTGATGCCAGACTTGGCATATTGCTTCTCTAACAACTAAACAATTTTCAAGATCTATCTGTAAGTCAGAGTCGGATTAAAACTTATCCAGAGCCAGCAAATCGTATTGCTGACATTGCCTCTAATATCCACCAGAGTCCACAGGGCGCGGTGAGCAACGTGATATGTGGATAGGGTGGGGTATAGCGTCAGCAATCCGAGCATCGGGAGCTCTTTCTGAGTAAGCCGGGGTTCCGGTGACGGCGCGGGGCAATAATCGGCGGGATCAAAGTTTATAACACGGAAGGCGTCCCGATATTTGAGCAACTTCATCAAAACTGATTTCACACGAAATAGTCCTCTTTCTTCGACACGATGTCCGATCATGAGTCCAAAGCCCATGAGCTAACCTTTTCTGGATTCCTTGTCGACTTGGATGGTACCATCATCGATTCAACAGCTGCAGTTGAGAATCATTGGCAGGAGTAGGTTCTCGGCTTCTTGATTCCGCCATAATTAAGTACTGATTTGAATTTTGTAGTGTCGGCAAAGAAATTGGCGTGGATCCCAAGGTCATCCTTGAGACATCTCATGGACGACGCAGCTTAGATGTTCTAGAGTTATTGGCACCAGCATACGCCAACTGGGACTGTAGGGCGCAATGGTGCTGCTAATATTTGTGAAGCTAACATCTTCTAGTTGTCAAGCGAATCGAAGCCGCCATCCCAGTGAATCACGGACATCTTGCTACCGTGATACCGGGCGCTGCCGCGTTCTTGCAATCGCTGACTACCAACTCAGCGCCATGGGCTATTGTCACTTCCAGCAGTTCCTCTTTGGCAACCGGTTGGCTGAACGCCTTTGATCTTCCGTCTCCTGATTCTGACCGCCTAATTACCGCCGAGTCTGTCAAAGTCGGCAAGCCTGATCCAACTTGCTACTTTCTCGGACGCAAGAGCCTCGGCTCCAGTGGTGATGACGGAGAAAGTCTGCTCGTGATTGAAGATAGTCCCGCTGGAATTCGAGCCGGCAAAGATGCAGGTTGTAAGGTTCTGGGGCTAGTGACGAGTCATACTTATGAGCAAGTCAAGTCAGCTGGGCCAGACTGGATTGTCAAGGATTTAAAATCCGTCAAGATCTTGGGAAAGAATGGCGACAGAGTCATGGTCGAGATATGCAACACAATATAACATCAATGTCAAATAAATACATATGTAGTGGCATGTCCCTTCCCGATACTCAATTTGATGAGCTGTTAGCCGCCTGGCTCTTCAACTTGTTGCTCCGTCACCCTCGCTGCTTGTTCCTCTCCTCCAGCACCATCAAAAGCTTCACATACTCCCGCTGATCCTCACCCTCCTCAAAACGCTTAATATTATCATCCGACAGGTCCACAACCCAACCATACTTATAATCAACCTTAGCATATCTCCACAACACCAAACCTCTATCCTCCTCAAGTATCTTTCGAACCCTCGCAGCTGCTACAGAATCCTCACTGGTCTCAAAGTCCTCACTATAATCCTCCCGCCACATAAGCGGAGGTCTCCTGCTCTGTACAACAGACACCTTCCGAAGGCGCATATTCCTCTCCCGAATGGCTCTCCATAGACCACCCCAAGTCACGTGGACTAATTCCCATTCAGATCCGTTGCACATACAGTCATGCAACTCAAGCTTCTCAAAGCTATCGACTCGGCTGGTCAGGAACTCCTCCAGTTCAGGTCCGATCATGATATTCTTGAGCTTGAGTGAGCGGAGGAACAAGAAATGGTCTTTCTTTAAGGGTAAAGGGATCTGGTGGCAGCGAGATGATGTTCCAAATATACCATCGGGGCTGGCCTCGAGAATAAGCTGCTTGACGTTTCGCGCATGCCTCATGACGAAATGTGGGAGATTTTCGATAAAGTCAGCGAATCCGGACAGCGTGTGCCAACAAGCGCCGTCATCACCGCCAAAAACACTAATATCCAGAACCTGCAGCCTTCCCAAGAAAGACTCCCATTCCGGTGATTCCCATGCGGAAGCGTTTTTAGGAAGTAAATTTGACATCTTGAAGTTTGTGATGTTCTGGTTTGATGAAATGGTCCGCATGACTTCGCTGTATTGCGCACGCCATATCATCTCACGTTCTTTCTGCAGTGTCTGGTCCCAGTTCTCCTCATCTTCTATAATGCTGTCAAGGTTATCCGAAGCTCCCCACCATCCGTTTTCACCCCACCAGCCATTAGGCTCAAACTGTCCCGCATCAAACTCGACGACGAAAGAACTGATATTGCTGAGGATCTCGCCTCGCACGATTCTCTTGAGTGTGTCCGACGAAGCTGTCCCCCATACCGAGGGCATAGGACTTTGGTGGGGTTTCTCCTCCATGTTGGGGCGAAGGTATATGTGCAAGTAGACTCTAGAGATGAAGTCTTGATACTTGTGGATGAGATCCTCCAAAGACCGGGTCGACGCCAGCGGGCAGGGAATGACGAGAGTTCGGAACAGGACTCCAACAACAGCATGGCGCATGAACCAGCTGGCGCGGCTTAAGGTTTTGACATCTTGAGGAGGCAGATAGTTGGCAATGTTGGCGACAAGCTCAACAGGCAAGGTGTCAAGAGCGGCCATGTTGAGATGGATGTAAAATGATAGAAGATAAGTTTGAAAAAGAACATAAGATTGTAAGATTGAAAAAGAACAGAATCTACGGTGAATTAAAAATACTATCACGGGGCTCACGGTTGCCTGTCGTCGTGCGGTTCATCCCATCATGAGCTTGGCGTAAAGATACCATTTCTGGCGGCCAAGGTCGAGTGACCTCAAACGCAGCATAATTGCTGACCGGAGTTTAGTCTCTCTACTTGTTTTAGACCAGTGCTTAACGCTTCAATAGTCTTACCACGTTGTGGAGCCTAATGCGCCACCAAAGCACTTCGCGTGTGAGATTTTAACCTGAAGGAGCTGGAGCTCGGTACAGCTCGATAATAATTGGACGACAACCTTGAGGCCCAAATCACGATTGCATTCCATTCATACCATAACTGATCAATATTTCGGACTGCACTAATCCTTGTTCAATCTGATTTATGCAGTATGGAGCTCGGTCCCAGAACAGTATTACTGGTCTGAAGGATGAACGACTCATGCAATATCCTTGACATCGTCCCACTGATAAATGATATGCCTCTCTCCCAGCGCTGTCTTGAGTACAATCAACAAATCATCAATACTCCCCAGGAATTTGAGATACAACGTTACAGCAACGCAGTACCGTCTATGATCTTCATCTGCAACCAGCGTAGTCGTCAAAAGAACTTCACTTTTCGAAGTGTAGAACGAATCAATGGCGCGTCGAACAAGCGGTGCAGGCAATCGTTCTGGTAAAGGTGAGCCTGTTCGCAAAGATTGTTCAATAATACCCAGGACAGCCATGACATCTCCGATGGATCGCTCATCGAGTATGTTTGCGACGCGAATGAGACGGTCTTGCATCTCTTTTGGTAGAGTTGATGCGAGGTTCAGAAGGCCGCCTAGTGCTTGGTTCATGTACTGTAGCTGTTCCTTCGTCTGTGAAAGAACCTTTTGGTCGAACGGTCCGAAGCTCAATTCGCCTTTTAGTAGAGCGATGGACGGACTGACAGCGAGTAAGATCTCCGCGACTTCGATGGAAATATGCTCTGCGACTGCTCCCAAGGCATGGTTCCTGTCTGTCCGACCCCAGTGGGAGATCAGTAGAGCGTAGTGATCTGACAAACTGCGCACCGAGTTTGCGAGGATCTTGCAGACGTGCGTTGTTCCAGATGGTGGACTTGGGAATAATTGCACGACAAATGCAGCGACGAAGCCGATCAAGACTGTGACGACTCGCTTCCAAAATGCTTCGTAACCTTTGCCGGGAAGACCATACTGGATGATATGATCGTGGTCCCAACTGAAACCCAGAACTAGACAGAAGGTAGCTCCGCCCATGATGGTAGCAAATGCGAATGAAGGAGGTAGGTAAAGGCGCCACCAGAGCATAGGAATGATCATAACACCTGTTGAAGCTGCCATGCCGTATGGGTTGCCGATACCACTTCCTGCGCCAATATACCAAGCAACCATGCCTATAACGCCTCCAACAATAGTTCCGATGGTTCGAGCGATGAGTGAAAAGGTAAAGTCGGCTAGATACACAAGGAGGACAGTTTGAGCACTGATAACAGCCCAGATTCCCTTCTCTCTGTAGAAGAAACCAGCTGTACTGGCAAGCACAGCCGGTATTGACAGAGCGATCGTAACGACAACCATCCTCAAAGCATACATCCCAGAAGGATTGACCAACCAGTTATATGTCACGATAAAAATACGACCGATCTTACTTCTCTGCGCAGAAGAGCCTTTATATCCTCGACTAATATCCAGCCTTCGCTTCGTTTCCTTAGTTTGCTCATCGAAGGTCTCAGAATCCATCATTTGATCAGGATCCTCCTCCGTTGAGATATCATATCCTGGGAAGGTCATCTGTCCATGGAATATCCAGGACATAGCGTATTGCAGCCGTGAAGGAACCCATATACGGTGACTTGTTCGCTTTTCGGAGAGGTTGAGGATGTACTCCAACAGCTTCTCCGTTGCAATGGCCATGTTCAGAATTCGTTCCTCGATTACCATGGCAATCACCATGCTGGGTAAAAAGGGTCGATCAGTTCCCTCCATGGGTTTCAGATGGCCATTCTCGTCGAACAGTTCTGCGTGAGCTTCGAGAACTCCCTTGGTCGTGTTGATGACGCATGCTTCCCTCGCCTGGCGTGACCTCGCCAAAGTATCGTGAAGGTTTCGGTTCAGCTCCTCAAATTGTACGGGCGACGGTTTTCCCATCCATCGACAAGAGTTGACGGCATGTATATAATCCGCTGCAAGGTTGATAGCCTGCGGTCCGATCTGCAGCAGATCTGATGTCGTATCTCGGAGGGTATTCCTCGTCCTGGAACGAATCTCAGATCCTTCGGGTCTTTGGAACGCGCTCAAAATCGTGGCATTTTCGTGTCGATGATGTTGACCAATCTCATATTTCTCCTTATCTGTCGCTGGGCCAATTCGTCCATCTTCTTGAGCTCTAATGTGATCCTCTTCTTTCTGCTTACCACGAATCTGGGCAATCTGGAAATCGAGAAGATAAAGACTGGAGAACATGACCTTCCGTGCTCGTGCATGTAATCCCTTCACGTCGTCTGCACTCCATCTTCCACGTGAAAAGTCCAGAGGCAAGAAAGCGAGAGCCGGCTGTCCAGCTTTAAAGACAGCTATCAAACCAGCTCTGCTTCCTTGAAGCTCAGCAAGCGGAATAGACTCATCTGCAAAACGCCTTTTCGTCGCGGAAAGAGCTGAGTTGGACATGCGAACCAACTTCTCAATCTGACCGAGAACCATGTACGATGTGGACTGGGGGAAGAGCAACAGACAACATGCTAGGCCTAGACCAATTCCAATGGCTCCAGGCTTGACAATAATAGCTGCAAGGTCGCCTTGAAATGTTGGAAGTGTCGGACCAAAAAGGATAAAGATGTCCATAACAATCGTTCCAAAGATCTGCATCAGAACAAGCTTTGGGTTGGCGCATCTGAGTCGAGCCATAACGTAAATGAACAAACATCCCATGCTGAAAAACACAGCTGTGACTCTCGCATCAAGCATAAAACCCTCATGAATCAAAACCTGCGCCTCCCACGCCGGCGCTTGTCCCGTCGTGTTCGCAATCTCCCCAGCCTGCTGCTGCAGGGCCTGAAGCTTAGCCTGCGTCTCAGCATCAGACCGCGCGGCAAGCGCAGCTTTCATCGTCAAAAGACCCCAACACCAAGCAAGACACATTCCCAGCAGTAGCGAGAAGGCAGCGAGAAGATAGATGAATAAAATACTAGCTGGCGGAACTGCAAAGAGAAGAATCGCGCCTAGAAAAGTCGCTTGGCCTATCTCAACGAGACTGGGGTGGATGAAAATGAGGAGCATCATGACCCATATTGCGATCCAGCACCGAAGAAAGATCTTTATGTCGTGTGCGTTGAAGTGGTCCAGCCATGCTGGGAGTTTTCGCTTCGGAGGTGCTTGAGGGGATTCATTTTGGTGAGCTGATGCTTCGTCGGAGGAAGGCATTGTTCATCACCTCAATTGATGACTTTCGAAAGGAATTGAGATGTTTCAGTGAGGCCTTTTTGAATGAGATGAATGGCAACTTAAGCGGCTGAGGCCGGAGCTAGAGGTTGGAACTTGGTCTGAGTAAGACTTGACTATGACGTCTATATGGAGAAGGTGAAACTTTATTGGTGAGACTAGTTTGGATGTCATTACGAGACATTGGGCGATCAATAACCAGATAAGCCATTTTTAATATTTAATTTCCTGCAGAAAAGGCGATTTTTTTTATGTTTTTGCATTAGTTCTCGCTGACTTCATGAGAGCATGCTGCGACGTCATATGTTGGAGCTGTGAGGAACCTCGGCGTGAAGTGGAGGGCGGGAGGATCCATCTTAGCGCGTTGTCCCATCTTTTCACCTGTGGAGTTGAACACCACTAAACGATGCCGTAGCCGAAGCGGCGAATCAGAAGCAGGAAGGTTGTGAGCTTGGTTTAGAAGGATGTGATTGTAGGCTGCAATTCTCAACTAGTCTAATTATCGACGTTGTTTCCTTCTCAGCCTCTGAGGTCTAACAGCAATAAATTGATATGATCTTGTCTCGTCTAGCAACCATCCGAGGAACCAAGAAACTCGCAAGCCGTAGATAAGAATTACGAGACATTTCCCTTGGGTGGTCTGATCTCATCATTACAGAACGTTTCCCCGTGAATCGGTTAAACCATATCAGCTGGTCAGATCCCCAGGTATCTAGGAGCAAATTTGTCCTTTGCTGATAAACTTTCCCTGTTTCGATTTCTTTCCCTCGTGTTTTGACCCTTTGCCTATACGCTAGCAAGTACAAGACCAATTATCAGAATGTCATACCAATGCATCCCAAACAAGACCTGCATAAGCCATTCTAACCACAGAACCAGACAGAATAGCATATAGTCAATTCCCGAAACGAGGAACAGCATCCAAATCTTGATGAGCACTTGCGACATTCGATCTGTCGATCTATTTTCCTCCCGGTCCTGGCCATTTATTGATGAGACTTGTGGTTGTTGTTCGGAAACCGGATGAATTGAACCCAGGGATGTTAGCTCAGCTGGGCTTAATTCTTGCCCAAGCTTACGCGACCCGGCGATATCACGATTAATGGCTTTCCACATCTTGATATTCAAATCACGAGGCTCGAGCGCTGTCTTGTCTATATACTGTCAGCTCGGCAGATATTCTCATAGGTACAGTAGTAAACTTGCCATTTAGAAATTCATCCTCGGGACCCTCCCCATCCCATTCTTCTGAAGAATCATCACCTCGCTTTCTTCTTTCTGTCTTCCATAAAAGATGTCTGAATTGTTTCAGAAATAGCCAAAAAAGCGTAGGAGGTTGCTGCCACTGATATCGCTGCAGCAACCTTTCCTGTCTGTCTGTACCTGCTAGTTCGTTTTGTCGATCTAATTGCCTTTTGATGAGCCAGACATGAAGCGTCACTAGTGGTTCGTCCACGCTGTGAGCCGTAACCTGCGGTCGCGACAGAATTTTAGGGCCAAGATCTGGTGAGCTCCATCGATCTGCAAGCTGTTCGTAGATTATGGTAACCAATCAATCTTCCCGCTAGCTGTTGATAGCTTTGTGGATGGGGAAATCTTCCAGTATAGACTTTGTTCCCTGGCCATAAATCGAGTCAATCTCAATCTGTCGCCAAAGTTGACGTCAAGCCTTTATTTCAGGATTATTATCCTCGTGCGGCTCTGGAAGATGTTTGCTTCTCAAGACAATCATCAATTGGGGAGAAATAGGCGCGAAGAGGTGAAAGCGGGGTCCTAGCCGAAGGAAGTCTCCGGTTGCCTGGTCCTGAAAGTCGACGGTTGGTCCTTCATATACATGACTCCCCGTGTCGGAGAGAATGGAACTCTTGATCCTCGCTCGAAGGGGTGCAGAAGGACATCCAGAATTCGGTGATGTGTTTCTCAAAATGGCGAAAGAGGCCATAGTACACAGTTGACTTGAGCGTTTCTCGCCAGTTTGATTTGACATCAATATCGAGGTCGATGATAGAACTCAAACCCTGCAACCAAACGTCTCTCGGTCGTTGAATTCCACTTCGATCCATAAACTCCTTCAACAGATCCCGATCGTCCTTTTTGTAGTCGTCGATACAGTTGCAGTTGTATGTCTTGAAGAAGCCCTAACCTCGTTGGTTGAGTGAATAAACGAACTTGCGCAGTACTGACTGCTGTGTCCTGGTGATTTTGACCGTTTCCTCTCCACGTTGGTGAGAGGTAATTATCCTGCGAATCACGGCACTCATCTCGCCCTCCAGCTTGCTAAACTTGGCCTCCCGTTCACGAGGAAAGTTGATATTTGGTGACTAGTCCGTGTACATGTCATCTTGGCCGCATACTCGTCGAATAGAATGCTCCGCAATTTTGAATCCCCGTGGCAAAAGCTGTAAGCAATTCACTACCCGGTCACCGGGGTATTTTCCTTTTTCGTGATGGTGCTTTTTGCAATTTGAGCCATTCGTGGGGGCCCTGGGACAGATGAAAGGGTGATCGAAGTTTTTGAGGATGAACTGCGGAATGAAATGCTGGTACTGGGGCGCGTCGGCCGACATGATAGCGATCGATTGATAGCCGGCCAAATCACGATTTTCTTTCGGGCTATCGCGTTAAGTCGGTGGTCTACGAGGTGCTTGTTTTAGCTCGGTTCTAATTGTAGATTGTAAACTGAAGCCTGATGAGAAAGGAAGCTCGTAAGTAGCGTGTTACATGCAATTTCAGCCGCAGCCTAGATCTAAGGCGGGGTAACAGCTCTTCCACCAGTCAGTCAGCCAGTTGCCAGGATTAGGGGTCTTCAAACCACCAACAGTCTCGAGAGATAGGTAACATCGTGCAGAAAGAGAGGCACAGAAATAGCAATCGAAGTTATTTACAGTCTAGGGTGGGGGCGAAAACTCTCATAAGACGGTGTGCAGATTACACCGCTTGGGTCTATAAATATTGAGCGTGGTTTCGTGAAAAGGAAAAGAGGTTGTATAAAGGAAACAGTTTAACAAGCTTAAGCATATCTTTAACCTTGCAACCTTAAAACAAAACCCAACCATCACTTCCTGAAAATGAAGTTCACACTCAGTGTATTGGCGTTTGTTGCGTCTGCCAATGCTTGGACCATGCAGTTCGACTGTCCCAGGGGATCTCACTTCGAAGGATCCTATTCCGGCACTAAGAACAAGGGCTGCACGAGCATCCCAGCATGTGTCCCGGGCGATCATGTCAGTTAACTCGCTTTTCATGGCTTCTCAAGTACTTTTTACTGACTGCTGTTGAATAGATGGTTTGGGGTAACACCAAGAAGTCCAACTGTGTTCTGAGGCTGTACGCCGCTTCACCCTGTGCCGCTGAACAGGAGATTGGGCATTCCAAGGAAAATTGGGATCATAAGTTCGGCCAAGCTGTTTTTGCATGGGGAGTCACGAATTGTTAGTGGGTCCCGCATGAGAATAGGTTCTCGACAATATGACGTCTTATACGATCTTCTCCAGATAAACTATTGAAGCTATATACATGAGATGATGTTTCAACCCGCCGCCTCACAACATGCAACCAGTAGAGTCGGTAGTGGGCGAACTTAACTTTGTGCAAGATCTTAAGTGGTGCATTGGGAGTAGAAATCGTTAAGAGCCTTGCAAGTTCCAGTGGCGCAGCACTTCGCACCCGTCCAGTTACTTCCGCCGCACTGGCCCCAAAGAGCAGCGCACTGCGTCAAGTCAGCACATGTTAATCATTTAGAGGTAGAAGTGAACAGTCACGGAGATAGAACTTACGTTACCAGATGGCTGAGTCGACACTGGAGGAGCCTGTGTGGATGACTGTCGGGTAGAGGTCTGGAGAGTTGTAGTGGGGTTGCTGCCACCACCATCACCACCACCAGCACCGTTGCAAGAGAACTGTAGTCACAGTTAGATAAACGATGTCAACGCAGGTAGAGTTGCTTCGTTTTACATACCACTGCAGGACCAGGAATGGTGTAGCTGTTGAAGTTGGAGTAGATCTAAAACAGTTAGCGTACTTAACAATACGATGGGCAGGACACTGTCTTACGTTGGCGGTGTATCCAGGGTCGGTGTCCTTGAAAGCGCCAGGAATCTTGACCTGGTTGCTGGGAACAGTACTGCCTCCACCAGAAACGCTGATCTGGGCGCAGCTGATGTAGAACTGAGATTTCTAATGTCAGTTCCTGCGTATCTGAGGCGGATCAGATATGAGTCACTTACCTGAGGGATACCCGCTGGCCAAGGGTTGTGGATACCTAGACTCTGGATGCGAAGAAGATATTCGCCGTTGGCAATGCAAGTGGGAAGGTTAAAGGTGTAGCTGACTGAAAAGGCAGTAAGGTCAGATTACAAAAGCATAGCTCCGGCGAATGTTAACTTACGGTACATGGGCCAGGTTGAAGTACTGCCACTAAAGGTCGGGCCTATTCACACTTCATTAGTCGTCCTTCTGTTTATCCAGCTGATTGGTGACAGCATACCCCAGTCCTTGATCTTAAACCAGCCACCGCTGCCATCATACGACGAGGCAGAGCTAGGTGCCTTGGACATGTACACGGAGATAGGTCCCTGGTGGTAGACAGCAGTGTCGAGAGTGAAGGTAATCGAGTCGCCAGCCTTGACTCCAACGGTTTGAGTGTTGGCTCCTGAGGCGCCGACATTGCATCGCAGGTCGTTAGAGTCAAGGTCTGTACCCCATGATTGTCAGTATCTACTCAGAATATGGTTTTTATTGGGAATTTTGAAGACATACCGGTGACAGGAGAATTGTAGTTCGAGTTCTGGCGAATGTACTGGAAGACAGGATACTTGGTCGACCCAACACTGAGCTGCTGGAAGATGTAATGCGCAGAGGCGCTCTGCACCAAGGCAATGGCGGCCACAAACGAAGTAGCGATCTTCATGATTATCTCTTGCGATGATGGTTTGACACCTGTTCGAGGCTGGGCCGAAGAGGAAGTAAGAGACGATGCACGGCCAGGAGCGAGATATAAAGCATGCTGCGGGTGAAACGGCACGGACTTCTGGATGATCACGTTCCTGATGGCAGCTGGCAGCTTGAGCACCCCCCAATAAGATTGATATGATGGTCCTCCATTATAGCTCAGTTATAGATGGAGTGGTCTCAATGCGTCAACTGACAACGTTGTCGAGGTCCGAAAGCCAAAAGGGGAAGTCTACCTGGCTACTCTGGACGAAATCAACCCACCACGTTCCAGGAATGGATGTAATGGAAAAGCTTGGTAACCAGGAGCTCCAGTGACAGGATTTCTTCGTCTTGTTAGCATGGGTCTTCTCTATTGTATAACTAATACCTGTGATTTAGTCCAACGCCTTTTCTGTGCGATACCAGGGAATGTTGTTTTTCTTCCGGTTCTTATTGCAATAAATAATTGCAAGGCTACCAATTCATAAACTTCCTTCTGTCGGATCTCGCTTGCAAGTTGTCGATGGATTCACCGGGTAAAGTTCATTTCGGAATGTCATCCTCCGTTCTCGGATCCGGGAACGTGGGCAGCCAACAATGTAACACTCATCTAGACTTTAGGCATTTCGTCTTTCGTGAATGGTAGTCACAAGGTCTATTTCTGTGTTCCCAAAAGAACAAAACTTCATCTTTCTGCTTTTCTTGTATGTGAAAAGGTATAGCGTGGTCATCGATTCTATGACAGCATTAGGGTACTACGTTACACATAAGTCTATGGGAGCTCATACGGCAATCTCCAAATCGGTCAAACTTTATGGTTCTCTGTCCAAGCTAGGCCGCAATATACGCAGATGCCGTGGAATATGGTTGCATGCAGATGACGCTGCTAGGTCTAGCACGATGCTCTCCAGCTAAGCCATTTTGGAGCGGGAAGTTGAACAGCACCTACACCGATGTTCAGCTAGGTCTTCAAGAACAGTACTTTACTAACAATAATCAAGCCGTTATTATACCCGTCATTCAGGGTTTTGAAGACTCCAACGCCTCTGCCCGAACACAAGAGTCATTTTGTAACCCCGCCCTGACGATCTTCGTGGCGATGGCGATCTCCAGGGTAGGCTCATCCAATGAAACGACAGGACAATCAGTTCCAAGACTGAGGAAACACCAACCCCCGCATCGCGCCACCAATTTAAGTGAGTCATATTAATCGTGACTGCACAATAGAATGGATCTCATTCTTCAAAAACCTTGCCCTGAGAAGTCGCAATTGCTTTGAGAGACTGAACGCAACCGTGGCTGCAGTCGACAAATCACTCGTTAAGCATCTTCAACAGTTCTCAGCTCCACTTCATTTCAGCAAATAACTTACCCGCCATAGTAAGAGTCCTACCAAAATGGCCAACAGAACTTCGCCTGCCAGAGAACTTGATCTCGTGGGCAAAGTCGCCGTCATCAGTGGTGCATCGCGCGGCATCGGTCGTGCCATCGCATTCAACCTAGCATCTCGAGGATGCTCCATTCTCGGTACCTGCGTCAGCGACAAGGGCATCGAAGCCTTATCATCAGGCTTGAGCGATCAGATCACCGAACGCGTCTACAAAGCTACATCTAGAGAGCGCCCAACAGATCAACAGATCAGGGGAATCATCGCCGACGTATTCTCTAGTGACTGCGCCAAAATCATTGCTGATACTCTTGAGAAGTCTTTCAATAGTCGCGTTGACATCTTGGTGAACTCAGCCGGAGACCCAATGCCAGGAGTTATCGGTCAAATGACGACCGAAGAGATTCAGCGAAGCCTTCTAGGCAACATTCAAATCCCAGTACTGATAGTTGAAGAACTCGTCCGCCGAAAACTGTTCCAACCCAACAGCCGTATAATCTACATATCATCAATCCGCTCCCGTCTCCCATGGGCCGATCAACTCATGTACGCAGCTGGAAAGTCCGCAGGTGAATCACTCTGTCGAACATGGTCACAAGCCTTTGGTGGAAAAGATGAGCGATATGCGTTCATGGCTGGAACGACTGCGAATGCTGTTACTGCGGGTTTGACTGAGACTGACGCTGTTATGGACTGTGGGTCGGAGGTTGTCAAGACCTTTCAGGATGAGTTCTTTCCGTTGCAGAGTATACCCAAGTTTGGACAGCCTGAGGATGTGGCTGATGTTGTCGGGATGCTTTGTGGGAATGATGGAAGATGGATTACTGGATCTGTTGTTAGTGCGAGTGGTGGCTGTATCAAGATGCAGTAAATTTCGAAGATATCACAGATGCAAAGGAATAAATTTTTGACGTTTCTATTGACGTAGAGTTTACCTAAATAAGGGCACTGCGGTATCACTCTATATAAGGAAGAAGTAGCAGAGCGGCCAAGATGATCTAGAAGGCTAAAGAAAACCGCCAACATCGACCAGCAGCGTTAGCTTCGAAAAAACACCAACCTTTCCACCACCTCAAGATGCCTCTAACTGAAGTTGGGCACTAGCCTCAACCGCCAGCAAAGCATCAGTAGCCTGGTCCTCGCAAATGATACCACCGTCAACCAGGTTCTTCAAGATATCACGCACATGCTGGCGATTGAACTCGTCCTCGCCCTGGGGATTTTCCTCAGGCAATACGGAAAGAACCCGAGCTCTAACATCACCTAGTTGAGAAACCGGAATGCTGGCAACCTCAAAAAACCTAACCTCGGCGGGGGGAGCGTCATACTTTATAAGGGTGTAGCGAGTTACATTCTGACGACCTTGAGCGGTGAGCCAGTGGTTGCCCATGGGGTTGAGAGCGACGAAACTCCAGCGGCTGGGGACTTGGAAATTGAGTTCAGGCTCAAAGTCCATAGGGGGACTGACTGTGATGAAGAGTTTGCCGTGTGAAGGGTTGGTCTCTTCATTGGAAGGGAGGTTAGTGCGGTCGGACATTTCGTTGATTTGTGTGAGTGGATTTGTTGATATGATCGAAAATGGTTGCGAGAAAGGAATCAGTTTGACTATCTGATAGATAGATCTAAGATGACGGTGTTGTTATTTGGAAATTGGGCGATTTAGTTTGCTCTTAAAGGTTTTTCCACGTCGTACAAATATTCGATGTGATTGCTGAACAGATGTTAGTGCCACTGGTATCATAAAGCTAATACTGTGTGTGAGTCTAAATACGCAAATGAGGGATATGTCCCACGGCCTTTTACGAACATGTCGGTTTGTGCCAGCACATGAGCACCAAATTCATTGTTTTATAGTTAAAGTAAGACAAAGTGATCTTTGTTCAGTAGATTTGTCTGAGCCGCTGCCCCCTTCCATGACAATGCGGTCGCCGTGCATCAAAAATTCACACAAATTCGTAATTCCAGGTACTCAGCTGAAAGAGAATGACATACTTACGAGACTATCAAGCACTATAAAGAATATTGTGAATCTTGTGCTTATCGTAATTTGCACTGCATAACATATTCGCACTCATTTTATTATTCGCCATTTCAGCAACTTTATTCCCTCCGTTTAACTATCTTACTACTGTATCAAGATGCCTTTAACTGAAGTTGAGAGCTTACTTCAAGCTCTAGTAATACGTTACTAACCTGCGCCTCACCTAGAATACCGCCAACCACTAAACTATTTAAACCATCCCGCACATACCGATGATTACACTCTAAATCGCCTTCCATTTCAACAGCAGGTACGAGGTCAACCCGAATTTGAACATCTCGCAACCAAGAATTTGGGATACTAGCGATCTCGAAGTACTTTACGTCTTCGCCAGGACAATTGAAACTTAGGATGACCTTTGGGATGTCGGTTTGGCGAGCTTGTGTTGTAAGGCAGAGGCTCTTGGCATGGTTGAAAGTGGCGAAGCTCCAGACGTTGGAGGGGTGTACGATGATGAAGAGCTGGGCGTGTGAGCTGCTTCTTGGGTTGGTCTCCTCACGGGTCAAAAGGTCAGACATTCTGTTTATTTGAGGTAAGTTTATGCGGAAAAGGAATGAGACAACTTGCCTTTTTTGTTTTATGTAAAGAGGTGAGTGTAGTAGTTTAGAAGGCGTCCGACTAGACTGACATTTATGGACTATTTTGGACCGTTCCAAGTTATTCAGGAGAAATGCTGAGGAACATACGCTGCTAAGGTTTAACATCTCGCTGTTCGTGAGCTTGAACAGCCAGGCCAGTGGTATGTCTTCCCCTCTTATGAACACATCGATTTGTGTCGGCACACATACATGATGTTCAGGGGATAGAGTGAATATGCCAGTGAGGCGGCCTCTATTCATGGGACTTGAGATGGTCTGCATATCGGAGACAATAAGTGTTTGAACTTCGCTTAAATTCCATGGAGACTTGATTCTATGAATAATGGCAGATTATCAAGCACCATAAACCAACTTCCCAATCTTATCCCTATCGTAATTCCCACTACATAAGATAACAGTACTCGTCTCATCTTTCACCTTCTCAGCGACTTTATTAAACCCAGCCAGAGCCAACGCCGAAAACCCATCAACATACTGCTTCTCCTGTACATGGAGCTGTCTCAACGCCATCAAGATCTCCGTCTCTGTACATGTAACAACATGATTAACGACCGTTCTCGCTAACCGAAAACCAATTCCATTCCTAATATCATCTAACTCAGACACAGCGAGCGTGGGTGAAGTTTCGGTTTCGACTATAAATCCAGCCGATAACGACGCTGCGAGTGCCATTGAGTTAATCGCCGCAACACCCCAGACTTTCACTTTTGGTCTTAGACTGCCGGCCTGTCGTTTTGCATCTCTGGCGAAGCAGCCTATACCACTAATAAGTGCACCGCCGCTCATGGGGACGAAGATATTGTGGATCGGTTTCTCGAGAGTTTCGAATTGCTGAAGAACTTCAACGCAGACGGTGCCTAGACCAGCGATGACCATAAACTCATCGTAGGGTGAGAAATATGTATGGCCTGACTTTTCGGCAAGGTCATTTGCATAAGCTCTCGCCTCATTTAGATCATTTCCGTAATGCACAATCTCAGCACCATACTGCTTTACCTTGTCAAGCAAATGCTTCTCCACAACCGTTGGCATAACAATGGTGACTTTCGTTCCTAGCGCATGCGCCGCGAGAGCAGCACCCATAGCATGGTTCCCCATCGACGCTGTAACGAACTGCTTCTTTGTAGGATTATCCTTCATTCTTGCCATAGCGCCTCTGAAGTGGTAAGACCCGGTGAATTGGGTATTTTCCAGTTTAAAGTAAACTTTTGCGCCGTGCTTTTTACCAGCGGTTTTGGCTGGGATGAGGGCTGTGCGGAGGACGTAGAGTTTGTTGAGTCTCCATGTTTCAAGGGCTCTTTGGCCGATACCGTAGATCTCTGGGTCTATTGGCATTGTGACGCGTTTAACATGGCGCTAGACTTTTATTTATTCGCCGAGGAATCATAACGGAGCTTGTGTAAGTGAGTGTCTTCAATTGAAAAGATCAGTTATGCATGCTCGACGGGTTTAGTTGCGTGCTTGATGCTGGGGCCAAAGATTGATGGCGTCCCTGCAAGGGAGCTAAGATGAGTTGTGATTGGCTGCTGAGCTTCTGCTAATTTTTCAACCCTGTCTTGCTTGTCCATATGCGGGGTCCATTCACTCCTCTCATCTCACATCGATTCTCATTGCCATGATGAGGGACCATCGAGAATCTCATTCCGTCACCTTGAACTTTGTCCTGACTTACATTCCGAACATAAATCTCATAGTCTTTTTCTACCATCCCGCATGCTGAGTGTATGACGCAACTGAAGACTCATGGAGCCGTCCCAGCGACGACGTGCGGGATGCACTGAATGCAAGAGGAAGAAAGCAAAGGTCGGCTCATCACCACAAGTTTGCCTATCATAATATTGACGAATGAATTAGTGTGATGAGAAAAGACCGTCATGTTCGCGATGTTACAAGTACCCGCACTTATGCTCATATGAATTGAGTGTCAAGACCTTTAGGGTGACCAAGTCAAAGCCATCTAAGAATGATCAGGTAAGGTTCGCTCACCTGTCAGTTGGAAAGTTCAAATGAACAGAGGCTCACTTAATTGTTACATTCTAGGCCTTGACAAAGCCACAGTCTGCTGATCATTCCATCACTGATGAGCTACCAGCATCTTCAACAGCATTCTCAGTGATCACTTCCAACGAGCTCATACCTCTTGCGGCTATATCGGACACGACTGATAGCGATTGGCTACCTACATCAACGATAAGCGGTCCGTTTGATCGGCGGTCTTATTCTCCTGCGCAACCTCCACCAAGACTCAGTCTCTCCATTTGTCCTCTATCCAGCCCTCCCCTACGGAGTGATCCTCGGCGATTCTACTTTCAGCACTTTGTAGCCCATACAGCAACAGTATACTTCCCACTCCAGCCGGACGCAGCTTTGGGTCTGATACTCCCGGCAGCTGATCTCAGTCCATGCATAATGGGGGCAATGATCGCCGCTAGCAGTAGCCAACTCTTTCGCATAGCACGGAATCCAGAGTCGCGGAGTGCAGCAATCATGGCAACTGTTGATTGTTTAGGAAACCTGCGCGAAGCAATCACTACACCAAAATTCGGCGACCTTGGAGTGACAATACTGCCGACGACGTTGATGCTGGCTACGACGTGCGTCTGTGCAGGGGATACAGCAACTTTTCGGAAGCATCTCAACGGGGCTCTTCATGTTGTTCAACGTGATAAAACGAAATATAGCCTGGACCCTCTGTGGTGGATGAGCCTCAAGTGGCTCGTTCACCTGCTTTTGATGAACAGACTTTCAGGGCTGCCCCTACCATCACGGCAGATGAAAGGGTTCATTGACTGGGATTACCTCTTGACATGTATGCCTGACTTAGGACGCATTGATCTCACTTCCGGCTTTTCTCGAGAGTTGGTCACTGCTCTCAATATGGTATGCGAGCTATCTGACGGAAGCTGCATCAATATAGATGCAAGTGGACAATTTTTTGGCAATAATATAGCATGGAGTGCATATTCTCATGAACTTGAAGCTGGATTGATCGAGCTTCGGAAAAAAGGCGCTTCAACAGTGACAGACGTGGTGTTCCGGGCAGAACTAGAAAGCAGCCACAGACTGTTCACTGATGCAACGCTACTATGTCTATACCGGCGGGTTGACGAACTACCCAAGGACAATGCCAAAGTTCAAAAGACAGTGGACTCAATCATCAACTCACTGCAACATATTGACAAACAATCCCCAGTTCATGCGCAACTCTTGTGGCCACTTCTTGCAGCAGGCTGCGACTCAACGACTGGTGCCCAACGAACCATCATTGTAGAGAGGATGGAGAGCATGACTGCACGTGGCTTAGGCAGCTATGAAAATGTCCTCGAGTTCATGAGGGATTACTGGAAGAACGGGGGCAACATGAGATGGGACCTATTCGCCAAGCAAACAGGAAAAGACCTCGTACTATTCTGATGTTGTCAATAGCCAAGAATGATGTGAATAACACCGAACTCATAATTGCGCCTTTACATCTTCATCGGGGCAGCGGATATTCATGGATGGCCTCAAAGCCGATGATAGACTGAATCTTGACTTCGGCCCCTCAGAATACACCGCTATTCATGCTTTACAGAACGAGTGAACGACCTCGCTTGGAGAAAGAATGATATGCATTGCTACGTCGCACGGCCATAGTGTTGGGTTTGGGAGGTAACCTCGGCAATCGTGGACGGCGATCGACAGCATAAACACCATATATGGACCACACACCTCTAGAAGAATTTTTCACGATACTCATGCAATGACTAAAATCAACATCTGATATCAGTTCATTCAAGGCTCGGCTCTTCACCGGCAGAGTTGAAGCAGTCACCAGCTGAAATATCCAAGATTTGATTACCCGCAATGCCCATCATGACGAACGAAAGAAGAAGTCGTGAGTATTTCCACCACGGAGAAACATCCTTGGCTTAGTGAAATTCAAGATAGTAGGACCGAAAACTGCCGGTAAGGCATATTAGTCAAAGAAATCATAGGCTCAACGAGGGATACAACACATGTGCTTGGTTGAGAAATCCGGGGTTGAGAGCCGAGGATGCATGCTAGACATATGCAAGTCCACTCACACTTGCGGGGGCGGCCCGAATAAACGGGTAATATGCTAAAACGGTCTAGGTATTGAAGTCTATGAAGATATTCTTCCAAACGAACAACAGGAACTTTTACCTAGTTGGGGATAGTCAGAGTAACGCTGGAAAAGCTCCGTGATGGAATAGGGAGGAGCAGGCCCTATGGACCAACGATCGGTGATCAAATGGGTCTAATACCCATGCAGAGGAAGACTATGCGATCATGAAAGACAACGTGGTGCATGATAAACAACAGGGAACACGCGGAAACTCCGCCTGTCAACGTGACACCAGTGACCAAAGACGATCGAGTTTCGGGCCGATACCAACTAAAGAGGTCATCTGGTGTACCCCTGTCACGATGATCATCATTGGAGCACAGTCTCAACCTCAAACGCTCGTGCACTATAACGTTTAATGACATGACCCCGCAGAAGCACCCAATCAGAGGCGAGAAGTCAACCCCGGAAGTTTTTTGATTGATTCGGTGTTTCTGGTCGGCTGTTAACCCACTGTTAACGAATCCTTTAGTCCTTGGTGCTATAGCTGAACAATGCTCTAACACTGCAATTAAATCCTTCATCATTCGAAACATACTATTCGTCTTTGTCTTGGACGCTTTGGAAATTCATGATAAAAGGGCTTTGTCCCGCCATGTCTTGAGATTCATCAGCACCCTCAAGCCTCTCTCCCATTCACCGTTCGCCATGAAATTCTCTCTCCTTGCGACCATCGTCGCCAGCATCAGCCCGCTCGCTCAGGCAGCGGATGCAAACGCCTGGAAGTCGCGAAACATCTATTTCGCACTTACTGATCGTGTTGCGCGAAGTGCTAATGATAATGGAGGTAGTGCGTGCGGAAACCTCGGAAATTATTGTGGTGGAACTTTCAAGGGTTTGGAGTCGAAGCTTGATTATATCAAGGGCATGGGATTTGATGCTATTTGGATCACACCCGTTGTCGACAGTAAGTATCGTGAACATTGGTCAAGTACTGTTGCTGACGGGCTGGGTAGATACTGATGGAGGATATCACGGGTATTGGGCAAAGGACCTTTACGCGGTCAACCCCAAGTATGGTACTGCAGATGACTTGAAGAGTCTTGTCAAATCTGCTCATAACAAGGTAAGATACCTTGCTCTCCCCCATGCTGTTTTTCAGTGCTGTCTTGAGAAGCACCTTGTTGGTCTTTCCATGAATGATCCCGTGCTGACTGTTCCAGAACATGTACGTCATGTGCGACGTCGTCGCAAACCACATGGGCCCTGGCATCTCGGACCACAAACCCGTGCCTCTCAACCAACAAAGCTCATACCATACTCCCTGCAACATCGACTATAGCAACCAGAACAGTATTGAACAGTGTGAAATCGCTGGTCTTCCCGACCTCAACACCGGCAGCGACACTGTCAAGAAGGTCCTTTACGACTGGATCAAGTGGCTCGTCTCTGAGTACAGCTTCGACGGTATCCGCATCGACACCGTAAAGCATGTCGAAAAGCCGTTCTGGCCTGGTTTCCAAGATGCCGCTGGTGTGTATGCCATTGGTGAGGTCTGGGACGGAGGTCCTGATTACCTCGCTGGGTATGCTAAGGTGATGCCTGGTCTACTGAACTACGCTATCTACTACCCCATGAACCGCTTTTACCAGCAGAAGGGCGATCCGTCAGATGTTGTCGCCATGCATGACGAGATCAGCAACAAGTTCCCCGACCCCACTATCCTCGGCACCTTCATCGACAACCACGATAACCCCCGCTGGCTAAGCCAGAAGAACGACAAGTCCCTCCTTAAGAACGCCCTCGCCTATGTCATCCTCGCTCGAGGTATTCCCATCGTGTACTACGGAACAGAGCAAGGCTACGCAGGAGGCAATGACCCCGCCAACCGCGAAGATCTCTGGCGAAGCAGCTTCAGCACCAACGCGGATCTCTACCAACACATCTCGCGTCTCTCCAAGGCTCGCTCAGCAGTCGGTGGCCTCGGCGGAAATGATCACAAGCATCTTTACTCTCAGAACAGTGCATACGCTTGGAGTCGTGCAGACGGTGATCTTATTGTTCTTACTTTGAACCGCGGTCAGGGATACTCAGGACAGTACTGCTTCAACACTGGAAAGAATAACAAGACTTGGGACAAGGTATTTGGAAGTGGCACTGTTACCTCTGATGGCAATGGGCAGGTCTGCGTTAGCTACACTAACGGTGAGCCTGAGGTCTTGGTTGCCTCGAGCTAGATGGCACAAAAAATGGGGTTGAATTAGTACTGGATACGGTCTTTTTTCTCGACTTTACATGATGACTTTCTTATATACTGAGCTCAGTTTCAATTTTATTCTTCTTCTTCCAACTGTACTTTTTGGTGTGCACACAATGTCAGCGCTAAGACGCGGTGCCTGAAATATTGGTACATGGCCTCTATCACGTCAATCAGAATGGCGGTAATTGTAATTGTATTGATTTGCTATGCAGCTCAAGAGCGCATTTAGCAACCTATAGCCAGAATGGCTGCGCTGTCTGTCATCTTGATTGGCTGCCAGCCCTGTCAGAAGCTGAAATATTGCCTTACCCTTCCAACAATTCGGGCGCTTAATACTCCCAAATTACAATTTCGCATGAATTCTGCAAGCCACGTTATAGTGGCACTGTGCATGCAGCCGCTGAAGCTGACTGCCAGGCCTTTTTGTGACATTGGTCTTATTGTCTATCATAATACCCCATCCCCTCATTTTCCTTCAATCGATCTACACCTGAATATGTCAAGAAAATGTCTCCCTTCCAATATCCTCGGTTACCCCCTCTAGAACTACGGCTTCTGGAACTGCAACCTGGTTTGCCAGAAGATCCGCTTGTTGGCACCCTCTTGCAAAGGAAGCTGTCGCCTGAAGACGCTGAAATCCCAGACTACGAGGCTCTATCTTACTGCTGGGGCGATCAGTCCCATCCTCAGCGCATCAAACTTAAGACTCCATGGCGAAAAGGTAAAGAACAACCACATCAGACCTCGGAGTCTGGCTCCTTTTTAGTTGCCCAAATCTCATATTTATGGGCTCTTCGATACCATGATCGGAAACGCATACTATGGTGTGACTTTATCTGTATCAATCAAAAGGATGTTGCCGAACGCTCTGCCCAAGTTCAACGGATGGCAGACGTGTATCAGTTTGCCCGAAGACTTATTGTCTGGCTGGGCCCTGCAACGCCGTGGAGCTCTACGGCCATGGAGACAATGCTTTGGGTAAGAAACCAACTCTCTTCTCCAGCCATAGACTGTTCCTGGTATCGGGGGGTGACTCCCAATTTTGCCCCGACAGCGGACGGAAGCCGGCAGGAGATCGATTGCGATGGGCCTCTTCCGCTAAGCCAGGATCAGTGGCTTGCATTGGAGCAGCTATTGGCCGTGGACTGGTTCCGACGTCTTTGGACGCACCAGGAAGTAGCGTTGGCAAACAAAGAAACATCGGTTATGAGGTTAGGCGATGAAGAAATGCTGTGGAATAAGTTTATGGAAGCAGCCCTGTTCACATGTGTGTATACATGGGCTGCATCAGGGCCCTTCTTCCTTGATCCGGCCAGGCACGTTAGAAATATTGAGGTGTTTATTTATAAGGCTTTGAGTACTGGGAGTGTTGAGGAGAGCCGCAGGAATAATCTCGACTGGGTTGCTCTGTTAGGGATGACGAACCTTTACGATTGCTTTAATGATCGTGATAGGCTATTTGCACTTCGAAGGTTACTCGAACCTGATGCAGCCCAGACAATCCGTGTGGACTACACAAAGTCTGCCAAGCAAATTATGGCTTCAGCTTCCGTCGCTCACCTGAAGCAGAGGCGCAATCTTAGATTTCTAGAACTCTGTAACTCGACCATATCTCCCAGCTGGGCTGCGGACCTACAAAGGCCTCTGGACCGCATACAACTCTGTAGTAACGCAAGTGCAAAATCTGCCGCTTCAGCGAGGTTGATCAAGCCTGGTGTGCTAGAGGCAGCGGGGGTGTCCTGTGACGGGATATGCAGTAAGCCATTTGAGCTGCCCATGAAGAAGAGGTTTTACGACCCAGAGGATCACATCGCCAGTGTTCTCAAGGTCTTCCGAGACCTCACAGAAAGGATGACTTTCACCAAGATGATTCATGCCTCGATGAGCTGATAGCCATGATGACATTTAGTTACCTATTGGACTACAGTGCATTCAGAACTGAATCTCCTCCTTCGTCAGCATTGGTCTCGCTAGAAAGTGGGCGACGGATGATACGGCAATGGATAACAGGCACCGTCAACTTGGACGATGATTTCCGTTTGCTGTACAATCCCAGGAGGGTTGTAGCAACCGCTTGCACAAGAACTCGCAACGGAACCGTCGTAGGCGTCCCTTTAGAAAGCTGCGACGGCAATATAATAGTCACTCTTCTCGGCATGTCCAGCAACTTGGTTCTCCGTCCTCAACCGAGAGATGGATCCCACAAGGTCGTTGGACCGTGCTATCATCCATGCTTTTCTAACGGCCAGGCCCTACTCGGGGACGACTTCCGCGGCTGGGAAAGAAGATGGTGTATGGATAGAGGTCATCTTGTGTTTTGGAAAGAGGGTGAGCCTCCGTGTCTATCTGATCCACGACTAGACGGAGTTCCGTTGCCTGCTGGATACACTGAGCGTACAGTCGAGACGGTCGGGAAAGACACGCTTGTGTGGGTACATGAGTACCCGTATGAGGATTATAGGGAGAACAACATAGCTTGCGATCCAAGAATGTCAGAGCATGAGTTGAAGAATAGAGGAGTACCGATACAGAGGTTTCGGTTGATATAGGGAGATTGTGCCGGCGAATCTGGAGAATGCAGGCGAATATCCAGTTACAGAGATTGTTTTGATGTTTCACAGCCGAATAGTAATAACATTGTTCTCAGCTATCCTGCCTGTATAACCAATGCATGAGGCGATGGGACTGATGCTAATCTCATGCCCTCCAGGGCCATTCCACGTGCTCAAATGGTATCTCGCCATTGGCTGACCATCGCCAAGAGGCTAACATCAGCAATAAGAAATTCATTTATCGATATTAGCTGAAGATTGCAAGGTCAATTATTATCACGGTGAGAGAACAGGTCTCTGGCACTCCCTCACGATAATTGGTCAATAGAGCCAAGAGTTGAAAGAGGTTTAGATCCAATGACGTGATGTGACTCGGGTCCAGGAGTTAAAATTGAAGCTTAAAATGCTTTGAGTAAGCCAATTTCCTTCCAACATCCTCTAAAACATCAATCAAGAAGCTGGTGATAGCTTTAGAAGATCCAATATGGTTGTCGGCGGTTGGGAACACGCTTTGCGAAGGGCCGCAGACCGCGGGCTTCAGACGCTCCAGGTCAATTGGCATCTCGGCTTCACTGCTTTCGGCGGACCGCCTGTCCACTTCAAGATCGTAAGCAGAACTTATTCTTGGGCTTTCCATAGCATGACTGACGGACAAAGTTTCATGACAAGTTTGTCACAAAATTACAATGGATTGATGAGCAGATTGTACGTTTGCATGGCCTTCTCCGTCCTCACGGCCAATTAACAGCAGTGCTAGTTCCAAGAACTCTTCAGCGTCTCACAGGCGCTCTCTGGTCCTGCCAGCACGAAAATGCTATATTGTATTAATTTGATCCATGGTGGACTATTCGAAGCGCTTTTGGCCTTTTTCATCTGGAGGTATGACGCGTGTAATACGTATTCAATACGAAAAATCTGACCAAAACAGCTTGCCTGGCTGTCTAGGCATGTTTGGACTCTCAATTGGTGTATCCAACATTGGAGATACACTACCTCGCGCCGTGTACGCCCTTCTCTCGGGTCTAAATGCAGCTACTGTTGGCATCATCGCGTTAGCAGCTGTTGAACTCTCCGACAAGGCGATTACAGATCAAGCCACCAGGATTGTTCTCTCAGTCACTGCGGCAGCTGGGATACTGTACAATGCCCTCTGGTATTTCCCAGTTCTTATTATTGCGGGCGGATGCTGTACCGTCGTGTATGACTTTCGCTGGCTGCATCGTCCGGTCCGAGCTGTGAAGAGCGCTTTCCTAAGAGTAAGGAGGGGAAGAGCGACGGAGAGTGAGAATATTCAAGGTGTTGAGAATGGAACGGACAGGAATGTCAATGATTCGAGAATCGCCCTTGCTGAGCCAGTGGAATCTGAACAGCGGGAGGATGAACAGCGTATTATTCCCCAGGAATATCGTCTCAACTTCTCATGGAAGTCCGGAACAGCCATCATCGCCGTCTTCCTAATCACGTTCATCGTCGTTGTTGCCCTACGTGGAACTTTACCCGCTGCTCCCCTACTTTACAAACTCTTCGCCAACCTGTATCTGGCTGGGACAATCATCTTTGGTGGCGGTCCCGTTGTCATCCCTCTTCTTCGAGAGTATGTCGTTGCTGAGGGATGGGTTACACCGCGTGATTTCTTGATCGGCCTCGCTATTGTGCAGGCTTTCCCAGGACCAAACTTCAACTTTGCCGTGTTCTTGGGCGGCCTTACGGCTGCGAACAATGGATACCCAGCGATTGCAGGAGCGCTGATAGCTTATCTTGGAATCTTTGTCCCAGGCATGGTTCTCGTTCACGGAACAATGGGCGTCTGGGGAGTTCTGAGAAGTCGCCGTTGGGTCAAGTCTGCTGTGCGAGGTATCAATGCTGGGGCTGTTGGTTTGATCTACACGGCTGTGTATAGGATTTGGCAGGTTGGGTATATAGATCAGGGCTTTCAGTCTGGCAAGAGTCTGGCTGATGATCCTTGGTGGGTTGTTGTCACTGCAACGGCTTTCGTGGGGGGGCGGTTCTTTGGTGTCGCACCGCCGTTGGCAATTCTACTTGGCGCTTCATTGGGGTTGCTCAGGTATGGCATTGTTACAGCATGAGTTGGGTTCACTACCATTTGCATCGGCGAGGTCCGACACGGAGTCGTCAATTTGGACATTTATCGAAAGATCAATCTTGAGATTCTGAGTCATTATGTAGATGATGGATATAGAGTTCACAAATTGGAGATAATTATGATCCGATATAGATATCAAGGCATCATGTCTCGGTGGGGCCGACTGCTCGGGATGGCTTCCGTCGTCGCTCTTCTCGGCTGGAAGGTTAGCTCAAACACCGGCTCTCGGCAACAAAACCGTACACAACGGAAGGTTGCAGAGAATTTCCAAATCCGTAAGATCCATCTGTTTCCGATATCCATTGCATGCGGTGAACGGAACACTTAACATGTACCAATGGGCGAAAGACAAAGCTTGACTGGGAGAGTGGACCTGAGCATTAGGTGACTTCTCACTGATCAAGGCATATCTCCAATGCCACTAGATAAGCCCGAAAGACATAACCATTCTTTCACCGGTGTAGCCTCTCAATGCCGTGTTACAAGACCCAAGACCACATGATACCCGTAATCCGGGGTAGGCACCGATGAAGCGGGGAAGACGGGTCAATTGGTGGAGGTTGAGTTATCTTTGGTGGCGGACGGCGTATCTTTTTGGCGGCTACGCTAACGAATTCTGTGGTCCTCGTGAGGAGCTCGTCTCCAAAATTCGTTATCTTATCCAACCAGATGATGCCGTGATGTTTCTTTGGCGATATCGGATGACGACCCGATGCGGGTATGCTAGCCATTCTTCCAGAACAATTGATGGCTTGGAGGTTCTTAAATGCAGTCAACCCTTCGTTCGTCTTCTCTCTGCCTTTCACTGCACTTTATAATTATAATTACTTTTGTAGTCGAGTTGAAGCTTCGGAATTGACCTGACCATTGATCACTCACCAACATAGCAATCCGCCTTATCACAGCCGCAAACTTTCATAATCTGGCATAATGTCAACAGAAAACACAAAACAGTCAATTCTTATCCTCGGAGCCGGCTGCTTCGGCCTGGCGACAGCGTTTGAACTTGCGCAGAATGGTTACAAGAACATCACAATTCTCGAGAAAGATGTTGACGTGCCGAGTCGCTTCTCCGCTGCTTATGATCTGAACAAGGTCATCCGAGCTGAGTACGCCGATGACTTCTACACCCAATTAGCTCTCGTAAGTAGCCCGCCTTGACACTTAGACATGAACTTTATGCTCAACAATACCTTGCAGGATGCAATTAGAAAATGGCAATCTGATCCTCTCTACACTCCTCATTATCATCAAACCGGCTTTCTCAACGTCACATCCGGCAAAGCAGCTCAAAACACCAAGGGAGCAGTGGAGAGTTACTTCCAATCCCTGCAGAAGAACCCGGCTTTTAATGGCCAAACCACACGTGTGAACAGCAGCAAAGAGATCAAGAAGCTTGTTCCCAAGTTCAGCGGCCCTCTCACTGGCTTCACCGGATATCACAACAAACTCGCTGGCTATGGTCACTCCGCTAATGCTTTGAGAGCTGTGTATGAGCAATGCGTTAAGCTTGGTGTGAAGTTCCACCTTGGAAACAAGGATGGTGAAGTTGAGTCATTGTTGTATGCTTCAAGTCGAGAGGGGACGAAGTGCATAGGTGCTAGGACTCGTGGAGGTACTATTCACTCAGCAGAAAAGACCATCGTGGCCTTGGGTGCCGACGCTGCCAACATTCTTCCACGTATTGGAAAACAAATGACCGGTCGAGCATGGGGCGTTGCACATATCCAACTCACAGACAAAGAAGCCGCCGATCTCAAGGGCATCCCCGTCACCAACGTCCGCGACCTCGCCTTCTTCTTCGAACCCGATCTCAAAACCAAGAAACTCAAATTCTGCCACATGGGCGGCGCATTCACAAACTACTCCTTCTCCAAAGACGGTCTCTCCATCCCCTTCCCCGAACTAGCAGATTCGCAATTCATGCCTCTCGAAGACGAAACACACATTCGTCTTCTACTTAAAGAAGTCTTTCCCCAACTCGCAGATCGACCTTTGATTGATCAACATCTTTGCTGGTTCGCTGATACAGATGATTCGGACTTCATCATTGACTACGTCCCCGGCACCAATGCGACTTTGGCGGTGTTAAGTGGTGATAGCGGACATGGGTTCAAGATGTTGCCGATTTTCGGAGAGTTTGTGCATAAGTTGCTTGTGGAGGAGAAGCAGAGTCAGTCGAAGTGGCAGTGGAAGGATAGTAAGCCCAAGGCCGCGGCTGTTTGGAGGAGTAGTGAGAGTCAGGAACTTGCTGCTGTTCCGCGGGCGAAGCTGTAAGAATTCTTGTTTTATAGAGTATTCGACTAATATGAATCTTTCTTTGTCTTACAAACAGTGCCTCCGCTACCTATCTGTATGTACCTCTATGCGCTGCAGCTCGATCACTTGATGCGCGAACATTATAGTCAATAGACTAGTTTAACCAGAGCGAAGGTCAACACGCTGCTACAGCACCAATATGTCTCTTTTTGGTTATAAACACCGGACAACCAGCGACTTGGTCGTTATTCGTCAGCAACTTGATGAAGTGAGGGGTCGATATCTGTCCCCGTCTTACAAATCCTCCATTACACGACACCATCAACTCGCAAACGAGGTGCTTTTATTTCCGCTTTGAGCCAAGATCTTTCAATTGCGCGATCTTTCATGAAATAGATTGGACAATTGTTTTATGTTGCAATCAGTTTGCATATCGCATGTCGAACGTTGGCCAATTAGGGTAGTCGCAGTAAGTCTTGGTCATTGTGTGCCATCATGGCGTGACTGGCCGAGTTGGGGTCACTGTAACCGTAGTGAGGGGATGATCATTGTATATCAAGATGCTGTATGCTGCTATAATTCCAGAGAATCAATCGCAAGTTGCAAAATTGAATCATCATATAAGAAGCCGAAGCCCAGTTAGCCCAAGATGGTCCCAGCTCCAATTGACCCCAGCATCAAAGATGTCGCAGAACCCATCAAAGACACCCTCAAGATCCCCGACGCAGCAAAACAGCGTCTCGAGAAATCAGGCATAGACCTCTCCAAAGGCTATCCCTACCGTCCCTCTCGCCCCTTGTATCTCGATGATGTCTACAAGATTCGAGACAAGCCTCGCGATCATATCGACGCAGGTGCTCGAGCTGACAAGTCGAAGAAGAGCCTCTTGTCTGCTGCAACAAAGGTTACTGATCTGACTGCTTATATCGGAACTGAGATTGAAGGTCTTCAGTTGAAAGACCTTACTAATCAGCAGCGTGATGAACTTGCTTTGCTTATTGCGGAGCGAAGTGTTGTGTTTTTCAGAGACCAGGATCTTTCGCCACAGCAGCAGAAGGAGCTTGGAGAGTGGTATGGTGAAGTTGAAGTTCATGTAAGTGATACCTTTTCAATCCTCATCATGACAGGTGCTGACGCGGCCATAGCCCCAAGTCCCTCATGTCCCTGGCGTCCCAGGTGTAAGCGTCCTCTGGCCCGATCTCATGGCCACAGAGCGCCCAGCTAGTTTCCGTCAACCTGGCGGTGCATCGCGCTGGCACACAGATCTCGTTCATGAGAAGCAGCCAGCAGGTATCACTCACCTTCACAACGATACTATTCCATCTGTCGGTGGAGATACTCTGTGGGCATCTGGCTACGCTGCATACGAGAAGCTCTCCCCAGAGTTCCGCAAGATCATCGATGGTCGATCAGCCGTTTATCGCTCCGCTCACCCCTACCTGGACCGTGATCATCCCGAACAAGGTCCAAAGTATATTGAGCGCATTCATCCTATTGTCCGCGTTCACCCTGCAACAGGCTGGAAAGCTCTTTGGGTGAACCGCGCTATGACGGATCGAATTGTTGGCCTTGACAGAGCAGAGAGCGATGTCATTCTCAATTACTTGTATGATGTTTATGAGCAGAATGTTGATATCCAAGTGCGCTTCAAGTGGACGCCTAGAACCTCGGCGCTCTGGGACAATCGGTAAGTACCTTCGTGACAGCAACTTGAGTGAGGCTGACGAAGAAAGCATTACCATTCACAACGCAAGCTGGGACTACAGCGGACGCGAGCCGCGACACGGTACGCGTGTGACCTCGTTGGCCGAGAAGCCATACTTTGATGCATCGGCGCCAACTCGTCGTGAGGCGTTGGGACTGTTGGGAGATAGTGAGAAGAAGGAGCTTGAGGCATTGAAGTAAACCCATAGTGACTACTACAGCGTAAATTATATGACAACTTTCACATAAATGTGCACACCATTCATGCTCTTTAAACAATTTCCCTGAACATGGACATTTCGCCTTCCGCTTTCGGCTTTGTTCCGGATCAGTCGGGGCCTTTTGTCTTTAGCCCCAAATCCTTCATGGGTTGAGTCATTCAACCCCCAACATTGCAAGGTTTCATCAAGCCACTTTCTCTCACATTGGTTCGCTTGATGATTCATTTAACACCGCTAATTTGCCGATCTGATAAGCAGGATCTGATAACCAGACATCACGACCGATAGCTCCGCACTACCTCCGTAAGCACTACCATTGTAGGAGGAATCGGTCTCCGGTCGTGAACGTTGCCTGCGATGCGGGGTATAAATACCTTCCCGTTAGCAATACGCTTTTAATTGAGTATACTATCTAAATCATTCTTTCAATATGACTACCGACGTGAAGGGAAACGTTCTCGATACTGAGCTAGGTGTCGTAAACGGAACAGCCACCGACCCATACCTCGTTGCTTTCAATGAACTTGACAGTGACAATCCCAAAAACTGGCCCGAAAAGCGAAAATGGGCCGTAACAAACGTCCTCTCCATAACAGGCTTTAACCGCATCCTCGTCTCAACCGTCATGGCTCCAGCGCTTTCAGTCATCGCCAAAGACCTCGACATGACAGCTACTCAATCCGTCATGGCATTGAGCATCTATCTTTTAGCAAGTGCTTTTGGTCCTCTCTTCATTGGACCTTTGTCCGAAGTTTATGGACGCAATACTATTCTCCACGTCTCCAATATCTGGTTTCTGGTTTGGAACCTTGCATGCGGTTTCGCAAATAACAAGGAGATGCTTATCGGTACTCGATTCCTCGCTGGTTTTGGAGCCAGTGCTGTGTATGCTCTTGGGGGTGGTGTTCTAGGTGATATCTGGCGTCCTGACCAGCGTGGCAAGTCTCTTGGATGGTACTCTGTCGTTCCTCTTATTGGGGCCGCAACCGGTATGTCATACAGCCCTCATTCTCTAAGAAATAACCTTACTGACTCTCACAATAGGCCCAGTTATTGGGGGTTTCATGACTGATAGAATTTCATGGAGATGGATGTTCTGGTCAACGTCAATGTTCCAAGTCGCCATGGCTGCTATCTCATTCACGACGTTCCGCGAGACATATGCCCCCGCAATTCTCAAGAAGCGAGCGAAGAAACTACGCAAAGAAACGGGTCAACCGTACTACACATACGCAGAGCGCACACAAGAGGGTAATTCTTTGACCAAAGTACTCAGCCAGGCCATGACCCGTCCCCTTCGCCTTCTAACATTCCATCCCATCATCCAAGTCGCCGCTATCATCTCCGCCGTTGGATACGGTCTTCTCTACATCGTCCTCTCAAGCTTCGGAGAGCTTTGGACAGCGCATTATGGACAGTCTGTTGAGATAAGCGGCCTGCACTACATCTCCTGTGCACTAGGTGAACTAGCAGGGTCACAGCTTGGTGCACCTTTGATGGACTACTGGTTCCGCAGAACAGAACTTCGCCATGGTCAACATCTCCCAGAGAATAGAGTACCACTAATGGCAATGGGGGCATTCATAGCGCCGATCGGCTTCGTCGTCTACGGATGGTGCGCTGAGTTCATAGTTCACTGGGCTTGGGTTGATGTAGCCATGTTCATCACCATGTTTGGCATGCAGATTTCTGGTATGCCCTTGCAGGCGTATTTGATCGATGCTTATCCAGATCATACGTCTAGCGCTATTGCGGCGCAGCAGTTTCCTCGCAGTTTGGCTGCTTTTCTGTTTCCGCTGTTCACGCCAAAGATGTATGCTGCGCTTGGATATGGATGGGGAAACAGTGCTATGGCGTTTGCGGAATTGGCGCTTGAGTTGGCAGCGCCGCTGTTGCTGTGGAAGGTAGGTGCTAGGTTGCGAGCAAGGGCGACGTCGAGTCTGTGAGTGCTGGGAGCTTCAGGATGAGAATATGGGAGGGAGATGAGCGGCTGAAAGACAACGGAACTTAGTTCATTAGAAGTTTGCATTCTTCTGTCTGCATACTATTGTTTTCATGAAACCCTTGTAGGGCCATCAACAGACAACACCTAATTACACGCTTTTCTCTTGTTTCACCTCCAAGATCAATATTCGAACCTCCATCGAGGATCAGTGTCACCTCTCCAGTCCTCCACCTCTCCAACATGCTTAATCTCCTCACTCACCGCCGCCCGTGCATCGTTCTGCTTCTTCAGCCTCCAGCCAAGTATACTCACCACGATGATATTGGCCACAAGATATCCCAGCGCCATCGAATGTCCAACCACAAAACGAGGCCCATCACCAGATCGATACAGCTGCGTTCCCATAACTGCACCAAGGTTTCCAATACTAATCTGCATAGCGTTCGCAATAGCACGCTTCGTCTGTCCTGAGACATTGATGGCGGGCCAACTGAGAACGAGAGCAGTGGCAGGGTATATACCAGCTGCAGCGAAGAACGTGCCGACGTATGATACTCCTGGTCTTGCGGTAGGATTTGTGTTAGCGAGAAGAATTATGTAGCCAATTGCCGCGACACCAGCGGAGCCGGCGATGAAGACGGCGCGTTTGGCGAGCTTTTCGGAGGCAATAGCGACGCCCAGAGTTGAAACGAAGGCGACGGCATATGGTGGGATTGTCAACAACTGCGCGACTGCTGCTTTGTATCCGAGGTCCTTAATAATGGTGGGCTGATTCCATCAGAAAGAATTCTCACTGAAGAACATAGTGACTTACCAGGAACAGCGAAAGGGTGTACAGCGGTAGACTCATCGTATGAAAGCCTAGCCCGTAAAGCCAGCAACTTGGGTCACGGAATGCCTCACGGACAGCAGCCCAGCTGAACTTCTCTTCGCGAATGGCGTCACTATCAGCATGCAGGCGTTCATGGATGAACGATTGCTCTGATTTTGTGAGGAATTTGGAAGTGTCGGGATAGTTCTCGATGAACCAGTATGCTGCGACAGCTACGACCACGGTGGCAATACCCTCCTGTTTGGTGTCAGCTTGACTCGGGGAATGTTTGGTGAAGGGACTTACCAGGATGAAGATCCATCGCCATCCGTTATCCCAGACAACCCCCGCCATCTTACCAATGCCCTGAACTCCGTTAGTAAAAATACCGCGATGAAGCGAGCGAGGCTTACATATGCCAAGATACCACCGAATGCTCCAGCGAGTGACGCAGCGCTGAAGAAGAGCGAGATGCGATATTGTCGTTCACGTCGCTTATACCACATGGAGAAATAATACACAACACCTGTTGGCCATCAGTAACCTGGCTCGTCTAGCCATATTGGTGGGTGAGCCGTACCAGGGAATAATCCGCTCTCAGTCACACCAAGGAAGAATCGAGCGATGAAGAAACCAGTCTTGTTCTGCACGATACCAAGTAAAGTGGCGACAATGCCCCAGGCGACGGTGAGTGTTGGAAGCCATAGCCTGGGCGTCGTCCGTTTGAGGATGATGTTACAAGGGATCTGGTTCCGTTAGAGAAATGCGAGTACGGCGGCGGGGGTGACAAACCTCGAAGAGAACATAACCAATGAAGTACAGCGTCAAGCCCGTGAGATACTCATTACCCGCTATTGATTGTCAGATTCTAGAGCATCCAGGCAATTCTGTCAGTCTTACACATGTGGAGATCATCAATCATTCCCTCAATACGAGCGTTTCCAACTATCCGGGTGTTCGTGTTAGTTCCAAATCACATCATTTGGTGCGATCGTCCATACCATTGCTGCGGTCCAAGAATGACAACAGATATAATATTCCCACTGCCGGAAGTAGTCGCAAGTCAAGTTTGCGTAGCAGCGCCTTCTCGTTTACAGGTGAGCTTGAGTCGACAGTGCCGGCCTCATCGCTGAGGTCCGGGGGCGAATCGTTCTTCAGGTCAGCGACCATGGTGTAGAACTACCTCTCGAGATTCGATGATATAAAGTGTCAGGAACTTGAAAGTCCAGGTGGAAGATGTCGAATAAATATGCTTGGGGGGTGAAAATGGTGTCTCACTCTAGTATTATTGCACCATACGTCCCTTGTTGAGATTTTCATGAGGTTTCATCCATTTCAACTTGTCATTTCGATGCAACGCTGATACTTGTAAGTAGCGGTACTTCTTCAACTGCGGCTACTACTACCGCGTCAAAAGTACCGTAGACAAGATCTGCAACGACTCTTGCCCTTTCTACAATTAGAAGCGATGCACAGAAAGATTAGAGTACAGTGATGGATGCACAATCTAGATGCATCGATCGGAGCATTTTCCCCAAAGGACCCAAACATGACGTTGACGCGTAGAATGAACCACTGTGGCACTTGATCACTTCCATGACATCACCATTTAATGGTAGACCTTGTCTTTGAGTCGTGAAGTCGACATGTCGCCATGTTAGTAGCCTCTGTCGTGATCTGAAACGAGCCAATGGGAGCGTTTGTGATAACGGCTTGGCCACCCACTTGGGGTAGCGTGGGGAACCATGAACGTGGGATATTTCAGTGGAATTACGGGGTTAAGTAAAGACGTTTATTGTTGGGTTCTTGACGTCTGTATTGAGATTTGAGCGAATAGGATTGAAGGACATAACAGAGTGAACATGAACGAATCGGAATCGACCTCGGGTCAACGCCCAGCAAGTCGATCTGGTTTTATTTTCTATTCTCCCGTCGACCCAGAGACAACATTGAGACGTGACCTCTCTTCGGACTCTCAGGTAAAGCCGTGACCATTGGGTATAGATCTTATATAAGGCCCTGTGTCTGGAATTGAACCTGACTAAGAGTTTACGCTTATCGCGCGCCTTCTTGGGGTCCTAACTTTTCTCAGAGACAGTCTTGTAGTGATGGTCTTCTTAGACACGACTATTCCGTTTTCTGACAGCTAGCTGCAATGTCTCAGAGGAATCCTTATATTGGCATTAGTCGGAAATCGCTGTTTTGTTTCCCATTTACAGCTTGTATGTGGCCTACAGGTTGTTATTTAGACGACTGGCTCTTGAAACAAGGTTGGGAATACAGGTAAGTATTTTCTATCAAAAACTAGCTAAGAGGCGTAGAAAATACGAGATCACTTGCTTCCTGTCCATTCGAGGTGCGACTATAATCAATGCCCGTGTTTCCTCATCTCCTGCTAGTGCACGTTTGAAGGTCATCCTTGCTTTAAGTATCCAGCCGTGATGCCCACCGATACTTGAACGGTATAGGGGATCGATGTAGTTGGCTGAGTCGCATGTTGTTACTCGTAGTGTTGAGACTACTTCTCCTTCGCCAGGAAATCTAGAAAGTGAATAGTGAGGAATAGAGTGATGGCGCTGTGCCTGACACAATTCGCGCAGTCGGCTTGTGTATCAGCCTATGAAATAATAGCCAACTACTGCTTGTTGAGCCTTCTTATCAATGCGGTTTATATTTGAGCTCAATGTATCGTGTGATCAACCCCTCCTCAGCTGGTACTACCCAAGCCCTTAATATCTGTGAAACATATCATAGCCAGACCAGCCTAAACGTTGTCAGTATGCTAAATGCTACTGGTAGATTCCAGGCGAGTAATCCGTTTATGTATGTATTCCTGAAATGAGGTTATGAGAATAACTACTAGTGCGATAGGAAATTGTAATGAAACCTTATACGATGTGCCGAAAACTTTGTTCAACTCGGAACCCGGCCTGTTACATGCTGTGGGGAAACAGCGCTGGTAAACGGTACACAACGGTAAATAACACGTATTCATTTGAATGAGGGTTATATTTCAATAACGTGCTGTTTCCGACGGGCAATCATTCCGATGGAGGTGAGATTGTTGAAGTCCGTTCTGCACTCGTAATCTTACATAAATCCGACTGACACGGAGACTATGCGATTTACTTAACACTACACTATGATCATGACCCAATAAGCCCCTCACATTTTCAGCCCAGTCGGCTTTTCAGCTTCAACTCTTTTCTCGCTCTTTACCGAAACCGGGCCAGGATGGCCACCAAAAGTAACAGGTCAAAGGACAGCCTAAAGATCATCCACGCAGGTCTTTACCGCACAGGAACAGCCTCCATGGCCGAAGCATACCGTATCCTCGGGTTCAAGGCCCACCACGCTCTACACAACGAATGGCATGAACCGTGGGATAAACTCGAGCAAGCAGCGGAAGCTACGTATCCTCATCTCGTCCATCTTTCAGACTACACTCACAACGGTCCTCGCCCAGCTTTCACCAAGGATGACTGGCAGGGCTTATGGGGTGATTATGATGTTGCTACTGACGTAGCTTCGACGTTTACTTTGGAGCTTATCAAGGCGTATCCTGACGCGAAAGTGGTCATTGTCCAGAGAAAGTTCGAAGATTGGTGGCCGTCGTTTTATTCGGAGATATTGGTCTCTGTATTTCACGCTACGTGGCTCCAAAAGTTCTTGACGTGGTATGTCCTTCGTTTTCGTGCATTACATGCCATGAGGAAGATTCTCGCGGGTTTTCTTTCTATGAATAAATATTCACTCGAGGCCATCACACCCGAACAAGCAAGAGATGTATATGAGGGATATTATCGTAAGGTTCGGGAAGCTGTACCGGAGGAGAGACGGCTGGATTATTCTCTTGGTGATGGATGGGAACCTCTTTGTCGGTTTTTGAGGAAAGATGCTCCGGATGTTGAGTTTCCGAGGGTTAATGATCGGAAGACTCATAGTGAGGACATGGAAAGGCTTATGGCGAAGCTTATGAGGGTATCGTTGAGGGTTATTGGGCCTTATCTTGTTGGCGTGCTTGCTGTTGCTGTTGCGGTTTATGCCTGGTGAGGGTTAATGTCGACAAGATGAGAATGCCGCTCACGTGTTGACATCTAGTGGCCTCCTAACAGTAATAATTGGTAGAATAGAAAGTCTCAGCATAGAAATAGCATTAATATTTACTAATAGAATAATAGACGACGTTATGTAGAGCAAGCAATCGACCGTAACACAGAACTCCATCATGTCAGTACCAGATCCAAACATCATAACACTCTTCTATCTATCACCACAGATCATAAACTCTCATAGGCATACCCCTCTTCTTCAACGGAAGAGCAGTGCTATTCCTCGTAACATTCTGAATAGTACATCCCTCAGTCTTGTACGTCTTATCGTACTGCCCAGTCAAAACAGTAGCCAACCACTGAATAGCTGTAGCAGCATTAAGCACAAAGTTCTGAGAGTGCGTGCCAACAGTGTTTCGTTGATACAAGATATTAGCGCCTACAGCACAATATCGCTCGACGAGTTTATCTGTGTTTGCGATTGGGCTGATCTCATCTTTGATACCCTGGTACGCAAAGATGGGCCATTGGGGAACGCCGTGGTAGCCCATTATTCCATCACGGTTGACGATGCGTTGTACGCGAGGATCGCGGAATAATTTCTCGCCGTCTTTGAAGAAGTCGAAGATATCGACTCCTGCAAAAGCAGCGCCTGCTTCAGCAAGGGTGTAGTTCTCTGCAGCCAAGAAAGCGGTTTTGTTGTTTTCTCCATCGGTCTTCAACTGCGAGAGAACGTACTTTTGTACGTCTGGATACTGGCTTGTCAAACCAAGAATGGAACTTGGAGCAAGACCGGCAGCGTCTTTGCCGGAAATAGCATCCAAGACAGCAGTAACATTTGGTGTCAAACCGCCAAGCGCAGCACCAACGACAGTGTCTTGAAGATCAGGCGCATACTGCACAGCAAGTTCAGAAGCCCATTCACTAGCCAACGCGCCACCAGAATATCCCCAAAGTGCAACACGGGCGCTCGTTGAGTCAAGACCTAGACCAAGAGAAAGAACAGCGCGGATTGAGTCGAGTGTTGCGTGGCCGGAGATGACACCTGCTGTGAATGAAGCAAGAGGACCTTCGTAGTCAGGAACGCTGAGAAAAACGCCAAGACCTAGAGCAGCGTTGAAGAGTTCAAGACTACTAACGCCATCGGCCGAGTACACTGCGTAACTGGGACTAGCATCGACGTCTGCTGAATCATAGGGAACTTGGTATGAGATCAAAGCACTCTGGTTGAACAGCGTCGCAGCAGTGCTGTTCGCTCCAAGCTTAGGGACAAAAAGCGTCGTAACAGCCCATGTAGGCTTATACTGGCTATCCGTCGTGCGGTACAGAATATTATACGTCGCAGAACTGTTTCCAGTGATACGGGTCAAGTTGCCCGGTGCAGGGCGTAGACGTAGAACAGTACCGGGTTCTTTATTCTCATAGCCTTCTGGGGCGGTATACCATGGATCCTCACTGGGTGGGAGAGGTTCAGAAGAAACAGCTCGTTTGTAAATATGAGCCTGAACGGTTGCAGCCAGGCCTAACCAAAGACTCAAAAGAGTGAGGACACGATGAAGAGCCATTGTGAAGTATGATGTAATTAAAGTCCACCTGTCTAAACATTGGACAACGGCGGGCTACTGTCTTTTTAACTCAATTCCTCATCACATTACGTATTACGCCGAGCCGAGGCTCCCGTCAGCCGTGCCCCCAGAAAACTTGGTTCAAAAGGGCTTGGAAGATGCCATTTCGATAGTTCACTGCCTAGTTTGGCAGTCATGACGATGAGTGTTTGGTGGCTGGACGAATCAGCTTGTCCGATGCGACCAATTGGAAGAGTTAAAGTCCGCAAGATTGGTCCGGTTTTCCGTTGGAGTTGCGGGGTTTAGGCAAGGGTAGGTACAGTCATGGGAGTCCGACGGAGTGGACGGTTTATTTTTGTTTCCGAGTTCTTACGTTGGACGGGGATGAGCCTTGGGATGGATTGGGGGTGTTGTTAGTGGAGGAATGCTTACGGGGCTGATGTTGGGCGGTGTTTCGTCTTGGTGATGGAGATGGAGATGGGTGAAGAGGAGCGAACAAACGCGCGTAAGTGATGGGCCAAGGCTGAAAACTTGAGCCTTGAACTGGTATACACCATTAACAAAGTTCATCGGCTTCCCTTCCAATAATGGCTGCACCCGTTTACGCGTTTGTGCGTTGGCATCGTTAGCTCAGTTGTCAAATGCGGGGTTTCAATCTGACGATCCAACTGCCCGATTTGCGACTTCAATGGAAAGAACATGCGCAAATGCAAATGATGGACTGACCCAGAGCTTCGGAAACTTTCATCTTGCAGCACAAGGTTCTGGAGTGAGCGATAAATCCCACGTCGTGAGTTTAAATGACCTCAATGGCACTGTATCATTGATGACGCAATGGGCTTGGTAGTCTTATGCGCCGACTAAAGCTTAGGTTGCAGGAATTAAGGCTGTTGGATCGGTTAGTGCTATAACGAGTACCCGCACTTTTAGCTAGTTATCTTGTCAGGTCAGTAGCTGGAATGACTGTCTTAATTTGTCGATGAGCACACGGCCTACCCGACAGCTTATGGAGAATTATGTGCTCGGTATACCTCGTTGCAGGACCCCATAACCACATTGGCTCCTTTGCGATTTGCTTCATATTATCTTAATGAAGATCAAAGAAGCTAAATAATTTCCTTGGTCTGTTGGGAGCGCGTAATGACTTGAGTTTCTTTACAAGTTTACCTCTTGTTGGGTCATCGTCTCGTTACCCACCAAAGCTAACTCATTCCAATGTGATGGAACGAAGTTTACATGTGATGATTTGTGACACTGGATGATGTAAATCTGTGGTTGAGACCTGTGGCTGAGAGCTTATAATTACCACACAAAACTTGATAACACTGGGTGTAATACTTGGAACTACGCATGAGAAACTTGATATAATGTCTACATCTTACACCCGCATCTAATCTGGAAGTGCCTTCGGCTAAGTAATATGAGCCTATAAGTCCCGTTACATCTCGCCCAGACTTCTACTCAGTCTTCCAGTAGGGGCTGTTGATGGCCTCGATAATAATCTGCCTGAGAGGCTTCCAGTCCTCCTGACCAGCCCACTTCTTCAACAGAGCCACAGACTCAGACTGGTCAGTTGAGATATTGAGGTCAAACGTCTTAGGGTAATCAGGAATGAATTTCCTCTGAGGTCGAAGCTCCCGCAGAATATGGAGGAACTCATTCCAATGTCCTTTATGACCCCAAGTCTGGAGGCGTGCATCCTTGACATCGGGATCGAGAATGGCAGCGACGTGGATGAGGGCAACGTCCTGGACATCGACAAAGAATGCTAAATGATCAGTTGGCTAGTCGGGATTTTGGGCTGATGCGTGAAACTTACAAGCCTGGAACGTGTCGATCATCTCCCTCTTCTCAGTGAAGAGCGAATAGATCCAATTTCCGTACGCAGTGGCATGTCTCTCGCTAAGTGGCTCGCCCAAGATACCTGCAGGGCTGACGACATTGGCCACAAAGTGAGGTTTCTTCTCCTCGACGTACTTCCACAATGCTTGCTCAGCCAGAACTTTGCTAGCGGCATAGACGAGCATTGCACGCGAGGGTTCGTAAGGTGGTGGAGCCCAGGCTTCTTTGACGGCGAATTCGTTCCACGAATTGCGGTCGATGACACCTTCTTGGTCGGCTGTAGGGAAGACTGCTGCGACGATGGAGCTGGTGAAGACAAAGCGGGTGACAGAGGACTCTTTGGATGCACTGTCGAGGATAGACGTTACTCCCCCGACAGTCTGGGGAATGATATTGTTGGGGTTGGGATCAAAGTCAAGGACACTGGCGATGTGAGCGACGGCCGAGACACCTTTCACTGCCTCGTCAAAAGCGCCGGGAACAGATAGATCTGGGACAGTAACAAGCTCGAAAGCACCGCTGTCGGCATAAGACTTGAAATGGTCGTCGATGAGCCATTGAGCTTTGGTTTGGTCACGGACTGTGCCTCTGACCCTGTAACCGCGCTGCAGAAGCTGACGGGTAACGTGGCCGGCGACGAAGCCCGTGGCACCCGTAACTAGGACCCATGAGCCGGTGGGAATGGCAACTGCAGGTGAAGACATGTTGATAAGCTGGTGTATGAAAGATGAGAAGGTTATGTCATTTGTGAGTTTGAGATGGTCGAGTTCAAGTGGCGCATCGATATATATATATAGTTTTCGAAGAGTCGAGAAGGGGCAGAACATGTCGCCATACCGTCCAGCTCTCATGAGAGCTTACAAACCAACAGATGCTTGATAACGAGTGAAACCTGCTCACCGAAGCCAAAAGAATAGCAGTGATGCTGAATGCTCTGGACTGGTATTGAGCTGTAGATCAAGGTGCTGGCATTCTCTACCTGAATAGGAAGTCATAAAGCTTGGCAAAGTGGACACCGACAACTATTAGAGCCACTGATATGAATTGCAGAGAAACATACATGTCGCATCAAGACTCTCTATTGTAATTATATGTATTTTAAAGATAAACTAGCGCAAAGACTTGTCTCATGGGCTCCATGGTGCCTTACCAGCAGTGACTGGAGTCAATACCCTTTGGTAAGTCCCCTTGACCTTCCCGCAGCTCGAGAAATCTATGATACATGCGCTTCAGCAGTCCAGTCCCATCAAGACACTGAGAACCCCCAGCAGCTTCTATCATCGCAAACACACCCTGAATGTGCTGTCGAGCTACAGTAGCTTCACCAAAGCTAACCTACTCAGACATCAGAAGAAACCTTGTTCACATAGCAGAAAGCTTACCTCATCTAGAGCCATGGCACAAGCTTTCGCAATAGTCACCGCACTGACAGCCGGTGCGGTGCCGCTAACGGCACGACGCAGTGCTTTGAGTCCGTTGTACTTGTACTGTAATGCGACCTGCATCAAACCAGAGTTGGGATTGCTGGTAAGGATGTGGCGGCATGCGCCGAGGAGAATGACCGAGCAGAGAAGATCGCTGTCGGTGACGGCAAGGCCGACCCAATCACGCATGACATGCCCTTCATGGTCGTTCATACGGTTAAAGAGACGGCATGTCTTGACATTCAGCGGGACGACGACATAAACATCTTTGGTTTCTGTTAGCAGATGTAGCGTAGACTACGTAGTGCATGAGATGGGCGTACAGTGGGAGAAAAGAAAGTTCTCGTGAGGCGATAGCTGTTTCGGAAGGGCGGCAAATGGATCACGGCTATAGTCGAGCATCCGGTTCAAAGAAGCGTCTTCTATGTTCCTGTACATGTCGTCTTGGTATCTTTGCATTCTTAGTCTTCTTTCCTTGGCATGTTTCTGTCGAATCGCATGGGAGTGAGTCAAGCTCCGGACATGGCGGGGGACAGGTCCAGCAGGGTTAGAGACGGTGACGAATTGGAAGTTTCGAGGCATTTTATTTCTGATTATTAGTGCAACTTGGGAGATGAGGAAAACGGTTCATGGAAGGTTCAATCATCGGAGACAAACGTTTGGGTATTTACTAAGCAGCGTCGAGACGATGGAATGCCAAGACCTACAACTTCTTCTTTAGGTTAGTATCATTTTCAGTTCCCTGTCCGAGGCACCGAGGACGGATTGAAAACCGGTCGCCAGAAGAATAGCCAATCAACCATTAGGCAGCCGATACAGGTACAAGATATACAATATTCACTTCCATGATACAAGCTTATTAATTACCGTACATTCCTTTCATCCGGAAGGTTGTAGCATGTACTGCAGGACTCTTGTTGACAATCCTCCAAATCACATTTCTGGAGAATCACGGTTTAATTCTGTTCTATGTCAACGTTGAATGATCCCTTGAATGGCGGAAGAAGTATGCGAACTCCCTGAGCGATATTGTCTATATAGTACAGTATTTTACATTGAGAGATTGTTCTTTTGTCACTGCTCCAATGGATCGACCAACGCATTTCTCACGAGCGGCGCTCTCATACACCATACCGAAACTCGCGGAACTTCTTCTGGTAGTAATACGTCGCAAGTCCACCAACAGCACCGAGAACAAGCGGCACGGGAGCTCGACCTCCAGTCTTGATGATCCTAGGCACAGCGGAGCCGGTCAACAGGACACTGTTTGCGAGAGCAAGCTCGGAACCGTAGTCCTTGTTGTTCTTGAGAAGATAGCCTGCATCTTGTTAGTCTTGGAAACCTGATGAGGAAGAAGGAAACGTACCGGCATATGCGTATGAGACACCGAGACCGAGACCAGCGACGAGAGAAGGTGTTGAGCGAGTTCGGATGTAGCCAGCTGTACCACCAGCGGCCACTAGAGATTGAAGGATGGTCAATTGACGGACATATCACATGGAGACATAGTAGGGAGACTTACAAAGACCTGCGAGAGTGAATGAAGGGTGCTCGGCCATTTTTGCGACGACAATGGCGATCAATGATACAATGGCAACAAGCTCTTTGGTTGATGAAGCTTGTCGGCATCAGCGGCATGCGGTGGGCCGAGCTTCGAGATGGCTGACAAATTCGCGCGATGATCCCGGGAAAATGTGGTTCCGGATTTTATCGCAGTCACGTATCGATAACGTGTTATCACGACATCGCCTTTCTGGTATCCCCTCAATATCCTTCACAGGTGTAGATGTTTTAGTGAAATAACTTATTTCTGACGTCCTCTCAAGGCGTTTCGCACCCATTCCAGACCCCCAGCCAGCCCTTCCCCAGTCAAACCACTCGAAGCCTGAACGCGCTGTCAATCTCGCGTTAGTATTTGCTTCAATGAGTGTATGTGGTGATACTTGCGCATTTCGATGGTTTGTCAAGATATTGTTGTATATCGAGATATTCAGTCAATTCCGCCACGCTCATTGCTTTCTGTCTCATGTCAGTTCTCAAGATGACACTTGTCAAGATGCCTAACGAACCGGATCATCCTGCTTGTTAGCAAGCACCAAAAATGGCTGCTGTTCAAGCATATCTTCCTTCAACAGCCCGACCAATTCCCATTTTGCTTCCTGTAATGCCTCCCTGTCTGTGCTATCAATGACGAAGACGACGGCTTGTAGTCTGGACATGAAACTTCTCCAACAAGGTCTCCAGTGAGGGTTTCCAGCGTAATCGAATACGTTAAACTGTTGGTTGCTACCACTCGGGTAAACCTGAGTAATCTCTACAGCTACTGTCGTTAGTACGGTCACCATCGTGGTCAAAGGGGATGCTGACTTTCAACAGATGGCTTGACTGGATCTGGGTTTCCACTTAGTTTGTGTACCAAAGTTGTCTTACCCGCTGAACGTAGACCAATAACGCCAATTGAAATCGGGTTTGGTACCCATAAGCATAAGCGAGACAATGCGGCGCCCATGATGATTTCAGTTACTGAGAAATGCTGGTTTCTGTAATTTGTTTGGTTTGGTTGTTAGAAGCAAATCCTTACGTTGTATTCAGTTGGCGTTACCGGGCTGGGCTGCCTTTATGAGGAGGATATTACTAGGCATCAGCAAAAGTCAGCACGTAAGCGGGGATTTAACTGCTCAACCACTATCGCTGACCTAGTGCAAGAACACAAATATTTTTACAGTGGAACTCTCATGTTGTAATTATTCTGCGACTACGTTTCTGGAATTTCTTGAATATCTGTCCCTTCAGTCCATATCAAGCTTGTCGCAACAGCGTAGGCTATAGACCGTGGAGTAATGAACGGCCTGTCGCTAGTACTACTTTAATCTGAGCTGAGTAGAAAGTTATCTCTTGAGCCACTAATCGACATAACTTTATATTGACACTTGAGTTTGTTCTCTTATGCCACAAACCGGCAGGACCAAGTTGTGGAAGCGACCGGATCTCAACGGATTGTGTCAAGTAACATCTGTATTTATTTTTGATCTACTTGTCTGCAGTAGATTCTCAGCCGTATAGCAACAGGTCAATAGATGCTGAACTACGCCATCCCGCCTCATCTCACGAGTACATCCAAGCTTGGAGTTGGGGCACAGCACATCTAAGCCCCCAATCTCATCCATAAGGCCCTTGGCAAGACGTGTTCTGTTTGCCTGAATCCTCCTTCTATCCAGTGGACAGCACTGACATGTTCTGTGATGCTTCTGTATGTACTCTAGACAGAAAAGGTGCCCGCAGGGCGTGACTATCGGAGTTACAAAAACCCCAATGCATATGGGACAGACCAGCTGATCCTTGATTTTGCTCGTGTATTCAAGGTCACCAAAGTCCACCAGATTGTTTACATCTTGCTGTGTTATACAGTGGCGCTTGGCTTCATGAGAAACAAGACATTCTATAGGCCAGGCGACAGCGACTGGTTGAGCTGAACGTGTCAGCTGCGGGGCGACGGTGTCTTTATTTCATGCTCCTTACAAACTGGTTCCCAGTGAACGGTTGTGTTTTCGCCGCCTTGGAATATGTCGTGAATCAAGAGGTTGGTGTTGCGCTGACGGCTTTGCTGTTGGTGGACTGGCATATCTAGCTAGCTACTGGATGCGCCCAAGTGGAATGGGGAAGAATAATGAGCATTTGAAAATGCCATATGATGTGATCGGTATGCCAGGAGTAGAAAATGTGAAAAATTGGGTTTAATCTTGTGGACGATTAGAGGATAGACGCTTGGCAGGGTCACATGTGCCAGGCAGGGGAAGAAAAATCAGGGTATGTGGGGATTTGTCACCGGATCGACCCGGGACTACATCATTATGAGCGTTGTATTACAGCTCATCAGTCATTTGTCTTGGGGGGGTCAGACACTTGTTTTAGGTAGGTACTCTTGAAGATCGGCCAACATCCAAGTTTCCTAGCACTCTTAATTGGGCATGGCATGGAAGCCAATTACTGTTCTGACCAGCTGTGACAAAAATAACAGTGCTGGCCATCTCCTTCAGGAGCACCTAATCTGCTAGCATAATTTTGTCGACTCCATGTTTGGTAGTTGAGCTAGGTATGTATTCTTCGGACCCTAGTGTTAGGGTGCGCACTACGTTGGCGCTTAATTTCCGTAGTAGACCAAAATGCTTAGCTATTTCTGAACCCTGAGAACCTGGTGACCCAATGGGCGGAATTAACAGAAATGGAGAAGTTACATAAATATCCCACAGAGGTACACCATTGGCCGACTTACAAGACACTTTTGTCTGTTCCGTATAAACAACAGCGCTACTGAGGATGGTGCCAAGCCGAACGTGTCCCACTAGGGTCAGGGGCTTGGACCTGTAAGATCCGTCGTCCATCTCAAGGTGTTAACTCCGAGACGGGCGTAACCTCACTGATTTACGTGTCTAGGTATTTCGCTTGAATGAGTAATGCTTTTTTCTTTCCTTATCCTTTTTATATATACTGATATTAGGGCGTAACAGATCTATCTGTTCTAAAGGACGATGCATAGTCGTGAGCGTGTAGGTGAGGTTGACCATTGCCCCCTCAGAAGGACAAAACACTCCGCTGAATTGCCTACACTAAAAATCGCTGATCAGCTACCAAATCGTTTCTGGTACTTTGTTTCCGTCCCTAGCAATGGCTGCCCATCCATCCAAGCCAACGCTTTACGTGCCTACCCATCGCACCAACCATAAGAGGAGGTGGCATCACCCGAACCCAAACAGCCACTGTGGAGTTCAACACCCAGCACACCCGTACGTACCTAGGACGTACACGCATGTTGTCCCCACGGAAGTGACATCATAGAGGACGAGTCCGGTTTGTGGAGGTCCTGAAGCCGGCCGATACCCTGATATTCATCAACTTAGATAAACACAGCTCGATCCCAAGATCTCCCATCATTCATCAAGATCGCCATACTAGTACACAATGTGCTATTCACACACATCAATCCATCTTATAACATGTCCCTCTTCATTGGGTCGGTCGATACATTCGAACACTCGATGTAAACGCTGTCGTTGTCAGCAGCGACGTACAAAAGCCAAGTCCTCGTCAAAATCTCCCGCAAGAAGATCAAAACATGAACAATCACGTCTACAGGTAAGTGGCACTTGCCAAACCTATATACCTGTACTTACAGTATCAGTGCGGCGACCAATCATCCGAATGCGTTGGCCATCCACTCGGCAATGTCACTGTATTCCAAACATCAGCCATAGCCCCGACGTTATCGAATGAAACCGAATCCCCTCATGGTAGATGTCACCTAGATGCGCCATGCTGTTTACATAAAGATCTGGAATCATCGCACAGCGTGTTGCGCACAGCCTCACAGCACGAGGCTATGAGCAAGCCAGAAGGTCTGGGAGTCTCAAACACGAAGGCCAGGCGCAAAAGCCATCAGTCAAGACAACAACATCATCGCCGGCAGGACAGGCGGCATTGGCAAAGGACTTTCGCCCAACCCACAAACATGTCATGCACGTCCTGCCAGACTGAAGAGACACCGCGATGGCGCGAGGGTCCAGCAGGACCTCGAACACTGTGCAATTTCTGTGGCCTAATATATGCGAAGCGACAACAGAAACACCACGCAGAACCATCAAGTTATTGCTTTAGCTCTGAATAGTGCATCAATCCTCACAACTGTCTCCGGTTGATGGTGAGATCTTGGCAAATACGTTATTTGTTTACTTGCACGATTGAATGTTTAGACGTCTTGTTTGTATATCACGAGGGAGCAAAAGGAAAGAAATGGAAAGGAGTTCCAGGTCTCTTTACACATATGCGTTATCAAAAGGCAACAATAACAATATATTTAGATAAAACAACCGACTGTTCTTCTGTATAGTGCCTTTATTGCATGTCTCGGAATCAGGCACAAGTCGACAAAATCTTCAAAAATCAGTAAATATGGAGACCTGACAGACTGACAAGAACGTCTCCATATTTTCAAGGGTCTAGGGTCCAAGGGTCCGAGGGTCCATGTCTCAGGGTCTCAGAAAAACACTAGACAGGGGGTATGGTCCCCTTCATCCAACCAGACAAGCGATAGCAAGCGGAGAGGCCCCGAAACCCCGGCCGACTTCAGGGGCCCGTCACATTCTTTCGACTGTATGAGTGGATAATGACGAAATGGCTTTCTGTGGCTTGCTTGTTTGGAACCAACAAATGAGGGGGGGAAAACAGGATTCCTGTTCCTTTCATTTTAGCAGGCTGGGGGTGATCAAAATAACCAAGACCGAGAAAAGGGTGTTAGAATAAAGTGGGACAGGTAGCAGGAGATGTCTAGAGGGACCTCGTCTGGGTATTTCTGTCAACCTCAGCTCCTGAATGCTAGCGAGTTTTCGTCTTTTCTTGATGGGGGAGGCCAGGGGGTGAGCCGGAGGATAGGTTCCGGTTCAGAACAGATCACAGTTGTCTGTGGCACAGTGTTGCTTCTGAATAGAGGCTTGCCTACAATAGCACCTCTGTGGTTGGGTGGGCTGCGGAATCTGTGGCGAAATTCCAGCAGTAAATGAGAAATTGGGAAGAAATTGCCACGGTGGTCAGATGGGATTTCAACCAAAAGACCATACGGGCTCGGACAATGGAGGGAGAGCCTATTCTCACAATCTCTTTCGGCGCCACGGGCCAAAAAGTTCCCTGGAGATAACGTTCTAGACCTTGAAAGACTCTACTGTCCAGACCGTTTCGACCGCCCTTTCCGGTATAGCGCCGTTACAGGTGACCAATAACCTCTTGCCATGCTCCCTAAGCTTGCGTCGTGGTGGCGAAGCAGCCCAACGACAACAGGGGGAGCCTTCCGATTGATTATCATCAGTCCTTTCCTTGGGGGTTCCACGACCTGCCTCACTTCAGTATCACCATTTGGTTTGATGACAGAAGATGCCGGGTACCCAGATGTCTGAAGATAGGCGCGAGAATGAGACTTCACGGTATGCTTGTCGATGATGCCGAATTCTGTACCTTGCGTGGATGCGGCACTTACCATGGCTTCACAGGTACGATGAGTTGCTGCGCACAACATGCAGGCCCCTCAATCAGATCAGCGCCGCGGGGCCTGAAAAGTCGCCGGATTCTGTCCTCACAAGTCTCGCCCAGCTGGCGACTTGCCAGACCAGGACAGAGCGCTCACTTATATCACTATTTGATGAGACGAGGCAGTACATAGTCGCCGAAGCAACTCCCTCCACGTCACTTATAAATAGCTCATCGGTAGGCAACAGCGACGATGAACTCTTGCTCTGTGGGACCTACATCCCCCGCGCCGATGGGGTCTGTCACTATACGCTACGTGCTACTGAGGAGTCCCTGGATGCTCCTGCTTCACAAGAATTGCCGGTTATCGTTGTCCAAGATCTGGCCACTGACCCGAGGTTTGCATCGAGTCCATATTGTCGTCCTGGTAGCTTCGCCAGGTTTTACGCCGCTGTGCCTATACGGTCCCCCCGGGGCATAAACATTGGTGTCTTGTGCGTCATGAACTCTACGCCTGGTGCTGACTGGGAAGAGAAGCACTCAAATATCCTGCGGGGACTGTCGCAAACAATCATGGATCACCTCGAGGGTAATCGGATCAAGCATTCCCTAAAACGCAGCACGGCAATGAGTCTTGGTCTTCAGCGATTCACTGAGAGAGGGTTAATTCCACGCGAAGGTCCAGTTCAGAATTCGCATCTCGACACAGATCATCATGTAAGCGAAAACAAAACGCAAGAAAATCACGAAAAAAGCTCTGCTACACGCCGTATACCCTTGGATATTCCGGACTACCAACGTCAGGAACATACAACCCCAAATCCATTTCACATAGCAGCCACCATCATCAAAGAAGCCCTTCATGCAGACAACTGCGCCTTTTTCAGTGGAGATTCTAGGGATCTTCATCTAGTTCACTCACCAGAAACAGAAAACCAGTACGACTTCTCCCTCGATGGATCTTGCCTTAGTCCGGGCGTCTACAGCAGTGGGAGTATAAACGAAAGTCCAACGGCCAAATTCCAACTTCCTTGCCAGCTACTTGGATCATCCAATAGCCCTGGCTCTAATTCCTTTAAAGACGTTGATAATATTTCACAAGTCTTTTTATCTCACATGCTTCGAAAATATCCCGAAGGCTGCATATTTGACTTTAATTCTCAGCATGCTCAAGGTTCATTCGCTCATAATACGAAACACTTCGGCTCGGCTTGTAGTCTACCAGAAGAACAACCATTACCTCCCAGCACCTCTTCAAGAAAGGACCAAGAAAGTTACGAGCAACGGGAACTCCAAGATGCCTTCAACGGAGCCCGATACGTAGCTTTCATCCCTATCTGGGACCCCCTCAAGGGCATGCTTTCCACCGGCGGCTTTGCATGGGCAAAGGCACCTCGGCGCGAGCCTGACCGAGACAGCGAACTGTCGTTTTTCAGGGCCCTCGGAATACTGGCGGCATCAGAGGCCTTCCAGATAGAAACCCTGGCGGCTGATAAGGCCAAGTCGGACGTTCTAGGGTCGATATCTCACGAACTACGCTCGCCGCTCCACGGAATCACGCTTGGTCTCGAACTGCTTAACGACTCTGGACTTGGTGCAGCGCAGCAGAACATAGCTCACCTGATCGGGACATGCTGTCGTACTCTGCTTGAAACGACAGAGCATCTGCTTGATTTCTCAAAGGTCAATCAATCGGTGGGATCAGATACGATCAACGACGAGCGTTCAGGGAGATCCAAGTTCGGTATTGTGCCCTCAAATAGGGAACAGATCATGAATAAAACGATCCGCCTGGACCAGATCGCTGAAGATGTGGTGGAGAGTGTCTATGCTGGTCACAGCTATCAGCATGCGTCGATCGCTCACATCTTCAGTCCTCCCAACAGCCGAAAGAGTGCTGAAGTTGGGGCTATGCGACGCTTGGACTCTATAGAGGCTGCAGAAGCAAAAGCTATCGATCAGAGGAACCGACGACAAGATGGTGTTGTTTCCGTCTTTTTACTCTACGATCCAACGCTTTCTTGGAGTTTCCAAACGCGGGCCGGTGCAGTCCGCCGAATTATCATGAACCTCCTTGGAAACTCACTCAAGTACACCTCCCAGGGCTTCATCAAGGTCACGATGACTCAGTCTCAACCAGAAGATGCAATGAGCGCAGAACGGATGATCGAACTGGTTGTTGAAGATACTGGTCGGGGGATCAGCGAGGACTTTCTTCGCAATAATATCTTCAAACCTTTCTCTCAAGAGGACCAGTTATCCACCGGGACGGGGCTGGGGCTCAGTTTTGTGCAGAGGATCACGTATCAGCTTGGTGGCACAATATCTATCAACAGTCAAGTTGATGTTGGTACCAAAGTCACAGTCTCAATACCCATGCTACAAGGCACAAACTCTCCAGCATCTGAATATGTGGCATACGGGTCGCACTATGAACAGGGCTCATGTCATGGTCTACGCGCCAGGTTGACCAGCCTACCTCAGAGCCACGGAGAAGCTCTTCAGCACGAGTCTAACACTTCCAACGCCCTGATGAACGAGCTGTGCTTCGAGCACCTATGCATGGTACCGGACGCGGTACCAGAGACTGAACGGCTAGCTCCCGATGTTGTTATCGTGCAGGATAGTTCAATGAGCAACCCTTCAGAACTAGTTCACTCTTGGCCCGACGCACCGGTGCTGGTGGTATGCAACAACGCACTTGTCGTTCAAAAATATGAATCAGCACACGTATTAACTGGTCGTACGAGATTCCACGACTATGTTGCGCAACCGTGAGTCAACTCGGTTTATACAACGCCTCCCTTTTACTAACCCGATCTAAGCCTCAGTCCGAACAAGCTGGAAAGGGCAGTCTCCAGAGCCATCACCCTTTGGGCTGAGTCAGACGACAGTCCACATACCGCAGGAACAATACCATTACCGACGCCATCAGACACAGTGTCGTGCAGCCAACCACCGACACCCGGCCCCTCAGCCATAGCGAGCCCCTTGGGCAGCCTCGTCCCAGCCCAAGACTACTTCCAGACCCCACAGTTCCTCCTAGTAGAAGATAACCCCATTAACCTCAAGATGCTGACATATTTCATGAGGAAACTCCAAAAGCCATACCGCACCGCAGTGAACGGGCAGGAAGCGGTGGATGCGCACAAAGAGACGCCGGGGCAGTTCAAGTATGTACTCATGGATATATCAATGCCAGTAATGGACGGTCTAGAGGCTACGCGTCAGATACGAGCGTTCGAGCGATATAATGGAATTGCTGCGTCGAAGATCGTGGCCGTTACGGGGCTTGGATCCGAGAGCACGCGGGACGAAGCAACACGAAGCGGTGTCGACGTTTTTATTACAAAACCTGTCAAATTGCGTGAGCTGGAAATGGTTATTAATAGTTGAGGAGGAGCCTCGCTAGACAAGTGACATGTTCCAGAACTTTGCCTAGGCTAACTCGACTACGCAGGAGGGGGAAAGCCAAGACATGTCTGACGCTTGTTTCCAGCGGCCTGAGCGACGTGCAAGCACCTGGCAGCGAACATGGCTCGATGATGATGCACGTTACCATGAAAGTATGGTAGAATTTTGAAAAGTCTTGCACTTTGCTATAAACTCTCAGTCGTGCCGTAGATCTAGGTATAATCATTGAAAGAAATCATGAACAGTCCAACATAGGCAATGCATAAAAGGTTTACTTGTTGCGGGATGGCACAATTTTACTGGTGAAGTCGTGTTGGGCGGCCGCAGAGTTGATACTCAATGCGGGAGGCCGACCAAGACAATGTGAACAACCAATAGGCGCCACTGGTATGAAACAAACAGTGTCCAAGAGAAGTCATTTTCACAAACACTCTTTGTCAAGCGTGGCTAGGGACAGATATCATCTTCTAGCATGCCACTTCAGCTGATCCTGCTTTGTTTGCAGAGTCTCTCCAGGCAGCAATTTGTCTTTCAAAAGGCGGATAATAAGTTGTACGCGGCGGTTTGCGTCGTTTTTGCAAGTTTGAAGTTGCTTGCCAGTGGTAAGAGACCGCGATTTGCGTTGGTACTGGCAGACCACTGAGCGGCAGTGCGCGATGTTTACTCCCTCGTCATATATGCAAGCTGCCGCGCCCCTCCCTTTTCTTTTCTTTTCTTTTCTTTTCTTTTCCTCTCCATCTCCTCTCCCTGCTAAATTCTCTCTCCCTTCCTTCTCATCTCAACCTCATCCACACACTCATCACAACAACCAGCATCAGGTAAGTCGCGCGATCAGGCTTCAGCTTTTAAGCGACATCAACGCTAACCACCACACGCTCCAGAAACAGCCAGTATTTCATCCATCATGCCGAACAAGAAAGGCAAGAAACCGCCGCGTTCGTGGTCCATGTTCCCCGGGCTTCACGACCAAGTCGCCGACAAATTCGAGGAACATCAGCTCGACTACACCTTCTTCGAAAACGACGAGGATCTCGGCACCATTCGTACCCACGACACCAACATCATCGGGCGCTTCGTATGCCACAACAACAAATGCTCCTCTCGTGGCTGGAAGAGCTTGGTCGTTGCCATCACCATCCGCGAGTACTCGCACAACCGCTATAATGTCCGCGTGTACTACCAGCGATGCATCCAATGCAACCATCTGAGCAAGCCGAAGCTCAAAGAAGAGACCTACGTTGACCGAGTCACGTACCGAATCAAGAAGTGGAATGGGGTTGAGGTTGAGGAACCCGAGTATTCCGACGACTCTAAGGCGCCTCATAAGGAAGATCTCTGCGAGGGATGTAAGAATGGGCACTGCAAGAAAGCAAAGAAGAACAACGAGGACGATATGTGTTTTGCTTGAGCTGGCTTTGACTTCATGGTAGACATTGGGCATGGATATTATGGCATGCCTCAATATTGCCTGGAACTGAGATAAAGTTTGTCAACTTCAATCAATCAGACCAACTCTTTAATAATGCATGATTCTCAGTGGCATTATGTGGGGCGCGCTTTGACTGCAGACCAAAAACAATTGAATGACCGTTGACGACACAGAGAATTGCTCCATCCAGGTTGTGAGTAGAGGCACCTCCATCGTCAGCGGTTTGCTCAACCACATTGACACAACTTTGCGACAAAGCAGGTTCAGAGAAGTTCAAAACATGTCATTTGTGCTTTTGCCTCTGCATCCAATATTGTCACAAATGAGTCCCAGCCAATCTCACCTCCCAATTTGTCTTACCTTGACTTCGCCCCCGCAACCATCTCAGCAGATCGGATGCTCACTCAACCACAGCACAACCTCTACCGCCGACAGATCCAGCAAAAGAAAGGAATATCAGGTAATAGAGAGCGCAAAAAAAAAACATACAACAGCGGGGATTCGCTGGTCGTCACCGACCCAACTACTAATCCGCCCCTTGCAGGCTTGACTATGGGAGAGCGGACGGGATCCCGTATTCTACTGCAGGTATGGTCGTATGTGATAGAGCATAGTGTTGTTGAGACTCAAGAGCACGGGGAAACCATCAAGAGATGTCAGTATCTTGAGCCATTATGTTCAACTCCAAGCTACGGGATATCTTGCTAATATTCCTTGAGACAAACCACTGAAGCCTTCAACATCAACAGACCATCATCTCTACCACTCGCAGAGAACCATAGCAACATGGTATACCTGCGCTCCATCCCCAAGATCCTTACAATACTCAGCATCTAGTCTCCCGGGATGTTCTTTACAAACATGCCCCTGGTCACCACACCAAACCGCACCGGCATTTCCCTTCCCATCATTCTTGTACTGACACTCCCCATCCTGCGTCTTGATATCGTACGTACCGTGTAAAGACTGTGCATCCCGTAGAGCGTCGGTCGAAAATGTAGCAATGGACACATCAGCGGGTAGTTCAAGACCTGGGTTGTTTTGACATCGTGATTCTGTACCGGACGTAACGGAATAGAACTTCCAGTTCATCGTGTCTTGAAAGTCTTCGTCCATGGGAACGTCGCGGCGCTTGTTCTCGAGGATGATGTTTAAGGCTTTGGTAGGAGGCTTTGGAGCTGGGTCTTTGGGTTTGTCTTCTGGCTTGTCTTCTGGCTTTCTCGGTCGTATGGTTGCATTGGGTGTACCGAACATTCTCTCAAAGTACTTCAAGCTAGCATACCAAGCATACGAGTCGGCTAAGGAAGTGGATATCAGCACCTATAAATACATGACATCGGCCTACTTACCATTCAAATGCGTACGATGTTGTCCGTATCGATTCGCAGCAAGCTTTTCCACCATGTAAATCCCGTAAGCTTTGTAGTAACTGTCCTCATTATACTTCTGATCAATCACAACCGCTATTACCCTGTTAGCCATCTCAACACATCACACCTCATTTATGACTTACTTTCAGACCTTCCCTCAACAGCAGGAAGGTGCGTAAGTTCATGCAGCAACATCTTCGCCTTTCCAACCATCTTATTCGGATCCTTCTGGTCTTCTCGAGGACCCTTTCGAAGACCAGTCACGATATCTTTTAGATGCTCTTGACCTGGCGCAAAGAAAGGGGAACAGAGAACAATAGTTGACTCCTCATACGTAGAACCATAGGCAAATGCATAACCGCCGATATAGCCTGGTGCTGAGTTGATCTCATTGTTACAAGTGACTTGTGCCTTTTCACTTCTGTGAGTTTGATGGACATCTTTGCATGACAGGTTTATCTTGCGGTGAGATCCATCGAGTTGCTGGATGTTACTGAAAACAGCTATTTCCTCGTTAGTCAATGCTTTCAACTATGGAAAGTCTAAGTCCGTACTCTCTATGAGATCACTATCACCGGGCCTGGATCCTATCGTCTCACCGAAGATGCGTGTCTCAAGCGTTTCAGCGGGAGAGAAATGTCTCGGAGTATTGACGAGGGCTAGTATATCTGCCCAAGCCTGTTCAATATCATCAATTTGACGATCAGTACAGCTCATGTATGAGAAAGGAGCTTCTCCGATAACATTAGAGAATTGGCGAGGATGGAGTCTGGGTGTTTCGGCGAGGGAAAAAGAAGGTGAAAGGAATAAGGAGAGGCCCAAAGCCGCTCGAGCGAGATTTGAAGACATAGTTCTGTAAAGATGGGTGAGGATGGAGTGACTGGTTATTTCTAGCACAAGGCTGCTCTAGCTTTATAGACTGTCGATTGTTTTGTCTCAATTGCGGAATTCATAATTACCTATTTTTCTCTAGCGCGATGTTCCTATACGAGACCTCACGAGAGGGAGCCGCACAGCCCAATTATGGCTGAGGCGAAAACAGTTCCTTCGAGCATTGCTGACTAGATCTCTAGCTTGTCAATCCTCTCACAATGAAGTGGGTTTCATCACGGCTATATACATGTGATTGGTTCAAAGCAAGTAAGCTTGTCAGAGAGGATCGCGCCGGGTTGGGGAACTTTTTGTTGAATCTCACCGTACCCATGTCATCTACCAGCCCTACGATGACGGGAAATGCCATATTAGGTCAAAAGGATTCTCTAATCTGGGGGGCACTCGTATATTCAACTCTGCCGTTGCCTTTTCGTGTTTTTTTGCCCTCTTCGGATCTCTTTTATATTGCTTTGTCACTACTTAGTATCACACCAGGCTAGGGCTCATGCCTCGTCAGCGACCTTATAAGCTCCAGTGTCTCATATTGTATTACGAGCGAGTTGGCTAGCGTGATGTATCTTTTTATAACAGAGGGAACAGCTCTTGTGATAGGAATTCGCGAAATAAAGCACCTGTCCAGTGAAGTAAGGTGCAACCGTAGTTAGATCGTGTTTATATACTCTCCTGCAAAGCTAACCTTTCTTCGCCGCCTTCTTCTCTGCCTCTTTCTTCTTCTTCTCACAAGACGCACAGTCCTTTGTTATGATTTCGAGGGACGGATAACGTAAAGGACATGTCGCGGGATTCCCTTTGCTTTTACCGCATTCCTCAACTTTCTGCTCAGTCTTTGGGGCGCTGCAACCGCAGACATAGGTGAAGTCCTTTATCTTGCACATGGTTTTGTAGTGTCGGCTTAGTCGTGATTCTTTGGGTTGGATGCTTGGTGCTTGGTTGTTGTTAGCACTCGTGCTTAAGGAGTCGCTGTTTAGGTCAACGGGGACGTATTTATATACCACGATTTATGTCCCCTGCTAAACCACCAGTTATGTTACTCTTCACAGACGCCCAGCGGTATTGTGTTCACATACGTCTGTTGCATTGACTATCTTCGAGTGTTTACTGTTCGTGATATCCAGTGACCGAAGTATCACTGTACTTTGACCCATGAATAAGCCTCACTCAAACCAATATTGTATCAGGCCTAGGATTTCCATAATCACAGAAACATTATTACTTTTCTTCTTTTAGTGAACTTTTGATTACATGTTCTGTGGATCTTATGGGCTAGGTATATTCAGCAATGGTTGGTACTTTGCAAAGGAGATTGCAAGTTCATGCTTCAACTATCACGTCGTCACGTTGACTGCGCAAGATGTAGTCGCAGAGAAGTCACAGAGTGTAAAGAAGAATCGGGTGATATCGGACCTTATGAGTCTTTGTGAGTTGAAATATATCCCTCTATGAACAGTAAAGCGTCTGGCACATGGCACGTCCTCCCTCCTTTTCCCGCGGTGGTATAACTGTCTCGCTAGGTCTTTGAGTTCTCTTCCTCTATAACTCCGCATATTGACAATCAATGCATTTGTATCCCTTGTATGTAGGCTTACCCGCTGCGAGTTGAGGGCAAGTACCCAAATCTTTGTCTTTTAGCCCGAGCTGGTTGGCTACGTGGCACCGTTCCCATTGTTCTTCTGTCTGTCTAGCGTTGCAACGGCATATGCTGATGGTATTATTTGGCCTACACATGTTTATCGTACACTGAGTAAGGCGTCGGGATATTGTGACTGCTTTTTGGTGTTGGTGAGATTGTCGCACTGGGGAATTGATGTTGATGAACGGTCTGTAGGTTGTCAGTAATATGTGTTTTATACACCAAAATGGGCTTCACTTTCTTGGTCACTGCGAAAGAAATTGTACTCACAATCGCACAGGTTCATGCATTCAGGTATTGATATGGCAATCATTGTCTGAAAGGGTGACTGTTCGTGATTCCTAGAGACCGAAATCTCTTACCGCGATTAACCTATTGCTGATATAGGATAACATATCAGGTGTTCGAGGTACCGAGAAACTATTAATCAGCTTTTCCTAACACTATCTTTTATATTTCTTTGTGTTTCTTATATCCTTGCCTACCTGTACTTCTGCCAATCGCTCTCACTGAATAGTTCTTTGCTGGTAGTTTGAGATACTTCAAGAGTCACATAATCGGGATGAGGTAAATGACATAATTTTTATGAGGAAGCTCCGATTGCAGCTACTCGGTTTTCTTTCCAAAGATCATACAATAATCTTGATTCAATCCCTGGAGATATATGACCTGGGACAAACTTTATGACCCTGTCCCCTGCTGCTTCTTTTGCATAGCCTTCCTGCATTTCATGCAGTGCCATGGAATGGTATTAGTCGGGTCCCTATGAAAACCAGGGCACTTCGCTGAATTCGCAAGATTGGTGCCTCTCGAGCAGGTCTTCCATTCTGCAGGGAATATGCTTATAGCGGCGCATGGGCAACGCCCCTCCTGCGGATACATGGTGCGCATGAGGATTATATAGCTTCTCTAGCGGCTAGCGCCTTTAATTTTTAACTGATATTTTTGATGTGTTTTACGCGTTCGTAATTATTATGAAGGAGGATTTGTCCTAGTCGGAAGCTACTCATTTTATACTCTGCAAAGGGGCTACCCGATCTGGCCACGCAGCCAAAATCTGGTTCATAGTCTCTTTCGAGGGATAAGAGATGCAATTTATACACTACTGTTACTTACCCTCCACAGCATACGTCTTTGAAACAGACGCAGTAAAGGACATTACTCACGAATAACCCTTATGGAAGCTTTGTGAATACCCGGATTGAGGCCATGAGTTCAGTGAGCTGTGTGACAGTCACAGCGTGCTGGATCAAGACAACGTATCATTGTCCATCGGCACAGTCGATCACATTGATTCATGGCAGAGATTCAGGAAGTTCACTGCTGCTAACAGAATTCATCGCTCAAACACAAAGTGTCACCAGCTATAGTTAGGCAAGCTGCAACTTATTGAATAGCATTATGTCAATCATACAGGCTTCTTCGCTCTTTAGCCAACAGACTTGCGCAAGCATCCTCCAGCCACCGGAATTTGACAATTGGATCAATGACGCTATACATGAGCCTGCGTTTGCTGACATAATATTGATTTAGTATTACCATGCCAGAACCTCAACCCAGTTTCTATTTTTCTGTTTTCTTTACTTTGCAGCTGAAACATCGCCTGACCAGAGACGAAGAGCACTCATACTACATGACTTCCCTTAATACAAGCTTGAGTGACCAAGGGATTTCTCTACTTTGAGGTATATTGGGCATGTGCCATGTCACAGCCGCACTGGAATTTGACTCAGCCGCACGAAAACAGTAGGAAACAACACTTGTGAGGGGGTTGAAAAAGCATTGAGGCACTGAGTGGCAGCCAATAACAATTCGACTTGAAGCGCGCCAAGGTTCAGTTCTGGAGGCCGCACTCCAGCCGATCAACATTCTTGCAGAGAAATGGCCATGTCAGCATAATAAGGCCATGCAATAGAACCCATAGGTCAGGTTCCGTATTCAAGACTTCTAGCTCCGATATCACTATGTTACCCAGTGTGTTCAAACCTCCCTTTACATCGGAACATTCTCTGCTTCGGGACGAACCGAGCGGATACGTACTAGGATTCCCCCGCGTCCCTCGTCACGACAGGGATCAGATCAAGGAGCTGCTCATGTCTGAGCTCTGTTCAGACGATTTGGATCGAGTTTCAGATAAGCTTTGGTGGATGTCAAAGCAAGATAGCACAAATATATGGCCACTCCATCGACAATTGCTGCAGGGCCGGTCTATTATCGTGACAGAGAACCCAAAGCTACATCTCGTGTGGATCAACAACCGCATCTTTATCAAGCCTCTTCCACGGTTTATCGGATCCTTTGACTTCTGGAAAGACCATCTTTGCAGTAATAATACCAGCGAAGATGTGCGTATTAGGAGAGCTGCGTTAGGTTATTTACGCACATACTACTATCTCATCCGGCACGAATCCGACTTTCGCATTGCCAAGGATCCTAACCTTTGTCTTATACCAGAAAGTATCACTTGGGTGCAGTTCTGCGATTTCACCTCTGATCTAGATAAGATTCTCGATAAGGATGTTTCACTACGCTATGCCTATGGCCAAATTCGCCTCACTCGTCTGAACTTCTACGCTCCGGTTATCCTCAACAAGTCTTATTTCCAGAGAGTCGACTTTCAGTACGGACAGTACTTTGCGCGCTTCTATGCCCCAGTTTTATTCGCATTTGGGATCACGTCTGTGACTTTGAGTGGATTGCAGGTCGTGGCCTCACTTGAAACAAGTGGCGGCGCCAACTGGCAAGGGATGGCGCTTGGGGTCAGCGTCTTGGCGATCTTGGTCTCTTTTGGAGTTCTAATCGGGTTTGGGGTTTTACTGTCTTGGAAAATTGCCATGGAGTGGAAATTCGCTATCAAAGAGCGGCGTCGCCTCATAAAGACGGAACGAGTCGTGGTTTGATAGTAAAGGACAATACTCTGTTATCCCCCGCTCTTGACTGATGATCTGACATGTCCAGTCACCAATTTTCCTGTCAACCGTGTGACGTTAGTGGCACAGAGTCGGTGAAGTTGCGGTCACAGCGACTTGCATTTCTGCCTATTTTCAACCCAACCATGCGTTCATCCACCCCCTGGCTCAATGCATATAAGGCAACCTGGGCGCCTATTTCAGCTTTTCAGCCGCAGATACAGTACTGATACGCTCCATTCGATCTCCGACTCAAGGTCAAACTCTTTCTCTTTTTTTCAGTCATATTCGAGCATGCTAGTCTTTACCCGCGACGCAGGCAGCAGCAGCAATGGCAGCAAGTAGCCACAAAAACTTCAGACTACGGGGTATTCCTCTCGAATTCGAGACTAGGAATGAGGTCTGCAGCCTTATTCAGAAGACCCTTGCACTGGAGCCCAACGCTAGTCCTACTGTTTATTCGCTTGCACGGTCTCCTACCGACCCACACAGCAAGATAGCTACACTCAGCTTTCCTTCTATCCCAGACTGCTTATCTGATCGCTCTAAAGATGAGTGGAATTTCAGCCTATCGGAAGATAACGACATCGATTTCGGCAGTTCTCTTGCTTTCGATACACACTTTACTGGCTTCACACCCTTTCATCGCGCAAGCGATAACGATTGTCATATTGAGTAAGTGGACAAAGAGCAATTAGCTGGCACGCTTTGTATTAACACATACGATCAGTGTGATTGCGGTGTGTGGTCTTGGAGGACATGCGCTAGGTTCCTTCAAAGAAAAGAATGGCCGTTTCGTTTGGCTTCGGGACGCTCTTCCTTCTGATACCCCGAATGCAAGGATTCTGACCTACGGTTACAATAGTCAGCTTGTCGGAAGTGAATCATTCCAAAGCTTGACAGACCTGGGAAGGACATTGCAAGTCGACCTAGAGGATATCCGGGTATTTTGGCTCCAAAAGCTTCTTCTCAACTTCAACTAATATTTCTTCAGGACTCAACCCAACCACGTTCGATACTTTTCATTGGGCATAGCCTGGGTGGGCTTGTCATCAAAGAGGTAAGTACTTGTGAGACATTTATAAAGCTTGCCACTTAATAATGCCAGACCGTACGAATACTGAAAGAAGAGCCGCTCGAGCCCGACTTTTCGATCTTAAACGCCGTCTCCGGCTTCGCCTTCTTTGGTGTTCCCCACCAAGGTTTGGCAGTTGAGTGTCTTGTCCCTCTGGTAAAGGATAACCCCAATCGAGCACTTCTTGAATCCCTCAACAAGAACTCGTCTCTTCTCGAGCGTCTACAAATTGAGTTCGATAAGATATCAAAGGCAAGGAGCCTTTCTGTTGTGTCTTTCTACGAGACAGAAAAGTCTCCTACCGGGGCTTGGGTGCGTTCATCGACAAATTTCAAAAAGGTTTCCCTTCTGACGTCTCATTTAGGTAAATGGCAAGTGGGAGATGTCTGGTCCCAGCGAAGTGCTGGTCGAAGTGTTCTCTGCAACATGCGGTTGTCAGAAGCAGCATCCCATCAACCGTAATCACTCTGAGATGGTGAAGTACAGTGGTGTACATGATCAACTATACCGACGGGTGATAGTTGCCCTTCGTCCTATACTTGGCATAACACGAGGGCGGCCTGGCACTGGAGGTATAGGAGGGGGTCCACAAGGTTTGAAGCCAGAGTACGATAGATAAATGGCCAGCATACTTACTTTTTCTCATTCAGTTTGTGTTCAACTTTCTGGTGGCGAGCAGGGTATGAACCACGATAGAAATCTGTAACATGCTGCTAATACTATGTAGAATGCCTGAAGTCTCTGTCCTTCCCTGAGCAAGAGCACAGATACTCTGAGATTTCTTACGCCAGCGACACTTGCAATTGGCTTCTAGAAGATCACAACTATCAGAAATGGATGAATACAGCTCGTGGACTCTTTTGGGTCAAGGGCTGTCCCGGAACAGGCAAATCGGTCCTCATGAAGTTTGCTGTTGATACGATGAACCGCAGGATGTCTGGGGAAATTATCGCCTCCTTTTTCATCCATGGACGTGGCATACCATTACAAAGAACACCTTTGGGTATATTTCGAGCCTTACTTAGTTCCCTGCTCATGTCATTCCCAAAATACCTTGCCGAGCTTACAGAAAGCTTTCAAGATAAACAGCAGCGATATGGATCGTATGAACAGAAGAATGGTTGGCAATGGAATGAGAAGGAGCTGGAGAAATTCCTGTCCAGACTCTTGATCGAGGGGACTAAAGAGATACCGGTGGTTATATTCATTGACGCACTTGATGAGTGTGGAGACCATGCCAAAAGCCTACTGGTATCTCTCAAGAGTCTCACAGAGAATGCTGAGCAAAAGGGATCCTTGGTGAGGATATGTTTTTCCTCGAGGCATTTCCCGATTCTTGGCCATGAGACGATGGCGAGAGTCTACGTGGAAGAGAAGAATGACCAGGACATCAGACTTGTTATTGAAGGCCGACTCAAGGAGCTTCAGCCAGTCGAAAAGCGTCGGCAGATCGAGAAAGAGATCATGTTGAAGGCCCATGGAGGCTTTCAATGGGCCATACTCATCACGAATATGATACTCGATGAAGACGTGACTGGCGCCAGAACCGAGGATCTACTTAAGATGATATCGACTACCCCAACAGACCTTGATGACCTATACGATGTAATATTGAGGGGGGCGACTAAGGATAAGCACAGACAGATGGCAAAGCTGTTTCAATGGGTTGTCTATGCAATAAGACCTTTGTCGGCACAGGAACTTCGAGAGGCACTTGCTACTGATAAAGACATGACCTTTACGACAGTCTCGGAGCTAAGATCGCATGGTAATTGGTCCGACTGTGTGTCTCAGTTCGAGACGCGTGTCCGACATATCTCAAGAGGCCTTGTTGAGTTTCAGAACCGGGACGTCTATGAGCAATATGAGCCTGGAGGTGAAGAATGGAGCCGGGAGGCTCAGTTCATACATCAGTCGGCCGCAGATTTTGTTGCTCAGAAGTTTCTCACCTATATTGACGAAGGGTCGTTGTCTAGGTCGCCAGCTGGAGCTGGCCATTATGAGATCTCGAGGTCTTTTCTGAGATATTTGACCCTGGAAGAAGTCCTGAACGGTAACAAATTACCCCGAGAGAAATTCTCAGCGACCTTCCCGCTGATGCCATACGGAGTAACATTTCTCCTCGACCACATTTTGGGCGTTGAGGAGGGGGGCATTCGCCAGACCGATTTAGTGACACTCATTCAGTGGAACCAACCAGAACGCATCAAGATGCTCGCAAAAGTATGGAGAATAATGGACCCTGAGGGTACTCATGCACCAAGGGGCTGGCCGTTCTTCGGCGCCACGATTCTTCACCTCGTGATAGCGTTTGGTTCTGCTAGCCTTTTGGATACTTTACTCCACAAGGATAGCTCAGACTTGGATGCCCAGGATCTTGAAGGAAATACCCCCCTTCAGCTTGCTCTGCGAGAGGACTGCCAAGAGTTGGCCCTTATGATACTAGCTCGATCAAGGATATGGCAGATTGAGGATGACGACGTTCCTTCACCGGACTGGCCAAGAGGGTTCAGAGTACCAGGCAGATACCTCAGTCACATCAATACTACCAACTTTGATGGCGAGACACCTTTGGGCCTGGCCCTTTCCATCAGAGCTGACAAGATAATCCGAACCTTGATCGATGCAGGTGCCGAGATCAAACACGAGAAGTCGCTGATGTTTTATGCCATAAGTCAAGAGGATACGGCACTAGTATCCCAACTCATCAATGAGGGTTCAGACCTTGAAGGAGCTGTGTTTTTTGCAACTCAATGTTTAAATCGGACCGATAATGATGATCACATTTTACACGAACTTTTGAAGGATCTACTTAAAGCTGGTGGTAATACAAGGAGATTTACTGGTGTCGAGATCGACAATTACAATGAGTTCGATGGTGACGACGAAGAGGATGAAGAGGCGATCTTTGTTGCTTCACGTCGAGGTATGACGGAGGTGGTCAACCTTTTACTTTCACATGGCTCTTCGGCAAAGATGAGAGGCCGAGACTATGGAGTTCCTATATTGGTAGCTACTCAAAACCACCACTCTGATACCGCCATGGTCTTGTTTCGGGATTCACCTCAGACAATCTTTTCGAATAACAACCTTGGCTTAACGAGCCTTAAAGTGGCTATAGATACTGCTCAGGTTGACCTTACGCTCTCATTTGTGGAGGAGGGTGGGGGTATTTTGTCATTACAAGGGTTGTTCTACCAAGCTGTCGAGATGAAGGACCTCGGGTTTGTGGATGCTTTGTTGCAAAGGAACGCAGATGTCATACAACTAGCCAATCAAAGGTGGCAAGGAGATGACACGCCATTTTTGGTGGCTGTGCGCGCAAGCAATGATAGCATGGTCGATCTCCTTCTCCGTACAGGCAAGATTGATATTAGTGTCAGAGACCAAGATGGCAACACCCCATTCTTTTTGGCCGTTAGGAATGGATACCTGAGTATTGCCCGACTGCTCCTTGCTACAGGAATGGTTGGTTGTAATCAGGAGGACTTCGATGAAAGACCACTCTGTACGAAGGCTATTATAGATGAGTACCAGGACATGAGTAATGCTGTTTTTGGGTTAGGGGGTGGCGTTTGGCAGCCATGGCACTCTCCTGGAACTCAGAGATGTTTTTGGTGGACTATCAAAGGTGGAAGGTCAAATATGATGAAGCTGTTTCTCGATGAAACCATGGTTGATGCCAATCTGATGAGTGATGAAGGACAGACACCACTCTCATGGGCTATTAGATGGGGGAAAGAAGATGTTGTCAAGGTACTTCTCAGAAGTATCAGAGTTGATGTGCATTCCAGGAACAAGACAGGACGAACAGCTTGTTGGTGGGCTGTAAAAAACGGAAAGGATCGCATGATTCAGCTACTACTCGACTCGAAATGGTTCAATATCCACCGAGAATGTGATGAGCTTGGACGCATGTTGTTCTGGTGGGCCATTGGAAAAGGCAACGCTGGCGTGATTAATATGCTTCATGATTCGGGCAAACATGGTATCAACACGAAGGATCCATCGGGCAGGACGCCGCTAATATACGCCGCCGAGACTTGTGCTGAGGAGGCCATGAGGGTACTTCTCAGGACAGGAAAGGCTGATATACACATGGTTGATAACAGGGGTGACACAGCACTTTCGATAGCTGTGAAGAGGGGTTATAGGACAATAGTCGATCTGCTGTCTACTCATATGGATCAGAGCAGTGGAATTGCCATTAGGGTTACAGAGTATTGATATACTTTGGTAATAACGATGGAATTTGGAGTAAGACGTTATGTTCACTATCGGCTTCATAAGATGAAAGAACACCTGGGGACTTTTCCCTAGGTGTATAAAAGTCGCATTGGCCTATTTCCATTTAAAGGAGTTGGCTTACCAAGGAAGCTCTTGTCCCTTATAACTAACAAATTTGCCCGAGACAGTCTCTCGCGTAGCACTGTCGATCATCCCAAGACTCCCCTTCGCAGCTTCCTCGACACTTTCGAGCATAGCATGAGGAAATCCCCACTCAGTAGCAGCCGACTTGCCCATCTCTGTGTTAGCAAAACCAGGATGGAGTGCAAAGGCGATCAGCCCTTCATTCTGTAGATGGAGAGCACGTGTAAGCCAGTTCAAGGCAGCCTTGCTGGGCCCATATGCTCCAGCGACAACTTCATGGTAGGTGATACAGCCAACAGAGGATGAGACGTTGACGACTTTTGGTGCAGATGACTTTTGCAACAAGGGCCAAAGTCCCTGGACCACTGTAAGGGGACCGATTGTATTGATCTCGAATGCGGAGCGAAGGTCATCGGTTGGGATGTCTAGGGCGGTATATGACTTGAAGTTGGCGGCTGCGTTGTTGATAAGGACGTCGACGTGATCAATGTCGAACGCTTTGCGGATCTGTTCGGGGGAGAGGGCAGTGGTGAAGTCCAGCTGGACAATGCTCAAGACACTGCCGTCTCCTTTGGGGGGATTCGAAACGGCGGTCTCGAGAGCTGAGCGAGCCTTGTCGTTACGAACAGTAGCGATGACGGTGACAGAGGGACGAGCGAGAAGAGCTTTGACAAGACCGAGGCCGATTCCCCTATTGCCGCCAGTCACGACCCAGACAGTGTTTGTGCTAGAAGCCATGATGATCTTGAGGAGAAATTAACTTGGTTCGGAACTTGGAATAGGAAAGAAGTGAAGGAGAAGTGAAGGAGAATGTGCTTGGACACGAAATGCGTCTTATAAGTGAGGATGCGTGATTGACCAGCACCGCTACAACCAATCAAGTGTAGCGTGGAATGGAAGATTTATTATCCGGCTTACATGGCAGAACTTGGCAATGCACACAACCAACAACAAAAAGGGGGGGCTTGGTGACTGAGTAGATCAGGTTGGCGAGAGGGGCACAGTTGGGGGGCGCAATTCGAATGCATTGATGTAAAAGAGATATTATGGTGTTATAGGAGGTGTATGATGTCTTGTCCAATGAGGAGTTGCGTGCATAATGTTCAATTCTTCACCCTCGCCATTTAGCGGATGGATTCGCATTTCGTCAGTTCCTAAGATGAAAGCGTGGATCGGATCCCATGGAGCTGGTAGTGATGCTTCAGTCCGAGATCTGTTCGCAGACAGGTCATCTACGGATCTCGATAATACGAAAGTCAACTCTTGAAATCAATCGTGGAATATCATCTCGTAATAATCCCTGGATATCGTATCGCTGTCACTTCAGGATTGCACAGTCCACTGGCGCTTCAATGCGCAACCATAATTGGTGTCACTAGGTACCGAGAACTGCCTTTACAACGGGGGAAATAATTTCTGTCAGACTCGAACAACCTCGAATAGAGCGATGAGTACATTGGAGACTGTTCTGAGTGAGAGGCTCCAGCTCGGATTCGGATGAGGTCTGTCAAGTTTTGCACGGGGCCTTGTCCCTTCAGGTGCTTTGTGACTGACGACTTCATTCAAGAAACATTCTTGATGTCCTACAATACCTATACAAGAGATTCTATTCAGCAAGTATTCTGTAGTGGTAGGGTTCGCCTTTACCACAAAACAAACTGGTTGCCGAAGGATTGAGCGACAAGCGACACGGCCCGTGACGGTAGTCCACCCAGTTAATCTTTTAGCAACAGGCTGGCAGTCGCGACATTCAAGAATAAATTCACATGTACAAATCATCTCGTAGGTCGATGAGTGGTAGAGTTTGTGTCAAGAAAGCTAGATGGCTGCTGAGGCCCGAACCACGCGGGATGGAAGTCGAACAAAAACTTCCAACAATCTCTGCCAGGCTCAAACGAATCACTGAACCTATTGGAACAGGAGAAATTTGTGGCGATTGCGGCACTTGAAACCCAGTCTATCGCAGTAATCGTCGCGTCGAGTCTCAGCAGTTTACCAGTTCGACCATCCAGGACAGAGTGCCAGCACGAACAGAAGGTGCTTCTCACGTGCTGTCATGCCAGCCCCACTAACATCCACCCACCAGAGTTTGGTGCGAAATTGTTAAGGCGTATTAGACTGGATTTTACAGCAGCGCGACAAACTTTGTGACGTGACGTGCTCAAAAAAGAGTTTCTAGTGGAGATTGTAAGTATAAAAAGGGAGACAGGCCCAGCCTGTGTTGATTGCAGTCTCAGAATTTCAGTTCCCATTAAGAACGGCCCTCTTTGAAGTCAGGTCATTTCAGAGATCCTTTAGTCATTTTTGTTTTCATCATTGACTGCTGTTGGTAAGTGCTTTTCCATTTGCAACTTAACGTATCTTCTTGATCCAAAGATACAGTCAATAAAACAAAGTGCTCTAGTGCCAAAGTGAACAATGATGATACTGTAAGACCTATGCGACTCTCAATGGCTTATGTCTTGAAAAATGCGAAAGCTTCAGTCTAAGTTTAAAGATATCTGTAGCAGCGCCACAAAGTTTGCGACGTGACATGATGAGAAAAACACAGTTGTAGTACCTATCTGTAGATACAAAAGTTTTATGTTATTTAGAGTTACTTGTGGCCAAAAGCCAAAGCTTATCGCGCCTTGCCTCGCAAGTATAAAAAAGGGAGTCACGCCCACTGCAGACTCAGAATATTGGTTATCATCGACGAACGGCCCTCTTTGAACTGTGTTTATCAGTATGCTCTGAATGTACTCATTTGTTTTAAAACTTAGCAGCCTGAATAATCAGGTTTCCTTCAATGTTCTGTGTCCCGCTGAGGGTTTCGAGAACTGAGGGAACGACCCCCAAAAGGGCATTTATATGAGTTCATGGAACGCTACACATGAACCTTTTGGATCCTTCGATGCCACGAGCAATGATGTTACTGTCGTACCCGCATCATCCTCGGCGTCGTGCGCCCTGGGTGGTGCGAACGGTTCAGTCTAAGTTCAAATTTACTTTTTGGGAACTGGGGGCGCAGACGGACTATCATATTCGTCATGTGGGTTATCAACACCCCCAAGTTGAATCAACACTGATCTTTTCGATGTTACGAACAATGATGATACTTTCTTGCGCTTTAGGTCCCCGACGTGATGCGTCTTGGGACACGAAGCTGTTCAGTCTGAGTTCGAAGTATACTGTCTGATGCATAAGAGTCCGGTCACGGGCAAGCGTCTCGCCTTCAGCGCGCAAGTAACGCATGTTATGGCGATGGGATAGTAGGCCAAGTGGCGCTTCATCCATCCCCTAAAGTTGGACTCGAAATTCTTTGAGGCGCTGACACGTTGCATTTTTTGTCCTATTTTTGATGACACCTTGGAGACTTCCCATCTCACATGCCATAAAAATCTGTTTCTTTGCCTTTTGTCATTGCTTGATAGATGGATGATTTCGATAGTATCGGTAGATCTCCAGGAACTGTATAGTCGAATTATCTGGCGCGTCCCTGTCACTGGCTGGCGCATTGTATGACGTACGCTATGAACCAATCCAGCTCAAGATTCCAAAATGCAACAGAGGTCAACCTTTAACGAACAACCACAAATATCGCACCGTAAAACCACATAATCATGAAGGCAATCCAGATCAAAGAGTTCAACTCTCCTTATGCTGTCTCGGACGTCGACAAACCCAAACCAAAGCTTCATCAACTGCTCATCCAGATCAAGGCGGGCGGCTTTTGCCATACTGACTGCATGGCCCTTGAGAATGCCTTTGGCTTTAAACTACCGTTCATTGGGTCTCATGAGTCAGCGGGTGTTGTTGTTGAGGTTGGTTATTATGTTAAGGGCTTTTCTGAGGGTGATCGCGTTGGATGTCTCAACTTCGACAGCTGCTAAGGTAGGACATCCTCTCATGAGGCGGTATATGTGCTTATATGATGATAGGGAAGTGTACCGACTGTAAGGCTGGAAGGCCGACATACTGTGATAATCCACTGATGAAAGGCATCACGACGGATGGGGCATGGGCGGAGTACATGGCGGCGTCGGTACTCTTTCGCATCATGCCTATATACCAAGTCGCCGCGGTCGATGTAGAGCAAGACACCCTAGACCTTGTCGCATCTTACGACCTGAAACCCGATGTTTGTATCCTATCCACCGATCCAGCAGAAGCCTCCATGAAAAAGATGACAGAGCTCATCAATGGTGACTACCCTGGACTTAGTAGTGAAGCATAAGATTCAAGTCAAGGTCAAGGAATGGAGGCCCGAGGGTGCTGAGAAGATGAGACAGGAATATCTTGCTGGTAAGAACAGCGGTAAGAATGTCATAGTATTCTAGCCTTCAATCGTATAGTATCAAAGAATTCGCGTTTCAATCCGATCATGAGTCCATCAATCAGCCGATCGATGTCAAAGCGCAAACGTTGAGCAAATTAAGCTTCAACAGATCGACCATCATGCCAGATAAGCTCATGATCCAAGATGCGACCCTTAAAAACCTACCCACTAGCTACGAACACGAACACGTCTTTCATCCCATACGCGCATCCCAATAAAAACATCCAATCTTTTTCGCATTCATTCGGCTCTTTTTTCGCAAATCATCTCGGAACCCCGCGGGCGGCCGTTGAAGCCCGAGATGGTCCCATGCGTGAGCTGATGGTCACCTTATTTCACGACGACAAAATCTTAAAGAGATTTATCGTTTAAATGATTTCCTTTTCCATTTTATTTCCGAAATCATATAAATCTCAACCTCCCCATATTCTCCTCCGACTATCTACATCAATTAGGAAAAGTCGATATGGCAGCAAAACTACGTTCAAAGCGATATCAAGAACAAACTTCACTAAAGCAATGGCTTATCGATAACCAAATCGGTAAATATACGAAAAAACCATCCCACTCGGCGCTGTTTCCACAATACTGACTTTCTTAGGCATATGCCTCGGTATTCTAACCCCTCTACTCATCGCGCAATGCAACAGTCTTACACGTCCCCTCACCGCTAAACTTACTTCTCTCTCGTACCGAGACGAATTCACGGGGGAGTACGGCGTTGGGTTCGATGATAATTACCTGGTGGCTGTTCTGATCGTGGTGTTGACGGGTCTTCGGGATGCTACTATGCGGTTCGTTCTGGACCCGTTGGCGGCCGCCTGGGGACTGGGGAGGGCTAGATCCATGCGGTTCAAGGAACAGGCTTGGATGGTGGTATACTATTCCACTTGCTGGTCTGTTGGCATGGTATGATTGCCGTCTCCGCCAATTAGAGGAGCTGTAACTAATATCGGCAGTACATCTATGCGTCTTCGTCGTATTGGTTGAATCTTCAGGCTATGTGGACGAATTGGCCGAATCGCGAAATATCCGGACTGATGAAGATTTACATGCTGGCGCAATTGGCTTTCTGGCTTCAGCAGATGATTGTCATCAATATTGAGAAGCGGCGCAAGGATCACTGGCAGATGCTCTCTCACCATATCGTCACGATTGCTTTGGTGTACTGCTCTTACAGATATGGCCTCACCCGCGTTGGCAATGTTGTTCTGATCCTCATGGACTTTAACGACCTAGTCTTCTCGATCGCAAAGTGCTTGAAGTACATGAAGCTCCAAGCTTTGTGCGACTTTACGTTTGGCGCATTTGTGGTTAGCTGGGTGCTGTGCCGCCATACTGCGTTCCCGATGGTATGCTGGTCCGTCTATGCGCATAGTCTGGCCATCACCGGGCCGAGATGCTTCATTGGCTCAGGAAAGAACACCATTGGTCCTCAAGAAGTTCCGGAAAATGGTTACTTCTATATGCTTGAGCCATTGATATACACCAATGGGAGGGTATGCTACGACTACACTATCAAGACACTATTCCTCAGTGGCCTTTTGTTCCTGGAGACACTTATGCTCGTTTGGTTCGTCATGATTGTCAAGTTGGTCATTCGGGTGTTACGCGGTGGAAACGCAGAAGATACGCGCAGTGATAATGAGGAAGAGGAATACGAGGACGAGATACCGATCGAAGTTGAGGTCGATGCCGAGAAACTTCAATTTCCGAAGCAGTTTTCCTCCCGCGGAAAAGGGACATCTTCCGTGTTTCAGTCAACGAGAGGAGTGAACATTTCGAAAGACAGAAGAGGTTATTTGGATAGAATTGGCTGCGAACAGAGGATATCACGATAAGCGACACCTTAATTGGGATAGATCAGGTACTGAGAGAAGGATATACCCTGGAGGTCAATGCGGGACATACCGTAAAGACTAATGTTTAATACTAATGTTGGAAACTCTAATGAACGACTGAAGAGTCGAACGAGTGGCTATATCGCTGAGATATTATGATGCTGCCGACGATGCCGAAGAGAATAATAAGTGTCGGACCGAAGATATGCTGCAATTCTCAATTACCGCAACATCATGCCGAAGTGCTATTATCCTCATCCCGCGACTATCTCCCGATTGAGGGTATTCGGACCATGTTGCTTCCCCTCAAAGCATCTCGACTCTACGGTTTAGGGTAAGGTCCAGCCCGTCATACGAGTGCAACGCGTCCTGGCTCCATGTCGAGCTGTATACTTGCCGGTATCCGTACTCAAACCAAAACCATCGTGAGACGAACGAATAGCAGCAAAGACTATTGACGAAAACTGTAAACTTTGAAGACATTCAGAACGCTTCCAATAACCGGAACAAGTTTAGCGCTCAGCAATTCCAAGGTCAACAGTGGCGAAGCGAGTGCTACAACCCCTGCTACCCGGCCCTCGCGTGATGATGTTTCTCCCCCCCGCACAATTCAACTCTGCCCTGTTTAGCTTCCTTCGACTGCCTAATTTACTCCGCATGATTCCAAATCAATTTCTGGACCTGCACCATTACGGTATGTCCATTCACGGCAGTGTCTCCAAAACATCCATGGAAAGCTTGCTGCATCAAAGATCCTATGAAGTGGTCCTCAATAGTAATGCAGGTACCCAAATGCGAGCAGAGCTAATAATAGAGTTTCTGCTAAGGTCGGTTAAGAAATCGCACGAATTGATTCACCGTTTTGTGGCTGGGATCGTGATTATGTGTTTATGCAGGGTCGCGGCTCTGTGAAGAAGTTGCATCGCTGCGCCATGTCGATGCAGAAAAAGAAGAGGAACTTACATCTTACAGCTTCTTCTTTGAGAGGGGAAAACCGTTGAATCCTACTGATTATCGTTGATAAAGCCTGGGATCAGGGATAGGACGGCCGGGTCGCAAATTGCCAATGCGTAGCGAGGACCAATAGGCTCGCAAAGCGGGATGTGACATTCTAGATAGAGTTGCCGCTGCATGAAACCCCAAGAATTCATTCTTCTGGTGAATGATATTGGATGGTTTACAGGATCGATCACAAGGGATTACTACGTTGGATCAGACCATTTTGGACTTTTGTCCTGCGGGATTTGTGAAAGCCAAGATGTCGGCTGCAGAAGGGCATTGCTATTATTAGAAAGAAATGTCTTGGAATGCATATTTTAATTGCTTTGTTGGTGATGAGTTGTTGGGAATTGTATGGCCCAATGGTTCGGGTACATGGATCGACCGGACCCAGAATGCGACCGCAGTTTGTGACTGCGTATGCTTATTTTCTCGTTGTGATGATAAATGAGCCAAGCAAAAAGCTGTACGAATCAAGGCTCAAGCATTTGATGCTGACGACCCAGCAACTGACAAGGATGAGATGAGCTTATTGTCAGCACTGCACAGCGGTCAGACAATCTTGTAATTTAGATACACAAAAGTCATCTGCATTCGCAAAATACGGGGTTGTACAGCAGACGAGGCCAACTCAATTTGTCTCAGCTTACTCTGCTTGCCTGTAATCGGGAACTTGGGAAGAGCCCGAGGTGACACGACACCCGAGATGTTTGTGTTTGCCTTTGCCTCGCAAGGACCTTTACTCCGGCCCGCGCGCTCACGGCATTGATCGTTTACCTAGCTAATCTGTCTCACAATATTCCGATTGGTTGACTTACGCAGGGTGAAGAAGAGTGGGTAGTCGGATCATATGTGGGATAATCGCCTCTTGGCAGGGCGAGTAAAATGTATTCTGCCCAATTTATCTCCAACAAGACAACTCCAAGATTAATCAGCTTCCACTGAATATTATCAAGAAAACAACGTGCATAAGTTTGAGTCCTTGAGGGTAAATGATAAACTCTAAACCATGTGTTTCACTCTCATCTACAAAAGTTTATATTAAGCTACCACCTTCTCAGTATGGAACAAGTCTCACGTAAACCAATAGCAATCCTGTGATTTACCATCCCTGTCGGCAGTTGGTGCGTGTGATTCAACTGGCATTGCCGCTTATCAGGGATTTTGCCTCTTAGGTCTTAGCACCCAAGATTTCTCCGTCTCCACAGAACATTTTCACGGACGAGACATCTGATTCCAGTATCGTCACCGCCTATCACTATCTAGGAAACAATGGAGAGGGGCCAGTGACGTTGGTGTGGATTAGGCTGCTTAGAAGAGGCAAGAAAAGGCTGGGTTCATCCTTGTGATACCGCAGCGTGCTAAACCCTGGCCTTGACCCATGCGCAATGGGCTAAGATGCACTGTAACTGAGCCTCGATTGCTAATCCGAGCGTCTGACCTTTTGCATAAGGCCCTATACTATTGACACTGCCGACTTGGCGCTGTAGCAGCCCCTGTAGATCGTCACTGTAACCTTCTTTTTCTTGCCTCTGACTACAAAACCAAACATAAATCCGCCCCAAACCTCATCCATCTGGGCTCTTTAGTTCATTACTCCTCACAGCACTTCCAGCCATGCACGTACAATCACTTCTGCTGGCTTCTGGCCTCGTGCCTCTCGCCGCTAGCCAGGGCTGCCCCTTCGCCAAGCGCGCCACAGACACTAATCTTGTTCCCCCGCGAGAAATCCCCGAGGACTTTGGTATCTGCCGCGTCGCTAGCAACCAGGCTGGTGGCGGTACCCGATCCAGGGACTTTTGGCCTTGCGCTTTGCGGTTGGATGTCTTGAGACAGTTTTCCCCTCAGTATAACCCATTGGGTGCTGATTTCGACTACACTGAGGCCTTCAAGTCTCTGGACTGTGAGTATCACTAATTCTGGAACTGAAGCTGTTTTACTAATTGTTTTGGTAGTTGCTGCTTTGAAGAAGGATCTCAACGCGCTTCTCACTGATTCTCAGGATTGGTGGCCTGCTGACCATGGCAACTATGGCGGTCTGTTCATCCGTATGTCATGGCACAGCGCTGGTACTTACCGCGCCATGGATGGCCGAGGTGGCTCCGGAATGGTCAGTCATGATCTCAATGTCATATTCTGGAGTGTTTTGCTGACATCTGCAGGGTCAACAACGATTTGCTCCTCTCGACAGCTGGCCCGACAACCAAAACCTGGACAAGGCTCGCCGTCTGCTCTGTACGTCACACAGCCGCCACACAGACCCCCAAATCTAACAAAATCACAGGGCCCATCAAGCAAAAATATGGCAGCAAGATCTCATGGGCTGACCTGATTGTCCTCGCCGGCAACGTCGCCCTCGAGCACAGCGGCTTCGAGACCCTTGGTTTCGCCGGTGGCCGAGCTGACACCTGGGAGGCCGATGAGTCCATCTACTGGGGTGCCGAATCTACCTTTGTCCCCAAGGGTAACGACGTTCGCTACAACGGTAGCACAGACATTTACGAGCGTGCTGATAAGCTCGAGAAGCCTCTTGGTGCTACGCACTTTGGTCTCATTTATGTTAACCCCGAGGGTCCGGATGGAAGCTCTGATCCTAAGGCTTCTGCTCTTGATATCCGTACTGCTTTTGGGCGCATGGGTATGGATGATGAGGAGACTGCTGCTCTCATCATTGGTGGTCACACCCTGGGCAAGACTCACGGCGCTGTTCCTGCTAGTAAGTTCCTCAAAGATCGAAGGCTTTGAGGCAGTACTGACTGTGATTTCAGAGAACATTGGCCCTGAGCCCATGGCTGCTGACCTTGGAGAGATGGGCCTTGGCTGGCATAACAGCGTCAACCAGGGCAACGGTCCTGACCAAATGACCAGTGGTCTTGAAGTTATCTGGTCCACCACTCCCACCAAGTACGTCCCCTCCCTATATCTCACTTTCACTCTCACTAACAATTCCCAGGTGGAGCAACCACTTCCTCAAGAGTCTTCTCGGCAACAACTGGACCCTCGTCGAGAGCCCCGCAGGCCACAAGCAATGGGAAGCTCTCGACGGCAAGCTCGAATACCCCGATCCCTTTGTCAAGGGCAAGTTCCGCCGCCCCACGATGCTCACCAGCGATCTCGCCCTCATCAACGACCCCGCCTACCTCAAGATCGCCAAGCGCTGGCACGACAACCCCAAGGAGATGAACGCGGCTTTCGCTCGCGCCTGGTACAAGCTCCTTCACCGTGATCTCGGCCCTGTTTCTCGCTACCTTGGACCTGAGGTTGCGAAGGAGAAGTTCATCTGGCAGGATCCTCTCCCTGAGCGCAAGGGAGACATCATTGGCGAGGATGACATTTCTAGCCTCAAGTCTGCTATTCTTTCTACTGATGGTCTTGATGTTTCGAAGCTTGTTTCTACTGCTTGGAACTCTGCTTCTACTTTCCGTGGAACTGACAAGCGTGGTGGTGCCAACGGTGCTCGTATTGCTCTCGAGCCTCAGGTCAACTGGGTCAGCAACAACCCCAAGCAGCTCAAGCAGGTTCTTTCTGCTCTGAAGAAGGTCCAGAAGGACTTCAACTCCAAGTCCGGCTCCAAGAAGGTCTCTCTCGCTGATCTGATTGTCCTCGGTGGTGTTGCTGCTGTTGAGAAGGCTGCTCAGGCCGCTGGCTTCAAGGACGTCGAGGTTCCCTTCACTCCTGGTCGTGTCGATGCTACTCAAAACCAGACTGATCTTGTTCAGTTCGGTTACCTTGAGCCTCTTGCTGATGGTTTCCGTAACTACGGACATGGCACTGCCCGTGCTCGCACTGAGGAGATCCTCGTTGACCGCGCTGCTCTTCTCACCCTCACTCCCCCTGAGATGACCGTCCTCGTCGGTGGTCTCCGTGCCTTGAACGCCAACTACGACGGTTCGTCCAACGGTATTCTCACTGAGAAGAAGGGCCAGCTCACCAACGACTTCTTCGTCAACCTTCTCTCTCCCGCTTACTCATGGGCCAAGAAGGACGACCGTGGTGAACTCTGGACCGGTACTGACCGTGCCACCAAGTCCGTCAAGTGGACTGCTACCCGCGCTGATCTGGTCTTTGGATCTCACGCTGAGCTGCGTGCTATCTCTGAGGTCTACGGTAGCGCTGATGCAAAGGACAAGTTTGTGAAGGATTTCGTTTCTGCGTGGACCAAGGTTATGAACCTGGACCGCTTTGATGTCAAGGCTGAGAAATAGATCCAGTACTAGAGCTTTCTCAGTCGCCTTTGACAATTTTTAGAGTTACATATTTCTTCGTTATATAGTTCATTTATATACCTGTTCAAACTGCTTTACTGTGAAAAGCCGTGAACATCAAAGTACCTCATCCTTTTACACAATCTTGGTGGACCATATGTGTAATGACACGTGATAATGTAGTCTCACCTCAGTCTCATCAACCCCGCAACACTCTGTCCCATTTTCACTCCAACATGTCCTACAGCAAGCAAAATGCTCCAACTGCTGGACTTCCCTGATGAGATACTCACTCAAATTTGCTCCTTGATATGCGATTCAGATCGTCTAGCTCTTTTCCAAGTCGCATATGTCAACAAAAGACTGCACAGAATTGCCTCACCGCTTCTCGTCCGCCATTGGCCTTTCCATCCGTGGATTCTACACAAACAGGCACCTGCTCGCTTCACACTCCATCTCATTCGAAACCCTCATCTTCAAAGAAATGTCAAATCGATAGTCTTCGATGAATTGATTCCTATCAAGGAGGATGATCCCTTGGCCAGTTTTGATGAGCTCGATAAACTTGACACAGTGGCACGTCAGCGTTTCCCAGAGCTTGCAGACGATCCTAGCTGGTGCGAAGGATTGCTGCAGGGATACATAGATCCTATAGCAGCACTCCTCTTGGTTCTATGCACGAGACTGGAAAGCCTTGACCTTATGATCCCTTACTATCAGGAGTTTGGTCTGCTGGTGCTAAAGCTCGCCTCGTTGGCTCTGAAGCACAGTGGTTCTCAACGGCCACTGGAGAATCTTCGCGCGGTTGTGCTCAGATGGTACGACGATGACGACCCTGGGAACATTCAGTGTGCAGCACCTTTCTTTTACCTTCCAAAAGTCAAAACTCTCGCTCTCTCAGCATTATCGGATGAAATACCACTGAAGAGTATCACGGACGACAAAGATCACAATGATGATATTAGGCTGGGTTTGGATCCTGACATCTACGAGACACAGTTTCCCATCGGAACTTCACCTATCGAGGAGCTAATCATGGAATCATCTTGTCTCACATTCCATGGTCTCTTTACTATTATCCGTGCTTGCAAACGACTCAAGAAGCTCGTCTTTACTTGCAAAAACCTCGCCAGAATATCTAGTCAAGACGATTCCAGCGTCGCTCTCACTCGACAGGCGTTGCAACATCATGCCGCATCTTTAGAGGAGCTCGCATTCAATCTTGAGTCACACCGCTTCAGGCAGGATGACGGGAGCTTAGAATACGCGTCTACCACTGGTCTAAGTTGTTTGAAAGGTTGCTTTCAACAAATGAACAAGCTCAAGCGCCTTACCATAGATCTCCACATTCTTCATTTTCACGATACTTCCCCAGACAAGACAATGATTGATTGCCTACCAACATTACTTGAGTATCTAGGTCTGGAATGCAATCTTGCTAGCTATAAGCCTCAAGTACTGGGGTATGTCAAGACATTGTGCACATTACTGAAAGCTTGCGGGCATGGAAATCACTTATGTGCCCTGAAGACTCTGGATGTCTGGTTGTTTGTGTACCATATCCCAGAAGAGGAAATGTTTGAACCAGTCAGAAAGTTAGCACAAGAGAGAGGTGTTCGCTTCACCTTCATTCACGGGCATTGCCGATGGGACAACTCCTGGTCGACAACGGGGATAATACCAGATCCATATCCTCCCATTATTGATCCTAAACGGGGCCGAGAAGGCAATGACGGGGCTGAGATAAATGAACAAAGAGATGTATACATTCTACACAACGTCTTGTAATACATATTGTCTCGAAGATCTATCCCACGCATAATGATAGCCTTTTAAGTACTTGCTAAATGTGATAAGTCTCTGCTGCAGGCTTGAACTTACTTGTAAGCTGAAATTTAATCGTGTGCCTGATTTCTAGCAGACTGCATATCTCTAATGCGTCCCTACCCAACGGCGGATGCGTAAGCAAAGCCTAACGAGTTACATGCATGTTCAATCTGACTGGCGGCGCCACACGGCACTCATCAGGCTGTCAACGTCCTTCACCGTATTCCTTTTCGAGTAAGGTCTGTGTAACAAGGCAGCTTGCCTTCGAGCCTGGACACAATCTCTAATACACTTGTTATTCTATAGCTAAAGTTGGGCAGGCATAGGACTACACCTCGGATAATTAGTGTTAAAATGATCTTTTCTTATCGGAAAGGTCGTTTTGTTTGCTGCTTATGTCTGGGCCGTGAGCCTCATTTTCATCCTCTTTGTGTTATCGTGGCCGGCTTTCTTATCGTTTCGCGAGGTGCCGAAATCACAATGGGTTGAATCGCCGAATGAAGGCCTTCCATTTTGCATCAACGTGTCAAGTCGTACTGGGAGGCTGAAAATACCGTACATTGGAAGGGACTTCAACATCGGCATGGTCCTTGGACGAGTTATCTAGAGCTGCTAGGTATATAAGCAGCCAGTATCTCCCGTTGATCGGTACCTTTTCTTCAACAACTAACTCTTACAAAACACACTCAATTTCACTTCGAATCGCACCTTAGTAACCCAACAACTACCATCATGAGTCAACACTTTGACAAACTTAGAGAGCAGTTCGGTGGCATTGCCGATGGACTTGACGAATGGCAGAAGATCAACCGCAATGGTAAGTACACCAGTCATTTCCTGTATTCCAAAAGTCATCATATGCAACGTTCCAGAAAGCTTATCTAACATTCTACTCAGGTGGCTCTGCCTCTTCAGGAGGCCCCAGATTCTGCGAAAGAACCCCCCATCAGACATCCTCTGGCACCTTCGTCTGCGATTGCGGCTGGAATGACCAAGCCCGTAAGGCAGACAGCATCCAGTTCACCGAGTCTCACATCCTCAGCCTGGGCGGTGTCCTCTGGTCTCATGTTGAGGAGACTCCTGGGATGTACATGTGTCGAGCATGCGTCAACGAGTATCCGGATCGTCACAATGTGTACAACCTGGATGAGTTTGGAGCTCATCTTGACAGAACTCATCGATTCTGGAAGAATGTTCTCAAGGACTACATCGAGAGATGGTATGGGCGCTTTTTGCAGCAGTTTTGAGACTGATAGGCTTATGATGGAGGATTGATCCCTTCTCTTTGACCTTTACAGGTCGTACATTCTTTCTGACTAGTATGAGGTTCGATACCATGAACTAAAGGTTATTATTGGCAAGATCAAGAACTATTACTAGGCTATCATTTGATAAGCTACCTTACATAGTGCACTGAACTATCATAACTCGGCTTTCATTGCAAGTCTAACCTGGTCACTATTAGAATGTTGCTGCGCATGTTGAATCAGTGTGACTTACCTCTTTAGCCGTGTCGTAGTCAAACATCCATTTATCAAAAGGTAGAGTGTTGAAGGGTGCGTTGCCGTCGCCTTCACCCATGGGTAGCGCCCTCTGGTCGTCCGTCAACTCAGATCCCGGGGGTTTGCCAGAGTTGTACAGTTTGTAGTTCCACGTCGAGCCATTCTGAAGCCTCGTTACACGGGGAATACGTATTCTCTCCCACATCTCTATGATTTCTGCCATGTCCTGGCTGCTCTCTGAAAGCAGGATAGATAAGGCATCAATATCCTCGACAATAGAGCTGAACCCTTCTGCCAAGTTCGGAAGCATAGCGTGCGCGGAGTCTCCTAGAAGAACTAGTCTCCGTTTCGGGCTTGACCAGGTCTCTAAGGGTTCCAGTCTAGCTAGGCGCCAACGCGAGCAGTTCTGCACCATGTTTGCCAAAGCAACTACCGTGGGATTGAACGATGAGAAGAATTTCTTGACGACTTCTCCATCGTCGGTCGCGTCGAAAAGCTTTTGTTCGCTTGCTTCACTATCTGCAGCACCATGTTGAATCGAGAACATGATGTTGAATAGGCCGCGAAGATGATTATACTTGCCAATGGCATATCCGCCATGGCCAGCCCACATGATGCCGTTCTCTGACTCGGGCTGCTCACAGAGAGACTTGGTCCTCTCGTCGTTGGCGAGCATCTCGGTAGCTATTTCAGTTGGGTAATGTGTAGAAGGCGCCCGAATTACAGCGAGACGTGCTGGATCGACATGAGTAAGGATCTGAGACCGCAGACGCGAGGATATCCCATCAGCTGCCAGGATCAAATCTGCCGTGATCTTGGTGCCATCTTTACGCGTTGCATACGCAGCTTCATCATCTTCCTCAACCGTGACGATCTCTTTCCCAAAATGCACTTTCGCTCCGGCCTTGCATGCCTCATCGTATAGAACAGTTTGCAACGCTTGGCGATCCGTCGACCACTCCGGAAAGTCGGAGTGAATACCCGGATTGAGAGTATGCAACAGTTCATTCGTGTTCCCATTGCGTGTCTCGTGCTCTTTGATCGGGGCAGTCACAGCTTCGAGGGCCTCGCGCATCTGCCATCGATAGAAGCACCTCACGCCATTTGATCTCACAAAAATGGCTCCGCTTGCCGTCGATAGCGATTGTGATCTCTCGAATAGATCGACTTCGTGACCATCGCGTGCTAAGCGGCATGCTGCAGCGAGACCTCCTAAGCCTCCGCCTGCAATGACAATCCGCTGCTTATTCATATCCATGGCTGCGGTCGGTTTGTCGTAGTGCCCTTGTGGGGAGTGAAACGGGTTGAGAGTGAACGTTGCCATAGAAAAGCCTTTTATAAGGTGGCTCGTATTAATAAAAGGCGCGCTCGTGTCACGTCACATGTAATGCCCGTCTTACTGTTTCGAGGTACTCTTACCTAAGATATAGCGGCGTCGCACAGTGATTATAAGCAAAGATAAGCACTAGATATCATCGGCCCGGAATATTAGAGGAAGATCATCCGAGAGATCCGTGAGAAGAATCGTGAGCAAATAGAAAAGGATTATAGAGGGTTCAAGTCGGCGAGACGAAGAAGAATAAAAGATATCTTAGTCTTTTGAGTCTAAATAAATACATTAAGGATATATGAGTACATATTTCCAACATTCTAGGACTACAGGTCATTCCTTCTTGATATCCCGACATAAACCCTCAAAGGTCATCAACCAAACTCCAATAGATGCCAATTCATCAATAAATCATTACCGTCGCTGTTCAATCTCTATCACTCCATCATCCTCCATTACATCTGGCATGTGAAGGTCATCTTGAGCAATTCACTCCACAATGCCAATAATACAGAGACTGATCTCAATGACCCTAAGTGCGGCGTTAAAATACACAACAGCCTTTTGTGAGAGGAAACAGATGGAACTCACGTCAATACACAGGCGAGCACTAGTGCTGCAAGGAACAGAGGCTCTGATGGTTCAGTATCGTTGTCGAGAGCGCTACCTCCCGGCCACCAATCCCGGTACCATCCAAAACAAGCAAGGCAGGCAATCGATCCAAGAGTGATGAAGCAATGAATGACAGTACTGAATGATGAGCGAATAGTAGGGAGTGTCTTGGTCACTGAGCAGACGAGTTCTATTAATAACCAGCAGAACGTTGTGATGAACTGCCTTGTTAGCCCACTGATTCAGGCGGAGTGATAGCCTATGCCGTAGACTTACTGCAGGTCCTAATATACCAATGGCGATGGCATTCCTCGATGCAGGGATGGCTGCAAGCACAATGCCAGAAATTATAACGGAGAGAGCTAATGCTCGCAAAGCTAGACCGAGATTCCTAAATCTCGGTGGCTTCTGTGGCTGTGAAATAGCAGATTTGGGGTCTTCTTCGAAGTCCATATTTATTAACAGTGTTGATAAGATAAGTAATAAAACATAGTTGCTAACAATGTCATTGAATCTCACGATACCATCCCGCCTCTTTATGGGTTTCACAATGGCAAATAGGCTGACGTAGAATACGTAAAATGGTCAGAAGACACGGGCGAAAAATTGCACCGCTGCTCCCAACGACTGATTTCCCAACATTTCCATAATAAAAATTTTATAATGACATGCCACTTTTTTAGCTTCATGACGCAAGTGACACTGACACGTGAAAACGGAGCGCAAGGCTGGTAAAGCCCGAAGGTCTTTTATCTGTAGAGCCACGTGGGTATTCGCCGATAAGAACAAATTAAGATCTACCTTCATCTTGACTTGTTTCATCCATGGTTTGGGGTATTTACTAACAGATTTCATAGGCAGAGACCCACAAGTGTTAAATCGTCCATAGAGATAAACTCCGTTTGGCTGAGATATCAGAATTAGGCTTAGCTTGCGAGACATGCCATGTTCTAACTGGGCCTTGGAGAGCATGACTAACGATAGCTTCATGACCTTTGATGCCATCACATGTTTAAAATGGCTGCCTATTACGCAATTAACTCAATTAACTTTTGATAAGGACACGGAGACTCGGGAGAACTGCGACCGGAGGGTAAAGGCACCGTCGGGTCGGGGGAATCAGTCGGCTTTGCTGATGCTTTGATGGAGGGCTAAAGTGGATTGCTCGTCAGCCCGCCAAGTGGATTTTGGAGCTGATCTTGCCCAGCTGAAGATCAGGGCTGACTATAACTACCGGTTCTAACTCCCGGTCGGTTTTGTAGCTGAGCCACATGGAAGCCTGGCGAGCCAACAAAGCGAGACCGTGGCTCCGCGGGTCATTCCCAAGTTGACTTACATCGTTGAGGGCAAGTTGGTCATCCTTCCCGACACCGCTACAAGTTACAGGGTATTATTTCGCTAAGCCGGAGCTGTCGTGCTGGTGTCCCACTTCTGCAGCCATTGTAGGTAGTTGCCAGGAATTAAATATATAATACATCTCTCTCTTGGTTTCTAACCAAGCCTGAACAACAGTTGCAGCGAGTTTGACGTTTGTAGCAGCGTTAGCGGTTATAATAGCCAGGTATGGCCTAAAGATACCTCACAAATAGACTTGATTGTCTTATACTTCGTCGAATGATCCAGTCAGTAAGCCTCGAAAGGTACTCTGAGCCTGCAAATCTTGCACTCTCTTAGTACGCACTTAACTTATCGTGATAGTTATATTACGGGTTTGTAAGGTTATATCAACAGAGTTGGTTGAATCACCGTATTCTTAATGAGTTACAGTCTATTGCGTCAAAACGACTCTGTGTAACAGTCCTGGCCAAGCACGTGATACGGTTGCCTAATTCGCGTCTCACATCTCCAAAACAACGCGAGATAATATCTTCCTTCACACTTATCAATCTGATGGATGATTATCGCTATGGCTCGGCTTAAAGATATGCCAAATGAGATTCTCGTGAATATCTTTACATATGTCTCCGACATCAATCACTCCAGCATCTTCAACGTCACTCTCGTCAACAAGCACTTCAATCAAATCGCCAGTCCCCTTCGCGTTCGACATTGGAGTGATGAAGGATTCTATGGCTATTACTACGGCGACTCACCATGCCCATCTATCTCAAGACTTGCACTTGAACTCTTGCGACACCCTGAATATCGTCTGCAAGTCAAGAGTCTATCGTTTTCATATTTTCAAAACAGTTATGACCGCGACCCCGCTCGTGTTCCCTTGAGCTCCGATAACCTCCAAATGCTCGCATGGGCAGCCGAAGAAGTCGTTCCGACACTCGCAGAGTCTACATACATATGCGCACGGATCCTTGAAGACAATGATGACGCCATTGCTGTGCTAGTCTTGGCTTGGGCGACGAACTTGACGAGCCTCAGTATTACGGTTCCTTTCCTTGATCCCACGCCAGGATATGATCAAGGCCCGCTCGTTCTACGCTTCGCAAAGCAACTGGCTCTTCGTTTTGACAGTGGAGACCTCAAACCAAGTGCCCCACTACCACTGGCGAAGCTACAAGAACTCGAATTTCGACATAATGACACCGAAAACGATGTTGCGCTGAAGTACATGTCGCCATTTCTCTATCTACCAAATCTCAAAGACATCGAGGCCTACAGACTTGGTGATACAGACTACAACGATCTTAATGACAGTGTTGAGCGATACATCCAAGACAAATACTGCATGCCCTTGCCGGCTGGTACCTCGTCAATTGAGTCAATCATTCTCGAAGAAACGACATTATCGGACTATGGACTCCAGGATCTTCTCGAATCTTGCAAAAGCCTCAGAGCTTTTCATATCGACTTCTCAGCTGTTCTTGATCATGACGTGCGCAACAGTACGATACTAGCTGCGAGCCTAGTTCAACACGCCACGACCCTCAATGAGCTAGAGATATCAGTCGATAACAGTGACGTCGCATGGATAGTAAATCAAACCGAGTTACCAGAGTGCGTAGAGGATTGTTACCGAGAACTCACTTGCCTCAAACGGCTGAGCATTCCAATGAGTCATTTATTACAAGACAGCCCAACGGGATCTCCTCAAGAGGTTATTCCCGAACAACTACCGGCTTCTATTACGCATCTCAAACTCTGCAATAGTCACTTGTATTGTAACTGGCAAAGTCCTCATAACAAAATCTCGCTTTTCTTAACTTGTACTCTGTCTCTTCTCATGGAAGCGGGGCCCCAGCGGCGATTACGAAATTTTCAGGTCCTCGACTGTTCCGAAGCACTTCTGGACGATCCGGAGATGGAAATGATTCAAGAGATGAAACAACTGGCAGAAGAGTGTGGTGTCACTCTTTTGCTACGCCCATATGTAACTCACAACGGTGGCCTTATCACTTAGGAGCAATGAATAGCATCTCAGATTACCTAATTACGACATTTTGTACTTTAGAAGCTGAGAACCAAGTCCTTCAACTTCTGGAAGTTGGGAGTTCCATAACCCGTGGTAGGGTCCCATCCAACAGTGGCGTTCCATCGAGCACCTTGAACAATACCAGATCCAGCAGGCTCAGGCTTGCCACTCTGAGTGTTGTTACCGTCACATCCAATAGCATAACCACCAGTGATGTCAGTCAAAACCTTGGGTCCATGCTTGTAGATGAGAGGGTTCAACCAGCCCAAGCTCTTCTTGCCAGCCTTGAAACGAGCATCGTTCAACAGACCAACGATAGCAGCCCAAACAGGAGCAGCAGCACTGGTACCTCCACTTCGAGCCTGCTTACCATTGTAGATAACCTCGTAGTCAGGAGCAACACTGTGTCCAGCGACATCAGGGAAACCTCGGCCCTCCCAGTTGGTGTAAGGACCATAGTACTTCTTTGTCTCCTTTGAAACGGTCTTCATATACTTCTTGATGGCCTTGTCCTGGTAGCTGGGTCGGGGGAAGTACTTGCTGAAACCACCGGAAGATCCCTCCCAGGCGATCTCGGGTGTGACATCGACGGTACCACCGACAGAAGTGAGGTAGGGGCATGTGGCGGGGAAGATGGCGTTGAACTCGACGGTCTTGTAGTCGGGAGCAAGGCAGCCGGAACCAACACCAATGTCACCGGAAGAGAAGATGACACTGATGCCTCGGAGACCGAGAAGACCGATCATGTTGCAGGTGAGTGTAGCATACTCGCGGGGGACGCTCTGTTACAGAGTTAGATGACATTCGTATCAGGAATAATACGGGGAATCTTACGTCTTCTTCGTCACCATAGGAAGTGGAGATAACAGCAGGGAGATCCTTCTGGCTCAATAGGTAACGGAAGAAAGGCACATAAGGCTCATTCTGGTTATCCTTCTCGGTAGGCTGATCGATGTTGGGAACAAAGGGACTGTACAAGTTAGTGACTCTACATGGAACCCAGGATAAGGGAAACTCACGGTGAACCTCCAGTGATGTACTGCTTGAAAGGAAGAGGATGAGCAATCCCAACAATGTTCTCAGCATCAAGATTCGCCTCTCCAAAGTTTCCATGCGCAGTGTTCTGATCATCAGTACCGTTGTTGATCAGAATAGTAGTGTAGTTCTGCTTAGGAATGCCAAACAGCTCCTCAAACTTGAAGACATCAGAGTAAATAGCAGCTTGGCCGAGAAAACTGCTGAAACCGATCTCGCTTCCAGACTTGGCATTGGGAGTGTAGTCTCCAATATTGTACATCTGCTTGAGACAAGAAGGAGTGATGCTTGTCTGGCAAGAAGCGTCAACTGTGCTCTTGGATGGAGAGACCTTGCGCTCTTGGAGGGTGCGCGAGGGGTGAGGCACAGGGTTGAACGCAACGGTGCCGCCGAAGTTTGTGCTAGGATCGACGTATTGAACGTGACCAGCTACATCATCAGGGATAGAGTAAGACAGAGTTCGCAGCTTTGTCTGACCATCCTTGGTGTAGTACTGGTAATCACCTCCCAGAAGAGAATTGGCCTTCTCAACATCAGCAGCAAAGTCAATAAAAGCGCCGTTGACCTTGTAGTGCTTGATGCCCTTTGACTTGAGCCACTTCGTCACACTAGCCACCGCCTCCTTAGAAGGAGAAAAAGTGTTGGTGAGATCATCGTGGGAGAGCCAGTTGCCGTAGTTGGCGCTGTCGGGACTGGAGAGGTCAAGAAGCTTTGATTCGAGCTGGTCGACGTTTTGCATGGTCAGTGCAAGACTGAAGACATGCTGCATGTCAGAAGTGACTTTGGCGGTTTTCTGGACTTGCCAGCCCTGAGGGACTTCAGCATGGTGAGAGAAAGATTTGCCAAATGCTGAAGGTAGAGCCGATAAGGCCAGTACCAGGTTTTGAGAGGAGATATACATGGTACCTCAGTAAAACAAAAAGAATGACTTTACAAGACCAGAAGCTGGATGACAGATTAAACTTCTACTCTTTGTGAATTTGGCTCATTTATCTACATATTCTACTTTATCAGTTATCATCAGTTCACGCGCCTCTGGATAACACGGCAAAGAAATGGAGATATCGATTCACAAAAGGTCTCGCGGTTGAACAAAAGGCCTCCGGGGTTCTTGGCGCCGAGCTTCTCGATTTGGGGCATTTTCCGTATCCCGTATGCAGATCATGATGCGATTAGTCCGATATGGGAAGTTACTCAGGGGCAAGCTGTGGGGTCACGCACGGATAACGGCATTCACTATCTTATCTCTAGGGAATAGGTGTTGGTCTTGAACCGTTTTTGATGGACTTTTTGTTAGGAAAATCACGCGATTGGGAGGACAAAAGTGCGTTGTGGAATGGGACGGGGATGGAAGGTTACATGTTGCAGGCGAAATTGGTGAGATTGGGTTGGAGGCTAATATTGAGTTTACGGAATTAGTCATGCTGCTCATGCGACACATGCCAAGCAGATTGACGGGAAGGATTTATTCTAGAATGATGCCAATATTGGGTTTATGGGAATAATCGGCATTTAACTTTGTCTGAAAAGTAAAACATGTCAATTCCGAAATTGTTATGGGAGTAACTCAAGTTCAATCCTTGGCCACCACTCCACATTCAGAGCCCGTAGCTTGACTCATTATGTTGATACGATAATTGATGTCGACGACTAAAATAAATGCTATTATTCCTTTTCCCCTTTCTGAATTTCCTGGAGCGTCATGCTGCTAAGATCATGCCATCAAAGCAGTTGAATTCATCTGCTCTAGGTTACTCAACTCCAGATGACCCTGCAAAGATGAGTTTATACGCTAACCCTTCACAGTAAGTTACATCAAATCTCCCTTCGCACCAATCATATCACTTTCTTTCGATGGCGGTCAAAATGGCAATCAAACAGTGTCATCATCATCCTTTTACCACTCAACGCCTTTCGCCGTTGCACAATGAACGCCACGGAGACTGCCGCAGCCAATCCAGGCTCAGCAGCAGAAGCAATAACCTACTTCAAGGCTCTCAGCCTCGTCATTCTCCCCTTCATCGTGACATATGTCTTCACTTCCTTTGGCAACAAGGGCTATCAGCATGGCCAAAGCGCAAGAGAGCCCCCGAGGGTTCCGTACTGGATTCCGTACGTGGGTAATACGATTGGCTTCGCTTTTGATACTGAACGCTTTTTATCGTCTATTTTGTAAGTGAACCTGAGTTGGTAGGACTACCTCCACTGATTTCCGGGTACAGATCCAAATTCGGCAAAGTCCCGCTTCGTATCTTTGTTGGGGCAGAGCCTATGTACTTTATTCCTCATGGCCAGCCCATCATCGAACTCTTTAAGGCGTCGCGTCATTTGACTACCAAGTCTCTTGGTGTCATGACTGTTCGAGATGCGTTTGGCTTGCCAGAATCTGATATGCCGATCTATGTTGATGAGGATTCTGAGTTTGGACATGTTGACCCATTGAAGAGATTTGACTTTGTTCAGCATCGTGATTTACATGCTCTTTTGACAGGAGGTCCACTGAATTCCATGACTGCAAAGTTTGTCGAGGTCTACTCCGATATTATCGAGAAAGACACCAGGTTGAACGAGGACGAGTGGACTGAGGTCGATGATGTTTACGAGTGGCTCAAAAACAATCTCCTTCGCGCTGCAATAACTGCTCTGTGCGGTGACAGGTTTCTCGAAATCGCACCAACCTTTCTTGAAGACTTTTGGTTGTTCGACTATCATCTCCCCAGCCTCTTCAAGCGGATGCCTCGATGGCTTGTTCCGAAAAGTTATGCAGCCAGAGACAAATGCCTCGAGAGCGTGCTACGGTACCATGATTACGGAAAACAGCTGTTTGACTTTACTGATGAAGAAGGTGTCGTCAAGAAGGATTGGACACCAGAGTTTGGTACGAGGTTAATGAGTGCTAGACAGAAGATGTTCCAGAGCGTTGGGATGACCCCGAGAGGTGGCGCTGCTCTTGACCTGGGGCTCATGTGGGCGTAAGTCAAGTACTACTAACTTATGGCCTTGGCTAATAACTTGTAGGGTAAATGCTAATGCCATTCCCGCGGGCATGTGGATTCTCCTTGATATATTGCTCGACAAGGACCTGAAAGACAGAGTAATGGCCGAGATACAACCTTCATTCATTGACAAGTCTCTATCTTTCGATATCGATAAGCTCTGCTCCGGTCCCCTGATCAATTCTATCTACCTCGAGACGCTACGTCTTCGCGTTGCTTCACCCGTTGGACGAACACCAACCATTCCCAATCTCAAATTCGGAAAATGGCAATTCAAGCAAGGCGTCGGCATGCTATCTTCATCCTGGGTTGGCGGTCACGATCCTGATTTTTGGAATACCGGACATGTACAGCCTGACGGAATTGAAGAGCATCCCGTTGAATCGTTCTGGGCAGAGAGGTTTCTGATCTACGAAAATGATCCAGCCAGCGGTCCGGTTCGACCAACCGCTTCTGCCGAAAAGCCTACGAAGCGTACCTCGGAGGATGACCATAAGGCACGTTCTACTATTGATGGAACGCAGGGATATTGGTATCCTTACGGAGGCGGGACAAAAATGTGCCCTGGTCGATTCTTCGCCAAACAGGAGCTCATGGCTGGTGTTGCGGTCGCTCTTCGTGCTTTTGACATTGAGCTTGTCGATCCTGAAGCGGCGAGTAAAGTTGGACCTAATATGGATTACTTTCCGTTTGGAACTATTCCACCTAGGGGCAAGGTCGCTGCTCGGATTCGGAGGCGAAAGTTGTGATATGGTTGCACCAGGTTTACAGTTGTGACTGCAGGTCACGAGCAGAGTATTGTGGGTTTGGATAGAATAAGCCCTTATTTCTAAGCAGTCTTTATGAGCGAAATTTATAATGCATCGTGGTATAATGACGACAATATCGTGCAACTATACCCGCATTCTGATATCTTGAACTCCACTGTAAATTGTGTCACTGATCGTCATGAATACAAATACATGTCACTGCTTTTAGCCTTAATACTCTTGACTTTTCGGAATCACAGTTGTTTCATCAAATATTTATACATTCTCAATTAACAACGCTTTCTGTTCAACACTACTGCAATATGGCCACTATGAAAGCTGTCGGAGTGTCGAAGTACGGCCCGGTCGTAACTTCGAATCGCGAAATGTACCAAAGCCTAGTGATCCGATTGGTCGACAAGTTCTCGTCAAGTCAGTTTCCAATTGAGTCTTCAATCTCAGTTGGAAGTGCTAATATCCTTCAGAGTCAAAGCCTGTTCTGTCAATCCGATCGATCATAAGGTTCGATCAGGAACCTACGACGATGCACCCGGTAATTCCACTCGCTCTCATCGCGCTAAGTAAACCTAACAAGTTGGCGGACTATTACGAACACGTCCCAAAAGACTTCCATATCATCGGCTTTGATGGAGCTGGAACCATTGAGAAAATTGGACCAGACTGTCAACTCTTCAAAGTCGGCGATGAGGTCTCTTGGGTAGGCTCAACGACTGAACAGGGCAGTTATGCAGAGTACCAGCTCGTGAGCGAATTGGCCTGCGCCAAGAAACCGAAGAATCTCGATTTTGTCGATACTGCGAGCTACGGGTTGACTTTCATGACGGCGTTTCAGTCGCTGCATCGGAGGATGGAGGTTAAGCCTGAGGAGCAGGCGGGTATTTGATCGTAAGTTCGGAGCAACTTATGACATCAAGAGGCCAACTGACGTGGTGTTTGAAAGATCAATGGCGGGGGTGGTATTGGGAGTGCAGCTATTCAGCTGGCGAAAAGAGTGTTAAAACTTCCGGTTGTAGTGGCCACTGCGTCTCGGCCAGAGACGACCGAGTCTTGTAAGCGCATGGGCGCTACTCACGCCATCAACCATCGAGAAGACATTGTGAAGCAGAGTGAAGATCTGAAGCTCAAAGTACCCATCAAGTAAGCATCCGTCGTCGGCTCCAACTTACCGCTTGCTCACCAGTACAGGTATGTCTACATTGTCGCCCGAACCGAACCATACACCCAATCCGTCGCCAAGCTGCGCACCCTTCGGAAAAGTCTGCACCATCGTCCAAGCAGACGTTAGTCTCTACGGGACAGAATTTATGTCAAAGTCCTTAACATTCTCATGGGATTGGTTGGGTTCTGCTGCATATCATGACACAGGCGTTGAAGACTATCACGAGATGCTGGGGACGATCTCGCGTCTGATGGAGGAGGACACGCTGTTTTCTACGGTTGGCACAAGGCTTAGGTTGACGTTTGAAGAGTTGAAAGAGGCGCATCGCAGGGTGGAGAGTAGTACTACCGTTGGGAAGACTGCGCTTGGTATTGATGAGCCTGGTGAGGGTGAGCCGTTTGCTTAGCCTAGCGTCCTGTACTGGTCAGCAATTCACCAACAGACTGCATCCCATTTCATCAAACCATCATTCGTCGTTGATAAATAAGCCTGAGCCCTCCATAATCAAGCCCCGTCTCAGAGGCGGTTAACAACTGATTGAAGCAACCAATAAAGTCATCATTTGCTTAATTTAGGCAGAATTAGGACCGTAGCAAATAGCACAGGGGATAAAAAATGCTCTTGCCTCTTTGTCAACCTTGCCGGTGGCTATGCCAAGGTGATTATTACTTCTGGTTGGCTAGAGCAAGCCACGAAGCTCAGCTGCCCCTCTTGACAATTGGCCGCGCTGTATGACCTTCGCTTTCATCTAAACGCGTTAATTATGCTCTTCAATCTCGCCATCCTATTATCTAAAAACACTTCTCTCCTACCAGGAGTCTTCCGGAAAACTGTGTATCTCAATGGTAACAGACGATGAACCTGGGACAAGCCAAGACTCGATGCCTCTGCCACGAGACGTCGAGCTGGGGCCGGCTGACCATCAACCCGAGTCCAGGACCCAAGGCTTTAGAATACTATTTCGAAAATACTTCCTGTCTCTCTGTGGCTGGATCCTTGCTTTTATCAGCACAGCAGTGTCAATTGCCGCTCTTCTTCCAGCTTTCCGTGGCCTGCTGCTCTCAGACAAACAGCTCAGACTCGCCGAGTGGTCAGCCCTGAAGGACTACCTAGATCAGTGCAGGGAAGACTCCGTAAGCGACCTATTCTTATAGGTATGAACCACTCTAATCTTATCTGTCAGAAAGCTGGACACATCTCTGGGGAATGCAAGGCGGCCTTGGCAAAATCGTTGCCACCTCCTCCAGGGCTGTTCTATAGCGATAACCTCGACCTTGGTTCTTGGGGAACTTCCTATGGGCTAGGGTCTGTGAGTTTAGAAGTAGAATCTATTGAATCATTGGCTTTCGTGGTTGCATATTTACTATGGAGTGTTCTGATAGTCTGTTGGTTGCATCGCTCGTGGCGAGATACTCGATCAAGGCATCCTGACAAACATGTATATGCTACGAAAGCTCGAGAAAGGCCAACTAGGAAATCGTTGAAAATATCCTGAGACATAATAAAGGCTACAAATGTATCCTTTGGGATTTTTTTCGGGCTCTAATTTAGGAATAGCTGGCCAGTGCAGGCGATATAGCACTAGGTATATTGAACACAAGCATTGAATCGCTAACAAAATGGTATCACTCTGTACCCGCACTGAGACAAACTTCCTCCACTGACACCAACAATCTAACTGCCTATCCTCAGCTTGACATGCCACCCGCCCCAAAGTGGATACTGCCCGTATTCCCCAACTCGTTCAACCAACCTTCAACATCCGAACTCACACCAAGAGCCAATTCCTCATCAACAACCCCAACTTGCCACGTATTCGTCACAACCAGACCCCCGCCCTTAACAGAGATGACGCTGAATGTCAAAGCCGAACCAAACGTCGGCGCAGTTTGAGTAAACGTAGCACTCTCAATAGACCACTTATCACCATCGCCATCCGCTCTGCCCTGTGTAACACCAAGGTTACTGATCTCCCAAGAATAAGATCGCGTTTTACCATGGTCTTTGACGAAAGACTGCCAGTCTTTGACAAACTTGGCTAAACCGATGTGATCGTTCTTGGTACCAAAGTCCAGCTTGGCAGATAAACCGTCTCGTATAGCTTTCGCGGAGGACCAGACTGTCGCTTCCAGATTTGTGTTCATATCTGGCTTGGTTTGAGCCTCATTGATTTGTTCCCGAACTTTTGCAACGAGTTCCCCGTCAAACCTAAACGGCCAGTATGCCACGCTGTTGATCGCCGTCTTGTTCATATCGATGCTCGGATGTCCTGGCTTTTGAAATTGTCTCAGACAAACAGGTGTACCGCATAAGAATGCTGGAGCCTTGATTTCCGAAAGTCTTGTCGCCATTGATACCGCAATGAGCGCGTGCATAAGCCCTGTCAAAGTCGTGCCGTGCTGACGACAGGTGTCGAGCACAGGCTTCAATGCCCTTTTCGTAACTTTCATCGTCACCATATTTGTCTTGGATGGTTCTGTCGGTATTGGTGCCCAAGTTGCCATATGCGGTAGTTCCTTCGCTTTCATCCCAGAGATAATGTCCCGCCCGAATTCGCCGACGATAAAATGTAGGGAGACGGGTAGCTTGATCAAGTGATGCAATGCAGGCGTGAGTTCGGCGTTTGGGACCTCGAAGACGCGGTCTCTGAAGATCACGGCGTTGTCATCTGGTGTATTGAGACAAGTGAAAAAGCTGTCATGAAACATCTTGCCGCTTTTACCATCCGCTGGCGTATGATCCCAAGCAAACACCACGTCGATAAAGTTGGACTCGGCAGATTTCAGTATCGTTGCCCTCCAACCAGGCCGTGTCTCGAGATTCGTATAGGATTTGTTGACTTGCCATTCCAAGGCATCATGAAGTATCTTTTCGTATGTTTCTTGATCAGCGACCGTCCGCCATTCGATATGGTTATTCAAGTCGATTTGATCAAGGCGCACCCAGTATGGCTTTTTGGAGTCCACGTTAATTCGCCCAACCGTGAACAGCGGATGCTGGAGAATAGCGCGGGCGAATGCATTCTCAACAATATTTTGCAATGCTGCAGTATCCGAGGTAAGGAGTGCTTCGGGAATATGATAGCGACATGATATCGCGCATCCAATAATTGCTCCTAGTGAATGGTGGACAGATTGGAGGCATTCACTGAGCGAGATATTAGTTTTGGCTTTGAACGTGCAGGTAGCACTCACATAGGGCTGAGCTTCCTCAACACCTTGTCCTTGTCGTTTAGACTTTTGGTGCTCTTCTTGCTACGCAGGCGGCCGATCATGTTTATCGATATAGTGCAACTGCAACACTCGGCAGATGAAAGAAAGTTGAGTTTTTACGGATCAGCGAATTAAGCTCTTTAACTATAACCAGCAGAAGCATAACAAACACCAATTCTATACAAGGTTCATTAAAATAGTCAAACCAAGCACTGTCAGACGGTGACACGCTCGGCTGGCTTCATGGAAGTTGGACAGGGTTATTCAGCCAATCAGCTAGCCTTTTTCCGTTCGTCGTCGTGGCCCTTGTCCCTGACGCGGACGCTTGCGTGGTCGTGATTGGTCAATCATGGCTGGACTCATCCGTCGGGCTCCGCGGGCAATAGGCCCAGTGCGCGTTGTGGGATGATCTGGGACCTTTGATTGAGGCTGAGGGTGTCGCTTTACCCTACAAGGCTACGTATAGTTCGCACTCGGATAGAGTTGCCTGGAGTGTTTCAGGGGTCTGCTCAATCAGTTCATGTGTCGACATCTTCTATCACTAGAGCCTATTGGTGGATTGAGGCTTCGTTATCAACCTTGTTGGTGAGATATCTGCAATTAACCTTTAATCAGGCGATAATAAAGCTCAAGTACAAGCATCGACACGCGTCTGTTTACAAGTTATGCTCTTAGTTTGCAAAGTAAGCAGACGTAAATTTTGAGGTTGGCATTGACTTCGGTGGGTATAGGGTATTGACTTGACAGTGGCTGCCGCAGGTGAGCTCTGGATCACTGTACTCTGTAGTGTAGGTCATATCGAGGTGGGTTAGTTAATGATTCATCACCAGGGTTTAATCCAGATGATCTGAACTGACAGGTAGCCGCACATGGGAATGAGACTATTCCCTCAATTTTAAAGATAGACGTTCAAAGTTTTATTGCCCGGTCGGAGCGTTTCCAGTAGCGGCAAATACTGTCGGTAATCAAGCTCATGTACATAGTCACTTGTTCAAGTTGGACCAACTGATGTTCAAAAGTCCGCTTACGAAAGGGACACCAGAACTTTAAGGAGCTTCAACGGCATACCATCATTTGTGGCTCGGAGTCGTGTTGTTCTGATTCATGATAAACCTAATTGAAAGCATGCTCCCAGCTCCACTCCAGTTCCTCGTCACCTACTTGACTCTCTACGCTGAGTCAACACCCCCTACTCTACCGACGAACAGTGAACTCTCTTTACCTCTGCAATTGATCAATGTGTCCGGCTGTGCCAACGAACAGTGATACGTTGCCCAAATCCAGCACGCCATGACTGTCACACAGCCCACTGAACTCACGGTCTCCGTTCAGGTGTTCAGAAATCTTATAAGACAATTATTCGTGAGTAACGTGCTTCAAAGCGTCGGCGGCTAAGTTTAAGCTCGTCAAAGTACCTGAAATCGACAAAGATGGCGCCTTTGACGAAGCTGTTGCTAGTGTGCACTCATCTATTAACCCATTTCAAACTGACCTCGGAAAGGCTGACTGACGGTTAGTTGAAAGGGCGCAGGGCGTCATCCACTCAGCATCGATAAATAGTTTGAATAGGAACCCAGACACCGTTGTACCCAAGATGATTTCACTCCGGACCAGACCCTGAACGAATTGTTTCCTGACATCGAACCACCGACGTCTCGTGACATTTTGGGGACGTGCTGGGCCGATAAGAGAGAATGACTGTCGATTATAAGTTATGCTCTTAGTTTGTAAAGGGAGCTGACATGAACTTCACGTCCGGCATTGACTTCGGTATAGGGTATCAGTATTATCGTGGTGCTTCCATGATCAGCGGCTGGGGTTAAAATAGTCCATCCAATTGATCCGAATTGGACGAGGCGCAGATGTAAATAAGCATATTCATCAATTGAGCTCAAAGTATATCCGGTATGTTTGACGTTTGACGTTTCACGTTTCGCGGCCCGGCTCGTAAGCTTCCGTGGTAAGCGATGATAACGGCTTTCAAGCCCGTATAGGAAGTTGGCCGAGCTATATCATACTCTTAACGCAAGTGACTATCTTAGATATGAGCTCATCAAAATGCTAGATCATGCTGCAAGATAAGAACATAATTATTAGATGAGCTGCATGAGTTCCCAGATTTCTCCTCACTCAGTCTGACAGTGGATATTTAGACATCTATAAATAGACTCAACGGAACTTTCCATGCTTGCTATTGAGGTAATTGGCCAGATTCCCATGGCGTCCCCACAGTCCTGTCAATCTAGACCTGGCGTGCTTGAGTCGTGCCGCTCGTGTTCGGCATCTTGGCGATAACTTCGTCATTCTTCTGTTATCGATCTGTACAGTCACCAATCCTCCTATTGCCACACTATACGACAAATTCTCGAGTGCCCTTTACGCCACTTTCGCTAGATTTGTCGCAAAGGTGACGCTTAGAACTTGAGTCAGTTCAATTAAGGGACAGCCAGGGCCTTCATTCGCCGTAAGATAAGCTGGAACAGCGAATCCGCCACGATGTCTGACAGCTTCTAGCTCGCGGCAATATAAGCGAGCATGCGCTCGCAGCACCACTGCTTCGTCAACGTCCCAATACCCCTCCACATTCCTCACCAAGCTGTTCTCGACTACGTTCAAACATACGAACCCGTCTTACGACACAATCCCGGCATGAGATCTTGGGAAAAGTCACATCTAGACTATGAACTCGTCGCGAATGATCATTTCTTCGACTCATCAGATCCAGGCCAGAGTTTACGTTGTTACCAAGCTTATGAGGTAATGAGACTTGGACCCGGCGTTCAGAGGGATTTGAAATGGCCGATTATCTTCCAGAGGGTACCGAATGGGATAGTCTCGAGAGTTGATGCACCTGCGGGTGTGATTAGCTGGACACAGTGGTATGTTAGGCCAAGGCAGAGTGAAGCATCGGCAGAATCTGTTAGTACGCCTAGTACGGCTACACCATCGAGTTCGGGGGATGACGCGTGGGAGTTATATGGGATTGTGACGATTGAGGCTCATCGTATGTTGATGCCGTGGTGTGCTACCAAGTCAGAAAGCTATCAAGCTGCGATTGGACAGGGGATGGTGGATGATGTATGTTCAAAGTTTAGTTCTGGAGAGATTTCACGACAATACGAGATGCATTAAGTGCGTGCTCATGCTCACTCCCCGTTTGAACTCTGGCTTCGTCCTCCTAGCTAACATGAGTCATGCTTCAAGCCAAGGAAGCCTGCGAATGCCATCAAGTTTGATTACCCCAGACACCACTCAAGGGGCTTGAAGAGCATTACAGGACTTGGCACCTCTTCGGTAAAGCTCTACGGCGGGTTGGCTTCCGGGCCAACTCAATCTCCGCATTGCGTCGACGAACCAAGCCCGGAAGCCTTTGGCCACTGGCATATACCCACTGAGGTAGTTCCTGCGAGATGACCGTGTTGGGATCTTCCCCGTTGTTGAGACGTTCAACAAGAGTTGACGATTCAGCATTGCCGCAGCCCATGTTGAATGCCCAACTGATGAGAGCGCCATATTGGTTCCTGTTGAGCCTTGCTTTGCTGCTCAACATGGCTGTGATGCAGACTTCGAACTCCTTCAGAAGCGAGTTTGTTAGTGATAAAGACCCATTCTGCTAGCGATGATAACGAACCTCCATGTCATCTGCCAATAATTTCTTTCCATTCACCACAGAAAGCGGGATGGGATACTTTACTTCACTACACTGAGGCGCATCACAAAGATGACCGTATCCAACGGTTGGATTGCCAGTTGGGTCGTTATCTGCGACAGTCAGTCTTAGTCGAAGAGAACATCGCCTAAAGGATTTGACTCACAAACATCGGGTCTGAATCCCTCAAAGCTAGCGATGAGGTTGACAGTCGCCGCATTCGACTTGGGCGATTTACACGAACGGCACTTTGAAGTCACGTAACCACTTGATCCTGTAGCGACGTAGTAATCGGAAACATAACATCCGAACGTCGTCTTGTCCCAGAGGGTGTTGCCTTTGATGTTGGTGCCCTCCGTTTGGCAGGTGATGGTTACATCAGTACCCTTGGTGAACTCTCTCTGGATAGCGTGACTTGTAGTTGGACCGCTGCGACACCTGACGTCTTTGTCAGTGATGAGAAACGCGCTCGTGACTGAGATAGCCAGGACCAAGATGGTGAGGAAGTGGAGTGCCATAATGAACCGGTAATTGTGACTGACAATGACATTGGCAATGACGAACAAGAGGCTTGTTGGGTCTTAGCATGACATGATGCATGCGTTCTCTCTTATATCTGCAGACATTGTCAAAATTTCTGGACAGGACGTGGAGGGTCGGTCATACAGTCGCGGACTTACAAGGCCCGAAAGAGATACGAGCCTGTGAAGACGGGTAAACAGCTTCATTCAGACCATTGTCCATGCATAGCCGACAGGCGGAGAGTTTCCGGAAGCAGCGTTCGAAATAAAGATGTTTGTATTACCCCAAGCATGCGTTCCAAGGCTTTATTAGCCACAATGGTGGCTCAATACCGACAAGGGGTATGCAGTAAGCCTTGGCCTGCCACGTGCGAAAGGAATAACTATTTCTGGGGGTCAAGGACCGAAGGAACTGTCCTGGAATCTCAACACTTCAGCTTGGGAGTGAAGGGATTTGGAAAAGATGAATTGCGTGAGCCGTAGTGTCAAGAATCTCCATAATAGAGCATGGGCCTATGAGTACGTTGCTACAGAGGGAAATTGTATAAAACTATCAGTGGTGTGTAAATTGCATCTGCTTGGAATAATAATATTAACTGTCCGGCTCCGATGAACTGTCCTCTCTCACCTCCTTGCAATGCTTAGTAAACATAACGGAAGTTGAGGTTCTTCCTATCAGTAACATCAGAGATCTCAAGATACTCCGTCTCATCCCGAAGACCAGAGCTCGTCTGTTGAAGCTTATCGCGTCGCTTATTCTCAGCGATCAAAACGAATCGGAGAACAATCATGGTAACGGTCGAAATGCCGAAGCAGACCGAAGTCGCCAAGAAACCGCTCTATAATCCATGATGTCAGCTTTATTCCACATAAATACCTTGGTCTTAATGACTGGTCGACTTACCGAGTACTCGGGGGCCTCTCGGGGGAAGAACAGAAAAGGGCCGATGATGTTACCAGTTGTGTATGCCATGAACATCATCGCGGAGGCAACACTCTTCTTGGTAAAGCCAGCGACGTTGGAAGCAACCATTGACAAGGAAATGGGGAAACCAGCAGCAAATGCAACGAAGATCCACAGTCCGAAGAGTTGACTTCCTTGGTTGGGGCCGTAGCGAACAAGAAGCGAGCCAGCCAAACTATTACAGTTAGATGGTGAAGTTACACACGGTCGGAGATGCTTACCTGATCAAGCTGAGGCATGCGCCAATAATGGTTCGGTAGCCGTTGAAACGACTGCAAAGGTATGTGGAGCCGAGGGCGAAGAAAGCAAGGATAGCACCCATGGGCATGTTGAGAAGGTAGACCTGGAAACGGCTGAAGCCGAAGCCTGCCATGACAAGACTGCTGAACTGTACCACTGTTAGTGTACTGACATGCCGTTGGATCATATCGCTTACTGTTGTGTGTGCACCATTGGGAATGCTGAAAGCAATTTGGAAGACCATCAACAGCAGGACATTAGGGTCCTTGATGACCTCTCGGACCTGCTCCCACTTGAAGCTGTTGTTCTTCATACCAGTTTGGTTGCTTCGAATACGATCGACGGCATCGATGCGTTGTTGTTGATCGAGGAAGCGTGCGTTGTCGGGGGTATCGGGGAGGAAGATGGCTAGGACGATGGCCCAGACGAGGGTGATGAGACCGAAGATGATGAAGAGCCACTGTAGACAAAAGTCAGTCACCATGCAGGAACAAATTAGGCGGGATGACTTACTCTCCAAGCCTCGAGGGCACCACCAATATGAGCGATACCATAAGCCAAAAGACCTCCAAACGAAGTTGCAATGGCATTACCCAAGAACCAAATACCATGTCGGAAAGGTTGTTCCTCACGCTTATACCACATTCCAGTGATAAGGGAGAAGCCAGGCGAGATGGAGGCTTCTGCTACACCGAGGAAGAAACGAGCGACTAGAAGACCGGGGAAACTTTGGACTGCGGCGTGGCAGCAGAGGATAATGGCCCAGGCGAGACTGCGAAGCGTTAGCAGGAGTTTGTGGATATTCAGATAGTTGGAGGGTATTTACCTTGATCCAGCGAGGTATTTGCCCAGGGGCAGACGGACCATTAGCCACGACGCTGGGTAGCTGAAGGCGAGGTAGCCGAAGTAGAAGGCGCTGCTGCACCAGCTGTATCTTGATCCGACGAGGTCCTGACGATGTCAGTGAATGTTAGGTACTCCTCGATCGATGTATACTGACCAAGTCGTCGATGATGCCCATGATAGAAGCAAAGTTGAGTGACTGCTTGTCAAGGAACTGGAGTGTATATGATACGAGAAGAAGGGGCATAAGACTTGACACCAACGTTAACACTCTTCATCTCCACGTGTGAAGGGCTACTTACCAAAGATCGATTCTTCGAAGAACCTTTCTTCCTCTATAGTGGTTATCAACTCCCTCCTCCGCAACCTGCATCGACCCCTGAAGACTCAACGTCTCACCCATCTTAGCATCAGGGTCCTGAGCCGGGACGTTAATCTTATCTTCTTTATCAGAAGCCATAATGTTGAAGTAAACTGTAATAAATGTTGAACGAAAGAACAAAAGTTGAAGTTTGATGATGAGTTGGGAGGAATCGAAGCCAGTTAAGTAGATATCCAAGCGAGCATCTAGATCCAGTGGCTTTATCTCTTGTTCCCAACTTGGATAAGATATCTCCACCCCCGCATAAACTCCAGATAAGTCTGGGGATTTTATCTCAGCACTGACGTTTTGATCAAGGAGTGAAGTAACATTCAGAGGTTGAGAATTGAAGTCATTTCACTACCCGTTTAAAAGAGCCGTACTGCTAGTTTCTCCAGCTCGGATATCATCGTGTGATAATTGGTTGAGTCGGCAAAGTAAGGTTGAGGCGTTGCCGATTGGTTGACTCGGCTAATAGATAGTGTCGGCCATCTGTTGCGACAGACCCGACTTTTTGGGAATGATGCGCCGGAATGCAGGGGCGGAGGAAGGCGAAGTAAGTTATGGGGGATAGGTACGCTGATAGTTCCCCATCATGGTTCCGCGGCGGCGAGATAATGAAGATGCATTATTTACAATGTCAGAGACATGCATATGCAGGCTTGTCACATGGACGATATCAACAATTACTCGAAGGGGAATCACTACGCGGTCTCCCTTGCTACGACAGAACTCTAATTAAGATGACATAACAGTATAATCAAGGCTTCTTATCTCATAAATTAGGCGATCTAAAGTCTGTAACCAATCGGCTCAACATCCCTCTTAAACTCATCCCTCGCCTGATCCATCAACTCAGGCTGACGTAACATCTCACAAGCAGTAGCTGCTAATCCCTTTGCACAATCCAAGGCTCTCTCGAACGCTTCCCTCGTTCCAGCTGCTTCCGCAAATTTTGGTGTATGAGGTTGAATCATAGGATCGTCTGTTCCGACGGCGAACATTGGATGAATACCGGGGAGGCAGTATGTCACGTTGCCTGAGAATGTTAGTCGTGCTTGCAGTTGAGGACGTATTGGACTTACCCATATCTGTTGATGCACCCATTGGTGGCTGATTCGCGTCTCCGATGTAATCTCTGCCAAAAGCCTGCATGTGTTTTGTAAACTCGTTAGACATGGAGATATTAGGGCGAAGCTCCATATAATCTTGATCTCTGCTTCTTGTCAGCTCAAGTCTCTCCCCCAAAAAGGTAAACTCACGATTCACAGCTGCACTTGACTTCACACCCCGTCGCAATAGCCCCAGCCTTGAAGCAAGCCTCAACCCTCCCCGTAAGCTCCTTAATCTGATCAACACCCGCCGCTCTCAAATAATACTCCAAATTCGTCGAATCCGGAATAATATTCGGTTCAGCACCTCCATTCCTAATAACACCGTGAATTCTCTCTGTTGGTTGAATCTGCTGTCTCAGCAGTGAAATGTTCACATAAGATGAAACAACCGCATCGAGCGCATTCTTCCCATGCCAGGGCGTATTCCCCGCATGAGCATTCTGTCCCGTGAATGCCACCTTCATCTGCCTCCTCGCACTCGATCTCGCCGCCGAAACACCATCGATATTCTTCTCCCCCTGCGGCGACAACCTCCCTGTAGGATGAGCCATTAAACAAGCATCTACACCCTCGTAAGCACCTGCTTTTATAAGATGGACTTTTCCACCTCCGCCTTCTTCGGCCGGTGTACCGAGGAGACGAACGCGGCCGGGGATGTTGGAGGAACGTATTGTTTCGGCGGTGGCGATGAATGCGGCGATGGAACTTGTTGCGATGAGGTTGTGGCCGCAGGCGTGGCCTAGACCGGGGAGAGCGTCGTATTCTGCGTTGAAGACGATGAGTTTCCCGTTCTGGCCGGATTCGACTTCGAAGGAGGTTTGGATGCCGTAGGCGGAGCGTTTGACGTTGTAGCCGAGACGGTGCATGAGGTCGCAGATGTTGTCGTGGGCTTTGAACTCTTTGTAGTTGAACTCTGGGTTTTCATGGATCTAACATGTTAGATGAGATTTGTCGAGGCTGTTGGAGTGATGCACCTTTTTGCAAATGTCTGCCAAGTCCTGCTCATGATGAGCGACAGACTTGGAGATCTTCTCGTAAAGCTGCTCGTTGGAAGACATGTTGCCCTGTTCGTAATCACAATGGAGTTACCCCAGGAAATAACTACCCCGGGCTTGGCCAGCTTATAAGAGCTGTGTCTAGCTCCTGGGTCATGACACAATCCAGGCTGAATTCATGACGCCCGCCAACATGAATCAGGAAACTCCGCGAGACAGAAAGTGTCCCGCTATGGCTATTTTCGGCTAGTTTTTCTTACAGGGACCTTCAGGGGGTCTGTGTGGCAGTTTTCCGACGGGTAACGTAAACCGACGGCCACTAAAGTTAGCCGAGGGGTCCAATGAGAAGTTGGGGATGTGTTATCGCAGTTGAGGCTGATTATGAGGAGAAGATTTTCTCGGGGAGGATGAATAAGCTGAATGTCCTTCATATTGTCGATTTGTGTTGCAGGAAGAGATAATGAGATCGTTTGACTTGTCGAACCTGGTCTTGGATACAATGTAACTCGGATACACGGTTGTAGATCTTATGTGACAGAATATACAATGAAACGAGAGACACAAAGAACTTGGGAATAGTAATCAGGACTAGCTATTTCCGTACTAACACAAACTCAATTCATCGGCATCTTCCCCCGACATCCCTCATCCTTGGAACATCCCCCATGCAAACCATCTCAAATTTCTGCCATCTCCCCAATCCCCAATCCCCAATCCCCAATCCCAAAGCCCCCGCTAAGCCCAGACTTTAACGCCCTGAGGAAGAAAAAAGCTGATTCAGTTCATGTTGCATCACAATTACACAACATAAACGAAGTACACTATCCCATGTTATCTGCACAGCGCGTCTCTATTCCCGGGTCATATCTCCGCTCGCCATGCCCTCCCCCATCGCAGATCGCCGAAAAGCGCGTTCCAAAAACGGTACGCTCGGGACACAACACCCTCCTCTCCGATATCGCTACTCACAAAATATTTTCAGGTTGTTTAACATGTCGTATTCGAAAAGTCAAGTGTGATGAACAAAGACCTGTTTGTAAACGCTGTGAGAACAGTCCTAATAGGTGTGAATGGCTCGAACCAGGCCAAGCACTCAGTGCAAGGGGGAAAGGGGTTTCTAGTCCTGCGTATGGAAGTCCGAGGTTCCTTGCTTCGAGTGAATCGCCTGCGAGCTTTGACTCTGGAAGTCCTGCTTCACCGGCGAGTTATGAAGGACAACGGGTGAATTTATCGGCGGCGCATGTACCGCTTGCGAATTCGCTGCAGTTGAGTGAGCAGGACAGAGCGGCTTTTGCGTATATCCCTTACTCAACCATGGTGGTGAGTTATGGGAAACTCTGGCCGTGGAGTTGTTTCTCGTATATCTATGCGAATATCGCGAGTCTGTATCCTGGCGTGATGAGGAGTTTTATCGCGGTTGCGAATATGGAGTTACGAGCGAAGGATTTGCTTGAGGCGAGTGCGTCTTCAGAGAGGGCGAGTCGGCTTGGGGCTTCGGCGGCGGTGCATTATACACAGGCGTTAAAGGATTTGTCGTCGTTGTTGGATCGTATTTGTCAGACGCCGGAGCAGGATTGTGATATTGATGCGTTGTTTACGATGTGGTTTTTGATCATGAGATATGAGGCTTGTGATTCGGAGACTACGGGGGCGTCGTTGTTGCATCTTGATGGGATACGGTTGTTCTTGAGGCCGTATTTGCGGGATGATGGACAGGCGACTGAGAAGAAGTTGCCTTGCGTGGCTCAAGCAATGCTCCTGTACACATTGTAAGTCGACTTGCAGCAAGGATTGTCCTTGTGCTAACGGAGATAGATATCTTGATGCCGACTCAGCAACTGGCAACATGAACAGCGGACAGTTTTGTCTCGACTTTCTCTCCCGCGACGTTCATGACTACATCTCACATGAACACCTCTTCCTTAGTGTCCGATCAGCACTTCCTAAGATATGGGGTGAGCAATATCCTATATCCGAACTCCTCGATGATCTAGAGAACTACCGGCCCTTACGCCTCTATCATCTATGTCAAGGTTCCAAGCTTGAGCTCCTCAGACTAGCACGGTCAACAACGCACGGTGGATACGACGATCTGAAGAAACTCTGGCGACATGTCGAAAGCTTTGGTGACGTATGACAGCCCATACAGTCTAGAGATTGATATTTAACTAACGATACAGGAATTCGCCGACATCCTCCTCCTCGCCAAAAAGGCACCATCCTCCGGCGGCAAACGCCTCATGTGGACAGTCTACTCCGCCGCCCTCGACTTCCACGCCCTCCAAATCCTCTGCTCCAGCCTAGACACCTACAACGAAACCCCCTTCAAGCCCGAGCCCTCCCTATCCTACATCTTCACCGTCGCCACAAAAGCTCTCGAAGAAGATCCGCGTCAGGTTTACCGCTTTATGTGGTCACTCTCCGTGGCGCTCAGTAAAACAAACGGGCATAGTAGTCAGGTTTGGTTATCTACGCAGCTTGCTAAAGCGAGGGTTCTATTACCTAGATTTGGAGTTCCGGGGTTGATACTTGAGCAGTGTGGGGGTTTATGTAACGAGGGGACACAGTAACTCGTTTGTTTATTCTTGTATCATTTTGTAATTAACAGTTTATAGATTTGGCTTCTAAACTTCTATGTTGAAGGATTCTGTTAGGGGGAGAGTGCGGCTGCTGGAGCCAACGAAAATGGTGTAGTTTCCTGATTGAAGAGTCCAATCTTGCTTGACGACGTCCCAGACGCTGAGGTCACGTCTTGTGAGTTCGAATGGAATCTCGACAGATTCTCCCTTGCTGATCTTGACCTTTTCAAAACCGCGGAGTTGCTTGGGTGGACTATTCGGAATGGCAACGTAAAGTTGAGCGACTTCTTCGCCGTCTCGCTTTCCAATGTTGGAGACGGTAGCTTGAACGGTAGCAAAAGTACTCCAAAGATTGTCATCAGCAGCTGAAGCACTCGCCTCCTCAACCTTGAGTTCCAAGTCAGAGTACTCAAACTCAGTGTAACTAAGGCCATACCCAAACTCAAATCTCGGTGTAACATCCCGATCATCAAAGGACCGGTAATCAAGATACACACCTTCGGTAAAATCGCACTGCGGATCCTTACTCCCTTCCTCCAATCCACAAGGCTTATACGGAGTATAGTCGCTCTCATTCTTCGCCAACGTATACGGCAACTTTCCTGAGAAATCTGCCTCACCATAAAGAAGCTTAACAAGCGCCGCGCCACTATCTTGTCCAGGGAGATGAGCGATTATAGTCGCGGTGATGTTGGGATGTTCGATCCATTGATCAACGAGACGAATTCCTGCTGCGTGGATTGCAACGATCGTGTTGCGGCATTGCGACGCGACGTTGAGGATCAGGGCGTCGCTGAAGTCGTCGTGAAGACCGTCGCGGTCCCATCCTTCTGTTGCCATGGCGTTGATGAAGATGAGGCAAACGTCTGTTGCGCCGTTTACGTCGGGGTTGGAGGAGGTGAGATCCCAGTTCACCCAGCTTCCATCCTTCGCAGCCCTTTGTTGGATTGCGCTGAGGGGCTATGTAATGTTAGTAGGTTCTCAAGAGTGAGAGAGGAGACTTACATCGCTGATATAAGGCGGCGAATTAGCAGCTGCCCTACCTCCAGAAACAATAGTCCCTCCCTTGGCAGCTTGATCAAAGTGCTCTTCAGTCCCAAGAACAGCCTGTCCCATCTCCGGCGAAGACGTATATCCCAGTTCAAAAAGCTTATCCGTATTCTTCGTCTTGGCAACGGTAGCGTCATACCCAAAAACAGAGATCATCTTGGGCTTTGCCGCAAAGGGAAGAGTTTTGTTCTCGTTCTTGACCAGTACGTGCCCTGCGATAGCGCCCTCGAGCAAAGTTGCTCGTGATTCAGGGATGCGCGCTTCGACTTGTTCGTGGGGAAGGGAGAGGTTCTTCATTCCGATGCCGGGGGTTGGGAAGTCGATGTCTTGGCCGACGAGATACCAAGCAGCCAGGATTCTACCACCATCAGCAATCACTCACTCGGTGTTGGGAGAGACATACCTTGTAGCCATATCCGTAACCCTCTCCTCCTTAACAGTCCCATTCTCAACAGCCATTGTCAAATTCTCCCCCCAAAATCCCCCCATCGGCATGACCATATCAAGCCCCGCATTCGCACTCTCAAGGTTATGCTGCGCATTCCAATCCAACAAGACAAACCCTTCAAACTCAAGCTCAGTCTTCAAAATTCCATTCATGAGCTTGCTGTTCTCGCAGGCATATGTTCCGTTGACGCGGTTGTATGAACACATCACCGATGCGACGCCTGCTTTTACGGAGTCGACAAAGGGCCAGAGGTAGTATTCGTGAAGAGTCTTGTCGTCGATGTTGGAGGATACTGCTTCGATGCCGAAGTAGGGACGGCGGTAAGTTTCTTGTTCGTTTGCGATGAAGTGCTGGGATTGTTAGTGGTGGTGGTGGATGTGACGGGGTACTGACTTTGACGTTGGCGATGACTCCGGCGTCTTGATGGCCGATGATGGACTCTGCGCTGAGTTGGCCGGTCAGGTACGGATCAACTGAGAAGCCCTCCCAGTTTCGTCCACCAAGTGGTGTTCTTCCCAAAGGTCCAACATTGGGCCCAAGAAGAACGTTCACTAAACATGATCAGCCCACGAAACATGCCGCTTGGGTACTGGTACTAACCTCCCTTGGCCTTGAACTCCTTCCCCATATAGTACCCCCGCTGATACGTCAAATTCTTATCCCAACTCGCACCAACATGCAAAGCAGAAGGATACGAGTTCACAAAATCCGTGGCTCTCACTCCATTACCCGCATCATGTAGACACAAACCCGGCCATCCAAGACGCGGTATCGTACCAGTATTACCAGCACAAACATTATCAGCCGCGAAGCCACGCGTAACATTGACTTTTTCTTCAAGCGTCAATCGATCCACAAATTGGTGCGCTTTTGCGTATGCATCTTTCCAAATTCCTTTTCCAGTTCCTTGCGCTGTCGAGGGTTAGCGCGATCAGGGGTAAGTTTATTAGGCGGACCTTACGCGAAGGATACTCCTCTGGAGGAATCTCGGCGGGAAGAGAGAAGGAAGACGTGGCCTGCAGCGCAAGACACAAGAGTTTAGTCGACCACATCATGTCTGGAACTACCTCACAGATCCTCATCTTGAAAGAGCGGAGGTGTTGTTGCTCTGTATTTATCAGTTGATCGCGTTACCTGAGCTTTGTTGCATGAACAGCGAATAAGCCGGCGATTAACCGATGTGCCCCGTAAATACGTCATTGGACGAGGATTGCGGAAACTCCGTTGTTCACCGCCAAGAGATGGGGCCAATCGGAGGGCGGGCCGGTGGTACAGGGTATGTTGTGATGCTTTTTGGAGTTGTAACCCGGGGCCCCGGAGGATGATGTTCCCCCACGTGGAGTACTGTAAATGTCATGCTGTTTATTGAAGATCGTCAATTGAATGGGGGGTTTTTTTTCTTGAATTCATCTTGTTATAAGTTTATATTTTTACCCGGATGCAACGTTGCCGTCAAGAGTTCGTTTACTCCACCTGAATCGTCGCCGCCCTGTTTGAGTTGGCCTTATAGAATTAGCATTATTGAGGAGTAACTCCGTTGTCATGCGATTCGGTATCATAAATAAACACCTCAGTCCACTTGAGCTGTTATAGGTCAACACGACATGAAGTAAGGGACTCTCTCTAGACTAACTATAGAGAGAAACGACTGGTATTAGGAATTGTCTACTATGAGTATCGACACCACCACTTTCAATTGCTTACCATTATCGCTGATACTTGTACATCGACGTGGCACGTTGAGAGCAATATTAGATGCACTTTCATTGCAACTCGACGTCCGAATTCTCCGGTCTCGAAAGTCCGAATGCCATTAGGCTGTAGATCTGATATCCCGAAATCTCCTGCCGCCGTTGACGATTGATATGAACCCGAGCTCTCGCATCATGGGGTCCAAGTTACACAAGGACGGAAAACTCGGACTTTTCTTCGCTCTGTAAAATGCGAGCGGCGCAGCAACCGACCTTAGCCGATACAACCCTTTCTATTTCCAAAGTGAGGCTGTAGTCGTCGCGTCTATCACTGGCAAACAGCGCGAAGCGAACGGCATGTAAGACGTAGTTGGCTGAACACATTGCTCTTTATTCGCCTAAGCAGATCTGCTGATGAACGCCTTCGATTTTGAGGCCCTCCAAAACGCAACTCATTGATGTCAAGATAATCAGGCTCTGCCTACACAATTGTGTGGACCAATCAGGTGACCTTATATTGAGATCGTTCTAAGGCTCTTTGAAGCACATTCCAACTATGTTAAGTCATTATAAATTGAAGTTTCTATCTCGTATCATAATGCTTTGTTCTATCAAGCTCGCACATAATACGCCATGGCTACTGTTGGCCCTTCAGAACTTCGTTCGGTCTCCAACCATGCCGAATCAGCGCAAAGCTCTCGCTCGCCAGACCCTCCCACACAGTCAAGATCCTGTCGAACAGCATCTCCTAACTCACTAAGAGGTCTCTCATCAGGACAATGTCTTACCAGGATCCAAAGCCCTGGAAGAAGCAACGGGCGATATTCGCACACCTCATCAGTATTTTCGCCCAAGTCCCCATCTCGAGCATCCTCACCAGACAGTAGTCTGGCTAGCCCTGTCAAGGAGCCTAGTGCCACTGGTGTTGAGGCCAAAGAATTACAACCGGACCTCCCCAAGGCACCGCAACATTTCTCAAGAGTTTTCAGCATCCCTAAAGCCCTTTTTGAGATGCATGATAGCTACAGAGAATGGCACTTTAGCATTGCACCTAAGCAGAATGTGCAAATGCTGTTGATGGATCTTAATGAAGAAACAAGTCAGCGAGAAAAAGCTGAACAACAGGTTAGATATCTCACTGAGCGTCTAAGTTCAGGCGCGGAACCAGGACCTAAGATTCAGCCCTCGGTACGGCAACAAAGAGGTTCAGAAGTAGAGAAACATTCTGCTTCGAAACCACTATTTTTTAAAGAGCGAGACCCAAGACGAAGGGGGTTGATTGAGAACAAAGAGAATAAGTCGTTAGAAGAGAGGTTCAAATTACTGGTGGATTGGAGTGACCAAGTCCAGGAGGACAATGACGTGACTCAAGACGGCAATAAATTGCTTCATGATCTACTTGACGAAGCAAGCAAAGAGATTAGAGAACTGAAGGCGAAGGAGAAGGTGTTGGAGGGTGACAAAGCAAGACTCGAAAAGCAGCTCGAACAGAGCCGCAACCAGAGGGCCTCTAGGCGCGACAGCTATACACAGACTGAAGGGGCATACCACGAGTGGATCGCTGAGCTACAGCGAGGAAGTGATCGACTTGGTCAGGAAAACACTGAGATGCGATCCGCTCTCGAACAACCTCAAGACGAAGATAGCCCATCAGAGGAACAAGAGAGTCAGGCAATGAAGGCACAGACAAAAGAGGAACAAACGAAGACTTCAGCTCCCGGGGAAGAAATTGAGGGCGCGGATAATGAAATGGGAGGCATTGCACGAGGACGTAATTCAACGACACCACAGGACACCGCTACGGAAAACGAAGCCTCAACGATGCCAGTTGCACTTCCAGTCAGGTCGGAGACAGCAAGAACCATACGAATCGACATACAGCAGGGTTTCAACAAAATATTAATTGAGATTTAAGAACGAATAGCGATTATCCTAGACAGCAAGAACCATACGAATCGACATACAGCAGGGTTTCAACAAAATATTAATTGAGATTTAAGAACGAATAGCGATTATCCTAGACAGCAACGAGATAGCAGATGACGAGAACACCAAAAGCGACGACAGCAGAAGGAGTTACAAAGAGATGAAGGACCTCGTAAACGCCGTCTCCTCCCCGGTCTCAAGTATGGGCAGACAAAGCGAAGTCCATCCCAAGTCTATCGCAAGCGGCATAGATCAAGTATTTTAAACGCCATGAACGTCGAACCTTGATGGATTTCTTTCAGTTCCTGAGATACATGTTTCCTCGCCCCGCTAAGCGATCATAGCGGATAGAAGTTAAGTTTGCCACCAATCCTCTGATCTTGTTTCTCTCTAGGTAATGTATGTAATCATTCTCTGCAGGACCTACCCTGTTATCGCTCCTTTAAGTCAGCCTGGAAGTCAATTCTTTACGTACGGAGGATGCGATATCGTTTCCTTTCTCGGATTGTATTTAATACCTCTTATAGATTGATACGTAACAAGAGAGGAGATTCTATTGTCAATTCAACACACCAGATTGACTAGGTGTATTGATCATCGTATTCCCATTCTGCTGTTGACGTAAATGCGCAGTCAGCATGGAGTTCAGCCCTGGCCTGGGCGGGAACGCGCGGGAACATCCCGAACTCTATAGTGCGACGTTTCATGTAAGGCCGATAAGCAGTAACCCCCAATCTCATGTCAGTGATCAATCCCGCTTACCTCAGACGGCGACAACCATCTCGAAGGAATTTCCCGATCTAGACATCCCTCATCTTTTTCGCTTTCGCATTGGATCCTTCAAGGCACCGCGATGGAACCCTCCTACTGGCTGTCTCCGGTGCACAATCTCTAGCAATCGGTAATGAAGAACTAAGTTTGCTATTGAGAAAAGCCATTGATACCATTACGGCCCTCGTTGTCTTCTGTTTGACGTCCCAAGCCGCTAAAAGATGGCATCGCCCAACCCCGCAAGCCTTACGCCTCCACTAATGAGAATACGGAAGTAGGCTGCGATGAACCAATAAGGTGGCATTCAATGCACATGCAAAATCCCAGCAAGGTCGGCAATTCCCTCTCAGAATAGAGTTTGCTGTCCTCTTACCGATTGTGCCGTTGATAAAGTGTATAAAGACCTGTTACGCCTCAAATCTTGTCAGCACATTTTCCTCCTGCAGTTAGCGATTATGCTGTCCCGTATAATTGAGCTATCGGAGCGCGCTCCAAAAGGCTTCACACTAGCTCTAGCCTTCTCAATCCTCAGCGCGCTTTACCTCCTCCGACGATTGCTTCTTCCAAAGCCAATCCCAGGCATTCCATATAACGAAAATGCAGTCAAATCCTTCATGGGCGACATCCCCGAGTTCAGAGACGCTCCCAATCGTCGAGAATGGTGGGCTCAGCAACCTGCTCGGCATCAATCACCAATTGTTCAGGTCTTCATGCGACCTTTCGGCGCACCGTGGGTTTTCGTGGCGGATTACTTTGAGGCATCGGATATCTGCATGCGTCGATTGAAGGAGTTTGATAGGAGTAATGTGACGTGGGAGCAGTTCAATGGTGTTGTGCCAGGACATCACATCACGCTGAAATCGTCGGATCCGAAGTTTAAGAAGAATAAGGAGTTGATCCGTGATTTAATGGCACCAAGCTTTCTTCAACAGGTAAGGAGACACATGCTATACGTCAGTGTGTTTGCTGACTTAGATAGGCCTCGGCTCCGGAGATCCATGAAAAGTTTAGTAGTCTTCTTAAGCTTTGGGATCGTAAGCTGGAATTGTCAGGTGGCCGACCATTCGACATAGCTCAGGACATCCACAATTCAGCACTCGATATCATCCTCGGTGCTTCCTTTGGCATTGATTCTGGAGACGGACAAATTGGCAGGCAACTCCAAGAGCTCAAGGCGAGAACCCTATCAGGTGGACAAGATGACCTCTTCGAGTTTGAGGATGTTCCGCTCGATAATGAGCAGGGCTGCTTCACGACTCTTGCAGACAGTGTCGGCCTGTCCATGAGATCGCCCTTGCCCACCATTCACCACTTTCTCTACCGGAATCTGTCCTCCAAAATGCGACGGGCGAGGGCGGGGCGTGATAGATTGAGGGATCGTGAGATTGGCAAGAGCATCGAACGAAGAGAATCAGGCCAACCACAGCGCTGTGCCTTGGACAATATGCTTGCCCGAGAGGATGTAATTGCGGAGAAAGAAGGACGTAAGCCGAATTATCGCAGTCAAACTATTATGAGCGAGGTATGTTACTGTTTGTTATGTGAGTGGAATTGGCTAATTGTCGGAAGTTGATGGGATACCTGGTCGCTGGACATGAGACGACTTCAGCTGTTCTCCGATGGGGAATGAAGTATTTAACTGCCAACCAGCGTGTACAATCACTGCTTCGTGACGCTATCCGAAACGCACACGCAGAAGCCGTAAAGCAAAACAGAGTCCCGACAACTGAGGAGATTCTCAAATCTCATATCCCATACCTCGACGCTGTCATCGAAGAAATGCTAAGGCACTCACGCGTCGCCCCAGTCACCGTTCGACAAGCAACCACTGACACTGAGATCCTCGGAAGGTTCATTCCCAAAGGAACAACAGTTGGCTTCCTCGGCAATGGCCCTGGCGTCATGATGCCTAGTATCCCAGTCAACACGGAAAAGCGATCTGAAGCTGCTTCGGCGCACATGGGAAGGACACAGCTTTTTGATGAAGAGGATCTTGGGCAATTTGTTCCTGAGAGGTGGCTCACGACAAATGTTAATGACAAGGGAGAGGAGGAGACGGTGTTTGATCCTCAGAAGAGACCGGCGCAAGCATTTGGACTGGGTCCACGTGGCTGCTTTGGCAAGAAGCTCGCTTACATCGAGATAAGGATATTTCTTACCCTTTTCTTCTGGACGTTTAAACTGGAGCCGATCAAGCCTGAGTTGGCGACGGAGGATGAGATGCTCGCGTTGACGCGGTCGCCGAAGAACGTGTATGTCAAGTTAGCCAAGGTTTGACGCTATATTGAATTGAACTAGAGCTATAAAGCAGCATTCGGGTGTACGACTAGATAAATATGTAGTGTAATGGCAAAAAACATACAACAGCGGGTATTCGCTAGTCGTCACCGTCCTAACTACTAATCCGCCCCTTATCAGCTTGTCTATGGGAGAGCAGACGGGATCCCGAATTTTCTGATAGGTGTGGTCGTATGTGATTGAACGAGCCCGTAATTATTGTTATCCGAGATTGTTTCGATGACAGTTCACCAACATCGGTTGTGTGATAAGCAGCTCTCGATATCCACCAGAACAATACTTCAAGCTAGACCGCCCCAGGGTTCTGATAGGTATATTCTGGAGCTCCACTCCACTGGAGATGTCCATTACTTCCAAAGAAATGCCTAGTATCGCCCAACCATCCGCTGACATATGATCTCTCAAGTCCCTTTCGCTGCTTCTTGCCCTGGAACCTGCCCTCCAACCAAGCCATCCAAAGGCTTCGAACACCAGAGATGATTGGAGTGTGACCAAACTTATCGACATACATGTAACTCAGTGAGCTGTTGGGGTACAAACTGGCCGTGTTCCCGACAGTTTCGTTGGTAGTCGAAGCTGCGATGAAGACATCCTCGGAACCTTGGATTACCAAAAGAGGACCTGCGAATGGCTTGTTCCCGACAATTCCAAGCTTGTCAAAGGCAGCAGCGTGGTAAGAAGCGTTATACCAGTCCTTTTTCTCAAATGTACTCTGCGATTCAGTAAAGAATAGTTGCTGCCCAACTGCAACACTACCCCCGATCTGCTTCATCAACTTCTGCCTCGTAACACCCAGTGGGGTCAACCATTGACTGGGGTTGAAGTCAGGAAAGATACTCGACAACGCCACAGATGCACTGTAGCTGCTGAAGAGTCGGGGAGTAGACAAAGGTTTTGTGACGGGCGCAATCGAGATAGTGCCCACGTATCCCTTCAGAAGGTCCTTAAAAGCTCCTCTGCCACTGGTATCTTTTCCTTTGGCTAGCGCCTCCGCTGCACCCCAAGCAATCCCACCGCCTTGGCTATGGCCCATAATGGCGAACCTACCGCTGAGACGGTTTCTGAAAGCCTCAAGGGCTGCCTCCATCGCAAAGAGAGTGTCTTGTGCACCAGCAGGTGTTGCAAAGTACTGATGCGGAATGTCACTTCCATCCCATGCCTTGTCTACTCCAAGACCCGCAAAGTCCGGTGCAACAACTGCATAGCCTTCTTGTGCAAGAGAAAGGGGTACGACATTCTCGTAGTAGAGACCACGATGAGCGGAAGGTGCAGAGTCGATGAAGAAACCAGATGTTCCATGGGCCCAAAGAATAGTGGGCGCTCTACCACCAGACCCTTGTTCGAATTGACGGGGCAGAAACGGCCACAAGATATACGCACTTGCAGGAATAATAGTTCCGTTAAAGTTACGAGTCGTATAGAGGATTCTGCTAAGGGACGATCCAGGTGCAATGGAGAATGGAGCTGGGTCCGTTACTTCCTGTACTTTGAGAATCTGACCAGGTCGAAGGTCAGTCGGTTTATCAGGAAGGTTATAGAAGTCATCTTGTGTAGGACCACCGTTTGCAAGACTGGATTGATGAAAGTTGATGACGGTGTTGATACTGCTGGCTACAGTCTCTGAAAGGTTGGCTTCTCTGATCTGAGCTGGAGAGAGGGAGAATGATGAGTTGAAGCCTGTTGAGAATGGCAATGCTGGGGAAAGGTTTTGGGTCTGGATAGCTCCAAAGAATGACGCTGAAAGTAGAACTGAGAACGTTGAATACTTCATATTATTGTCTTGTTTCGTGGGATCACGACTAGAACACGACCTGATAGAAACAGGAGAAATGATTAAACTATTGAGCAGAGCAAAGGTCTTTATCAAATTCTTCTCCCTTTCCATCATGACAAATCAGCGAGCTTATTCACGTCATATCTTTATCGAAGGATCTATCTAATGTAACGAGATTCTCGTCTCAATGTATCTATGCTGACAAACTCAGGTAATATGACATTAAAACCCGCATAAAGTCCGCACAGAATCCGCTTCAGATCCGCAATGCACTATAGCCAAGAGTAAGCCTTGTACACCGCGAACAGTAAGCATGTCGTTTACTAGTTATGACCATGAGCGACAAAAGAAGCCAATGTTTTCTCTATCATAAGATGAGTTTGCATCATTCTCTCATTCCCTTCGCCTCCAATTGTTTCGCCAACTTTTCTTCCTCCTCATATAGATGATCATGCGATCCTTCGGCGACAACAGTAGGATATAACGCTTCCATCGGCACTTCTCGCACGCTGACCGAGTTGCTCTCTTTGTTTCCGATAAGCATCGCCTCAATGATGTTTCCATCGCCGTATTTCTCTTCAGTTAGAACCTGGAACATGACATTGGCGCATTGCTCTGGGGTAAGTGTCAGAGTGTCAGGTCGGACTCGATCACGGCAATACTCTGGATGAAAGATGGGCGTCTGGGGATCTGATCAGCGAGATCTCAATAGCAGTTGACAGCCGGAGGATTCACTCACGTATACAGCACCAGGACAAACAGCTGCATTCCGAATGCCGAATCGCTTGCGTACCGTCGACAGTGACTTCACAAAACTGACAATAGCTGCTTTGCTAGCGAAGTAAAGCGGCGTCTGTAACGAGTGAAGGTAACCTCCGCAGCTGGCAACCCAAAGGAGGTTACCTTGCACGTTACGGTTCAGAAGCCAGTAGTCCATAGCAATCTGAGCCAATCTGATAGGCCCCAATGCGTTCACAGCAAAGGTCTTGTACACTCCCGGATTACCGTCAGCCTTATCTTCAGATAGAGGCGAGACTCCGGGAGGATTCCAGAAAGTGCTTGATGGAGGTTCGTAAATGCCAGCGCCATTGCAGACGATGTCGATCTGTCCAAGCTTCTCAAGCGCTGCGTCCCATAAAGATGAGATTTGGGCCCAATCGCTAACATCAGTCTTGTGGAAGTGAACAGTGGGCTTGCTGTCCTCAGTGATCACCCATTTGTTGACGAGCTCCTCTGCTTCAGGGCGGAGCTTGAGATCAGCTATAATAACAGAGCATCCATTTTCAAGAAGCTGTTTGGCGAAGGCAAGACAAATTCCTAGAGCGAGGTCAATTGTCCATTTAATGAGATGAGACGAGACGATAAGGAACCATGGCATACCTGAGCCTGCGCCAGTTATAATAGCATTCTTGCCCTTGACGTCGTAGACAGACATATTGAATAGCTTAAGTGAAGGAAGAAACAGATGAGACAATAAAGCGAGGGGTAAAAGTAAAGATCGCTACTTCGTGTTGAGGGACGTGCTTCATTTCTATCCTTGTTAAACCCCTCAGTACCCTTGAGTTCAGCTCGTGGTCAACGAACCCTGGCATTCTGAAGCTGCATGTCTGAACTTTGTCACATTCTATCTGGTGCTTCCCGTTAGAGTCGATCTTCGACACAGACTCCTCTCAGCCTGAACCTACAAATCGAGGCTTGAATATGTAGATGCCATTACCTTCTCCTTTTTAGTGCGAGAAAATGGCAACAACTCGTTTTTTCGAATCGGTTTCAAGGCGCTCGCTCAAGACCAAGTGAATGATTGGCGGTATCTTACCAGCCAACAGATCATACCATCAGGCCACACGCATACTGCCAGTCCCCCATGCGCTCCCCTGACGCTCGTATGCATGCCCTGTTACGAAATACTCTGTCATTCGTGCACAAACCAGAGAGTAGATTGAGATTACCCACTTCGGGTACTCCCTCGCGTTGGTTCCGGGAGACAACTGACCCCGATACAGGGGCAAAGGATTCGTGGCTTGCAAGGGTACCAGATCTGTTCAAATCCAGTCTGGGGACGGAATCAATGATTCCCAGGCCGAATGTGCCTAAAGGAAGCTCGATTAGTATTTTTGATCAACAGGCCGTTAATCAAGACAGATCGCAACGTATATTACAGAAGAATTGATGGCTTGATTCGACTTACCGTTGTCTTGTTATCTCTTCTCTCGTCGACGTCTTGTTGGCCCTCCCAGCTAGTAAACTTTAATTCTCATCACCGGGAACTGATGCTGGTCTTCCGATGCATAATTGGCAGCATTTTGGCTAAAGCTCGACACATCAATAGGGCTGGTCATCCAACCGACAACGGTAATTACTCGCGGATTTATGAGCTCTATAGCTAAGTACTCCTGTATCCTTTGATATCTGACATCCAAAAACTCTTTTTTTGTATTATCCTACATCAAGCAGTCGAGCTTCACGATATAGCACCTGCCTATTATGGCAGATGTTTCGGAGACATGGCACACAGTCAAACCGGCGGGTCTTGCTGCAGCTCTTCTCGCTATCACCATCATATTCACGCCACTGATATTTGTTGTTGTCGGCTTGAGAATATGGGTCAGGGTGACGCATCACTGTTTCGGCCTTGAAGATTGGCTCATGTGCATTGGAGCGACTCTCAACTTGGTGCACAATGGAGTTGTTATCTGGGGCAGTTTTACCGGTATTGGAACACCAGACTCAAAGCTCAACACGGCTATGGTGATGGAAGGCTTCAAGGTGCGTTTTCCAGGCGTGGGTAGTGCCCTTTTTAATCGTGCTTTTAGGCCGTGACATTTTGGCAGATCTTCTACGTCAGCAGCTCCCTCTTCATCAAAATCTCCATTTGCGCTCAGCTATTGCGCGTAACAGATAACCAGAGAATCAAGATTTTTCTTTGGGGCTTGATAGCTTTGACAGCCCTCATTACACTGACAGCGACAATTATCGGCCTAGTCAGGTGCAGACCGCTCAGCGCATCGTGGGACCCAAATACAGGAACATGTCTGGATCAAGGTATCCTCTCAGTACTGACCTACGTTGTTTCGGGCATCAATATCGTGGTGGATTGGTCTGTTGCTATAGTACCCGTCATCATTCTATGGAATATCCAGATGCACAGGACTCTGAAGACCATGGCGAATGTAGTAATGGGGATTGGCGCTTTGTAAGTCTTCAGCCGATACATGATGGTTCTCACTGACACACCGTAGGGCATCGGTGGCAACCATTATTCGGCTCCCGTACTCTCCAGCGTATTCTCAGCCCTCTGATCAACTCTGTAAGTTTGGCTACATAGGTACAAAGTTCAGAACTGACGATGTTCCAGATGGCATCGGAAACATCATTTTATGGACAGTCGTAGAATGCAGTCTCGGAATTATCGCCGGCTCAATGCCCATGCTTCGAAAGCTCTTCAAGGCGCTGCGCAAAAACGACAGTTCATATGCCAGAGGCACTGAAGACATCAATCTCGTCACTATTGGCCAGGTTCGTGGGAAACACCATCCCATTTATGATGGGGATGTCAGAGCTACTGTTGCTGCTGGAGAGGATCGAGAGAGCGACAGGGATGATGAGAGCACAAGGCAGATAATCAGGGTTACAAAAGAGTTTGAGCAGATATCAGTGATTGAAAAACCTCCTTCTGGATATTAGTTATCGCTATCTCGGAAAGATAGGTCTAGGTAACACAGCAAAAATAACACCTTTTGATACACTTGTACTGGTCATCCTCAGAGTCACCTTTGAGTCTCTTCAATCATTTGTTCGACATATGAATGGCAGTATCCTCAAATCCAACCCATGATATGACACAAGTGGCAGAGGAATGCAAAGGAAAGAATCAAATGACAAGCAACAAAGTGACTTGCCTATAAAGGAAAAGGGCAAAAAAAGATTCTGTGTATTACAGATGGCGACTCTCCCGCCGGGAATTGAACCCGGGTCTCAAGCGTGACAAGCTTGCATACTGACCACTATACTACGGAAGACGAAACAGGCTTAACCTGCTGTAGTGAGAGGATTCGATGGAAGCTGAACTGCAAATAATGTATATACAGGGCTTGCATCCGTTCTCAGCGCTTACGTTGCCACATTATTCCAATTGAGATGTACAGGAACGCTTCTATTAAATTGTTGCTGCTTCTTCGTCTATTGAATAGTTTATTCATTCCTCATTCCTAATTTGAAGGTACGCATCTGCGTTCATTACCAACTTTCTAAATGAAGGCCCGACAGACCAACATCCTAAGTTCCCAACATGCTCCTGTGACAGTCAGTATAATTAATTCAGGCAAGAAGACAACGAACATACCTTGGCCAGATTCACGAGATCAACAGTTCCATTAATTGGGTCTGGCTTCAACGCATCTTCCAGCGCATACGGCCACTCGCACCTGATATGCATGGACATATCCGCAAGCCACGCCATACGCTCTTGAAGTTGCGGGAACTGCACTACCAGCTCGCGGAATGCGGGCCAGAGGACGAAATCAGCCATGCTGATATGAGGTGTGAAGAGCTGATTTGCACTGTCGCGTGTCAATAAATGTCGTGTTCCAAGGGATTGGAGAAGTCTCACGTTGGTCTGATCCATTCTGGCATCGCGGCATATGTTTCTGGTGATGGGTCGATCATCCATCGCATCATGTACCAAAAGACATTCATGGATGCAAAACAGGTAAAATCATATCCTAGGCCAACCATCAGCTTCCGCCACAATCCCTTGAAGGACGTACTAGTTACCCTGACATTTCACGCTATGAACCATGCGAGCTGCCCATTGAGATAACAAAGACGACCTGTCGAACTGCTCCTGATCGTACAATGCCGCAATATTTGGATGGTCTCCGATGACTCGATTTACAGGCTCGCCTTTCTTTAGTAGACTTGTGGCCTTTTGGTAAATGTCGCTGAATGCGTTGCTCATGTCCCCCGGGTCCAGTTCGGTGTTGAGTGTCGTGGCAGCCCAATTTGGCACGAAGATGTTGCGTATTTGGGCGTCTTGTATATGTCGAGGATATCCATTGGCTCTGATACTATTCGATAGTGCAAGGTTTCCAAAGTGGTTCTTGTAATTCGGGTGAATTCTGAGCGCTGTGTCTTGAAGCTCCTCCTTTGTTGCGTAGACTGGACTACTCGGTTTCGTTGAGAGATAGCTGTTTGGGATGCCATCTTGCACGTTCGTTGTGATGTTCTCTGGTATTTCAAAATACTCGTTGCTAACACTCAGATTCGTAGAGCCTATATCTTGTGGCATAGGTGTAGTGATGGAGGTCGTAAGAAAGTAATCGTTGTGGTTGAACAGCGGCTGGAAGAACAAACTTCTGCTTTTCGTCGTATCCGTGAGCACATCCTCGCGATAGTCCTGTTGATTTGAGACAGGTAACTGTTTGATTGGAGCCTTCCTGGCCGACGGCATTGAGGATTGAGAATATGAGATCTGTGATGAATAAAAAAGGGTGTCGTTGCTACTGTCTATAAAAGACTGGGAAGGTTGTTAGTGCTTAAGGAGCTGAGTGAATTTAAGGTTTCATACTGGAGTGTTGATTTGGGCATGTTCAGGTGACAGCTCAGTAGACGAGTAGTTAGAAGCAGAGAGTATGGAAGAACCAGCGGTGGAAACTGCCGATGTTTCAGCCTCCATTATAATGTAGGAGTCACCATCTGAAGAAGACTCTTCTTGCTGCATGATTGGTATCTCTGCATTGAGAGATCCGGACTCCTCCACAGCAAACGAGCACGGATCACCTATCCCTGGAGTGCCACTGGCAACCCTCCCTAGTGTTGTGTCGTTCAATGTGGTCGAAAGTCGTCCATTATCCGCATCGCCAATCTCGAGGTTGGTGCGCTCACCGTTTTCCAACAACTGCTTTATCTCGGTCGGTTGTTTGTCATCCTCCAGCAGTCCTGACACAACATCTCTCAAATGAGCAGAGCCATTGGCCATCTGCCTCAGCAGCAACTTGGCAGCTTGCAACTCTTCTTCAAGCTTCTCGTTCGCCTTTTGTAAGCCCCTGACTCGCGACTCCCTAATATCAGAATCATATACGCATTCTCGGTCGTATTTCGAGCAGTTGACGCAAACTGGCTTTTGTCCATTGCACTGCCTGATGCGTCAGTCTAGGATACTTATGTTGACCCCTCTGCAAGCAATACCTTTGCCTTTCGTTTCCGACATTCCCAGCAGGCTGATTTGATGATTCCAGATCGCTTCGACGCAGCTCGCTCAATGAGAGTCCTCGGAAGAGCTGTACCTTCTTTTACAGGGGCGGCCCTGATAGGTCTGTACGGCAATGCCATAAGTGAGTTCGTTGCGAGGCGTCACTGAGATAATCGTGAACTTTTCGATTATGTTTGATGTTGTTCAACTGTGTGACAGGACAAATATGTCAGAGGGAAGCTAAGGGACCAAAACAGGGGGTTCAACAAATTATTCAACGGTTATGATATCATAAATACAGTGGATAAGGGTATCCGGAAACATATCCAGAAATGGTGATTGGGCGAGAAAATTTCAGCCTCTTCGTCATTTTAGCAGCACTAGGGGACTATGACGTGGATAATCTCAGACAAAATACTGAAATATTGAAAATTATGTCGAAATGGAGCCACGGGAATAACCCTGCTTACGTAGCTTCTGGAGAAGGCCCTGTCTACTCATCCCTTGCTTAAGACCGTTTCTTCTTAATCGACTTGCGCTCCATAGCAACCGCTCCAACAATGCTCAACAGCGCCAGTGCCAATGGGATATATAGCGTCTGGACAACAGCATTCTCGTAGCCTGACAACACGCTCTTCAACCTATCGGGTCCAATTGACTCCCTCAACTTAGATAGACCCGCTTCTTGAATATGGGTAGTGTTAGTCCCCGGAGCAGCATCCTGGATTTCCTTTGACAAACGGTCTTGGAATAATGTTGCAGAGGCGCAGATCCATAAGGCAGAGCCCATTCCTGCCCCAAAGGTGATGACTGCACCACCGAGAGACACGTCTTCGATGGGGAGAACGGCTTGCAAGGCTACTTGGGGACCTTGAAGACCGAGACCGACTGCTAAGCCGAGAAAGGTGAGGAGGCCAACGGCTTTGGCGATTTGTTCTTCGAGATCGAGAGTGGTGAGAAGGCCGGATGCGATGGGTGTGAGGACACTCGTAGCCAACATGAATGCTGGTGACTGTCAGTATTGGTTCAAAGAGCCGAGAGGAGACTTACGGTAATAGTATCCGATCCATGTAGTTCCAACACCAGAAATGATGAACGCGATAGCCAGGCCGCCGACCATAGGCAGTGCAAGCAAACCTGCCTTTGTAGGTGAATACCCACGGACGCCCTGGAAGTAGATAGACATGTAGTACTCAGTCACGGCCAAAACTCCTTCACAGCACGCCCCATACCACATCCCTGCGATGATACTCCTTTGCTTCAAGATCCTTGGCGGTAGCAGAGCATTGTCACCTTGACGATACTGCAAGTATCCAAACGCCACGAATAGAAGAGCGCAAACAACAAGAGGAAGGATAATCTGCCAGCTTCCCCAGCCAAACTTTGTCCCTCCCCATTGCAGTGCCATGAGGAGGAAAGTAATAGCCGGTACAGCTAGCAACGTGCCGAAGAAATCAACCTTCTTGATCTTCTCCTTCAGGGTAAGAACAGGCGCATCATTGCGCGGAGGCTGTTCATGAACTCCATAAGCCGTTAGGACAAGACACATAACACCAAGAGGCAAATTAACACCAAAACAAGCCCTCCACGAAAACGCATCGATTAACACACCGCCAATAGTAGGCGCAGTGATAAGTCCAACACTCTGAATCGAGCCAAAGAAACTATTGGTAATAGCCTGTTTGGATAGTGGGAAACATTGACGAAGGAGTTTGAAGAGACCGCCATTAATGGCACCTCGTCCAAGACCGCTGACTGCGCGGCCGAGGATGAAGATTGCGGAAGAGGGTGCGAGAGTACAGATCAGAGAGCCGATTTCGAATGTTGCTATGCCGATTAGGAAGACGGCTTTGATGGAGAAGAGGGTGTAGATCTGGCCGAAGCTGTGAGGGTTAGTGGGGTTGTTGTTGGGGGACTGGGGACGTACAAGAAGACAAAGGCGCTGAGGGTCATGCCACTGGAGAAATGTCAGAGTTGAGATCTTGAAGTCGGGAAGGATTGGGGTCGTACTATGCAGCTGAGTACCATCCGATATCCGCGATGGTTTGGAACTCGTCTGTGATGCTTGGGACAGCTACAGCGACAATAGTGAGGTCCTGGTGAGTGAGCAAATGACTTTGGGACTGAGGGGCGTTCGTTTTGTGACTTACAAGTCCGCTGAGGAAGCATGCGATTGCCATTGAAGCCATAGTCGACCAGAGTTTCGGCCCAGTCGGATAGACAATGTTCTCTTCATCATCGCGAGGTTCTTCTACCTCCAAAATGGAGGTCGGCCTAGATTGTTGAGTGGCCTCATTCACTTCAATGGCAGCTGGGTTAGCCAGTGGTCGTTCAGTCAGTACTTCAGAAGCCATGGCGGTATGCTGTAAGACGATGAAGGCTTCAACTATTTGAACCCGTGAGATCACACTTGGAGTTCAAGGACAGGGCAATCCAGGCTTTATGTCTCATTGTCAACTGAGAAGGATCTGCGATGTTGAGATGCGCTTATTGCTGACGGACGCGTTTAAGCTTACACCATCTGCACCGGCTAAATAGCTTCATGACGTGTTTGGGGGGAGATGGAGGGGTTTTGGGTATCTTGATTGATGGAATTCCGGATACTACTGATCTTGGATCTGATTGCTGACGAACCGCCCAAGATTCGAGGGTTAGAGTGTTTGGCCTGAGACGTAACAGGTACGCGTTTGATGAGGCGGCTAGTCACTATCAACGTAGGCTCTACAGTCATCCAGCGATCCATCTGTAGGTATTGAGGATGGTCATTACATGTCGCAGATTGTACGCCCTGGGCCCAGTAAAGCTTTGTTCCCAGGCAAGCCAGGCCCTGTAAGTTGAGACACTGTCGACCCCAGTGGGGTACACTAACTGGGGCGTTTCATTCAGTGACATGCGATAGCCTGTTCCAAGGCCACGACTCTTGATGAATCGAAGACAGCTAGAAATGAGCTAAGTCAAGATCCTGATGATCCTGCGATAAACTAGACTGTTCACTACAATAAATTTCGGCTCTTGTTATCTCTAGATCCTCGGTAATCGATGCTCAGACCATGTTCAATCAGACCAATAACGGTAATGCCGTGGCCGGAAATATGCTGACCCGGGGACATTGGGTTGCCTGGTCAGATCCCCCGGAAGCACAATCTCAGCACGAAACATCGACAGCAATTGATAGCGACACAACGTCGCTGGCGATTCTATCGCATTGCCAAAATGTCTCTCGATCAAAGAATCCAAATCTGGCTCGGCAATATCCAACAATCCATCGAAGACCCGTTGCCTACTCCCGAACTGTACCGCAATGTCCCGTCTAATCCCATGAAACGCCGTCGAGTCGATTCACCACCTCGCGAGGCCAGAAGAACTCTCGAACTACAGCCCGACGATCCGGGATACAATCCCAACAAGACATGCCCCCAGTACCCTCCCCACATTGAAAAGACCTTGATCGACATGATCAGGAGCACTTCGTACCGGGCCCCCAAGAAACGAGCAACCTCCAACAACCGAGTGTCCTCCGAGTCGCAACAGCAATACTGTAGCGTTACTAGCCACGCTACAGGGAAGGTCGAACGGTGGCCCATCAAAAGAAGAGTCGACCCAGTTCTCGAGCCCGCTACAACGCCATCCCGTGTATCCTCTGCGCCGACATGGGAACACCTACTCCAACGAGAAGTAAAGGTCGAGCCGGACACTGAACCTGTGTCATGGCCAGAAGTAAAACTCGAGCCCGTCACCGAACCTATACCTATGCAATTACCACCAAGAACAAAAGTCGATCCCAATATTCAGCCCCGACCGTCGCCATTAACGATCCTCCTCAAACGCATCAACGACATCTACGCCGGACGCGGTATTCTCTCCTCAGACTTCCGACCCATCATGAATGCCACGGGCCCAATACCTTCATACAGAGACATGGCTTGGGCGCGAGGCGGTCATGAGAGCGATGTGCACTACTGCACTCAGCGCCATAAATTAGGCGATGCACCTGGTCCCGGAAGTGTTGAAGAGGTCATGTACCAGACTTCTTTCTGCACCAGAGTTGACGCTCTGCCGAACGAGTGGAATATGGAGGTTGTTCAGAAGGTTCTTGAGCTTTCGTTCAGGAATGAACATACCTGCAGGAGGCCACAACTTGTCGATTTTAGATGCAGGTGAGTACCACTCCTCCGTCACATTGTCAATACTGATCTTGTGTAATTCAGTGCCGACGGTGTTATCATTACAGAGTACCATACGGATCTCGACACCCCGCAACCCCCCGATTTCTGCGTCTACATAGACCCAACCTGCGACAGGATGCCGACTGCCATCATGGGCCTCGAGAGGAAGTTCTACAGAAACATCTTCAACCACATCGACCTGAGATCTCTTCAACAGCAGCGACCGATAGCGTTCCACATCCACACTCTCCCGCAGAACACAAATCTCGAGCTCCAGCGCGTACGGACCTCCTTCACCGCACATTGGGGTTTTCTCAAACGCCTGGTGCGATTGAGAGAGAGGGCTGATAGCAGATGGCCGAATTGGTCTTTTATAGACGACTCAACATATGACCTTCCCGAGTTCCTCCCGGGGATCATCATCTACAAACATAACTGGTTCCTCAGCGTTTCAAAAGCCGATGGGGAAAATGCACGGTTCTACGGAATCGGCGATACAGCGAGCTCGATGGGTGTTTACAAGATCGTGTATGCGCTGCAGATTCTGCAGAATTGGGCCAAGACGGTGTATTGGCCTTGGATGCGGAAGCTTGTGTTGTTGTGGCCTTTGGATGAGTTTGGGGGGGCGAGATGATGGTTTTTGTTTAGTGATACCCCTAGATTGTCAGGATACCCTTTTTTGCATTGATGTTACTGTACTTTGTTGTCTGATATTTTTTTATGCCCCCCAGTGTAGGGTTTATTTAGTTGAGTACACAATCTCAGATACTTCGTCCCTCATCAAAACCTTTCCAAACGAAAACATTACATCCGTCATAGTCTTATCGATGATCTGTTCAATTTGCTCATCACTCGTAACGCCAACCTCTCTCAGTGTACTCGGCAGCCCTGTGACCTTGACAAGCCTCGCGACACAATCGCCTGCCTCAGTCTCTTCCCATCCCAACGTCTCATTAAAGATCTTCACGATCTTGGCCTGCGCCTCGGGGTTTCGCGCCTTGGTGTACCGCAACACAGGAGGGAGCATAATGCAGCTCGTAATACCATGCATAACCTTTCCAACACTACCAAGCTGATGACCGATCGCATGACTGGCGCCCATGTTGACTCTATAAATAATAAACCCCATAAGAGCCATTCGACTTCCGGCTTGACACTTGCTCGCGCCATGAACAAGCTCGTCTTCACCTTCTTTTCCTCTCCCCAATCCCTCTTTGTACTCAACTAATCCCTTTGACAAGTCTCGCAGTGCTTTTTTGCACCATTCTTGCACATCGGGATATTTTGCGCATTCAGGATTGCATAATGTCTCAACGCAATGATCAACAGCACGTATTCCAGAGCTCAACCACAATTTCTCAGGCGATGTCCTTGCAACCCACGGATCCATTAGGATTGAATCCGGCGCACCACCATCCTCAAGTGAGAAATGTTGCTTTTTCCCAGCGCTGTTTGTACAACTCGCTGTATAATTCCATTCTCCAGCTGATAAACTCGTCGGAACAAGAATGAGCTTCACGCCCTCTGCTTTCCTTATCTTATCCTGCGGCGCAACACCTTTTTCTTGATCAAGAAGATCCTCCATGTCTTTTTCGCCGAATCCGCTAGGTAGGGTAGCGGACATTAGACGTGCGACTTTACAAGCGTCGGAGTAAGAACCGCTACCGACGCTGATGACACAGTCGATCTTGTGCCCTGTGATGCGGTGGGCGATGTCGATGACATCTCCGTATGGGGAGTGAGAGCCAACGCCTTCTGTGACAGTGACAAGGCGGTCGCCAAGAGCTTCTTTTAGATCGGAGATCACGCTGGTGTTTTTGGCGAGAGTTTTACTGTGAACTAGAAGAATACGCTGGGAATTCCATTGTTTGAGTGCGGAGAGGATATCATCTTTGCTGTGAGAGTTGAAGATTGCGTCGGAGCCTGGGCGATGGCCGCCTTCAAGTTGAGGGATGCGATATGGCTTGAGTGAGTCTGTCATGGTGAAGGTGCGCAATTTCGTGGGACGGTGTTAGAAGATTCTAGGCCTGGTGAAAGATCTTTAGAGGTTGCTGGGAATAAGAGTAAGTGAGCTTTGGGTCCTTTGGGCCAAAGTGGATTGGTGACGTCTTGATTATGACGCTTTGCCGAGTTCCGAGCCACTATTCCCACTTCTTTGCTGACTGTATCTCGATTGTCTACTATGCTATATACCGATAGTGCCATATCGCGCCTTGTGAGTATATTCCCTGGAATAATAAACACAGATCAATACTCCAAGCCAATCGATATAACCTCTTCTTTATTCCACATCTATCAATGTTGACATAAATTCTCTGTAAACCTTACTTTACCATCAAGACCTTATTTACAATCCGAAGCCTTACTGTATCCTTACACCTAGCACAGCATACACTATCGTCTTTGCAAACAACCATAAGGCATACCTCCAGGAAATACAAAATGTCACATTCTACTCATGTTATCGTGCCTGTAATCACTATAAAACACGTAATTGTATCCTATACCAAAGGCCGAGGCAGTGCGGTGTCTATGCGGACTTACGGCCATTCCGCCCAGATAGGCATCACCTACAGTATATTGATGGCACGGGATGGCATATCCATGTGCCGAGGTGGGCAAACTATTTCGAGGGATGTCAGAAAGCAGAGATAGAGGCTGGTGTGCTGCCATAAGCGAGCAAGACTTGTGCACACTGGAAGAGGGGTTTTGCCTTGTTATAAACGGATCCGAGATATGTTGTAGTGTCCGGATATCCGACCAGGGTCTCACGATGATCTCTATCCAATGTATTTCGACGGTCTTAGGTGGGTTTACGGTGCAACGCGATGGCGATTGCACTGTCAGGGCTGCAATGATATACGAGAGATTGAAGCCCAGTAAATGGAGGAACAGATATCTAGATTCATGACATATATTACCATAAAGAAGCCTCCCTACAACGAATCCCTAGCATTACCATGGCCTCTCCATTCATGACTCCAGAAACAACTAAGCTGACCAAGGTTAAATCAATTAAATTCAAATAAAATTCTTTACAGCCCCAACGCTACCTGTTCAGAAACCTTTGTAAGCCATCATCTTTGGATAAGCATTCCGCTAAACTGCACCCAATTGCTCACCTAAATCTCCTCTGCTAGGCGGCTAAACCCGACCAGTAAAAGTCATCATCGAGCAATGGAATGCTCACACCGTACATTTCCTTGACCTTGAAACGCCTGGAAACCCCAAACGGTGCATCATTCCACAGCAAGGGATCATCTTGGTTCCAGGGCAAATGAATATCAAATCGCTCTAAATGCCCCATCGCAACCAGCGGCGCAAGCATGCCTCTCTCCATTTCCACAAACTGTGCTCTTCCGTCGCCAGACAGCCAAACCACGATCCGCAACGTCCGCACATGCGATAGTTTGATGAGCTCAGAGCAAACATTGTTCCACAGCGCTTCTGTCTCAGGGGCTGGGACGTCCAGGGTAAAGTCCCAGGCTTGAGAATGGCTGTCATAGTACTGACTAACACCACCAAATAGGTGCCATCCGACTTCGATGTGTTGTATGGAAGCAATGTGTTGCTTGGGAAGCATTGTGTCTAGCGATGTGAGAGCTGACTTTGAGCTTGCTTGACCAAAGCCAAAGCAGAAGGTGTTGTCGGAGTAGAGGTACGAGATGGACTCCATGTATCTAAGGTGGAATCAAGTCAATATTGCTTCATTCTCTGGCAGGGTGTATATGACATTAATCTGGGGGCATACATACGCTGCTCGGCAAAGCATTGGAACTCTCAAGAGTCCTATCTGTGGCGACCATTGATAACCGTTCGACTCGAACGCAGATTGCCTCAGTCTGCCACGATGCACAGTCAGGTACACCTTGTGATTGCCCACGACATGGCGCCAAATCTGCATGCGCACCTCTGGCGGCAGTCGGCTAAACAATAATGATTTCGATTGCGCCTTTTGGAGCGAGCCAGTGGCAGAGAATTGTTCTTCTAATGATCGCGTATAAGGCACACTCCAGTCCCGGGGGTCAAATATAGGCTTTTGTTCCGCCGCGTTGTCTATGTGCGTATCAGGATGCAGCTTCTTGTGCATCTCCTCAATCTCGCGCGGCGTCAAAGGTTCTCTCGGGAGTTTGGCGCCACGATACTTGTATTTGGTATCGGTGTTTCTCCCGAAATAGCGTTTTAGAAAATCCATGGTATCAGTATATGGTGTTCAAATCTGACTATCAGTGAATTGAGTGGGAAACAGTGTCTGTCACCTGGCGTGGTGTGCAATTGAGTGATGAGGATAGGGGGATCGTCTACTCTTATGGTGTCGCTTTACTTTCGACAAGTCGTCACTAAGATACAGGTAATTAAGAGATAAATAATGGCGCCATAATGCTACACAACAGTCTACTAGTCAATATAGTCTTGTCTGCCTTGGCCGTAATAGGCGCAATAGGCGGCCTCGGGCTCTGTAAGTGTAATGGCTGATGGTGCAAAAGACAAGAAAAACGCCCAGCCAGAAGTATAGTAAATGCCTCCAATTTGAGTAGCTGAAAGCCCTGGGCTGACTGGAGGGAGCTAATCTCGGCTTCTGCACGTTAGCGTCAGATTATGGTTCCGCGCTTCAGATCCTCATTTCGCCCTTTATCAGTACGCAGTAGACACTTGCCCAAGCAGTCTGCAGTGATATAAAACAAGAAAATCTCGACCTAGTCGGTTTGCATGTAAGAAACGTGCGTTGCATAGCTCAACAATGACAGCCAGACAATTCCAGAACACGCAAACTGATGGATGATCAAGACCCTTTAGCTGGCCTCAGCGACATTGACTGGTCTAATCTCGAACACGCTTATGGTCCAGCCGATAACGTTCCTCCGCTTATACGAAAACTGAGATCTTTAGTTAAAGAGGATCACACGTGTTCGCAAACAGATCTGAGCCATGATGGTACAGTGTCTTACTGGATGTTCTATCTTGGTGAGAGCGAGGTGCTGGCTCATCTTAACCTCGAGATGGCAGAGAGCTAAGCCCAGTCGACTGGGCTTAATTTGGGTGGGGCTTTACATGACATGGGGTTGGATAGCCCCCGGCCCCCTGGATGAAAAATATATATAAAATAACATAATTCAGCCGCCGACGATAGGAGCTAAACACTTGGAGGAAACTAGCTTTCAGTTCACTTATTACTACTAATAACTACGAGGATTAAGAAGACAAGTGATATTCAGGCTAGAAAGAACAAGACAAGAACCATATGGGCTTGACGAGATCAAGACAATTATTGACGTAATGTATATATATTTTAGCTTATAGAACCCTCTGGGCAGTGGGCTACCGGGCGTAATAGACTTGCGTGTGTGTGTGTGTGTGTGTGTGTGCGTAGTGAGGATTTGCAGCAGACCGCCTCTTGACCAGCAACTAGTACAAGGGAAGCTTGTAGGCATCAAAGTCATATGTCCAGGTATTAAGTGACTTTTGATCGTACACGCACCTTTGCGAAGAATTCTTTCCCGACCAGAGAGGACGAAGAGGCCAGCGGCAGATGGTGTCAATGTCATCAGTACCCTTCAGGGTCTTGGGAGCAACACCCTTCTCAACCCATTCAATAACAGTTTGCAGTGTAGTTTGGGGCCAACCACCACCAGGCTGGTTAGAGTTACTTCCACAGTGAGCCCCACCAGGGACGAGGAACAGTCTGTAAAAGTCATCCAGAGCAGCCACGCTCTCATTGTAGCTCTTGTCGGGAAACATGACGCTGCGTACAGAGTCATAGTAGTGCACTGACGAGCCAGCCGGGATGGAGTCGTCTGATTCGCCGTGGACATGGATGACCTTGCCGCCTGCAGCTTTGAAGTCGCTGAGATCGGGATAGGTTGTCTGAAGAGAGTCTGCGTACTTGTTCTGGCCATACACCATCCACTCCTTGAGTGTGTCGTAGGTTACGTTATCCAGGCTGGGAAGGGTGCTCGCGTTCTGGAGCAACAGGTAGCGTTCAACCCACTCACCGCCGAGACCGCTGATGCTCAACTCCCAGCTCTCGGTTTCTTCGTCATAGGCGGTGGCGAGATCGGAAAACGCAGATCCAGGTTGATAGTTGAGGTAAACGCGTCGTCCCTTGGAGTCGTGAAGGCCATTAAAGAATGTCTGGACCACAGCGACACTTTCTGCGGTTACGGTCCCATTCTGAGCAGGGGTAGATGGCTGAGAGAACTGACGAACGCGTAATCCGCCTGGTCCACCACTGGGACTTGAGGCTTCACAGAAATAGGGCGTTCCGATTGTGCTGTTGAGGTTGAAGTTCAACTTGCACAGATCCGAGCGCGAAACAATGCCATCCTCTCTTCCGTCCAGGACATCGCATGCAGATATAGTCAAGTTCAAGATCTTTTCTAGCTCACATGAAGGTGGGAAATGATCCAGAGTCTGTTCGATGACGTTGCCAAACAAGTGGTTGACCTGCTGTTGACCGTAACGAAAGGCTGGGGCGCCAATGGCCGCGCCATCGAATTGATCGGCAAACCGCTGAACTTGACTCCAGCCCTCACGACCACCTTCGGAACAACCTTGGTAGTATGAGTAGACCTTTGAACTTTTAGAAACGTTGTACAGATTTCGGGATAATTCCTTGCCGAGTAGCGCAAGCTCGTGGTGTGCTTGATAGCCAAACATGTAGACGCTCTGCCAGTTGATGGTACCGTTGGCTAGAAGGAATACCTCATCCCATTGCGTGTTGAAAGATCCAAATCCTCCATCAGTAATGCCAGAAACGGCACCGACAATCAGTCCAGAGGGAGCATATTGGCCTCCCGAGTTAATGGCAAGACCACCACCACCGGTAGATACGTAGCGGTTCTCGAATCTTTCTGGAGAAGGAAGCCAGTACGAGACGTGGACCACATCATCGGCAATACCATCGTGTGAGTAGGCAAAGGTCAAGTTGCAGTAGCTGGCGCTGGCAGAGGGGTACCACTCGGACTGAAAGCTGGCATTGGAGACTAGGCTGGTCTGAATCGACGACGAGTCTATGGTGATACCGGATAGGAAGTCGTCATCGGGAAGAGCTGATTTAATGTAGTCGTTGGAACATATGTCTCTCAAAGACGCAGCCTGCACGGCTGCCGCAGAGAGTACGGCGCCGAGGAACAAAAGAGTAGAAGGCATGGAGATTTAGAGTATCGCCAAGACAGATACAGGTCAAATCAAATACTGTTTGATAGAAACGACCAACGCTTAAAAGAGATTGAATGGTCGATATCGAGACTCCATTGCTGAGCTATCATGCAACTTATAGTTGAAGCTCAGACGACTCTCGGGACAGCCCCACAATTGAGCCTCTGGGGAATATGGAGGCTTAGCATAAACCGCCCGGCAGATTCAAGTTAGCTTCAAACGAATCAGGGCCGATACATGTGGCAAGGAGTACGTAATGCAATTCAAAGTGATTAATCTGGGTTATGATTCTCAAAGTCAATTTTAGTTATATTACACTCTAAAGACTTTAAAATCTACCCTCCTACAGGCGATATGCACATCTCATTGGTGGAATCTTAATGTTGCATCCACGGGGTTTATCATCATAGATATGTTCCCCTCGAGCGATTACGTTGCCCTCGATGTCTTTCGTGAGGAATTTAACCTGTCTTCTGTACCTGACTGTGCCGTCCTGCTCGGAGATGACTTCCAATTCGTGTTTTATCGGAATAGCGAAATAGCGTTTCTCTTCCGGTGGTACAACCGCACTCGCAAGTCCGACCGGGTCATCGGTATTGTCAAGTGATATATCATGTTCCAGCTCAATAAGACGTCTTCCAACTCTATACAAAGTCCCCACGTCAAACAGACCCTCCTTGGCCGGTCCAAGCTGTCCCAACCAGGATAATGCTGTATGACGGATTTTTAAGTCTCGACACTTCAGGACAATGAAAAACAGCATTGGTAGCCAACTCATTTCGAAGCTGAAACTCGATTGTGGTATGCGCCGGTGACCTGGTGCTGTCGATAGTAGAAACGCTTCTTCTGCCAATTTTACAGCATCCCGGAAAATATCGAGATGCTGATCCCACCACATTTCTGTATGCGAGCTTTGCTGTTGGATATAAATATTGGCCATTTTGTGTTTGAATCGCAGTCCACATATGGCGTATTTATCCGGTGTTGCAGATGGGGGGAGTGCACGCTCTAGATCGTTCATCTTGGAATCCCATTCGTCCAGCAATGTAGCCAGCGCAGTCCTGTCATCATTGCCATCGTACAGGCACTCCATTGTCCGAATCATCAGATCGTCAATCGCTGTCTGCGCTTCTCGAGTATCGCCAAACTTTAAAGGCATTGGTGTCTCGAATCCGATAAGCTGCGGGAGACGCGTAGGTCTGACACCGCCAAAGAAGAATGGGGTTATACTCAGACGTCGGAATATGGGAACAAGATACTGACACATCCATTCCGGACGCGAAGAGTTGTTAAGTATCATGATGCCATGACGGCAGTGCTGCAGAGCGGCGTCGAAGTCTCCTTGTAGATACTCGATGCAAATGAAAAGTACGCAGAGCACTAGTATCATTTGCTCGTCACTGGCTGACTTTACATGCTTTATAGCCGAGTTATAGTGATTAACAGCAAAGGTGCTGCCACAAAACTGCCGAGTGATACGAGAGCCTCTGGCAAATTCTTCATAAAGCGAGCTGATAGACAGAACAGCATGGCGCATGGTCGGCTCAAAGTGGCTGAACTGCATGACCAGATGAGTCCAGAAGTAAGAGTCCGTAGGACCCGAGAGAACTGGCCCAACCATTTCTGTGAAGAACTGGAACGCTCTACCTTCTTTCTGGTCGCGCGCAGATAGTTGGTTTGGTCGGTACCACGTCAGGCTATACTCAGCGGCCGTGCCTTGGTAACCGCCACAGACCCGGCGCGACGATAAACAACGCTTACACGAGGGCTTACCTTCGTCGCACTTGATCTTTCGGGCTCTTTTTCTAGTAGTTAGTACCAAGTTTAGCCGGAATAACTAGGGGGAGCCAGGGTAACGCACTTGCAGGTCCGGCAGCCCGTCTTGACATGGTGGCGAGTGGTCAGTAGAGGCATATGTGGGGCTGTACCGAAGAAAGGGTTGTACGTGGTGGGCCGAGGTTGTTATTTAGACAGTAGAGATAGTAAGAATGTCGAGTCAAGCGGGCAACTCGTTGGCTTTGACGAGAAAATAATTTGCCATGACAGATTGATAAATGGATCCCAGTTCGTTTCAGTGAGACAAAACGCATGGATCGGCATCCTGCAATGACGATCTCACTGTGGGGCTGTTCCGAGCTTTTTGGCCAATAATAGCCCGTAGCATCTCGGCCTTTTATTACTATTAGTATAAGTCTGGAAGGCTTTTAAGACTATTACATTTATATAACTTGATTGCTTTTTTGCTATCTTTTGGCTTGATTGACTGAAGATAATACAACTGTTAAGCTTGCCGATAAGGGAGTGAGCCTGGTTGGTTTATTGCAACCTGCAATCTTCTAGCATGCAGTTGAAATTTCGTGGGAGATGTCAGAGAGAGTGTTGACGTGGCCAAGGCTTTCTACGAGGCGCTCCAATTTGAGGGCCAACGGACATTAGCATTTGCCTAGCGTTGCACGAAGCAGTCAAGGCATTGCAGGACAGTCAGGTTCTGGGTGGCACGAGAGCAGGATATGCTGTTTATGTGGGCTTTCAGAACTCGATAAAGGGGCCAGATAACATGGGTTACTTATATCTATTTTAATTGTTAGATAGTTGCTACTAAGTTTGCTTGTGTGTCTATAAGTTAATAGTTGATGAAAAGACCCTCGGACATTCCTTAGTGAGACAGATCAAGGTCATACAGTTTCAAGAAAAACGTGCTTAGTTTATGGATCCAGAAGTTACATCCACCTTGAAGCCTCTGGGCCTGGATAATAAGTGCTATTTTAAACTTTTTTCTGATGCGAACTTTACGAATAACGTCAATATAATCGAGAGTGGTTTAGTCCCTGAAGCTAAGCGAATTCTGAAGGATAGCAGCTTTAGCTTATAAGACCTCCTTGGCTTACTAGATGCCACTAGTTACTCAAACTCCTATTACATGGTTTACCTGCGAATTTACCTTGATTTAGATGGATCTGGTAAAGTCAGATTTTACGTTGGATAATCCCATATAGTAGTAAAACGGATAATAGATCATGAAAAAGCAACCACAAGTACAACAAAGGAACGGCACTCTTGTCACTATGGAATCGCACGAAAGGCCACAGATGAGAATCGCTATGCTGTTATACTTTGTTCATGAAACATTCAAAACAGAATCTCTTCAACTCTTCTCGCCATGGCTGAGCAGACAATGATCTCCCTTTTCAATTGCTACCACAGTTGGATAGCTAGCCCAGATTCAACCTTTACAACTGAGTACCTGAAAACTCACAATCAGTGTGTCTATATGCAATCAGTTGCAAACGAGACGCGAAATGTTATCGGCTGGCAACGTCGCCTTGATGTCGAGACCACAGGGTGCAATGTCACAAGTCCACTGCTTGCTACAGCAATGACGGCCATTCCCATAGAAGCTATCGCAATACCTGCTCTCGATCCACAAGTTCGCACCTTTACTATATACAGAAAGGAAGCACCCTTCTGCGAGCTTAACAGCAGAATTCTCTTGTTTCTAATGGGCACAAGACCCGACGGAAGGGAGGTGGCTTTCAGATTTTCTTTTCCAAAGTTATACTGCTAGAACTTTGTTCCTAAGCGCGGATATCTGGTATTTGAGATCATGGATAATCACGGCCCCCATTCAAAGCCCTGGTTTGGCTATCTAAGTGTAGGCCCTTATAAGAACTTTAATCTGGCATCTTACTTGGGAATTCGCGGTAAATAGCTTAATAAACCTTCAGACCAATGGCTTACTATGCCACATATGACCTTTAGCAAGATAGTTACAACTGTTGATGGCCTTGTTAAAGGCTAGAAATAGGTTCTCTTAATCATCTAAATACTAGAAGGTATAACCTAGTTAGAGCCTCTTAATAGATTCGAAACAATTTCCCTTAGTTAATGCGAAGTTCGAGAGCTTTGTGTCAACTACTTGCAACAAACATGCCGCTGGGTTATAAGACAAGCCAAGGGGGACATCTTTGCTCCCGCACCAGCATCTTGGGGTATGAACTGTTAACTAATGGCTGAACAATTCGGCAATGGCTTCACTGTCATGGGTTGTGACAGACCTCCTCACACTGACAAGTTCTGGGCTACATCCACAAAAGATGCGACTTAGGCAGGCTTGAACAAAATCTACTGTGACTTCTGCAAATATTCTAAGTCATACTACCCGATACCCTGTGAGAGAGACCCAGGCCGCACTGATATTTGGGTTTGCAAGCGTTGCTCCGAGATGAATCGTCCATGCACATTTACTCCTAGAAGTGTCTCAATGGAGCTTTGGGTTGACGATCCTCCATACCTCAGACAAGCTTCAGGCAAATTGTCTCAGTATCCGACCGGGCCTCACCGAAAGCTTGCTTTTCACAATCCGATGTCTCCAGCACGACTGAATACACCAATCCAGATCCAGGAGCCATTTGTCTTTGATTTGGCTATTATCCTGGGACTGGATGTTGAAGAAGAAGAAGAGGAGGAGGCTATTGAAGCGAATATTCGACTGGCAGGTGGCGAAGAGGGTGACTTTTGAGGTGACATGACGGTGCAGACACCGAATTGAGGTGTAACTAAAATGGCGAACGACTGAGGGGACGATGGATGGAAAATGGGAGAAAAGACATTGCATGAAAACCAGTAATAAAATTGCAAGATAGCTGCTCTAAATGGGAGAAAAGACATTAAGTAAAGAGCGATATTGTTCTGGTTAAAAACCCTGGTTTTCTTTGCTGCTATTGCTGTGAGGTCAATTTCTTAATGTTTTAGGATTTCCTGGGCCTTCCCCTTAGATTCTGATTTCCCCATACAAATCAGGCACCTCACCATTTTAGGTGTGTCTACACCCAGTATCCCACATTTTGCCATACATATTTTACCTTGCTCTAAAACCAACTACCGCCTTGACTGTATTAATAACTTCAAATAATATTCCCAGCCTAACTCCAAGCCTAACTCCAGGCTCAACCATATCTCAAGTACCAACTCTATTATGTCTTAGCGAACCTCTACCTGAGCTCTCAGTCCGACAGCATCCCAGTTCCCAGTTGAATTCTGTCTCTACCCCAGGCTGATCTCAGCTCAGCTAAACCCAATCGCCAGCTCAGTTGTGTCTCAACTCCCCCTCCCCGAACTCTTATCTTGGACCTCAGCTCAACTACATCTCAGTTGCCAGCTCAACTTTGTCTCAACACTCGGCTGCTCTTAGCTCAACTACATATTAAATCCCAGGCTGTACTCCTAGCTCAACTATGTAGTAAATCCCAACTTAATTTGTCTAAATACCTAGCTTAAGGATATACTAGCCCTTAGAAAACTATAACTAAGTAAGTAAAGAATTCTAATTTATAAACTTTAACTTAGTATTATATCTAAGGTATGTTTATAAGTAAATAAACTTTAAATTATTAAATTAATATTTTCTTTTTTTATTTAAAATATTAAATAATAAATTAAATTTTATTTAATAATATTAAAGAAATATAATTATAAGGTTATAATAAGCTAATGATTAAATAATTATTTAAGTATTAATTAAATATATTTTCTTTTATATTTAAAGCTTATTTAATAATATAATTAGTATCTTTAAGTCTTATACTTAGATTCTTGTGGTAAAGATAAAGGTATTTTATTCTTAAATATCTAGTATCTTATTAGGATAATTAATCTTAGTAGTAGAGTTAATCATGTTTAGGACGTGCTCCTTCCATGTGGGGTTCGAGTCATGTCGCGCAATGTGCTACATATGCTCATGACTAATGTTAAGACCGAAGAGCGTGAAGCTTTGAAGGACTGGTAGATATTTCAGTCAAAGTATTGCATGTTGGTCATATTTAAATGAAGGATACTGAAGTGTTGATCATAAAACATTAAATTCTGATTCTCATAGTGTATCTTTGCACCAGGTATCTATCGCTAAACGCCCATCTAGAACGCTTCTATATATTCGTCCATCTTGATCCAATTAAGCCATCTCGTTGTTCTTCTTCTCGCGCTCCTCAACGATGACATCGTTCTTCTCGTTATCGTAGGTGATCTCATCAACAGTAGACTCCTCAGCCTTGGGGGCCATAATCTTCATTCCACCACGAACCCAGTTAACAGCGACGTAACCGAGGACGTAGACAAAGCCGATAGTAGGGACGATGTAGGAGACACGAGTGCCCTTGGCATCAGCAATCGCTCCCTGGATAGGAGGGAAGACTGCACCGCCTGATACACCCATGACAAGGATACCAGCAGCACGTCGAGTGTGGCGGCCGAGGTTCTTGGTTCCCATGGCGAAGATGGTGGGGTACATGGGAGCCTCGAAGAAGAAGATGGCGATGAGGATACCGACACTGGCAACACCCTTGGCAGCAGCACTGACGTAGGCAGTGAGAGCGATGGCACAGCAAGAGTAGACAACCATGATGAACTCGGGGCTGAAGATGACAGCAAGGCCAGTAGCGACGAATCGACCGACAGTGAAGGTGATAAGAGCATAGCTCAGCATGGTGCTACCCTTGGCAGTAGTGATGTCACCGTTCTCGTGAGCGTAGTTGATGAAGAAGGTAGCAATGGTAACCTGAGCACCGACGTAGCAGAACTGAGCACCGAAAGCGAACCACATGTTGAACTGCTTCCAGATAGAACCCTGGGCGACGTGGCCAGCCTGGTCATCCTCAAGAACAGCCTCGCTGACTTCGGGAAGCTTGGCGAAGAAGAAGAGAACACCGACAGCGGCGCCAGCACAGGCAACAGCGAGGTAGACATACTGGACGTTGGTAAGGTTGTTCTGGTTCTCGCCGGAGAAGAAAAACTTGGAGGCGATGAGGGGACCGATGAAGGAAGCGACACCGTTCCAAGACTGGCAGAATTGAAGACGAGCTGATGCAGAGGCGGGGTTGCCGATAACTACAGCGTAAGAGTTGGCGGCTGTTTCGAGAGTAGCGAGACCACAGGCGATGACGAGGGTGCAAGCGCAGAAACCACCAAACACAGCACGACCGTTGGCGTTGCTATCAGCAGACTTGGCAACAGGCCAAAACAGGACAGCACCGAGAGAGTAAAGAGTAAGACCCATCAAGATAGTAAGCTTGTAACCGCGTCGCTTAAGAACCTCTGCGGCAACAGGCGAGAAGAGGAGGTAACCACCGCCAAAGTACATGACCTGAAGGCCAGTGGACTCTAGCTTTGTGATGCCGAGGACGGTTTGGAAATGCTTGTTGAGAACATCGAGAAGACCGTAGGAGAAACCCCAGAGGAAGAAGAGGGAGATGACGAGGGAGAGGGGGAAGATGAGAGCGCGACCGGTCAGGTAGCCGCCTGCGAGCTGAGGGGCAGCGGTGGGGATACCTCCAGCCATTGTGATAAATGTGAATTGATAAGAGAAGAAGAAGATGTTCTTGTCTATCAAATGATGGAGATGAGAGTGATGATGAAAAAGAAGATATTCGCGGTGGTTGATGGTCTTCTTTATACAAATGTCTTCGCCCCCGGACTTGACCTAGTAGCTTTGTCGCTCCCCCAGTAGAGTAGCTCTTTTTTTCTCCAGTGTCGGCGCGATAAACTCAAGCTACTGGGGCTACTGTGACACTACCCACTTCCCCAACGCACTCCCCAGACGCAAAAAACTTGGAGATCAATGTGGAGGCGGAAGCTCTACTCCGCGTGTAAGCATTGAGAAAGCAAGGGCTGCTCCACTTCTCCATAACCCCAACTTGTGCGAAAATTCTTGTCCCGCGGCATCGCCTAAGCCGTGTGGTGAAATCCAGACCAGTCTGGGGAAGAACCATAAAACAAGCTACCAATGCCCCCACCAAGCTTCAACCACTCACGCTCATGGTCTCCAACGCCAAGGGAGAGGGTAGCTTCAACGGGCTTAGAGCGTTGAGGCCGTTGTGGAGAGGAGGTGGAGATCGGACCGACAATTACGCCCGCTGTGAGACCTCACTTGATTAAGCTTAGTGACTGCCAAGAAGTCGATCTCCCGGGTCGTGATGATAGGTCTGGATGTGGGAGACCGCGTGGGAAGCTCTCCAAATGTGCTTACTGGGGCTAGCTGGGCTCTGTGGTATTCGGCCCTTTAATTTCGTACCAAGACCGCACTATCGACCGGCATCGGCGTTATCAACCTGATTTAGCAGAACAAGGCTGATGATGCTTGTCTCCGTTGGCCTTGGTGTTTTACAAAGGTGTGTCGTGGTTCATGGTGTCATTGGTTAAGCAAGTTCATGTTGGAGAAGTCAAAATGAAATGATTCGACTCCCGATGCAACGGTAAGTTTGATGAGGTCTGTTGGGTCTCTCAATTGAGTTGTTTTTTGACTTACGTGCATACCATAACAGGGATATCTCCCTAGACCTCTGGTTTTGAGTTTCTCGGTTACGAGGCATCATACGAAATTGTCGAGAGCTAGACTGACTCGAACGCCGCAAGATCTCTTCGTAACCGGGCCGTTCGATGCGCATTAGTCTCATTAAGGCCCAAGTCCCCCAACGCCCAACGCGAGCTGTCATTCATTGCAACACGCGTTGATTTAATATCCCGCATGAGCTGAGGATACTGGGGAATGCCGGCTTAAGGGAAGTTGGGAAACTGGGGGGAAAGGGAGGGGGCACTCTCACCCTGAATGTCTCATCATTTTTTCCCATGGGGTCTTGGCGCGTTGAAAAGCAGAATTGGAGTAAAGACTCCGGAATGAATGCTGCTCTGCAGACCATGGATGCAATCTAAAATAGACCTAATCCATTTTTCGTTTAGATGGCTTCGAAAAAGCTTCGAATGCTTCTAGGCTAGAGTAAAGGTCAATTGATTAGCCTGTATTCGTCTAGTGATAAACGTCAAGTGCCGGTTTGATTTGATGCCGGGCTTGGCCGACACGTGAGGGTTGCGAAATTGGTAGTGAGCCATACCATTTTGACGATGGCTTGATACGGTTTGATCCGTGGGGGGGAGGGAGAGTATCCACCACTTAAGAGATAGATCATGATCCAGATCTACTAATCATCGAGCTCAAAACGTGCTGCTGCATGAAACGGCATTGCCCGATTGGATAGTGATTCACTTGTCACTCCGGCATCGTATTATTGGTGATTCAATGGGTGCCACGTTTCTTACGTTGGTGGGATTGGAGCTTGGGCCAATGAATGTGATTTCGCGCTATTCGCGCCACAGAAAGAGCTGAGTGGCGTGTGGATAATTATTCATCCTTACCCTGCCTGAATATGGCTGTTGCGGCGATTCCAAGCTGAACGGTAACAATTGAGAGCATGTCATATCTAATAGTAAGGCAGCTGTTTCAGCGACTAGTCATTAGAGATATGCCTAATTGATCAACTTGAACACAATGTGTAACACATTCGAGACTTGACGTTTGCTGTCGATTCATATTTTGGCTCCTAGCTAATCAAAATGGACCAGTGCTTTGTTTCCATTCACGCATCACAACAATGATATTGTATACTGACAAACTCGAGCCCTTATAATACAAAAATAACATTGTGACCAATTTTCTGGCTTTTATTCACGATTGACGCTTGCAGGCGGTGCAAAGTGCCTCCGATATTATATTTTGCTCTTGGTGCAGGGTAGGATGCACGTCATCAACCGATAACCCCGAACTACAGAGCTGATTTGGTCTTATCTGATAAGAAGAATTCACCGAGCTTCACCTCAGAAAGCCTTAGAGCCGAGTTATATCCGCCGAATACACCGAAGACCGAACTTTTATAGACAGGTATAAGAAATTCAGCGCGCACGACACTAATATCAATAATTGTTCTTGGCATTGACTTTTGAGTAGTTCGGAAGCATGTTTGCTAGAATTCTTCTTCAAAATGGCACCGTCTTGCAGCATGATGCGGAAGACAATGTTATCGCTCTTAGAAACACCGACATCCTGATTGAGGGCGACCGCATTGTTAACATCGGCCATGGTCTTCAAAGCGAAAATGTCTCCATGATTGCTTGCGATGGAAAGATTATAGCGCCCGGCTTCATCAACGCCCACCACCATGTCTGGCAGAGCCAACTCAAGGGTAGACTTGGTGACTCTACAATGCTGGACTACATGCTTGAGGGTCGGTATTTTAGGAATTACCGACATGTACAATCACTAAAATGAAATTAGCCAATCTTCAAAGCTTCAACTTCACACCAGACGATATCTTCTGGGGTCAATTAGCTGGCTGTCTTGAAGCCCTTGACGCTGGAACGACCTGCGTGGTGGACAATGCACACGGTGCCTCTGGCCCTGAACACGGTCCAGCAGCTCTGAGCGCTACTTTGGTGTCTGGAGTTAGATCTATTTTCTGTCATGGAGTCATGCCGTTACGCGCTACTGAATGGACAGACTCTTCGTTTGAGCTTGATCGCTCTCCTCAACCTGATTGGTTGCTGCCCCAGATGGATTCTCTTGCTTCCAAGGCGCCGTTTGGAGTCGACAAGAGAGTCCAATTGGGCTTCTTCTTTGACAGTTACTTCTTGCCCGAGAATGTCATTTCTGAGACGTTGAGCCGTGTGAAAGAGGCTGGAGTCAAGCTGATTACAAGCCACTACAGACACTGGCCAGTTTCCAAGGGTAAGCAGAGCTGAGCGTGTGACTACGCCAACTAACCTGTATAAATAGGTCAATCTCGAGTTCCGGAGCAGCTTCAAGCATGCGGTCTTCTTGGGCCCGATATTCTTCTCACGCACGGCAATGGAACAACGCCTGAACAAGCGTCCCTGCTCACTTCAGCCGGAACCTACATCGTCTCTACCCCCGACGCCGAAATCTTCATGGCATCAGGCGCAGATCCTGTAGCTTTTAGAGAAGACCTCCCCTTGACGTGTCTTGGCGCTGACTGCCATTCGTGCGGCCCAGCCAGCATGATGCACCAGATGCAAATGGCACTAGCAAGTGACCGAGGAATGCAAAACTCAAAGACTTTTGCGGAAGGCCACTATCCCAAGAAGATGAGGGCTACGGTGCAGGAAGCGTTTAATCGAGCTACCATCAAAGCAGCTCGTGCGATCAAAATGGATACGGACATAGGGTCTATTGCAGTTGGAAAGTTGGCGGACTTGGTTATTTTTGACACGACTTCTCCTTCTATTATCTGTGCAGCTGAGCATGATCCTTTAACGGCTATTGTTCGTCACGCTGGAGTGAGAGAGATCGAGACTGTTATTATTGGTGGTAACATACGGAAACAAAACGGTAGCTTGAAGAATGTGCACTTGGCGGAGGGTCGAGAAGCTGGCTTCGATTTTAAGCATGAGGCAGTTGAAGCGAAGGACGGATTATCGTGGAAAGAAGTTGCAAAGGAGTTGTCGAGGAGTCGAGGTGAGATCCAGGGAAAAATCAACAAGGTCAACAAAGATCTAGCAAAAGAGAAGCTCATTGGAATGATGGGCGGGTTACAGGACATATTGGTTGACTAATAGATCTTCTCTCTAGAACACCTCCTTGTATTATTATTCATGTAGAAGCAGTTTATTCTACTTCCCCATAACTATTAACAGTTTATAAGCATGTGATTATACCTACAGGATGAGTGCTAGATGCATATAATTATTTCTTACTGGTGCCAGACTAGGTTAGGTTGCAGGGCTCGGTTGAAACACATTTATTAGTACTCCGTCTGTGTTTGTGGGCTTTCAATATCTCGACATCAGCTCGAATCAGAATGCGCGTCTTCGCGTTCAGGCTACGGCGCCGAATCCGAACCAGGTTGCTTGGGCTGTTGAGACTTGAGCTGATTGTGTGATTTACAAGATTATATGTGTTTTCATAGCTATTAGCTCCCCAGTATCTTCACGCTATGAACCTTCCGGCAATCTCTCGCTATGGCAACAACGCCGGGCCGGGGTTGAGTCGTCAGGCAGTGGAGAACGCTGGGAAAGTACCGACAGTAAAACAGAGTGGCTGGCTGAGCGCAACTGCATATCTTACCCTGATTTTGATAGTTTAGATCCATTCAACACGAAACATTAGCATGAATTCAACATCTTGCTTTTTGCGTTATTAGATCAGCGTTTCTGCTTCTGATATATCTAAAGTAATTACTTGAAGAAATTATCACACTTTTATAAGGCTAAACTTTTTTTTCTCAGATATTAATTATAAATAAGATAATATATATAACATTAAAGAATGTACTTAGCGAGTCCTTACCCTACTCCAGACTTAGTCTTAGTCTAAGCAGTTAGAGTGATAATATTCTTATCTTATCAAGACGAGCGCTAACAACACCATCGGCTCATTTCTCCTGCTGACTGTCTGTTAACTGTAAATATTAACAGTTAATCTTCATCGCCTACTAAAAACAAACATGCTTATACAAAAGATACCCCAATCCGTCCGCTCAAGATGGTCAAATTGCCGACCGCTTCTTAATCCTCGACTTCTTCAATTCCCTCATCATGCCATTCCAACACACGGAAACGCGTACAGATCTATATACGTTCCTCCTAACTACTCACGCGTACAAATTAGCTCAAAGGAAGACACCAAGCGCCTCTACTGTCTTTTGCAATCATATATTGAAGACCCATCCCGCGCAAAAGCCGTTACAGAGGTCGTCATTGACACAACGCCCTGGATCCATGCCTCCACGTCGAAGTTACCGGATCACGATGAAGTGCCAAACTCGATGGGATATGAAGAACTTGGCGATCCGCCGGAAATAAGACTACGGAAATATGCACGTCGCCTAGACTTGGGCGATAAAACGGCTGATCAGGTCGACAAGATCCTTGATTGGAAGCGTCGCGAGTATAATTTCAAACTTCAGAAAGAAAACGAGTTTTCAATTGCCATGATAATCATTCTCTTTTCTCTTTGCGAGAATATTTCCACGCTATATCTTGCCGAAACTCTCCAACAACCTATTCTGGACTATATGCTCAAGGCAAACTATGCACAGATGAAGAATCCCCCACTTCAGAAACTGAAAAATGTCCGTTTTTTTGCTGGCGCTCGAAGCGACGAGAGGTTTTACAGCGCACTCGAGATTCTTGGATTCATCCAATTAATACATCGCCTCCCAGCTCTTGAATTAGTGGCCATGGATGCGATGCAGGATTATCAGGCGAACCGCACGTTCTTCGTTCCTGGGACAGGAAATATGAAGAGGATGGAAATTACCCATTGTGATATTTCTCCTAGCTTCCTCACTCTTATGATTTTGATTCCCAAGGCGCTTGAGGAATTTAAGCTGTCGATTGGTGGTTTGATGAGTATTGACGGGGCAGATACTTCTAGTGAACCGTTTTATATCGCAAAGGCACTTTCTGCGCATAGACACTCATTAAGAGTGTTGGATATTGACGTTGATGCAGGCTCTAGGGCAGACGCGCTGGACTGGGATGTTGACAAGAAATACGAGGAAGGAGAAGATGACGAGTCTAATTGGGAGATGAAGGACCAGCTTGATCTATATGGACGCGATCGGCTGGCTTTGGATAAAAAGATAAGTACTGAGCACAAGATGGATAGTGGTAAAGAGTACACACCGACTATTGGGTCATTACATGACTTTCCTCACCTCACGCATCTGAGCATAGGCATCATGCCACTCCTTGGGGAATATGATTGGTGGAAACCACCCTTTCGACTCAAGGAACCACCCTACCGACTTGAGAAACCCGCACCTTCCCGACTAGTAGACATGTTACCACCTTCTCTAGAGTATCTGTGCATCTATGGGTATACTCGGGGTGAAAATCCAGATATTGACGAGCATATTGATGAGTTTCTGGCTAAGAAAGACGACAAGTTGCCAAATTTGAAGGTTATTAAGGGTATTGACGAGCGTGTACGGGATATAAAGGATATCCTTTATGATATGACCGTGGCGGAAGTGGATGACGATGAGCTTTATGTGCGAGGGGGGGAATTTCAGTCGGGATGGAAGGAGAGTTGACGAATACTCAGAACCAATACAATGGCACTATCAAAGACAATCAGGGCCGATCTCATTCTCTAAACGCATCTCAAGATTGCACCAGCACTGGGGCAAAGATTCCAAAATCCAAACAACAAGAGCCAAAACATAGGGTCAATACTGATTGAATCCACATGCCGCGTGACATCAAGCTATAGAGTTTACGCTATGAGTGGAGAGTAGAGCCGCGTAACTCGTAGTCTGAAAATAATGGTCTATGATTAAGCTTACGATAAAGATAAACTGCCAGAGAATATTTTATCGGAAAACAATTAATGGCGATATGAGCATCTAATGGCCACAGCACGTGGTTTCACGATATTAAGGGACCTGGCCTAGCCCAGTTTACGAATAAGATGACACAACAATGGCCGACTCTCATGCTGATAATTGCCGTCCTACCCGGGTCCCTTGCAGTGAATCACCAATCAACCTATTAAAACATCTCCCGTGAAGCTAGGTGACTAATGACAGAGGCTTAACTACCGGCGACACAAAGCCGTATCGTCACCGTATCGCTTCTAAACCAATCACACGTCATCCCATAAGCGGAGAAGGAAGATTCCGGGTCCGATAACACGCCTGACCCTTTGAACCTTGGTAAATACGCAAACGACACGCGACGCCAGGTTCTTTCCGTTTAAACATCTTCAATTAGAAAACAACGAGTTTCGAAATGAACAAGACTTCTCATACCGATGAACCCTTCGAGGGCGATGACGGCTACAACCAGAGCCCAAATCCAAACTCCAGCGACTTGACTACCAACGCTGACTTCAACGGGCTCGTCAACAGTCGCACTTCTCTTCAAGGCGACACTCGTGCACTGCCAGACGCAGCGTCCGATATGCCAGGACAGACAGCCAACGATGCACCTACCGAAACGCCCGGCGGAGGCAAAGCTAATCTCCGGCTGGCTCATCGGTCAATCGACCATGGCCAGCCCTCAGGCGGTCTGCACTCAGCACCCGCCAACCCCCCGCCAGCACCAGCTGGTTCCGCCGACAAGGGCACGCCGCTTCAGCGTCTCAAAGACACACTCATCAAGATTGGATCTTTTGTTGGGCCTGGTTTTATGATTTCGGTTGCGTACATTGACCCGGGCAATTACTCGACCGACATCGCCGCAGGAGCTTCGTATCGCTTTCGACTGTTGTTCATTGTATTGCTATCGAATGTATTTGCGATTTTTCTGCAGAGTTTGGCGATTAAGCTTGGGACTGTTAGTGGACTTAATCTTGCGCAGGCTTGCCGGGCGTTTCTGCCGAGGTGGTTGAATTATATCTTGTATGTTTTTGCTGAGGCTGCTATTATTGCTACGGACATCGCAGAGGTGAATCACTCTTCTTTACCCATTTTTGTGGGGTTGTATGCTGACTTACTAGGTCATTGGATTTGCCATTGCACTGAACCTTCTGGTCCCCAAAATTCCGCTGGTTGCAGGATGTGCTATTTCCATCCTCGATGTCATGGTTCTTCTTATCTTTTACCGCCCTGAGGGTTCCATGAAGGGTTTACGGTACTTCGAGATGTTTATCATGTGCCTGGTTCTTGGCGTGGTTGTTTGCTTTTGCATTCAGCTATCTCTGATTCGAGATACCACCCCAGGCGAGGTATTTCAAGGATATCTTCCATCAAAGTATCTCGTCGAGTCTGAGGCGTAAGTCCCGAATCCTTCTCGATGTTGCACCTCGCTCTAATGCTCGACTAGTATCTACCAAGCTTGCGGCATTCTCGGCGCGACAGTCATGCCTCACAGTCTTTATCTAGGATCCGGCATTGTTCAGCCTCGCCTACGTGAATACGATGAACGAAGCGCCCTGTTGCCTCGCCAAGTCTCTATAGAACCCTCTGTGCTTGACGACAGCATCGACAAAGGCTATTACGTTCCATCTGAGAATGCAATTAAACACTCTCTCAAGCTTTCTATCCTCGACCTGGGTATTTCTCTCTTTACTTTTGCCCTTTTTGTTAACTCAGCTATCCTTATCGTTGCTGGTGCATCGCTCTATAACAATCCAAATGCTCTTGATGCAGATATCTTCGGCATTCATGATCTGCTTTCTAAGTCTATCTCGCCTACTGCAGGCACTATATTTGCTCTTGCATTACTTCTCTCTGGAGTTTCAGCTGGAATTGTGTGCACTATTGCTGGACAAATGGTCAGTGAGGGCGCTTTAAACTGGAATATTAAGCCATGGCTGCGCCGCCTTGTGACTCGGAGCATTAGTATCACCCCGAGCATTATCATCGCGGCAGCCGTTGGGCGAGAAGGGCTTAATGCGGCGCTCAATGGGTCGCAGGTGGCTCTCAGCATTATCCTGCCCTTCGTAACCGCACCGCTCATCTATTTCACATGCCGTGATAAGTACATGACGGTCCAAACTGGTAGTGCACGCTGGCGTACGGGCGATATGGATGATGAGACAGACATGGATGGGGTAGTCGAACAAGGAGCTAGGTCTCAACGCGGCGGTGTCAAGATGACCAACTCATGGTTCACTATGATTCTGGCTATTCTCATCTGGCTCTTCATGGCAATCATGAACGTGGCTAACTTGGTATTCCTTGGCAAGTAGGCGGTGTGAGGGCGCTATAGTTGCTCGGTGAGGAGCAACTGTGTAAGATCGCTTGTTTAGAAGAGCAGAGCATCCCCTGTGTATTGGTGAGGAATACGAACATACAGGGAACCTTATTTCCAGTACATTGACTCAGGTATAGCTCTATTGATTGGCGCAGTTGGCCATCCCCAAGAATCAACATGCTGTCCGTAGGCGACTGCGGTGGCGTTCTTCGTGTGTTATCTTGCCTTGGTCGAGGCCTTGATATCGTATGGAAGAATGGCTAGACAGAAATTTCGTATGAACCTTGAGTTGCGGTAATAAAATAAAGCACGAGACAAGAACATGGAACAAGTGTCGCATATAATGATCGAGAGTTAATGGAAAGATGTCGGTATGGGATTGGGGCCAAGAGCAGTAGCTTTGATCCTCAACCAACAGTATTAAATAAGGGGCATGCGGTGACCCAAGATAAAGGCGCAGACGCAGACGCAGACGCAGGGGCATCGCTACGATCATAGAGAGCTAATATCTGCGTGACAATACTAGACACAGTTGTTATAATGATTAGCCAAATCGATGCGGCCATGTAGCTGTATTACCTTCCTCTATCTGAACCGAGATGTGATACAAGGCTATTTCCATCACAAACTTTGACATTTGCCCAGGTATTTCGCATCATTGGCCTTCAGGATCGCTGTTCAACACACTCGCTTGACTGAGCCCCGTGCAACCCTGTATTGCGATCGCGCTGAGCTCTTCGCATCCTTTATGGGGTTCGCTGTTGGATGGCTGCCCGCTGGCGCCGTGAAATGGAGCACGTGGCTATATGGTGTTCCACAGCAGCTTAAATTCGCAAGTTCTACCACAAATAGAATCCATGGCCTAGTTCCACAAATTGCACCCGTTTTTCTTGGAGCTGTATGACCTTGATCTGTCTCACTGCTTGGCTAGACAGGCCTGCTGAGACTTGCGCCTTCTTTGCCGCATCCTTTGCAACGATATCCATCAGCTTCGACGGGCACCTTATCTCTGGGACCAGTGCAAGGGCAATATCCAAAGGATGGAGCCTGAACGCAGTAGTATAGCAGCTCTTTCAAGAATTCGGGACACTCATTGACTAGCTCGTCAAAGGCATCTCGGATATCCGATTGTGCTCCTCCTTCGCGAAGTTTGTTCCTTGCAAACTCCAATGCTGGGTCCCTGAGACCTCTTGAGCTTTCGGGGGTCAAGGTATAAACATGTGGGATTGAATGGAGAAAGTCGTCGAGTTCTAGGCTCTCGTCCAATGACCATGAGTATTTTCGAGCCGATAGATCTCTAAGTCCTTTGATGTCGTACTCGTCACCTAAAGCATACATTATCGCATGAGTCGAGAGAGCTGCGGAGCTTGATGGAGTGTCGTTTTCGTTTGCCTCATTCGTGTTGGCAGAGTAGTTGCCTGTATATAAATAGTCCACCATAAGCTGTATCATGTCCGGTTGGTGAGAAGTTAAGTCATATGTACCAGAAAACGCCTCCTTTTACCTGTCAGTCAACGGCTGTCAAGCCGGTACACTAACTCAAAGCTGCTCACCTTGAACTGACCAGCGCATGCTGCTCGAAAGACTGGAGACTGGCTGCAGATGATGATCTTGTGAACCTCGATATTTCGCCCGTTACATGCCAAAGTGAAGTCGGTAAACTCGCCGGTCTCGCGGGCTCTGTCGGCTCAGTCAACCGTGATCTCGGAACTAACGACTGGGGATTCGTACTGTACTATACGCGCTCTTGTATCTTCAAAATCCATGATGGCGAAATATGCACAAAATACAATACGAAACTCGAACAATATACACAGAATGAGAAACAAAAGAAGAGAAAAGCGACCGCCAGTGCAAATTTGGCAGCTCGTTCCTTTTAAATGCCAAACAATGACGGTGCGCCTGATTCATGAGTGGCCTCATGATCCCAAATTCCTGGTATTCGAGGCTGGATTTGGTTAGCTATCAGATCTAGCGTTGCATCATGGCGCCACTGGCAACAGAGCTCGCAGCCATGACATCCGTCACAAGCCACAACGAGCCACACATATACTGTGTCGGCTGTCTGAAATGTTGCTTGAACTTCAGATGATTGGTGGTAAAGTGGCAAAAGCCGACCTATTTTCTATATAGAGATGGGCACTTGTATTTCGCCTTGTTGATGAGATGCATGATGCAGGTGAGTAATTGGAAGAAGGTACTATGATTCAAAGCTACAAGATTCTTTCAAGCTTTCCAGATTCTGGACAGTATCGTTAAAGTATATATGAATGCCAAAATGTGCAGTGACTAGCGCATATAAACGTCTTCCCACTCTTCATCTTCAGTATTGTTATCCCGCTGCCGTTCCCGCTCCCGAGCCTTCAACTCCTCCAGGATACGGCAGTTATGGCACAAATCGACAGAAGATTCTTCTTCATAAACCTCAACTCCATAGCATGGCTCCTCGGTGTTGGTGTCGTCAATCTGCGTCAAAGGGCCGCGGCCACGTCGACCGCATGGCGTGACAGGTCCATAGGTAACAAGTGTACTTCTGCTACTGCATCTGTCACAGACTTCGACGGTCTTGTTCTGATAGCACATAGCTTGATGTCTTTATTACAAGTTAACAGCCTTACGTGCATAAAGTCAGAAAATAGACAGACTTTAGAGCTGAAATGTAGGGACCTAGGGATAACGGACTGAATGTCGTAAGAGTTTTGCAAAACTTAAAACTGGACAAACCATCGTGACGGTATAGTATGGATATAGGCAGGAGATGATCTAATCCAGAGTACTTGGGTTGAAAGCGGAAAATTGCTGCTGGCGTCATACTCGTGAGCCATCCAATAGCAAGGAGACACGGATTGTCATTTCAAGCAGTTTGCATAAATGAACTGCATATAAATTGAGAACCCGTGCGCGAAAATGTCTAGTTGTATGAAATACTAACTGTGTCGTTTGCATCTTTCGCCCGGTTAGATAGACAGCCTGATGTGGCCTGGCAGGTAAAGTGCAGCATTTCCCCTTCATTTCGACCAACCTGGTTACCGGATCATGCTCATGCCATACCAAAGCGCAACATTAGGGTGCATTATTTGATAAAGACACCACCACGGACACCGAGAACATGAGTTCTTGAATCAAATAAGTGACGAAGTTCCTGTTTCGCAACTTGGATAGGGCTACATAAAATGCACGCCAATTCACATTGCTGTTACTACTATAATAATTGTATAATGAGGGCTGGCACCTACATCATCCTATTGGGTTTGTCGGATACCTGGAGTTGATTTGTAAGGCTCTTAGACATTAGAGGGGATATACCTTGCAGCGTGGTGATAAGACCTTGATTCAAAGGATAAAAAGATTGGGATAAGCCTAGGCCAAGTTTAGGAGGCATTCTGACGACTCTTTTTTAGCACCCTGATTTAGAGCTTAATGTTTCCTGCTCCTGGAGGGCCGATGCTTCTTTCAGCGCGAAGCTCCATCCCTCCACCTTTGCTATTTCTGGTGCTCCGCGGCGACTGCGTACATAATAAAATAATCTCTCATTATTAGACAAAGCTACTCAGAAGTCACGTCGTCACAGCCTCTGGGTTAAGACACGTGCTAAACAGGACGCAGGGAACAATTATTTCTCCGGCTTGTAATAAAGTTTATGACAACATCGGCTCGCATTACTAATGCCCCAGCGCAGCTTTAGTCTGTCGGACTGATCACTAATCACCTAACTGAGCGGCCTAACCAACTTCGTTCTCCGCAAGGGAGCCCGAGATTGATTGCATTTTCCATAGCGCCTGCGGCTCCGCATTCTCTCCGAACACTTGCAATTGAGTTCCAGCGAGCACTTAGACGCCCGCAGTCGGATAGACTGTAAAGCAAAAGTTTATAATATTACTAAAGCCTCCGAGGAGAGAATTGAATGGTTATCAGTGGCTGAAATGATGACCAACCGCCGCTAGATCAAATAGAAGTCTTTATAAGAACACAATGTAATTGAGATCCCAGTCATTGCTCCAGTTATCTATTCATATTACACAGTATAATTGATCCTTCCAACATACTCAGTTAGCCAAGGAGCGAACCTGGCCTGCACCGAACCTAGCAAACACCTTTTATCGTCACACCATCCTGCGATTGCCCCATAATGTCGAACAAGCCCACCGCTCTTATTACTGGGTACGCTCCACCGTATTTAAGCTTGTCCACAGACCGAGACTTACTGACATGCTTGTAGTTGCTCAGAAGGCGGAGCCGGTCATGCTCTCGCTCTAGAATTCGCGGCTAAAGGCTACCGAGTCTTCGCTACCGCTCGATCTACCAAGTCGCTTGCAAGTCTTCAAGAAAAAGGCATTGAAACTCTCACCCTTGACGTGACCAAATCGGAGAGTATAGCCGCTCTTAAGGATGAGATCACCAAGCGAACGGGAGGAAAGTTGGATATTCTGTTTAACAATGCTGGAATGAGTAAGTCCACAGAGTCAATTGTTAGTGAGAATATTTACTGACTCTTCAAGTGTACGAGGCCCCGGCTATAGAAGCCGACAGGGAGCAAGTCCAGAACATGTTCAACACCAACGTCTTTGGACTCTTCGACATGGTCCAGGCCTTCACTCCACTCCTCCTTGCATCCGTCGCTGGGTCAAATACAGCACCTACCATTATCAACACAGCGTCAATTGTAGCACGCGTACCTTACTTCTTTTCCGCTCAGTACAATGCCACCAAAGCAGCAGTAGCTTCTTACTCCGACACTCTACGACTTGAACTTGCTCCCCTAGGAATAAAGGTCATCACTTTATACATGGGCGTAGTAGCAACGAAGCTTATATCAACTGACAAAAAGCTCCTTTCTCCTGACAGTATTTTCATCGATGCTGAGGAAGGTCTTCGTGAGAGGTCTAGACTTCATCTGAAGGATGGCACGAAACCCCAAGAGTTTGCACGGTTGGTGGTCAAAGATGTGTTGAAGAATAGAACGGCTCTTAGTAAGGGGGAGTATATATGGCAGGGAGCTAATGCGTATGTTGTTTGGCTTCTTAATGCGATTGGATGGAGAAAGATCTTTGATGGGATTTCTGAGGGGGGAGTTGGGCTTACGAAGGAGGTGAAGAAGGCGATTTACAAGAAGGCTCAAGGCAGTCTGCCAAAGGCTAGTTAGATGGAGCTCGACCGTAGCGATAGGTAATCTATAGTTCGTAATAATAATGCTTCATTTTACTTTTATACCTCGAAGACGAAGTTTAAGACCAAGCCAGGCAGGCCTTTAGGCTAACTGAAAGTTCATGCGATAAATTAGTTAATGGCAGCGAGTCGAGCTGTATGCAAAAGCAGGATACAGATGACCATGGACCGCTCTGTCTTCTACATTTTTTGTTGTCTGAATGTTAACCTCTCGCCTGAAGATTCACAGGCATGTATTGAAGTGTAATAAGGAACCAAAGTATAACAAGAGTAGTGATACATTCGCAACATCCATCTAATGAACCAGACTACGATCTAATACTTCTAAAAATATCCGCCACCTTTCCAAACAGCTTCCGTAACGTAGCAGGCGTCATCATGGCATGCTCAGGAATAACCCGACGTCTTTCATCCAACTCTTTCCCAAGAACCTCTACTTGCCTAGGTGACAACAAACCGACTTCCTTGCCAGCTAGTATCCTCCCAACACCCAACACACGCTCGATATTCTCAATCAGACTCACTGAGACTTCACAAAAGATCATTCCCTGAGTACAAGGTTTCTCAAGAGGTCGGCCGCAGACTAAAAGACCTGGAACAGGATCGATAGGGTCAATGGCGATTCGTTCGACGCGTGTGGCGATGTTATCGAGTATAAGCTCGTAGATGGTGATGAGTTGGATGAAGATACTTGTGATCATCAACGCAATTGGGGTAGGTAGTGGTTCTGACGTGACGGTAGGCTGGGGTAATGAAACCTGAAATAGATTCTTTGACTGCTTTCGAAGTTGCGACGACAGATGACATGGATAGAGTAACTCCATCGGTTGTGAATCACATAAGAGTTCAGGGCAATGTCGAGTATTGTAGAGCTTTGTCAAGATGAAGAGAAACTCTTGAGCGACTTTGATGACATATTCTGCCAAGGTGATGTCGTCGATATACAAAGGACCGTGTTGATAGATCATGATATCAAAATCGAGGGACGCTTTGTTCTTCTTTATAGCTTCGAGACGAACGTGAAGACCGAGGTTTATCGTAGACAGGTCGGGCATAAAGTCGCCAGGCTCGGTGTTTCGTGGGTGATGTGTAGTTAAGCAATTGCTCAGAAGGGAGAAGTTATCGTTTATTGCCAGTGTTGGGGACATGCAGGTTGTGTATTGGCTAGTGCTGAGGTCCAGATCGGTATATAATGGAGTATTGGTGTAGTCCAGATCGCCGGCTGTGTTCCACGATGTATTTGACTGATCAAAGATGTCTGTGAATCCCAAACTCCACGATGCTGCATTTACATCTTGTATCGTCGTGGTAGGCATCTCTGGAGGGGACGGCCTCGGAGATAACATGCCAGTCCACTCAAACGGACTCCAATCATCCATGAAAGAAGCATTTTGTCGCAGCGGAGGAGAAACTGATCGATTCGGTGCATTGACAGGTAGATGTTGGACATTTGGTGTTGAACCTTTAGCAGGTTGCTTTCGTCGCGGTCGCCCTGGGACTTTCTGCTGGCCTATAGCACAATGTACACCCAGCATAGTACATCTCGCGCATTTCTCATCACCAGGTCTTATTCGCTGACACCGAGATTTGCTCTTCCTGCAGACGTCGCAGGAGAAACGTCTCTGAGAAGGATGGGGTGCGGAGGCGCCCATCATCAACACGGCGTATATCGGTATAGGAAAAACGGATAAATGCACAAGTACAGTGGATGCAGATTGAATGGATATCGGATTGAAGGACAGAACCAAAGTCCGTCGACCTTGGAAAGAGTGTGCGAGAATGCCTCTATATACGAAACCCTCCGCGGAAGGTTTCGTAGATCCACCCAGGCTAGTCTGTTTTGAAATTGTTGATTAGTATTCCCTCCGGCACTTGCACATCCACTTTTGATAACACTTCCGGTTGGGGATAACTGCCGTGATTACATTGGCTGCCCGCCGTCGCATTTCAGCTTCGGACTCGCTTGTCTGGTCCCAAGGGGTTTAGCTTTCGAGGATGCCGTGAAGGAGACGGTCGGACTCCTCGCTCCTGATAATGAATCGCGTATCCGCAAGGTTTTTTTTTTGCAATGATGCTGGTGAATAAAGTTAGTCCCCATTTCTCAGTCCGGAGGGTTTTGGGGTTTAGTCAGTGTGTTTATGACGCCTTGAGTAGAGATAGTGTTGGCTGGTGTAAAAGAATGCGTTTACGTCCCTGTTATATCCTGTTCACCTTTCGTTCTTTATCGCTCGTTATTACTCAATTCGACTTGTATCAATCTGTAATTACCACTCCTTAAATCACCTAATTTTCTTCTATGACAATGAGTGTCAATTCCTCCACCACCGCAGACGACGGCTCCATCACCGCCACCGAAATCCAACCCCCCCCGCCCTTATCGACAAACCCCAACTCGAAAAGACCAGCACAACAACACAATGGCATCTCGCCCCCGAACTCCAAGCCATGCGCGACAAGGACGAAGAAATCGGCCAGAAGCCTCGCAAACTCGGCGTTACGTGGCAAAACCTTACCGTCAAAGGCATAGGCAGCGACGCAGCCTTTAACGAAAACGTCGTCTCCCAATTCTACCCTTTTCATCAGAGTGCTGAAGATGCTCCTATGAAGACTATAATTGATGGCTCTTACGGTTGTGTCAAGCCTGGAGAGATGTTGCTTGTTCTTGGACGCCCGGGGAGTGGGTGTACTACGCTCTTGAGTGTTCTTGCGAATAATAGAAGGGGTTATAAGGAGGTTACGGGAGATGTTCATTATGGTAACATGTCTGCTGAAGAAGCTAAAGCTTATCGAGGACAAATCATCATGAACACTGAAGAAGAGATTTTCTTTCCCAGTTTGACAGTCGAAGCAACCGTCGATTTCGCTGCTCGGATGAAAGTCCCCTTCCATCTCCCCCCCGGTATCAAGACCCGCGAAGAATACGCCCAATTCTACAAAGATTTCCTCCTTCGATCCGTCAACATCTCCCATACAGCACACACCAAAGTCGGCAATGCTTTCATCCGTGGTGTTTCCGGCGGCGAGAGAAAACGCGTTTCGATCGTTGAGTGTCTTACTACGCGAGCAAGTGTCTTCTGTTGGGATAACTCTACCCGCGGTCTTGACGCCAGCACTGCGCTAGAGTGGGTACGAGCTATAAGAGCCATGACGGACATTCTTGGTTTGACTACTATCGTGACGCTGTATCAGGCTGGAAATGGGATTTACGAGCATTTTGATAAAGTTCTTGTTCTTGATGAGGGGAAGCAGATCTTTTATGGGCCGCAGAGAGAAGCTGTTCCGTTCATGGAGGATCTTGGATTTGTGAGAGATTCGGGATCCAACCGGGGTGACTTTCTCACAGGTGTTACTGTTCCGACGGAGAGGCGTGTTGCGCCGGGGTATGAGAATACGTTTCCTCGTGATGCGGATGGTGTTCGCGCTGCGTATGATCGGTCGGTCATCAAGACGAGAATGATAGAGGAGTGTCAGAGGTATCCTACCAGTGACGAAACAGCTGAGAACACCGCTGTCTTTAAGGAGATGGTAGCCCGCGAGAAGCAGAGATACGTTCCTGCTTCCTCCCCTGTCACAGCAAACCTCGCCATGCAAGTTCAAGCCGCTGTTACTCGACAGTATCAGATCATGTGGGGTGACAAGTCAACTCTCTTCATGAAGCAGGGCGCGACTCTCATCCAAGCCTTTCTCGGTGGATCGCTGTTTTACTCTGCGCCTGATAACTCAGCTGGTCTTTTCCTGAAAGGCGGTGCTCTGTTCTTCTCAATTCTGTACAATTCCTTGTTGGCGTTGTCGGAAGTCACGGATTCTTTTACGGGAAGACCTATTCTTGCGAAGCATCGGTCCTTTGCACTTTATGACCCAGCGGCTGTTTGCATCGCACAGGTCGTCGCTGATTTACCCATTCTGGCTTTCCAAGTCATTCAGTTCGGTCTTGTTCTTTATTTCCTCGTTGGTCTTAAGACTACAGCTAGTGCGTTCTTCACGTATCTCGTCACCAATTACGTTACCGCCTTGTCAATGACGGCGTTCTTCCGCTTCATCGGCGCTGCGTTTCCAACCTTTGATGCAGCTACTAAAGTTTCCGGTCTTTCTATCGTTGCGCTGTTTGTCTACATGGGATACATGATCATCAAGCCTGAGATGCATCCCTGGCTATCTTGGATCTTCTGGATCAATCCCATGGCGTATGGGTTTGAAGCTCTTCTTGGGAATGAGTTTCACGATCAAGAGATTCCTTGTGTCGGACCGTATCTCATTCCCAACGGTCCTGGATATGTCGGAGGGAATGGTGGCCAGGCGTGTTCTGGCGTGGGTGGCGCTGAGACCGGTGCTGCCTTTGTCACAGGCGACGCTTACCTCTCGCACATGTCATTCAGTCACAGCCATATCTGGCGCAACTTCGGCATCAACTGCGCTTGGTGGATTCTCTTCGTTGGCCTCACAATCTTCTTCACATCGCGATGGAAGCAAGTTGGCGAAGGTAGTCGAAACCTCCTCATTCCTCGGGAACAACAGCACAAGTCCAAACATCTCTTGCCCTCCAAGGACAGCGAAACACCAACTGAGAAGACGCGCGCTGAGAATGGATCAGGCGTGTCAGATGGGGAGGTTGACACGAACCTCATGCGCAACAAGAGCATCTTTACCTGGAAAAACTTGACATATACTGTTAAAACCTCAGATGGTGACCGCGTACTTCTTGATAACGTGCAGGGCTACGTTAAACCCGGTATGCTCGGTGCATTGATGGGTTCTTCAGGTGCAGGCAAAACAACACTCCTCGATGTCCTCGCGCAACGAAAAACAGAAGGATCAATCCACGGATCCGTGTTAGTCGACGGACGACCTATTCCTGTTTCTTTCCAACGATCAGCTGGGTATGTCGAGCAATTGGATATCCACGAGCCTTTAGCAACCGTTCGCGAAGCCCTCGAATTCTCCGCCTTGTTACGCCAGTCTCGCGATGTACCCACCGAAGAAAAGCTGCGCTATGTCGATACCATCGTTGATCTCTTGGAGCTAAATGATCTCGAACATACACTTGTCGGTCGCCCTGGAAATGGCTTGTCAATTGAACAACGAAAACGTCTCACCATCGCTGTTGAGTTGGTTGCGAAGCCCAGTATTCTCATCTTTCTCGATGAACCGACATCTGGACTCGATGGCCAGGCTGCTTACAACACGGTGCGCTTCCTTCGAAAGCTCTCAGCAGCTGGACAAGCTATTCTGGTGACAATTCATCAACCATCTGCACAATTATTTGCGCAATTTGATACGCTGTTGTTGCTTACCAAGGGTGGAAAGACTGTGTATTTCGGTGATATTGGCGACAACGCTGCTACGGTGAAGCAGTATTTCGGTCGTTACGGCGCTCCATGTCCACCTGAGGCGAATCCCGCTGAACACATGATCGACGTTGTGTCGGGAGAGGATGGACCATATAAGGATACAGACTGGAATCAGGTTTGGCTACAGTCGCCGGAACATGACCAGCTCACGAAAGACCTGGACCACATGATTGAAGCAGCAGCGTCTCATCCACCAGCTGTCAACGACGACGGTAACGAATTTGCAGCGTCGATGTGGACGCAGGTCAAGCTTGTAACGCACCGAATGAACGTCTCTCTCTTCCGGAACACAGAGTACATCGACAACAAATTCGCTATGCATGTCAGTCTTGCGCTTCTAAACGGGTTTACGTTCTGGCAGATTGGTGATAGTTTGACAGATCTTCAGCAGAATCTGTTTACTGTATTCAACTTTATCTTTATTGCGCCGGGTATCATCGCCCAGCTTCAGCCTCTCTTCATTGATAGAAGGGATATTTATGAAGCCAGGGAGAAGAAGAGCAAGATGTATCACTGGGCGCCATTCGTCACTGGCCTGATTGTGTCGGAGGTGCCGTATCTGCTTGTTTGTGCGCTGTTGTATTACGTTTGCTGGTACTTTACTGCTGGTCTGCCCACTGGTGCCGGACATGCAGGTAGTGTCTTTTTCGTCGTGGTAAGTTCTTTTGTCTATGAGCTATTTTGGGAATTGAAGCTAATATGTTTCCAGGTCATGTACGAAGGTCTCTATACTGGCATTGGTCAGATGATTGCAGCATACACCCCAAACGCGGTCTTTGCGTCTCTCGTCAATCCTCTGGTCATCACCACTCTCGTCTCATTCTGTGGCGTGATGATTCCTTACAGTCAGATTGTACAATTCTGGCGATACTGGTAAGTGATAGACTCTCCCTCATGATATGGCGGCATCCTGATCTAACTGCAAAATCACAGGATGTACTACATCGATCCCTTCAACTACCTTATGAGTTCGCTCCTCATGTTCACCACCTGGGACAAGCCAGTCCACTGCAAACCCCACGAACTCGCCATCTTCGACCCTCCTTCCAACACCACTTGCGCCGACTACCTTTCCGAGTATCAGAATGGTATGGGTAAAGCTACCAACCTCCTTAACCCGGAAGCCATCGCCTCTTGTCAAGTCTGTCAATACACGTCGGGCGAGGATTATCTTCGAACGCTGAACCTCAAGGAAGAATACTACGGTTGGAGAAACGCTGGTATTGTTGTTGTGTTTGTGATTGGTATCTACGGGCTCGTCTATCTTATGATGAAGCTTAGGACCAAGGCTACCAAGAAGGCAGAATCTTAGATAAAACGGATGGGTTAGAATGGGATGGAAAGGTTAACTATATTAGAATGGTCGGAATGGTGTACCCTGCTACTTCTCTTCTTTGTGTTCTTCTTGCTGGCCGACTTTCGGTCGCAGTTATTTTAGTTTTAGATCTCAATTAACTACTCTGGGTAATTACTGTCTCGACTGGGTGGATTTGTTGTTCCTGTAGTCTTTCGTCCTGCAAATTGCAGTGTAAGCTGGCGAGACCCCTCTCCACTAAAAACGTCCGCTAACTCGGTTTTTCGCAGTGGTACACTTAGCCCCCACAAAATCCGGCGAAATTACAAGCAGTGCATTCTTCTCGCTTTCAGCGCCATTTCGCCGAAAATGTTGGTCTGTTGGACGCCTTCAACCCCAGACGCTCGCCACAACTGTCATAAGACATCTCCAAGGAATGGCCTTTGGTTCGCCGAATCCACAGTCAACAAATGAGTCTGCGACATATTTCTACCATGATGCAATTGTCCTATGTATCTATTATAAGAAGACCGGGGTCAATTGACTACCCTCCGTCGACACCAGTAAGTCTTCAAGATAACTGTTTCGACTCTCTACCACAGTTACAAAGCCCATTCATATCTACTGCGCTAAAAAATATTGCCAACATGCACTACACACCCCGTGAGGTACGGAATACTTCAGTTACTTAACGTTATTAATACTGACCGTCTTACTGCAGGTAGAGAAACTTCTCTTTTCTCAGGCGGGTCGTCTCGCACAAAGGCGCCTGGCCCATGGAAAGAAGCTGAACCACCTTGAGTCTAGTGTAAGTGGAACATGACCAATACAGAGATCAATCGTAAGCTGACTCGCCTAGGCACTCATTGCCACGGTTCTGCAAGAGGTATACTCATTCCCAAAATGCCGGCTGTTGTTCTCGCTAACTCCACAAGATCATCCATAACGAAGATTACTCTGTCGCTGATCTCATGAAACTCGGCAAAGGGATCCTGGGACGACGACATGTTCATCCATCTGTCGTGGGTACGCTCAAGCAGATGCAGGTCGAAGGCACTTTTGAGACAGGAACTCATCTGATCACCATCCACAACCCAATCAGCACTGATGACGGTGACTTGAAGATGGCTTTGTATGGAAGCTTCCTCCCAGTCCCTACTGGAGACTTGTTCCCCACTGTCAACGAGGCGGACTTTCATCCTTTAGCGATGCCGGGTGCTATTCGGCCAGCGGAGACTGGAGATATCGTTCTTAATGCTGGTCGTGACCGAGTGAGGCTCACCGTCACGAACAAAGGGACTCGGGCCGTTCATGTAAGTAAGCAGCAAGACTTGCACGTAAGCGTCAGACTGACATGCGTTTTAGATCGGATCTCACTTTCACTTCATGGAGACAAACCCCGATCTCGACTTCGACCGCGAAAAGGCCTACGGCTATCACCTCAATCTCCCAGCCGGAGAGTTTCTGCGCTTCGAACCCAATGAGCCGAAATCCGTCGCTCTGGTTCAAATTGGAGGCTCAAAGGTCATCCAAGGTGGGAGTGGTTTTGCCAAAGGTCCGGTCAACCGCGACAGCGTCCAGAAGATCTTGCAGCAACTGCAACAGGCGGGTTATCGACACACACCTGAACCGTTGGAGGAACAAGAGGCTATTCAGCCGTGCTCAATTAGTAGGGAGAAGTATGCCTCTGCTTATGGCCCCACGACAGGCGATCTGATTCGTCTTGGGTCTACGGACCTTTGGGTGAAGGTCGAGAAGGATTATACGTTTTATGGCGACGAGTGCACGTTGGGTTGCGGTAAGACCATTCGTGATGGCATGGGAGCAGCAAGCGGCTGCACTGATGCCGATTGTCTGGACTTGGCTATCATCAACGCTGTCATCATTGATTGGACTGGCATATTCAAAGCCGACATTGGTGTCAAGGACGGTGCCATTGTCGGCATTGGAAAAGCTGGTAACCCAGCTACTATGGATGGTGTTTCTGATAACATGGTGATTGGGTCGAACACGGACATAATTGACGCTGGAGGTAAGATTGTTACCGCTGGTGGAATCGATACACATGTCCACAATATTTGTCCCCAGCAGGCGTTCGAGGCGATCTCATCCGGCGTGACGACTCTCTTTGGAGGCGGTACAGGCCCAAGGTACGTGTCAATCCCTCAACACAAGTTCTATTGTTGGTACTGACATAAACAGTACCTCATCTACAGCTGTCAATGGCACCGCGAGCAAGAAGTACATCCGACAAATGATGCAAGCATGCGATCAACTGCCCCTCAACTTTGGCCTCGTCGGAAAGGGCAGCGACTCTGAGAAGATCGGTCTTCTCGATCAGATTAAGGCTGGTGTGATCGCACTGAAGCTGCATGAGGACTTTGGCTGTACTCCCTCAACAATCGACAACTGTCTGAAGTAAGTTACTACTTCCGAAATGACATGTATCTCGCTGACTTTATATCTGCAGTGTCTGCGAAGAACAAGACATCCAATGCCATATCCACACCGACGGCCTCAATGAAGCAGGTTTCCTCGAACATACAGCAGCAATCTTCAAAGGGCGCAGTATCCACGTCTACCATGTCGAGGGTGCAGGTGGCGGTCATGCGCCCGACGTGATCAAGCTTGTCGCATATCCTAACGTGCTCCCTAGCAGCACGACTCCCACGATGCCTTTCACTACGAACACGATTGACGAGCATATCGACATGGCCGCCAATTGCCACCGCCTGTCGAAGGATAATCCTGATGATGCCTCATTTCTTAAGAACCGTATCCGAGAGGAGACCATCTCGGCTGAGGATATTCTCCATGACATTGGAGCGATTAGCATTATGTCATCAGACTCTCAAGCAATGGGCAGATCGGCCGAGGTCCTCACATGCACTTGGAAGGCAGCGCATAAGAACAAAGTTCAGAGAGGACCACTGGCTGAGGACAAGGATACTGGTGCGGATAACTTCCGCGTCAAGCGATACGTCAGCAAGTACACAATCAATCCTGCGTTGACACAAGGAATCAACCATGCAGTTGGTAGTGTTGAGGCTGGGAAATTGGCGGACTTGGTGATTTGGGACCCTGCGGAGTTTGGAACGAAGCCATTCCAGGTTTTGAAGAAGGGATTTATTACGTATGCACAAATGGTAAGGTTATCTGTCCTAAGAGTTAAAAACTATTACTGACATTTTTATCCAGGGTGATCCCAACGGAGCGTAAGACATCCTTCCTGTCCCCCGCAATGCCTTATTGCTAACCTTTCGCAGTGTCGCAGATGTTGAGCCTTTGATCGGCCGACCCATGTATGGGGTAAGTACTGTGTTGCAATCATTCACTGAGCAATCCCTGACCTATCTCTTAGGCCCTACATCCCGAGTCGAGCGTCATGTTTGTCTCTCAAGCAAGCGTTTCGCAAGGCGGAGACGTTCACTCGTACAATCTCAAAAAGCAGATTGAGGTCGTGAAGAACTGCCGAACGGTAAAGAAGAGCGACCTCAAGTACAACAGTGCTACACCGAAGGTTGAGGTCGATCCTGAGACCTTGGTAAGTACTTTGTGACACCCTTGTTGAACTGTACTAATTATTCATTTCCTCATAGGTGGTCACTTGCGATGGAATGGAACTCAAGTCCCAACCGGCGAGCTCTCTTCCTCTGACGAGACAATCATTCTTGTACTAGATAGTTACGAGAACACACTTAGCTTAAAAGCTGTTTTGGACTTGGAATAGAGTTTAATACATGTTAATTTTAAGAGCTCCATTTACTGCTACATCTTGTATTTTAACGGTACTGAAGTAGTACAGCAAGCGAGCTTCTGGCTTGAGGTTAGTCGTGTAAGCCACTAGACCTTTGAGGTGTAGCGGCTCGCTTGGCAAAACAGGGCACTAATATACTGCGTCATAAGCAATGTCGACTGTGACTCAGCACTGTGAGCTTGTAAAATTTTCGCAGTCATGCAATTGAAAACTCCGGTCTAAGAATCCCAATATCCGCTCCGTCTACTTCTGTGTGCTAGGCTACAGATATCAAAATGGATAACAGCGAGGCAGACGATAGCGGTGCTGTTACACGCATCTATCGACTCCATAATAGACGTCGGCCTTGTGACCAATGTCGTGCCCGCAAAGTTCGGTGTCAAACCAATGATGGCAAGCCGCCGTGCGGTCGATGCGCGCAAACGGACACTCCATGTACTTTCGAGGGGCGATCAAGACGCACGACTCGGCAGAATAGGACCAGATCTGTCTCTAGTAGTGCTCATTCACCGGCTGTCAATCATGCCTCCCATGATGATACATTGGGTCTTGACAACTCTTTCGGGATAGAACAAGTTTCTGCCGAACAGCGCTCGGCTTCTCATAGACCGACAATCTTCACAGCCACTCCTCCAGTATTCTCTCACGAGAGCGAGGTCCCGTATCATCAAGCACCAACACTTGGTAGTGTCACCACTGCAACTGCGTTGCAGTTCTCAAAGTCACTGGATGACATACAGGGACAGACATCAATCCTTCTGGGAGCCTCCTCCGAGTCCGATCCCTGGCTACTACGCCACTGCCAGTTCGATGAATATGGAATGAGAAGCTTCTATGGTCTGCAGTTCCGAAACATTGGTGGAGTTCCAAACCGCCAGAGGATTCCTGTGCACTTTATCGTGACCCCGAAGTTGACGAATGAGACGACTGTCGATAAAATCATATCTTTGAGATCCAGGTTGAATGGGCTCATTCCAGTATCATGGGGCATTAGGCTCGTCAAGTTGTAAGCTAAACTACAGTGGTTTTTACAAGAATAAAGACTGACTCAATCCGCCAGGTTCTACAAACATATTTACCCTCTGATACCTATCATATCTTCAACTTACTTTAGCCAGGAATTACTCAGTAGCCCACTTACTGGGCCGGATACCCTTGAACATGTTCCTTGCCATTTGCTCGGCGCTATTTATGGCCTTGCGTTACCTTTTGCCCGGAACGATGAGCATCTCTCCATTGTAGAGATGCACAACCAGTTACCCAGCGCAGACGTCTGGCACATTGTACACGAAAGCCTACAAGAAGAGCTTCGTAACCCAGATCTCAGTGTTTTGCAAGCAGGTCTCATGTACCTCCATACAACTCTGAATCACACATTCACCACTGCGCCAGATGCGTTCAAATGGACCTGGCTAGGCACTCTGGTAGGAATAGCCCAGAATCTGGGTTTACACCTTGAGACTCGTATGTGCGCCGTCCCTGCCGAAGAAAAGCAGCTGCGTGCCCGCTTGTGGTGGGCTTTATATACTGAGGACAGGTGGTTATCATTACTCATGGGTCGTCCTCCCTACATTTCTGAAGATGAGTGGGACGTTGGCGAACTTGACGAAAATGATTTCACCATTCCTATAAGTATTCCATGTACGGATACTGCGCATGCTGAGTTGACGAGGCCTTTTCGGGATATGGCTCGTCTGTCGGTGATTGCGCACTCGGTGCAGTCTTCCTTCTAGTAAGTTACTGGCTCCTTTGCGGTTCCGACTCGAGCTGACATGTTTGCAGTTCATTGAAGGCTTCGCAGAAGCTTTCTGAGAATCTATCACTTTCTATCCAGACAGCACAGCCCATATTCGAGCAACTGAGCTTATGGCGTGCTTCGGTGCTAGCCCCAGAGTCACCGACAATAACAAGTAACAATGGCATGCTCAATGACAAGGCATCATATCCGGCAGCAATACTCGTCGCACACGCAACCTTGGTCACCTATGTATGGAGAGCGCTTCTACGACCCATCGTGCCATCGGCTGTACCGCCACTTATTGTCGATGATCAACAGCTTGCTGAGGCGTCGCTTTTTATGGAGCTTCAGCCGCATGATATAGAGAACCTCTGCTGGGATCTACCAGATCTCTCGCATCTCGAGTTACCACTGAGGAGCTCTATCGATGGCACTGGATCACATGATGCAGTCATTCAGAATCTCCACCAGTCTTCCTTGGCATGGGCTACGAGCCTGTCAAGTCTTGTCAAAAACCTATCACCCGCTCGTTTCCACGAGTCTTGGTATTCTTGTAAGTAACAGCCACCTTCTCTTCTTCTCAAGACTCTGCTAAAAAATTATCAAGGGTCGAATGTCTGCTTTGCCGTTATGTCAAGTTTTGCCATGGTTGTCTTCATCCAATCACCTACACAAGAAGCGGCGGCGAGGTCCAAGGAGATGCTTATGACGTGGCGTCAGATTGTAAGGGACCAAAGCAGAGTCTCTCCACTGTTACTACTGACATTGGCGCGAATTGATGGATACTTTGCCGCTGGTCTTTCTGACGTCTTTTCGTTGCCAGTCTATGTCGAAGCGGCGCTTTGACCTTAGCTTTTGGTGGAATCGGCGAAAGTCTGCTACATACGCCACTTTTTCGGCGAAGACCTGAGCGAAGACCTTTCGCCTAACGGCCCGAACCCCACTACGTTACCCTAAGGTTCGCTGATTTATTATGCAAACTGCAACACGCCAAACTCCTTCACTCAATTTAAACTATTCGTTACTTACACTCGGATACCTACCCACTGTTGGAAGTTGTCAATACTTGAGAAAATGGATCGTTATGTGGATTTACAGACTTCTTACGCCTCCAGCTTCTCGCCTCGAGATGGATGCCGTTGTGTCGGCTGCAGTTTCACCGGACCACGAACGAGTCGATTAACACAAGTTCCACCCCCTTCTTACTCAGAAGTCATGGGATATCACCGTCGGAAAAACTCCAAACCTGTCAGCAGAAACTGGAAGAAGACGAAGTTCAGAGATGCTATTGCTCGACTTTTCCGTCTGGATACATAAGTACGTCCCTTGTCCCCTCAAAATGTCGTCTTCAGTCCTTCTAAGACTTTTAGGATACGCACTACATGTTCCAATGAACCCACCGGACTACAATGGATTACGACCGCCCTTGCTATTCATTCAGAGATCAAAAGTAAACCAGAAATCTAATTGTCCACATCGGCCGTAATCATATCCGGAAATGCACTTTCAACGCTCCATGACCAGAACCACCAAGAGCCCGAGCTTTAACCAAGATAACGCGAGCCCATTCTCTATAGTAGATTAGTTGCAGGTAATTAATGCCTGATGTTATATGGGCATTAACCTGTCTAAGACGATACAGAGACATTAGTAATACAAGAGGCTATTGGCTTTTGTTCTTTTTTTTTTTTTTTAAAAAAAAAAAATCTTTAAAGGAAGATAATAATATCTTTGATATAATACTTTAAGACACTCCCAGATTATTGATCCTCTACATTCATAGGCCATATATTTCCTGTCCTTGGATCCTGCCACCCAAATGACTCAGCTGACTGTCTATACATTGAGGTTATGTTTGTAGCGTCTGTGGTATGCTGATACTGCGCTGTTGAGCCAGATAGAGATGGGGATTATGGCCTGTGCTGAGATGGTGAGAGACGCTGCTGACCTCCGGAGTGATGGAACTGCTCTGCAGCTGGGATATTATCTGGATTCCGCTGATAGTTTGGATTGGACATGGTTCATTGCCTGCCCATAGGGCGCCATGCCAGGCTGTGGACCACCCATTCGCGGTGGGGTGTTGCATGGTCCCATCGAGGCCTGTCCTGCGTCGTATGAAGCTCCTTGACGGTGTTGTTGTGTGATATTCCCCTGAACTGGACGTATCTGCGTCTGAGATTGCGATGACTGGCTTTGCGGTTTAAAGCTGTGAAGCGGATTCTTTCTTCCTTCTGGGCCTTGGCCAGCAGAACACATCCCTCTGTTCTCGACCTTGCTCGCCAGTTCCTCCCATAGACCCAGTGACTGTAGAGCAACGTATCAGCCAGCAGGAACTTCTGGACTGGATCAACATCCAGGATCTGCTGGCGGGAGATATGGAAATCATCCATCGCACGAGACACATCAAAGTACCTACAGTAGAACAAGCACGCGCCGAGCAGCTTGTGAATACTGCACAACTGAGGGAGTGGCTAGTTTCTCCTCGCTCAGCGCAACTCCTCATCCACGGAAACCACGACATCAGACGCCGATTATCAGGATTAACGCTTCTTTGCATGTCTTTGGCCGATTCTCTCGTAGATAAAGCTCCAAATTGTCTCTATGTGTTATTCTATTGCGGGCTACACGATAACTACGATTAAGATGAGTACGCTAGAGGTTGTGCTATAATTCAAAGCTTCACGTGTCAGACCCTTTGCCAGTATGACTTCAGCACCTGCATCTCGGTGGGTGATGTGAGGCTAGGCCTGCTTTACCTCGGCGATGTCGGCGAGCTTTGCTGCTTGTTTGAACGGCTCGTATTCAATTTACCAAGGTCCACCTTGTTGGTTTGTTTGATCGACGGCGTCGTGTACTATGAGCGAGAGGAGTTCATGGAGAGCATGGCTGACGTACTGGTAACAATTCTGAGGATCTCAAATGAGCAAAGAACCAACGCAACTATCAAGGTTCTTCTTACTAGTCCTACTAGAACTATGGAAGTTCGCCAACCATTCCATGATGAGCTTGTTCTTTCTATGGAATCGAGAGCTCGGTCAGGAGTGGCTGCGAGTAAAGGGAGACTCGAGCGACAGTTGAGTGAGCATGTAGATGGTGTCACAGAACTAGAAGATACACAGATGATCAACACGGATGGGCATGGAGAAATGTAAGAAAATAAGTGATCATGATTATATTTTATTATATCATATAATTTAATAGCAAAGGGATCTTTATCAAGAACTTATGTGTCAGAGAGGGCAAGATCATACAAACAAGGTTATTAAATACCAAAGTCGAACTTGATTGACTTGTGAAATATCCTAAGAAATCGATTCTAACAATAACGCCTTCACTCCAACAAAACCCCGACATGTTAACGAGTGCGAGCGCGAGCAGGCAGCTTGGAGTGAAAGTCTTCAAACTGCCAAATCTTATGTCGGGCATCCCAGTCAGGATCCTTGATTTCACCATTCGGACCGAGACGCTTATAAGTAACGTCCTTCATGTCGACGACACCCTCTGAATTCCACAAGCAAGGGTCGCCTGAACCATGATTGTTTCGCGGTCGGTACTCGTCAACCTTCTCAAGTCGTTCCTTAAGTGAATTATGCAGCACTGCTCCTCTGGGAATATCGCGAGAAGCACACCAGTTGGGCATGCCTCTGTACAACTTCCATCCTCTTTCCTTCTCGTCTTTTGAGTCGTTGAGTTCCCAGCGAGGAATACCAGGGAGCGATTCTAGCATCAAGTTAATAACATTGTCTCTTGTGAGGGGAATTGGAGGGAGACATACCGATCAGATTCCACATGAAGACCTTCAAAAAGGATGAGCCGTAACCAAACCTGAGAGTGTCATGCATGAATCCCTTGATGACGTGGTCCTCTACCGTTTTAGCCACCTTCATGCTATCCTTGAAAGCATCAAGAGTATGACACCAGTGCACTTCGCAGCCAGGGTGTTGTTTGCCTACAATATCAACCTCACGAATCATCCATTCGAGGGCCATGTCGCTCATCTGCAAGGCATCGTCCTTGAGAGGCTCGACTAGATTCTTTACCTTGGTTCCACTGAAAATGTACTTCAAGCGCGGCCACCATTCCATTTCGCTTGGCATAGCCGGCCATCCTCCGCCAACGTCACCGTGGTTACCAGGGAACCAGACTTCTCTGATGTCTTCCTCTTCGGTACTGCCTTTCTTGGAATCCTCGATCACGGTCTTGATGTCTTGAGCAAGGAGGGTAGGCTTGAACTTGACACGGCGCTCGTCGACAGCCACAGCGTGACGGACGTGGTGTGCAGTTCCGGTTATCTCCACTGGGGCAGGCGAATTTTGCTCAACCATAGCAACAGAGTTGACGCAGTCCCAGAGACCAAGGAAGAAGACTTTGATGTTCTTGTGTTGCGTGGGATCACTGCCTTCAGTTCTGCAGAAGGTCTGACCGAAAGCCTTGACCTCCTTTTCAGCAGCGATGGACTCCTTGCTTGGTGTGATGACAGGGTTCCCGGACAGATAGTTATCCTCAACTGGTCCATCGTTGTCGTCTTCATCCTCCGGCGCGTCGTCTAACGCGCCATTAGGTCCACCATTCTGTGCCAGACCGGCTGTGTCGGACTGGCTAGTTCCAGAAGTCTGGTCCCCGGAAGCCTTCTTATCATAGGCAGCGTTGCGGGCGAACAAGCCCATGGCGGCAGTGCGATCGTTGCTTTTGCACTGGAGAGAGCGTTGGTAGAGCCGGTATGCGAAAGGTACCATTTCCTCGTTACCCTTACAAAGCAGGCCGACCTCATTGACCATGCGTGAGAGGTATTTGGCAGTAAAAGCACCTCGACTAAATCCAAAGATATAAATCTTCGCTTCCTTTTAGAGATTATTAGTTATCGTAATATGTAATACTGATTGAAAATCACTTACAGGTTCATAGTATCGCATTAAGAAACGATACCCTGCCATAATATGCGCGTCGAATGTGGTCCCGAATCCTGAGTCAATTGCCTTGGAAATTTTGCTGCGCACTTCGCCAATTGTGGACTTGTGGATGGAGCTTTCGTTGACATCGTATGTACCGATACCGGCTTTACAAATGTTAAGCAGAGTCGATATGAATGAGGCAATTCACATACTTTGGTAATAATGGTACTGTTTCTTGTGGTTGCGATCAAGCTTGCGAAGAATCTTAACCACGTTGGTGTCAGCGTTGGTGCCGCTGAAGGTATTGCCAGTACCGTCGAAGCAAAGAATGAGTTTGACATGTTCATCGGCATCAATAGCCTCCTGGACATGAGGACTGGTAGCGTGAGTCATATTGACGGAGACTGGAGGTGTATCAGAAGCAAGAAGAAAGGTAGAGATAAATATCTGGGGCTGACAAAGTAAAGAGAACGCTTGTTCTGCGGGGGATAGGCGAGACCTTTTATTACATTTACCCTCGTCGGCCCATTGACTCAAAGAATCGTGTCTTTGTTACTCTTTTCGTGCTCAGCTTACGAGTTTCGGCTCTCTTATCGCAGATACTTGTTCGTCGGCTAAGAACCTCGACGTATACATAGGTGGAGGCATTCAATAGCTCCGGCCCAGACCCGGCCTAAGAATTCTGTTGTAGTAGGCTACCACGCTCTATTCAACCGTTTAGCTCGTGGCCGTGCCGCCGAAGCTCGCCGACCTAGACCTATCTAAGCAAAAAGTGCGTGGAGCTAGTGGCTGACGAGGGAATTTCAGCAAGCAACTATCGAGCGGGGGAGGACCGAGCTGAAATATAAGTGCTTATCCCCCAGTCAATCGCTAGAATCTAGACTTCATACATTCCGAATATTATGCAGGGGCTTGGCTGAATTGAGAAACAGTGTGCAAAGAAATTTCTTATCAATAGCCGAAGAGTGACAGAGAGATTCAGCTGTTCTAAAAGCGATTTGAGGCCGACCGAAAGCGGAGTAAGCACTCCGGATAGAGTATTATAGTAGGAATTGCGTCTTAAAGGTCAATTGGTTCAACAGGGTTACCCTTGGCCATTCAAAATGTCTTCACCAGAGTCTCCAAACCCGGATACTATAGCCCTTGAACTCAGTTATGTTGATACAAACCCTAAAAAACAAGGGCTGCGCCTTGATAGGCAATCTCAGAAGCGACGGCCACCAAAAGAAGACATGCGATGCCTTGCCGTCCAGCATTAGACCTATGTCTCCGTCCCTCTCAGTTATACCATACAGCATTGGCCGGCCCATTGTCAAGATCAAGGTGGGCAACAGCCGATGCACTCTTCTTGTTGATCTTCCAAACTTCAATAAAATTCGAACCACTATCAGTGATTGCAAAAAAATCCTCACTGAACAAGGCCGGCGACACAGCATTCGCAGATCCTCCGCTGTTGGTGGTTTCTTGTAGAAATAGCTGCTCTTTGATACCTCCAGACTTGGCATCCAAACTAAACGCAGAGACGTATCCAGGAACTCCAGTCTTGCGAGACCTCGTGGCAGCAAGCAGGTATTTGGGGGACGATCCTTCGGCAGACGTGGAAAGCAGTACCTCGTCAGCCCAGTAAGAAGAAGAGTTGGTGAATCCTAGAGAAATAGTTAGTCCATATGGGCGTACAGGGAAAGCATTGAAGTCCTACCTGAAGGAAGCAAACTGTACGTCTCGTTGCGAAACTCGAGTTTTCCAGTCTTTGTGTTCCGCTTATATGCCGCAATAGAATTCGCCTCCTCGTAAACCACATACACCCATTTACCGTTGGGATGCACCGTCAAATGTCTCGGGTTAGATCCTTCTTCGGCAGCAAGATACTGCACCTCTTCAATTTTGCCGCTTTCGCGATCGTAAGAGTGAACCCAGACTGCATTTCCCATATCATCGGCAGAGTACAGGAAATCATTCTTGGGGCTCAGTGCTGTTCCGTGAACTCCACCTTTGGTGTTATAAGTCGCGTTTGCAAAGCTTTTCTGGAGAGTGCCGGTCTTATCAACGGATATGGCGAGTGTTGGACAGCCGCGTCCGTAAGGTGTGCCGAATACTGCAAAAGGAGATTTAGGCGATGCGGTGATGAAGTTTGCGTTGTTACCTGCATTTGAAGTGGTCAGAAGAACAATTTTATATATAGTTATCTTAAAGGGCTGCTTACAATCCGAGGACAAGCTGATGTTGCTCTTATAAGTCAAACCCAGATCCTTGGTTATCTTGTAGCTTTGAAAGTAACCAGTGGTGCCAACGTATAAGTTTTGTTTGCGAGCCTAAAACTTCCGATTAGATCCGAGATTGATATTATGTCTAAACAGCACCTACGTCGAGTGCTATCCACTTTGACCCGTCATCGGATGCGGATGAGATGTTCTTCACCAAGGCCAAGGACAAGGCTTCATCATCGAACTCAATGCCGGCAATTGTAGAGCCAGAAAAGAAACCAGAAAACAAATAATGCACTTCGGCAACAGCCGAAACGGCGAAGAGAGGAAATAGATTTCTTGGCAACATTTGTGTTGACTAGGAAGATGTAAGGAATGATAGGGAATAGTCTATGGAATCAATGGGGTATTTATTCTGCCAAGATAACTAGGATTCCCCATCCAGTCCACTACGGCTACTACACGGTTTTGTCCACGTACTCTTGCTGTGTAGATCTTTGCATCTGTTGAATCGAAGAGACGCGGCCTAATTGCGCGGCACTTTGATAGTTATAAATAAATGCCGTGATGTGGGTGAAGGCTCGGCATTGTGGGGGCCAGTAGTTAAAAGAGCGGACTGGTTAGGGATTTAATAAGACTCTGGCAAACTTGGATGGAGAGGATGAGCAAGGACAAGATTAAGTTTATTTATAATAACTATTGAAAGGCGGTACGTATCGTAGCGTGGTATAACTTATGCAAGGTTGAACAGACAAGACGGGTTTTAGCCCCCCTGGAGTTTCAGAGGTTTTAGAAGACCTGACAGGTGCATAGGTGACAGGCACCAGCATTAGACTAACCCTCAATTTACATAATGGTTTCAACGAGACCGAAGATAATTACTATGTAAACTCTCATCGGCGCAATATTCTGTTGTTGCTATACGTGCGCGGTACGCCCCCGCGGGCTGCCGTCGCCCACCGAGGCAAAGCGCAACAGCGATGACTTTGATACTGTTGGATATCACGTGTATTCGGTCCATTTGATGCACACTGGTATATTCATCATGTGCTATGTAAAATCTACCCTGGCGGGTCTGTTGTCTCCATGCGTAATCTCAAGACCCCCTGGCCTACACATGACACCCCAGTCTATGCCTTCTATTTAACATATACTCTGTTTCCGCCCTGAACTTCTTCCCTCGCGCGCGGTGAAGAAGGCTCCGTTACATAAACAGCAGAAGCTGGCTCTCACAGCGGCTCATTTGTCCACTTGCTTGTATACGCCACACCGCTGCGTTTGAAAAGCTGCGTAATGGGGCACCTCCGTTCAACCTCAGCAACAAAATGCTGAAACGCGGGACCGTCTGCACTGGTCTGCACGTACACCTCCAGGTCCACGCTCTCCCAGTTCGGATTGCCCTGCTCACCGCCCACCAGCACCGCAGTGGGGAGCTGGCCCTCGACCGAGACGCGCCACTTGCCCAGCGTGAGCCCGTGGTTCTTGGCCACGAGGGCGCCCGTAACCTGGTTGCACGAGCTCAGACTGGCGAGTGCGTAAGCAACGGGCGAGGGATGCGAGTCCTGACCGCCGATGACGGTGTAGGTGTCGGTTGAGAATGTGTACGGCTTGTCTTTGACAGAGATGGTTTGAATGGTGCCGCTTCCTTGGCCAGAGATCTGGACTGGGAGGCGCTGGAGATAAGCTGGAGAAGCGGAAAATCGACGTAGACTGAGACTCAATTTCGAAGAGCGCTGCGAGTTGACGAAAGCTCGCGATGTTGAATTAAGACGGGTCTGAAACATATTGAACTGCGAATTGAATACTGAATGCTGGAATTAGTTAGCCCACTTGGATACTCACAAGTAAAATTATAATACTTAATAGAATTCTTACCTGAATATCCTTTATTCAGAATACGGATGGGATTAGATGAACTTGAAAATCCTTATTATAGGACGCACCCCGCTTTTAAGCTCTGTGATCTTGTTGCGCGAGAGCTGAATATAATTGCGCCATGTTTAAGCACAGAACAACATAGCTTGGCGTCCATAACCGAGGGACTAGTGACTTTGCTTAGAGCCGAGGTTAGATATAGTCATTAAGCACAAGAAGTTTGAATAAGGGATGATGAACCTGCCAATAGAAGTGAATGTTGTCTTTACGCTAACGTACATGATAAGCAGAATAGAATCGTCAACCTGGGCATAGAAATCGCAATAAATACAATAATGTACACAATAAGTAGAACCAATGGATAAGCGAAACCAATAAAAAACCCTCAACCTTACATCTAAGCATCTAATAAATTAATTCACAACTACATAACATATCGCAATCTAATGCGCCCTTTGGTGCAATGGCAGGCACCTAGCTAGATAGCTTAATAAGATAAGCAATTAGCTTTTAGAGCCTTGCTTTTTCCCTAACTAAATATTAAAGCCTACACAGAAGAAAATAAGGTTCTTGGAGCTTTGCATCCTAGGGCTTATCTGGCGTCTCGATCTCATACACAACCCCAACCCTTCCTTTACTAATAATTTCCTCAGCATCCACATGAATACTTTTGCCCTCAAAAAGCTCGGTAATCTGTTCCAGGCTACGGCCCTTTGTCTCGGGGAACAGGAAGTAGATAACCACAACAAGGCAAGCCAGGATGCAGCAGAAAATAGTATAATACTTCCAACCGAGAGCAGCCAAGCCGACAGGGTTAATCAGTTGAGCACTGATGAGACCAATGTATGAAGACGTGAGTGCAGTAGTCAAACCTCGGCTGCGAGTCAAGAAAGGGAAGATCTCGATGGTGTATGCTTGAGGAAGTGGTGTCCAAGCCACGTCGTAGAAGAAGAAAGCAATAAAGATGAATGCCACTACAGTTCGACCAGCTGCTTCGTCGTGGCTTCTGATGAAATAGCTGGTAAGTGCTGTCCAAGCCACGTAGCTGAGGCAAAGCCCAGAGGTAGCAACCAGGAACAGTCTTCGCCGTCCAAACCTATCAACCATCAAAGCACCAGCAAACACAGCCGCGGCAAAGTTGAAGAGCTGAAGCAGGCCGTTGATCAGAACCTGGTCTTTGGCGGCCGTGATCCCGATGGTGTTGAGGACCAGAGTTAAATAATAGGTGACAACGCCAATACCGTTCCACTGGCTGAAAAAGCCTAGGATAGCTGCAATGAGAGTACGTCTGCGCATGGGAGCCGTCTTGATGAGCGTTTTCCATGAGGCTGATGACTCTTGGCTTCGTTCGAGCTCTAGAGCATTCTCGATCTCGTTGACTTCGAACTCTACAAGAGGTGAGTTTTCCTGTCCGCCTGCATGCAGCTTGGTAAGAATCGCGATGGCTTGGTCTTTTTTACCATTGGCAATGAGCCATCTGGGACGCATATCTGTCAGCAAGTTATGGGTGGCTCCGGGATGTGCTGCTACTTACCGAGGAGACTCGGGAACCCAGTAGATAAACATGAGCTGAAGAAACGGAATAGCTGCTTGCAGAGCTGAGGGACATCGCCAAGCCCAGGTGGACTGGATCTTGAAAGTTCCGTAGGTGATCCAAGCGGCCGCAATAGCACCAAAGTAGAAGAAGGTATTGTATAAAGCAGTCATTTTGCCTCGATGGGTAGGGTAGGACAGCTCGGAAACGAGAATCGGGCATGCGACCTGAGGAAAGACTGTAGCAAAGCCTATGAGACCTCTCGACACGATGAACATGGGAAGATTGATCGACGCTGCTTGAATAGCCGGCCCAATGACGAGTGACACAAGGCCAATGTAGATGGGCACCTTTCGTCCAAATTTGTCAGAGATGGTACTTGCTGGCACCAAGCCGAGAATTTTGCAAACGGGGTAGACTGCGTTGATGGCGCCGAGGAGGGGAGGAGGAGGGTTGTTGAAGAAGTTTCGCCACTGCGGGAGTGTCTGGAGACCGTTCATCATAGATCCTGCCATTAAAGTCCTGTCAGTTGATGCATGGCGATGGGATAAGCGGGTAAAGACTTACCATCGTAGCCTACAGCGGAGGAACTGAGCAGGGGGACAAGAAGCATCAGGTTAAGGAGAATGAGATGCTTTGTTCGATACCAAGGAAGCTCTGTCTGGGGAAGAACCTTGGGCCAGTCAGTACTTGTCATGTTGGGAGAAGCAAGGCAAGGTTGCCGCAATGGAAGGAATGGAATGGTACCCTTAAGAGCTCAGGCCCGACAGTATTCTCTGCGGTATCTTTGTTCTCTTTGTTATTGTTGAAACAGCCCATGATGAGTATGGTAATGCACTTGAGATAGAGTAGGTAGTGATGAGTGTGCTGGCTTATTGCAATTCTCAAATATTGGAAGTCGGCCAGAGCATACTTATATTCACTCAGGCACGAAGCATTGTTGATAGAAGACTCTTGTTGTTATTAGCATGAGACACCCAAGCTGCCTCGTGGGTGAGCAGAGTTTAATGGCGAGGTCAGACGATGATTGGAGTACCAGAGCCCCCATGGGGTTGGGATGGGCTGCCCGAGAATCTGGGGATTGGTCAATGTTGGGTAGTTGATGGGGTTCAGTCCCCAGATCTAATCCAAGCTAAGTCAGGGAAGATACAGTTCAGTCGCGGGGAGAGTGACTTGACACTACCCATGCGAAAATCTTCCATAGCCGTTGAATGGTCTAGACTCACTAACCTAACCCCGCCTGTAACTGTACTGTAATGGTAGTGTCGGGGCCCCACCCCGATAAATCTCTAGCCCTGGGATCAAGATAATAAATCATCTCCATCGGCCCTCCCCGACACTTACTTGCCTCGCATTCAACACTGCCTATCTCCACTGTCAATATTGCCATCACTTGTAGGTAATGACAGACGGTCCTTTTTCCGGGGTAGGTCAGGTGCCTTTCCCCAAATCCCGGGGTGTCACTGCATGCGAGAAATGCCGCATCCGAAAAACCAGATGCGACAATCGGCGGCCAACATGTGGCTTTTGCCTCAAGCGCCGTTTGACTTGCGTCTATCCAGCAGATGAGGATACAGGGTATGATGCATGCTTTGCTTCTGATTTATTCAAGTCTTTTGCTTGACCTGGCTAATACACAAGCAGCTCGGTTACTGGAGCGGAAATCCTGCAGGCTATTCACCACTTGACCAAAATAGTCGAGAATCAGCAATCCTCGGAACTATCGCCTGCACATACAGTCGACTCTATGTCATCATCGGCGCGTCAGCCGACTCTTGACAATTGGGCTGTACCACAGAATGTTATTGTGCGGCCACAAGGTGTTGAGTCAATACTCAGCTGGAAGATATTCGCCGCAGATCGACCAGCCTCTTGCTTATTCGCTCAGAGCACTCCCCCAAGTCTGGGCAATTACTCGGTGCCAGACACAAGCTATCCTCAGCTCTCGTGGCTCGAGACCAAGTATATCGAAGTTCTTCATATCAAGAATCCCATCATAGATCTTGACGAGCTGCATCATATGATGATACATGTCGCTGAGCATGGGTTTGACTGGTCTACCAGCGCCTGTCTCGTGGCTTTGGTATGTGCCAATGCGGCCATAACAGACTCTCATACCGAGCTCTCCAGCAGTCCCGAGGTAACGCCTGGGAAGAAGGCGGAGCTGGAACTATCGATGCAGTTCTGGAGCGTGGCTGTAAAGCGTCTTGGCTATGCATCAGCTCAGAACACTTTGCAGGCTGTCCAATGCTTGTGCCTGGCGGGAATATGGTACATGCATCGCCTAGAGCCCCTGGAAGCCTGGAAGCACTTCAATCTAGCCGGTGCGGCCTGGCATACCCTTAGCTTGACACACGGGGAACTGTGGAGTCATGTTGAAGTTGAAGGATGCTCCAACGAGTTCACCCTCATGCAGGCTCTGTGCTTTACCATCTGGAAGTCTGATTGTGAGCTAAGGCTAGAACTCCCACTGCCGACTCCACCGATCCTCGATAATGCCTATCTCCCCCTGGCGTTTCCCCAGCCTCCAGATTTCGGCTCACACCCCGATGCGAGTGACAAGGAGCGAAGTTGGTATTACTACCTCAGCGAAATTGCCGCGCGACATGTTATCAATCGACTTGCGCAAATGAACTCGGAAGCGCCCGAATTTCCAACCGAGAAGCACGTGCGGCAAATGATTTCTCAAGCCGAGTTGATGCAGTCACAAATATCGGACTGGTATTCATCTCTACCGCCAATCTTCTACTTCGACACTCCTCAAGGCTATGTGGCGGACTTTGTTGCCGATCCCATGGTCTTTATTCTGCGACACAGATACATGTCTCTCTGTGAGCTTGTTTCACGGCCATTCGTTAGACTTTGCGTGGACCAGTTGGTGGACGAGATAGATGCTTCGCTACATGGTACGATTGCCTCATACGCATCCCAATGTGTGCGATTTTGCATCCTGAAACTTGATCAAGTCGCAGGACATCGACATCAGGGGACTTGGTACGGTATTCGAGTGGCGACGAGCGCTTCTCTTATCTTGGCAGCGGTTGACAAAGCACAACGCCAGGCACAGGAGGGTGAGGCTTTTCGCCTTGTGCAGAGTGTGACTTTGCCTGAGACTTGGAAAGACGCAGTCACACAGGGTGCAGCATCAGTACGGCAGTATCTTGATGAGCCGAATGGTGGATGTTCTAACTTGAAGAAGCTATTAGAAGCAGTAGTGCTAGGGTCGCTTCTCGGTTAATCATCTATACCATATTTGTAATTTTATCAAGAGCTGCCGGGTCTTGGCTGATCGGGGAGACTCCCCGACACTTCCCCACCCACCAACCAGGCATTCACTGACTCCATCGGGGTCATCCTCGAAGTCTTGCATGCATTCCTGCCTTAATGTTTATCCTCCGCACAATATATAAGTTTGTTAGCTGCCTTAGCCCGTTTCGGGCATTGTTTATCCTTTAGTTGTTCTATTGTCTCAACGCGCACATCTTTATACAACCATGGTTTTGAAGAGAATGACCCCTGATGACGTTTACAACGATTTTGACGTTGAACATGTCATCAAAAACGCATCTGTCTCTGACAAGATATCTCTGCTCTCTGGTGAGTAACGGGTTCACCAATTTCTCCCGGGGCCCCAGAAGACTCGACTTGCTAACTTGCCTTGTACTTCAGGCCGAGACTTTTGGCACACGAACCCTCTCCCAGCATTCAACGTTCCATCTGTGCGTGTCAGCGACGGACCAAATGGCGTACGAGGAACTAAATTCGTCAACGGCGTACCAGCAGCATGCTTGCCTTGCGGTACCGGTCTAGCAGCCACCTGGGATCAGGATCTGCTATACAAGGCAGGCATACTGATAGGCAATGAGTGCATAGCAAAAGGCGCCCACTGCTGGCTCGGTCCTACTGTTTGTATTCAACGCTCCCCTCTCGGTGGCCGCGGCTTTGAGTCAATGGCAGAGGACCCTTATGCAACAGGCAAACTAGCTGCTGCATACATCAAAGGCGTACAGTCCACGGGTGTTGTGTCGGTTATCAAGCACTGGCTTGCGAATGATCAAGAACACGAACGAGTTGGCGTCAACGTTATTGCCAGTGAGCGCGCGTTGCGAGAGGTTCATATGCTTCCTTTCCAAATCGCACTTAGTGATGCGGCACCTGGCGGTGTTATGGCTTGCTACAATAAAGTCAATGGCAAACATGTTTCAGAGAACCGGGATTTCCTCGACTCTTTGCTCCGCGAGGAGTGGCAGTGGAAGGGTCTGATCATGAGCGATTGGTACGCAACAAACCCGGATCCTCTAAACTATAGCCGATACTAACATTTATTTCTTGCTCTAGGTTCGGGACTTATTCTACAACCGAGGCCATCAATGCAGGACTGGATCTCGAGATGCCAGGACCAACGAGGCAACGCGGCCAGCTTCTCGACCTTGCCGTGTCGACCCGAAAGGTATCTCGGTCAACCATAGATACTCGAGCGCGGAATGTCCTCGAATTCGTCCAAAGATGCACAAATGCTCCTGTTGCTGCTGAAGAAGGAGGACGCGACTTTCCTGAAGACAGGCAGCTCAATCGAAAGCTCGCCGGTGACAGCGTTGTCTTGTTAAAGAATGAAAGTAGCCAACTACCCCTCAAGCGACCTTTCAAAAGCGTTGCTTTGATCGGACCAAATATGAAGAGCACTTCATTCTGTGGAGGCGGCTCTGCCCATCTTCAGCCTTACTACACTATTTCTCCCTACGAAGGGATCGTGGCCCAACTACCGCCTGATGTCGAGGTACGATACGAAGTCGGTGCTTCAGCAAGTGGGTGGAATCCTCTCCTACAGGGCGATATGATCACCACGCCAGAGGGATCACCGGGTATGCGAATGCGCTTCTACAGTCAAGGCCCCAGTGTACCTGACCGCGAGATCATCGACCAGAGCCATCTGCCTGATTCCTCTTGGCTACTCATGGGCTACTCGCATCCGAAGCTAGACAAGCTCTTCTACGCAACTGTAGAAGGCGATCTCGTCATTCAGGAAACAGGACTGTTTGAATTTGGCCTCGCAGTCTATGGCTCTGCGCGACTCTATGTCGATGGTCAGCTCTTGATAGATAATAGTCTTGTCCAGCGAGGCGGGACATTCTTCTTCGGCAAAGGAACTGTTGAGGAAAAGGGTAAAATGCACCTTGTTCAGGGCCAGAAGTACCGCATTACAGTCGAGTATGAGAGCGCACCATCTTCTAAGCTCGTCAAGCCAGGCGTGGTCAACTTTGGCGGTGGAGCGGGAAGAGTTGGTCTAGCTAGTGCAGTTGACCCTGAAATCGGTATCCAGAAAGCCGTCTCAGCAGCGCTACAGTCCGATGTGACCATATTGTGTGTTGGGATGACGAGGGATCAAGAATCGGAAGGCTTTGACAGGCCACACATGGATCTACCTGGATCACTTCCTCGGCTTGCGTCGGCCGTCTTGGCAGCGGTTCCAGACGCTATCGTTGTGACGCAGAGCGGCACTCCATTCAACATGCTCTGGGCTGAGACGGCCAAGACCCATTTACATGCTTGGCTAGCTGGAAACGAGACTGGAAACGGTATTGCTGATGTTTTGTTTGGCACAACCTGCCCTAGTGGGAAACTCCCGCTTTCCTTTCCACGCCGCCTACAAGATACGCCGGCCTTTTTGAACTTTGGTAGCGAGAGGGGACGTGTTATCTATGGTGAGGACATTTATGTTGGGTACCGGTATTATGAAAAGGTCGATCGAGACGTGCTATATCCTTTTGGGTGAGTGAACAAGACTCTGCTCAGGACAAACTAACATGACATTCACAGCCACGGTCTATCTTACACCACGTTTACCTACGACAAGCTGAACGTTGTGTCCTCGCACGTGAGCTTCGAAATCACCAACTCTGGTTCCGTGGCTGGAGCTGAAGTCTCTCAGCTCTACATTGCTGCCGACGAGGCAACATCTTCCATCCAGAGACCTAGAAAAGAGTTGAAGGGTTTCAATAAAACATACCTGCAACCTGGTGAGACTCGGAGGGTAGAGATTCCACTGGATAGATTCACTACGTCATTTTGGGATGAGGAATTACATTGCTGGGTGAGTGAGAGAGGTGTGTATAGAGTATTGGTGGGATCGAGTAGTAAGGAGGTTTTGCTTGAAGGAGATTTGCATGTGGAGGAAACCACTAGATAGAGTGGGCTTTGAGGAGAATGTTAGACAGCATGAGAAGAAATCTATAGGAATCATCGCATGGACTTAGCTATTTTGAAGGTGAAGAGCAACAATAAAGAAAAGACTGCACAAGACGATATCTTCCAACACTTCTCAACTGCAAGCTAAGTATAGACTGCCAGTTAGGTTTAATTAAGACAGGGTCTTTATTATAAGATAGAGAATTAAACAATTAGTTTAATAGTATTAAAATATAAAGGAAAAAAGAATAAGAATTAAGTTTAAAGAAGCCTCTTAAAAAGCATAAGGAAAGTCTTTAGTCCTAAAGGGATATCACCCTTTTATACCTTATTACTATAAATATCTATCTGGCCTTACTAACAAAGCTTAGACCTCTTACCCTGGAATGCTTGCCATAACCGTCACACTATCAGTACAGGGCAGCTAGTATCCTTCTGTCGTGAATATTAGGTTCGGCTCAGGTTCTATCGATTTCGAAAACAACTTAGCCAACAATAATAGAAATTCCAGCTGGTAAAAAGAGCATTGGGTTTACACTGAGTTTGTCATTGAACTGATACTTGATTGATGATTTCCTTATTGATTTAGAAGATCGACCATGGGGCAATTCTAAAGAACTCTATACTGTCATTCGATTACCTCTTCCCATGTAACGAGACACGTGCTTTATTTTGCCATGAAAGTAAAACAGTCATCCTTTTGAAAACCATCCTGGAGCCGTAGAAATGAACCACTAGGAGAGCACCCCGGAAGACTAACGACATTTAGACTCGGTTCTGGCATGACCCTTGTTAGCGTATGCAACCTGCTGATAGGATATGCGGAGAGCACCTAAGTGGATATGATATCGGGGAGCTCCGCCGACGATGTGGACGGGTTTAAACGCCATGATTCCGATGGCGATCCCATAGACGCATCCAACCAGCATATGGCTTCGCATTTTTGTTTTCTTCAGATCCCCCATTTCGCTTAACACATTAGCCTCTGCGGGTTGTTTAAGAGCCGAATTGACATCAATAGGCGATTATATATGACTCTTGTCCATCGACCGATGTTATCTATGCCCTGACCATTGACATCACGGTCAATGTAGACATGACCAACAACATGGAATCAACCTCGCAGAATACTGTCCCGCCAGTCCCAGCCGTGGCAGAAAAGGACAAACACTCGGGCTCGCATCAGCCCCTCAACAATGATCTGGATTGGGATGGTCCAGATGACCCAGATATGCCGTTGAATTGGCCAAAGTCGAAAAGATGGATTAACATCATGATAGTATCTATTCTGACACTATTGACGTACGTGCCCTCATCAAAGCTACCAAGTCTACTCCATATCGCTGACCTAGCCCTATCACAATAGCCCCTTTGCATCGTCCATGATTGCACCAGCAATTCAGCCCATCATGGACGACATGAATGAAACGAATCCCAACATAGGTTCATTCATGGTATCAATCTATCTTCTCGGCTATGCCTTCGGTCCTCTCTTCCTCGCCCCGCTCAGCGAGATCTACGGCCGGCTCCCGATATACCGCATCTGCATGTTCATTTTCCTCCTTACAAACGTCGCATGCGCTTTATCCGTCAACATGCCTATGCTTATAATCTTCCGTCTTCTGACAGGATTGGCGGGCGCATGTCCATTGACTATTGGACCCGCTAGCGTCGCCGATTGTTTCGCTCAGGAGGAGCGAGGTCGGGCCATGGCCATCTGGAATATGCCTGTCTTGCTGGGTCCAAGTCTTGGGCCTGCTGTGGGTGCGTATGTTTCAAGAGCTCTGGGTTGGAGGTGGAACTTTTGGCTGCTTATTATAATGGTAGGGAAATTCATTTCTAACGGCTCCGTATCCCGCGTATACTGATGTATTTATTCTAGACCGGAGCTGTGCTTGTTGTCTGTGCCTTCGTCCAAAAGGAGACTCATCCTCCAACCCTTCAGAGAAAGAAACTCAAGAAATTGCAAAAGGAGCGCGACACAGGAGACTTATCACCCGCCACGCCGCACAGTCAGCTCATCAAGAGAAGCCTGGCCCGCCCACTGAAGATGCTTTTCTTCTCACCGATTGTCTTCGGTCTCTCATTCCTGACCGCGATCGCGTACGGAACTTTGTACCTTCTATTCACGACGGTCTCAGAAACCTTTCAAACAAAATATGGCATAGTCACCAACGTCGGCCTTATCTATCTCGGCTTCGGATGCGGTCAAATCGTCGGACTTGTTCTCTTTGGCATGGTGTCAGATCCAATCCTGAGAAGAATGGCCAGAGGGGGCGAGCTCAAACCCGAGTATCGTCTACCCCTCATGATCCCGTGCAGTGCGATAATTCCAATCGGACTATTGGTATATGGATGGACATCAGAGTATCGAGTCTTCTGGTTTGTGCCTGTCATTGGCACATTCATGATTGGCTTTGGAATGATCACTGTGTTTACTTCTGTGAGCACTTATTTGGTAGACGCTTTCCCTACTTATGCTGCTAGTGCTACTGCGGCAAATACTGTGCTTAGAAGTATTGGAGGTGCGCTTTTACCTCTTGCTGGTCCAAAGATGTTTGATGCAATCGGCCAGGGATGGGGCAATACATTGCTTGCAGGTGTATCGTTGGCTATGATCAGCATGATCATTGTATCTTACAAATATGGGGAACGCCTAAGAACAAGCGCAAAGTATCAGCTAGATTAGGATCCCTACAGTTATAAGAATAAAGTACTATGCAGTTCATTTATCTTGAACGACGGTTAAATGCTTTCCGACGAGTTTGGCCGAAACCCGTCAAGACCCCACATCACAAGCCGATAGCATGCAGCTGTGCCGCCTCTCGTTTCGTGAGAATACTTCTCAAGCCCATGTAAGAAGGCAACAACAATCTCACGCCAATCTTGTGGAAGAACCAGTCGCCTAGATGCAGTGAGGGACCGGAATTGGAGGCTCCGAGCGGCACCAATGAGTATCATGGAGCAAGCAGTGCTATTTCGAATCCATATCCACAGTCCATGATCGAGCTTGTTCATTCGATCCACAGCCTTTAGTCTCCAGGCACAATACTGGAGGCCCAGTGAGGCTATATTGACAATCTCATCATGCAGAGTCCTGGGGAGTTCAAGGGTGTAGTTGAGACACAGTCGCACGAATGGCCGGCACAGAAGCTCCTTGATAAAGAGATACCGCGAACGGAGGATTCTTTTATAGAGATTCGGCTCGGGAGAAATAGTTGCATCCGGTGGCGGGAATGATATTTCTGGCGGTAGGGACAGATACCAGTCTTGGAGCTGTGAGCCGAAAACCTCATAGGATCGGAGCAAAGACATGGCTTGCGCCTCGCTGGGGCAGGCAGAGAACTCGACCTTGGCGTCGACGATGCGGTTGATCAAATGTCGAGCGGCTATGTCTGCGAGGAAGTAATACCAAGCTATGGTCTCGTCGAACAAGCAATTCGCTGCCGGCGGCGAGGGAAATGTGAGACGATCCTCGATGTGTTCCAACATTGAGCCGGGCAAGCTAGGTATCTCGTAGCGAATCTCGCTACGTGCGACCAGGTATGTTAGCAATCAGACATGCAGACATAACTGCTGACGTACACTTCCGATTTATATGCTGTATAGAAAATGCTTTGCTTGATTGCTTGTGGACTGGAAGGGGAATTCTGTGGCCCAGCCGGCATAGTAGATTCCCTATGAGCAGTGTAAGCGTTGATATCGGCGTTCCAAAGCCATTTCTATGTCTTGCCTGGCCCATATTGCAGAATAACAGCAGTTTCCTGCCATAGTAAAATACCTCCAGGCCTCGAGTGGCTGTAAATTACACATAAACCAGATGCTGCAACTCACGTCAGTATGGAACTACAAGAGGCATGTCCTCTGTACCAAGACATCTTACCCTGCCAAACACAAACACTGGGCGGATTCCAAAGTATTGTGACTCATTGCTCGCCCGAGCCTCTTACATGCGACGCTCCAGTACCTATAAGCAATGTCGGTGGTTTGGTCAAGATCCCAACTGTTATGACTCTTGGGTGTTTCGACATGCGGGTCCTGGCATAATGCGCCGATGGCACATACAAGGGCAACAAGGCATGTCTGCGTCGTCCAGTCCAAGCCATTTTCGGAGACCTTTATAACATACTGGTCGAGAACGGCGACATCTAGAATGGGGTTGACGCTGTGAACAGTACCAAGATAGCATTTCTGTAACCTCTTTAGCTCCGAGAAACCTATTGGGGGGAGCTCGTCGGGCATAGCCATGAAGCTCCCGTTATCCACGGGGATAGGGTCTATTCCTTGTGGGAACACATTCCATGTCAAGATATTATCGAGTCCTTCAGAGAACCTTTCGACATGACGTTCGGGAGCTGAAATAGACTGTGGTGTAGCAGTTAAGTTGACCAAGGAGTCAGCTTCGCTATGTCTTGCTGGCTGCGTTACATGGTGCGCATGAGAGGATGTATCGGATAGGCCCGGCGAATGTTGCTCTTTTACCACTTGTGCCAAGTCTTGGACGGCCTGCAAGATCTGCAAACCCAAGTCATGGCTTCTTCAGTCGAAATGAGATCTTGGTCAGTTTCTTATTGACTTTATGCAGTCATATGCGAATCTGAAAAGAAAAGGAAAACGTACAAGGGACGATCTGCTGAGTCCACAGTATCGTATTGGCACTCTGAGTTGCTCTTCTCACAGTAGCTACAAACCGGCCAGCGGCTGTCGCATTTCGTCTTCCTTGAACGGCACACTTTGCACGCTACAGCAACGCGGGTTCGGATTGGCTGGTTGCCCGAGGATCTGGTATCCCCAGGCTCTCTGTCCATCACATTTAGCTGTGGCTCATCTCGGACCAGGTGAGCTCTCTTATTTGGGCGGCTGGTACCCGGTGAAGCATCGTCTTGAATGTGGGCTTGGGGCTGCATCATGGGAGAAAGCAGAGAGGGTGTAGAGCAGAGTAAGAGGGTTCGGATCCTCCCCGACCATGTGCAGGGTTTATAAATGAATCATATGCAGTAAAAAGCTGGGGCCTCCTAGTCCAGTCTGGCCTAGTGCCGTAATTGTAGTTGAGTTGGTCATTTCTCACCAGTAAGCTCGGCGTTCGTAAGACCTACCCTATATCCACATCTTTAGTCAATATTACTGGGGAAACATCTGGCATAATACTTGGATTGTAGAGAGCTTACACTGTTCTTTATCACCTTTGTCAATGCAGCAACTCAAAATTGCTTTTATGGATGCTCGACATTGCACACCAATCTTGACGTCGATCTAGTTAAAGCGCACGGATTATACTTCTAACCATGTCGAAAAACCCAAAATAGGCCGACCGAACCCAATTTGGGTCAGTCAACACTTATTAAGAGTTGATGTCAATCACACTCTTGTAAATCAGCTCTGGGCTTCTGATACATTATACTACAAATTTACTTGAAGATCTCTTGATCCATCGTTGATCCAGTTTATCCATTGTGACCTTACCCACTCTTCTCGCCTTGACCGTTTCTCGCAGCGTCGTCCTGAGCAGATATGTTGGAGTACAGCTCCAAGCATGGCACCAACTGTTGTTACGTACATCCCCATATGGACTCGCCATAGAATCCTGTGCATCGTAACATTCCCAGAACGTGTCTGCCCCTGCTTCCACCATGCCGCCCCAATAAGACTTGATAAGATCAACACATTCATCGTAGCATTCCAGCCTCGCGAGAGCGTCACAAACATGGTGCCATAGGTAAGGCGTGAGTGGCTTCACAGCATCTGGATGTGCAAGAGTGGCGAGAAGAGCTTTGCGAGCGGTTTCTGGAGGGAAGGCCTCGCATAAAACTAGCCACGCGGCGGACGCATAGCTGACTTGCCGAGTTTCTCCAGACACAAAGACACCATCCTTGAGGAATGAGTTCGCAGCGTCTGTCATCTTGAGTATCAGTCCGTTGTACGGAGGCTGCTTGTTGAGTCGTATAGCGAGCTTGTTGGTAACCCTCAGACAATAAAGTAGTACGCCATGTGCTCCCGCACTCTTATCAAGATCTTTTGCCCAGTCGAGAAAAATGTGATGTTTGCTGCGTTCGGCCTCGAAGACGTAGGAGGTGGGGTTGAGGTTGTGCAGCAGTCGCTTCGGGCAGTCGAGAACAGTCTCCCAGAGGAGATGGCCAGTTTCTGTGTCCCCAGAAGCCTCAACATAATCATATACAATACCGGAAAATAGAGCATCATAGTCAGCGATATAGTCTGTCGAAGCCGTCAACGTGGGCTTTTCAAAGATGCAGGCTGGCAACGAGCCGTCCTCACGTTGGACTGCTGCAAACTGGAAAAGACATCTCTTGACAAGATCGTAATCCCGAAATGTGCTGTAGTTTGCTAGAGCTTGTAGGCGAAGATCTCCAATCCAAAGCCTTCTATCTCGTCTCGGGCCATCTTCGAAGACAGTTTGCATGCAGTCTCGCAGCGTGGAAATGCAAACGTGGTCAATATCCTGCAGAAGAGGATCTGAGAACTCAACCGCATCGATCTGATGGTATTGGCTGACAGCGCTGACTGATTCGCATTGTATATTTGAGAATGATACCTTGAACTTGGGAGAAGTATCAATGATTTGAACTCGCAAGTATCGGAAGGAATAACGGCGGGGGAGGTTTATTGTCTGCGGACATGTATCGACATTGATGATCTCGTCAGGAAGCCAAGCAGTGCTGATCCAGGTATTCACATTGTTCATATCCATCGTTACATCAAGTGGCGACTCGCCAAAGGTGAGACGTAGCCGACATGGAGCGTCCATGTTTTGCCCGACGTAGTCCAAGCGGAATGAGAGAAATCCGACCATATGGATGCCGAAATCGAGGATGAAGTCGGACCCCTTTCCCCAAGACAGGGACGAGAGGTCGTTGATCTCATGGTCAACAGTGCAAGCCTCGAGGCCGAAGAATGACAGGTCTTGGCTGGCTTTCTCGAATCTAATTATCCTCTGCGGACCTCGGCCGCATCGATAGAGTTTCGGCAGTAAGTCGTTCGCGATACGCTCAAAGGTTTGAGCCATGGTTGCTGCAGGCTCGGAACTGGTTGTTTCCTGGAACATATTGCCTGGAGAAGATGCTAGACAGTTAGGGTATCTGGATGAAGCAAACATGAGGTCAATCGTCCAAGGTAATAACCGATGATTGAACAAGCCCAACAATGATGATTCTCGCTCCAAGATCAACCGAGATTGTCAAAAGGTACCAGTGCCATGGTTCTGGAGAACGAGTTGCTGCCGCTGGATCTGAATCTGATTAGTGATCGGGGAGTGTCCCCGATCCTACGGAACCCTGTCAGCCAATCAACAAAGCCCAATCAGAGTGTAACTCACGGGGAGTCTCCCCGAGGTTAGTCCCCATATTTGACAGCATCAGAGGTCTAGAAGCAGCCACTGAGCAAACGCTTCAATAATTCTGCACTAGTGTTAGGGTAAGATTCAGTAGGAAAAACATTGCAAGCATGGATCGTGCATTCGAACCTTCACATCATCAATAGTTTGACTGGTCCAAACGGCTAAAATCTTAACCAGAGCGATGCAGCATCTTTGAGTTCCACCAGCTGCCACGAGACTCACGGAACAGACTCCAGTCCGTGACCTTGGCGACATGGTCTAGCCGGTAATCCTCCCCGATATCTTGTGCAAAGCCCTTACGACAACCCCATGGGGAAAAACATTAGATCCATACTGTCGGATCAGAGGAGAATACTTAAAGGCATGCACCCGACAGCCTGTTGATCTACAACACTCATCTAACCTCCCCTTTCATCAATAACAGTTGCCATGTCTTCCATCAAATCCAGACAAGGAGTTGACAACTCCAAGCTCGATGACGACGTTGCGGAATTTCACGTCGAGCAAGCTTTCAATGCATCGGAAGTCAAGATCGAAGCAGGGCTTTCCTCGGGATACGAGTCCCTTAGCTTGTGGCAAACCGTCAAGGTTTTCAAAGTTTCTACGGCATATTGTTTCGCAGCGGCTTTTAGTGCTGCCACTGATGGATATCAGATCGGGTAGGTTTTGTCGTCTCTCTTCAACTATATGTGCATATTTTATTAATTCCGAGCCAGGATCAACGGCAGTATCATTGCCAATAAGGGCTTTGTTCATCAATTTGCGACTGCGACCAACACCGACGGAGACGAATACCTGACTGCTCCTATTCTGGCCGGCTGGAGTTCAATCATGTCTGTCGGTCAGATTATCGGCATGTTGACAATTCCCTTCTTGTCCGACAGATACGGCCGTAAGACTGCAATGTGGACTTATTGGACTATCCTTGTCAGCAGTGTCTTGTGCGAGACTCTAGCCAGAACCTGGCCAGTTTGGTTAGTCGCTAAGCTCCTTGCGGGGGTCGGAGTTGGCTGTCTTCAGTCGACTTTGCCTGTCTATATCTCTGAGTGTGCCCCCACTCGTATCCGCGGAGGCCTTCTTATGTGCTACAGTCTCTGGTGGACTATTGGATCCTTCTTCGCCTACATAGCCCTCCAGCTGCTGAACCGAAAGAATCCCAACATTTGGCTCACACCTATTTATACCCAGTGGGCTCAGATTGGTATCATGTGTATCATCTACGTCTTCCTTCCAGAGTCACCCGCTTGGTGCGTCAGTCGTGGTCGCGCAGATCGTGCTAAGAAGCAGCTGCTGAGGCTCAACCGCGGTGTCGTCGACTATGATGAAGAGCATCAATACCGGATCATCGTGCAGACCTTTGAGCATGAAAGGGAGGTCGCAGCTGAGCAAAAGAAGGAGCACTGGTACGCCATCTTTCGCGGAATTGATGGCTTTCGGACTGTCATCTCTCTGTGGCCGAACCTGACGCAGCAATTCATTGGCCTCACCCTTTTTGCGACCTTCGGAACCTACTTTTTCCAACAAGCCGGCCTGGCCGACCCTTTCACGATTAAATGCATCACATCTTCCATCAATATTACCACGCTATTGATCGTCGTTTTGGTGGCCGACAAAATTGGTCGTCGACGTATTTCATGCTACGCCACGACGCTTTCATGGACAGCTTGTGTAGTCATTGGAATTCTTGGTCTAATCCCCAGGACAACGGCGACTTCAAACATCTTTGTTCTGTTTGTATGCCTCTGGAGTAAGTCTCTTCATCTACCTAATAGTTATAATCTGTGACACTAACAATCTCTAGATGTTGGAATGATCTCTAACGGTGCTGCTGGTTGGGGTTTCATAGCTGAGATCTCTTCTCTGCGTCTTCGACCTTATACAGCTGGCTTTGGCGCTGCGTGCACTTGTGTTGCTGGAGTCGTCATGAATGTTCTAACTCCATACATGGTCAACGCCAACAAGTGGAACTGGGGTTTCAAGACTGGCTGGTTTTACGCTGGTGTCGGACTTCCCTTCCTTATCGGCACATGGCTTCTGCTTCCCGATACATCCGGGTAAGTAACAGAGCATTAAACGGTTTATAGAACATTATATACTAATATGCATTAGACGAACTGCAGCTCAGGTCGATGAACTCTTTGAGAGGAAGATTAAGCCTTGGAGGTTCAGCAAGACCAAAACCACAGCCTGAAAGCGGACGGGCCTGTATCTTGGTCAAAACTTGGACTGTCTGAGAATCAAGGTTGTTTCAGCTCAGCTAGCCTTAAACTTCCGCTCTAGACCATTTTTGTACTCGCCCAAGCTCACCATATGAGAAAGTTAGCCCTGAAAGCCTGTGATATTGGCATTATGGCTCAGATTGCATTGTGATTTCCCGATCTGTATTGCACTGCTGTAGACACCCCTCGTTATTGTCATGTCATTCTTAGTATTAGTCTTAGTATCAGCGGCAGTGTAGGTTATGGTAGCGGAGTAGCGTCTCATTCGACTCTCCACTCGACGCCTAGATTTGGCCTAGTCCATAATGGTTTGATCAATTGGAAATGGCTGGCTGAGCTTGATCACAGGGGCAAACAAGCTTTGGTGTACGGAGAGAATGGTCCGGCTAGAGATCTAGGTCCGCACCTATTCACCGACGGATCACGAAAGGACTAGGCTAGAGTGATGTGCAGCAAAAATCACATCAACCCGCCATATAACAAAAACCCACCGAAAGGGCAGTGTTGTTCAGGAGCGGAGACGAACTGATTGCAGGTTGGAAGCAGGGCAAAGGCATCATCAACATCGTCATATTACGAATTGGATTAAAGGAGATGATTTTTACGTTCAGCAAGTTCAAGAAACAAGTTTCAAGCATTTCGTAACCACACTACACACCAGTTTATCTAGGTCAAAGATGAAAGATGAAAGATGTATGTCCCTTCATTTGTTCAAGAACTTCATCACCATCAGCCTGACTTGGTCCTCCACCTGCTTGAAGTTATCCGTCCAGAATGCAGCCCACTTCGTCAGCTCATCTATCACCTCATATTTATTAGACGACACGCCATTAACACGCGTCAAAAGTTTACCATCCTGAACCTTGAGAAGGGGATTGTGGTTGTCCGGATGGATAGAGACTTTGTCCATAATGGGAGCATGATGCCAAGCTGCAAAGTCAGACGATTGAAGCACCTTTCTGTGCTTGAAGGCATCGTGAACCTCTGCAATGGACTGCTGCACAGCTTTGCGGCATTGATCGAAGTTGGTCGACGTTGCCTCGGAGGAGACAACCTTACCGGGCAGTCTGCCGTCACCAAAGGCTTTCCACTTCTCGCCAGATGGACTTTCGAGCCACAAGCCGAGCTCCCCATCTTCGTTATGCATGACCTGATTAGACTGAACAGTCATTAGCCTGGCCCATGTGAAGGTTGTATAAAGGACAGGTGCGAGGGATAGACCTACGTTCGAAGATGCATTGATGACCTTGGCAATGTCCTCAAACTTGAGGAAAGGGATTGAATACGGATGGTTCTTGGCAATATCAGCGATCTCCTTGCGGGGGACTCTGATGTGGCCTGCTGCAAAAGAGTCTTGCAGGAAGTGATCGGCGAACGCATTGACTGCCAGAGCAGTCATGAGATCACCCCCAGCGGCCACTTCGAGAGCGACGGCGTGGCCAGCATTATAAGTTGACCTTGCCTCGACACCAAAATGATCAACATTCGCCTCCAGAAGCTGCATGAAACTTGAACCAATAGCCCATCTGGAGTCCTTGGAGACTTCCTCAAGGTGCGTAATGTCAAGGGGATTGTCCTTGTACACAGCCGCAAGCTCAGCCGCGGCGTTCTCAGAATTCGAACACATGACAGCTAGAGCCTTCTCATTCATAGAACTGAGCTCCTTGGTGATTGCTTCGGCTTTGAGTTTGCCAACAGGCGGGAAGTCAAGAAGATCGAACCAGCGCCGGAAAATGACTTTCATGCGTTCAGAATTAGGTTCGGAGGAGATTGGCTTGCCTAAACCGAAGTAATCTCCAGCGAGACCGTTGATCTCACCGTAGGTGACAGCAAGGCCATTGGTGAGGTGTAGAGTCACTGCTTCTTTATGAGAAGAAGATTGATGATCATCCGAGACATTGACGGTGTCTCCCAGAAACCTGTGCTCAGCGAAGTACATATTGATAGATCAATTGATGTTCAAAAATATTCTGTAAAAGATAAAAAGGCTTGTGAAAGTAATGGTAATTCTGAGGTTGGATCCGTGGTCAGTTTGTAGAGACATGGTGATGTTTATACCTTGCCAGAGCAGCCCATCCTTTGAATAGCAATTGACCTTGACACATCTTTCTACTGTCATGAAGGTGCAAATACTGATCCGAGGTTTTCAATCAGTGTCGCACCGCAGCTAAGCCATTTGCTACGGAGTGGTCTGCCAAGACCCGCTAAATTCCAATATTGCTGAGACATTGGAATCGAGACCCAAATCTCAATAATTCCAGGCAGCCACGGGCGGTTACGGACATCATGGACTTCACTGGCAGTTAGTGGCGTATCTGATTAAAGGAGTATAGAATAATAGGCACCGTGTTCTGTGTGTTGGTGGTAAACTGGTAAGCTAGATAAAGACACAGTCGTTTGTGGAGGCGTTTCAGGCAACATCAGCCCATTTCATCGACGGATATCTCCACAAGGTAGAAAGTCTATACAGTGACTCCAGCCAGCCACGGAATACACTTGGACCGCAATGGATGCAAGTGACCGAAAATGAATCACATATCTCACGCTGCAGGGAGAGATCAGTTCATCACCAACGATCAGCTCGCCAAAGGATATGATCTAAACTGCGTTTAACCACAGTATGTGATTTCGTACGAGAGAACGGCTTCAAGACATCGTCGTTGAGAGCGATGATCACGTCCAGCTAGCCACGGGCTACACCGCCAGAACACTCGTCACACCTTGGTTTACTGTATGTAGATAGCATTTGCAAATGATCAGCTCGCCACATCACGAAACGACTTGTGATATACTGAGAATAACGTCAAATTGATGTCAGCCAGCCACGAAACATGATCAGTACCTCCTGAAGAGATGTCAATCGGCATGCAGTACCTCAGCTCAGTCACAGTGGTCAGCCAGCCACTGGCTCAACTCAAGTGATGAGAGTATCACTTTGAGTAGATGTATTTCGCATTGTACACGGCCCAAGGCGAACTTGTCACAATGCGGCGTGGATTCTCTTCTCTGACAACGTCGCCGAAGATGCCGGGAGGAGGGAGACGCAACGTATTTGCTATAAGTGTCCAGACTGATAATTTGCCTATATAAACTCTCTACAATCCCCATGAATCCCATCCGACTTCTTCATCACTCAACCTCATCACTCTCAACTCAGTTCTCCAATATCTTACACATACACTCAAACCTTCAACTTCCCGTTGCAAATCAGTCACAATGGTCGTCGAAAAGGGCAACAAGATCTTCATCCCCGCTGACCAGCTTACCACTACCGAGGTCAAGGTAGAATGGTCCAAGAACTGGACCGATTACTCGGCCCAGTACTACTCGGTCCCTTTCTACAACAGAGATCAGGGTGCGTATGCGACAACCTCCTTTCTGGACTCACCATGCTGACTTTACGCCAGGCAATGAGGAGAGTGTTATCTTCATTCAGAAGACCTATCTTGATTCCCTCAAGAATAAGAAGGTTCCTGGAGATGATCTGACCGTCATTGTCGATGACTCTTTTCAGTATGGCCAGAACAAGGAGAAGACTAAGCGTTGGTTGGCCTACCATGACAAGAAGAACGAAGCCTACCAGGTAAGTTGAGCAGTTCACATCATTTCAGTGCAGTAATGACCTGTTTTAGTGGCGCTTTGTCGAGGGCCTCAAGTCCAAGCTTGGCCAGGCCGCCCTTAAGTTTGCTGGAGGGTTCTTCCCCAGCATTGACCTGGGCATGCTGAAGCTGCTCTTTGGCGACTACCTCCGCAACTTCTAAGCGGTCGAACATTTGGCGTTGGAGTGGATGCAACTGTCTGGTGCTGGCAATGGTTCTGGTATGTGGCAAAGAGGGGGTTTTTGCCCCAAGGTTTCCCCCTCTAAGACGCTTGCTGGAATGGAAAAGTGAGCCCTGTTTAGTAGATAGGTCTAATCGTAGGTGTGGAAATAAACACTAAAGAATCTCCTAAATCCATTTTAGATTGCCCCAAGCTTGTGATTCTCTTGTCAAGAGTCTACTAAGCCTATCATAGATTATCATAAACTCTTGCTAAATTACTCAGGGAAGCTCTCAAAGCCATTATAAACTCCTCTAAGCTTGTGCTTGCGTATTCTCTCTATCCAAGCATACAAGGTCGCTAAGATGCTTCTTTACCTCAATTCCAATAAACTACTGTGGCATTCAGAAGATGTCGAGATGACATGGCATATTGATCCTTGTACTTTGGGACAAGGTTGTCCACCTCGTGGCCTCAAGATTATTTGTATCGACATTGTAGACTCAGGGGATCTTTGCCGCCATCAAGAGTTTGATTCTCTCTGGAAACGCCTCACCAGAGTGTACACAATATTGCTGGCTGAAGGTATGATCGGTCTAGGCCTGGGGCTCATTACTTCTGAACTTGTTTATTGATGCGCCGCCCTTGTCTAGGACAATAACACATCTCTGTTATGGGTTGCAGAATCCATCTTTTGAGTCTCTGATGAAGGAGTTTCGGCTGGTTTGGTGTGCAATTGAGCTTTTGGAGAGAGTGACTCGCGATAGAAACGGAATAGCAAACCTGTGAAATAAAATAATATACGAAGAATCATTGCCGAAGAGTTCAAGTTGAACTTCGGCCTCCGTGAGCGAGGCTGCCGAGGAATACCAAGAGACTGATCCCTGCATACAAAGGCTTAGGTGCATTATGTATAGATTATGACAATCATTTCACTTAATATATCTTCATGAAAGTGGGTCGATGGGATATCCTGTTTGGCTGCACGCGACGCCATCACCATACCAGTTGTTGACAAGTTATATTTACAGCGCTCAAAGCTAATTACTGTCTTATTTCGACTGGTTGGGTGTAATTCCGAGCTCGACAGCCTGGTAGTTAGCACCAGGGCTAACAGCACCAGCCATCGCCAGAAATATCCCATCATTCCTGCCAGAGTACGTGTAGAACTCGTCAAATATCCCTGGAAGAGTAGAGCAGGTAGTCTCTCCAGACTCAAAGTCATACGTGCAGGCCTTGGCAGGGGCCGAACATTGGAGAACTCGATCGCGCGTTTGATCGCAGATAACGGGGCTGGTGTCTGGTTGGTTGAGCATATTGTTGCTGCAGGTTAAGAGCAAGTTGGCATTCCCGTTTTCTCCATATTGAATGCATAAGGTGTTTCCGTTTACATCTCGAACACGGTTTGTTGAAGCATCGATGGAAAAGGTCAGGCGGTAGTTTGTAGCTGGGTATTGCCATCCGACGAAGAAGCCAGGTGATTGGAAGCCTAGTAGATATTGACCGTCGACTTGGGCGCCCTTTCCGATGACGTCGAAGGTAGGAATTGGTTCAAAGGCTCCTTGACTCGTGGTTGTTTCAGTGGTCGTGGTGGTAGTGACGGATACTTCGAGGCTGGTGGTCTCTGCGGATGACGCTGTAGCAGTGGTTGCTACTTCTGTGGTGGACTCTTCATTCGAGGTTGACGTCGCAATAGTGGAAGACAGATCGGCAGAAGTGGCTGACGCAGTAGCAGTAGTCTCAAGCTCGGTGCTCGTGGCAGACGTGAGGACTGAAGTGGCGGACTCAACGGAGGCGGTGGCTGAATGGATGTGAGACATGTTCACTTGGTCTTATCACAAAGAGTTTCACTGACTTGAACCGCTTGAAGAACGGGGTTTGCAAACGCTAGCAAATGCAGGGCTTGCCGCAATGGCAGCCACGTAAAAAAGAGTGAAACGCATATTGGCTATAGAGGAATAACGAGTGACAGAGGCCAAAGCGGGTAAGAGACGAAACTGAGTAAGAGCAGTTTTGGGCTTGGGGAGTTTTATTTGTTCGCTGTCAAAGGGGGTTCAGACTTGAGGCCATGGCCACTGGAAATTGCAGCGGGTTGCCGTCCACTAACTCAGGTACTAGCGTTGCGAAGCCCAATGACAGCGCGTGGAGAGAACACTATTGATTTCACTAACCATAACTAACTGCGCCACGTCTAATAATATCGATAATATCTCTGACTCCCAGCACCACGATAAGAACTCAGAGGTCCAAGAAAATCTGGAAGGACATTGTGAATGGTTCAATAGAAATGCTCGACGGTTCATGTGATGGCTTGCCTTGCCCTAGAGGTTTGTTGTGACTCAATTCTCCAGAGTCTGTTTCTTCGGCGAACTGACTAAACTTTTATTGTTACTGACTAGGCTCATCGTATATGCTTTGCGCTCAGGCTTCCATTGGTCCAGGAACTTTATATAACCATAAGATGATAAGCTTCCCAACTACCCAGCTGTAAATGCTTATACTGGATAAGGTTGTGAACGGCAAGAAACCCGGGCCTAACTGAACAGCTGATTGATCGCCCCCGCGTTAAGGTTCTGGCAGACATTAAACATCCTTTGCACAGGATCTATATGTAAAATCCATTTAACCGTGTGATAAAAAGCATCAAATCACAACAGATCAAATGCACTCTGTTGTCAGAGTTCACGCATCGTGAACATCATCAGCAGCCAGCAGACCACTTGCATCTACTGGGATACTTGAGTTCCAGAATTAGAGCTTTGCCTACCTCCTACGGATCATGAGACCATTGGTTTAGCATTGTTGCGGTCGCTGATTGTCTCTTATACTACCAAGGGGACGAATCAACATGTTTTTGCTTCTGGCGCAGATGACTTCGAGAACCTTGAAACTGCAACTCTGAGAAGTTGACCTATCAGCACGATATAATCGAGCATCATAGTTGTTGTAGAGAGTTTCTATTGCAGGTGACGTAGTCAATGCCAAAGTCTAGTTGCCCTCCGTGTTCGTGAACAGTCAAGTTCGTCCATACCATGCCCTCAAACTTAGAGTAAACTTCGACCACAATGAACAAAATGCCCTTTGTGAGTCAAGTTTAAACTTCTCCCAACTCATCTTCGTGCTATAAATATGGCATCTGTTCCCTTGTCTCCCCTGTTTCATTTATTCCTTCTTAACACACACTTGAACAGCCAGCTCGAATTTGCCAAGTCAAGGTCACTCGGCTCTTTTGTTCCAACTTTGTTTCTCAGACACTCAGGTACATTGCAGTCTTGACCTTGAACAAAGAAACACATACACAGACACATACTCTCTCTCTATCTTTCTTTGCTACACATACATACACCCAAACATTCTCTGTCTCTCGAGCAATCAGTTTCAATCAATCAACTCGACTTCACTCAACGGTGTTATTCCAACATTTTCCCGAGGCACCCAACCACACAACAACACACAGCATCCCCACTTTATACATTCACCAAGCACTTCCAAGATGGGTGGCGGTTCATCCAAGCCAAAGGTCACATACAAGACCAAAATCCCCAATCATCCCAAGCACCACGCGCCTCTCTCAGAAAAAGAGCAGGCAGAGTTTACACCATACATCAATCACTCCAAGAATGATGGTCGCCAGCGGTTTGCCGATCAGTATGCGAAGCAGCAGAAAGATCTTCGGAGTGCTGGAAAGCAATACAAACGCATCAACCGATCCCCCACAAAGTCTCCCCCAGAGGAGTATCGGGTGGAAAAGCCTCCCAAACAAGAGCCTTACCGGCCTTCCCGAAGACTCGAGACTCTTCCCCCTCTTCCAAAAGGGAATTGCAAAAAAAGACCTCCCAAACAAGAGCCTTACCGGCCTTCCCATAGACTCGAGACTCTTCCACCTCTTCCAAAAGGGTATTGCAAAAAAAGGCCTCCCGTACAAGAACCTTTGCCCAAAAAGCCTCCCCAAAAAGAGTCTTCTGCAGAAAGGCCTCCCCTAAAAAGGTCTTCCCCCAAAAAGTCTAGTGGTTGGGATTACTTTTAGCTACCTGCGCCAACTAGGGCCTCCGCCTTCATTTGTGTTCTGCCCTCGACTTAAAACCAACACAATAGGCCAAGCTCAGCTTCGCTATCTTGCAACAGCTTGAAAATGTCACCAAGACAATACGGCTGAATGCAAATGATAGACCAAAGATATCATGAGATATGTCGACAAGGGATGGCTTGAAAGCCTCTCTCAAAGTTCAAGTATGATTAAACGAGTTATGGCTCTCTGCATGGTGTACAATATGGGATTCGCATAGTCGTCAGGAGTTTTTTTCAACAAAATGGGTTTTCTCATCGCCCGCATGGTTTCAATATTGATTCGAGTTTGAATAAAATACAAGTTGCTTGGCTTCAGTCTTATTTCAATGCTTCAAAACGTGATTGACTGAAAAGAGAAGATAACATTGGCTATCAGACTAACCTTATTGCTTATATGGCCATCATTTATGATGTATCGCGACTACCCTTGTCGTGCTCACATTGTTTTTCTGGCTTTTGCCTCACATAATAAACACCACGGTTACTAGGCTTGGTAGGATGGATGGTAAAGGCCTTCATTCATCTCCATTCCTCTCACAACCACTGTAAGGATGTATCTTATCTGAATGTCTTTCCTAATAGCCAATAAGATAAATGCCCTTCCCAGGCCTCATGTCCAAGAACGGATGTTAATTTTATTGCGTCTTGTATCAAAGTGGACAGAGTAGCGTAGTGGGACGACGCTAGGCATCGGCGCGGACAACACCATCACTCCGGAGAGGCCGCTGACTAAAGAAAACTGCGACGAAGCCATACATTCGAAGCCCCCGAAAACTGCTGAAACTTTTAGATACTGTATGGATGGTGATATGTGTACAATATCTCTCTCTCACACACCATATCCAGACAAGAGCCAGAAACAAAGTGAAAAAGACCTCCTGGGTGTCCAGGAATAACAGAGCAGATACTGTCTGCTAGAATACTCTATCTCGGCTGAGGTTTACGCGGTCCAAACGCTTCGAAATAACGCTACCAACTAGTCCCATGTGATCTCAGGTCGGAACACGGCATCAAGCTGCTTAAACATCTCCTTTTCCCACCCCAAATCCATCGGTGGGCGTTCGAAAATAGCAGGATCAACGTAATGCGTAAGTGACAACTAAACCCGTATTAGCGATAGGTACACACAGCGAGGGACATGCATACCGGACTGATGGCATTCTTCTTCCATTTGTCATCTTCTTTGAACTCCTTCTTTAAAACCGATTCGACATACTCGTTCCACACAGCGGTCATTTCGTCCGTGAGAGACGGTGGAACAGCGATACCGATAATGAGAGCTCGGGGGCGAGGGTGTAGGTTATGCAGAATGACTCCGAGATTGTGTGGTGAGTATCGGTAGGGCTCTAATGTTTCTTCAAAGTCCATCATAGCTGTCATGACGTATGGAGAGTTGTGTTCTGTAAATATTTTGGGCATGAAGACGACGCCATTTTCACGGCCCCAGCCAATAATGACGACGGGAATGGAATCTGGGTTTGAAGAAAGAGAAGACATTGCGCAGTCGTGAGGTTGAAAAAGTAGTATGAATAAGGGCAGAGGTTGGAAATAAAAGGCTTTGAGGAATAGATCGGCCTTTTATACGCAGCCTTGTCGCAATTCTCTGAACACCGAGGCCGAGGTTTCGATATGTTATCACCGGCGAGCTATGGGGCTCCCGATCAACTAACATCACTTTGCAAACACCGAGGCCGAGGTGTGTAAAAATATCACCGAACGAGTTCGACAATATTTACTCTTATCGCTGTCCGCTCTTCACATAATTAGTCACCTAAATCTTCAAATTGGAAGGGTGAGAAACCATCTCCGTTGGCTTAGAGAGCTGAAATACATGTATTAATTATATCATAGCTTTAATAACTAATGCCCACAGCTTTGTCTAATGTCTCCTTGCACATGCGCAGGAATACAGCTCCCAATTCCTTGCGGTGGAGAGGGATAAGACTAAAGAAAAGAGAGGCCGTGACGCGGAACAATGTCTTACGGTGTAGCCGTACAGAGTAGTTATTTTTCAGAAAGGCAAAGAACTGCTCCTGCAGTTCGTTCAGTAGCTCAGTGTCCGCCTCATCCAACAGCGGCTTGTCGTCCTCGAGGGCGCCCGTGAGATCGTAGTTATTGGCACTCATGAATAGAATATAGTCATAGCCGCAAAGGGACTGCAAGACCTTGCCAAGATCATAGTTGATATCCCCCTCGGGGGTGAGATAATTCTCCAGCTGGCACCGCACATCAATGAAGCTGACGGTTCTCTCGTCATCGGAAATGATGGCGTTGCTAAACACCGGATCACCGTGGATGACGTTTGCGTGAACGCCCTTCTCCTCAGCCTCATAGGTGTCGAGAAACTCATCTAGCCGCGCAAAAAGCGACGCAGCTAGTGGACCGAGCGCGTCGTAGCGATCACGGTGCTGGTAGTATCTACTGCGCAGCTTGGTGCCGTAGTTGGCGTAGATGTTGACAGGGTGATCACCAGGGGCTTTTGGTGCAAACTTGGCCTCTAGCGCTTCAGGGACGTCTAAGGTGGGTTGCGAGGTGGTGTTTGGTGCCGTGTGAATAGTGTGCAGGGTCTCGAGGAATTTGGTAAGGCGGCCTTTGGTGATGGACCGTCCGACGAGAAGATGAGAGAATGTGCGTCCACGACGGTTCTCCATAGTGATGCTGTAGGTAGAAGTGGCAGGGATGTAGTCGACGCTATACACAGAGGGAAAGATGCGAGACAGTGTTGGCGGCATGTGAGCGTAGAAGTAGAGCTCACCAAGAATAGCCTCAGATTTGCTAGACTTGATGACCTTGTCTCTGATGATCTGAACAGTGTTGAAGTCTCGTGCAGCAATCATCCCGGCCTTCTTGACATCCTCGGCAGAACTCTTACGTACTTGGCCGAGCCGAGGTGTGACTTCAGGCTCGTCGAGTATCCAGCCTAGCTCACGCGCGGTGTCGAGATTGGCATTGACGGCCAAGTCGTCGACGTAGACGTCAGCGTAGGGCTTCCCGAAGTTGATCTCATGATAGGGAATCTCGTAGTCTGAGAGCTGTTTGAAGGTGACGAGACCAACGTCGGCGAGGACTCTGCCGGGATTGCCGTAGTGTGTCTTCATTCTACGTGCTGTTTGCTGGAGGATGTCAGTGTGCTGTTTAGAATACGGATCCCTTGGAAGAGTTGAACTTACGATGATGATGTAGTGGCCAGCCTTGTACAGCTGCTGCACGAGGCGAATGTTCTTAGAGATGGGCGGGCAAGTCGAGTAATCACCCGAAACAGCCGGGACTCCCACGAGGGTCATGTCCAAGTCGAAGCAAAACCTGCGCTTCTTCAACGTGACGGGCATATTGTGATTGTCTGTCTTGAGAGCTGCTAGGAGCTCCTGGAGCTGCTCTGGGGTTCCCACGACAGAAAAGTCCTTCTTCTGTATGGGCAAGCCGATGAAGGGAACGCCACTTTGAACCATCATGGAGATGACTTGTGAGGTGTAGTATTCGCCCACCTCGGCACCGTCGGGGTGTTTTACGTCGAGGTTCTCGGCGGCCCAAGCTTTTAGGTCGGCGGCAGAAGGAAAGACATATGCGCCTGTGTTGGCTTTGTTGCTAATGGCTTTCTTCTCCTGGATGTCGACGATTCGTTCGGCGCCGGGCCTGGGAAGAATCATGTGAGTTAGTCTTTTCCTGCATAACGAGGCACCGTGGTGCTAGGGGGAGATTGTAAATGGCTACTTACGATTCGTTTTCTGTCTGGATGTAAGAGAAGATGGGCTTGTCGCCTTCGTCGATAAAATAGAAGCATCCGCCATGGCCGCTGGGCATCTTTCGGACAGAGGCCAAGATGTCATACCAATAGATGGTGTCGCAATCGAGAGATACGGTTCGATGCTGCAAGTGCTCCTTCGTCATGCTCTGAGTGACCATGTATAGCTGAAGCAGAGGGGACAGGGTTAGAGAATGCAGGTCTGGGGCTTGGGTTGTTTGCCTGTCTTGCTGGCAATCGGTGCTGTACTTACAGTTTCACTGGCACCTTTTGTTTGATGTCGCAACAACAAAAGCTTGAGATTGACCTTTGGAAAGTTCTTACTGACAAGCTGGCCGATTCTGAACTCATTGTCAATGTGCTCATTGACAGCAATCCATAGAGTGTCCCTGGGACGAAGACTAAGGTTGTCGATTAACCAGAGGAGCATCGGCTGTCCAACGATGTTGATGAGTGGCTTTGGGAAACGGTAGCCCTCCTTGGCGAACCGAGAACCGATTCCGCCAACCGGGATGATGACGTTCACAGGCTCATAGTCTTCTGCGTGGCCATTGTCGATGCTGTTGGTAACGGCAGTACCTGTGGTATCATGAATATGAGGCATGACGAAGTTGGTAAAATTATCGCTGAGCTCAGGAAATGAGGAAAATGATGGCAACAAATCTTGCGGTTGTCAATCACTTTAAATCGTCGTTAACCACCACTACCTTTATGCGGGATTTAGTTAGTCTAATTGGGTTGCAAAGACCTTTCTCCTTCCAAACAGACCAACTCATCCCCCCAAAGACAGTTGCAGATGTTCGAGAGGTGCGCCACCCTCTCCAGTAGCGCTCCAGATGCACCTACCGAGACATCCACCATTCTATCGAAACCGCCCAGAACGGATTACACAAAGCCATGTGGCCACGGCAGGCTGTAGCTGTCGGCCGAAACCGGGTTCCGCGTGGCGAGAGGGGACAAAAAAGCGTTCTCGACGGGATGAATAAGGTTTGGCGTTGCAGTCGTAGTTCTAACCCAAAAACGGAAACACTCCAAAACCAGGGGAGGAATGTTGGCGGAAGGATAGGCGGGTGAGTGTTTAGACGGATATCTTTCCGGCCACTGTATTGTTGGGACAGAAAGTAAAATAAGCGGTCTGGAAGTTCGATAGATACGATGGCGAAATACGCACCCGTCACATCAGAATATTGAACGGCATGCCATGAGGCCGCATCTAGACTAGACTAGATTATCATTCTTACAAGTGTATGATTGAGCCGAGGCGGCGACTGTAGAAGTGATGGAACAGTCATTAGGCCGTGATTCAGGCGATATAAACATACGCACATCAATAAGCAACATCGACCCGGCATAATTCACAATTATCGCTGCGAGCTATGTACCCTGATGAATTGTTGCGCTGCCACAACAATTGCCTGGAGAGAAAGCGCCATTTTACGGTAAGCTTTCCACGATTTCCGTATTGGGCCTGAATTCTGAAGTAGGGCGCCACAAATGTACCTTAGTAAAGCCTACGCAGCCTTTGATGCACATGGGAATGAAGGAATGATCCAGATTAAAAATACCGTAGTCTGGATCTGCCTATGAATTGTCTGAATGCAGTGTTGCAATTATGGCATCTAGTAAAGTGCACTTGTTCATTGATGTGGACTTTTCGAACACGCTCCAGATCTTTTGCCGAAAACGGTGAAAAACAAGCTTTCAGCCCTGCGTCCCAGCAACGAATAACATTTCTCAGTGACACCTCAGCCCTAAACCTTAAGCCCATCTAGTAAACCGGTTTAGAAAGCCCACTACCGAATACAGCATATCTGACATGCCGCGGAGGACCCTGTTCCTGGTTAGTAGCAGAAAGGGACAAGCCTGATTCGCTAAACATCCTGCATTCTCTAGTGAGGAATGTGGCGTCCTGTCAGTTATGTGAACGGCACAGGCCTGATATCTGTGGCTTGAGCCTCGACGCAGGAACAGTGTGGAGCGTCGAGTTTCTACGGTTGCAGAGCCATGAGCTGCTCTCTTTGAATGCTACTAAAATTCACCACGTACTTCAATTTTTTATCCAATATTCTACCTTCTTCACTTACCATCAGTGCAGAAACAATCATGTCTGCAACTCGGTTTCTACGAAAGATGTCGCTGCGCAATAGCAGCCCCCAACGAGCAGCTTACCTCGCGGCGCTGGGTCTCGTCGGGATCCAGGTCGGCATAGGCGTTATCATGAAGACTGCCCAGAGCGGTGGTTCCTATGCTTTTTCACCATCAGGGTCAATCACCATCTCTGAGTTTCTCAAGCTAATTCTCTCTACGATATTCTTCTACCGGGAGTGCAAGACTAGGGCGCAGACGGGCGTTGGGCCGTCTACACGAGGCTCGGATACTGCGTATGCGTCGCTGTCGGGCGATAATACGGATTTGGAGATCCAAGATAAAGACGGGGACTCCTCATCACTGACGATGCTGGACTCAGAGGATGAGGAGGCGAGGGAGGCTGGGCCTTCGTCGCCGCCACTACCTTTTGGTCTGCGGACCTTTTGGGGGTATGTTCGTGGTGAGGTGAGGGACGATGTGCGGTTTGGTTTCTACAACTTGGCGCTCATTTATATTCTCATCAACAACTCGGTCAGTACTTCCTCTTATTTTATCCATGGGAGTATGAGCTAATTATCGTTGTCTAGCTCTTCTTGAGTTACAAGATGGCGGACCCAGGCACCATTCAACTCACAAAAAGCGGCGTCACCCTCATCACAGCCTTGGTCATGATTGCAACTCTCAATCAACAGGTGTCCAAGACTCAATGGATGGCAATCACCATGCAGGTACTAATCAAAACCTCCCCCCAGACCTTGAGGAATAGGCGACTGACAATCAACGCCTTTTCAGCTTAGCGGCCTCATCGTTACGCAATATCAACCTGGCAAGGGCGCCCTCTATCCACTCGACACATACGCCCTTCTTCTTTTCCAGGTCTTTCTCAGCGCTTCATCGGGCGTGTACAACCAGGTTCTTCTCAAAGCCGACGACTCCAGCCTTCATGCCAACAACATGATTCTGTACGCCTCGGGCACAGTCGTCAACCTCGTCTGTCATATAACCATCAAATGTATAAGCTCCAACGAACCGGGTTTCTTTGAGGGATACGGGAGTATTCATGCCATCTTGGTGATCATGAGCAATGTCTTTATTGGTCTTGCAATCACTGCTGTGTATAAATGTAAGTCCAATCTCCTCTCAGTCCACCTAAAATGGTGACTCCTTCTATCAGCAAGCTGACCAAAATTTCTCTATTCAAGATGCCGATGCCCTCGTCAAGTGTTTCGCGACCGCCTTTTCGACCGGAATATTGCTCTACCTAGCACCTCTTATCTCCGATACAACCCTGAGCTTTCTCGTTGTTCCGGGGACATTTATCATCTTTGTCGCTACTTGGCTCTACATGGAGAACCCCGCTCCAAAGCCCACCAATACCAAATCTGACTCCGATCCCAAGACCGGCTTCTTCTCCAAACTTGGCGCCATTGTTCAAAACAAAAGGGTGTTATTCATTTTCATCAACACTCTCATCACGGTCATGGCTGTGATGGCCTTGGCTATGTACCAAGTGGCCATGCCGACCAAGTCTATAACCACTGCGCCTAGCGATGAAAGCACGAAGGTGATGACAACAACCGAAGAAGCCGACACTCCAAAGATTGTCACATCACCTTTTAAAAATACCATGGCCTTCATCAGATGGAACTCTGTTCATCCCGAGCGCATACCAACGTTGATGAAGTATGAGCCATTCTTCCGCGACATTCACATCTCAATGCCCGATATGATGAAGGATGAGGGACGCGGCCCAGAGTTTCACAACATTACTCATGACCAAAGTACCCTCACCTTTCACATCTATCAGCAGGTAGCCGACACAATGCAACTGATTCTCGACGAGGAGCCTGAAATCGATGGCCTCCTGTACTATCACTTCGACGCCTGGATCGACCCTCTGGCCTGGAGCAACATCGACCGCAATAAGATCTACTTCCCCATGACTTGGCCCGAGATGAAACCTAAAGGACCCCAGTTCTCGTGCATGAATGACACAAAGGATTATGACTGGGGCGGGTGGGGCGGACCGCATTACCACCTCAAAGCCCAACTTGCAGCTGCTCAGCTGGACCACTTGGACCTGGGTTTCAAAATCGACATCCACGAGTTCTGTGTCGGCTGGAGCGATATTTACTTCATCCCCAGAAAGTTCTTCAAGGACTACATCGTCGCAGCCCCAATCTTCAAGTCTTTCGACGTCTTCCACGAGGTCGGCATCCCAACTATGCTGCACATCATCGAACAAAGCCATCGCGAGTCCCCCTACGTGCCAGCCATGGAGTTGTTTGCAGACTGCTGGGGCTATTGCTGCGCTGATAACCCCACCATCTACGACGTCACAACTTATCGGTGCGGCCATCGACTTGACTACCGTAATGAGGAGGTGACGGGGGCTTTTTACAAGAAGCTCGACGAGGAGGCGAAGTTCCTGGGACAACCCATGAACGGGTCCCATGTCGCAAACCTTACAGAAGCCTTTCCACCAATAAAAGAGTCTGATAAATTGAATTTGACTGCGGCGAGGGGTAAGAGGTAGCTAGCCTATAGATAGTTAGATGATATTACAGCGTCACAGGCGCAATAGCCAATGAATTTAGTTATTGTATGATGTATCTCGGTTCTAAGCATATTAATCCTTTGATGTAAAGGCCCAAAATCGATCTAGCGAGAGAGAGTTTGTGATTCAGGTTTGAGCTACTAATCACGTACTGCCACATCAGCTTTGAGCCTTGAAATGTAAAGAAAATTTCAGGAGGATCAGGCAGCTACGATGACAGCTTCTATGTATCTTCGCAAGCTTCAGTAATCCACTGACTGTCCACAAGTACCAGAAAACACTTTATTTCCGACATGGTTTGTTTTAATAAGAACTACTCGTATCACGAATTCATCATGGAGGTTCTGATAGAATACTAAATAAATGCTTATAGTGAGATGTCGTTTCAAAGTCAACTGATATTCATTCTTGATATATTCCCATTCCCGCTCGCAAGCACTATTAATTAAGCCTTAAGGTTCCAATCCTACGTGCTTCTTATGTGCAATGAAGCCACATTATGTATAAGTAATAACTCGCCGTTGTTCTACATGGAGATATGTAGAGTGATACGCGTCCTTTCTTCTCTGACTGGGTGGTTTTGTTAGGACTTGAATCGTGAGAGTTTACCGCGTGAGGAAACCATCCTTCTCGGCATTTGTCCCCTTATGGGCAGTTTTATGCTGTCAGCCCCAAAGCTCTGAACTAATCACCCTTCGTAGTGTCAAAACACCTCTGTCCCGGGAATCTATACTAACCATTCACAGCCAGACTTTCACGCCAGACCTGTTCTATGTCCCGTACACCATAGAACAGCTTATGCTTCAGTTGAACACTTCTCTGGCACCTTTTTACCTATATAAAGCTCATGTGATCCTTTCTTTAACCTTTTGTCTTTTCTCATATTTTCCAAACATAATTACAATAATCAGTTCAAGTCTACCGATTCAAACTCACCCAACTCAATTGTTCCAATAGCCTTCCTTAAGTATCACAAAAAACCCACAGTACGTGCCTCTACCTATCATCAGTTAATCAAAACGCCAACAAGACTTTAGAAACACACCACCTCCTACTCCCAAGATGTGCGGTGGTTCCGAGCCGAAGGTCTCTGTCGACCCACCTTCCAGGCCATACATTCAGGTGTCCAAGAGCGCCCCAGGCATCTCGAGTGCCGAGTTGGAAGAGTGGGACAGGTATATGAATCCCCCCTCGAAGGACAGGCAGTGGGGCAAAGCCTATACCACTTCCATGAAGAATGATGGGTGGAGGCTGAAGAGAACCGGCAAGAAAAAAGGCTCGTTTGTGCCCAAGAGTAGGTTTCACTTCTGGTAAACCTGAGGGTCTACTACCCTACTATACCATGGGTTCACGGAATGTTGGTTAGGGAGTGGATTACGGGTGTCTACATGGTTTGTGCCATTGTGTTCAGTGGTATCATGTTTCTTCAAAATGGTTGATGTGGGGTGTTGATAGTGAACCTGGGATATTGTTCTTTATTGCCCAAGTAAACATCTGTCGAACTCTGCCTCAGTCGTGGTCTTCCTGTGGACAAAATAATCACCTAATGTACTTCGTCCTCTACAGTCCACTCTAAATGGCTTTATTCTAATTTTAGCGCTAACTCCACCCTCACCAACGACCCTTCAACGCCGGAGGACAGTTTAGAACTGCAACACACACTTCTGTGATCTTGGGGCGCTCCTCTACTGCTTGAAACAGAACAAAGGTGGCGTAAAAAATAAACATAGCACCACCTTCAAACTTATCATCTTCGGCGAATGTGTCTGAACCCAATTGGTAGCCCTCTCATAGAAGAGTCAGGAAACCATGTCAAGGCCAGAGTCAAAATCCGGCTCGACAACTGATTTGTAGTATGTTTGATAGAGTTTATAGGTGAAGGTCCGGGTTCAGTGTCACAGTAGACAAATGAATACTGCTTTGGTGGGGTCAAGGTATGAGAAGCTTGGGCAGAACATGAGAGGAGGCCAGTAGTTATAAGGTTTAGTGGGAAAGGAAGCCCTATCTACTGGACCAATAACATAAAGACATTGACGACAAGCTTTTCCCTGGAACAAGGGATGAAATTGAGCTATTGCAGAGAGTGATTTGCGACGGAAAAGGTAGGCTTGTAGGCGGAGGACTTATTGATAGATGAAAAATAGCTTTGAACGGCGAAGACGCGGAAATTAAAGCAGAAGAACTTGACGCGAGACGGAGAATTGAAATAGACGATGATAGATAGGCCCCTTTCTTCACAGGTTCAGTTATCGCTCAAGTGGCATTACAGTACCATCGTATTGGACTGCCAGGCTTTGCGATATGTGAGTAATGTATAAATTATATAATAGTCTATTATATTTGACATTTATAGTGTCCACGCTCGAATCAGCTAATTCGATATGTAGGTTGGTTGCAGAGCGCACTGGCACTTGTCCTGGCTATGTAAACAAACCGCAGTTGGAGCATACAGTAAAAGCCCTGGCTGCTGGATTACGATATGTTTTCAAGATACGAGACGGTGATGTCGTCTTGGGCTGAGCCTCTGAGCGGATTAAATATTGAGCACAGATGATTTTATTTCGAAAACAAAGAATATAACAATTGGGGAACAGTCGGTTGGTCGCTGGGCCGTGGTCATGCGACGCATCGCAACTTGGTGATAGTTGCACCAGATTAAGCCGAGGCTAAATTTGCCGCCGCAATTGACCCGTGGCAAACAGCACCAGCAACTCCTTTGAAAAGGAAAGTAATTACAATAAGACGGTCTAAGTCTTTTCTTATTGAGCTCTTATACTTTGTATCCTGTATCGTTTTTCCAGAACATTTATTAAACCAGTTTGACGATTAACTTACTGCCCAGCATCACTACCTTAAAATCTTCACCATGATTTTCACTTCCAGATATGATATTGCCATTCCTAATGTTGATCTCCTCACTTACATATTCGGTACACACCTCCCTTCTGATCTCCAGACCTGGAGCCACTAACACCATGGAAAGACTCACCCTCGGAAGACTCTCAACAAACCTCGCCAAACAAGCCCTTATATGTCACTGCACATAACCCGGCCCAACAAATCAACAGAGCGCAGCTACAGCATACGGTGAAAGCCCTGGCTGCCGGATTACGACATGTTTTCAAGATACGAGACGGTGATGTTGTCTTGGGGTTTTGCGAGAACTCTGTTAGCGTTTTTACTCATCGCGTGGTTTCATTGGCTAATCATTATAGATCCTCTACCCAGCTGTGATCTTGGGATCAATTGCTGCTGGGGGAATATTTACTGGAGCCAACCCGGGGTACACCTACTCTGGTAAGTCATGGGCAGTCACTCCGGGACACCACATCTCTGATGACCTGACCTTAGCTAAAAATTACAGAACTTGTCAATCAGCTCACTGTCTCGGGCGCAAAATGCATTGTTACCGATAGCCCTCGACTTGAGATAGCGAAGAAGGCCGCAACGGCTGTAGGCTTACCATCCACTTCCTTGGTTCTTATCGACTCGAAGGACAGCAGCACGGTTGGTGGCGTCTCGTCTTTCCAAAGTCTGTTAGGTTATGCAACGTACTCTTGGGAGAAGATATCAGACCCCAAAGTCCTTGCTGATAAGTATGGTACATCATCGGCAGCTTCTTGTTCGACACGGCTAATGTGTTTTCTAGGCCAGCTGTTTTGAACTTTAGCAGTGGCACAACCGGGCTTCCGAAAGCTTGTGAGATTACGCATCGCAACTTGGTTGCCAACGCCGAACAGAATCTGCACCTTGACCGAATGGCGAGGAAGCGAAAGAATGATCCGACTTATGCAGCCAACGACGTACATTGTGCTTTTCTCCCATTCTACCATGCCAGTAGGTCCCGCAACTTCTTTCACACTCCTGGCATATTAGCTGACCAGTGAAATCAGTGGGTCTTATCACTTTCTGCATCTTGAATGTCAAACGAGGGTGTACTACTGTTGTCATGCCTAAATTCGACTTGAAGTCGTTTCTCAGCACGATCCAAGACTTCAAAGTAACATACCTAATCTTTGCGCCCCCAGTGGTATCAATGCTCGTCAAAAGTCCCCTCGTTTCCAAATATGATCTATCGAGTGTCAAGTTTCTGGTTTGTGGAGCAGCACCACTCCAGGCCGATGTGGAAAAGCGGCTCGAGTCACTTTTCAGCAAGACCGGCGCTCGAAGCCGACAAGGCTGGGGTATGAGTGAAGCTACAATGTCCATTTCGATCTTTGGGCCTGATGAGTTTGATCCATCTCATGGAAGTGTTGGGTATCTGGTGCCTAATATGCAGCTCCAGATTCTCAACGAGGATGGCAGAGCTGTTAGTTATGATGAGGAAGGAGAGGCTATTCTTCGAGGGCCGAATATGTTCAAGGGCTACTATAAGAATCCTGCTGCGACCAAGGATGCTTTTACTGATGATGGCTGGGTTAAGACTGGGGACATTGTCAAGATCGATAAGACCGGACTGGTTAGCATCGTTGATCGCAAGAAGGTCTGTATCGTCTAGAGCTTGTGCATGAGCCTTACTAACTGTGATGTATCAGGAACTCATCAAGGTCAAGGGATTTCAGGTTGCACCATCTGAACTAGAAGGCCATCTTTTGGAGCACGAGGGGGTACTAGACTGCGCAGTTATTCGGGTCCTACGGTATGAGTGCATCTTGCCTTCCAATGACAACTCACTGATAGGAAATCACCAGAGACGGACAAGAACATCCCCAGGCGCATATCGTCCGAAAGAAGCCAGATGTGACAGGTCAGTCCATCCTTTCATTCATGGATAAGCGTCTGTCTCCCGTCAAGCGAATTACAGGCGGTGTCGTATTCACCGATGCCATTCCAAAGTCCCGGTCGGGCAAGATTCTGCGACGATTAATCAAGGATGGTTTTACTAGCAATGACCCTAGTCCTCGTCTGTGACGGGTTACAAGTTAATGGGCGGTGAACTTGTCTGCATTGGGAGATTTTCGGTGGAAATTTGTCCCTCGGCAGAAATTTTTAGCCGAAGGAATGGGGAATTGGTATGCTGATGGAGGGTTGGTTTTAGGGGATTGGGTAGAACTTAGAGCGTGACAGTAAATGCAGGTCGCCAAGATTGAGTGTAGTATCTATCAGCAATTTGTTCCTTCTCTTTACGAGACAGTCCGAAGATCCCGGTAGTGAAGTTTATTCTCAAGCTAGTGATATCCTGCCAGCGTTTACTGGTCGAGGAAGCCATTCAGCTTTGAGGAATACTTGGAGCTCCCATGCATTGAAAGAGACTCAGCATCCCATTTGGAATAGTTAGACTAATTAAGTTAGAGGTCTAGTTGACTGCATTAATGCTGGGATATAGTTTCTTTTCTTGCAGCCTGTTGACCTTCCCCAAACTGACCCCGCGAAATGCTACCCCATGTTTAAACTCTCCGGCCTGCCGGGTCCTCCTCCTCTCTACTTACTGCCGTTTAACTTTTATCATCACATCTTCACTCATGTCCAATTGTAACCCAACCATGCAAGAATCGGAAACCCCAAGATCAGCTCCAGCGCGAAGACGAGCTTCCAAAGCTTGTATGAACTGTCGCGTCAGGAAAGTCCGCTGCGATGTTGTCCGAAACCCAGAAAGGTGCGCCAACTGCGCTCTCGATAACGCCGAATGTACGGTCATAGCCCGAAGAACCAAGTAGTGAGTGACATTTTACAGTGAAATGAGTAGATACTAATTGAGGAAGCCGTAAAAGACCTACGGTTATACTGGGGAGGCCAAAACCCATAACATTTCGAAATACTTTTCAACAGCAACATGAAAGTAGAAGCGCTGCGGCCATTATTCCAGGCTCACCAATCGATTTCGGTCAACATTCCTTTTTCTGTGAGAGTCGGTCGGATCATAGCCCTGAAAGCCCATCAACTTGCTTCAAGGACATTGAAGAGTCCACAGAGACAGCATGCACTGACAACGTCAACCGGCTGCCAGCGACGACAGTCGAGGGAGATCATGCACTTCAAACTTTTAAAGCAACAGAGAACATGAGATCACGTCAAAACACAGGACCCAATGCCCGATCACACGTTATATACTCCTATTACTCATTCCTTACCCTTGACATGTCTGGACTGGATCCCGATGATGTTCACTATCTTGAGTCTCGCAGCTGTTTGAGTGTTCCTACTTCTGACGCCCTGGATGACTTTGTCCGAGAGTATTTTCTCCACGTACATCCTGGCCTTCCACTGTTGGACGAGGCCCAGTTTTGGGCATTATACTCTGGTGACAAGGAGCCTTGTGGCGAGTCGACAGTTTCGCTCTTGGTATTCCAGGCAATGCTATTCGCTTCCTGCAGTGTAAGACATTCGAGGATGTAATTATTGTAGGGCTTGCTGACTTGCACTAGTTCGTCCCTTTCTCGACATTGAAATGTCTTGGTTTCACCTCGAGACGCAATGCTAGGGAGAAATACTATCGCCGCGCCAAGGTAACTGCATTTGCACTCAACGTCTTGATATTGAGGCTAATATCTGTCTATAGCTCCTCCTGGACATCTGCAGTGGCAAAGATCCTGCGTCAAATGCGCAAGGGGCATTACTTCTGACCTACTATGCCACGACACGAGACCGAGCCCGCACAAACTCCATCTTGCTTGCAACAGCTATTCAGCTAGCTCAGGGGGCAGGAGCGAGCAGACCAGGGCTCAGCTGAAACCAATAGGTTGAAGCGGCTTTGGTGGTGTTGCATAGTGCGAGATAGAATCTTACCTCTCGGCGTTCGAAGACAGTTGTATATTGCTTCGATAAGTCCAACTCTGGATCACCTGGCAGAACAGGACTTTGCGAAAGAGATTCAAGAGTCGCAGGTATACTCACCACAGACTAAGCGGAGTTTGGCCCAACTGTTTATTAGCCTTTGTGAGCTGGCTATTCCATTCACCAGTGTTATACAGACGGTCTATGGGATGGGACAATCGGCTATAGATGCCATATCCCCAATTATCGAGAACCAAAGACACATCGAAGAATCCATCAGGTTCTGTGAGACCAGTTTGGACGCCTGGTTCGATAAGGCGACTATCCAGTTCCCTACCCCTGCTGGAATACTGAGCAGTGAGAAGTCTCTTGTTCTGTACACGAATTTGATGTACATATACTACTAGTAAGCTACTGACTCCAGCCTCGGATTGTTTGCTTACCATTTACTCCTCTCAAGTTCCGCCCGCGTCGCACTATATCAATACAAAGCATTTGTTGTTAGTCTTGCGTCTCCAGGAGCTGGTATGGACAACAAGTTACACCAAACCCGGCACCACTTGGAGGATGCTACATTAGGGATCACAGACAACCTTAAAGAGCTGGTTCAACTCAAAGTCGCCAGGTTCCTACCAGTTAGCATGTAAGTCGACCCTACTCTCAGTTCGAGCCCGGCTGATGTTTCTCAGCATTGCGTATGCAGCGCTGCCACTAGTTCTGCATATTCTCGATGTCAAATTGGCAAAATTACCATCGCAAACAGCCAGGAAACAAGGTAGACTCAACATATATATGGAGGCTATGAAGGGACTACAAAACCTGTATGATGGTGTTGACGACGTCTGGGCTTTCATCAGGGGCGCAATTGACTCTGCAACTTCTGAGACCTTAGATACAGCTGATGTCAGCCCTAACAGCGCACTTTGCTCTAAAGCATCACCTTCTATCCTGGCCGCTGACGATTGGGGTAACTTCCTCTTGCAGGAGCCTATTCTCTACTTCCGCCTCTCACGCACCATTGATCTCTCATTGGCTGTTGGATGTTATACTGAGGACTCTTCGCTCAGTCTGTTACTGGCTTCTGCACAATTCCCAAGTCCAAGTCTTATGTTTATTGGTGTTGATGTTCCTGCTGAAAGCGTGATCTCTGGCTGTGATGACGGATCTACAGATGAGAAAGGGAACGCAGAGCTTGAAGAAATTTGTCAAGACATAAGATCTGACATCGGTGACTTGGATGGATATGATCTTGATTTGGATTCTCTTCAGACACCCGAGTTTCTGGATATGTTTAAAGTAGACTTGGGAGATGAGCAGAAAGGCGACACATAAATAATTGTCTAGTTCATCAATTTTGCGCAGTTTGCGAATCTTGGCTAAAAGGGGTATTTTCCACGTCAAGGGACTTCAAACCACGACTTCGCGCAATGTATGCTGGATGAAGTAATTGCAGATTATTCTTGAGCCAATGGTAGTTTTTTAGTAACATAAATTGCTTCGTAGGCTTACCGACTAGTCCGAAAGAAGACATCGAATTAGGTAGACTACAGGGTAACTGCCTCTGTCGGCATGGTGGGTACTGATAAGATAAGCGAGCAAGAGCTCCATCTCATGGTTGCTTAGAAAGCTGACATGATGGAGTCTGTTGAACTAATAACCTCAATGATCACTCTTATCTGAGTATCAAGACTGCTTGGAATCAACTCTGCTGAACATTTGCGACCGACAAAGACTTTTTACTCTAAGGCGCTCCAATTGTAAGCGCAATGGTCGGTGTACCAACAAGCAAAGGATGTCTCCTGTGCCTCCAGCGAAGCGTCAAGGTCTAGAAACCTCGTTTACTTTACTTGCTCGGCGCAGCTACTGAGTATAGAGACAGTGCGACGAAGAGCGACCGAGCTGTGCCCAGTGCCGAAGAGGCGGGCGAAGTTGCCCTGGCTATGTACGACAGATGAAGTTCGTGGACGAAGGGCCCAAAATACGGCGAAGCACACGAAAGGATAAACTTTCTATAAGAGCGCTATCACTAAAGACAGCTGTTGGTCGTGCCGACCAAGATAATGGCGATGCCATTCGCCGCTACCGAATAGCAAAGCCTGATGTTAGGGACCAGCCAAGCAGCTTGAAAGCGGAGCGAGACCAAATCCTCTCTTCCTTCGTGTCAGCCATGTTTCCGCTAGGGTCCGCCACGGTGCAGACTTCGTTTCTCGGCAGCTGGCTATGGCATCTTCCACCTCGCTTGGGTAGCAGCGCAGTTCTGGACTACGCTGCCTTGTCAGTATCCTGGTCTTACTTCGCAAAGCTATATGGTGATCCCCTCGCACTGAGGAAAGCCGAGAATGCTTATGCTTGTGCTGTGAAAGGTCTGGCTTTGGCTCTTGGCGATGAGAAGCGGCAGCTTAGTGAGAATGTGCTCTGTGCAACAGTCCTTCTTGGGCACTTCGAGGTATGGTCCCATAACTTGATTGGTTTTTTGACTCATGAGCTTACTTTTGCAAATTTGAAGACTTTTGTTAATGTTAGTTATGCGTGGATACGGCATGCCGGCGGTGCTGCTCGACTTATGCAGCTTCGGGGTGCTGAGCGGTGTTATGAGTCTGCGTTCGAGTACTCAATGTTCCTTGCATGTCGTGGGGCAATCGTTAGTCTAACCTCTGTAACCTACGATGTAACTACTGATACTATCTTTCTAGATCTCTGAAGCCCTGGCTTCTGGACAGCCGTGCATTCTGGAGTCCGAAAGTTGGCAGAAGATCCCCGATGACCTGATTGAGTTTCCACTGTTGCCGACATCACCGGATATGTACCATCGGATCTTCGGTTACTTTGCAATCATACCAGGCTTGCAGAGTAGGATAAGTCTTTGTAATACGGCCACTTCATATGGCACACGCGGCTCTCTTCTTTCAACTGCCCAGAGACTACAGAAAGACATGCGGCAATGGTATCGTGACTACACATCCCAAGACAGCAATGTGAGAAAACCTCGTGCTATTTCTCCTGTTTCAGAGGGCTACCCATTTCACTCGCAGTACACCTACCACGATGTCATGTCCGCCACTATGATCACTGCATATTATGCATATTTGATCACTCTGAATCAATCTATGGCCCTTCTGGACGCTTGCGAGAGAGAGACATCGGAGAACCAAGAGCTTGCGACCGCAATCTGTATGTCTGTGGACTATTGTCTACACGCGGGATACTGCGGGACACAAACGATGAGATTCGCACTACCTATTGCATACTCCGTATTACCTGTCCAGTATCATCAATGGACCAAGAAATACATGGACAAATTTGATGCAATAATGGAGGCCACAATGATTCAGCCACTGTACTCTTAGTCTATTATCTCTAGCTGAGAAATAAGAATGACATTGGATGATAGTCTAATATCCTGTAATGGGCTTGGGCTCGTATGCTGACTCAAGCTTTGCAACCTCATCGTCCGTCAACTTGATGCTAGCAGCTAACACCGCCTCATCGATACGCTCCTTGCTGTTCAGACCAACTATAGGATTGACTCCCTTGTACAGACACCATGCTGTCGCAATCACCGCCATTGGCAGTGCTCTTGCCTTAGCTACTTGCTCAACCATATTAACGGTTGCCTTGTCAGCTTCGTTTTCTCTATCGTAGAGCCGACTGAGTGTTTGGTCATGCTGTGTCCTCAATGAAGTGTTCTCTTCGAGACCATTCCAGGGTCGAGCAAGGACACCGCGTGCATTGGGAGACCACTGCAATAAACATTAACAACACGACATGGTAAGCATATAAGAATTGGACTTACGGGAATACATCCGACTCCTGCATCTTTGCAGTATGGCATCATCTCTCGCTCTTCCTCTCGGTAAAGAAGGTTATAATAGTTCTGCATAGAAATAAATTTATGCCAGCCATTTTTCTCTGCTACATTCTGCAGAGCTTGAAATTCCCAAGCAGGCATCTTCGGTCGCAGATGTTAGCCACCATGGATCAAGTGAGAATGACTGATTGACTTACAGAACTGGCTCCGATGTATCGTGTCAATCCCAATTCTACCACGTCGTTCAATGCTTTCATGATTTCCTCACGAGGCACATCTGGATCCATACGCTGAATCTGTAGAACGTCGATATATGTGCCCAGCCTCTTGACACTAGCTTGTACTGCGTCAAAGATGTGCTTGCGCGACAGTCCAGCTCTGTTCACCATCTCTCCATCGTTGATAGAAGCAGCAAAGACAGAGAGCTGAGGCTCGCCGGGGGCACTGGTTGCGAAGCGGCATTTGGTCATGATGACAACCCGTTCTCGGGGGATGTCGTACACTACCAGCGCTTTGGCAATTATTTCTTCAGAGACGCCGTTCGAATAAAGATCAGCCTGAAGAATGTATATCCGTGGTCAATACTGGGTGTCTGTTTGTCAAGCGGAAGATCATTCACTTACAGTGTCCCATGTGTTGATGCCAGCTCTGAAGGCGTGTTCGAGGAGGGGCAGAGCTTCGTCTTCCTCGAGAACCCACTTCAGCCAATCTTTGCTCCCATAAGACATGGCTCCCAGAATAATCTTGGATATCTTCAGGCCAGATCTACCAAGCCTGTTGTAACCCATGCGCGTTGCTCGGGGCTCAATGAGAAGGTCTTTAACATAGCCATGTTGCGAGGAGGACATGATGAAGTACGACAATGATGAGTTCACTAGAGATGAATGTAGCTGTGACTGCTGCTTTCTCAAGAGCACATATATATATATATATTGAAGTTCTCTAGCTACTTTTTATAGACTGTTGTCTTATACGGATGAATGCGTGATCCGCCTTTCACAAGTTGACTGACTGTAGGGATCCAAGAGATTACCCGCTAAGCCCAGAAAGGCTTCAAGCTACGAGGCGGACTAATCCTTTTCAGGCTGCATGATCCGAACTAAGCCCAATATGGTCCCAAGCCACGAATTTTAGCGTTGGCTTTCAGGTTACCGACAAGCATCAACCCATTGCTGACGATAGTTGAGTTACGGAGTTGTCAAAGGCGGAAGATGGCGGAGACTACACTTGCGGAGTTTAGAGCACAGGATATGAGTCAACGTATGATAACACGAGATGATAGAATTGGTCGTTGGAATATAAAGACATCGGTAGCAGGACAAGTAAAATAGAATCACCAATCTTCAGTCTACCAGCAAATCCAACCCTCTCGCGTTTTAATCTCATCAACATTTCTTACTATCATAATGGTGTCCCTAACCGAAGGTCAGAAAGCGACTCTGAGTCCTGAAGCGGTGGAATTTCTCACCAAGATCCGCCATCCTCCGCTAGCAAATACACTTTCATCTTTCATAACATCACCATGTCGAGTCCCAGGCTTGCGCCAGGGCTTTGGGGATAAGACAGCTCCCGGTGAAGCTCAGCTCATTGAGAAGCACAAACTCCAGATCAATGAGACTCTCGTTGCTGGGGTCTCAGTTGTCATAATTGAACCGCCAATCATCAAGCCTGAGAAACAGAAGAAAATACTGTTCAATGTCTTTGGAGGAGCTTTCATCATGGGCAGCCCCCGAGATAGAGCAGCATTGACTGTGGCGGTTGAACTTGGTGTTCGCGTCTACTCTGTCGACTACACCAAATCTCCTGAGGCCAAGTACCCGGAGGCTCGAGATCAGTGTCTTGCTGTATACCGGGAGCTCCTCCAAAACGGCCCTCCAGGTTCTTCTCCTGTTGATCCGTCTGACATTTACGCCATGGGATGCTCTTCAGGTGCGCAGATACTCGTCTCGATGCTTCTTGTGGCGAGACAGAAAGGTCTTCCTATGCCAACTGCTGGGATGTACCTCTGCACACCTGCACTCGACTTAAGTGGAGCTGGCGATTCTATGGTCTTTAACTCTTTGGGTCGCGATATCATGCCTGTTAGCCTTCTCACCGGTATGGTGTCCCAGAACTATGCTCCCGAAGAAATCGATGTGACGGATCCTCTTTACTCGCCTATCTACGCTGACTATGATGAGTCTTTCCCGTCGACAGTTATCACAGTCGGGACGCGAGACTTTGCGCTTAGCCATGGGATACGGTTCTATTGGAAGTTGAGGGAAGCTGGTGTAGAGGTTGAACTGCTGGTCTCTGAGGGAATGTGGCATGGCTTCAATTGGGACCCGGTGATCCCGGAGTCAATCAGGGCTCGTGCTGCAGTGATCAAGTTCCTGGAGGACACACGATAGGATTTTGAGAGATACCTATATCTTGCATACCCTCTAGCAAACACTCCCCTGAGTCTCTTTTCAAGAGTTTTCGTGTGTGATGACTATACTAAAGAATGATGACCTAATAACCCCAAATTCTTTATGTTCTACTTTACGTCCTTTACAGAATGTTCAGAATCAGACAGCATGTCTCTAATATCCACTCAAAAGTCAAATTGGTCGCGAGGTGGATCTGCGGCCGAGTTTCTATCGGGTATTCCTTTGAGCAGTACAGCCCTTAGGCAGGTCACTGTTAAATACGCATGAATACGATGGGTCTTATTAATAAAAAGGTATCATATAGTAATTAACTTTAAGGAGTTATTATAATATTTCCTAATTCGTTTTTATAGATATATAGACCAAGACTAGGCTATACCTTCTGCTTTACTTATACAGAATTCCACATTCCTGATCCTTTAAACGATCATAATCCTCATAGAATCCAGTCCACATAACTCGATCAGCGCATTTAGGCCTGTCATCCCTGCTGGGCTCATCCTTTGGGCAGTCAGGAAGTGCATCTTTCCACTGCTTCTCTGTGCGATGTTTCCATGGTTTCGGCAATGGCCAGTCGCTAAAGTGCACAAGAGATGCCCGCGATACCTCAGCCATGGCATTCCACTCCTCGTCTTCATCAGGCGCCAAGTACTGGGAGTGATTTTTTGCACGAAACTCGCCCGTGAGCAGCGCGAGACGCCGATGCGGAAGAATCATGGCTGAGTCCCGGAACATATGGTTAATAACCTCCATGTCGAATTCACCGGATTGCAACGCCTCTTTGATAATCTTGTCGTAGCGAGCTTTGCTGGGCTCAAGGAGCATTACGTGGGAGCCAAGGACCTGTTTGGCGATATCGGTGTCTTTCTCATTAAGCCAGTACGCTCGCGGCACGGCGAGAGAGGCCATGGGGCTGAGAAAGTAGTAATCCATGGTATTTAACACCAGAGAGTCAGAGTCGAAGGCAAGAATGCGGGTCCATTCGGTAAGCGAGAATGACTGAAACTTTGTGAGGCTGTCTCGCCAAGTTGCGTCGCCCTTTGAGGTTGAAATCACGTCCATGGGCCGTAGATGAATGTGAGGATGCTCTCTGCGAATACTATCAATGGCCTTTGCTTGTTTGGACGTCTACAGTATGTGTTAGTAAGAGCCATTAGAAGCGGCCGCAGACGTCATCCTATACCCCTTCAGACCAATCCTTGGGGAAAATCAAGACCAAATCATGGCTGGCTCCGTACATGCGGAGAAGAGAAAAATTGATGACCTAAAACCAGAGTGAGCTCAGTCTTTATGCCTATTCTGTGACAACTCGTACTGCATTGCATAAATAATCGAGGTTTGTAGCATACTGTGCATACGCAAATTTTGGCTCAAGTTGTTCGGTAGACCATGAAGGTTCCTGCTGTAGCAGCGGGAACCATGTCTTGTTTTCCGAATTTGAAGACAGCGGGTTGACAGGATCAAAACGACCCGAAGGGATTAATAATGCAATGCTTACGACCAGGATAACGCTAGTGATAATGCATCCGAGGATAAACCGCAGCAGCCTTGGAGGAAAATTGAGCTGCATCGTTGAATTGAACGTGCAGGTCACACGTTGTTGGATTGAAATGAGGAAGTAGAGTTGAGGGGAAGCATGGCCAGGACCTTATCTTCATAGCGTGCATCCCCTCTTTTTTTTTTGGTATCATCTAATTTTCTGACCCCTGAGGTCTAATTATAGCCGCACTATTTCGGCCAAAAGAAATCCGCCTATTAAAAAGGACCTCTTTTAAAAAAGGACGCGTGTCGATGTTAACATTACATAACGTCGGCCACTCTACAACCGGCCAATTTCTTACAACACCAAGAAAATAATATAGATAATAATAATCTTTATAATCTTTGTTAATGTTATAGAGGTAGCGTTGGGAAAGTTAAGCGGGGCGCGATGTAACCTAAAACAGCGTAATAAACGAGACTACCATTGCGCAGAGTTTGCTTCCGAGCTCCCTCGGCGTATATCGACTCGCTGCCCTTCCGCACTATTGATAAGTATGCCCAGCTGCCTCCGTCTCGATCAGTAGTGTTACTAACTCCAACTTTCTTGCAGTTTGGAGCAAAGTGTTCGGGACGACATTCAATTTATCCACAATTCGGCTCTCGTAAAGCAGGAGCTAAAGGACCGAACCGTTGGTTTCATAGTCGACATAAAGACTGGGCAACTTTACCCAAGTCCAAGGAGTAGTGGGCAAAGCGCCACAGTAGATATCGTTCGGGATAGGGAGGGCTAAGTAAGATAAGTAAGCTGGTGTTGACGTCTACGTCCAAGCCGGACAAGGTCAATGAATCTTCGCAAGTGCTCCTGTAGGTGGTTCACACCAAGACTTTCGGCAGATGTCTGATGTTTGTAAATTAGCTGATTCGGTTTTAGCCACGCCGCAAGACATCAAGAAGTTCTCTCATGTTGTCACTGACGTAGCTATAGAAATTTAATAAATTTCTTGCTCTATGCCAATGTTAGTTCTCGACCTCCTTTCTGCTAAGCAACGAGAGACTGCCGAAAAGGGACTGCTCATCGGATAGCTCAGAACTTCCAGCTCGCATGGTGAAACTCCGCGATAGCACGGAGAGATCAAGGCCAGGCCATCTAATGCCTCTACGGCGCCTACCTCCCTATCCTCTGGAGCAAATACATGGTTGTTCAAGTGTCCACTAACTGGGTTAACTCCTACTCCCCTCGTAGTTAACCTCATGGCGATGGCCACAATGAAACCGTTGACCATAAGATCCAAGTGCATATATAGAGTGATTATCTTCGAGAGCGATGCAAAATCTAAACCCTGCGCCTGTGAAGTCTTACGTGCCATGATGAGAGTGATGACTTTAGATTCGCGGAAACCATCTGTCTCTTGGATAGCGGGGGAGATTGACGAAGACGTGTGGCAGGATGTAGGATGGAGTGAGGGTGGCCAAGCGATTAGCTAGTATCGTTTCGCCCACGGCGGTTCTCATTCTGCCGCCCTTTTTGGTCCACTAATAGAATCCTTTGCCGTCCACGGGGAATGTTCTTCTTCAATGAGCTTACCCAGATCCACTTCCAGTCTGAAACTTGAATATTGAGACATGGTATTGGAGAGGCCGTGCATTATGTAACAGGGCTTGTCCATAAAACAGTAACAATAGTAGCATTAATAGTCAACGCTACTTTCTACCTTCCATATACCAGTAATATCGAGTTAATTGCGAGTGGCGCCAATCTTGACTTGATCGAAATGTTGCTGTAATACCTTGACCTATAGATCTATTGGTACACAAAGTCCCTCAGTTTCCAACCCGAATGACAACCTTGCCAAAGTTCTTCCTCTCCCACTGATACTGGTAGGCCTCTTTGACCTCCTCAAAAGAAAAGATCTTGCTTTCAACTACCGGTCGCATCTTGATCGAGTCAATAGCACGGTTCATCTCCTCAAACTGCACCTGGGATCCGACAAAGATACCACGGACAATGCACAGATGACTGAGAGCTTCCATCAAGTCCGGCTGCTTGTCCGATGACGTGAGGAACCCAATGATGGTGATGACGCCGCCGAGTTTGATGCCCTTAAGCGACTGCGCAATACTGGCTGCGCCGCCAATCTCAAGAATATGGTCAAAGCGCAGTCCCTTTGGAGTCAGTGCCCGTGCGGCTTCGCCCCAGTTGGGTGTCTCGCGGTAGTTGGTGAGGTGAGAAGCTCCCAGCTTCTTGAGAGCGTCGAATTTGTCGTTTGAAGACGTAGTGGCCACAACGGTAGCTCCGGCGGCGACTGCAAACTGGATGGCTGCGAGACTCACACCGCCTGTACCTTGGGTTAGAACCCAGTCACCAGCCCTGACAGTCTTGGACTGCAGTCCATAAAGAGCATTCCAGGCCGTCAGAGGGACACAAGTCAAGGTGCTGGCTTCAATGGCACTCAGGGACTGCGGTGCCTGAACAAGACCATGTTCCGGGAAGACACCGTAGTTGCGCAGTGTGCCGTCAATAGCGCCTCCAAGGCCACTTCCTACTCCGTCGGGAGTGATCTCGCCCGCTTGGTGAAGTTCGTTGAAGAGGGTGCATACTCTGTCGCCCTTGGAGATCTTGGTGACCTTGGGGCCAACCGCCACGGCAATACCAGATGAGTCTGAGCCAGGGACAACAGGCAGGCTCATGTGGAAAGGATAAGGGCTGGCGCAGAAAATTCTGGATCGTAACAACTGCGGCAGTCTCGATAGCCTACCTAGTCAAGTTGCCGGAAACGTGCTACTCTTTGGAGCAGTAATGACGGACGCGACTTCATCGTGCCAATCATTCATTAGGGAGCTGAAACAGCGATCAGTTGACGACATCCAGATACATCTCGCATCCAAGGACCATCAAATTGGGTACCAGTTAGAGCGACAATATGTCTGGCCCCTAGCAAGGGTTCTGCTTCGTGTCGAAACCGACAAGCTCAGCCGGATATGCATAGCTTTTATCACTCGACAATGGCGTGTCCTCGAAAGGGGACACGAAACATGCCTTGCTGGGGCGACGTGCAAGAAGGTCAAGACCACGCAAACTAGTTCTCCGGCGGATTTCTGTCCTCGGAGCATTGAGCCCGCGTCATTCTTCAGCTGCTTCCATACAGCCAAGCGTCTCCAGTTTGATATTGCAGATCTTCAGAAAGATTTGGAATGATGGTTTCATCGTTAGAACACTGGTCTCTAGTTTGAATACTGGTCAGACCTTTCAGACATCAGTCACCTCTTTTTCCTCAATTATTATATAGTATGACCGACAGCTCAGTATTGCTAACGGCATTTATATTTCTCCTCCCATACATTCTATCAGACTCTTTGTTTCTTCTCGGATCTGCTTTACAATGCCGACAGCCTTCTCCTTTTTCTTGAGCATCCCCACCCCAGTTCCTGCCCAGATCGTATACGAATCCCTTACTACAGATTCCGAGCCTCCCTCGCCCCTATTTCGAGTGCTAAGGGCCAAACGGGCTTCCTGAATGCTCATTCCCCCTTCTTCTACGTTATCATACATGGCATTTCGTAAACACCTGCCATCATACATGTCTGGCCAGAAATTCCGTCCCCAGATATCGTCGAAAACTCGGGATCGGACAGTAGCCTCTCCTCCGTCACGGGCGGCAAGACATTCATCCACAACTTCATCAGCCACCTCGATTTCCTGGCATGCTAGAAAGCGCGTACCCATGACAACACCTGAAGCGCCCAGGGCGATGGCTGCTGCCACGCTCCGTTTGTCCATTATGCCACCGGCTGCTATCAATGGAATGCTGGATAGTCCTTGCTCGTGCAGTGCGTCCAAGGCTTCTGGTATCAGGGTGACGATGCTTGCTCCGTGTTTATGTCCATGGCCGCCGGCATCACAGCCCTGTAGTACAAGAGCGTCTGGTGCACAACTTGTCGCTGCCTCCAGAGCTGCCTTGACGCTTCCAACCTGGATCCACACTTTGGTATCAGGCGACACGGCGCGGATGTTCTCAGACCATGATTTGAACTCGTTGTCTGTCCCGAAGGAAAGCCACACCATCGCTGGCCTGTACTTGGCAAAGGTCTGGGTCCAAGGGCTGGCAGGTCCGCCAAAAGCAATGATACCAACGCCGACCGGAAGCACCTTGGACGTCTTATCGAATATCGAGGTCCCATGCAGCTTCTGTTTCGCCTGTTCTAGCTCCCTCTGCAGCATTCCCGGGCTGCCGGTGAAGCCGATCTGGCCAAGGCCTTCAGCCTGCGATACAGCTACGGCCAATTCATTTGTTGCGAAGCCGCTCATGGGTGCGCTTGAGATGAGTGGGTGCTCAACCCATGGGAGAGATTCCAACAACGTGGTGCGACGTTCCTTAGAGGAGCTCATGTTATGGAAATTATATAAAGTTGTTCGGGTAATCTGAGCAAGGAATTTAGTTTTAGATATAGCTTTTTGGCGAGTCCGTCTGGTGTGGCAAACGAGCGCAGACATGACAATTTTAATCAGCGAGATTTCGGGCGTATTATCAAATCGACCGCCGTAGTTTAAGTCTCAGTGATTAGTAATAATATGAAGCCAGCACTTTCGCACCGCGGAGAGATAGCGGAGACTTTCTCCGATCGTTTCCATTATCAAAGCGGCATCTTTCGGGAGAGGTGGGACTTAGTACCAAGCCATATTTGGCCTACTGTGCGCGGTACCAGTGTACTTAACCTCACTGACGTTAGGTGAGATCTGCTGCGAGGAGAGCATCCTCTGAGTAAGCTAGGCTTGTTTGTTTCTGCGCAACGTTTCTGACGAATCTGCAGCGGCGACTTTTCTTCTGTGACGCTCCGGGCGAACTGGCACGATTCGCATCGGGAGTATCCCGGAAGTCAAGACCATCTCAACCATGTTTTAATCCGTCATTGAGTCCTGAATATTCAGTTCAAAAGAGCGCGTTTAAAGATTATCAAACTATAATTTGCTACCCGCAATCCACCACAAGTGTCAAACATTGGACGCAAGTGACTCACCTATACTGATTCTTTATTTCTAACTGTTAAGAACGATAGCCTCTACCAAAGTAAGATTACATCTTCTGGCGCTGACAAGAGCTAACCATATGTCAGATGCCTTTTGAGTTTGAGGTTCCTGAGAAACAGTCGGTCAATGAGCCGTACTTTGATACTGGCAACTACCATATGCCTATCACTAACAAGCGCACGGAAGCTCAAGGATGGTTCAACCGCTGCCTAGTCTGGACTTACTCATTCAATCACGAAGAAGCATGTCGATGCTTCATGCAATGCATCGCCCACGATCCCGATTGTGCTATGGCCTATTGGGGATTCGCCCACGCTGCAGGAGCCAACTATAGCAAGACCTAGGCCATGTTTGACCGCGATGATCTTGTAAATGCTTTTCCAAAGTGTTATAAGGTTGCTCAAATCACGTTAAGCAAGACGGGTCATGTTTCGCCGCTGGAGAAGGCCCTGGTAGAGGCTTTGCACTAGCGGTATCCTTCCAGCGAAATTCCCGAAGATTTCGACCCGGTCAATAAGGCGTACGCTGATAACATGCGAGATGTGTACGAAAAGTATAAAGATCATCTTGATGTAGTGGCTTTGTTTGCCGATGCTCTTATGAACTGGAAGCCACAAAAGATGTTTGATGTCAAGACTGGCAAGCCCATTACCTCATCACCGGTATTTGAGGTATGTGCCATCTTGGAGAGTGGTATGGCTATGCCAGGTGGACGAAGACATGCAGGCATTCCTCATCTTTACATCCATCTTACGGAGAGATCAGACGAACCCGAGGCTGCCTTGCCAGCTTGCGACATCATCCGCGACCTGGTTCCCGATGCGGGCCATATGTCCCATATGCCGACCCATATCGATGTGCTTGTGGGCAAATATCGCCGCTCTATGGCATACAACCACAAGGCCACTCTCGCCGACGACCAGTACTTCGCTAAGCATGGCGGTCTGAACTTTTACAGCTTCTATCGGGAATCGCTTATGCCTCTCTCAATAAACTTAAGGAAGCTTACTCTCAGCGTGATCTTTTCCGGGAAGCCGCTAAGCGCGTACCAGTCTCTCGTCTCGACTATCCCAACCGTATAGTCGATGTGTTAAAGGTAGCCACTGCTATGTTGCATGGAGAGATTGAGTATCGACGTCAGAACTATCACGTTGCTTTCGAGGCACTCAGAGAGGCTATCAAGGCCGAAGACTCGCTGATGTACACGGAGCCTTGGGGTTGGATGCTCCCTGCCAGACATCCATATTGAGCGCTGTCTCTCGAGCAAGGCATGGTTGAACAGGCGGCGAATGGTTACGCAGAAGATCTTGGTCTACGTGAAGGCCTAACTCGCCGTCATCAGCACCCCAGAAACGTCTGGGCTTTGCATGGTTATTATGAGTGCCTTTTGCGTCTAGGAAGAGAAGTAGAGGCTGCTATTATCAAGAGCTTGCTAAAATCGGCCCTGGCCGAAGCCGATGTTTCTGTTGGTCGTCTTGCTTTCGCAGACTTGGCAACCCAAATGGTTGCATCGAGGATTTGAAGGATTGTAAAAAGGTCAACGCTTGGTTAGCACAGTATTAAGAGACTGTTGCAGCAAATACAAATACCATGTATACCAGAACCCGTATCTAGAAAGCCGCGATAATCTTACATAGTAGTCTTTCCACGGGTGTTTTTCTTGGTGAATCACATGCAAGGTATTAGGCAGCAACGGTACCCCGCTTCAATGCTTCTAGACCATCTACCATCTGTCATCGTTGAGCCTTGTGAGTTCTCCCACGCACGTCTTCTATATGCTGTGGCGCCGCAATATGTCCTCTCGCCCATCAACTCCACCTAGCAAGGATCCATGGGAAGATGAAGACTTCCGATTCAAGACGAACGGTACCGCTTGCGAATGGGGCGAGGCATATCATCCAGGTGGTTATCACCCTATCCACCTTGGCGACGTGATTCAAGGACGCTACCGTATTATTCGCAAGGTAGGATGGGGTCAGTACTCCACGGTCTGGCTTGCAGTTGACATGCAGTATGTTGGGGTCATAAGAACCTTATAGCTTACTGACTCCGTTGATTAGATTGAACCGCTATGTATCTCTGAAGATCACTCTTGCAAGACAGCCTCAAAATACGAGCAGAGAGGTGTCTCTTTATATATCTCACCTCCAAAATAGCTGCCCAGGCCTTGTAGCTCTGTATGACATAATTAAGATCAAAGGCCCAAACGGAGAACATGACGGCCTCATCTTTGAGCTCATGGGCCCAGATTTGATAACCATTCTCAAGACAAGGCCGGAATTCCAGATTGGCGAACCATGGGAAAGAAGATTCACTACGTCTTTTGCCAAAAAGGCGCTCCTGGGTACGGTACAGGCAATACACGGTCTCCATGAGCGCGGCATCATCCACGGGGATTTGCACACCGGTAACATCCTCAGTTGCATAGAGCCAGTTGAAGTCACCCCAAAGACAGAGCGAGAATTGAAGCAATCTGAAAGCGACGCGCGGCCGCTCAGACGAAAGGACGGAAAAAGGGATCTCTGGGCTCCATCATATCTTCTTGAGCCTCGGCCTTTGAATAACTACTTCTCGTACGACCTCGATCCGCTTATGAAGCTTGCTGACTTGGGCGGTGGTAAGCTCTCTACCTTGGAGCAGCGAAGATCGAGCATATCAATCTGACTTTTACAGCATTCACTGAAGAAGAACCTATAATGGGTCCTAAAGCTATCACCCCGGTTGGCCTTCGAGCCCCAGAGACGATTCTTAATGAACGTCTGGGCAAAGGCATTGACATATGGGCCATTGGCTGCCTGATATTCGAAATGATATTTGGCCGGCCTCTGTTCGTGGCAATCCAGTCCCTCGAGGGAGAGGACTACGATGAGACCTCCAATGATGAACATCTCATTCAGCTCTGGGAGGTTATTGGACCATTACCCAAACCTTTGCTTGAGAAATGGCGTCGAGCAGATCATTATTTTGATTCTAGCGGAAACAGACTCGAGATTAAGCCTCAAGAGGATGACTACTACATAAGTGGTGATGAAGATATAGGCTCGGGTGATGGGATGGGTGAAGACGAAAGCGATGGTCCTCCGCTCGCATATCTTGGCCAGTTTCTTTCTCTCGAGGACCAGGTTACGAAAGAAAGGCCAGATGATATCGGCGAGGCAGAGGCTAGAGAGATTTTGGAGCTGTTGCGGTGGATATTCCAGTATGATCCTGCTCGTCGGCCCTCAACTAGTGATGTCGTCAATCACCCTTGGCTCCGTTCAACGACATAGGCAAACGCACATAGGCAGATCACATTACAGTCGAACTAAATCTCGAATTACATTTGCTAGTGAGGATCTATCGTCCCTATAGCCTATTACTCTTTATCGAAAGTTCCTCCAACGATTCCTGGCGTGCTCACAAATGAGGTACCGTTATACTTGCCTATCTCATCCCGTCCAAGCAAGAAGCTCTCAGGCGGTCCAAGATAAGACTGTCTAACACCACCAAGATCAACCACAATCTTCTGAATCAAGATATTCGGCAGTAGAGCCCAGATCCTCAGCTTGTAAGCTCCCTCCTTGGGAACGTCGAAGGACGAAGTGGTGTAGTTTCCGTACAAGCCCCAGACGGCGTTTCCAACGGCGTAACCCCATCCATCAGGCATATTGGTGCCCTTGTTAGGACCAATGGGTGTGACGATAGTTGGTTTTGGCTGTTTCTTATCGGCTGGGAAGAGAGTGATGCCGTACTGGAGAGGGTTTCGGTCGCCGAGGTAGTTGGCACCTGGGGACATGAAGACTGTCACGTTGACGGCTGAGTTGTTGCTGAAGAGGTACATGTCGTACTCCAGAGCAGGACCCTCGCCAACCTCGAGCTTCTCCGTGTTGAGAGGGTACAGGCCCATACCGGCAAGAGTACGGCCGTAGTTCTTGATGGTATGATACTCAAGAGAAGAGTTGTCAGAGTCTCCTTCGTGGATCTTCTGATAGTGCGATGCTTCGATAGAAACATGTCCATCAGACTCAACGAATCCCTCCTCAAAGCTATCAGGAACCTCTCGGTTGATAACCGTCACGACCAGCTTTGGCTCGTCACCCGCATACTTCTCAAACCCGCGGCAATCGCTCGTGATGTTGATCATGACTTCTGTCGTGTTAGGTGCCTGGGGAGCATTTTCCCAGTCAACTGTGATGTAAACACGGCTATCGGTACCGTTGTTACCACCAACTGTACCGTTGTACTGAGAGAGCTGGATAAAGTCCTCCCATGGTGCTGCGCGCCAGTTGCAGCCCTTGTTTCCACGGTGGAAGACATCGAAATATCGGGACTGGGCTCCGTGGGGCTCCAGAGGAGGGAGTTCGAGGCTGTTGGAAGATAGGGAGTGCCATCGGCTGTCGCCCTGGATAGTGGCGTTTGAACCCTCAACACCAACTCCATATTGGCCGCCCAGTGATGGCCAGACGTCCTGGACGAATCGGAGATCGGGGAGGGTGTTTCTCATAGGTTGTTGCCAGTATCCATCATAGCCCAAGTGAGTTTCTGAAGGGGTCAGTAGTGTTCATATCAGGAAGGGAGTAACTTACGATCAAGCATATGTGCCCACTTGCCATCAAGCAACTCGTTCCATCGCTGCGTCAAGTTCGAATCCTTGTACATCAAATCCACCGACTTCCAGATAACATCATTAGCGGAGTTTCGCTTCTGTCCAGCGTACAATTGGTTCCTCGCGCCGTAGATCTGGATCTTGTTCACAATCTCACCGCCAAGAACAGGGTGAAGCAGCATCTCGAAGAAAGCGGGCTGATACTCTGAGTCAAGCTTGTCATAGACAGCCTGGGTATCTTCCTTCAAAGTGGCCCACTGCTCAAGAATGGCTTCGGCTTCGTGGTAGTTGATGACGGAATAGACCTGGGGCTCGAGTAACTCGAACTTCCGGCGGGCAGCGTACATGCCATACCGTGTCATAATGTCTGTGATGGCCTCGACGTGTTCACTGCCGAATTCGCGCTCAACCCAAGCTTCAACCCACTTGGTTGTACCCTCCTTCTCCCACTTCTCAGTATCGTAGGCAAGGTCCATGAAATGGCTGATGGGGATCTCCTTTGGCTTGAGATCACCTACGTTGACGATCCAAATGCGACGGGCATTTCGGTGGTAGGCTAGAGTCATCTGCTCGGTTGTCTTTTCGAGTTGGATGGTGTTGATCCACTTGTAGTTTCTGGGGTCACCGACGTAGTCGAAGTGGTAGTAAACACCAGCACCACCAGAGCGGTCCGTCTCGTTGGCGAGAGGGAGACGGCGGATGTTGCCCCAGTTGTCGTCAGCCCAGAGGAGAGTAATGTCCTCGGGAACGACCAGGCCGCGCTCTTGGTAAGACTGAACCTCCTTGTAGAGACACCACAGAGATGGGACTTCAGTCAAGTTCTTGACCTTGAGACCTTCCTTGAGGATTTCCCGCTGGTTGTCGACAAGAGTCTCGAGCATTTCAACAATACCGTCAATGCCAAGATCACCTTCGATAGCTGTATCACCTGTTCCTCTCATGGCCATAGTCCAAAGACTGTTTCGGGCATATGGCTTGGCCCTGGAAACACCATAGCGGAAGTACTCGTCGATAGTCTCGTTGTTGGTCTTGTACTGCCACTCACCCTCGTAGAAAGTTCGGAACTCGTTCTGTGCTCGCATCATGGGCTCAGTGTGAGATCCACCGAGAACAATCTCGTAAGCATCGAGGAGCGGCTGGTTGAGAGGGTCATCAATGTAGACCATGCTACCCCAGACAGTGGGCCAGAGGTAGTTGGCTCGAAGGCGGAGCAGCAGTTCCGAGACGAGGGCGTAAAACTCATGGTTGTAAGGAGCCTTGTTGTTCCAAGTTGCGTCCCAGCGTGAACTGTCCAGATTAGCATTGACTCTCATAGAGAAACGTGGCTCTCTTACCCAACCCAGCTGGAAAGTCCAGGCTGCTCATCGTTGAGGAAGATACCGCGGTACTTGACTGAAGGAGACTTTTGAACCTTGGGCTCGGAGAGCACAAAGATCTCATCTCGTTTGCGGATCGGCACATCTGCCCACCAGTACCAAGGACTCACGCCGATCTGCTCGCTGATATCGTAAATACCGTAGATTGTACCTCTGGGGTCACTTCCAGCGATGACTAGGGCTTGGGCAGTGCCCTTAATGGGATCTTTGACAAGCTGGCTGACGAAAGACTCCCATTTGCCTTTAATCTTGCTAATATCAAGTGAGCCATCTTTGATGAGCTTGTCAATGAGCTCAGAGTGGCCAATTGTACCAACGATGATCTTGGTGTTGCCGGCATTAGGGTCTGAGTAGTTCGGGCCAGAGAAGTGCTGTTCATCAAGGGTGCGGTACTATATTCTTAGTAGAAGTCTCTGGAAGTTGGAAAGTACTCACATATGTGTTGTTCTTGACATCCACGGGCTTAAATTTATACTTGGCCGGGGATGAATTCCTCTTGCCGTTGCTCAGAGTGAAGTTTGTGCCAGTAACACGGCCAAAGTCAATGGCGAGATCACCAGCAGCGCGGATCACGCCCCAGTACTCATCCTTGGAAACACGAATCTGACCAGAACCGGCATCTCCACCAACGAGTTGAAAAGCGTCATCTGACTTGTTGAAGGCGACAATGGACTGTTGACCGAGACCTGCCGCCATTGGCAGCAGGCCCAGCAACGATAGGTACACCTGCGAGACCTTCATAGCTAAAGAACCCTGTTCAAAGTCTTCAAGCCATTGAAGCTGACACCTCATCTGAGCTAATAATATGCATCTTATACACATCTTCCGGGTAAATTCAGAGATCAACATTCGAGAAATTTAAGTTTAGGCACTATCGTGGTTCATGTAAGTGGGACATTTTCGTTGACAAGATGGGGTATGATCATCGCAGCGTAGCATTGTGCCCCGCCAAACCAGGTTCATTAGCCATGAGGCCGGCTGTAGTCGAGGTCACACTGCTTAGTCCGGGGTACGAGCCAATTGGAAGTGTGAACACAATTTACCCAAGGAGATCAGGCCAGGCCCCGGTTGACAGCAGCAAACGTCTTGTCCCGAATGCTAAATAGGTCAAGGTAATAACCCCGCTGCTCGACGAGAGGTCTTTATTTGTGGAATTATAATGATGCACGAGTGAAAGTGGTGTCATGGGCATGAACGGAGATCGCATGTTGAGTAGATCATGCTTATGTTAGACTTTTCTGGCAGTTGGGATGAAATTAGATGACCAGCTATGTTTCATTCAAGGCTTGAGACGGAGTATGTCACACCCTTTCACGACTGTCTCCACGAATAACTCAGAAACAGCGACTCAGAATCTTGATAACTTCTAAAGCCTGACAGCCTCTCAGCTTTAATGATTTGAACTCTCATATTCCGGGTAGATCCTCAAACAATAACGATTTCCCTATACATATCCCCATCCTCTTTCGATCCGCGCAAGAGATCCATTTTCACGCCACTCATATACCACTGGGATTTCGAAATGTACTGCTCCACGGCCTTCCATGACTCAGCCTCCTGTCTCCAGCGTTGAATGAAAGGCTCGCCGCAATTGGATGGCTGATCATAGGCAAGCAGTTCTTCCAAATCTCTGTCTTCAGATTTCGTTGGTTGATGTGCGTCCTCAGTGTCGTTGAATAGAAAAGCAAATACCCTCTCTGCAAGCCTTCGTCGCCGAATTTCGGACTGGATGAGGTCAGGCAATCTCGGCTTTTCATACAATACCTGCGGCTGTGGATGTGAAAGGGACTCTACGCCCTTGGACCGTTCTAAGGGAGGCTCTGGTGTTTTCGGCACGATAAACAACCCGTGATACTTGATTTTGTTCAAGCAGTAATCCCCATGATAAGTACCGCTATTTTCTTCTTTAACCAGCAACCGCGGCCTCTCATCATACCCTTTCGACGGTATTTGCCGTACTGGCTTCTTAAACGATCGTTGTGTCAGCCAATCAAGGAACTTGGTCCATTGTTCCTCAATCCTCTCATCGGTGAGAAGCCCTTTTCCAACGACTTGGCAAGCCTTATTGATACTGCGGTTGAACCTCCAGAAAAAAGCACGTGCCAACTCGGCGCCGATTCTATTACGAGGAACTCCACGAACCCTATTGATGAAGGTTGAGTATGAACGAAAGACAAACAGCCAAAGGAGTTCGAACTGTTCACAGTATATAAGCTCAAAAAACTGATTGAGGGATGCTTCGGTGCTGGATGAGGAGGATAGCGCTTTAATATAGTGATCAAAGTTATCATCCAGCCACTTATGAGCTTCGTCAAGTTGGCCTTGTGTTACAAATCCCACTTCCCAAATCAGTGGGACATCCATTCTCAATCCATATCTCAGCTTATCATAGCTCGGTGACATTGGCCTAGAAAGCCAATGCAAGAAAATAGCCCACTCCTTCTCTTTGAAGTCGAGGCGATAAGAGGTCTTTAAATCGTAGGAGACGACGAGCTTCTCATCAGCTAGCGGTTCCTGCGGGAAGCGCTCTAGTGCCAATCTCTGTAGCTGTCGGATACCATTCTCAAGTTCGAGATCAAGCGAAAGCGTAATATGGCTCTTGATATCCGTGATCAAATGTAGGGGGGGCAATGGGATGTTCCTGGAAGCACAGGCCGCGAGCAATGGGTATTCGGTATGTAGGTCGATTGGCCCACCCATGAGAGTTTCTCTTGATTTGGGTTTTCTTCCAAACCAAGAGAAAGACACTGGAAGCCACATCGACTGTCCCAGTGGAGGTTGGGTGGACGTTCCTTGCAATGATTCTAGGCTTCTATAGCCTGGAAGCAATTTCCTGATCACGGATCTGCGTTCCTTATGTTGCACAACTAATAGTTCATCCGCTTGCTGCCATCTCTTATAGGTTTTCATCCATTGGCGCTGAAAGAATTTCGTCAATCGGTCTTTGTCTTTGTTGTAATTGTTCATGGCATGTCGCTCTTCCGTAGCCAGATCACGCGATTTTTTCAGGAAATGGGCTTTTCTGACTACCCTCTGAAGAAACGCTTGAGTTTCGAGTTTCCTCTGCCTTCGAAGAGCCAACCAACAGATCTGTGTAGTCTCCCAAGTCGCAAAGTCAGACCAAAACCGTCTTTCCCCGAGCGACAAAAGCCACGCCCAGTCCTGAAGATATCTGATGGCATCTAGTTCTATCGGCGGATGTTGACCGTTCAATAACAACGAGTACCCGCAAAGACCAATAAAAATATAGATGTCGGGGTCTGCTTTCTCTCGAAGGATTAGACAGAATTCGCATCCAGAGAGACGGAAGATACGATCATTCGGTTCGCATTTGCGCAGGACCTCGGGGGTTAGTGAAACCCGAATACATCCAGCTTCTACAATAATCAGTCCATTAGTGCTCGACCGGAACCCACAGGAGAGGTATGGGGCCAATGTGTCGATCTTGGCGGCCAGAACACACAAAGAGCCAGTTTGGCGATGGACCCGGAATCTCCCATCGCCCTTTGGCAGGGACTTCATGGGAAAGTCAAAACAACTGCTCCACTGCCGTTGGTACGGCTGTTGACTCTTTACGCTCCAATCTGGAACCCATGATGGGAGGCCAATCATCGAGCGGCCATGGGTCGCCATATCAAGTAGTCGCCCAGCCACTTCGTGGTTTTCATCCGTTACAAGGCTGGAAGCCAATCCTGTATACACAGCTTGAGGCGAGAGCTTGTAGTCCGGCTCCAGAGGGCTCTTCCAGAGCCCAAGTAAGGCGAAGATCTTGTCCCTTGGATCCGAAGCATTGCAGTCACGCGTATCCCCCAGCAGGGTCAAGAACCCATGAGCATCATCGATCTGCCGGGGAGAACCAAAGTGCCGCATCCATCTCTTACTAGGCAAGCCCCACAGGTTCCTGTGGAAAAAACTCCAGTGCATGGCTTGACGGTCATACAAAACGAGCGCCTGCTTCGCAGATGCGATCTCTTGTACCACCCATATACGCGAGAAATATGAGTTGCCACTCAGAATCTCGGGATCATGCGTAAATTCCGAGCCGCTCCCAGCATCACCTATCCCCAAGTATATCAGAACACGGCTGGCAGTCGAGTAAATCTCTCTCATCATGCCGACTTGATGAGTCCTTTCGGAAACATCAGACTGGTTGATACAGATTGCGTCAACCCATAGGCACCTATCTTGATCGTCAAGTCGACAGTTTTGTAAATGCATCAAAGCAGTTCTCAGTGATTGGTAGTATATCCCAACGATTTCCGATGAATATGACGTGGTCCTTTTCCCGCTTGCCATTTCCTTTGGCCCAGGTATATGAAACTGCTTCATATGATGTAGGATTTTTCTTTCCTTCTGACGATACCATTTCTGGCTCTTCTTGTTCTGCACCCTGGCTCTGGAGGTTCACAGTTTCAAAGTCTCCGTGCAAGCAATTCCCAAAGTGCCCTTTGTACAATCGCAAAACACGTATCTTTGTACCATCTAGCGACTCATATGAAGTGTTGCTTACTTGCGAAGATGGAGATTGAGATGACTTGGTAATGGAGGAGCAAGGCATGTGCTTGTCTGGTCCCTTATCGCACCATCCTTGGTCTACCTGTGAAACCAGAGCCTTGTGCAACAAGCCATTAGGATCATGGCGGTAGGCGTAATCCTGATATGACATCGATGGTGGCCAGTTCAACTGCATAGCAGACCGCTTTCCCGGTGATGGAATCTGAAGTTCATCGTTGTGTTTGTTGTCCGCTCTATCAGAAGGGCAAATTCCTCCGCAGTTCATACATGTTGGAACATCAAGTCCTGGAAAGATGGCAATGTCGGGCTTTTTACATTGTGCTGTGTGCCAGTTGTCCATATTGGGTAAGAGTCCTGGCGTCGTAAAACGAGACTGCCGGCTTAGGGGATAGTTCGAAGATTAGCAGCGAGCGCGACGACCTTAAAGTGAATTGCGCCCACATAGAATTCTGTTGTTGGAGGGAGATATGGCCATTTTTGTAGGTACGTCAGCTATACGTACATGAAGAGAGAAAAGTGTAATTAAACACTGGCCAGCTCAACCAGCTGTGATCAGTCAATTGCGCCCAGGAATTACAGTAAGTAAGCAGCCAATATTGCGCCTCTAATCTAAGTCCGACATATTATTGGCCAAATGCTTGAAAATCGAAACCACTTAGCCTAATTCAGATAATGTTGCTTTGCGCCCATAAGCCTCTATCAACACGATCTAATCCACACGTTCTGTGTAATAACACTTAGCTAATTGGAGGTGCTAAGATGTTTCACATGTAATTTATCAGACTTAGTTTATTCTACAATACGATGCCGGGCCGACCTTTACCCAAAGTGTAGCCAGTAAGGTAGGTTAATAAAGAGTGCATCGCGCTGTTTACGAAATGTAATCCGCCCCATAGATCCTTTCTCATTACCCTTTAAGGTGCTGTTAACTAAGGCCATACGTTAATAAATATTTCAACATTTAAAAAAAAACAAGGATAGCTTGTCAGAACCAGCGGGCTCGATTCCATGATTCGATATAGTAGGGAATGCCCATAAGCCCACAAACGCAAGTGAGGCGAGTCAAAACCATTCAATGACTAATCCATAATGCTTCAGAATGTTCCAGTATATCAGTAGTCCTTTCCCAGACTTGTTATAAAATTGATATTCAGTCATGTTCAATTCAATGCTCAATCATAACCCCCATTGACGAGCGTCTCCACAAATGACATAAGAACAGCGAATTGGAACCTTCAATAACTATTAAGCCATGACAGGTTTAGGATGCTGTGAAGTCCTATCTCTTAATCGCATGCTCGAAGGAGACCAATTTCCTTATATCTATCCCCAATTCATATCAAACAACCCAAGAGTTGAAATCTCAACCGGTTTATGTAACAAATAGTTATAAGGAACAATGGCAATAATAGATTGTATCTGAAAAGCCTAGATCTCTCGATGACATTAAGTCTAGAAAGACTTGGACTTGGTTTCCAGACTCGATGGCTGCTGCCAATTTCCTCCTTCCGTCTGTCCAGCCTGTAATAATGGGATAGTCTCAGTCTCGTCATGACAAAATTCGGGCTGTATCGTTGTAGAATGAGCTCCGTAGGTGCGTAGGACACGTCTGATTTGCCGCATAACTTCCATAAACCTTTCTCCGGCGGTTGCTCGTGATAGAGGGTGAACATGCATCGAGCAGATCAGCTTGTTCTCGTTCAACGCGAAAATATGGACATGATGAGCAGACACGACACCATCTATACTTTGAACAGCCTCTTTGACAACGTTGGTGTCAATAGTCGACGGTGTAGCTTGGAGGAGGATGGCAGAAGCTGCAACAATCAGCCGATAAGCAAAGTACATGCTTAGTAGGGCAATAGACATAGCAAGTGCTGGGTCGAGGTATTGTATGGACGCCACAGGCACTTTCCACACAAGTAACGCTGCAAGTGTGATGCAAATGTCCCCAAGGGCATTCGAGCTGTCCCAGAGAGACACTGTCCGGCTCCGAAGTGACACGGTGGCTTGCGGATCTGCGGATATAAGCCTTTCCCACAACGTGGAAATTAAGACTTTCCAAATATTGAAATAGTCCCGTACACGAGACAACGTCCCTGAAATTATGTCAACGCGATCAGCCAGAGAGATAATGACGAATACTTACTAAGAAATTCACCCATCCTTCTGTTAGCGATCTTGCTTTCATCCATATCCTTGTTGTTGTCGTTCGGGCCTGAAATGGTAGATAACGCAAAGCCATGATTTCCAAACTCACCACTTTCATCCTGCTGTCGCTGATCCCTTGTTTTATTGCTACGAGATGTTCGACCCTCCGACACAGAGGGTTTCCTGCCCATAGCTGATCCAACAGTGTAGCGTGCTTGCATAAACACTCGCGACACCAGGTTCAAAGCGAGACAAGAAGCTCCGGTAATGAAAATGACAAACGGCTCTGTCATTGGCTCTAAATCGATGAACTGAGATATGGCATCAATGACAATTGCGATGGAGAGCCCGAACAGGAGAGCCGCGCTTAACATTACAGTGACAATCTCTATCCTCACCAACTATGCACAAGAGTCAGTGTCAACTGATGGCTTAGGAGGTTCTTGGATAGAATCATGAGATGTATCATACACCAAAACTATACTTTGCGGTTGATGGCCGATGTACTACTTGGGCTGACCATCGTGCCATAACTCGGCTCACTATAACGTATATCTAAGCAGCACTCGTATCAGTTCATGATCCTCGGCTCTGTGGCCAGCAGAGCTAGGGGAATAAGGGAGTCATACACTCCGTAACGCATCAGCAACGAAAGCGGTCGAGTGAAAAGCAACGCCAACGGTGAGCTTTGCTAGTAGTTCCAGTATATCGACTACTAGCGCAGCTCCTGCCAGTTTATTGCTCTCTTCCATGAAGCTTGTGAGGTGCTCTTAGAGCGGTCTTACTTGCAATAGGCAAGCGACGTAAAAAAAAAAAAAGACAATAGGTATGTTTTTGTCGACAGCTGCAATGAGTTTTGAAGGACAAGTATTGGCTGGGGAAACGGTCATTGCTGTATATCCATGGCAAGGTAAATGATAGATTGAGATACAGCCCAGGCCAGCCGGGCTATGATCGGTCAATTTCGCCCAGGAAGTACAGTAAGCAAGCAGGCACTGCGAATCTGATCTGATTCAAACATGTCGTGGGCGCATATCATTGGCTAATTCAGATGACATTCCTTCGCGCCCAGCGAAGCCTCTACTAAGGAAACCCAGTGGGCATATTCGAACCTGCCAGACTCTTCACGATCGCATTGTGACGCCGACCCCCAAGTCTTGGAGCGGCTAGTATGTGAGCCTTTTCTTGCTAGAAGTCAAAAGCTGAATTAAAATTTCTGGCACACCAGCTAATTCAAATAATCATCCATAACCGACAACTCAATCTTAAATGAGGAGAATGGCCAATTGTTGCCCGAAGTTTAGCCGGCGGTGCTGCTGAAGAGCATTTCGCCATTGTCGGGATCAGTGGTTGTCCTGGAGGAAATAAAATCTTTGTCTAATGTGGGTTCAAATAATTCCAAGGAGGCCTGTGCTTTGAAATCTCCAGAGACTAGTAAACGATAACGAGACCGAATGATAACGACTGGCAGATTACGAGACAAACGATGACGATAACGAGACTGAAAAGCGAGACTGAACACCACGGAACTAAACGATGACGAGCGATAAGCAGGTCAAATAATCGGAGGTTACGGACTAATAAACTGCCGAGAGGAATGAGCGTTTGCCTGGTCTGAGAAATGGAGACCTTGACAGGGACGCACTAACAATTTCTCTCTGACGGATCATTGTATATCCGCTGCTCTGATGATTCAGGCTACCCTGCTGTGATAATTAATAACAGGCAATAATCCATTCTGCACAATTTAAATTAATTAATTAAATAAGCTCCTTGTATTTAGACATGATTTATATATCAAGTGTTCTCGACATTTCCAAAAGTCACTGCATGCGCTTCTGCTATCTCTACAAATTCTTTCGCAAAATGCCTCTGCAGGTATTCACCCCACCACGCATACCAAATGTAACTACGGCACCGTTGCCCAATTCGTGGATTGGCTCTTTTGTAAAATCTTATTGTAAAATAAAGCATACAATATGTTGAAAACATAATAACAGTTACGGTTGCTACGCCAATGCAGTTGTTCCTTGCCAATGCGACAATGCGTTGACAGAAGTCCCGAGAAATTAACCTTCTAGGTCGGTAGCAGTAGAGGCGCAGGTAAAGTTAATTAGAAGACACTGTTGAAACATCCAGCTATGACCTCGTTGCAAGTGCCGGGACTCATGAATAAGAAAATAACCCGACGGGAACACCGCAAATGGACTTTCGGGTCCCTCAGAGACCGCATTTGCAATCCTTTGTGACGTCACAATGCAAGATCCGAAAAAAGAGAGGAACAAAGTGAATGAGAGTGTGGGTGAGTCAGCGCCTTACGGGTAAATGTAACTGCCGGGCCTCCGCGGACGAGACCGCAAGAGGCGGAGCAGGGGTTTCTCATAACCCCCGACACTCCGCCCCAGTTCGACAAGCGCCAAGCACTAAATACCGGCACAAACCTAATTGCTGCCTTGGTTTCGTACGGCAGCAAATCCCCATCAATTTCATGCGTGATCAGCGTCGACGGCCGCTGGCGACAGCAATTGTCGGACTAGCGGGACCCCAAGCAACCCGACTCTATGGACTGGATGGAATAGAGTGTCAGAGTGGCTGAAGTTTGTCAGACACATACTTTGAGGCTACCGAAGCTCCGACCGCGTCTTTCTTTCGCAATGACAGCATTGTCGGGGTGCTGTCGGGGCCCTCAAACCCCGGCACTTAGGGAGCTTGAAGTTTATGAGGTTGCTGTTATCTAACTTAAAGCCAATTCATTTCTGCCCAGAAAAGTCAATCATTCCATAGACACTTACTACTCTTTTAATCTTAATTTGGCTGATCAATTGCCTGACGACCCCGTCAGATACGCCTGACTCTGTTTTTCCAGTGGTCACATTCCAGTCAGATTTACACAAAAACACAACAACAACAGCATCGATAGGGCTTACTTTTCAGTAAACAACTTCAAAATGACGCCTCGACACTCAACAGAAAGTCCACCAGACTCAATCGAAATGGAGCATTCAACTGGAAGCGAGGGCACATACGCCCGCCCGTCGCCCCTCACACGAAGCAACACCATGATCATAGACGAACAAGATCAACAAGAACTCCAAAGAATCGCGACAGGCATTTCGCAGCGCCGCAGACAAAGCTTCGCTACAGTCCCCTCCAGAATCCCTACTATCAGTGAAGAAGACCCTGCATTGGATCCTACAAACAAAGCTTTCGACCTCTCAAAATGGCTACCGGCTTTTATGCATCAATTGCAGGAGGCGGGTGTAGGTCCCAAGAGCGCTGGTGTCGCGTTTAAGAATTTGAGTGTCTATGGTACTGGAGCAGCATTGCAGCTTCAGAAAACGGTTGCAGATATTATCCAGGCGCCACTACGCATTGGAGAGCATCTCAAGTCTGGGAAGAAAGAGCCAAAGAGGATTCTTCACAGTTTTGATGGCCTTCTTCGAGGTGGTGAGACGCTCATTGTTCTTGGTCGTCCTGGCTCCGGATGTTCTACGCTGCTCAAGACCATGACCGGTGAGCTTGAGGGTCTTCATCTTGGAGAGGAGTCGATGATTACCTACAATGGTATCACGCAGAAGGATATGATGAAGGAGTTCAAGGGTGAGACTGGTTACAATCAAGAGGTATGAATTTCATCAGTTCAGTTTTCGAAGGCAGCTAACAAATTATTCAAACAGGTCGACAAACACTTCCCTCATCTCACCGTTGGCCAGACCCTCGAGTTCGCTGCTGCATGCCGTCTCCCTTCCGACCCCGAAAAGCTCGGCCTCGATGGAACACGCGAGGAGACAGTCAAGAGCGCCACCAAGATCGTCATGGCTATCTGTGGCTTGAGCCATACATACAACACCAAGGTCGGCAATGACTTTATCCGTGGTGTTTCAGGTGGTGAGCGAAAGCGTGTCAGTATTGCTGAGATGATGCTTGCTCAATCGCCAATGGCTGCTTGGGATAACAGGTAAGAAACCATGATACTTGAGAGGGTCGAGGCTGACATGAATACAGTACACGAGGTTTGGACTCTGCGACTGCTCTCAAATTCGCCCAAGCCATTCGACTCGCTTCCGACTACACTGGCTCTGCCAATGCCCTGGCAATCTACCAAGCCAGTCAAGCCATCTACGACCTCTTCGACAAAGCCGTTGTCTTATACGAAGGTCGACAGATCTACTTCGGTCCCGCCAGCAAGGCCAAGGACTACTTCGAGAGAATGGGCTGGGAATGCCCTGCTCGTCAGACCGCAGGCGACTTCCTTACATCCGTCACCAACCCTCAAGAGCGAAAGGCAAGACCAGGTATGGAGAACAAGGTCCCTCGTACCGCTGAGGAGTTTGAACTCTACTGGCAAAACTCACCTGAGTGTAAGAAGCTTCGCGATGAAATTGAGGTGTATCAGCAGGATTATCCTTCTGATAATCGCCATGAGGCTATTGCGCCTTTGCGAGAGCGCAAGGCCCTAGTGTAAGTATCTTGTCCCCGAGCTATCAACGATACACTGACAACATGTCCAGCCAAGATAAGCATGCTCGACCCAAGTCTCCATACATCATCAGCATAGCAACGCAGATCCGCCTGACGACCAAGCGAGCCTACCAGCGAATCTGGAACGATCTCTCAGCAACTGCAACCCATGTTGCCATTGATGTAATAATGGCGCTCATTATCGGTTCGGTATTCTACGGCACTGGCAATGGATCTGCTAGCTTCTACTCCAAGGGAGCTGTTCTCTTTATGGGTATTCTCATGAATGCACTCGCCGCCATCTCCGAGATCAACAGCCTCTACTCCCAACGCCCCATTGTCGAGAAACATGCCTCGTACGCCTTCTACCACCCTGCTTCTGAAGCCATTTCTGGTATCGTTGCCGATATACCCATCAAATTCGTCTCGGCTACTGTCTTCAACATCATTCTCTACTTCTTGGCTGATCTTCGTCGTGAGCCTGGTAACTTCTTCCTGTTCTTCCTCATCACGTACATCTCGACCTTTGTTATGTCTGCCATCTTCAGAACGATGGCTGCTGTTACCAAGACGGTTTCTCAAGCTATGATGTTGGCTGGAATTATGGTCTTGGCTCTTGTTATCTATACTGGTTTCATGATTCGTGTCCCGCAGATGGTCGATTGGTTTGGTTGGATCAGGTGAGTGTCTTCTTACTAACTATGGAGTATCTGCTAATGGTTACAGATGGATCAATCCCATCTTCTACGCCTTCGAGATCCTCGTCGCCAACGAGTTCCACGGTCGCGAGTTTGACTGTTCACAGTTCATCCCTTCTTATCCTGGACTCACCGGCGATACATTTATCTGCTCAGCCGTCGGATCTGTAGCGGGACAACGAACAGTCAGTGGTGATGCCTTCATCGAAACCAACTACCAATACTCGTATTCCCACGTCTGGCGCAACTTCGGTATCCTCATGGCCTTCCTTGTCGTCTTCATGCTTATCTACTTCACCGCCACTGAGCTCAACTCCAAGACCGCTAGCAAGGCCGAGGTCCTCGTCTTTCAGCGTGGTCATGTTCCTGCTCACCTTCAGGAAGGTGTTGACAGGAGTGTGACTAATGAGCAGCTCGCTGTGCCTGAGAAGACCAATGAGGGTCAGGACTCTACTGCCGGACTCGAGCCACAGACGGACATCTTCACTTGGAAGGATGTTGTCTATGACATTGAGATCAAGGGTGAGCCGAGGCGTCTTTTGGATCATGTCACTGGTTGGGTCAAGCCTGGTACTCTCACGGCTCTGATGGGTGTTAGTGGTGCTGGAAAGACAACTCTTCTTGATGTTTTGGCTCAGCGAACTACCATGGGTGTCATCACGGGAGACATGCTTGTCAATGGAAGACCTCTTGATGCCAGCTTCCAACGCAAGACAGGATACGTCCAGCAGCAAGGTGAGTGACACCCCCCGCATAACTGGCTTGATACATTACTAACGCGACTCAGATCTCCATCTCGAAACTTCCACAGTCCGCGAGAGTCTCCGCTTCAGCGCCATGCTTCGTCAACCATCAACCGTGAGCGACGAGGAGAAGAACGAATGGGTTGAGAAGGTCATCGATATGCTTAACATGCGTGACTTTGCCAGCGCTGTCGTCGGTGTCCCTGGAGAAGGTCTCAACGTCGAGCAACGCAAGCTTCTCACTATTGGCGTCGAACTCGCTGCCAAGCCAAAGTTGTTGCTTTTCCTCGATGAACCTACCAGCGGTTTGGACTCTCAGAGCTCTTGGGCTATCGTTGCCTTCCTTCGCAAGCTTGCCGACGCAGGACAAGCTATCCTCTGCACCGTCCATCAGCCCAGTGCCATTCTATTCCAAGAGTTTGATCGGCTTCTCTTCCTTGCTCGTGGTGGCAAGACCGTTTACTTTGGAGACATTGGCCAAAACTCCCGTACTCTTCTTGACTACTTTGAGAAGGAGGGTGCTCGAGCCTGTGGCGATGATGAGAATCCAGCTGAATGGATGCTCGAGATCGTCAACAACGCTACTAGCTCTCAAGGTGAAGACTGGCACACTGTTTGGCAACGCAGCCAAGAGCGTGTCGCTGTCGAAGCCGAAGTCGGGAGGATTGCATCTGAAATGTCATCGAAGAACCCCCAAGACGATTCTGCCAGCCAATCCGAGTTTGCCATGCCGTTCAGCGCACAGCTTCGAGAGGTCACCATGCGAGTCTTCCAGCAGTACTGGAGAATGCCCACGTATATCATGTCGAAGCTTATCCTTGGTATGGTCTCGGCTCTCTTTGTCGGCTTCTCTTTCTACAAGCCTGATAACACTATTGCTGGCATGCAGAATGTCATCTTCTCCGTCTTCATGATCATCACCGTCTTCTCTACTCTTGTTCAACAGGTAAGCCATCTATCACGATGAGCGTTACGGCATACTGACCCGTGTAGATCCAACCGCATTTCATCACCCAGCGTGACCTGTACGAAGTTCGAGAACGGCCCAGCAAGGCATACTCTTGGAAGGCTTTCATCATCGCCAACGTCATCGTCGAAATCCCCTGGCAGGCTCTTACAGGCATTATCATGTATGCCTGCTTCTACTATCCTGTCGTGGGCGTTCAGAGCTCAGCCCGCCAAGGACTTGTCCTTCTCTTCATGATCCAGCTCATGCTCTACGCCAGCTCCTTTGCCCAGATGACCATCGCTGCTCTTCCAGATGCTCTCACTGCGTCGTCAATTGTGACTCTCTTGGTTCTCATGAGCTTGACCTTCTGTGGTGTTTTGCAGCCTCCCGATGCTCTTCCAGGTTTCTGGATATTCATGTATCGCGTTAGCCCTTTTACCTACTGGGTGGGCGGCATTGTATCTACCGAACTGGGTGGACGTGCGGTCGAATGTTCACGATCCGAGGTCTCTATCTTCAACCCTCCATCTGGTCAGACTTGTGGTGATTACATGGCGGATTATCTGAAGCAGGCGCCCGGTCAGCTACAGAACCCTGATGCGACAGAGCAGTGCCAGTACTGTTCTTTGTCGAACGCCGATCAGTTTATGGCTGGAAACCGGATTTACTACACCGAGAGATGGCGCAACTTTGGCATTGTTTGGGCTTACATTGGCTTCAACATTTTCATTGCTGTTGCATCTTATTATATGTTCCGCGTCAAGAAGTGGAACCTTGGAAAGAAGAAGAAGGCGTAGGGTCGCGTGTGATGTTGTTGATGGTTCATCTTATAACTTTGTTTTCTTCAACCCAAAACTTAAGAGCTAGTTTTGCATATCAGATTGGTCCCATGGTGGCAAATAGTAGTCTTGTAATAGCATTTAGAAGCATTTAATAATTTCATCTACTATTTTAATTTTTCTTTGTCAATCTGATGCCTTCATTCTCCATGTTTGGTGCCTCACCACTTTAAGCTTCTAACTTGGCCTCAAACCTAACCTTGGATTGAGGCCATTTGTTTGGTTGCATGATAAGGCCGAGAGGCTCCAGCTAAAACCTTGTATGATGAGTCTTCGATGCTCTTCTTTCCATAGCGTGATATCGCCGTGTACGCAGCTATCAGATAGCAATCTCTGACTGTCAGTAACTTTCTGGTGTGAATTACCTGACTATCCAGATTTTGCTGATCATGGATGAATCATAATGACTGACAGGGTTCAATTTATCCAGTCTCAGCAAATCTTGAACAGCTTCCTGTTCGAGACAGCCCCACCCGGCAGTGAGTCACGCGATCATCAGCAGCTTATCGTATCTGAAGTATAATTCTAGATAGTTATTTAAATGCAGGCCGCGCTCTGAATCTGCGCAAGAATATTGACTAGTTGAATTATTGCTCCAAACTAAACACTACGCACTTTTGCAACATGACATCAACGAAACCAACTTGTTCACTTTGTGATGTCTCCTTTGACAACAGTCAGGAGCATCGAGTGCATGCCAAGAGTGAGGCTCAGTAGGTTTCAGCATGCGCATATAATATCAGACACGTGCATGCTAACATTTTCCCAGTGTCCAAGCCTTGAGAAATCGTGCGGCTGCTTCAGGCCTAATCGAGCAACCAACTGAGGACAGCGATACATTTTCACATACAAGCAACGACCCCGAAGATGAGCTCTCAAGTAGCGATGATGAAACCGGAGACGAGACTTCGAGCAGTACGATCCCTGAATTTGATCCAACAAAATGCATCATCTGCACTCACAGCGTCGAAAGCTTTGATGAGAACCTCATCCACATGGAAACAGCTCACGGTCTACGGATTCCGTTTCGCGATCATCTCATCGTGGACTTGGAGACGGTGATATGGTATCTTTACTTTTTAATAGCAACATACCGCGAGTGCATCTACTGTGGAACACGAAGACGCACGATAGAGGGAATTCAGCAGCATATGAGAGACAAAGGTCACTGTCGGGTTGAGTTGACAGACGAGATGCAAGAGTTCTATGACCTGGAGGGTCTCAAGGCTCACGGTCGGGAAAATGCGGTTTCAGTTGACAATGAGTGTCTTCGACTATCATCTGGCAAGATCCTTTCGCATCGTGATGCCCCTACCACCAAACCACGCCGATCATCGCCTCAAGAAGAGACTGGGGAGAAACGGGCACCTCTTCCCAGTCATGCAGCTTCTGATGTACTTACAGCCAGAGATCGAAAGGATGCAGCACTTGCATCTCAATTAGCACGACTCAGCGTCAAAGACCAACAGAGTTTGATACATTTGACATCATCAGAACAGAGGAGTTTCCTCCTGCAGAGAAAGAAGGAGATGGATGCAGTTCGTCGGTCGGAACGAAAGATGAGGCTGAAGACGGAGAGACTGAGTAACAAGACTATGATGACGCACTTCAAGAATGATGTTCCGGGCAGGAGTAACGGATGAGGAGTTAAATCTCAATCTGCTTCTCCTCGTGCTTGCCACTAGTATATTAATAGACTTGACAGTGCCCACAAATTATCTGAACTAATGAACTTTATTTTGTCTTATTTGATGATGTATATGTCAGACCTATCGTGATCAAGTCTGCAAATAGCTACGGACATACGGCAGCAGTAGCTAGCCTCTAGGTACGCAATGTCTTTTCGCTCAAGCCAACTCGCACTCGATCAGACTCTCAACTCCATTCGCGACCGTCCAAATATTGCAAATCTTCAGTCCAGCCTCTCCGAGCAGCTTCTCCCAGTTCTGTTGCGTACGTTCCCGCGACGCAAGGAGAGTTAGCATCATAATGTCCAATGCTGTTGCTTCCCATTGAGCGCCAGTGTTGGGGATGACATTCTCATTGATCAGAAGCTTGCTGTATCCAGGCTTCATGGCAGCCTTGACTTGTCCCAGAATCTTCAGACAAGTCTCATCGGACCAGTCATGAAGAACGGAATGCATGTAGTATGCTCGGGCACCTCAAGACACGTTAGACAGGATAACGTATGTGGGATAGAATTACTTACCTTTGATAGGTTGCTCGGTATAGAAATCGTACTTCATTCGCTCGATCTTGCTATCAAGGGTGGTGATCTGGTCAATCACGACTGGAAGATCCTGGAGAATGAGACGACCTGGGGCATCGGGGAACTTGCGGCAGAACTCTCCAATATCATGACCAAAAGAGCCACCAACATCGATCAGCAGAGCAGCGTCATCCGACTTCTCAAAGCCATCGATAAGCTTTTCTTGAACAGGGAAGAAACCTGCATCCATCCAAGACGGTCGACCTTGACGGTAGCCGCCCATATGAAGATGGAACAACTGGCCGTATGGTGGGTTGGTGTGAAGATGCTCGAAGAAAGTCTTCTCTGTTTTGTATCCAAGCTGAAGGGGAGAGTTACTGATGTCAGTAGGGTCCTTCCAGGAGTTGTTGTCAGCCCATTCATGGAATTGACCAAGAGCGTTTAGACAAGCTCCGGAACTAAGTATCGTGTCAGTGCTAGATAGATACTAAAATCTTGGGTGTTCTTACATGCAAGGGTATCCAGCATTGATGAATGGGAAAGCCATTGACTTAATAAAGTTTGTGGCTTGGTATGTATCTTGATCAATCTCGGTGATGTAACCCATGGATGAGACATGTCGTACAAGGCGGGCTTCGTTTGGTCAGCGATATGGTACAGAGGCTGACAGGATGAGTGCCCTTACCAAGGAGAGCAGGTTCAATGTTTTTCTCCTTCGCCACATCAGCGACCTTGAAAGGTCCATCGATCTTGGCGACATGAGTCCAAACTTCCTTGACCGTACCAGCAGTCAAGGCACAGTGAAGCGATGGCTCAGCCCAGACATGGCGAAGCATGGTCTCTCTGGGAGTCTCGAGTGACTGCCAAAGGCTCTTGGCCTTTGCCATAAGCTTGAGTCGCGCCGTGGGGTCATCACTATCCAGGTCACCACTCAGAGCATTAATGTCTTTGATCAGAGAGGGGACGGCGGCAATATTGGCGGCGTTCAGAGCAATGGAGACATCGGGTTCTTCCGACTTTGAACTGTTGGTGACATCTGGGGTTGCGTCTGATGATCCAGAAGAGCTCAAAGCTGAGACGGAGCTTTCGAGCTTCTTTTCGGTTCCATGATATTCCGTTTCTGGGACGGTATGCCCGTTTGTGTGAGAAACAGTTGTGTCAGCCATAATGAAAGGGTTATGAAAAGAAATGTCTTGTCAATAAGGCTTATGATCAACTGCAAAACGTGGAAGCGAGGTAATGTCCGTGAGTGATTAAGGAGGGATCAACGGCAATAAAAAAGAAAGGAAAGCAGCCCTGACATGCAGAAGTGCCCAGAGCTCGTCAATGCATGGTATGATAGCTTGGCTGTTGGCCGACCTCAATCCTCCCAACCGTTATACGTACAGGTCCATTCTCTTGCATGTAGTTCTGTAATTGGCCAATTGGGAACCTAGCAGAGGAGCCTCCCAGAGTCCGGTCGCTCGGGTTGCATTCAGAAGATCTTCGAAACGACCTGACACCACCTTCCCGGTAAACCCTCTGCATACCAAGGATATTACAAGATGTATTGATTCGTTGGGATACGTCCGCCAATGTTGATCACTGGATCATACGACGACATTGATACGATTACCAGGCCATAGAGAGCGATCTGCGTTAAGTGAACGGGCAGCTGGGACAAAGCTCCGCTGCAAACCTAGAAACTGCAACGTCGAACCAACAAAACGGTTGTGATCCTGATCAGGGGCTTTCCCGAGTGCTACGTCGAACCAACACAATTGCCCAGACCCTTGCTAGAGAGGAAAGAGAGGACAACATGGGATCACGGCCAACGCAAGCTAAAGAGACAGTGGGAGCAGCATCCTTGAAATGGCAAAGAATCATCATTTTTCTAAAAGCAGCAACTCCTAGGAACCAAATGGGATACTGCACTATCAAGATCGTTTAACAGAACAGTTGAGGATGCCTCTTTGCCGCCTGGAGGCATAGAAGAGACTAGAACATCTCACAGTGAAGAATGGAGAATAACGGCCGCCAAGAGCAGAGACAAGGGTAGCTAGCAACGGGAAATTGGCCCGCTTCGCCAATTAAGCTATTTCGGGCCTGATTGTGCCAAGCGATTTGACAACGACTAGGAACAGCCGAATATACGATGAACATGTCAGGTATAACTATGCAATAGACTGCAGGCATTTTAACAATAAAGAAGAACCCGAGAACTTACTTGACCATATAATCACTCTCTTCACATTGCACAAGCCTGAGTGCAACAACATGTCGGAGAATGTCTTGTACGGCTCGGATCCAAGCGGTTTAATTATCATATCAGGTGATTTCTGCAGTATCAAGCAAGGGTTGGAGCAATCCTTGGCGACACATCCTTCGGAGGGTTTGGATCGACATTTCTACCCCTGAGTCTCAGTCGGGTTCGGGGAAGCGGAATGGCCCCCACTATCAGTAACAAACGGTTGGCTTGTTGGTTGTTCGTTACGCGTCGACATCTGCAACCTCACTCCACTGATAACCTTGTCCTTTTACTTGGAGTCTGCCCACCTTGCGAGATTTAAATCAGTTGAACGGTTTTTCATAGCATATGTCGACATATTTGGGAATAAAAAAGCACAGTTTCGGGGAATACGGCATCATCTGTCACATGGTTGTCGATCCTTCAGCAGAGTCGTATTAACAAAAATCCTTTTCGCGTTAACAAAGTTAATCCCGGCTTCTTGTGACAAGATTCGTGACAAGAGGTTCGATGATCCATGGCACCAAGAAGCATAGCATGGTTGGGCTCCTGTGCCTCTGATCCCCCCCTTTCTGCAAACATGTCTCTCGTTCCTGCAGGACATAAGACCCAATCCTCTGGATTGACCCAACCAACATGAGTGAATGAGACTTTTCTTGAGTTATTTTTCGTATACGGATGCGCTTGGCAGACAATGTCTTCTCCTCCTCATCACACGCAGGCTTATCTTGACGCCGATAAAGGCCCAACTATTCTTGGAGTAGTCATCACTGTCTCTATTCTGAGTACGATCTTTGTTGCTGGTCGCGTGTACACTCGAAAACGGATCATAGGCGCGTTGCATCTTGATGACTGGTTCACAATCGTTGCCGTGGTTTGTTACCTCACTCAATTTGTCTGTTTAACTCTAACCATCTTAAGATCTTCGAATGGTGCCAAGTTGGCGTTACAGTTGTGGCTGTTAGGAATGGCAATGGCAGACACTTCGATCTTTTGAACGTGACTCAGCAGCAGAATGTCATTCTCTACACCATCTTGGGCTTCCCGTTCGGCGTCATGGCCTTTGGGTTCCCCAAGCTCGCCGTCGTCGCACTTATCACACGACTTATGAATCCCGGACGCTTACACAAGATATTTCTTTGGGTACTTGCTGGATGTTGCATGATGGGTCTGATTGGATGCATCATCATTCTCTTTGCTCAATGCTCGCCTGTCGAATCTCAATGGACCTTCTCCATCACTGACAAGAAGTGTTGGAGCCCTTTTGTTCTTGTCAACTTCGCCATTTTTGCTGGCGGTAGGTAAACTACGTTGATGCCAAGGATGCCTTGCTGATACTGCAACAGCCTTGTCTGCATTTACGGACTTGTATCTTGCTGTATACCCCGCCGTGGTTTTGTTCCATCTTCAAATGAACAAGCGAAAGAAAATTGCCTTGTCGTTTGCATTGGGTATTGGCTCAATGTAGGTGTCGCGTTGTTGCGTTGATCAGGAATATGCTGACCTCTGTCTCTAGTGCTACTATTGTAGCCATCTATAAATGCACGCGTCTGCCATCGCTTGCGAGTAAAGACTTCTCTTGTATGTAACGTTTGGCCTGTTTCGCATCCTTGTTCTAACAACTGATAGACGAGACATCTGACCTTGTGATATGGACTGTGTAAGTAACATGTCATGTGCTGCCATACGAGCGACCACTAACCTTACGACTTCTAGCATCGAAGCGAGCACCATCATCATCGCCTGCTGTATCCCAGTCCTCCAGCCCCTCGTGGATGCCCTCTTGGGTCGCCGAGCCTTCGGATCCTCTCCAGGATACAAAAACTACAACTCCTCCGGATACCAGAACTACGGCAATTCCCGAACCGGCCAACCTCGTTCAAACATCGAACTCAGCGACAGTAGAAAATTGCGAAGCGATGACCGAGGGAACATGACGAACGTGAAGTACCTTGGGTCTGGAGCCGCGGAGCTTGACTCGCAGGAAAGCATACTGCGACACGATGGTACAAAGACAACAGATACTCACTCGGCAGATGCTCATTCAGTCAATGCGCCGCCTGAAGGTGAAATCCCTCGATAGAGGTAGTAATACCAAGCTATGGACCGTGGATGTAAGATGGTCAATAGTCAGTACGAATTTAATGCGCCAATGCGAGAAGCTCGAAAGGGACATGCGACTGCTCGGCGACGGAAACGTGGTATAAATTGGAGACCTAATGATCATATGCGTATCACAGTCATTGATGCCGGTAGTGTAATGTCACTGTTGAAGCCAATCCGCTACAGCTTTGGCCGCTTCTTCCCCTTCCTTTCGAAACCCGTTGATGTGACCACTCTCAACAATGTCATGCGGTGCACCATGTTCAATCCTTAAAGTCACGTCGTTTCCAGCCTCTCTCATATCATGAGCCCACTCGAAAACCTCGTCGTAGAGAAGTTCTGCATCTCCGACATGAGCCCAGAGCTTCGTCTTGGTTCTGAACGGTTTGCCCTTCAATGTGACATATGGCCCATGACGGTCGATGATGCCTTCAGGAGCAAAGGATTCGGTCGCCCATTCAGCAAAGTCGGCTGGTAGGTAATCTGTGTCGTAATTCTTTCGTCGCAAAACGTGTTGCGCCGGTGTAGCTCCTGCAATATTGATCCACGGGGACCATAGCAAAGCAGCTTTGGGGCTTGGAGTATCTACCAGATGCTCGCTGATGTATCTCAGCAACGAGATAACAAGGTGTCCGCCTGCACTATCACCACTGATAATCACGTTCTCTGGAGGGACTCCCATAGATAAGATATGAAGATAGGCGGTGACAGCATCTTGTAGGGCTGCAGGGAAACGCCCCTCTGGCACGCATGTTAACCTGTACCCAGCAAAAAGAACCTTTGGTGTTATGTACTTTGCAAAGACGCCAGCAAAGTATCCACTGTCGAGTGGCAGAGGGCTCCCAAGAACATAACCTCCTCCGTGGAAATGAAGAAGATACTCTCCTGATGCCATGTTGGAAAGACATGATGGGTCGTGAGATTCGGGGTACCATACGGCCCGAACCGTACCCGGCTGTATGACCTCATCTTTCAAGGGTCCACGGTAGAGTTTTCGGTCCGATGCTGGCGCAATGGATATATACCGCGTTCCCAAATCCTTGCGTTCTGTTGGCATTGTAGTGATAAGGCGAATGCTTGTATAGAATTGCATCAAGTTGAACATAAGCTTTCTGCCTAATGCTTGGTGTAGAGTCCAGTATCGATGAGGGCGATTGCTCGGAACGGTGTAGTAGAGAGCTGATGGGACAAGCAGAAGGATTCGACAGATCAAAACGCAGGCGTGCCACGCGACGCGACACCATGATAACAGCGCCATGGTGCGTTGCTGAACCTTTTCAGCTGATACTCTTACCGAGATGCGAACTTCTTAGTATCATGCACTTGACAGATGAGATATTGACGCTCAGGAAAGCATGTAGCTTTGGGTTACATTCAAGATTGATAGCCGAGGCATTGCGTGACATATGTGGGGTATCGGGGTTCGCAGCTGAAAACAAGTTCATTCAATAGAGATCTTAGGTTCTTTGAAGACTGTATCATATCTATTTCACCTCTGCATAGGCATCCAGAGCCTCGTGCAACTTGCCAAAGGTACCATCGTGCCAGCTGGCAATTTGAGCCCATTCATCCTCAGGCAGAGTGGCATGCAACATCCTCAGCCACGCACCAACAACCATGTCCGCATAGCTGGCCTTCTTTCCAAGCAAAAACGGTCCGCTCGTGTCCCTTGTGAACAGTTTTGCGAGATTACCCAGCATTTCTCGAAGAGACTCCATCACCTTCTCTCGAGCCTCGCCAACTAGCGCGAAATCGTCCCACTGTTTCACCCCCGCACGTCGCATAAATTCAGCCTTGGTCTCCTCCTCAGAAGCTGGATCGAAGGGCATTCCCTGGACTCCCAATTGCACGTGTGCAGTAAACGCCGCATCGATGTTCAGATTGAACTTGGCATACTCGGGGTTTTCCTTGTCGCGCCACTCTGAGAGAGGGACGAGGATGTAAGGGTGCTTGAAGTCAAAGTCAAGCGTCTGAGTGGGGAACAGGTCACCTCCGCCAGAGGTTGGGTAGGTCTTTTGTAGGTAAACAGCGATGTCGAAGGAGTCGCCGACTACAGACCCGGTTGAGGGGTCCTCGATGATGGGCAGAGTGTAAAAGGCTTTCCCATCATTGAATTTGCGACAGGCGGGGACATTGAGACCAGTGCGGACTTTGATGATGTCTGGCAGGGCTACCCATGACGTCGAGTACGGGACTCCCTTGAAGTTGAGGGCGAATCGGCTTTTCCAGGGGTTTGGAGAGAAGCAGTTCTTCTCCACCGGAGGGCGGGCAGCGATGTCGTAAAAGACAATTTTCTTTGAAGAATCAGACATGGTGGAAGATGGAGATCGGGAGGTGATGCTGTTCGTCGCTGCGGTCATTGACGACCAGAAGATGAGTCGTGATACGAAAACTGATACGTGGCCTATTAATGATTGGCTTGGTTACGATGTTTCGCAGAAAGCCCCGGAGACAATTCTATTCAGATTTAGAGTCGCCTTGATCAAAAATAGTGCTCTTAAACGGGATAAATTAACAATTCAATCATCTTCTTCCAGTAGTGAGGAGTATTTTGTTCATTCAGCATTACTGGTTGCAAGATTGGCAGCCTCCTCCAGCCCTATAGGGTGGATCCACCACGACCGTCGGTCAAGACGCTTTTGAGATGCTGATATAACTTGGTCACGGCATGGCCTGATTGGCTGCACCTAAGACGAATTGCTTCAACTCTGGCCAAGAAATCAATAATTGCAAGCTAGCTAGGGACTATCTTCAGGTGTAATGATATGCCGGATCGCAAAGTCCCCTGTGTTTGGTGCTGAAGAAGAAATGGAGTCAAAGGACGCCCTCTCATTCGTCCGTCCGTAAAAAAACACACATTGGGAGAGGGTCAAGGCGCGGGCCAAGGCGCAGCCTGATGCCGAACAACCGGGTTGTAGAATATTCTCTTATTATTCGTTTGCCAAGCGCAATGCCTCATGAGCTTGACAGTAAATAGGTCCACAGATGTCACAGTCATTTTTCCTCATCTATAACGGCGAGCCCGTAATATTGAGTCTCGATTAGATGGCGTAAATTAACGTTGAGAGTATGTCTTGGCTTGCTGATATAAAGTCCAAGCTCGTGGGCTGCCTAGTGTAGAGACTCAAATTGTCTTCTTTCTTTTTGCGTGATATCAAAATGTCCGTCAAATCCATGACTCAAGACTTCCCGCTCGACAGATATAGGGCTGGCGGTGGACATCCTACTGGCCAACGTAACGGCATTGAGGAGAACCTTGAAGAATCCTTCCCCAGCCACTTTACCCAGTTGTTCAACAAGTATGCCGGACCAAATGGCACCTGGCACAGAGACCAGATCGGTCTGTTCATGCACCACGTCCAAGTCGAAAACCCTGATGGGTTGGCTAGTTACCTTGTTGATCAAGATGAGCTGAACCTACCCGAGCTAATTAAGTATCTCACATCACCATGCGGTAACATTCTGGAAATGGCGGCTCCCCAAGACCTGACGTGGCCACTGAATAACTACTTCATCAGCTCAAGCCACAACACGTATCTCACCGGCAACCAACTTTCAAGCGACTCAAGTACTGAGGCGTATAAGGATGCTTTGCTACGTGGATGTCGTTGCATTGAGATTGATGTCTGGGATGGCAAAGAACAGTGGAAGCCAGGATTCGGCTCAGAGGATGAAGTCGAACGGGAAATGAAGGACGCTTCTCTGGATGCTGCACCTAGAAAAATGGGCTTCAAAGATCGAACCATCATCAAGATTGGGCGATGGGTCATGAACAAGTTTGATACGGTTGATCCTCATGGCAAAACGATTGATGACAGACTCTTGGATGTTATCGATGCCGAGCCAAGAGTTCTGCATGGCTTTACTCTCACCAAAGAGGTTCTCTTCCGCGACGTCTGTCAAACCGTCAAAGAGTATGCTTTCACTACATCCGACCTCCCGCTCATTGTCAGCCTGGAAGTTCATTGCTCTCCACTGCAGCAAGGCGCCATGGTAAACATCATGGAGGAGGTCTGGGCTGACTATCTTCTCCCTGCACCCGAGGTCGAGTCCGACTGCCTACCCTCTCCTCACGAATTGAGGAACAAGATTCTGGTCAAGGTGAAATATGTCCCAGAAGACGACAAAGGAAAGGGCAAGAACACGCCTGATAGCACGGATGATGAGAGTATGCTAGAGGTTGTGGTGGAGGGGGACGAGAAGAAGGTCAAGAAGGTCAAGCCACCCAAGATCATCCCGCGACTGAGCCGCCTTGGTATTCATACTCGAGGGATTAGTTTCAAGTCACTTGAGGAACCCGAAGCGTCGATGCCAAATCACATCTTCTCTCTATCAGAGAATGCAGGCTTCGCTATTCAGAGACGTATGCCAAAGGCTCTGTTCTCACACAACAGACAGTTCCTCATGCGGACCTATCCACATGGTATGCGGTTTGACTCGTCCAACTACGACCCTGTCATTTTCTGGCGCGCTGGTGTGCAAGTCGTGGCTCTCAACTGGCAATCATGGGACCTGGGTATGGTACTCAACGAGGGCATGTTCATGGGCTCAGATGGATATGTTCTCAAGCCTGAGGGATATCGTCACGATCCAAGCGAACTGCACAGTGTTGAGGAGTCTCATATCCCTAGTAAGACATTGGAGAGGGTGGCTATCACAATCATAGCAGCACAGAACCTCCCCTTACTCAGCCGTCTTGATGATCCCGCCAAGTTCATCTCTTATGTCAAGATTGGCCTGCATACAGAGCCAGATGCGCTCTCAGCCATGGTCGATGAGGACGCTACTGTTGAACAGGTCAAGCAAGTTGGGTATAGTAGAGAAACAGGTAAAAGCAAAGGAACCAGTCCAGACTTTGGAGGCGAGACGATTGAGTTCCTCAATGTCGAGGGTGTGGTTCCCGAACTGGCTTTTCTTTCATTCAGGGTCATGAATGATGTACCTGGACCTGATATCATGGCTGCTTGGGCTTGTGTTCGTTTGGATAGGTTGAGGCTTGGATATCGCTTCTTGAGGTTGCTAGATAAGGAGGGGATGCCGAGCAAGGGTATATTGTTGGTCAAGAGTGAGCTCAGGGAAGTCTCTTAGCTCAAAGGTCGAGAGGAAGAACTGCTCAGGCATGCTGTATAATTAGTTTTTCAATTATTTTCCAGAAACGTTACTATTCTTTATGCACAAAGTTGATGAGGGGTCAAAAGAAGCTTCGAGCCCCAGCACAAAAGTTAAGGACACATCTCAACAGATACAACCAATATACTTCAGTGCCCCCACTGCTGCCTAAGATAATGCTTTATAATGAGAAGTTAATAGTCCTGCTGACCAGACAAGTTTCCCACGACAGCGTCTTACCCTCATACCTGTAAAACACGCCCTGAAATACTTGAGTCTAGCAACATGAAGCTTTTATTAGTCCCAAGCATCTAACTATTACCATGTTTGAGTGTATCAGGACATAGGCAGTAGCCGGAAGAAGCGTCTCAAGAACACCGAGGTTAAATCATCGACTTGAAACCTTGTGCTTAGACGTTTTGACAAATTTTGTGTGCGTCCTCGAGCTGGCTGCACTGGATCTGCCATGTCACACTGCTGAGTCGAAGAACCCGCTTCAAAGCATCTCTTTGCCAATGGAATACAGTGGCCTGTCCTATGCCTGTAGTACGACCAAAGATTGGGAAATATACATAATTTGTCAGTATGGACGATGAGCTGATAAAATCCTTACTTTTGGGTTTCGGTAGCCGAGATGCCGCGGGTTGCCGCGGGGTTCCGTTAGCTCAAGTCTAAGCCATTGGAAGCAACGAGGAAGCCCCTGTGCCATCACTGCCATGTCGATCTGAGACCGAGAATAAACGACGTCGCATGTAGCGATTGCGAAGTTCGTTTACTGAACGAGATAACAATAAGGGCTTTGTTTAGATTCGTGCTAGATGTCGCTGAAACATGGAACCTTGATTATTTCAGGGCTAAAGGTAACCATTAGCCTCAAGTCCTGATAAGGGTTAGCTTCAATGCTGCAAGTCGTTCGATTTATGCATTGATTTGTTGGTTGGATGTTTACAGCAAATGAAACTTGGCTGAGTCTGCCTTACGTATTTATAGCTAACGCACAGTGACACGACTCATCGGTATGTCCAGCCCCAGTGAGCCACCAACGTGTTATTCGTATCCAACAAATTACACCAACACAGAATGGGAATAGTCAGACGTCAACGAAGCCACTCTGCCACAGCGTCTCAACCCTTGCCAAATTCAGGGGACTTGCTGCAGCCCGCGGGAGACGATCAATGACTGAAAAAATGGCTCATTAATCCGATCGGGTCATCACTGTCACCCATCGCACATGGCAGTCGTTTTGGAACATCGTACGGTCCGGCTACCGCCAATCACAGGGGAGAAATAGGGAGTCCAGAACAAAAAAGCGTCGAGGCTGAGTTGGTGCAGGGATACGATGACGACGCGTTTTTTTTTTTACCGGCCATTGCCCATTTCAATAAATTAAATTAAAATGTTATATAAGGTGTGAGGGCTGGAAGTCAAGGGGCTTTTGGTCTTTTTGCATGAAACTTTGCTCACAAGACATATAATAACCGTGAAGGACCAAATTCAACTCTGGCGGGGTCTTTAGCTTGGAATGTTTTCAGCTTGGGACAATGGCTCTCCAGGATATCATTCAACACTTGCGCGCGCGCTTTGGAAAGTATGAAAGATTATACGACGAGGAGCATTTTGAGTCGGAATCTTCATCGTACAAGAGATGCGTCAACAATCGATTTGGATTTCCAAGATTCAGGAAGCTCACAGTATACCTGATCCTGATCAACCTGATACTTCTTGGACTGTTGATTCATTCTCTTCACCCTCTCATCACCTTACTACTACGGAATAACGAACTATTCGCAATCAACTTCTTTGTCGACCATGCAGCACATCCAGAAGCATTCCCAAGGCCAGATGGGAGGAAGATACCGCGAATCCTGCATCAAACAGCTCCCAACGACACCATTCCAGAAATTTGGGCAACTTCGCAGCAGAGTTGCAAGGAAGCATATTCTGACTTTGAATATAAGCTCTGGACTGATGAAGGGGCACGCGAATTTCTCGAGGCTGAATTTCCCTGGTATCTCGACACTTGGGACAACTATCCTTTTCCAATCCAGCGCGCAGACGCTATCCGCTACTTTGTTCTTTATTTCTATGGCGGGATATATATGGATATGGACACTTATTGTAATTCGTCCTTCCCCATAGATCAGCTCGAATCTCTTCCAGGGAACGACCATGCCTTGTTCAAATCGACATTGCCAACCGGTATCACGAATGACTTTTTAATCTCAACCGCAAAGCACCCAGCTTTTGCATCAGCAGTGTCGAGACTGGCCACCTTTCACCAGACAACCCGGCTCTGGGCTCGACTTCAACCCTACGCAGCTATAATGCTGTCTACAGGACCTCTCTTCTTGACCCTGGCAGTGCAACAATATCTGCTCGGCCAACCAATTCTACCATCACCAACCATACAAATCATGGACCCTGCGAATCTACTGCCATATATGACAGACTTTGAAACTGCAACCTGGCACCAAGGAGACGCTCAAGTACTCAAGTGGCTTGGAGACAGGCCGTGGACATGGTTCAGTTTGGGGTTCGTTGGGGTTACCGCCGGCCTATACACCTTTAATTGCGTGCTGTCACGAACTTTTACGACTCTTTATCGTAAGCTATTATAATACCATATAGATTTAGCGACTGCTTCTCAAGAAAGAAAATTTCCCCAAGAAATGGGCACTTAATTTCCTCCCCCTGTCTTCTTGTTTATTACTCGGATAAGCGGCACAATTACGTGGTCACAGCTCGCTCCTGTAATTTTCGGCTAGTTCCAAAGACAGAAATAACCGAACATTCTAAAGCTCCAGCGAAAAGGTGCCCTCTTGCTGAGCGAGAAATACGCTATGGCCAATTAAAACGCGTAAAGGGACAAGGCACAGGCGGGAGCTGATGGATGGACCCTGGAGATGACTGGGGCTGTCTGGGGTCCATTGGTCCAGAAGTCTCTAGCTCTTGTTATCAGAAGATAGCCACGTACGTGGCTTAGCTGTCACATCACGACGACAGCCCCCTTTTCCTACCATGAGGCCATGAGATGCACAGAGTTTCTTGACGCGGCCCAACTGACCACCTGACTTCCATAAAGTTCAATGGCATTGTTGAATGATTGGGATTTTTATGCGCGGCCCCCGCGGAGTAGCGTTGCATAAAATTACAACTCTAAATAAAGTTCAAGGTTTTACCAACGACTTGGGTCAACTAGGTTTATTACCACCTTGTTGCCTGTTTGAGGTTCATATCAGTGGCAGGCCATATCTCCCATAGTAGTAAGTTTTGTGACTAGAAACATGTTTGTTTATGAAGTAGGCTATATCTTGTGAATCTGCAAGGTGGAGCAAGGTAGGAAGAGATGACGGCAAGAAGAGAAGCTGGAACATTCCTAATCAATTGAAACTCTATACGTAAACTCGAGGGTGGACTGTATACCATATAAACAGGGCAATCTTATACCACACGAAGAGGTTTAGGTAGCAAAGGTAATTTCTCTTTGGTCATATATGTACATTTCACTGTTATCACGGCTTCTGGATACATGTTCAAGTTGTAAGAAATCCTTGTTCAGAAAGCGACTTGGCAGGGAAGGGTTCTCGAGGTCACTTGAAAATATGTTGTAGTTGGTGCTTAGAGGTTAGCCATTACTTTCCCATGAAAGTTGAGATACTAGACTCCGTGACTAAATTCATGTAAAGAACTTGCCAGCTGCTTCAAGGGATGTTTCAATAAGCAAGGGAGTCCAGGGGACCCTAAGTAGTCACCATTTTTGACCATCTTATCCACAAAGGTTGAATATTGTGACAGTGAGGACTTTGACCATCATTGAGTACTTTGGGCTTGTTTGATCTTCTATTTATAGCTGAAGTTTGTCTCGTTATGCTACTTCTTTCGGGTTCCTCCTCTTATTACATCCTTTCACTTCTTAGTAGATTTACCCAGATCCGCTTCGGTCCTCTCAACCAAAACATCAAATATACGTTGGACGTGCTCCTCTCGAACCCTCTCCACGCCAGTGCATACACGAATGGCAAACTTATCGTTGACAATGGTACTAGTAAGGTAGAATTCTCCGGTTCTGTTGACCCATTCGTAGAGTTCTTCTGTTCGGGCGTTGATCTCCTTTTCATCGGGTCCCTTGACGCGGAAGGTCACCAGGCCAAAGCGCGCAGGGGTGAAGATAGTAAATAGATCAGGTCGACTGGCCAGCTTCGTCTGGAGGGATTCACCAAGCGTAACTCCGTTTCGAATGTGTGCTTGCAATCCTCGAATACCATAGCTGCGGAGAACAAACCATAGCTTGAGAGATCGGAAACGACGTCCAAGAGGGATTTGCCAGTCGCGATAGTCGGTGACCAGTTCGTTATCGGAAAACTGATTGCGCAAGTACGGAGGCTTAATGCTCAGAGATTCAATCAGCCAGGCTCGGGATCGGACCCAAACAGCAGAGCAGTCAAAGGTAGTGAGCATCCACTTGTGAGGGTTGAAGTTGAAAGAGTGGAAGTCAGCCATTGGTGTAGTCAAAGGCTGATTCTCCTCGAGTAGAAGTGCAGATCCTGCATAAGCAGCATCGACATGAACCCAGATGTCTCTCTCTGTGCCAGCTGTAGGAGACAACGCCTCAACGATGCCAGCAAAGTCATCAACGGCACAGACATCAGTCGTACCCATCGTAGCCGTCAAGTAAAAAGGCTCCAACCCGCGGGCCTGTAACTCAGCTACCGTCTTGGCAACAGCTCGACCAGTCATGGCGAAACCGTCCTCTTCGGTGACAGGAATAGCAACAAAACGGACACCAAGAACCTGAGCAGCCTTCTTGGTACTTGAGTGGGACCCAGCGCTTCCCAGAGCGACAAGTTTGCTTCGTACATCCCAGACAGCATCTTCGTCCATGCCCTTCGTGACAGCAGCAAGATACTTATCGCGAGCAGCACACATAACAGTAAGGATAGCCTCGCTGGCACTACCGTGAATGACGCCTCCTCCATGGGTACTACCGCCACTCAGATAGCATTCGGGAAGACCAAGAGCCTTCGCAAGCCAGTCCATGACAATCGTTTCCAGCTCTGTAACTGCTGGGCTGCAAATCCAGTTGAAATGGGCGCCGTTGAAGGTATTTGAGTACATTTCGGCTAGTGCAGCAGGGTAACTGCTTGAGCATGGAAAGAAGGCCATAAATCGGGGGCTTGCCCAATGGGTGATTCCAGGAAGAATTTTGGACTCGATATCAGCATGGATGTCGGTCCAGGACTCTCCTTCGAGAGGGGCTGAGGATGGGAGCAAAGGTCTAAGGTAGCCTGGCTTGACATCCGATACCACACGTTGCGACGAGACATTGTCGTAGTAATCAGTGACTGTATATGTGGTTAACATGATAACACCTAGGGTCACTGATTCAATCTTCACAAACTTACTCTCGTCAATGGCTGTGCGAGCTGCCTCACGAAACTGTGCGGAGTCCATGTTGCTTATTTCAATATATGTCCTGTATGTTGCTGTGAAATTGAATGTTTCGAGCAGTGATGCCGATATGAGGTTGCATTTATATATTGTTCAACAGAGACTTCAAAATATCGCGCTTGTTTCCGATATTGCCACGAAAGGTGGGGGCCAATGAACTCTGATCCAGTCACCGTATGGAATTTCCGTTTTGGGCAAAGTCTTTGTAAAGAGTCTCTCTGCAGGCAATGGCATTAGCATGTCGCCACAATTGCAGATGACAACCAGTCTCCGCCCTTACTTTGACGAGACAAAGACCCACCTCGGAACCCTCCTCTCTGAGGCGTTCCGAGTTCCGAGTCAACATAGTGCATTTCGGTGAACGTTGAACGACAAGTCAATTAAATATGTTTATCATCTAATGCTGTATCTCTTGCATCATGCAGCCTATTCAGGCAATATATTCCCTCGTTCATTATTACTATTCTGGGGTCTTTGGTTCATAGAAGGTTCTAACGGCCCAGCTTCGAAGGTCGGCTACAGATGTAAATCGTTTATCATGGAAGGATGAAGATAGTTATGGTTGGTAATACATCTCGGTAAGTCATGCTGGATGTTCCGGGTCTACTACTATTTCCCTATGACGTTCAACCTGGTATCTGGGTATTACAATACGCCTTTGTCACCTTGACATTATGGCTCAGTGTAATGCCATTTACGTCAGCGTTATGTATACAAAGCTCGGTAGATGAGAAGAAAGAATAAATAAAGTAGGCAATTGAAAGATATAATTAGATTTATTATTAGTTATCTAGGCTAACATCAAAGACCTTTTCTTCCAATCTTGAACCAGGTAGTATCTCACCGGCACGGCTACATATAGTTGCTCCATCTTATCCATCGGTTGGCTTAAGATAGGCTCCAAGTATGGCATGAGCGTAGGCAGTACGACTGAGTTCAAATAAGTCAATCAGAACTTAGAGAAGAGCAACAGCAGCAGCACCAATGGCGCCCGCGAAGCCAGCGACCTTGCCCGAAAGATGTCCAGCTCCATTAACGACAACAGCAGGCTCAGACTTAGCAGGCTTAGAGGCTTCGGTGCTGGCGGGCTTGGAGGTATCTATGCCAGTATGCTTTCCAGTAGCAGAAGCCATAGTGGTAGCGGCAGAGCAAGCCGTGGGCTCGACAAGAGATCCACCGGGGCCATCGTAAGGATTGTAACCCAGGCACTCAGCCCACTCGGCAGCGCAGGTAGCGTGGTTGGCGTCAGGTGCTACGTTGCACTCGTCATGAGCCTTGTTGCACTTCTCAAGGCACTGATCAGCATGTGCGGATGCAGTAGCAGTAGCACTATGGGTGCCAATAGGCTTGGCGGAGTGGGAGCAGGCTGTAGGGGCAACTAGAGATCCGCTGCCATAAGGGTTGTACCCAAGACACTCGGCGTACTCAGCAGCACAAGTCGCATGGTTGGCATCGGGCGCTGTGTTGCACTCGTCATGAGCTTTGTTGCATTTGTCGACGCACTCATCAGCCTTAGCAGTCTCGGTGGCAGTAGGCTTAGAAGAGTGAGAGCAAGCAGTAGGAGGAACATATGTTCCCTTCTTGTCATAAGGGTAGTAGCCGACGCACTCAGCGTAGTTGGCAGCGCAAGTTGCGTGGTTGGCGTCAGGTGCAGTGTTGCACTTATCGCGAGCCTCGTTACATTTCGCAAGGCATTCGTCGGTAGAGACGGGAACAGGAGGAATGGAATCAGTAGCTGTTGGGTATACAGGGGAGGAAAAAGCAGTGTCAGAGGCAGCAGCTGGCGAAGCGCTTGAGAGCTGGGCGGCACTGAGCATCAGGCCAAAGATGACGGAACGAGTGTTGGAAACCATTTTGATAGAGAAACGATTGTGTTTAGATGCTTGATTGTGGTGAGAGTGAAGGGAGGAACTACTTGGCAAGCTTACAAAAGTCGTTGGTATTTATAAAAGATCGCGCTGTGTCTTGTCGTTAGTGTCTCTCGTGTTGGCAATTTAAAATGACATCTGTATCATCACAATTCCTCCCCCGCATTCTGCTCAGTCACGACGGTCCTTTTGTCGTATAGGCTTTGCCCTGTTGCTCGTATTTATACGAAGTCTCGTCCCAAGCTAAGCAAGACACATTCCTCAAGCTCAGGAAGATCATACGACCGGCCAATCACGTAGCATGAATAATAAAGGGAGGGCTGTAGGCTTTGTGGCGTAAGCCACCAATATGCATTGTCTCAGGAACACCCAGCGAAGTGCCGCGATCTCCCTGCGAAACAGGGGAAGCAGTTGCGCCAAAACAAACGGAGAGAATGGAGTAATGTCTTATACTTTACATCACAGTTGAGCGTTAGCGCTTAAAGTCGCAAGCCGGAAAAATTAACAGGATAATTATAGGTCTTAGTATATTCAATAGTCAATAGACAGCAACACTTGAAGGAAGATTTCTGACACGGTTGTGAGCTTGAACTTCTACCAAGTCATTGCTTGGGCAACTGTGGCTTTCATTCCATTTATAGACCATTCAACGAGTCACGTTGATCGTCAAGCGCATACCAGCCGATGATAGGGTAAATATGTATCGGTCTGGAACATAGCTAGTATAGATGTGCCGAGATCCGAGCCGAGGCAATTTAGGCAGAAGGTCTCTAGTGCTATACGAAAGAGATGATACTGCTGTAAAAAATAGTAACCATGAAAAGTCACACAGCCCAGTGAAACACTTTTGTACTATAGACAAAGTAATAGTTTGTCGGTCTAAGTTCAATCTTATTTACAAGTGCAATCACGAGGGCAGAAGCTAATATTAATCCTATCTGTTATAGAATGCCTTCTTTGTTTGTTGAGGTGAGTCGCCCGACACTGTATTCATTATACACGGATGCAATACTTCTTTGCTTCCTGGGGTATATCCTTTCTTATCACTCATAACCTTTCATTCTAATTATCCATATGCACTGTGCTTGGAGTAGGCTCTTACAATGCTTGGTCTCCTGGGTGTCTATGTCAGATTCCTCTCCTGGGATACAAATAGCTGACCTCATAAGATCAAATTACAAGAAACATTTAGCTAGCCAGAATTTCTCTAGATTATATTTATACATATTAAGTCAGCCAGGTTTATGCTCGTATTCATTGACTCGACCGGCTTCGTATCGGAAGAGATTGGACATTGTAGTCCACTTGGATGAAACTTATGTGATTATGTAATCTCATGTTAAGCATATCTAGAATGTTTCAATGTCGCAATTCCTCTATACACCTCTTTCAAAGTCATTCCTAACGCGTTGTGACAGTCCCTCATCTGCCAGCACCCGAATTGTTGTCATTGCAAGCCCTCTGGCACAGTTCATGGCTGCTTTGTGAGCTCCCTCCTTCCCAGCACATGTAGTAAAGTCTGGATGGTGAATGGACACGTCTGAGGCCGTTGGAATAGCGAAGCCACCGTGGAAGCCCGGAACGTGGTACGAAACATTACCCATGTCCGTCGAAGCAGGTACATTCTCCTCTGGCTTTATCTTCAGTCCTAATTTGGCCATTTCCTCGACGTAAGTGTCTGAAAGGGTGTTGTTGACTCGAAGGTCACTGTATAATGGTGCTCTAAAGTAGTGTCGTCAGTATAGTAATGAAAGATAGAAGGAGTGAAGCTCACGTCTCATATTCGACCTTGCAATTCGCCGCAGCAGCTCCAGCCTCAAAGCAGGCATGCACTCGCTTGACGAGGTTCTCACACCCAGCCAACGTAGGACTGCGAATACACCAGTTCATTCGAGTGTACTGGGGTATGATATTGGGAACTGTGCCACCGTCTTCGAATACACCGTGAACTCTCTCATCTGGTCTGATTTGTTGTCGCAACATGGAAACATTGACGTATGCACCAACAGCAGCGTCTAATGCGTTGATTCCATTCCATGGTTCTGCGCCTGCATGCGATGCTCGGCCCTTGAAGATGACCTTCGTCTTGTATGCCGCGATACTCTTGGTGCCAGCTATCCCATCATACACCAGGCCATCAGAGCTCGGTCCTGAGGTTGTTGGGTGCGACATAAGAGCTGCTGCTATATCCTGAGGAGGATCAAAGGCACCAGCCTCCAGAAGCTTGATTTTACCACCTCCACCTTCTTCAGCAGGTGTTCCAATGATACGCAAGCGTCCAGGAAGCTTGGTCATCTGCAAAGCACGAGCCGCGCTGACAAAGGCCGCAAGAGAGGATGTAGCAATCAGGTTATGGCCACAACCATGGCCAATTCCTGGGAGTGCATCGTACTCGGCGCAAAAGACAACTTGACGGCCCCCGGAGCCAAATGTTGCTTCAAAGGCTGTGTCAAGCCCCCATGCGTGACGTTTGACTTCGAAACCATGGTGTTCAAGGAAGTCGGTCAGTTTTTCGTGTGCAAAGACTTCTTGGTATGCGGTTTCAGGATGGGAGTGAATGCTGAGGTTGACTTCTTGGAAGGCCGAATTGAGAGTATCCAGTGTTGAAGCAACGATTGCGCTGGATTGATCAATAATTCCGAGCTTCTCGATGGACTTTGTATCATAATGTACTGGCGCAAGCCGAGCTGGTGATGAACTTGAATCGATAACCATCATTTTATCCGAATTGAATGTAAGTCCCAAGGTACAGATCACCGTTGGGTGTCTTTAACATGACATGTAGTGTTATATACTACTCTCAATTCGCAGATCAATATGGGAATGATCCGAGGAGCTCAGGTTAACTCTGCTAAGTCCAAGGAAATTCAGGAGGTTGCCACTGGCTTGATACAGCTCAGAAACTAACTCAGCAAGTGACGCCAAGCCACTGAAAATAACTTCAGGCCGTTATCAGGTTAGCGAAGCATCTCAAGACCTGGGGTAACAAACCAAACCCTTTCTGGACGAGTAGCCGACGAAAGATAGCAGTCCCCACTAAAATAGCCGACCAGTCTCATAAAGTCGGGGCCTCCTTACTTTGCAACTTCAATTAGACATGCACTCACCTGTTGGCTCATCTTACGACTCCTCATCTCTCGTTAGATATTGCTTATTTGGTTGTCTTCCGTCGGCTGTCGGCTATTATGCCAACAGCGGAAATAATCATGTCGCTATCACCCTGCGATGCAACATCACCAATGCCACTAGGTCGATCAGCTCCTAGATCTCGGAGCGGTTGTTGGACATGCCGAACCAAGAAGGTCAAATGCGATGAGATACGGCCTGTTTGCCGACGATGTGTCCGCCTCAAGCTCAACTGCGATTATGAACCCCGGCTCCGCACCTTTCCTAAAGGGTCCCCTGTCGGAACGTTTGTCCATTCAAGCCTCGACTTCTCTCGCCTTGAGCCGACGCCTCGACAAGATGGTCAGGACGAGTCTAGTTGTGGGAATCCTCGGTCTGAGACTGAGGAGGTCTCCTCCGCAATAACGCCCTCGTTGAATACACCCTTACAATGGGGAACTTACGGCATGGAACTCGGGAATGAAGAGGTTGAAGCGATACAGTACTTTCGAGAGTCATTTTCGCCATTGTATATCATGAAGAAGCCACAATACTCTGCATTCGCCATCATGTTGCGTCTTGCTACGCATGAGCCTCTTGTACTGCACATGGTCCTTGCGATTGGAGGTTGCGGTATTGATTACAGGCACCAATGGCATGGGAGACGGTATTGTGTATCGGGAGCACAATCGAAAGATGGTCCCTCGAAATACCGAAGACTTGGACTCAGGCACTATTCCGAGGCATTGCGAGAACTACATACGATCTTGGGCGACAACGCAACAGCCGAGTCAGCCAATCTTGATTCACTGACGAGTGGATTGGTCCTCATGATTATGTATGAACAGCTCCACGGCGACGCCAAATGCAGGGGCTTAGCGAGCCATCTGAATGGAGCAGCACTTATCCTTAAGCATCACTACGCCGATATCCTGCACCGAGCTGGCGATGCAGATCAGTCAGTACCTTTGATGAGGGCGGCTGAATCAGGCAGTCCTCGGCACCTATCTCAATTTTGCGCTCGCTTGATAACAAGGATTTGCGGGATGGATGCAACCGCTTCATCATTTGGACTGGGCGGCCAAGTCACTAGAGTTCTCGGCGAAAGTTTACCGGAAAATGATGACAAGAGCAGTTTGCCGACAGGTCCAATCAAAAGACTGTCCAGACTAGACACTTATTCTGGATCGCTCTACCGTTCAGTCTGGGGTGATGACTACCCCGCAGGAGAGCTAGTGGATGACCTAGAGAACCAGCAGGTCTTTGAACTGTTGGGGGCTAGTGTTCAGCTACGGTATCTAATATCCGAGCTGACGAGTCTTCAACCCATTGGTGGTTTGGCTGTCGTTGATGCTGTCAGAAAGGTTGAGGCTACCATCCACGAGACGAGTGAGAGGCACATGAACATTCTTGATTTTGCATCACGGCTCACTTCAGCCACCAACAACTCCCACTCCATGGTAGCAACTATACGCTCTATAGTACCTATATACTACACCGAGATACTCGACTTTCTTCGGATCGCTCGCAACATCCGCCCTCCCCTCCATATCAAACTGAACGATAGCAAGACAATTCGCAATATCATGAATCTAGCTTACCAAGCTTACCAACACGGAGGAGACGTTGCCATGGTCAGGATTGCCCGCCCATTATTCCTGGTTTCTCTAGAAACAGATGAGGAGCTCCATATCTCGTGGATTCTTGAGAGATTTAAAGGGTTGGCTCAGTTTGGAGAACATTTTGCACGGGCAAGAGACTTTCTGGAGAGAATTTCTCTGATGCAGCCAGAGTCCAGAACAAGGATCGATTTACGTACGGCCTTCTCAAACCAGGCCACATCAATATGCTTATGCCTAATGTAAGGATTGGTAAAGGAGTAAATCTTGAACATCAATAATCTCATTGTTCGAGACTCTTGTGGCAGCCGCTCTTCCTCATCCCGCGTTTGTATCCCTTGTTTCCGAGGTAAACGGCTCTTATCGCAGCGCCAGGCGTTGGCCTATGGATGTGAAGCGGCATAATAACTTGTTATCATGAACCCAATCGATCTCATGCTACCCACATAATCTACCCCGTGTTATCTCCCGTCTATAGCACGGAGTATCTCCCACCCTGTCGACAAGGAAAGCAAGTGTCAGAACCCCTTGCCCTACTATTTCCTTCTGAAGTCTAGTGACAAACTCTATCAACGAGGTGATAATACCCCAGATCTATTTTCTACCCCGCACTTTCTCGTCGGCTATCAGGACCAATCTGGCTAGTCTATCTCAGCTCCTCAAGCCATGATGATAGCTCAAGTGGTATTCGGTTGTCTCTGTTGCAAATGGCTTCGCGCTGGGCTGTCAAAGCCAGTCTCACCTTGTACAAGTACGCTATGAAGCACTTAAGAAGAGCCATGCCCCCCTTCTCCATTCTACATCATCCAGAAAACCACTGATATTCTACTCACCTACCAATACTCAGTCTGGCTTCTATGCTAGGCAGGCAATTTGAAACAATGACACTCAGAGACGCGTCAGAGACTAATGACGTCAAACTTGAAGACAAGGAACTTGATCAGACAGACCTTGCTTCAGTCGACAATGGAGCTATGCGAAGTCATGATCTAACACCCGAAGAGGATCGAAGAATCCTGAGGAAGGCAGATCTCCAGTACGTCTTATAACTCATGCATGGACATTGGTTATACGGGGACTAATAGGTGGAACTTGAAAACAGTCTTCTTCCTATCATGGCATTTGCCTACTTCTTCCAGTTTCTCGACAAGACTGCACTTAGCTACACAGCAATTCTCGGGCTTCGTGAAGATCTTCATCTCAAAGGAGAAGATTATAGCTGGTCATCTGCAATCTATTACTTTGGGTTCCTCGTCGCGACATACCCCATTGCTGGCGTATTGCTCGTTCGATTGCCCATCGCAAAGGTCATCGCTGTTACCATGTAAGTAATTCTCTTCGCCATAGTCAACCCTGGTGCCTTCTGACCGCCATTCATAGGTTTATCTGGGGAGCTATCTTGATGTTCACAGCGCTTTGTCGCAATTCCAAAGACCTGCTAGCAACGCGATTCTTTCTCGGCGTGGCTGAAACTGCGATTGCCCCTGGTCTGTCTATGATTGTCGGTATGTGGTACAAGAGATCTGAGCAGCCCTTACGTCAAGGCGCTTGGTTCCTCGGGAACACGTCTGCCGGTATTTTTGGCGGTCTTGTTAGTTACGGCTTTGGTGAGATCAAGGGCTTTTCGCCGTGGAAGGTAAGAGAACAAACCATGGAGCCAGTTTCTTACGCTAATTTCTTCGAGGCAATCTTCATCTGTTTCGGAGCTTTGACGATAGCTATTTCCGTTATAGTTTTCATCTTTCTTCCCGACACGCCTGCAAATGCCCGTTTCTTGACCAAAGACGAGAGAGCTCAAGCCGTTGCTAGAGTTGAAACAAACATGACGGGCATCAAGAATGACAAGTGGAAGCGTGAGCAGGTTTGGGAGGCACTTAGCGATCCAAACGCGTGGCTTCTTGTCATCGGTTACCTCGCCTCAATCATCCCCAACAATGGACTTCTAACAGTTAGTCATGTTCTCAAATACTATATGCTCAACAACCCTTGCTGATCACTTTTCAGTTCAACACCATTGTTATTCAGGGCCTTGGCTTCTCTGTCCTGAAGACACTTTTAATCAACATCATCCCGTTTGTTTTCCAACTGGTCTTTGTCCTCATTTCGGTCATTGGAAGTACATATCTTCCAAACACTCGCCTGTTATTCATGGCTTTCAATGTTACTACCAGTATCGTTGGAGCTGTGATGGTACGTGAAGTTGACCCAGCTCACAAGTGGACTCGCGTTATGGGTTGTGCTCTCGGCGTTGCCTTTACTGCCAATTTCCCCATGACAATGGCCATGGTATCAAGCAATTTCGCTGGTTTTACCAAGAAGACTACAGTTAGTGCTATGGTATGTTAATTTCGGATTCCCTGACTACTATTCAGTATGCTGACTTAAGTCTAGGTTTTTATCGCGTATTGTGCTGGAAATATTGTTGGTCCTCATCTTTTCTTCCCTTCCGAGGCCCCTGGCTACAAGTCGGGATTCCTAGCTGTTATGATTTGCTTGGCAGTGTCTGCTGTTCTCTGCATTGTTCTACGGTTCTATCTCATCTGGGAGAACAAAAAGCGGGACAATGCTGGGGAGGCCATAGAGGGATCATTGGAAGGGCTCAATCTTAGCGACAAGACAGATCGAGAGATCTCCCAATTCCGTTACATCTATTAGATTGGCTTGGGACTGCAAGGGGGTTACAAGAACATGATTCTGTACAATGTTGATCTAAAGTGGCGCAGAACAAGAGCAGATCCAAATACTTAATATCAAAGCCTTAGACCAGCTTCTGTTACATTTCCTGTAGCAAGCCCTAAACTTTGAGCATACGTGACCTCAAGTCCCACCCTTAAATCACTCCTTATTGCCTCAACTCTAGCCCATTAACTAAATACTGTCTTCCTTGTCGTTGCATACCTTGGCAAACATCCTTCTTAACCCATCCATGTCACAAAACTCTATGACCTTTGTAACCTTGGAACCATCCTCATTGAAGTCCAAGACCCATGAATGCTCTATGACGTCCTCTTCGCCACTCTTGTAAAGCATGCCCGTGACAGTCGTGGCGCCTGATTTGCGAGCCTCGGTGTCGATAGTCAAGTCCGAGATGTCGCTGTAGGTGACTACGTATTTCTCAAGGTCGAGCGCCATTGCGGCTTCGTAGTCAGCGTTGTTCAAGCCATCTTCCGGAGGCGATCCGAATAACTGAAGAACACCGGCTGGTTTGAAGTAACGTTTACAAGAGTCGGTGACATCACGGTTGATGATTGCAGGATTGTTTTGTTCGCCGGCGTCTTTGTAGGCCCCCAAGAACTGTTTTGTCGTGTTCTCAATAGCCTTTCTTAGTTCTTGATGTGATGCCATACTTGCGATGACAAAGTTTGATGTCCTCTATAAGTTCTGAATTGCTAAGAGAATGTTTAATCACAAATACTTGGGGCCTGGTCTACAAATTTATCTGGATTACTTGTTTGCAATCAGCCAAGTCGTAAGCTGTCAGCTGACGCAATGTTTAGGCTATGGGATTGCAGGAAGTATATTTGTAATCTGCGTAAGCTTGGTACTCTCTTGGGTCATCATGGGGATAAATTATTCGAGAAATATGTTCATTCGAGCTGCTTATCACATCCGATTATGTCAATATCCTTCTGCCGAGGTAAAAGACTCCACCCTACCTAGTATGTCAGGATTTTTACTACAATCATCACTGCTCTGGGTTTAAAATTGGTCACTGTGCTCGATGGAGAGGCTCAATATATGGGGCTTGCTACGACTTGAAATTTCAACAGAGTATGAGTATATGCTCATGGGAGAAGGGGCAATAATAAGCACTGAAATTGAACTTACCCAGGCTTCTGTAGGGTATATCTATTTATAGAAGTTCGTTTAGGCTGGTTCACGAGTCTGCTAGCCAAAAGCGGAGGAAAGATACTCCGACACTCAATGAGCAATTTGCGGTGCCGGAAGCGGCCGCTCCTTTCAAATAACCTTGGTTTTTAAGGCAGACAATAAGACAGAATAACCTCTGAAAGCCCCATCTAAGCCCTATGAACTCGTCACCAAAATGAACGGATTCAGAAGGTGGTTGCCCTGAAATTGGGTCGCTTCAAGCTGTGTTTACCCAAGATCAGGGCGGCTGTGCGGACAAAGTTCATGACCCCACCTGGAAGGGGCTGCCTCTTTACCTTTTCCGTCGTAGATCGCTTCAATCAAGGAGGTCTTTCCAGAGAAATTGTCACTTCTCCCTGCTCAACATCCCTCATGACTCACGCCATGTGACAGAAATGTCCCTGGAATGAAGGGCCTGTGCTTGGATTATCATATACTAGGCCTTGCACACCCGCTTATCACCACGTGGGGATCGTCCTTGGTAGCTGATCTCACGCCAGAATGTCAGACTTTGGTGAGAAGGTGAAATGGAAGAGGGCGAGGGCGCCGAAAGTGAGATCTGGCTGTAGAACCTGGTAAGTCAAGCACTCAGACACGCAAAATTCCCTGCTGATTAAAGTAGCAAGTTTGTAACCTATTGCAATTCATTTAACTGAAACTTTACTGATCGTAGTTAGAATCCGCCACCTCAAATGCGATGAACGAAAACCCACGTGTTTCAGATGTGAAAAGGACAAAAGGACGTGCGACGGCTACCTTGCTCCTTCAGAATGCAAACCAAAGACGAAATCGCTTGCTCTTCATCGAAAACAGTATGACCTCATATCTCGCCGCCTCGCGACAGCCTCAAAGCTTCTTGTCCCAGCAGCTCTATCACCAGAGACGTTCGGCTCAACGATAGAGTTGGACCTTTGCCACCACTTCCGAACATATACAGTATCAGAACTCGCAAGCTCTCTCAACGCCATGAGTTTCTGGCACGCCTATGCGTTACCACTCAGCCAGACTTCAAAACCCGTCAAGGCTGCCATTGGGGCATTGGGAGGAGCACACAAGGCTTTCAAGCTTCAAACCCAGACCGACGCATTAACACAATCACTCGCCCAATCTTACGAGATCGCATCCATCCAACAGTACAACAATGCCATTCGGGTGATGCAAGAGTACATGAACTCGCCGAATAAGGACTTTCAGGTTATTTTGACATGTTGTTTAATATTTATCTGCACAGAGAATCTTTACGGGCGCTACACGAACGTATCGCGGCATTTAGAGGCTGCATTTTCTCTGTTGAACGCCTGTGATCGTTGGGACCTGGCGAAATTTATGGAAAATATCGGCCCTTCATTATGCGGTCTGGCTTCTGACCTATTCTTCTACGTCGGAGACAACCATTCCTCGAAGCTCGTCTCAGAGATCACGGAATGGGCTGATAAGCAGGATCCGATCGATCTTGATGAGCCCGGCGAACCCTTTACTTCTGCACAAGCTGCGGCTGCAGCACTGACACGAGTCGAGACGCTTTGTGACGTGGAGCTGTACGCCGATTGCCCAGAATGTTCAAGTGATGGGATTCAGTGCGGTGACCGTGGGGTTGTTTGCAAGCGACGAGATAAAGGCTTGGTATCAGAAGCCTTTTACCATCATTGGAGCGCACGATATCATGCTTTTAAGAAGACATTTGATCCATCGAAAGCCTCAGAGTCAGAGCTGTTTCGGTTCAAAGTACTTGAACTGGAAGAGATTACATGGCAGGCCACTTTCAAGCTCAACTCCATCGACGACGACTTGGAAACGGCTGATTGCGTCGAGATATTGAGGAAGGCAGAAGAGATCATCCAGATGACCCAAAGCGACAAGGGCCAGATTTTCACATTCCAAGCCAATCTTGTCCCACCAATATCCTACGTTATAATATCGTGTCAGGACACAAGCGTGCAATGGGAGGCGGTGAGACTTCTTCGGTGTCTCGGGAGACGCGAAGGCGTTTGGGATAGCAGGAAAATGGCGGATATCTACACAAACATGATCAACGCAAAGACAAACAAGCTACTAACGTGGGAGGAAATTCCGGCTGACGTACCGCAGCTGACTGAACTCCTTGGTTCGCTGAAGCTGTGAGGACACCATTACAGATGATGATAGAAACAGTTAAAATAATAATAGACTCGTTTACTGGATCACCAGATACTTTCATGACTTTGCTTAAGTTGTTTTATTTCCGCAATCTCCAAACAAGTATGTGACAGCCTTCAAGAGGCAGCGGAAGAGATCCCTGTTTGCTCATCTTATCGAAGGGAAAGGAGTACAGAGGTAAGGGTTACTATTAGGCTAGCACTATTATAGAAAGCAGGGCAACATACTCTTGCATAATTACTACATAATCAATGATGAAGTTGAACAAGTATACTCATTAGATTCTATCAGATATTACGAATGAAATCCCCCTATCACATGAGAGCATATAAAGCAGCAGCTCCAACTCCAGCCGAGACGTACCAGCTTGGGCCAAGCCTGGCTCCAGCTGCGTTGTCCTCCGCTCCCGCGGTCGCATTTCCTCCAATGATGTACTCGGGCTCGTAACTCTTGACAGCAGTGTTATTAGACTTTCCATCCCAGCAGTAGCGATCGAAGCAGGTCTTGCATGCGTCGGGGACTGTCTCGTTGGCTTTCCACCAGCTTCTGCTCATGACAGCGCATACCACGCAGGTAGGCCACTCCTTGTCAATAGTGGCGTTTCCTTGCGTAGCTCCGTTGAGAGCATTGAGAATGATGTTGTCACGCTCAGCGGTGGTATACGACATGTCGAAGGTAGAGACGTTGCTGTGGTAGGTGTAGGGTGCATTGGGGATGTAGAAGATCAATGGTGGTGGTACTTCACCATCCGAAAGAGTGAAGTTGTTCGCATCACAGCCAAAGAGCGTCGGGCGCTGGTTCAACTTCTCGTTGATGAAGGTCTCAGCTGATGGGACTGAGGGGAATTGTGTGCCGTTGCCGATACTGGAGCCAACGCGGTCGTAGGTCGCACGAAGGGCGGTACCATTAGGCCAGCTGTTGTTCGTATCGGCAGATGAATCAATAGCAAAGATGATATCAACACCACGAACGGGCTGGATCAACGGGTGAAGAGGGATGTTTTGCAGATCTTCTCCACCATCAACAAGAGTCAATTGTCGGTCCTTGGAATTGACGCTCTTGTCGGTAGGGTTCCATCCAAAGAAGGGGTTGGGTGTATACTGAGCGATATCCTCGTCGTCCTTATCCAAGCCGACCAAGATACCTTCAATTGCTTTGACAACAATGTCAGGGATGTCATTCTCCTTGCCGACCTTGGTGACGTTGTTGAGAAGGAACTGATTGAACAATGAGGAGGATGTGCCCATCACAAAACCAATCTGGTCGAAGCCACGAACACATTCACCCTTGGAGCTGATACTTCCGTTGGTGAAGTTGGAGGCGAGATACTCGACAGGTGCGAAGCCAAAGGTTGTAGGATCCCAGGTACCAAACTCGAACGGGTTGAACTCATATACAGTGGCGTTCAGAGAGATGACGCGCTCACCGGGAGCACGACCATCAGCAACGAGGATAGGGAAGGGCGTATCTGCGTCCTTGAAGTTGGAGGTATCGGCTATAGAAGAGAAAGTGTAAGACGGTCCACCCTCAGGGGCATTAACGAGCTGATACGACAAAGATCGGCCCCAATAATCGGTGAGAGTAGTATTCCAACCCTTGTCCTTGTCATCAACGGCATCCTTGATCTCGGTCCAGTACTCAGCGGTGTTGAGAATACTGATTCCAGAGCTCTTGGGGCCCTTAAAGATGGAGCGGTCAAAACGCCAGACTTTCTCACCAGACTGTAGGTCTGGAACTGTTGAGAAGTTGTTGGCAAAAATGGAACCCACGAGCCAGCCACCACCAGAAAGACCAGCCAGGTAAGTTGCCGATTGAAGAAGGCCGCTAATGGGACCAGTCTTGTTGTTGCGTGAATCAGCAGCTGAGAGGAACCCTGCACCATTCATCAAAGCCCGATAACCACCGCCAGACGCCGCGATGGCGATGTTCGGTAGACCAGTCGCATTGTTCTTATGCTTCTCAACGAAGCTCTCGGCATCGAAGCCAGAAATATTGGCACGCGATAAGAATGTCTTGAGGTCATCGATGGTGTTGTTTCTGCGGCGTCGAACCCATGCCTCTTCCTCGCTGGACAGTTCATCGGCAAGACGAACTTTCGGACGCGTTGATGGGCAATCAACTACTTTCGGAGCATATCCACCACTCGGAGAATTTGGCAGAGCCCGGATCTCAACTGAATTGACGCTGGGGATTAAAGCCGTGTCATCCGGAGCAGCAATGGCTGTGCTGAGCCAGAGCGTGAGGGCTACGAAGCCGAGCATCCTGACGGTGCCAAACACAACGGTTGTAAAACAATTAAAGATGAAACTCAAAATAACAAAAGAAGATGGTAGCTCAAAATGGAATATTACAAAGGGATCAAGGGCAAGGTCAGATAAATATATTGAGCAAGCCCATAGGCCAAGGGGCGCAATTTACGAAGGAGCCAACGGGTATGATCTCACTGGGTCTAAGCACATGCTAGAGATTTACGGTGATTAATGCTTTGAGTGGTTACAGGGAGTGACGCGGCAGGACTGGCTAGGCTAGTGCGCAGTTCCGTGGGCTGCGAGGATAAAAAGGTTAAGATCCACTGACGGCTTCTTCGGCCGAGAAAGTTTCGGTTTTTTTGGAACCCGTTATGGAGGCTGTGTCTCAGCTCGGAACATTCGGCACAAGCTAAGCCACAGAGAGATATGACGTCGCGATAACAGGTCATTTGGAGAGGGAACGAATCCAATGCCACAGGGCTCATGGGACAAAGGAGAGGTGAGGGGGATTGAACAAGCCCGAGAAATAGGAGAAGGAGACTGGTTCACATGGAGATCTCCTCCTCATGATGATCTGTTGAAGAAGAATGGGACTTTGGTCCCCCCCGCATCTGAGTGGGGAGGAGATTCCCATGCGCGGATATGAACGATACGTAAATACGCGGGAAACAACATAATAGGTTCAGACAGTGGAGGTGCTGACAGTGGATCGTGCCAAATTCAGCTAATCTTACCCTACAACCGCAAAACACGGAAATTGCCATCTGTAATAATCCCGCCAACGTTGGACATTGAGGACTGGGCTGACCTAATATGGCAACAGGTGATGGTTTCAATTGAATAAAGAGCAAAACTAACTACACGAAGACAAAATTAAAACAAGAAAATACAAAGACAAAGGGAACTTTCCGGTTGCGGCCGGTTCCGATGGTTAGCAAGCTTGATCCTCCACTTTCCTTAGGCGCGCCTCTTCAACTTCATGTCGACTCGTTATTTTTGCGTTGGGTTGTCTTCCCTTAGTCTATCCTTCAATCCAGCATCGAAATCATGAGGCCATAATGAGCCAACCCATAAACCTCTCAAAGTACAATGTTTAGAGTGTCTTGACAGAACCCTTCTTGCTGCTGAGAAAGTCTCGAAGGGCGAACTTGCTGCTCGCAGCCTCTGCGGGAACAGCTATAAGGGGCTGAGGAGAGACCTTGGCGGGAGCATCGATGAGGAGAGGGATGAACTTGTGCACAGCCTGCTTGGCATCATGAAGACAAACAGGGCCAACCTTCTGAATGACATTCTTGATGAAGTCAAAAATGTTGTCAGCCTGAGGAAGTTCAGCATCAAGAGGGATGACCTTCAGAGCTTGAAGCTTCTCTCGAGGAAAAGTCGAAAGGGCCTGGTAAGCGGCGTCTGCCATAATGGCGCGTTGAACGAGAACGCGAGTGGCCTGGACATCACCAGCTGAGGGAGCAGTTCCCTGGTACTTCGCCAGGAGCTTGGGTGTGATCGCATCTACAGCTGCTTTTCCAGCCTGGCAAACGATCTGTTCGACAGAAGAAACAGCACTGCGAAGAACGGGACCAAGGGACGAAAACACATCCTCATGGCCAGGCAGAGGGAGAGTGGGTTCGAGAAGACCCTTGACAAAGGCCTTGGTTGCCTCGTTGGTGGGGAATTGTCGAATGCCAAGGTTTCGGCGCTTCGGGGTCTTGGCTACAGTGGCTTTCTCAACATCGTCTTCTTGATGGTACTCGATGATGCATCGAGCAGCCTCGGCCAGGTAAGGTGCAAGAAGCTCAGAAAGCTGCTCGACTTGGGGAGCATTGGTGGTCCAATTCTCTTTCATCGTTGCGATGATCTCATCAAGCTCATTGGATTGCTCAATAGCGAAGACAGCCTGGAGAGATGCTTCAGCGAGGAGTGCACGCTCAGAAACACCAGAGAGCTTGGTTGCCTTTCCACTAGAGATAGTCTCTGCCCCAACGACATAGCTGACAAGAGATCCAGCAGCGACACTAACAAACTGACCCACGTCATCAATCAGTGAAGATTCAATGTCGAGGGTCTTGGTGTCAATCTGTGAAACAGTCTTGAGAGTCTCGTAGAAGGGATCGGCTTCCTCAGAAACGGAAGTATCCGGCGTGTTATCAATCTCGATATCGACGTAGTCGCTTTCGGGGACAGGTTCGGGGATTGGTTCAGCTGCTGGCACAGGTATCTCAAGCTCGGGCTCCTCGGCAGCAGGCTCGACACAGACGGGAGCAGGAGCATCAATCTGTGTGACCTCTGGCACAGGCTCAGGTTGAGCGATGGGCTCAGAGACAGGGGCCTCGTGGGTGCTGCAGTTGGTGCAAACAGTGGCAGTGATGGGAGCTTGTTGGACGGGCTCTTCTATAGATGCCAATTCGTCAATGTCAAGAAAATACAGCAATAGATCCTGACATACCTTGAACAGGAGCAGTTTGCACACTCAAAGTGAAAGGCTCAGCAACCTGAATGAAAGCAATATCTCGCGAGCGCCTTTCAGAACCCTCAGTCCAGTCGGCAGAGAAAACGACACGCTGGCCGTATCGGGGCTGGATGTCAGAAGACCCACGTTCACGGTATCCAATGTAGCACTTGGCTTGAGTAGCAGCACCAAGCTGATACTCGACATCATAGACGGACTCACTTCCAACAACTACAAGATCGGGACTGATGAGTAGTCCTGTACCGATCTTCCAGATAGAATGGCCGGTCAGTTTGTTAGCGAAGCGCGCTTCGACCTTGACAATGGCTGCAAACGGGAGGTTTTAGTAGCCTAATGCAAGAATCTTCCCACGAACACTTACAGCGAACCATTCCAGCGTCGGGAGAGATGGTAGCATCAGGAAGAGAAAGCCCACTCTTCTCAACGACGGACTCAGAGACCCTCTGGAAGCCAGTAGAGGAGAAATCAGTGATAGCGAACCCAGTAGTGTTGAATTCAGATGACTGAAACTCGCATGACTTGGCCGCGACCTCAGCCTCTGGAGAAGTGGTTGGCTGGTCGAGAGTCCATGCAGCCGGGCGGCTGGACGCGCTGAAGGTAGAGCACATAGTGCAAAGCGTGATAAGACTAGAAGATTGAGTGATGAGATTCTAGTGAGGAAGGTGATGAGTGAAGGTGAATGATGCTGGATGGTCGAGAGGGAAACCGTAGAGATCTTATACTTTCAATTTCTGTTTACAAAAGTGTTTCTTCTATCACTGGAAATTGGATATGGATGACAACAAGAAGCATTCCACTTCCCAGAAACCCTTCATTCGCAGGTTCATTTCTGCCTCCTTTTCAATAAGCTTCTCCTTTTTCAGTATTCATTTCCGACGTTTCTTGTCTTCAGCAGCGCCGAATTCAATGAACCATCCATAATGAGAAGTCGAGCAGATTTAGACCTTGTCATACTGGTATTTCCTTTCCAAGGTGGTGGAGAAGGTTTCAGCCTTCTACTCGATATTCATGCAGCCTGTGTCACATATCGATTCGACGGTACGAGGCTATGTGACATTGAGTGAAAGTGCAAGCGGCTAGCGAAAGCCTGCTGATACGGAGGCCCAAGTCATCTTAGCTAGACCTGCTAGACCTGATCGTTACTGAAAATGCTCGACTTGGCTTTGGTATGCCAAATCCATGTTGCTGCCCCTTTGGAGTGAGCTGAAATGCATCAAAAAGGGATGCGATGTCCGTTGCCACATACCTGCCTGTAATTGCCCACAGAACCTGCACTTTCATAACCGCCACTAACTATGTCACAAGGCATTGCCGTTGCATGTGCTAGTTCGCGTAAGCCTTCTTGATAGGAGATTTTGATTCCGACAGACACTTGGTGTCGATCTATTACAACAGCCAAAGAAGGGTTATCTTAACTTAATCTTGCACTGTAAGACTAATACAGTACTGCAATAGTCAAGCAATATATCTCTGTGATAATCATTGGGGTAGATAGGTAAACGTTCCAAGTGATTATACATGCACTGAGTACCATCTTCTGATCTAAAAGAGGGTTGGCTATATATCTACACATCAATTACACACTGATGAATCTTGATGCTTAAGAAGGAAGACACAGACCATTATTACTTCCTCTTAACTTTGAAGCAACTTCGTGGCACTCAAACTAACTCACAGGACTGTTATAACAGCGAGCCTAAACACGGAATGTAGTGATACTTTTGAGCTTCTGTGACGTGGCATTTCAGGTGGCCATCTTCACATGAGCATATCGGTGTTGCGATTCGTTTCCCTCCATCATCGTTGCGTGTCTCGTTGCAGCCAGCCTTGTTGAGAAGTTCTTCCAGATATCATCGGCCCACGGACGTGCTCTCAACCGTGAACTGAGCCTGAAGGATTTTGGAGGGAATATTGTCTCAGACGAGCACATATTGATGAAGAACTAGTTCAAAAGAAGTAAAGAAGACCATCAACAGCCAGCCACAGCCGCAAGTCGCAGACATCCACGATAGCTAAAGTTAAACTCAGCTAAGCCTCAGCATATAAGACGAACCCCCGCATACCAGAGAATCTCACTAGCGTACAAATAAGCGTCCTGGCTGCATGAGACTCGTGATATAGGGTTTCATCGTAGTCAGTATCAATAGTGCACTTGCCCAGGCAAGCCATAACCAATTCATCGATGGCGTGGCTTCAATGGTGTTAGGGTGGGCTGAGACATGCATGGGCCTAGACCACTAATTCGATAGCGCCCCGATTGCTTGTGGCGAGCTGAGCAGCTCAGCTAGCCTCGAGTTTCTAGAAGAGTACAGGACAGTTAGAAACGGCAGAGTCAAGGGAGCAAATCGTCCGACGCTGGGGAAAAACTTATCACAGATGATCAAGTTGCACGTTAAAGTTGCCCACAGCCCATATTTGACAGCCTTCATTGGTGGCGAATGCATCCAGCACGGACCTGAATATTGTCTGCGGGTGCTTAGTAGCGTTCACCGATCCCCAATAGCTCGGGAATTAGAGACACTATTGATCAGTGCTCTTCTGAATCAGTGGCGATCACAGGTTACCATGGAACTAGAGCTTCTTTTCAGCTCTGCCTGTGATAAATAGTATTGCAATGAAAGTTGAGATCAGACCTTCAACATAGTCATTTCAAGTATTTAAACTACCAAACCTCCCACGTCTTCTGGTATACTCATCACTACTACAGTTCTATCGATCAGCCATTTATCATAACCTCCTATATCCAGACACCTCAAGCCAACTCCTTCAACAATGTCTTTTCCCACTAATGGAGATGTTCTTTCTGTCCCTGCCTACACTGCGGAGTCCGAGCAGAACGCTGTAGAGATCTCATGGTCCCAGTCGTTCCGCACTCGCACCGCTCGTTACTATGTCGTCAACGCCCAGAACCAATCCAAAGGCAATGCCAGTGTTTTGATGTACATTCAGGACCGCTACTACAAGGACTCCAACAGCAATGAGTACATTGGAAAGCTTCCTGGTGCTAGACAGGAGGGCAGTAAGTAACCAAAGACACTCATTAAGCAGTCACTAAGACCTGGATTAGGCTCTTGGATCGTCAACATCAACGACCGTTTCCAGTATGGCCAGAAGAACAAGAATGGAGAAGGTCGCTGGGTTGCTCTCCACGATAAGGACAACAAGCCTTACCAGGTACGTCCACCATGGCGATTCTTCACAGAACTCCTACTGACCTTGAAAGCACCGCTTCCTGATTGCCACTATGCAAAGCAAGCTTACCGAGGCAGCCAAGAACTTGGCGAGATCCTTTGGTGCTGGAGAGATTGCTGAGCAAGTCTCGAAGCTTGGTGGCTCCTACATTGGCGACTACCTTCACACCTTCTAAGGTCCTGGTGCTACAGGGCGCTGTTTCTTGTGGCCATGCTGCACTAAGTTCTGCGTGGTGAATATAAGCTCTCAGCCACAGGTCTCAACTGCAAATAACACATCTGGCCATGCTGCACCTGAGTGGCTCTTGTAGCTTTTAGCTATTTCAATACGGATTTATCTTCCCTTGTACAGTGTGCAGATAGCTTCATGCCGGTGATTACTATGAATAAGTGAAACCCTGGAGACAGGATTTGGAAACTGAAATGCCTAGTGTTCTGACGCGGGAAGCCGCGTGATCGTCTGAAGGGCAAGATCCAGGGCGAAAGACATTTGCTGAGTGGTAAAACCGGTGAGAAAGTGTATCAATTCTATTGAATGCATAATCTAAATTACCATTCGACGTCGCCTCTCTAAATATACTATTGATGCTAATCCTTGATCATGGCGAGAGCATCATTGTTTCCGCTTCAACCACTGCCTCCTTTAATGCCCGACATATAGTAACCAATTGCTCTTCGGTGATTGTGAATGGTGGTGCAAGCAGAATATGATCTCCATTGACACCATCAATCGTAGCACCACCTGGATATAGCGCGACACCCTTCTCAAAAGCTATTTGCTGCACCAGCAGACCAAACTTGGCCGAGGGATCAAAAGGCTGCTTGGATGCCGGGTTTTTGGCAAACTCAACGCTCCAGAACAGACCTCGTCCTCGGATATCACCCACCGACTTGCAGTCCTTCAGCTCATGTCGAAGCAGCCTCTCCAAGACAAGGCCCATCTTGTGACATCGTTCAACCAGGTTCTCGCGTCTAAGGACTCTCTGTACCGCCAATGCTGCAGCACATGAAATGGGATGAGCTTGATACGTATGTCCGTGGTTGAAAGCTGCCGAGCCCTGTCGAAGGACATCAACGACCTTCTTGTGAATGAGAACACCAGCAATGGCGGCATAGCCACCACCAAGACCTTTGGCGATTGTAGTGATGTCAGGGACTACTCCCTCCTGCTCAAAAGCAAAGAAAGTGCCTGTTCTGCCAACACCACACATGATCTCATCGAGAATCATGATAACCCCGTACTTGTCGCAGATGGCTCTAACGCCCTTGAAGTAGCCGGGCGGGGCAGCAACACATCCGGTCGTCGCGCCGACGACTGTTTCTGCGATAAAAGCGGCGACATTCTTGGGACCAACTCGTAAGAACTCTTCCTCAAGCTCAACCAAAAGCCTCGCCGTGAACTGTTCCTCGGTCTCAGAGTCGTCCTTATAGTGATAAGCGAAAGCAGGTGAGATATGAGAGACGTGAGGATATAGGAAGCCATGGTAAGGAGCTCGGCGAGCTTTGTTAGTCGAGATAGACATGGTAGCCATCGTGTTTCCATGATAGCATTGTCGTCTAGAGACAATGTGCACTCTGTCGAGTTCGCCCTTCTCATAATGGTATTGACGAGCCAGTTTCAGAGCGGACTCAACAGCTTCACTGCCACTGCCCACAAAGAAAGCTTTCTCCAGGCCATATGGATTGCCCTCCAATATAACATTGGCAAGCTCTTCAGCTGGTGCCGTTGTGTAGGATTGTGTGTGAACATAGCTGACTTTGCGGGCTTGGTCGGTAATGGCTTGAATGACTTCCTCGTTGCCGTGGCCGATAAGAGCGACAGCTGCACCAGCACAACCATCGATTATTGTTTGGCCGCTCGATAATTTCAGCTCAGCTCCACTTGCTGACTCAACCATGTAAGGGTGTTGGACAAGAGATCTGTGCATTAAATGTCCTTCTTGATGCATGGGTTTGACGGGCATGGATGATTGGTAGGTAGAGACTTCAGTGAAGTCCTCGATCGTTGAAGGCGCCATGTCGATTGATACAGAATTTAAGTATAAGAAATTTGTAGTTCTAGAGTAAAATTGGGATGTGAACGGCCTTTTCCCTATTGCTGAAATCATTTCTTAATTAACTTATAGAATTCCTCTGGTCCATTTATAAAACCTCAAACCCGAAAACCGACGATCCGCATCGGAACTCGGGAATGTCAGATTTTCAGTCGAACACCGACGAGCCGACTGATTCCGGGCCGTCGCTGTGTCATGGAATTCTCATGACAAACAGTATCATACGTAATGACCCACTGATATGGATTGACAGGTTCAGGGCGTCGGTTCTCGTTGTCGGTTCTGCTCTTGTGAGAACCGAGGTCAGATGCTGGATCAGATATTTAACTTGAGAACTTTCTCGAACCATGACAATGTTATCCTCACCGATATAAATCATATTATTATTTCTCTTGATCGCTGTTTGCGTATCAAGAACGAAAGATGTCAGCTCGGAAAGGTAGCCCAGTCGCCGACTGGCCTTGCTCATCGACCTCATCAGACAACGAGAAAGGCAACGACACCGATATCTCGCAGCCCGAAAGTGCATTACCCACTACAACACCACCAGCGGTCGAGTTTGATAATCCCAAAGGATGGATAGCTGTGGCAGCCGCAGCATGTTCCCTTTTCGTTTACCTCGGGGTGATCTACTCATGGGGCATTATGCAGGTTCGACTTGTCGAAGTGACTGGAACAAACCTCACAACCTTGACATTTGTCGGATCACTTGCAACATCATTCATGATCTCACTCAGCATCCTCTCTGGTATTGCTGTTCGAAAGCTTGGGTATCAAAAGACTGCTCTGGCTGGCGGCGTCTTGATGGGACTGGGTGAATTCCTTGCTAGTTGGACGACAAAGCATGTTGGGGCACTCTTTGTCTTCCACGGTGTAATATTTGGCATTGGAGGGGGGCTATCCATCTTCGTAAGGCTGAACCGAATGAGGATCTGGGATCTTGCTGACATCGCCAGGCATCCTCGACTGCTCCCCTCAGGTGGTTCAAGAGACACCGCGGCCTGGCTATGGGTATCGTATTTGGAGGAGGCAGCCTTGGAGCGGCTGTCATGAGTATTGCGACGAATCTTCTCGTGAAGCAAGTCGATGTCGCCTGGACATTCCGCATCCTGGCCTTCATGCTCTGGGGAGTCTGTATTCCAGCTTCATACTTCATTCAACAGCCTGAGGGATCCATGAGTGCTGGTCTAAAGCTCCAGTGGTGAGTATCTCCATGAACCCATATGATCTAAATAGTTTGTTAACTGTGTTGTTAGGTATCGCTTCCGAGAGCCTCGGTTCCTCCTTATTATCGCCGGGACAGCTTTGTCATGCTTTCCCTTGTTTATTCCCCCATACTTCATCCCCATCTTCACTCGATCAATGGGCTACTCTCACCAGATTGCCATTATCATACTGGCGGCCTGGAACTTGGCTTCAACTGTTGGTCGGGTCCTGGGGGGCTATACTGCAGACCACTTGCTTGGCCCTTTGAACAGCCTGATCGTCTGCCTTCTATTTATAGGTCTCAGCTCACTTGTCGTGTGGCCATTGGCCTCTTCGGTTGGAATATTCTCTATCTTCCTTGTATTCAATGGCATTGGCTGCGGAGCGTTCTTTAGTCTGGTTCCTCCCATGCTTGGAGCGACAATGGGGCCAGAGAATACACTTGGCATCTTGCCTATTGTTTGGACTACTTGGTTCTGTGGATTCTTCTTTGTATGTCTCACATCTATATACTACTCATACGGCTTACTGACCAGAATCTCAGGGTACACCTATTGCTTCAGGGATCTACTCGCTTGCAGGCAGTAGTGATGACAGTCTTTCGGTATTTAGGCCTGCTGCTTATTATGCCGGTGGAATGTCTATTATTGGTCTTTTATTTATTATCTATATTCGTTTCAGTCTCAAGAGACGCATTCTGGCTTGCATATAGTTATAGAATACTGATTAATAGAAGTGTTTCAACGTTACTATTTTGGAAAGGATAGATAATATTATTTTAAGTGATGATGAGGTACCTATTTAACTCAACCGATTCCTGGAAATGAACTGTTTTTACCTGTCAATCGTTAGAAATGAGAGACAGTGGAGTTCATTGATGGAGTCTGCTGTCTTCCAATTTAAGTTATGCATATTTCTGTTCGCCACCTGTCCTAAATGGGGATCTCATTGTGACCAAAATCTATAATGACCTCTTGATGAAAGGCATTCTTCCGGGGGAACTAATTACACTGCATACTGACCATATGGTAGTTAACAATTGAGTGGAATAAATGCGGTGAAGAGTGCTAGTCCGTCTCATTTCCAATGAGTGTTTCTCCAAGTTACTCCTTTAATGCTTCGAGCTGTCTTTTGCTTAGTAATTGCTAATAAAAAGTCGCTTGAAACTTGGCCTTTATTATTAAATACTAGCTCGACTATTAAATCCCTGGCTGAAGAGTCTACTCAGTGTAGGGCCACTTATAATCTGTTGCCTTTAGTTAATAGAGTGAGTTTCTTGCTGTAATATAGACGGAGGAAGTGTTTCCATACAGGGACTTAAATAGCGACAAGATATAACCTACATACACCCCACAATTTTCCTCCAATTATCCAAGGATTACCATAAGTTATTGTCTTTAATTCGTGGACTTATGCTGGTGAATGATACTTTAAAAGGTCAGCCGGACGAATAGAAGTAAAGTTCATTACCAGGGTTCCAGATCAGTTGAGTTTGGACATCGCGGGGTAAGCGAGAACGGAACCCCAAAGGCGTCCCGCCCCCAAAGTGATCTGCAAGAGCCAGGACACATATCTTGGAGTGTTCTGCTGTTGATAGATAATGTTCAGGCAGTCTATTAAACTTTAATAATTTACAGTCGCTATCATACTTGTAACTATCTCAGACGGAGACACTATGAAGTTAGTTTAACCCTTTTCCTCAGTTCTTCATGTGATCAAAAGCTGACCGACTTAATAGGCTCGACTTTGCAAAGCTCACAGCTTTCATAGCGGCCAATTCGACAGGCATTGGTGTTCTCGTGTGCCCTGGTGGTGGTTACAGCCATGTCTCTATTGTCAAGGAAGGTTACGCTCCAGCTGCATACCTCAATAAGCTTGGTATTGATGCGTGGGTTCTCGATTATACCACGACGTCTAATGCAACTGCACCTATTTATCCAAAACCTGAGAATGAGGTCTTCGCTGCTCTCAAGCAAATTCGTCATCATAACCCCAAAATAGAGAAGCTTGGCATTTGGGGCTTCTCGGCGGGCGGCCACCTTGCATCCACAACCCTCACCAACCCTAAGGCCGGCCTGGATTTTGGCATCCTCGCGTATCCCGTGATCACCTTAGAAGGCAACTATGTGCATATCGGTTCTCGCGACAATCTCGTTGGGCCTAACGCGACGGCCGAAGAGTTGCGCGATCTATCAGCGCAGAACCTGGTCTCTGACACAACGCCCCCGACATTTTTGTTCCATACCTTCGACGATCAAGCTGTTCCTGTGGAAAACACCCTCTTGTTTGCCGAGGCCATGGCAGTCCATAAACGAAAAGCTCAAGTTTTGATTCTACCAGACGGTCCACATGGTCTCGGATTGGCTCTTGATGACCCTGTACGCAGCTGGACATCTGAATTGACACGATTTCTCACATATTCAATTTAGAATGGATTGAACAGAGACGGGCAGTATCACAAGTAGGCCTGTAGCTAGACTAAATTCAGCTATAGTAAAAAAGAAATTTCTCCCAGCACGTTTAATATGGTTCATCTCTGTTGATCATGGACATCCGTCTTGTAGGCCGTAGTGGACAGTACACGCTTCATCGTTGTCATATCTCGAGATATTGACCACTTAACTTTTTTTTTTAAAAAAAAAAAAGAAAAAGGGGGTTCATAAGCTTACAGCAACGTCATCGCTGCTCCCAAGGCTGCAGTCTAGAAATTGTTTTGCTTGTACGCTTCTATGCTCTGGAAATGACCTTCCTTATTTTGTGGCATCGATGAAGTCTGCTGTCTTTGAATTCAAGTTATGCATATGTCGCTTCGCCACCTCTACTAACTGGGGATAAGTCTACTCAGTGTAGTACCAGTTTAACCTATTACTTGCTGTTAATAGAATAAGTCTCCTGCTGTAGGATAGGCAGAGGAAGTTTTTTATGTCATAAGGTAATTCCATTAATATCTTATTGATATATATTATATAGCGTATAGCCAAGAAAAGTCTCAGCTGGCCAATATAACTAATAACATCTGATCAGTCTAGGCCTTTCATTTCATTCATGCACCCTTGAATGGCGCTGAATACACCTGTAGCGCTACGTGCAATAGCGCGTCTCGGGTGGATATTTTTGTCTACCATGGCGACGAGATTGGGCACGGAGTCGATCTAGACCGCGAGAACCCCGAAGAAAATTCAGTAAGTCCAAAGGGGGCATCAATGGCTTCAAAATTGATCAGCTCAGCGGCAGCCACGATGTACAGGGGAGACTGCAGCTGATGCTATTTAATGGCTCGCTGCGCTGTCGTGCCCCTGTTGTCTTTTGTCAACTCTTTGCGGACCAAGGATCTAGTTTGCAAAGATGAAGTTCTTCGGAATCCTCGTACCCTTGGGCATGATCGTCGCAGGTTATCCGAACCCAGTTAATGGTAGCCCAGATGCTTGCTATAATGGTATGTTGATCTACTGGTGAACTCGTGGTATTGGCTAACGAAGCGCTCTGTGACAGCTGTTGCGCAGCCCAACAATAGGCAGCGTACCTCTGGCTGCAAGTCATTTCTTCTTACTAGAGTGACTCCCAAGAAGGCGTAAGATATCCCAGCTCGAACTAGATGACGCAAACACTAATGCAACTTACATAGCACCATTTACAAGACAACTACAATCACCAAGAAGACCCCGACCGTTACAAAGTCAATCACCGTCACCAGTACCTCATCCACCATCGCTACGAGCGTCAGCTCCGTCGTGCAGACCATCACAGACAACTTCGTCGTGACACGGACCGTGGAGCAAACCAAATTCGTGACCGAATAGGCCACAATGACAATCACAACCCAGGGTGCCGACCCCAATCCGCCTTTCAAGCATAAACGCTCTGTACCTCGCATCCCAAAATACCTCGACAACATATGCACCAACTCGGCTCAGTACTCATCGGCTTGCTCCCGTATCGGTGTCACTGCTAAGACCGTCAACGGCCCTCGCGTAACTGTCGTCTCTAAGATCGTTCACGTCAAGATCCCCCGTGCCAGCACCTTCAGGACGACTGTCAGTACCACCTGGGCCACTCAGACGGTAAAGACCACCGTCGTCTTCAAGACTTACAGTACCGAAGAAGTCACCAATACTGTCAATGTTGTCACTGACAATGTCACTGTCGCTACCAAGACCATCACTGAGACCACTACAAAGACCGAAACCGCCGAACCGCTCGAGACAGTCAGATTAGTTGCAATTGGTAGCAAGGATCCCGCACAAGCAGCTTCAGGCGGGCTGGGCTTCTCATTCCTTGAGTCCAACCAAGGCAGCACGACCAGCTTCTACGTGGATTTCAAGTCTGATGCCACGCCCAACCAGCTTTTTACAATACACAAGGGAACTGGCGAAGTGAAAGCACTCAACGGACCTGGTAGTGCAGCTGGCCAGTCTGCTTCGTACAATTTCTCCCCCGGAAGTGGAAACCACTATGGCTCTGTCATGATACAGGGCAAGGGTGCGCCGCCCTTGGTTTGCAAGGTCGCAGATGGATCGGCATATCGATATCTGCAGTGCAAGTTCGGCAGCAACCAGATTGCCGACTTTTGGACATGTAAACAGCGTTTGTTATTAGTCTCCCCAGGTTATGACTTATCACGCTGTTACATGGATGTCTAGAGTTATACGGGTTATAAGATTCCTCTTCTGCAGGTGTCAACTAACTAAGATATTATGTCTTAGTTTCCACTACCTCTCCACTGTTGGTGAGATGAGCTCTATATCTTTGTTGTATCTGCCGCTCTAGATATAGATTCCAATATGCAAGCTCGCTAGTAAGATAGCATGATGCACTGCAGACATAATGCTGAAATCAATTTCGCCATTTGCCTTCCGATTCACACAGAGTTAGACATCTTCTATAAGGCCAAATTCAATACCTGTTAGGAAAGCCGGGGTTTTACCAACAGTCCTCAAGATCAACAGATCACTGGCCTGCTTTCTCAATACCTATAGCAAGACAGAGGTACTTGGATGAAACAAAGGTCTTTTCAAGGGGAACCCAGTATATAAACTTGAACATATCTAAGTACACTCAAAAGCAGTCTTTAAAAGTGCACGCCATCGCGTAGCTATAGCTGTGCCATCAACCTCATCCAATGCCTGGCATAATCGACCCTCCCCGCCATTTGGGAACACATAAATACCCCCTAGTGAGTCAATATCCTCTGACCACTGAAACGGGGTCCAGGGCATCTTTCCATAACAAAAGTCGAGCCACGCAGCTTGGATCTGGCCCACGGTAGACACCCAGTTCTCAAGGTGTTCGGCTGGGACCTGGTCTTCTGCTGGGTTGAAGAGGAAAATGTCGTTGATACCATGATTAGCTCTCTTATAGCCCAGTGACCAATTCTTGTATGGGTTTGTAGCTTGAATCTCGTAGAGAAGTACATGTGCCGCATTAGTGGCATCGCCGTGCGCATTCTGTTGCTTCTTGATGACGGCTGCCGAATACAATGGTGGAGTACGGAATGCAACATCCGCCATCAGGCCTGCCAGGTCCTCAAAAGAGTCTAAGCAAGACTTCTCTGGGCTCAGATTATACGCTTGGGCAACTGCAGGGACGCAGAAAGGGCTGTCGCCAGAGTTCAATTGAGGAGCCATAGCGCTGCCTGCAAGTACCTCCTGCACAATCGGGAGTATCTGTGCCTCTGGTAGAGGCGGAGGCGGCAGAGGCTTTGACAGATCAGACAATAGTAGCAATGTAAGATCTCGCTCATACTCCGTTGCGCCGATCATCAAGTTCGGTAGGGTTTCACCGGCCTTGCCCAACTTCTCTAGGCTCGGCTTGAGACCCGCTTCAGGAATCCATTCACCATCAACTAGTGGGCTGTAGAGTGATGGTGGCGATGTTGGCAAAAGTTGATCCAGCGGGAGGTCCACCAATGAGTCAAGCAGACGCGAACCATCCGTTTTCAGGCTTGGTATCTGAGACAGCACATAGTTGAAGCGCTCCTGATGCCATTGCATAGGCCGCGACGCGATGCCGACAGATGTTCCACTGGATAGAATGGCGCTCTGGAACTTGCGGTTGGGGAAGTTGACCTGGTAATGACACGAGGCACCGCCCGCGCTAGTTCCATGAATGGTGATTCGGTTGGATGCACCTCCGAACCCAGTGATAAATCGAGAGACCCATTCCAGCGCCTGTCTTTGATCATGAAGTCCGTAGTTGCCAACTGCCTCACCATGAGCACGACTCCGCTCAGCCAGCTTTTCTGAAGTGAGAAACCCGAGGAGTCCCACTCGATAGTTGATTGTGACTACAACGACTGGCTGTTCCCGAGCGAGACTTGCCCTTACTAGGTTCGTAGCGTCGTAGACTTCGCGTCCAGATAGCTGGATTGATTGACTGCCGCCCATGAAAGCGCCGCCATGGATGAAGACCAATACTGGAACGTTCTGGCCTGATTCAAGAGCCTTGCGCGGTGCAGTGATGGATAGGTTCAGGCAGTTGAACTCATCATGGATGGGCTTTTCTAGGGTAGGATACCCACTAGGAGGTGGCGCCGTCCAGTACAGAGGGAAGGGCAGGACCAATTGAGGACATTCGGGTCTGATAGGAATTAGTATGTCAGTTGCTTTTTGATCATGTATGGAGAGACTCGGTTATGCACACTTACCCTGGTTGGCGAGCATTAAATGGCTGTGAAGGCAATGGCCCGGCTCTCAAGATGCTTTGGCGGAAGCGACCAGGAACCGACGCGAATGGGATCCCGCGAAACTGAACAACATCATCGCCTCTGGCAAAGCCGATGATGCTACCCAGCTCAGGGTGGTTGAGGGTATAGTCCGACACTGTCATGTTTACTTTCAAAACAGTTGATTGCAGGCAACGATAAATGCAGACTTTCGTTTTTGAGCTGAGATATTGTTTTTGAGCTTGCGACAGCCTTGCCAAGAGGGAATTAGCCGGCTGAGGTTGGCGGTTAGTTTCGTCTTATACAGGTTACAACTTAGTGGCGCTGTACTTGGCCATTTTGGGAATATCCCCGTCTCCCTCGGCAGCGCACGGCGGCAGCCCTTCTTCCCCCTCACATGACCTGGTCTTGCGGCTTGTGGCCCAAAGAGTGATAGAGCATCCAATATAACACTTAGCGCATGTCTGGTGGGGACCTGTAGGAAGGTTTGGAAGGACCTTGCAAAATGAGACGCCCAAAGTCTCTACTGCATCGTTTGATCCTGTCAAGTCTCCCCATTCCCCAGATCTCCAGCCCCAGAAAAGTCACCCCAGTGTCTCCATTTTCCCCAAGGTACCTCCATGTCTCCGCGCCAGCCCTAGGGTATCGGAGCCGGGGTATGTATATAACTTCTCGTCGAGCCCAACAATTGGAGCCCATAGTCCTTGATCAAGCGCTCTCAGACTTTGAGACTCTCATCTTATAAGATCAACTGATCAAGACTCGGTCACATTGCACTTCTCCCCCCTGTTTCCTTCAATTGGCATTTACCTTCACCTTCGCCATGACTGCCGACGTTCATCATGCCTCGCCGCGAACCAACTCGCTGGCAAACTTCTTCCGAAGTCCAAAGTTGGTCTACTCCAGTAAGTGCCTCTCGCCGTCGTCGAAGGTACACCGGACTAACATTAACCTTCAGCCTTCCTCATGGCCATGGCCTTCTTCACCTTTGGGTACGACGGTGCTATCAGCGGCGGTATCCTCGCCATGGTTCCCTTCGTCAACCAAATCTCTCACACCCATCTCCCCAATGGCACCCCATACTTGACCTCGACCGACATCTCCATCATGACAGCTCTCCCAGTCACTGGCTGTGTCCTCGGACTGCCTTTGGCAGCCAAGTTCGCTGACAAATACGGTCGTAAGAAAATGATACTTGTTGGTTGCATATTTAGTGCTGTTGGAAGTGCTATTCAGACTGCTGCTTTTGGCCTGGCGGAGATTGTTGTCGGTCGTTGGATTGCGAGTAAGTCTTGACTGACCAGCTCCAGCTTGTCCATACTCACTGACGCCCTCTATTAGATGTTGCCATCTGGCTCTTCATTGTCCTTGGCTCAACCTACATGGCCGAGATTGCACCCGAAAACGTCCGTGGCGCCATCGTCGGAACATCCATCGTCCTTATCAACACAGCAGCCATCGTCGCAAGCGGCGTCAACTGGTCCATGAGCACTGAGATGTCCGCCATGTCGTTCCGCCTTCCCCTTGGACTTGGCATCCTCTTCCCCCTTATCCTCTTCGTTGGACTCTTCTTCATTGATGATTCACCAACCTGGTACCTTACCAAGTCTCGCGACAGCGATGCTCTCAAGTCTCTCAGAAGTGTCCGCAGCGGCTACCCAGAGGCCGAGATCTTGGCTGAATTCGCGGCTCTGAAGGCCCAAGCATCCATTCGTGAGGACGACTCGAAGGTCCCATGGATCGACATCTTCCGCGGAACAAATCTTCGTCGCTCTCTCTTGGCCATGTCCATCGGTAACATGCAACAACTCTCAGGCATCGCTTTCGCCACAAACTACGCAACCATCTTCCTCGCCACGGTCAGCGGCAACGTCTCTCCTTTCCTTCTAACCATGGTCGGCGCCATCCTTGCTTTGGCCGGTGCAGTTACAGGAATCTACCTTGTCGACCGAGTCGGTCGCCGAACCCTCGCCCTCAGCACCTTCACTATGGTCTTCTGTATCGATCTCGTCGTCGGGGTCCTTGGGTTCATGGACTATACAGGAAACCCCAGCATTGCCAAGGCCATTGCGAGCATGTGCATGCTCTTCTCGTTTTTCTTCGCAGCTGGATTTGGTCCTCTGACTTATGTCGTCTCTTCTGAAATACCAACTGCTCGTCTGCGCAACAAGACCAGCTCTTTCTCTTTCTTGACGTTGGCTGCTTTCTCCACTGTCGTCATTTACGTGTTGCCATACATCTCTCAGCCCGATGCGTAAGTACACCTCCATGAACCACCTTCCCGTAAAGCGGATCAATGTTTTGTATCCCGATGCTAACAAGCCTATCATCGCAGAGGTAACCTTGGCCCGAAGACCTACCTCGTCTTCGCCGGCTGGATGGCTGGATGTATTACTATTACATACCTGTACCTTCCCGAGACCAAGGGAAGAACCCCAGCTGAATTGGATGCCATGTTTGAAGCTCGCGTTCCCGCTCGCAAGTTCAAGGGTAAGAAATGACACACATTTGGCAGCGCATCGCTAACATGTTCCCTGCATCAGACTATCAGTGCAATCTGTCTATGGAGAGTTATATGAATGAGGAGAAGATCGAGACAGAGATTGCCCATCACGAGGCTAAAGTTTGAGGTGGTGGAGTAGGGCTTTGGCCAGATTGGCGGGAGCGATGGGGGAGGGGTAGGTTGGGTGTAGGTGCTCGGAACCTCGATATCCATAAGATTCAGTGCGATACAAACACGTTCAAGGTGAAAACCTTGCAACACTTCTAGGTAACTTAGTTATATAATTTCACAATCTCTTTTCTATTCAGTTTCATCAAGTACACCATTATTGCACACCCATGTCAGACCTACCAGTGCAGGGTAGTTTTGAGAATATTGTATGCCACTGTTGCATGTCTTTGTTACTGCTTGGGCTGTTGTATGCATAGTTCGTACTTTGAGATGTGCTATTTGGGTTAATACGCCTGGAATCTGTTGCTTACTTCATGCGCTTTGTTACCCACAGAAACAAGAAAACACTCATGTTTAATCTCAATCGCCTTTGCTGAAATCAACTTACGTTACGGACAAACTCTGTCAGCTATATCTTAGAGCTTTTACAGACGCTTAGTTTCTCTGGAAAGCGACTGAAGCTAGTAAAGAAATAGCGAACAACTTTTCACATCTATTCTGAAACGGTCCTATGTATCGATGCTATATACATATCCGATGATGCCCATGTTTCACTTTATCTACATCTTATAACAAGAGGCCTTCAGCTCCCACGCCGTACACTCAAGCAACTTACCCGACCACGGGCGCTCACCCTTCGTTACCACAAAGGGCTGAATGTTGCAACATGTCATGCTTTCCGGGTAGACTCGCGTTGTGATTGCCGTCCTTCGATTGGCAAAAAGCTCCAGACAACTCACATCAAAGAATACATTGAGCCGCAGGGGCTCCTGTGCGCAAACTGGCTCAGCTACTGCACCAGTTCCGGGACACAAGGTCGAAAAGAGGGTATGCGGTGCCTCTTCATCCGCCACGCAGATATCTGCCATGTTGGTAGATTTGGCTCGCGTGATTCTTAGCGTCTCCGAGTCAGGGCTGAATGAGATGACGGTGCGCAACTCTGAATCTTCACCAAGAAATGTTAGCAACTCTGAGAAGCCGTTGATAAGCTAGAACTGGAAGCCTTACCCTTTGTGTGGCTTATTATTAAGCCGATACTCTGTATATCAGTGCCAATATCGAACGACACGTCGGCCTCCCAGCATGAGCACCCCAGAGGGAAGTCCAAGCTCCCAAGAGCCTCTGGTAAGCTGTGGTAGGCGCTAGACCCCAGGAACCGCTGTGTTTGCCGAAGCGTGTTGATCCTGGGGTCTGGCAATGCACACAGCGTTGTGACTGTATAAGTCTGAAGATTTTTGGTAGAGGACAGCCTTGTCTGCTGCGGCTTGTCTTCTAGCACTAAGTCAAATGACTTGATGGATGTCAGATCTGACTTCAATGCATGGACAACATGACGTATCCTGTTCAGCTGGACGACCCTTGGGATCGATAACAATCCGGCCCAACCTTGTGTCCTCCTCAGCTCTGCAGATAAATCTTCCTCAATAATCCAGCCAAACGCGATTTGCCGGTTGGATCTTGGATCGTAGAAGGAGTTGACAGCATAAATAGCTCCGTGGTCCAGAGCACCACCGGAGCGGAATTGCATTTGCATCCCTGTTGATGTCTTCACCAAGGTGCCTGAAACCCACATCTGGCTATGATCCCTTCTGAACTCTGAGTGGCAATGCCGGCCAGAAGTCTTGACAGGGAATTGCTTACGCCCCTCAACGCCAATGATCAGTACGTCACGACTTGTTGCTGCATCATCAGGGTCAGGGAGCGACAGAAAGTTGACGACTTCCCAGTTTGCACCATAGTTGGGCTCCCAGTGTGAAATACGTGCATCTCGAAATGTTGGTGCTATAGTAAGTACGGAGAGAAAGTTCCAGGTCGTCAAGTCGCTTTGATCGATAGAATAGAGAAAGACTGCGGGACCAGTATCTCGAATACCACCAGAGACAATGCCAAACAGCACTTCATCTGACTCTTCTCCCAAGACCCGGCTAAGTGAAGGCCACTTGGCAACGTATGGATCACGCCAGCCTGTGACTTGCAGATGACGGGGAGGGCCCTCCAGAACGGTTGATTCATGCCCCCTTTGCCATGTACGACCGGCGTCGTCTGATGTGGCAACGCAAATCGCTTCTGAACCCCAGTTGTAGGGAATTGTATAATGGATGGGAAGCATCCGTGCTGAGGTGTAGAATGCAGTGCTCCGGCCAGCTACAGAGGGAACTGGACTCCAACATCCCGTGAAGACTCCTGCTTCCCCATCATGTTTTCTTGACGGTTCAATAGACGGAAAGACACCGGTTTTCCAGAAAACCAGGTCCTTTGAGAGTGCGCTTCCCCAGGAAATATCGCCCCATTCTGGTTTCTTGGGGTTCCACTGGAAGCCAACGTGATAAACATCGTGGACGGAATCATAGCCTGGCGCACAAGGGTCGTTCAACCAGCCAGTCGGCGGCATGAGATGATAGCACGGTCTCCAGAGATGATGGGCATTTTCGTATTGGCTTTCTGCGGACGAGGGTGCAGGGCAATCTGATGTTTTCGTTGGGGCAAAGGCGCCTTGGCGATGTAGGACATCGTCTTGGGATATCGATGAAGCTGTGTTATACGAAGTTCTATGGGCGACAGTCTCATAGACGTAGCCTTTAGACGGTAGCTGGACAGCGATGGCTGAATCGAGGGTTGTCATGATGATTGTTGTTCAGTGACTGCCTTGACAATTCACCAAGGGTAATCAGCAAGAGCAGCCTTGGGAGGAGCGTGAAGATGCGGAACCCTCATCAGCGCACTAAATCACATGGCGTAGACTGACGACGGCATTCGGCGTTTTCATCCTTGCAAACTTCGCGTGCTGAACATCACGGCCTTGCAAATCGGCAGTTGTAACTCATCTCCTGACTGTAGCTCGTCTAGAATGGGAATATTCCCAATTGGGCTTAAAGCGCCATGTCACATCCAGACCTTGGTAGTCAGCACATTTCAAGACCAGGGTGGATTTGAAGGCTGGAAAAGGTGACACTAGCCCGTGCTCTGTTTCGCGGGGAAGCCTTAGAATGGTTTGAGTTTATGGCCCAGGCCTTTGTCGGACCGAGAGGCTGGACATGGTTTCCCCGCAGTCTCCTCGTGCTCATAAGTCGAACCAGGGCAACTCTGTGTCGGTTTTATTCCTCATCCGTCACAAAGGTCTCTTGCTGGAGATGAACCGTGCTGCGGAATGGAGCATTTCTTGCGGCGGAAAAAGGAGATCCCAGCCCGACATGAAGCAAGTAGTCTTCGATTCAGCATTGGGTTGCGCTGTTCAAATTAGATCATGTGATCACTGTTTTTATCGTAAGATCAAGGTAATGCGACCACTCCCTGTCTAGCTTAATCGGCCTCTCGACTCTGACTTCCCATTTCTGCAGTGTGATCGGCGCACTCCGTGTTCGCCTTGTCAGGATAACGATGTACAATGTCAATACGAGCGGCCTCGAAAGAGACGTCGGTACATTCGGCCGGCGTTAGATAGTCCGGATGTGAACTCAAGAGTATCTTCAGAAAGGCTTAGTACCTTGAATGGAGAAAGGGTAGACTTGTTCCCTGTTAATACCGGAGACGCCCTGGAAGTGAGCACCCCTACGCAGGCACAACAACTGAACCTGATACATGTAAACAATTCTATACATACACAAGCTGCTCCAGTCTCTCCCATGCAACTGGGGACGGAATACTGGGATCTTGGGATGGGAGAATGCTTCTTCTACCCAACGAGTTTCCTCGGAGTGGTAGACCTTCCTCCCTACGTACCCTCACTGCCACTGAGCATGCCTGAAAGTCCAGGCATATCCTTTTCACCTCCACTCCAGAATCTTTCCAGTCAAAACGGAAGGCTCGACCATCTCCTGGACGACAGCACGATCCCACAGCTCATCGACGTGTTCCTAGAGCGCTTACAGCAGTCCATGCCCTTCTTTACCCGCTCGTTTCTGCGTCAAAACATTGCGAGTCAACGACATCTTCATGATCGGTCCTTTGGCTCCTTGGTTCAAGCCATCTGCTCTCTAGTCCTCCTTCAGCCAGTGCAGAGCCAGGAAAAACGCCCATGGCCGAATCGTGAGGCAAGAGCCGACGCTCATTTGTCTCTGGCCGTAAGTTTGCACTCACAATCTGACCTCGGCCAGAGCCCGACTCTAGAAACAATTATGACAAGTGTCTTCTTGTTTGCCTGCCAGTTCTGTAAGGGCAATTTTGATGCAGCCAGATTTCGGCTCAGGGAGGCCGCAGCTCTAGCCGAAGTGATGAATCTTGACAAGCCTGAATCGTATGGTCATATTGGCGACACTGAGAAACAACGAAGACTCCGAACATTGGTCAGCCTCACAATCATTGAGAGAATCTACTCGGTTCAAAGAGACTACATTCCGGGCACGAAACTACTCAGCCGGAACAAGCTGCAAGAACTACAAGACGCCATCGCATCTTCGAATGATAGGGGTGAAAGCGAGAACATCATTGCCATGGAAGGTATCAGCAGCATGCTGGAGCAGGTCGACTTTATCGATTCCGACGTGATTAAATGCTGGAAAGGCCTCTGTTGGGAAGAGGAGGCCCCGGCACATGTCACTAGAAGCACAATACTCACTCTACTACGACGGTACAGGATACCGCCACAACTATCCGGGCTTTCTGACGTTGATACCCATGCCCAGCATGCGGATATCCTTGTTACCAGGCACTGGATCAGGATCAAGCTGTGGACTCTGGCCAGTAGCCACGGCTACGTTGAAGCACTGTCTGATGATGAGGAGTTCCGCAACGAATACGCCCTGGCTATTGCCAGTGAGGCTCTCGACACCTGTTCGCAGTTCGAGATGACCAGTCTCGAAGTACATGGCGTCGGACTTGTATGTATACCTAAGATCACCCCTAACAAAGAACTATAACTAAGCTACTAATAACAGATTGAGAAACTATCTGACATAGCAACTTGTGCAGCATTGCAAGTCAATAGGCCTTATGCCGCTTACTCGCCTAACCAAGACTATTCCATTAATAGAGACTCAAGCAGTCCTGGCACGGGCGTGACACCGCCACAAGAAGACTATCTGAGCGCGAGTTCTAGTTCTGGACTAGTAATGGGTAGCGCAGAGGAGGTGCTAAATGGTTATCTCTCGGTATTTGCATCTTTCCGTAGGGGAAAACACCCTTTCCTAAAACCATATATATACCTCCTAGTAAATGGCTAAGGGTTATAGTAGAGAAAAGCAGACCTTAAATAGTAATTAAGTATAAAGACTTCTCAGAACCTATAGTGTCTCGCTGCAGTGTTAAACGCTTGGAAGTAAAAAAGTCTTCTTATAGAGTGATTAAAAAGAGAGATAAAATATTAGTGAGCTACTCAATACGCCGCCTTGGATGGAAGAGAATAGGAAGATGAGCTTTTATAGATTATTTGATGTCCTGAATGGCGTTCTATAGGCGCGAGTAACGCTAGCCTCCTTGTGCGTTATAAAAAGACTACTACCACTTATATTAAATTCCATTGCATATATCACAATCAATGTCTCAGCATCTGTCCAGACAAAGGCAGTACGTAGCTACTCTTGCAAGGTTTTGCCTCTATCCATTTAATTATTGAGGAGCTCCGGTGAGTACCCTGCCCCCCGCCACCCCTGTCAATGAGGAGGTACATGAGGGGAACTACACGATTTTAAGCCTGTTGCACAACATAAGCACGTCTGAAGAGGGAAAAAGTCGAATCGCCACGCTTGTCAGAGACTTCAATTAGGGCAGCCAAGGTCAAGAAGCTCAAGGAGGCCCTTGGCGCTGGTCAGTCATAATAAAAAGAGGCGCTATTGGCTGCAACGATGGTCGCCGATGCTAGTAAATGCGGGCAGATTAATATTCTGGTCTAGACCACTGAGGAGCATCGCCATCTTTCTAAGCGACCAATAGGGATATAACAAGTTTCTAAAGGTTCAGCCCAGGCACTCTGGTTTTGACTATTTTAGCAACCCCTCATTTTCAGCCGGCCACAATCGATAGAACAGCTGCACAAGCGGCTATAAGGGGAGAAGACTGTTACAGAATATAATTTATCCATTCTTGACATAAAGTTCCACTTCAGAAGCCCTTGGCTACAGGGCTTTCGAGGACCTCTTCTCTATCTGCCTCTGAAGATCTGCAAGTACAGACTACTGTGTAGATTAATATGCTTTAAGTCTGTGGTGAACATTGCTAGCTTAAGTGGGTATAGGCAGGTCTCGCAGTTATTGTCTTCAAATTGCTACCCTAAGGTTTAGAACTAATTGGATACTAAAAATATTTTAGAAATTATCTAGAATAAGTAAGCCTATCTTTAGGATATTAAAATTAATTGTATTGCCTAAAGCAATTTAATAAATAGAAATATATTAAATTTATTTAACCTTGAGATACTGTTTTATAATTCATTAGCTAATATATATTAATATTATAAGTTTTAACTATAAATTAAATTAATTAATGAATTAATACTACTGGTCTGATAAGAACAATGTCATAAGAAGGGAAACTATAGACAAATTAACTGAACTATGCTTTAGTAATATTAAGGAGAAGGCAGTTGCAGGAGTTAAGTATTTTAAGGGAAAGGTTCTCAGAGAGGGGAAGATTGATCCGATTTATCCATTAGTTAAAGCCACAAAATTACTTACGTACTAATAGCGCCATAATTACCTCTAGGAAAGGGCGGTCTGCTTAATAACTCTCTATCTAATGACTATTTCAGTTAGGAGCATATTTAAGTAGTCTAGCCAGGGGTGGCGCTTTACCTTATCCCTTTGAGCGGTACAGCCCTTCAGCGGGGTCACGACAGGGGTATAGGGCCAATTAAAATGAATTAAACTAACGGTACTTCTCTCTAAGACTAATTTGTATGATGGTAAAAGTCCCAGCAGTTTTGATTAGTACAAAAAGGTACCTTACAGACTTGGCAAATATCTCACGAACTTCCGGTACCCAGCACGTACTCACCTTGTGACTAAGCAAAGTGGGGCGAGTGACCTCCTGAAGGGCTGTACCGCTCAAAGGGATAATGTCAAGCATAGCTACTAAATACGCCAAGGCTGACAAGCCTTTCGGAAATTAGGACTAGTGCAATAGTGTAACTTCGGCTAACAAGTAACACATACCATTATAAAAGGACTATTGCCTATCTATGCTGTCTTATGTTCTTTACCTTCTTGCGTGGCCTCGAAGATGCAGTCCGCCGACATACATCTCAGACAGCGCCCGTCATGGCTGGCCACGCTCGACTGGGCTAGCACTGTCAGTGGCTTCCTTCTACTTGTTACTGGGATTCTTATGATAATGAATGGACATTGCTCCCAGCCTCATGGGCTCAGCGCCGATGCGCCTATGTGTGTCGGCTCCCAGTTGTCTGTGCAGAGCTGGCTCGCCATCACCGGCATCCAATTCTCGCTTCTCAGTACTATTCTACTGCCCCGTGTCTCGACAATGATACTTTCCAAATGCTTTACAAAAGCAGCTGAAACTACAGGGATACGATTCGACCGCCTGCTTAACTCTCTGTCTACAGCCCCGCTCTCCGCCCAACTTCGGGGATCTAAGAAGCTCCTCCTACTTCGGTGCCTCGTCTTCATGCTCGCAGCGCTGGTGAGCGTCCTCTACAAGTTTTCCTTCGTGACCGTTGATGCACAAGGCATGGTCGCAATTCCAAACGGTCAGGCGTACTACAACTATGGCTCTGACGGTTACCCCGATGCCGACACCAGCTACACAGAAATCGGCGAGTCTGACATTCCCCGAGAGCACAACTATGCTCTAGGGGATGGGGTCCCGACTAACATATTATCCGCAAACCTCATTGACTTCCTTACCGTCAACAATGGCTCCGTGATCGCCGTAAGCGATCCTGGCAAGACTTTCGAGCACTCAACCGATCTCATAATAGGGCCAAAAGTGAACGCCACGCGGCTTACCAATATTCATAATGGGACTGTGGAATCATGCAACCCCTTGTTGTACCTTCGGAGCTCGTTCTACGTCCTTCGGCAACTAGTAGACGGTTTCGACGCTATCAAGTGGCCCCTTGTCAAGTCAACACCATACAATAACGGGGTAAGATTCGACTTCAAACCCTGGAACTCAACCACGTTTAATGGAGGCTTCATGGACATCACTTCTCTAGCCAACGGATCGCTGCAGGCTTGGGCTGTAGGGCATCCACTTCCTTCTCAGAGCCAGTACCTCTACGATTATAGAATTACCGTTAACATGCGGTATTGTTACGGTTATGTTAACTGGACGAACTCAGCTGTGTTTGGCCATTTCGAGATCGAGGACCCAACTGATATCAAATGCCAGGCTCTTCCTTTCGACGTCGCCGCCTGGAACCAGACTTTGTGGTCCTTCAACGCGAAGGCTTTCATGCAGGCAGCATGCGCCGGAAAGACTGATATCGACGATTCTTTCTGGATGTTTGCGTTGCCCATAATCCCGATTATGACTGATCACTCATCTGTCCACGGGAAGTTTGCCCCACCAGAGGAGAGGAACACACGGTGTAACAACGTTGCTCAGGACTCATTTGCGGTCGCCGAGGGTATAATAAGAGCCTCGCGGACGGGGATGACGGCTCTGGGAATAGCTCTTCAGGGGTTGGCAATCATGGCGGCAATCATGGCGATGTGCTTGATTATTTGGCCAAGGCTGCCACTGCTTACAGAGTGGCCTGCGCAGTGGCTTGCTTTGGGTAAGGGACTGGATAAAACTATAATAAAGGAAGTGGCCAAAGACGGCGCCACAGGAAGCAGTGTTAAGTCCAAGGTAGTCGTGTTTCTGTCCTCATCGACGGAGGAGAGAGGTGAGTTACGTTTAACATGTGCCAGGCCATAGGAAAGAGATCCTCCCCTTAGTAATTGGATTTTATTCTACTTTATAAATCTATTATTATATTTTTAGGTTTCTAAAACTCTTAGCTAACCTTAAGTTGTGATTTATTATTATCTAATTATCTATTAGTCTAATGGTCTTTAAAGACTTTAAAATATTTTATTGGATTAGGAATGGTTCTATAGTATTATACTACCCCAACCAACTGCTCCAAATCTATCAAGATATCACCCATAAGCTTTACACGATGGGCTTCGCTCATACTAGCATCTACCTCTAAGCATCTTTTTACTACACTTTAATACAAGGAGCCTATGTAATAATCCACCATGCTTGCCATAATAATAAGGAATAGCTTATACTTATGAGGCTTTGCAGTCTTTAGTAGTGCTTGATATCAATCAACTGCAAACAGCCGCCATAAACCTAGCTCTAGCAGAACGACCCCTAACGCGAAGATGTCATGCCCCGTGGTGAAGTGAGCGTTCTCCTGGTAGCTGTGACGATCTGGATGCCTATAGAGCTTGGTCTTCCATGAGAGATCAGCTTCACGCCAAGTTGAGTCCCCGTGAACCCCACGTGCATCTTGAAAACTAGTCAAATATGCGTTGTTAATGTAAGTCGGATCACTTGTAGTCTTAATGAAGAGAAGCACTCTCCGTGTCTGCCGCTTAGAGCTTTTACTATATCGGTTATAATCTTAAAGTATCCCTGCTTGCACATGACACCCAATGCCTGTTCAACAACAAGACGCTTCAAGACCGGAATTTCAGATATCTTCAATTACATCGGAATTTCGAAGGGTAAATGAAGTTTAATTGAGATGGGCTTTTCTTCATAACATAGAAAATTGAATGATCATTTCAATGATGTCAGAAGTGGCCAAAAAAGAAGTGTAAAATTTGCATGAAAAAGCATGAAGAAACTAAGTCCCACAGGAAATCCATCCCTTTTTGTCTATCGTCAATAATAACCCACATAACCTTCCAATCTGAGGTAGAGCTCTTATCCCTGTGTGCTTGCCATTAATGTATACTTAATTCGGCTAAGTGGCGCGAGTTAGATTCCACAAATGGAGATTATACCCCTTATATTGGGATAAGCAGAGAGTCGCCTTCAACAACAGATCAGCCATCAAGCAACAAAGTGGTGACAATACTCCCACGAGCCCTGGTAAACGTGACCCCAGAGAAGCCAACATGTTCATCTTCATTGCAGATCAGAGCGTCCCCATGACCACCCTTCACATTGATCTGTTTCTCTCCAACCAATCCGGCCAACTTGGCACCTCATCCCTTTTCATCCTCCCATGCCATGTCCGTGCTACTATGTATACAAGCAATCTCTTGAAAGACTGCCCGTCTCCAAGTATTACTGTGACTAAGAGGGGCCAAATGGATACAAGCCCTGTCTCTGACATGTACCCTTGCTAAGCCCCACATATTGGCCCCCTGCATAGCGTCGTATTGCATTAATCTCTCTTCCGGCTTTCACCTTTCAATCGATCTCGATCTCGACAAGCTATGGGATCGAAGCTCCTCGGTCCCCTGACCTTCTATCTTCCTTTTATGACGCCAGTCTATATTGTTTCGCTCTGTAGGAGCCAGAGTCTCGCACTCCTTCAGCAGGGAAAAGAGAGATTCTCTCCAGTATTGCTCGAAAGCACGTTCATGCAGGCTCTGTACCTCAACTTATCATATTTGCTGGATGAGTATTATTTCACTGGAGTGGCTCGTGCGGCATGGCTCATCCCAAGTACTTCTCTTCTGCTCCGTCGTCAGTTTATAGGTCCTTATATGATTGATTTTGGATAAGTCAGTCAATTCGTGTACCGTGCTAAGTTGCGATTCAGTCACAGTTGCTTCCTCAGCTGACCTCATTGTCCGTAATATGGTGCCTAAAGGGCTGATTTGACTTGACCTATATCCACTATATTGCGGCCTTTTACTTGGGTAACTGCTGCTGCCAGACTTGCCCTGTCGTCGCAGGTCGTCAATACGGATCTGGCCGGATTCCAGGCTGTTGAAAAGGGGCCTAAAGCTGGGTATGCAAACAGTGACAATGGAGAGGCACTGGACCAGTTGTAAAGCGATAGCAGCTTCCCAGTTCGCGAAGGTGAAATCAGTGGAAGCAAATGCCATGTTGGAATAGTAGATTTGAACTGCAATTGCAGGTGTTATTCTTTTCCGTCGTTGTTAGTGCCTTCTGGTAAACGCAAGCTAGACAGATCTATCACCATTGTGGGCGTAAAACATACAGGATTCGACTGCCAAAAACGCTCATAACAAAAACTCTTTTAGACCATGGTATTTGTATTTTTAGAACGTTTTCGCAAAAGACAATAATGATACCAATATCCGTGGTGATATTCGTGATGGAATAATAAGTCCAGAAAGCGGTTCGGTCGATACATCTTTTATCATTGGTGTATATCCATGGCGTAGGTAGTTCACACTGGAAAAGACTGATGATAAGTGCAGAAGCTCCCCACCCGCCAACGACGGCCTCAAAGCCAAGAACAATCCATCTCTGGCTTTCTCGGCTTATCATCCGGAGACAAACTGTGCATGATAGCTTGCAACAGAAGACGGAGGCGACGAACATGGTGTTGGCCGCATATTGGCTCTATTCGTGGATTCGGTCAGATCTTTGACACAGGCTCTGCGGATTGTAGTTGAGATATCTACCTTGAAGAATATGTCGATTTTGCCGGAGTCCATTTTACTAGCTGGCTTTCCCAGTCCATGATCACACTCTATGAACGTAGCAATAGACTGCCCAATTGCAAAGGCCTGAAGCTTCGCGCATAAGCGCAGAATGGTTAGAGATCTCACTTCATGGACTGCGCTATTGGGCTTCTACACACAGTTGCGGCGATGGTAAGAATATCATCGACACTCAGGGTTTTGGTCATAAGGACCTTGGTTCCTATGCGGACAGAACATGACAAGATGAAGATGACGAGAAACATCAATGTCAAGACCTGTATTAAGGGAGACTTGTTGGTGTCGGTGATGACCTCTTGCGTAGGATGCATATTGGGCAAGGCGGTTGGTATCAGGGTGCGATGATGGGGAAACAGAACAGTTGAGCGAAAGGATTGAAAGGGTATAAATATCGAGGATAAACAACTACAGAAGATCATTGCAGTTAAGAAGGGCGATGAAGAAAACCATGGGTATTAAAGCCCGAGGTTTGGGAGCATTGACGTGAAAGGGATCCGTGTGGCATCTTGAAAACAGGTGCAGGAAGAGCACCAGGCGATATTATTGGCCTCGTTGGGACCTCACTTCAAGTTCTCAACACACCATACGCTCTTCTGAAGATAGCGTATTGGTTGCCAGTTACTCCTCATTTACGTAACGTGGCACAATTTATTGTCACTATCGGTACTGAGGATCTGTCAGCAGAGAGATGGCTGGAGATCATAGCTTATCCACTAGGGTCGTCACACGCTAGGGCCGCTTTCTGCCAACCGCCCACTCCAACTAACAGAAGATAAGGAAGTAAATCTGAAACAGGCGAAAGTTTATCGACTCCTAAAAATGAGCATCACAAGTCACGAAACGTCATTGGGGCCTGATCAAGGTCAACAACAACCGCCTGGTAAGGACATATTTAAGTATTTCCATCAAGCGTACTGAATACATCGAACCTGTGAGTGTGGCTTATACAATTTTCACAGTTCGAAAAAAGTTTATACTGGCATTAAAAATTGCCAGAGGATACGCTTCGTTCGCCACAAAGCTGCAAGGTCAACTAATGCCGAGTTCAGGTACATTGATAAGAGCCACATATCCTAAGATGTCATCGCATTAGCCTCCTTCGATGATATTGTGACAATGGTCTCAACTTTTTTCGAATCATGGCTTCACCAGAGAGATCTAGTTCCCTTGTTTGACAAACACTTGTCTCGGGAGTCTGGGCCGGATGCTTGGACGAGGTCTTATCGCTCGCCCCTGTTTCACCCTTGGTATTTCCCTTTCTGGAGGCGGAAGGGCTCGTACTAGCTCTTATAGAGAATGGCTTATCAGCCTTGACTAACCATGACACCAGACGATGTGGTGCTGCAAGCAGATAGGTAAAAATTGACTCACATGGTCTTCCTGAAGTTGCGCGGCTTCAGTTTATAGATTAATTCCGTTCTAAACTGTATTAGTCGCACAAACACTTCGGCTTCACTAATGAGCGAAATTTATCGGTGCTATTGGACATGCCTTAGGGTTAACTATACCAGGCACGCGGTAATGGCATGGAAGCACGCAATATGACCATCTTTTGTATAAGCTCTTAGTCGCATAGAGTGGATTAGGGTCAGATGATTGCCGAGTTTCCCCACAGAACATGTTGGTTGATGATGGCTGTTTTCCCTAGATCGATCCCTTTCTCAGTACTAGTAGGGCGGGATCCTGTTTTTCAGTTGGGGCTTTGGGCACGGGCCCATTACGCCTCCAACACAAAACCCCACCATAACATTACGCGTTCCACTGCCTTGGGTAATATTGACCAGGGCAAGCCTCCACCTTGTCGATCTGGCTAAATATGTTGATAAGAAAAGACCTGTAGAGTTCTGCAGCTTCTCCCTGACTAAGAGCCCCCCTCATTTTGCACAGCTATGGCCCCGGGTGACTAGATGTTACGGCCTGAATTGGATTGCCCACGTTGGACCTCGTATGCTACGTAGTATATAATTAAATAAAGTGCAGGACCTTGCAGGATTTTGGAAGGGCCAGATATGACAGGTGTTGGCTTGCATGTCCAAAAACAGCACGTTGCATTAAGAGGCTAAGCAGATAGTAGCAACAAGGCCGCTACAGGGGTCAGGACAGGATGGATCTTCCCTACGTGGCGCATCCGTTCTCTAAATCAAGGGTCAATGCGCAGAAGTATATCCCCGAATAGCGACGTGGCATGCCAACGTGGTGATTAAACTTGCATGTATGGCTTTCCCCACCTGAGACCATGGTTTGGGTCACATTTAGGCTCTGCGTTTGAGAATTAAGAGGCACAGACAAAGAGAAGCCATATTGATTATAAGATTAATCCTATCATTTCGTCCGTTGAGATAGCATTCTCCCAGTTCACATACACATCGAGAACGTCCTCACGGCTGTCTCGGCATCTATTTGAAATACATTTTCATACACGCCGCGGAGATGCGGAGGAGTAACCTAAGACATCTTTGTGCGACCTGGTCTTTGGTGCTTACCATATACTGATATGTGATGTGTCATACAGGCTATCCTCCCGAGCGTTTAGCTCGGTCAGCCACCTTCACAATGGCCTGGTTGCTCACCCGGCGATCCTGACATAGCGGCCGGTAGATAAGAAAGAAAAAGGGACACTAAAGAAAAAAAGGAAATACCCAGAGTCTGTAGCGCTCATCCCTCCTGCCGGCTGTTGGCTTGACATTTCTCGCCTCAATGTACATTGAACAACCGGAGGTTATCTCCGCAGTGACCCTGCATATAACATGACCCTGGTCGCACCTCCATGATCAGCCCTTCCACATACTGTTTCGACGTAATATGGGCGAGGTAATTCTGTATGAGACGACAGTTGCACCCAAACTGCTGTAAGATTTGCATCTTATGCTCACATACCTCGATGAATAAGTCGGTTACGCAAGTGGAAAGCTCGCGGTGGACACGTGCTACCTCCTGCGTGCGAGACGTGAGACTTGATACCTCTTCCACCTTCTGGATACGGAACTTGGGCGCTCTGATGCGATTTTGTTCTTGAATTTTCTTAGCGCGATCGTTACTCTGTTGGGTTGAATGACTGACGCTGCTGCTGACACTCCTTGTGCGACAAGGAGCAGACTGCCATTTGTTATTCGGCACTGAATCAAGGTTTTCTTATATAAAATAGCTTCATCTAGACGATTTACAAATCGAGAGATCCTCAGGATCATGATTCTGCTGCAGGTTCGGATCCTTTGCCACTAAGGGAAGGCACGAATGAACTTGGGGAGGAGACAATTCCATTGTAACTATATGCTTAGGGATTGACAGTTGACTTGCGTACTCCGTGGTAAGATCAAAACCATTCCACGAATAGGTAGAGTTGAGCATATGGTTGATAGAACTCTAAGGGCTTATTGAGTTGACATCATAGTTATAGATGGAGCATATGTCGGCGAAGATGGTTTATGATCCATTCACTGAGCTCAATGACCCGTCACGATGGCTGTATTGTCTTCGTTGGCTCCCCAAGATCCAAAAAGGGCTCAAGTTCACGGCTCTGTAACTGAGCCGGTCGTTTGGGGGCTAATGGGATAGTTCACAAAAGCTCTCTACTACTCTTCTCTTAATAAAAGGCGTAGATAATGGCTTTCAAATGATATATCTCTGCAGAGTTTGCATATTACTCAGTTGTAGTCTCGAGATCATTGGTCTTAGTTCAATTGTTGATCTACCCTCTCTTCGCCCCTTCCGCCACTAAAAGGCCAGTCAGACCAAGCCAGCTCCTAGAGTCTCTGATCCCATCGACAATCTTCTTAAAGCTTATTGCTGAGACGCCTGTCGACGGACAAGGCCATATGCGAATACTTCATGCAACTGGTAACAGAGAACAGCTCTTAAGAACACAGTGAATTCAATCGTTTAAAGGCCCCCGTTTTAATGCATACAACCGCTCGCATCTCTCTGTTTGTAGCCGATGCAGAAGCCTATGCAGATCGGCAACAGAGTGGTTCTGCTTCTGTAATTAATATAAGCCATTAATACTCTGTGTTCTGTCGTGGTTCGCAGATAACCGAGACAAAGGTGTAAGTCAGTGAGATGGACTGGTAAGGTCAGCTTCAAATCTGTCTAAATGACCCAACCCGAAGTCGCCCTTTCATCGAGATTAGGTGCTCTAAAAGGATGTATATCACTCAGGCTCTTTGGAGCCCAAACTCTAAGCACTAGGCAGAGGTCGAAGTTTCTCTTGCAAAGGAGATTCAACTGTAGGTTGGGGAATCTTAACGGTACTGACATCCAAGCAGGGCTATGTCCATAGCAGCCGGTATCAAAGCATGACAAGCCCAAGGTTTCGATCATTATCTATAGTTCTGGTGCGCATTCCTGACCCATTGGGACTGCTCCCGGTTAGATTATCTGCGACTTAAGACCATAGAGCTTCTGGTATGCAAGGTTGCCTGAAGATGCAATTAACTGATGCCTGCCCGAGCAAGACGACCGACTTAGGCCTCTTTCCTAAATGTATGATTCGCGTGGGAGGTAAATGCATCCAGGTTCATCAGAGCGAGATATTGCCAGCTGTCTCAGACCATTGCGTTGCAGTTAAGGTAGACAGTTAAAATGGTCATAGTCTTAGCTTTGTTGTTAAAGCTGTAAGCAAAACAAATATACAGAGTAAGTATTTCAAGGCGGCATCCCTTTGCTAAATAGCCATCCTCTTCCGTGCAATAAACCACCTCAGAAACAAAGGCGCATTAGTCAAGGTCTACCGCAGAAGAGAGTTAGTAAGGAAGAATTGTCTCCCAAGATAAGTTACGCCGCTTGTTGAGAGAACTATTAGATGTTTGCCAATAGATATTCACTATATCAACACCCTCACAATCAAGGTAACAAAGAAAGCCAGAGACAGGAGAGTCCAGAAATCAGGGAGGGTCTTGGGGGACTCGAGACTGTGGGTTAATTTGACGACCATAGGAATACCATGCAGGGCTTTCAGAGTATCGCTAATATCCATACTCTTCGTGCCAGGTTTGTCTTCAAGGTGGTTAGTCAGGTGATTCTAAGGAGTGAATATCTTCCGATATCCAAGCACTGCCGATTTGTAATAGCTCAGGGTCCGAATTGGGAGTGCTAACATGCTAGAAGAACCTCTAAGGTCATTCTGCGCCCAAGTTCAGAGTCGAACATCACCATTGTGATACAATCCGCCTAGGATTAGGTCTCGGCTACCCTCGCATAAAGACTCATCAGTATAATGGCCAACACAACTTCGGTCAGTTGTATTACCTCCACCTAAGGGTTAGGTCTGCATTCGGAGGTTATAGTCCCAGGTCGTTTAGGTCTGGGTTACTCTAGGGTCTGGTGTTGTACTGAGCCGTTGCCGGTCATTACGAAAAGACAGGGCTTATCTGGGAGACAGGCACGTGTATACCGCCCAATGGACTTCTTCACGGAGATAGGCATGTGGCCGTCAGATCCGTCATCAAGGTCGTGAGCTCTAGAGCAAGGCAAACTATCTCAAATGACCTCGAAAAGCCTAGTCGACCATATCTGTCGCCCTCAGGAAAAAAAGCCACGAACTGATATTGCGCATCCGCATCTCAACAACCTCATCAAGAGATCTTCAGCGTTGGCACACCTTGGCCGCTTCCGATTCTCGATTCTTCGACGATTGGGCTTCTATTGAGAGTCTGTCTTTGGTCTGATAGTTAAGATGTAGTCTTGACCAATTGCGATGGTCATGCCTCATATGTTCCAGCTCAGATACCAAGGGGCGATACCAGACTGAGCTTAATGACACATCTGACTGCTGAATCGTATGCCACATGCAAGAGCCTGGGCATCAACAGGGGCGAAGCCATCACTAACTAAATCATATTGTATTACCTGCTTCTGCGGTCTAAGTTGGTAGTTGGGGGACCAGCACTCACGATAAGCAATGAAACAGAATGCAGTTTCAGGGCCAAAATCGTGGATGATACAGGATCAATCGCTATACCAGTAGTCTCGGAGAGTAAAGTACAAGATAGTCGAAATCGAATGTTGTTGAAGTCGATAAATGTCAATAAGTACCCACAATCTAGGCATAAGGTGGTATATTAGTTGTCCATTAGAGAGGAGATGTAAATACAACAATTAAGAGCCGTTGATAATGCAAGACCCTGATGCTCGCAGCCTGCTGACCTCGCTGAGTCTCAGTCTATCGTTCAGCCAGGCCAATGTCAGTACTTAGACTTTTGGCCTCTTGTCTGATATCTCGCGATAGCTTCACTTTGAGGAAAGACCCATGGGGCGCCAATGGGCCAATGGCCGAAGACCTGTTTTCTTAGGAAGCTTTTTTGCCCTTATTATAAAGAAGCAAAGCCAGAAGATGCCCTTCTCACTGCGTTCTCAAGCCACTCTTTATTTGTTGCTTCCGGCCTCTCTTAAGGGTTAAAGAGCCATATTTCCCCAAAGCCTTCCGCCTGCGTCTCTGTAACGGGATCCAAAGCAAATATAGGATCGCAATATTACATCGAAGGACAGGACCGAGGACCCAAAACTTTCCATCAATCACTAGAAACCATACGGGCTTGACTTCAGGTATGATTGGGGGTTTGCGGCGGTACTTTAAGGTATGCTAACAACTCGTAGCCAGATCAGCACAGATCTTCTCAAGAGCCAGATGCATGGCATAACCACCGCCACCGAATCCTTCACCAAGCTCCAAGCTTCCATCGCCGAAATGGGAGTCCTGGCGGTACCACCAAGTTCATCACCAGGCTTCAAGCTTCCGTCGCTACTCTCAACAGCGAAATGAGAGCCCTGGCAGTGCCATCGAATCCGTCACCGAGCTCCAAGTTTCAAATACTACGCTTAACACCAAAACGAGAGTCCTGGCAGTGGACTGGGTAGAACTGCAGACAGTCAGATCCATCATTGAGGTCGTAAACTCTAGAACTTAACAAACTACCTCAAATGGCCCAAAACAGGCTAGTTTGACTATATCTGCCGCCCTTGAGGCAAAGAATCATAAACTGGGTAGACATATTTGCAGGAAGGCTTAGGCCCGCAGCTAGAGCAACACAGATCTCTTCTTAAGAGTCAGATCCACAACATAACCACCGCCACCAAGTCCGTCACCGAGCTCCAGGCCTCCGTGGCTGCCCTCAACGCTTAAATAAGACTTCTAGCAGTGAAATTGGTAGACATGGAAAGGAGAGGCAGCAAGAAGATAGGGGCAAGACAGACCATAAAAAGCGGTGAGTTTAGACTGGGCAGACTGGATGAAATAGAAGGACTCGGAATCGGTAGAGGTAAATTACCGCAGATAGAAGTGTCATCTTGCGCGGTAGTGCTTGTTATCGTCGTTAAATGGCAGAGAGATGCTTGCTTCATGGCGTCAAGGACAAAGATAAGAAAATAGAATTGAGCATCTTGGCGGCCTGAAACTGAAGATTATACGTGAAGAAGAGTGTGAATACGAAGTGTATGTTAAATTGAATGCCCATAACCCAGTGGTAACTGTAGTAGCTGCAAGCCAAAGTCGAAGGATGCATGCTCTCAGTTATGACTTCTGATCTTTCATCTGATAGGCTTGAACGCAGGACCTCGAAGGTCGGAGGTGTTCCGTATTTAGAGCCAAGACAATCCAGAATCTCTATTTGCAAAAGATTTCCGGTAGAGAATCCAATCAAGATGAAAGAAACAAAGCCATCTGTATACAGTGTCCACCCTAGGCCCCCGGCCTAAAGGGGGACTTTCGACTTGCAAGTAACCGACCGAGTTGGCGGGTCAAGCCAAGTGTCACTTGAGAAATATCCTTTGTTAACTGCGATTGTAAGTAACAGGAGCATCAACTTTATGGTTAAGATTAACCACGCTGTCAATGAGCCTGGTCCAAGTACATGGAGACAAAATTGGGAACCTTCATGCGTATCTGGTTGGACAAGTGACTCTACTCGCATTCGAAATCGCACCACAGTCACCAAGTCCACGAAGAACGGTAGCT